GTGCTCTGATTAAATGTCTCGGAGAGTTTGCAGTGAAGGTCATGGACCATCATATCAGTGGCCCACGAGCCCAGCTGAGCGTTGGTTTGCTGAATGATAGCAGCAGCTGCTCGGTTTTGAGCTCAGGCTCTTTCCCTGCAGGAATCGTACAGAATCGATCCCTAGGTTGATACGGTGTATCCTTAGTGCAGTGACATTACATTGACATGGATGTGTGAATCAATGGCTTTCACGTCCGTTGGCCTCCTTCAATGGCCATATCGGCCAAATACTGAAAGGCTCTGTCCAACCCCATTTTAATTGCGTGGATCGCTGGCACACATAAAGACAAGTGTACAAGTGACAGTGGTCCGAGATTAATAGAGTGATATGCATCAATTGGTCCATTAACTCCACCGACGAAACACCGATGCGGCACAGATATGAGCTTACTAGGCTCGCAGGAGCGGGAAGGCAGTGTATTGAAAGAAACTTAGCTATTCCGTGGGGGAGACAATGACACTAACGATAGTACAGTAGTGAATAAGTTAAGGTGAGCAAAGGAGCGCGGGAAGACGACAGAGTCTAGCCAACCTTACGAGACCAATACTCACTGCAATGTTTAACCCTTATATCTACTTACAGACAGGAAGTCAACAAGACAAGAGAGGGATCTTTATTTCCTGGGCAGATGGGCCACTTATAAAGTACTACCCGTCTGCACCACGTTAAGGGTACTTGTCTCTGCTCGTACCTACTACATTGGTCAATATAGTGCACTCACAAATGAACATTAACGAAAGCGCTGTGCGCAACTTAGCCGGACTTTAAAATGAATGTAGGACGGATGTTAAATGTGGGGTACAATAGAATTACGGGACATGATGCCGCCGTTGAAGGCAGGGCGGATAATGAGATAAGGAATAAACGAGGAAGTAGGATGGAGACGACAGACGAGAATGTGAGGACAGGAAAGAGCGCGGGGCGAGAGACTTTTATGGATGTGTGTGTGTGTGTGTGTGTGTGTGTGTGAGATATAGCTGGGGGAAGATGAGGCATCTCTATCCTTTTTCTGCATTGGTCACGGTTGCTGTAGTTGTGGGACTATCTCGATTTCGCTACGCCAAATAGCCCTACGAGTCGAAATGGAGAGGCACTGTGTCCAGGAAACTACTGACAGGCAAGGCGAAGATTTTTTGCTACATACCGGATGGAGGAGCTGGCACAATTGTCTACGATTCTAATGCTGCGTGATGGCAAGATGGTTAGAATAGGGTAATTTTCAGCAGTAGAAGACAAAGAAAGCAGAGCTCTACCAACTGATCACTGAGTTTAGAAACGACGCCAGCAACAGCGCATTTACGGAAGCAGGCGACCAGGGGCCACCAGTGAAGTAGAATGTCCGCCTAAAGAAGATATCGTCGATGCCAATGCTTTTCCCGTCGAGGAAGCACTACTCTTGTCTAATGCGCCACGTTCAGTTCGTCAGAGCAGCATTCGCAGCGCAACCAGTGTTCGAACATGGGACCAATTCTCAATCGCTTCAGCACCTCAATGGAGTGTTTCAGGATGGATGAACCCCAGAACACCGCTACTATGTCGGAAGAGTGAATGAGGTGAGGCAGTATCAGCAGGAGCGTGGCCTAATGATGGTCGCTGCAGTAGCCAAATCCACAGCCTCTTTAGGAGTGCAGTGCTTGGGCCACAAATTTAGGCTGTAAACAAAAGAGAGCTCCAATTACATCGAGAATCAAATGCATGGGCCACATACGCGTGGAGCGCACAGGCAGTCAAGGTTTAGACCACCCTGGCCAGGCCATAGTGACCAGGAAGGCCAAAGACGGCGATGAGTCCCATTTCTTGCTCTCCACAGGACACCCTGGTCTGCGTTAGCATGAAGAGGCAGGGCTGCTGTTTCTCATTGCCAACTGCCGCGATCCTCATTGCTGATGACTCTGATCCTGAAAAAATCGGTGGTTTATTTTTTTATTATTACACAAGGCTGCACTGCAGAATAGGCTGCAGGATATCAACGGTGCGGCTCTATAAGGTCCCCACGGGTGCTGTTACTTGTAGCATTTTCTTTTGGCGCATTTGTTGATGTGCATTACAGGGCTTGTGCCAGTCTGTCACCCGCTAGCGGCTGCAGTGGGTGATATTCCTTTATTTGATCCAGGCACAGGAGCATTAAACTATAGATCTTAAATCAGTTATTGAAGGGGTCCATTCAGCAAGGTGTGCTCCGAACTGGATAGTTTGGTCCGAGCAGATCAGGATCGCTTTGAGGCGTCTCCAGCAGCCACTGCCTACAAGCATGCTGCTGCGAGAGAGCACAATTGTCTCCACTGTGCGTGTCTGCGTTCTTTTTCCTCGTTCTTCTTCCCTGCTGTTACTATTGCTTATTCTTGTCTCGTTATGAAAGCAGCATCGCCCACTAGCGTTGCTGCGATCGATGCTGCTATCGGTGTTGAGTGTGTCTCTGCATGCGCCTCCGCAGGAGTATCTGCGCGAGTGCCTGTTCTGGTGGGCGAATTTCACTATGTGGATGGAGTGGTCGTAATGCACTCGTCCGTAAATGGCTCCAACTGATGGTGGCGCTGGCAGTACATAAACCGGCCGTTGTACCTCACTCTTTTCTTTTCTTCTCTCTTCTTTTCTCCTTGTCACTGCTTCAACGTCAAGGTAAGTACTAACATCCAGCTGCACTCTCTCCACTCCTCTCTTCACAGCTCCACACTATGTGCTCCCACTTTTTGCACCTGCACTCTTTGAGCCTCCACTCTTTACACCTGCACTCTTTGAGTCTCCACTCTTTGCACCTGCACTCTTTGAGCCTCCACTCTTTGCACTTGCACTCTTCGAGCCTCCATTCTTTGCACCTGCACTCTTTGAGTCTCCACTCTTTGCACCTGCACTCTTTGAGCCTCCACTCTTTGCACTTGCACTCTTCGAGCCTCCATTCTTTGCACCTGCACTCTTCGAGCCTCCACTATTTGCACCTCCACTCTAATATCGTCGCTCACTTCTCCACTGCTCTCTCTCTCTCTGTCGCTCTCCTTCCCCTTTCTCCCCATCGTTCCTAGAGCTTTCTTGGACTTTGTACACCGCAAAGCCAACCGTACGAGCACACAGCGGGGTTCCCTGTTTTTTCTGTTTTGTTCGTTTTTTTTTTCCCCCGTATTTTTTTTTCCGTATTCGTTTCTAGTTTTTTTTGTTCATCACCGGGACGAAGAACACGAAAAAACTATGAAAATGAAATCGAAAAACAAAAAATCAAAGATGAGCGGCCCCATTTCTGAGGCCTAGGGCTAGCAGTGGGCGGCGAAGAGCGGGCCCCCCTCTTTGCGTTTTTTTGACCAACAGTTCCATCCTGAACGGCAATGAGCACAACACTTTTGGCCATTTTTTGTTGTCATGACCCATGTGGTCTGCTCTGCGCTTGACGGGACGGTTTCGTGTTGCCAAGGACACCCTGGTAGGTCTAGTGCCGGTGATGATCAGGGCATTGTTCTGCGCGATTGGGGGTTGCACAAGGGGTTCGAGGACTAATAAAAAAAGATGGGTCAGTGGGGGTTGGTGAGTTGCTGCGTGAGATCCACTCTTTTTTTCCCATATTCGTGGTTTTTTGGGGCACCATGGCTTGCAACCTGCTCGAGGTGTGCCCTGCACGGTCTTTACTCTTCTGAGTAAGGCCGGCCGATGGCAAGTCGACTTTTCTTTCCTTTTCCTTCCTCCTTCCCTTTCCTCATTTTCTTTTTCTTTTTGTTTTTTGTTTTTTATTTTTTATTTTTTTTATTTTTTTATTTTTTTATTTTTTTATTTTTTTATTTTTTTATTTTATTTTTATTTCTTTCTTTCCTCCTGTAAATATAATAGAATAGAAGAAGAGTAAAATAGAGGTAAAGAAAACGAAATGAATTAAAGTAACAGCTATTATTCATTTTAAAATTGTCTGTGCAAGCGATGCCATGCTCGCGCTGTATTGAAAATACTGAAAGTACACTGTGCCAATGAAGGCGATGTAGATGAGTGTAAATGGAAGTATAGGTTGCAGCATTTTTGAGGATGCGTCGATACACTCGCATCAGTAGCATTAGGTGTCGTCCAAACTGGCTAATCTTTTTTGTCCGACAGGTAAAACACTCAGACAGTTGGCTGCGGACCTCTTGCTAGTCAAATCAGCCCATGAAAGTGATACATATAGTGACTTACCAAGGAACCTTTGAGGCATGTTGCTTGTTGTTAGACTTTGCGGTGTCGCTTAATGTCGACACGACGAAGATTGGTGAGTACGGTATCAAGCTTTTGGGCTACCAGAAGACAATTACTCACTGGCGCGCGCTGTCTATGCTCGTACGGACATCCATCTGATTTGACGATACTTCCTCGTCTGTCGATACACATGTGAAAAAAATTGGTAGCCAGTTGCGATACTACTGTAGGCGATATGATTCCTTGACATTTGTGGCCTTCAGGATGGGCTGCTAGTCCACCTCGTATGGCGGGGCCCTTGTTTTTTTGTCAAACATTTTTAGCTATGTCCGACGTTTTGTGGATTCATGGGCATTCGGATACCTCGGCACGATCCTTGCTGTCTGCTACGGAGCTAGATCAAAGAGTGTTAAAGTTTTCTAAAGACATTATATGCCACAGGAGGTCGATGAAGGCCAGCGTTTTCGGATATCTGGCTTATATTCAAGTGTAATGGGATGTGCACCACGATTCGAACGCGCTAGACCCGCCAAGCGCCTCACCAGAGATGTGAACGGCATGACAAGTCTACAGGCCTCAGCGTGCGTCATTATACTAGGAATTGTTACTTATTGGGAGGGATCATCTATTTGATAACAGCTGTCAGGGATATTCATGTACAATACTTGGTGCGTTTGCCGAAAGTAAAGGCAACCTGAGCATAAACAACAGATCCCCTTCGTGAAGCAGCCGACGTGTGAACACAGGAAAGGTATTATTTAGGCCATAGGCCCGATTTTCAGAGTAAGCGAGTAACATAGATTTCCTCCGGGAAACCGACTTGCATACTCGACGTGGCAAATAGATGTTCGCATGGGCTGCCAAGTAAGACTGACGGCCCCGGTTATCAAGTAGATTATCCATTTTTTTATTACAGGTTTCTCGTAAAGTTGTTCACACGGCCCATCCTTTGATGAGGGGTTACATGACAAAGTATAGCACACCAACAACGCACGATCCGATAACGCAGGACAGGATGACATTGTCCCTGTTCTTTCTCGATTGGATCTTTCCGATCAATTGGCCCACGCTAGGTAGCTGCGATGCTACGTTGTTAATTCGCTGGTTCACATTCTGAAGCGTCGATCCTTGTTTGCTCAAATCGTCTTTCACTGCATATGCTTGTCTATCAAGTTGTTGTAATTAGTGGGGTGAATAGAGTGGTAGTGGTCAATATAACTAGAAGCATTGAATCAATGTCCTGTAAAGCGACAAGAACGCTATGCCTTACTCGAGAGCACTGTCCGCCAGTTGATGGCTACCATCGATCCTTGCCCGCTCATTCAACAGGTAGTCCGAAGCCGATTTGTATGTGCTGATATCGTCCCGGACTGAATTCAGGAGCTGGGCGTGGTCCCTGGCTGACCGCACATTCTGACGCGTCTTTCTGTATTCCTTGGTGTAGTCGTGCAGGATATCGCGATGCTTCTGAAGAAGATGCACCATGGAAAGAGGCGCTTGCCCGTTGGTCTGTGTCTGTGTGTCGAGGTGTCCTGACATTGCATCCACGAGTCCACTCAGCTAGATAAATATTTCCAATGATAATGAAGAAGGCCCTCGTGTCAATTCATGTCACTTCAATGATGAAAGAACCACGTAGACTCTGGTTGATAGATAACTGGTGATTGCCTACCTTCTCCAGCAGATCTTCGATATTAGTTTCTAATTCTTCTGTACTTCCCATAGCCCCTATGCCGTTGCTTTGCCCTGCTCCTGCTGCTCCTGTGCTAGGCCCAACTCCTGCAGCCTGTTGTCCACCGCCAGTCTTGACAGCCGATTTTGTCAAGGCTGTCAACTTGGACTCGATCTCAATCTCGACTTGCCGAACCTCTTTGCGGAGCACATCCCAAGACATAGGGTCCATGGTCGATGATCCTACTGTTCCTGTGGCTGCTGCGATGGCTAGTGAGGCATCGTTCAGTGATGAGGAGGTCGCTGCAGAGGCAGAGGGCGAGTGTGAGTTTAGAGGGGCATTGCGGTAAATGGGCGTTCGTGTAGGTGTCGTCTTTTGCATTTGTCGTTTCGAGTTCGTTGCTGTCTGAGAGTGTGTGTTGTGTCAGATGTTTATGAGAAGGATGTAAAAAGTCGATATCTACCCAGAGGAGAATGAATGAAGAGGGATGAAGGCAGATGGTTGTGATGGAGAAGCAGCCATGGGCGCAAGGTCTTGGCCAGGTCTCCCTCTCTTACTGCATTTGCGTTTATATATCGATTTACATATTACGAAGGGTGGCTGCATCTTTAAGAGAAGGACGAGGTGCAAGTGCGCAATTGTGCAGCTGTGCAATTGTGGAGGAAGAAGACGCTTAGTCTACTTGCGCATACCAGCTCATACCATCCTCGTCCCGACCCACCATTCAGGAAGGCGTGGGTGTTTCTGCAGAGCAGTAAGCGGACATTGTGGGTGTCAAGAGGATGGAGTTAAGTTTACTCTTGCGAGAAGTTGGTGGCGTGCCCTGTTAATAAAAGGATGCTGTGTAAAACGTGTAAATCGCTCTGCCCTGAATCCCCTGATATACCGCAGTATAGACTAAACCTTGTGCAGGCCAAATCCACACTTTCCTCTTCGCTTCCATCGATCCTCTTCTGCCCCTGCACCCTTGCATCCTCATTCCCCTTTGCAGAATCCGAACATCTAATCATGGGTCTGAAGCAAGTTCACTTTATCGACTGGTTCCAGGCAAAGTTCCCGATGGCCGTGAGGAGCGTCCTCAACCAAGAGGGCTCCCAGTTCGACTCGGTATTTATCGACGTCAATGGCATCCTACATCCTGCCGTCCGAACCGCCAAAAATGAAGCCATGTTCGTCAAAAAGCTGTTCTCAATCCTCGACAAACTGCTGACCCAGTTTATTCCGAACAGGATCTGCTATCTCTCAGTCGATGGGCCGGCCCCAGTTGCTAAAATGCTCACTCAGAAAGCCCGACGTGCTTCAAAGGTAGGCATCCGCAGTCAATTCCCACACTTTCAAACGTTAATTTAATAAATCAGTGTGGTTTTTGTTGCTTTCATCGACGACCAGTGTTTGATTCTCAATGCCTTTTGCACTCAATCGCCGAACCCATAGGGCTCCAAAGGGAAATCCGAGGGCATGAGCACACTTCACATCACCCCAGGATGCCCTTTCATGACCCGCTTGGAACATTACCTGAGCTACTACTCTGTCCGCTATCTACAGCACCGACGTCTACTCGGGATTTCTCCTGATCTCAAGTTCATAATTGACCATTCAAACAATCCTGGAGAAGGAGAGGTAAGTACTGGTTTCTTTCTATCGCTTTCTATTCAAATGCCTCGCGCTAAGTCATATCATATAACCGCCACTTCTATAGAGTAAAATTATTGAAAATATTGTGCAGCAGGCAGCGAGCATACGCGGACGACCCTGTGCGATCCTCAGCATGGACTCGGACGCCGTACTACAGGCGATTGCTCTCGGCATGCCCAATATGTATGTTATTCGCAAGGATTCGCCCTTCACGCCTGCGATCGTCATCTCAATCGACCGATTCATGAATGCACTCGAGAGGATGTTTCCAAGCGATTCGAACCAGATCCGCCTGGATTTCTGCGCCCTGTGCCTGTTCCGGGGAAATGACTATCTCCCTGGACTGTTTGTGGGTCTGGATCGGCTGTGGGATGTGTACTTGTACACAAAACTCGTTGATCCGGTGATTCGACAAAGAGGAGCGCTGCGATTTCTGGTCAGCGCAGAGAGCAAAACCTTCGACTTGTTTTTCTTAAAACAACTGATACTCAACTCGTACATGAATCCTAAAGATCTGAGGGCCAAGGTGTCGGATATCGGACGGCAGCAACCGATACAGCAACTTCAGCGACAACTAAAGCAAATGGGACTACAAAGTTTAAACAGTCTGGACCAACAGAAAGAAGTACGCCAGCAAAAGCAGCAAAATATCTCGACTCTCAGTCCTACCATCAAAGAACCGCGACGCTCAGTTTCAGAATATGAAGATGAAAGCGACATGGAGTCATTGGATGAGGAGGATGACAATTTTTCCGTCGACGAGGAAAGGGACGGCGGGAGCGATTCTTCAGAAGATTCCAGCACGGATAGCGAGGAGACTTCTGAGAAGGAGGGCGATCCGAGGCACTACTCTGTCAAGCAGTTTTTGGACGGAGTTCTGTGGAACCTCGAGATGTATTGCACAGGAAAATGCCCCGATGTTTCGTTCTGCTACAATTACCGGCAAGGTCCACCGCGAAGGGCCCTAGTAGATTATGTGAATACTATTGCCAGCATCAGCCATCATTCCAATCTGCATCCCAGAACCACCAAGGACATTGTGAGTATAGCAAGGAGCGACAAGAAATATGTACATCCGCTTGTCTGCGCTTTAATCGTAAGTATGATGATGACATCGAAACAACTTTTTTGGCGAATGATTTGATCCGCAACTTGACTAACCAACTATCATCATACTTCTTCTCTCTTTACTCATCTAGCTACTTCCTCCAAACATTAGTGCGCAGTACCTACCCCAAGCCATTGCAGCCGTGCAGACACAGATCGTCCCGCCCGGCTCATCCAGTTACCTAACGCAGGAAGAGTTGGAGATAATCGACCTCAAAGTCCAGACACTTATTGACATTCTTGGATCGTCGGACAAGGCTCACGACGCCGCGATTGCCAAGGATCTCTCAGTCTTGTATACAACACGCTCGCCTTACATTTGGACCCGAGTTCGCTGCGTGAACCCTCGTGCCAGACTCACGCTAATGCCGCAAAACCCCAATGTGATTATCGATGAAGCGAACGCTAAGGTATCGTCGACAGATGCTGTTACTTCCAGCAACCAGGCGCCTGTGCACGTCTTCTCAGAGCTGGAGATCCAGCCAGACATCCTCTGCACCACAGTTAGGGTCCCGCCCAACGTCGTACAGGCCGGCCAATCCTCCACCTCCTCCATTGCGAGCAACCACGGCGCTGGAGCTCCTGCAGTAACCTATACGCTCTGGGCTAGTGTCAATCGACAGAAGGTCATCACCATCGCGGGAACAAGGCCTCCTGCGAACTGGCCATTCTTTTATATTCGAGGGAAATGGAATCTTCCACTAAGGCAACCACAACAGCAAAAGCAGCAGCAGCAACAGCAACAAAATCAACGGCAACAGCGGCAGCAACAGTCAACAGCATCGATAAAGACAACAGCAACGACAACAACAATTACAGCAACAGCGATAGTAACAAAAGCGACAGCAAAAGCAAAGAACACGGCCCGCGGTGGTTGTAGGCCAGGGCAGGCACAAAGGCTAATCCTGCCGCAACAGGGCAAAGCCCTCGATTAGCAAATAGGCATCTCGCTGCCGTGCTGGAGGAGCTATTAGACAGCTAAAGTCTATTTTCAATACCTTTGCGGCCTGGGATAGGGAAAATGACATTTATAATATAGTTTTTTTTTATTTTCTTTTACAGGCTCGACTTTTTCTTTGACATAAATATAGGATAAAGAGAGTGAAGGCATGTATGCATGTATGGGATAAGATAATGGAAATGAAGGATGCGGAACAAAAACCAAGCACAAAGAAAAAGGAAGAAAAAGAAATGAACAATGCAGAATGAATAAAACAAGTCGATCTTCACAACTCAGAACGCCCGGGCAGCCATCTCAAACAACGCATCGCACTCGCCAGACTTCTCAACCATATCACGGAAGCGACTTGACGGATTTGTGATCAGATTGATGGGGCTATCGAATTCCACTACACGGCCTTGCTCTGTAGTATCGAAAACAAGGGCAATATTAGAACATAAGAGATTAGAGAGACTCAAGCCAAATGTCTATTATTTGCAGGCAATCTATGCTCGTATACCACACTTACCAAGAACCAAGACACGATCGTAATCCATAATCGTACGTAACCGATGCGCGACCGTAATCAATGTCGAGTCACCCAGCTCGTTTCGGATCGTCGTTTGAATTTTCTCATCCGTTGCAAAATCAACGCTTGCCGTTGCTGTATATTATTTTGTTCAAATGAAAAAAAAAAAAAAAAATTAGTTACTGCTTTAGCGTTCATTTCCACGCAAAGTGATACTCGTGACTTTTTCAGTTTGAAATACCTTCATCCATGATAATGACTCTACTCTGGCGAAGCAACGCACGAGCCATGCACAGAAGCTGTCGCTGACCTTGCGAGAAATTTTGTCCGCCATCACTCACAGGACTATCCAGACTCTCGAATGGATCATCTGGTTGCTCCGAACCTCCATGAATGGATACTGGGACTGCCACGACCGATTCAGCTTCATCGACCTGGTTCAGCGGAGAGCAGAGGACCTTGGGAGACATGGGATCGATCGGGAGGAGGCTATTTGGGTTACTACCCCTCCTTGGCAGCAAAGTTGTGGTCATTACATTCTCTGAGGACTGCTCCACGTCGCCATTTTGAGCCGTAGCAGACAGACCAATTGGGCTTGTTGGCGCGGTGAGTAGACGGTCCGTAGGATGGAACGGGTCATCATAAATGTCTCGGTCACCATAACCTGTAATAGGGACAGGGACATCAATTTCTGGGTTCATAAAGAGGTGATTTGCTGCGTCATGATGATACTGGTGAGGGTGCGTGTGGCCATTCATGCCAAAGGGGTCGTCTGCGTAGTGGCCGTTTGGGTTTTGGAAAAAGGCGCCATTGTGACCGAGAGGTGAATTCGAAGCAGATCCAGCTCTGGATCCGCGACCCTTGACAAGGTGGACTCTGCGCATGGCTTCCCAGACCTCGTAATCGGTGTGCTCCTGGAAAGGGTCTAGATTGGATCGAATAGTGCCATTAAACAGCACGGCATCTAAACAATGGAAACAAATAAACGTCAGCCGAAGGTCTTTATGAGTGGGCATACCGTTAGCCGATTCTTCTTCAATCTCTCCTCATTACCTTGGGGTATAATGGTCAGGCGTCTCCGAAGGTCCTCCAAACCGATTTTAGAAATATCAATGCCGTCAATGACAATCGATCCCGCCATGGGCTCCATGAATCTGAACAGCGACAAAGCCAGCGTGGACTTTCCAGAGCCTGTTCTGCCCACAATGCCGATTTTCTCGCGTGGACGAATGCAGATAGATACATTATGAAGCACAGGCCCCAAGTCAGGCGCATACTGCATCGTCAGATCCTTGATCTCAATTCTGCCATCGTACGGCCACTATAAATATATGAGAATGAAAGCAGATAGACGCGTACAAAATTTATGAGTATGCCAGGCACACAAAAGCACTTTTTCTGTACAGCAAATCAAGCTCACTTACGCCAGCTGGTGGACGAGATCCTTCGATGATGGCAGGCAATTCCTGGGGCATCTCCAAGTATTCATTGACGCGCTCAACGCTGTTCAGTGCCATTTCCATCTCAGTGTAGAGACGAACCAGCCACTATATGAATGAGCGTAAAAAAATCGGCAATTAGTCAACAGGGATTATATACCATTCTGTGCACTCGCTCCCCTTATCCAGACTTACGTAGATCAGACCCATAAAGCTCATAGCTGCACCCAAGCTGATACCAGCCCATCCTGCATCCAAATCCTCCAAGTTAAGCAAAATCAGAACACCAGCGATAAAGTTGACCATGGCACCCATGAAATCCACCCGAATGCTGAGCCAACGGTTACACATCCATAGGAAGTAGTAAGGGGCATTATTGTCATCCAATTTGACCAGCACCTCTTCCATAAATCTAGACTCCACCCCGAAAGCGCGAATCGTCGATACCCCTACAAGTGTTTCGCCAAAGTGACTGTAGAGAGGAGACTTTGTCACGGATTCGAGACGCTTAAGTTCACGGCTTGATGCGATATAGTAGGCGCCGACAAAAAAATACATTAGGGCTAGTGAATGGGTAAGTAGAGGCGTCAGTATCCGACGCCAAAAATTGTTTCAGAGCACGAGCGGGCGATTTCCGTCATATGATGGCACGCATTACCAATAAGAACTGCTGCGATCAAGAAACTGGGTGTGACCAGAGTAATTAATAAAACAACCGTGATGACTCCAAAAATGTGCGCCAGCATGGTCGTCATTTTCTGGATCAATTGTCCGTCAATAACTTCAAAGTCTTTAGAGAAGCGGTTGATGATACGACCCAACGGTGTGGTGTCGAAGAAGCGGATGGGAGCACGGATGATCGAGACCAGAAGTTGCTCGTACAAAGACCTCGACGCCCTGAGCGAGCCGTAGAACTGCCAAAACATCCTGACGATGGTCAAGAAGACCCCCATAAGCATGATAAGACTGTAAATCCCAATGTAAAAGTCCAGATCAACGATACCATCGTGATTGTCCTCAGGTAAACCCCATCTCAGAATTTCGATCCTTTCTGTAAGCGGGCCACCAAAAATTCCACGATGGCTGCCTGATGCGGTACCGATGGCGGGAAGGGTGTCGTTGCCAGGTGCATTATCGTAGGCCTTAGCCCATTCGCGGAGCCAAAGAACTTCTACCATGCCCATGGCCTCTACGACTGCGATCATGAACGTTAAGACGAACCAGAACCCTACACCTCCACATGCCTTCAAGTAAATGTCGTAAACCATCAGCTTAACCTTCCCTCTGAATCGCACTAGCAAAAGACAGTAAGCATATATTTGTATAGCTTTAGTTAGATACATGTCATAGCGATGAAAAACAGATATGACAATACAGCTCATCACGAGTCCGTACCTTCTTCTTCGACAAGTTTCTTGGCCTTGCTATCTTTCTTCTGCCCTGGAGAGGCTGGGCCTCGGACAGACAAATCCTTGGAGAGAGTGCCATTATCTGTTGCCAATGTACATGAACTTGACGCCTCCTTGTCCTCCTCCAACATGCCGTTCCTCTCCAGAATTTCGCTAAGCATGCCTGAGCGAATCAGCTTGACAGGGGAACCGCTCAGCACCAATGACCCATCCTTCAACAGAGCGACATAAGTTGCATCGCGCAGACAGAGGCGGACATGGTGCGTGACAAGAATTCTGGTCCTGCCGTTCATCAATGGTCCCTTAAGACAGTTCTCGAAGAGGTGTCGGGCGGTATGGGCATCCACAGCCGAAAGACAGTCGTCAAATAACAGGTGTTGCGCCCTAGAGTACATGGCGCGGGCGAGTGCTACTCTTTGCTTCTGTCCACCAGAGAGAGTGATACCCTTCTCTCCAATCTCAGTCAAGTCGCCATGCTCGAAAACGGCTAAATCGGGTAGCAAGGCGCACGCCTCCAGAACGTGCTGGTATCTCTCGGATTCAAAGGGCAATCCAAACATGATGTTCTCGCGAATACTGGCCTGCTGGAGCCAAGGATACTGCGACACATATGCGATGGTGCCAGGGATATAGCCAGTGTTAGGGTTTACAATCTTTGATGTCGCTCGAGGAAGATTCACCGACCCAGAAATCAAGTCCATCTCTCTTAATAGAGCCATAAGTAGCGAGGTCTTGCCAGATCCAGTGGCGCCACCTAAAAAGGGATACACAAGGTTAATATCCAAGCAGAAACTCACTTCTTCATCCATTAAACTAAAGAGGCGAAACGTAAATAGAGTACTCACAAACCAAGCTGAGCTTTCCCACCGGAAAGTTGAGAGTGATATCCTTCAATATGAATGCACCGGTGCTAGTGTTAAAGCCCGGTGCTGCAGGGATTCCTGGAACAGAAGCAGACGATTTGGTGTGCCATCTGAAAGTAGCATTCGTGAATCCGATAGCTCCTGTTGGTTGGAGTTGTTGCGGTGCAGCCATCGGGCTCTGGGGTAGGCATCCGGCAGTGACATTCTCCTGGCCGTTGGACGAATATCTCCAGATTTCGTCCTCGTTCAAGAATGCGTCGACTCTTCCGACGCTCACCAATGCCTGCAACAGATCTGTCACCATGCTTGGTAACATCGCAACTGGAGATCGCAAGACGAAGAAGATTGCCATCGACGTGAAAGCGACGGTGAAGTTGAGTTCCTTATTTTCCAGTTTAGTGTAGGAGGTGAAAGACATGACGATGACTAGAACAGGCGATCCGATCCAAAGGAGCATGAAAAGGGTGAAAATAATATACAGTCGAACGACGCGGCGAAGCTCTTGATCACGGACCTCTTTTTTTTTTTTTTTTTTTTTTTTTTTTAAGCGAAGAAAAGGTAATGAGAACATGTCAGTAACGATTCTGAAGCAAAGTATGATACAGAACAATGACGGATGCTTCGCCTACCCATGATCTTTTTCTGGATGTTGTTCTCCCAAGTGAAAAACTTGATCATACGGATGCCCTGCAAGAGCTCGCTCATCAGGCCAACACGGCGATCCCGGGTCTCCATCAACTGCTCCTGAATTTTAGCGTACTTTTTGGCGGCCCAGTGATGCACTGGGAAAGTCAGTACCATGACCCCCAATCCAACGAACGCGGAGAGTCCAAGGACATGGTAGAGCATAAACATTGCAATGGCGATCTCGAGCGGGCAGGTATATAGGAAAAATATGGACGATGCAAATATGCCGATCCGGTTGGCATCGACTGCCATCAAGTTCGTGATCATCCCTGTATCCGATCGAGCTCCCTTCTTAGACGTCTCCGTCACGATTCCTGTCATGTCCTTGCGCCTTAACGCCTTTGCATAGACTTCGGCGCTGAGCATGGTTCGGACACGCACGTCGACACGTCGCCCATAGTAAAGATTCTGTCCAAAGGTCAGACTCCGAATGATGTCGCTGATAAGCATGCCAAAGACATATACATAGGCAATCTCTCGCGGGCCATCCTGGTCACTGATATATGCAAGCAGTTTCTGAAGAAAGTATGGCATACCAAATGCCATGACCGAGGAGATGACTCCGAACACGAAGTTGACCCAAATATCACGTCTGTTGGTAATATATATCCTCCAGAGTAAGGACTCTTTGCTCTGCTCCTTGGGATATAATCTATGGTATATGAAGAGAGATTGATCTGATGATCAGAAATCAATGAACACAGACAGTGCGCAGGCAGAGGATAAACAAAAGACCGCCTACCTTGTGCGGGCAAAAACCTTGTACAGGGGCCTGGCACGCATCTGGTCCGTTAAACTGGGCAGGAGCTGAGGCTCCAGAGCGCGTTCGTAGCCATCCCACATAAGTCCGTTCATCCAGTCGTAGGTGATCCATCGGATAAATGAAGCATTGATCTCAGCCGAGACCTTGCGACCCTCAAAATAAACCTCCGGCCCCTGGTTGGTTGTGAAGACAACATATGCGAAAACAGTCGACAATGCGGCGTTGAATATAGCGAGCGCGAATTCGGTAGCAAGTCGTCGGTGCAGGTCTTTCAGGTCGTCGTCGTCCTCCGTATCGTCCTTGGAGGTGTAATATCTGAAACCTGTCCGTAACCGCAGCATTGAGTTCATGAATGTGAATGCTGCAAACACGATCAGCATCCTCCGTATCCTAGACGGGCGGATAATGTGTCGCGAGAAAGCAGCCAATATGCATAAGACGAACGTATAAGACTAGGCCACGATCGAACAAAAGACGGAGAGAAACGTGTCAACAGTGTCAACGTGGAGCACAATGCAAAGTTTAGCTAAGACTTTTTGCCTTGGTTCATCATCATCCTTAACCAATATCGGATAAAATAAAAAAATAAACAGGGCTCCAGCAAGCCAACTTACCCATGCAATTGACTGTGCGACAGGCATGACAAAGCGGTATGTTGGCAAATGATTGTGTCCAGGTAGTCCATGGCGCCCGCCCAAAAACCTCCAGCGGACCAGGACAAGGCCGAGGAAGGCCAGCGCCTGGATCAGTGCAACTAGTACGAGAATAATGTCACTGTTTGTGGGGTGGTTGACAAGCGACTCTGGGCGAACGTCAAGATCGGTGTGATCCTTTGGTTGCAGCAGCAACGCTGCGTCCTCTTTGACACCTGTTGCCAAGAAAAAGAAACAATTTTCGTCAGTCGTCCTGCGAGCAATTTGAGGTCCCTCCACAGCCCATTGGTCTTTGCCCATCCATAATCGGATCCCATGGTCCACAATACATACTCTCGTCTTCAAGGAGGGCCTTTGTTACTATCACATCATGTTGTAATGAGGGCACCAGATGTGCTCTGTTTGTGGCGACGCCTGCATTGTTGATATTGTTGCATTGGCGATAATTGCTGTTGGGTGTTGCACTATAGCCGTTCTGTCCAATGTGGTGATCCTGCGGATGGCTGAGTAAAGAAGTCGATGCGGAGGGAGTTGTGCCAGGAACACCTTTGCTAGCTCGAGTCCGGCATGATTTGGTACAGCGGCCAAGCAGAGGTCGTGCTCCGCATAATGTGAGGGTCAAGATAAGGAAGGATAAAGGAAGGGTCGTCTCAAAGACCACCTCTCGGAAGCACGGTGTGAAGTCCAGGTTGTCATCTGTGTATGGGCCCTAATGTACCATGGATAGGTCGAATGATTGTCAGCCTTGAACATCTTAGAACACTTTAAACGCCCTCTCCGCAGCGTGCAATTGAGTGAGTGCTATCCGGCAATAAAGTGTCATACCCAAGGTTCGTTGCCACACCAAGAACTCATTGATAAGATGGATTATAGTGCGAGACGAGGCGCAGGAGAGTCTGGTGGAGGCAGCAGTTGGCGATCAAATTGGTCTTGTTGAAGAGTAAATGTGGAAGAAGAGGGAGGGCGCCAGCGGTAAGGGTGATGATCAAGTGTGCTTGCTAGTATGGAGAGGGATCTCTGTTGTGTGGACAAGTATTGTTTGATGTGCAATGGCGAGATCCAAGGAGCGATAGGGAAGTGAGGCAAAGAGGGATGAATTTGTTGCTGAGGCGGGTGGTTGATGTTGATGATGTTGAATTCAGACAAAGCTGTGGAAAGAAAGAAAGAGAGTGGGATGTCGACAGTCTATGTGTTACTCTCCTTCTCCAAGGTGGACGCTTTGCCTTTGCTGCCGTCACTTTGGGTTCTTCGGTATGTATCTGATTCCCCACAGCATTCGTTTCTGGGATTCGCACCTGTATATTTGCATTCTCGATTGGTACCAGTCTTTATCGCTGTTCAACGAGTCCCTCCTCCCTAGTTTGTCCCCCAATGCTGCTGCATAACGCTTCAATTACTATTGCCAGAACACTTACTGTGCTGGTCTTCCAATGCCGGGATGGCTGCATTTTTTATTGCTTTTCTACCCAGACAGGTTACGTTTGCAAGCACCGGCGAGATTGCCCATCCATCCGCGCGGTGTATGTGAGTTGTGAACCAAAATAGGCCTTCAAACAATCTGACCGCAAACATGCCTTTTTATGGAATCAAAAAAACTATTTTTTATTTGGTCCGAGATAATTTCTACGCTGCCATTCCCCGATCTTTCTTTCGCACGCCTTCACTCCTTCATAACATAACCGGAATCCAACTCAACCCAAACCAAACGAAGACAAGGACCAGACTGACCCAAAACCGAACCAAACCAAACGCGGCACGGAAACCTTCGCTCGTGCTCAGGTACCGAATCCTTACCAAACATGTCCCACCATCGCCGACCGTTTTTGGTCCCTTGCTCGGACTTCCGTGCTTGCAGGCTCTTTATCATTCGCCAACGCACTCAAGATGAGCACAAGGTTGCAATTGACCATCGATCCAAACGAAGTAACGAAGATGTTCAACAATGCCGTTGTATCGTGAGAAAATAAAAACGTGGACAACGTCCAGGACAGCATTCGAAAGCAAACCCCACGGCGGTAATAGCGGGTAACGATGACGGTGAATGTGATTGCCATCGTCATTGTTATGGAAGCAAAGTACTGCAGGATATCGCTCATTTGCATTCAAAGTCGAGCATTTGCAGCGATGGATAGAAGGGGTAGAAATGTGGTTAAGAGAACAAGTATTCCACCTGCAGATTTGCGATATCTGATCGATAAAGGGTTGATCTTGCTTCCTGCTTCCTCGCTTCCTTGCTTCCTCGCTTCCTTGCTTGCTTAAATCTCGGAAATCCGCACCATTTGAGGATCGGTTGGATAGTTGGGCGTAGCGCTGGGGCGGGAAGCACTTCTTTATTTCCATGTTCGCATGAAATGCTCACACATACATTATTATGAGATGACATGCATTTTGAGAATGGAAACCTTTTTCTTTCCCAAGAGGGATGGTGGGAATACAAAGTTCCCATCACGACTGGACCAACCAGCTTGCACTATCCACTCCAGATCGCGACGGTGCAAACCTTCGCTTGTTCCTGGCCACCTCCATTCGCTGAGTATTGTTCATTCCCCGCTAAGCCAATGTAGTCCACACAGCTGTATCAGCGCCTAGCTGCGACTACATATAGCGATGCTACTATGCTTTGTTGCCAGAATATTCTTTCGACATATACTCATTCCGTGAAACTGAATGCATCCGGCAGACGTATATCCTTTTTATTCATTTTTTTTTCTTGCTCCGAGTCTTATTGAACATTGGCGGGTTGCAAATTCAGAAAAAAAACTCCCAACGGGCGAAGTGATCGTTGTCATTATGGTGTTGCCAGCAAGTGAATTAGTGACTAAAGACGCTATCCAGGTATTCCTGATAGTTATAGCCGTCTGCAGAATCATGGCGCGGCATCGTTGACTGGAGGTAGCCCACAACAGCTGGAGGCATCATCGACTGCTTCAGATCCAGCTCGGTAACATATGGCTTGTCTGCGGCCACAATGCGGAATGACTCGCGCACTTGATCGGCAGATGTGCGATCCTCAGTGACTCCAACCATAAAGTTGATAAACTGCCATTTTGAGTCGTAAAAAAAAAAAAGCAATCCGCGTCAGCGATACTAAGGGGTCTCCCATACGATCATCTCCATTCACTTGCTTTGTTATTACCTGCTCGAAGGAAACTTCTGTTCCACCCTGGGCACATTTGGCAAACACGCCTGCAAAATCTTCGTCCTCGTACATGATACCCAAACTGGCCAGCGCTGCATTGAAATCGGATGACGATAGCGAGTTCATCTGGTTGTTGTCAAAGTGGCGGAAGGTACTCTCGAACTCCTCCAGCTGGCCGGGCGTGAGATTCGTCATGTTACGGGACACAATCTGCCACAAAGAGAAATACAGAGAAAAAGAAATGTCAACTACAGCAGGGCAAAGAGCGCGACGCATATCAACCACATCTCAATTAGAAGCATACCTGATTGGAAATAAACGCTGATTTCTTTTGCGTGGCCTGCTCCAATAGACCGAAATCGAACGATAGATCGTCTGCAGAGTAGATGGTGTAGTCGTTCTCCTCAATGTTGGCTTCGACACACTGATCATCCAGGGCCTGAATTCGCTCAAGCGTATCCGCCAAGGGTCCCAGTCGCGCGTTCAATTGACGCACATGGGTCAATTGACGCTTCATATTCACAAATAAGAATCAGATCCATTTGTTAATGCCACGATAAATATCAGCATGGTCCCTTCGGCGGCCATGCAGCTAACAACTGATCAGTTCGACTTACATCCAAATCGCCATCCAATAAAGTGAGCTCGTGCGAAATTGCATTCACCTTGGCTTGGAAGTCGTTCGCCTGCTTGGCAAAATCCTGTCTAAGCTTTTCCTTGATGCTGATTGGCAAAGTGGTGGAGATTAACATGCTGCAATCACATATTCTGAGATTCATAATAAATACCTCGAGTCTACTTACTCCCTGATCTTTGCGTTAATCAGTCGGTATCTCTTCTCCTCCGCAGCCAAGAGGCCTGTCCAGAAGTGATCCAGATCCTGTGAATGCGCATGCAACAATGTCAATAGGCGCCAAAGGATAATGAAAACACACAAAAGAACCTGTGATCACAAACGACTGAACATACCTCGAGTGTCAAGCCGCGGGGAGGATGATATGGCAGGAGGTCATAGGTCTTCAGCTTCGTCTGGATATTGCCTAGCAAAGTGTCAATATCGCGTTTTTCGGCCACCCAAGTACGCTTCAGAGATGTCTTGTAATTAACGAATTCGATCGACTGCCTTTTGGCATCAGCGTAGTCGCCTCGGAACGTTGAAGACTCCCACTCTGCCATCTTGTTATCAATAGCTTGCAGCAACTATGGCATAACAATAGTATCGCATCATCAGTGCCTCTGTGCTCTAAGTTGAGCCTAATCATCCCATATCAATTATTGGAAAACACATACCGCCTTCACGCGCCTCTCGTAGTCATTCTCCATCGACCAGACCGACTCCATGACCTCGGCAAACTTGGCGATTCGGCGGCCAGCTGTGTCAACCTTGCCCAGCTCAGAGAATGCATGGAAATACTGAGCAACGTAGGTCATGATGGAGCGCTCATCAGGCTTGGTGATATCGCACACATCCTCGACATCCAGTAGCTTAGGAATGTTCAGATGTTCAGAGGCGACATCAAATGCCAGTTGAGTATTGCGATGCCTATCTGTCTTGTCCAGAGAATCAAAGTCCAGCAGATCGGGGCGGTGGCGATGAATCAGCGCGCAGCTATGGTTACAATCAGCATGCATGATACAATCAGTAGCGACATCTTCCAGGCAGGAGCCGCTCACTCTGTTGACGGATGAAAATACCTACAATGCCAAGCCGTCAGCCCAACTATAAGTGAAATCCCGCACATTGACTTCATGGTACGGCGCAGTCTTACGCTGACACCACAGCAACAGACCCTCCTTGGCACTAAGACCCTCTTCACTATTGTCCAATGTAAAGGGATAAAGTTGACATAAGCGGAAGCACTTGCAAGGCCTATACAACCTGATTCTTCAGTCATCTCTTGATCTTACTTGATGTCGGCAATAGTGAATCTGAGAATAAGAGTCCAGATCATTCCGAGAATCAACTTCAAGTTTTCATCGACAATATCTAAAAAAAAAAAAAAAAAAAAAAAAAACATATTTTATAGAATGAGCTGGTTAGACGCTGTGGGTCACGATACTCATGAATAGTAGTGCGATCTGATTACCGCGGGCTGCAACATACCTTCAGCTCCAATGTTGGTCAAATTGACTCCGCGCGAGCGAATGAATTCGAGACATTTGTTGACATTCTCGACTTTTTGGATGCGCATCCTGGAGACTTTGTTGTACCGGCCCAGACTGGTATCACCGATAATTTCCTAGTTTCATATTGTGTGCATATCAATAAATCCAGTTCATATTCAAAGTCTTCATATGCACACGACCAGCTGGCATCTTACCAAAAGCTGAATCAGAGGCACACCATCGGACATTTGCGAGAGATTAGCGATTTCTGGATGGCCGCCCACGCTAAGCTTTGTGTTCACCCTGTGCGTAATAGTGTCGCAAATGATTAGCGCACAGTCAATCGAGAGGAAACAGTAGTTACCAGCTATGGGACATTGCCCCTCTTATCTTTCTCATGAGGGAAAGGTCGGTTGGTTTACCATTTTGTGAAAGCTTAGACAGGCCGGTCAGGAACAAGCGGATAGCGGAGTGGCGAATTAGTGTTAATGCCTTATGTGGGCTGTATTTTCTGCGTGACATCACGAGCTGTGGTCAATAAGCGTCACTCCACACCCGTTGACACGGAACAATGACCTACTCTTTTGCTGAACGGTCTCCCATGCCTTGTCCATGACTTTAGCTATAGTGCAAAAGAGTTCAATTGTAAGAAAATAAAGGGTTATGATCGTGCTCTTCAGACGTTGTTTTCAGGAACATAATCAAACAAGACGTATCCGCTCCGCAGGGACATGGTGTCGTAGACATGTATTAGGCTATTACAAGGCTTTGAATACACCCCGATATGGTTCAACGATTAGGACTTGTTGCTAATGGTTCCTTTACCTGTGTCTTCGACAACCTGATTGGCGGCGCTGGGCGCATGAAAACCATTGCCTGAGTTTGGTCCTGACATCGCGTTAGAATATGCTTTAATGCTGGGCAGAGGGAATGAATGAGGCTGAGAGGAAAAGGTAGAGGTATGTATACACGGCCTGGAGAGTGGAGATAGAGGTGAGGTAGGTTGAGATGAATAAAAAAAAAAGATTGTTAGAAAGAGTGTGTAGTGCGCGCTCTTCTTCACGGACTCCCTTTTGGTCTACAAGCGCCTTGCAGCAATCAACTAAAGAGGGTATATGAGGGCAACCAATTATAGAAAGATGTGGCTTTGTATCTCCAGGGAAGGGTTGAGCAGTCCCTTTTTGTTTTCGAGTTCAAAAGTCGCCGGTGTCCGACATTCCCTCTCTCCTCCCACCACCACCTCTCCACGCCCATCGCCATGTTCTCGCTCCGTGCTGCTCAAAGACTCGGCTCCAAGGTTGCCACCCCATGCTCCCAGCGCTGCCTCTCGACCCTTGGTCGTAGCAGTAAGTGACATCCTCCGTCTTCCTCAGACTCGGAAATTACAAAGGACAACACCCACACTGGCACACGCCTCAACAGGCTTTTCTTCACAAATCTCGGCGCTTCTACTTTCTTTCAGGGCCTCATTCAACTTAACCAACTTCAGCTCATGCCTTCTTCGGAACAGCTATGCAATAAGATCAACTTGTCCCTTTACCCTCCTATTCCTCTGACAGCTGAACGAGTTGCTTCTTTCCCAGTAGTGATCGTGGCATCGCAGAAAAACTAATATTGATCTCGCCCTGAAATCACTTCTGCTAGTGCTCGCCACCAACCCTGCCGCGGTTGCCCACAAGGTCGCAGTAAGTCTTTAAAAGCTTTGTGTTATCATGATATCTTTATAAGGGGCATTTTGATCTACTCAAAATGTATACTTATATCACTGTGCTTTTGTAAATTCAGACGTCCTTGGTCCAGTCGTCGACCGTTCGCTCGGCTATTGCTATCCCTCGTATGGCTGCCCGTCGTACCATGGCCACCGACAACAAGTTCAATCGCGCAAAGCCTCACGTCAACATCGGAACCATTGGTCATGTCGATCACGGAAAGACCACTTTGACTGCCGCCATCACCAAGACTCTTGCTGGCAAGGGTCATGCGAAGTTCAAGGACTACAACGAGATCGACAAGGCACCTGAGGAGAAGGCTAGAGGCATCACCATCTCGACGGCTCACGTCGAGTATGAGACCGACAATCGCCATTATGCCCACGTTGACTGCCCTGGACACGCCGATTACATCAAGAACATGATCACGGGTGCTGCTCAGATGGATGGTGCTATCATTGTCGTTGCTGCTACCGACGGTCAGATGCCCCAGACCCGTGAGCACTTGTTGCTTGCCAAGCAGGTCGGCATCCAGAAATTGGTCGTCTTTATCAACAAGGTCGATGCTATCGATGATCCCGAGATGTTGGAGCTCGTCGAGATGGAGATGCGCGATGTTCTTTCCACCTACGGATTTGATGGCGAGAACACCCCCATCATCGCGGGATCTGCCCTCTGTGCTTTGGAGCAACGCAACAAGGAGATTGGCGAAGATGCCATCATGAAGTTGATGGACGCTGTAGACACTCACATTGACACCCCCATCCGTGACTTTGAGAAGCCTTTCCTGATGCCTGTGGAGGGTAAGTTGATACATTTTTTTTTTTGTGTTATATACTCCGTCTTTGCAGGTCGGGAGTTCTAACGTTTTATTGGTCATAACTGATTGCGACTTGTAGATGTCTTCTCTATTTCTGGACGTGGTACCGTCGCCACCGGTCGTGTCGAGCGTGGTACCATTACCAAGGGTGCTGAGATCGAGATTGTCGGTATGGGAGCCAGCTTCAAGACTATCTTGACCGGCATCGAGATGTTCCACAAGGAGGTAAGCCTATTGTTGTACAAAGAAGATCTATATTCCAGACAAACAACGACTGACATGCATTCAATTTTTTATCTTGACATTAGCTCGACCGTGGTCAGGCTGGTGACAATATGGGTGCACTTCTCCGTGGTGTCAAGCGTGAGCAGCTCCGTCGTGGTATGGTCCTGGCACAGCCCGGCACTGTCAAGGCCTACAAGAAGTTTGCTGCGTCGCTGTACATTTTGACCAAGGACGAGGGTGGACGTCACACCGGATTCTTGAACAACTACCGCCCCCAGATGTTTGTCCGCACCAGCGATGTTACCGTTACATTGACGCACCCTCCTACTGAGGAGGATCCCGAGAAGATGGTCCTGCCCGGCGACAATGTCACGATGCAGTGCGAGCTCGTCAACGGCGTTCCATTGGAGAAGGGTCAGCGCTTCACCATCCGTGAGGGCGGCCGCACTGTCGGAACCGGTGTTGTGTCCGAGTTAGTGGAGTAAAGGGCTCGCTCTTTCTTTTCTTTCTTCTTTCATTGCTGGATTATGTGTGCTGAACGGGAAGAGGATAGACCATTGCATTCGCTTCCCCTTTAGAGATCTATCTGTAGAATAAATTATTTGTTGTTTTTTTAGGCATTATAATATACTGGATGCTTGTGAGTAAATGGATTTTGTGGTTAGGCTACAGTGTAGAAAATGACTCGTGCCACAAAGGACCTATCCAGAAATGCGATCCCAAACACCACACACACACAAAAAAGGAGGTGCTCTCGCACCAAGGGAAAAAAAAAAAAAAATGGCACCTGTAGAAGAAACACGCCTGGCGCCCGCTTCGGGGCAGAAAGGAGGACGATGCTATCGATTTCGTCATGGTCCGCGAAAAATGGCGAACGCGAAGACGAAGGCGCCCATGGGGACGTGTCAAATGACGGTTCCCATCTTGCGGGACGTGTGCGGCGTTTTTCCATGTGCTTGTGGGTCCAATTAGTATGCAATACCGCCTCGTTCCTGAGAAATAGGCTTTTGGTTTTTCACACCTTTATTCCTCCATTCCACCCACCGATCTTCATCCTCTCCCTCAGTCATCTCCTTCTCTCTCTTCCTGTCCTTCCTTCGGCAGGGCACCCTGGCAAGCTGGGCTGCTTTTCTTGATCGATCTTCTCTTTCTGTCCCTGTCTCTCTCGCTCATCATCCAACATCGTTTGCCCGAACACATCCTCTCTTCTGCAACATGGCTGCTCGGCCAATATCCTACAACGGCCAGCCCCCTGGCGCTCCTCCTCCTCGTCCAGGCATGATGTACCCTCCACAGTCCCAGCAGCAACTGCTCTACCGTCCACAACAACAGCAGCAGCAGCCGGTCCACCTCCAGCATCATCAGCCCAGGCCTATCCAGCTACAGCAGCAATACATCCCCATGCAGCCACAGAGGCCAGTATACTCAACTCCTCAGCAGCAGTATATCCCTCAGCATATGCAGTTCCAACAGCAGCACCCCGTGGCCTCTCCTCGGCCCCAGTTTGTTCAACGGCAGCCGTTGATGGTCGCGCCCTCACTACCATCCATGCCTCTCCCACAGTCACAGCCGACAACTCAAGCAAGACCTCCACCCTCCTATAATTCTAATATAACTACTTCTTCGGCATTGCCTCCTGGAGCGTCTGTGGCAGGAGGGCAGTACGTCCTCCGGACGCCTTCCTTGGGAGCAGCACCCAGCGTCAGTCTGGCCAATGGTGTTCGACCAGTCATGGTTCACCCCCCAGGCGTGTTCACAGCAGGACCCCCAACCGTGATCTCATCCCCAGGACTGACAAGGATGCCCGTAGCCATCGCGGGGCCAATGCGACCTATCTTTATCGGTACGTTTCATGGAAAGGGACTCTGATCCAATTAATTGGTCTCCAAATGGTCCCTGTACCGTTTGTCCGTATGTTGAGTGCATCCCTTTTGAGGATTATCCTGCAACTGGCCGCGCTTTTATGATGCCTAGCCCATGCGGTGTTATTTTGAAATATTGCAGTTATCTTAGCCTGGGGGACAATCGATTCCCCACATGAAGAATCCAGTTCGGTATGTCTGACAGTTTCTTGACACTCATAGCTGCTGGTCCTCCAAGCATCATCAAAAATCCTTCGAGGACAAAGGCACTTCTGGAGCGAACTGTACCTGTTATCAATGTATGAACCAGGCTATGATCTTTTTGTTTGTGATTGTACTGTATCACCAGAAAACTGGCGCGCACCAGGAAGCAAATATCGGCATCTAATCCTTCATCCTGATTTTCTAATTCACGGCCTTTGCGCATGCTCAGATTAAGCAAAAGTCCAACACGCTGCTATCCAACTTCTGGGGCGATGACATTGACGTGACAAAGGATGGACGTGTGGTCGACAAATCTCTCCAGGACCCATCTAAATCACCCAATGGCAGTGAAAAGAAGCAGCGGTCACCACGACAGACGGGTATTGTAGTCGGTATCGATTTCGGAAACACATACACCGGCGTTTCATATGCACACCAAGGCGATGGCGAGATGATCGATGTTGTCAAATGGTAAGAGATATTTTATCTGGAATGGTAGAGCATCTCGCTTTTTTTCTTTCTTTCTTTTTTTTTTATCGCAGAAAAAACTGATTTTTGACTGGGTATTCCGATTTGAATACATTTAGGCCCAGACATTTGAACGCCTATGCAAAGGTGCCTACCGTCAGTTTGTACAAGACGAACGAGAACAAAGCGTTTGTGGACTGGGGATCCTCTGCATTAGCTACCTATAAGCGATCCAAGACGGATCGCGTTCTGATCAGGGACTACAAGCTGCTTCTATTTGATCAGGGCGCGAGAGGTCGACTCGACAATGGACTCCATCTCACAGATGTGTTTACACAATACTTGCAGAGCATCCATCGACATCTCATGGAGGAGGTCAACAAGAGTCAGGTCCTTGCTGCTGAATCAGTACCGATTCATTATTGCATCACAGTACCTCAATCCTGGACGCTGCCCACGCGAGAGCTGATACTAAGATGCTATGTAGAGGCCGGCATTATCCTGCAAACACCAGCACCGAACATGACCGTAATCACAGAGGCGGAGGCGGCGGCAACTTACTGTCGGGAAAAGTGCGAGGAGTTTGAATCGCTCAAGGATAGCGACATATTTATGATCTGCGACGCCGGAGGATTAACAACGACGGTGACAGTGTTCAGGGTGGATGATGCATTGGGCGTCCGGCAGTTTGTCAGGATGTCGAGCTCACATGCAGAAAATTGTGGCTCGGTAATGTTGGATCGCAGATTTAGAGAATTGATCTTGTCGAAGCTGCAGGGTCTGGATATCGACGGCAAACCGACGCGACAAAAGGCATTTGAGACCCTACTCGAGGGATTCAGGGAGATCAAGTCGCAGTTCGATGGCAATTCGAGGGAGGAGATCAAACATATATCGGTGCCGATGGGTCTAGATGTTAAAGACCTGGACCCACCGCCGGCTTGGATGGAGGACGAGTATATGGCACTTAAGGGACAGGAACTGTGCGATCTTGTGTTTGACCCTGTTGTGGAGATGGTCCAGGAACTTGTTAACGCGCAGTCGAAGGTGCACCCAGTTTGTGCGGGCTTGTTCATGGTGGGTGGGTTCGGTGCCAACAAGTACCTACTGCACAGACTTGAGCAGGCAGCAGCGGCGATGAACAGGGATACTGGTAGCAATCGATCATCGTTCTTGAACGGGCTTTCTGAATCGATGCCTGAACTGAGGCTGAACGGGTCCTCTTGTCCAGGGGTAATCAAGAAGGTCATTATGGTCCAGAAGGCGGAGCTGGCGGTGGCTCGCGGCGCTGTGATTTATGGGCTCAAGAGCGCTTCACAGTACACCAAAGCTTTTCTTTAATCATACACCAATGCAATAAAGAATCATAAAATGAAAAAGGAGGGGGGACGTTTGTGGTACATGAGGATCCAAGATAGTGTGTTTATCCAAATGCACAGATCAACATAATGCGACTAGCACTGGACGGCCTAACATAGGGTTTACTAGCGAAACCAAACGCGTGTGGAACGTTGTGAGCAGACGCGCAGGGACCATCTGGGCTAGGGTAAACAAGAGTTTACAGAAAACAAAGGAGGAATCCGCCCCTTGGTTGGAACTTGGAGAATGAATGAGATGGTCACTTTCCCCTCACTCTCACCCCTCTTTTTTTTTCTTTGTCCGAATACTTGAGAGTAATGGCAATATGTCGACCTCTTTTTGTATCTCGAGCAGCCCGTTGTCAATTCCTCCTTTACCTCACTACAATAACACCACCTATAGCTGAACAATGAGGCGATCAGGAGTATCGATATGGACCCATCTGACCCTCTTGCTTGTATCGGCTGTGATCAACGTCCCGCCACGGCTCATGCTCAAGGGCAGCACCATCGTGTCCGTCTGCGCTATCGACGCCCATGCAGCAGCACCAGAAGCACCAGTAGCCGTAGCACCGGGCCAAAATTCCAGTATATCAAACAGCAGTACTTGCAAGGAAGAAAAATACGAATCAAATCCAATGTGTCCAGTACATCTCTCGTTGCTTCAGACCAACGTCATTACAATAGACCTCCTCCGCTCTATGGAGCCTAACAACACAAAAACACAATCTGAACTTCGGACAGAAAACGGTCCACAGGAAAGTTTCGCTTCAGAATCCCCTCAGAGACCAAACCAGGAGTCTCCTCGGAGGCTCATGTTGGCCCAAACGTATTATGCACGTCTGTCGGCCGAGCCAGGTACAGAAAAGGCCCGGGCGCAGCACATTGCTGTAGCGGCGGCGTTGAAGTCCTTGCCAGGACATGTCTTAATCCGGCATGAATTTGGTACGGATGAGGACGATGTCCTGAATGTGATCTCGTTCAAATTTGAGGGCGATACGGATGGTTTAGAACAAATCGCGGCTCTGGAAGGCGTCATTGGCATCTATCCTGTGGTAATAGGATGCAGTCTTCCCTATAGCAACATCGTAGTCATGATATGTCGATGATTTTTCTCTCACCTTTTTTCTTTTTGTCCATGTATGTTAGCGGACGCGAAAGAGACCCAAGACACTGCCATTGGGTGCGCTGAAGCGGACAAGGCCCAGTTTGCAATCGGCTCACGTTTTGACAGGAATCGCTAAGGTCCATCAGAAGCTAGGCCTGACTGGCAAGGGTATCAGGGTCGGCATCATTGGTAATGTTGGTTGTGTTATTTTTTTATCAACTACAGAACGCCCCATCATATCCTCGATAGCTAACCCCCTCCTTACCTTCTTGATCGACGTCAATTCAGATACTGGAATCGATTACAGGCACCCAGCGCTCGGCGGATGCTTCGGTCCAGGTTGTAAAGTCGCGTACGGGTACGATTTCGTCGGCGACGACTACGACAACGCCAACCCAGAGAAAGATACGCCTAAACCAGATCCCGATCCCATGGACTGTGCGGGACATGGCACCCATGTGGCCGGGATCGTTGCTGCCCGCAACGAGGGCCCAAACGCGATGGGTACACAAGTTTTTGTAGGCGTTGCACCAGACGGTAAGGATATATCTCTTTATTTTCGCGTTCAAGTATACAAATAGCCGTGCTGACATGCATTGATTGCTTTACTAGTGACTCTCGGAGCGTATCGGGTGTTCGGATGCAACGGCGAAGTCAGCGACGATGTTCTGCTGGCAGCGCTCAAGAGGGCTTACAGAGATGGCATGGACGTCGTCAACCTTTCGCTCGGCGGGTCGTCCGGATGGCCCGAGGAGCCCTTCGCGATAGCTTGCAGCGGATACATCACCAAGGGTCTTCATATTGCAGTGGCGAACGGTAATGATGGTGAGCAGGGACTCTTTGAAGATGGGGCTCCTGCAACAGCGGTTGGTGCTGTGGCGGTAGGAAGCGTCGACAACACACACTATTTGGGCACAGCCGTTGAGCTGGCGTGGCGAGCGCTTGATCGACGTAGCCATGTAGCGGGGCCTGCAGCAGGACAGAGAGATGTGGGTAGGGTCGGGTTGGTGATGGCGAGCGATGCGTCAGATATCCCGATGGCGTCGTTCAAAACCAATATTTCTTACGTGATCCATGTTCCCGCCAAGGATCCACTGGGGTGCGTCGCCTACAACGGTGCGACGCTAGAAAAGAGCCTCCAGGTGCCTCACTCTAGCATTGTGGTACTCATCCACCGTGGCGGATGCACATTCAGTGACAAGGCTAAATACGTCGCCAAGGCAAATCTTGGCGGTATGCTCGTCTACGATACCATTCCGGAGCAAAGACCGTTAGGCATGACCATCACTGGATTCAATATCTCGGCCGGTGGACTGTCCTTTGAGGATGCAACCGTGATTTTGGACGCTATCGAAGCGAGGGAAGGCAAGAGTAATTCGCAGAAGCTGGTGGCTCAGTTCTCGCGCGAGGACAAAGTGCTTAAACTGGCCAGTGGAGGCAAGGTCTCGGATTTCTCGTCCTGGGGACCTGATGCTCGGCTCAAATACAAGCCGGATATCGTGACACCAGGAGGCATGATCTACTCCACCTTTCCACTCGCCAAGGGTGGGTTTGCGACCTTGCAGGGCACATCGATGGCATCGCCCTACATGGCCGGTATCCAGGCCTTATTCCTCTCCAAGCATGGCAAGACCGATGCGACAAAATTGCTGAACATTCTGCAGTCCACGGCGACCCCCACCGTCATGCCGGGCTCGGCCACCGGTCTGACGCCAGTGTTCCAGCAAGGTGCAGGCCTTGTGTCGATGTATGGTCTCTTCTTGGATGACGAGCCTCCCACGGTCCTGTCGCCTACCGCTCTGTACTTGAACGACACCCAGTTTCAAAGACTGGATCACAGCATCACCTTTTACAATCCCTCGAACACAAATACGCGCTCCTGGACTATGGTGCACCGCCCAGCTCTCTCTGTGAACGGGTTCGATCAAAGCGGCAAGCATTTTTATACACTTGTGAATCAGTCCCGTCTGCGGACTTCAGAGGCGGGTGTTGAGACTGTAACCATGACACCGATGCAGCTGCGACTCACACCTAGGGCTTCAGGAACGATCCGAATCCATATCGATCCACCGAGAGACACCCTAGATATTGAGCAGCGGTGGCTCTACAGCGGCTTTCTCGAATTCCAGTGTCATACCGACACCGGTATTGAATGTGGATCTAGCTTTGTGTCATATGGAGGTATGCACGGTCGTTTAGCAGATATCCCGATCCTGAATCCGGAGCTTTCGTATCCGGCCCTGTCTTTGGATCGATATGTCAATGTAAGCGGCGCCAAGACTCGAGCCAAGCCCTACGAATCTTTAAATGATTCAGAAAAGATGCGCGACAAAGACCAAGGTAAAGGTAACGGTAAAGGGGGTAATCCTCACAAGAACCTCTACCGCGATCGATCCGAGCGTGTGGTGGTAGGCAAGGACAACGAAGACTGGGTCCAGATCTTGGTCTCTGTAAACTACCCAACAAGTCTGCTCACGATCGAAGCCGAATCTGTTTGCGACAGCGACCGTGGGGCTGGAGGTGGCAACGGTCGGATCCAGGTCAAGACCGAGCAAAAACGCGAGGAGGCAGAACAAGCGGTGGCGCAAATCAAACGACTGGAGAAACAAGGCGAAGAACAGGACATCCTGGATCAAGAACGATCCGTACTTGTCAAGAAAAGGTTGGCGCGGTCGGAGGAACTGGCGTTCATGCCTTCTGGATTATACATGCCCTATAAAGGCTACTCGCGCGTGATGCTGCAGCCTTCGGCTATCGAGGAGACCATACGGCTGCACCGACTGAACAAGAAGAACCCCAAGGACGGGGAGTCTAAATCTGTCAGTGATCGCAAGAAAACGGGTCGTAGGAAGGGGAGAGGGCGCCATGGCAGTAGGAATAACAAGGTTCCAAAACTCCATCATCGTGGTGGACAAAGAAAAGGGAGCAAGGATGAAAAGAAACTTGAGCCCGTCAAGGAGCCAAAGTCTGGACACCGAATGCCGTGTGTGCCCCGGATTCTAGGCTTGATCCCCAACGGCTTCAACTCCTGGAATATGCGCTCTGACTCCGCAGACGGTAATGGCTTCCAGGCGTTTGCGTGGATGGGCGATTTGCTGCTTCAGAACCACGAGGCTGTGGACGTGAGGAAACATAACGATGGAGACGAACTGGCTGTAGTAGACGGATCAGAAGATCTTACAGAGAAAGCTCAAGGTGGGCATAAGCATAGGACAAAGTCAGATTCTGCTAAAGACATGAAGATAGGCCAGATGGAGCCGACACGGAACTTACCTGACGGTCGCTATCGCCTGGTACTGAAGGCCCTGAAGCCTTGGGGAGTCCCTGGGCGTGCCAGCGATGTGGAGCGGTGGTCCAGTCCGGTTATCGTGATCAGGCGGAACAGGTAGCGCTCATTGCAGGCATTTGTATACCCCAAGTCAATGCCAATGAACAACTCCAATACAGTTTAAATGGATGAAAATGGAACAATGCTTTGGTGGTTTTTATTATTAAGGATGGTAATGATCCCTATCTTCACCTGTACTTATTCTGGTTACGACCTCCTCGTCGCTTGGGAACCTCTGGCAGCTCCTTCAGCAACGATGTGTCGATCTTGACAACCTTACGCACAGGTGCGACCGGTTCTTCGCTGTCGCTATCAGAGTCGCCTTCGCCTTTGTCATTATGGTCAACCTTCAGTGTCGTAATCTTGGGTGCGTCTAGCTTAACCTCGGGCTTCGCAATCTCTGCCTCCTCAACCTTCTTCGCCTCAGTCTTCTTTTCTTCTGTCTTTTTCACCTCCTTCTTCTGGGCGGCTTTCTTTCCTGCCGGCTGCTTCTTTTTCTCGACGCTCTTCTCCTCGACACTCTTCTCCACTGGTATTTCCCCAGTCACCACTGGTCCATCTACTGGTGCATTAGTACCGCTTCCCGACCCTGTGGCTGCTGCTACTGCTGTTACTGCCTCCTTTACTGCCTCCTTTACTGCGACTGAAGACTGCGCACGAATGGCTTTCCTTGCCCACTTGCCCAACTTCTTGGGCTCTCCTTCTGTTGCGGGCTGCGATTCTTCCTCAGCAGGCGCTGGCACTGCGGCATCCTCCTTCTTCTTGTCCTTCTTTGGCTGTTGACCCTTCTTCTCGTTCTGCTTTGGCTGCTGTTCCTTCTTTGACTGCTGTTCCTTCTTTGGCTGCTGCTCTTTCTTTGCCTGCTGTTGTGGCTTCTCCTTCTTGGATTGCTGTGCTACTTCCGTTCCACCTTTCTTCTTTTTATCGCTGTTGTTGTTATTGACTCCTTCCTTGGTCTTCACAGCCTCCGCCGCTGGGACAACCTTGGGTACCGTCTCAAAGAACATCTCCTCTTCCTCCACAGCTTCAATCTGCGCTGGCCTATTCGCATCCCTCTCCGCCGTCGCCTTTGCACGTCTTGCCGAGGGATCCGTTCCATCATCATCGTCCGTCCTGACTCTCTTCTTGGCGTTCATGATTTTTTGAGTCGTCAACTTGACGGACTCCTCCGTCGACATAGTGTCCTTGCTGATGATCTTGGCCTTGACCTGCTCACGCGCCTCCTTCACAAACTGCTGGATTTCGCCCGTCTCGATTCCTTCCCGGATCCTCTCACGGATCTCTGCACGGGCCTTGGAGACAACCGGGTCATCCACGTTCTCATTCGGGTAGAGAGAAATGTATTTTTGGGTCTTTGGATAATGTTGAATGTAGGCAAGGTCAAGCTTGAGCGATTCAAGCTCCTTCCGCTCGCTCTCGTTCGATTCCCAGTTCGGGTGCTGGCGTATAAATACTTTAATCCTGCGGTCGGCCTTCTTGGACTCTATATTTTCGTTGCCATACACGAATATGCAATTAGAGAACTTATTCCATCTGAATCCATCTCCATTGCTGCAGCAAACTGTCATAAAGATACGAGAAAAAAAAAAAAAAAAAAAGCTTGTACTGTTTTATCCACTTACCAAAAAACTTGACCATGCGATACTTCGTCGCCATCTTTTGCTCTGTCTGGTCGACCTGCTTCTCTGCGACCTGCAGCTTCAATGCCTCGATACGTCTCTCATGCTCTTGACGGATATCCGCAGGCATTTTTGGATTCTTGCTCAACAGTCTCAGGGTATCCCGGAGCTTCTTCTTCAACGCCGCTGCTCCCTCAGGGACCTCGTCCGCGCTCAGTTGCTTAGGCTTGGCCTGGTACGACTTCTTTTGAAATACCCCTGGTGCAGCGCGGTTGTAGGGCTTTTTCCCTCGCAGCTCCTTCTCGGGGTTCACGACCTTTTTTGTTGCAGGCATCGTCTTTGAAGTAAAGTGGGATGGAGTGAATGAAGGAGGCGAAGGGGTGAATGAAAGTGCTGTCAAAACTGTCAAAGTACGTGAACCAGCGATGGCTGCGAGCAAGTGCACCTCACGAAGAAAAAAAAAAAAGAGTGTCTAGCATCATAACAATAAAAGCCACTGAGCAGTCCTTTCAGAGCACAGCACATTTTATTTTTCAAGAATACGCCCAATTACAGCGCGTCTCTCTAATTCTCTAATAATCGCCTTGGATGCGATACAGTCTACGGTGAACCGCAAAGTGCAGTCTGCACTGCTCGGGCGTACGACCATCCATTCCCTTGGCCACCTCCTTCCAGTTAACCCTCCGTTTGCCTTTAAACCTCGGCGCAAGGTCGACGAACCCATTACTACTGCCGCCTGTCTCTTCTCCCTCTTTATCCTTCTCAGCTCTGGCTTCAGCAACACGCGCACGCTCTTCTTCCTCCTTACGACTCATGATCGTCTGGACACGCTCCATCAGTAGATCCAGTTCCTTGCCAGACCACCGACCTCTCTTGACGCTCGGATCCAGTTTTTCTCGCCATTCGTTCCTGCATTGATCTGGCGTCTTTCCGACCACGAACTCAGAGATCATCGTCCACTTCTTGGTTCCGAACCGGCCCACTGCGCTCCTTAGCCGCTCTCTGTCCTGTTCTGTCCAGGGCTCGTCCAGCTTTTGGACATAATGTGTCTGACTGTAGTTCCAGTTTTGTCGGCATTGCCTTGCTGTCCTGCCAGGAACTTGGCTTGCGATCAAGCCCCAATCGACATTCTCGCCAAATGTCTCGATCGCTGTCTCGAGCAGACTCCTCTCCTGCTCCGTAAATCGACCAGTCTTCTTAGTCTGGCTCCGCCAATAACGCTCATGTAGCATCTGAATTGTTCGATGTGGTAAGAGAGCATCCCGAATTGTTGCCCAATTCTGTCCATGCTCCTGAACTCCTTTATTCAGCATCTCCAGCTCCTTGTCCGTCCATAATCGAGACTGCGATCCCAATGGTTCAGTTGCATACATTTCTTTGATTGACGGGTCCAATTGCGTTTTCTCTATTTGCTCCTGCTCTTGGTCCCGCTCCTGGTCCTGGTCCTGGTCCTGGTCCTGGTCCTGGTCCTGGTCCTGGTCCTGGTCCTGGTCCTGTTGTTGCTCCTGTTCTGGATTCGGCAACTGCTTCTGGTCTTGCTTCTGCGACCAATATCTCCACCGTGCCTCGCACTGTTCAGGCGTAAACTGGTGCCCAAGCGCCTGCGCAACAGACCCCCAAACGACTACCCTATTTTCTTGGAGAAACGAATTCACGGTTGCAACCAGCATCCTAGATGCCTTCAAGGACCAGTCGACCTTTAGCGGCTTCAGATAGACATTCGCAACCTCCTCCGTCAAGTAACGAAACAGCTCAGGATCCCTTGGAAACTTAGCGGTAGTGAGCTCAAAGTACAACTGACAATCTCTGCTATGTCTGTACTCCAGTCCTTCTGCAATTACATCCCATACGCTGTCCTTTGTGGTAGTGATGTTTGTCGAAGCTGTCGTAACTGTGGAGTCCGATGTCCCTAATGTACTGTTCGTTTCTGATGCTGCCTTTGCTTCCAAAAACGGGGCTGATTGTAGTAATGACCCCTCTCGTTGAAATTCCATCCATCGCCTCCAGAACTTTGTCTTTTCCGAATGGTCCCACTCACGTTCAAGTTGAGGCATATCCAGCACTCGCCAACGACTTCTATAATCTTCGCTCGTCCGAATCACATTGCCGAGTGCCTCTTTGATTATTAGCCAAATCTTTGGCTGGAACTCTGGTGGCCCAAACCGAATCACTGCTCGGATTAATCGGTCGTCCTCCTCTGGCGTCCAGATCAGTGCTGCGGCAGCGAGCTCATGGTAGATCGATTTCAAACGCATCGCAGGAAACTTATTTTTGAGTGCTAAAGCGACCGCCTCCCAGTCAATTGCTCCTGCGCCTTCCTTGACCTGATATGGTCCACCGGCCTCGTCCTCTTCGCCAGTGTGCGGATACTGAAATCCCTTCATCTGGTGCGCCATCATCATCGTAAACGCATCGTTGTCTTCCTGACCACTCTCCATCTCCAAGAGCCCAAGCGGATTGTTTGCATGCGCCGCCATCGATTGCTTGGCCGCCAACTGTTTCTCAACCGCCCTCACAAGCTGACTCCGATGACGCGGTCTGAATCCCTCCTTGAAAAGTCGCTTCCATTGATCGCTCTGTAAACGCTTCGACAAACGCTTCTGCTCCACCCGACTCTTCTGAATCCGCAGCCATTTTTCCTTGCAGCTATCCTGATTCCGACGCAGCTCCTGCGCAATGATCGGCCATGGCGTCTTGGCTTGAACCAATGACTCGAGCTTCTCCCGAGCCTCAGCTGTCCACGGTCCTTGCATCGAATAGCGTAATGGTAACCCGTCCTTTTGTCTGGTTCGCTCCAAAACCAGCTGTGAAACATTGGGTTTAGCAGTGTCAACCGAGCCCTTGATCAATTCCTCTTCCTCCGAAACGCCTTCGACAGCATCGGCCAAGAATGGGTCCAGAAACCGATAGTAACGCGAGTAGCATGATCCGATAGGTCGCTTGATCGTAGTACTGATCTTTCTCCAGGTCGCACCTCGCTGTCGAAGATCAAAAAGAAGCTCATCCTCTTGCTGCGTCCATGGGTCTCCCGTCTGTTTGTGTGGTACACGGACCGACGACATTGGACTCAATGCTGCTGGCCTTGAAAACAACCTATCGTCCTGGTTCGCTGCGGTTGTCGTCGTCGCCGTCGTCATCGCCCTAATGGTTATTATGGACCGATGAACATGAAACGGAAACCCGAACACTGTGAATCTTGAGCTTGATCCATAGAGATTGCATCCGTTTAGGATTCCTGTAGAATGGTTGGTGCTGGCTCGATGAATCTGGGGCGATCTGCGTGCTATTGCAGCGAGCGAGGCCGTAATGTACTCTGTTGGTCGACAATTTCCGAATGCGCGACAGATCTGATTCTGTTGCGAGACATATCCGCGCATCTGTTCGAGTCGTCGTCTGGATCAGGAAAGGAAAGAGACGATAAAAGCGAAGGGTTTTCTTTGGTCTCGTTGCTTTATTGAATTAAAGAGATTATGCAATGTGAAAGTGAGTGAAATTGGTGGCGTAGTCTATGCGAGTTGCCATAAATTATTAGTAGCGGCGATCACGGCTCTGCTGCAGTAACTCGCGATCTCGTTCTCGCTCGCGTCTGCGCTCCCGGTCGCGGATGACTGCGTCCATTGCAGCTTTGTTCCGGTCAACGATCGAGGCGATGCCCTGGATAGCACGGTCCAGACGTGCAATTGCTTCAGAACTCTGGTTGCGCTGCCGGATGATCTGCGCCAGACGTTCCTTCCACTCGCGAGCATCCTTACCCGTTGAATTACTGAGCAGAAACCGCGTCTCCTGCTCGGTCTTGTATGTCTCCAGCATAGAGTCCTTAAGTAGCTGTGTATGCTTCTCAGCGTCCTTTACCGGGGGCTCAAAGTAGGCCAATGTGGTGTTGTAGTATCTACTGCTGGCGGGGACCTGCTCAGTGCCGCCCTGATGGAATGCGGACAAGATAGCATTGAACCCGTCTGTAGTGACCTATATTTAAGAAGAACATCGCGACTGGCATTAGCACAATGATCCTATGATAACAAGCTTATAAAACGACAATAAAGAATAAAGCTTGCAATGGTATGGTACTTACATCGTTCTCATCCATGTCCAGCCAAGTTAAACTCTGATTAACACGCAATGCTTCTGCCAGGGCCATGGCGCCCTCGTCCTTGAATCGGTTACGGCGCAGGTCCAGCTTGGTCAAGTAGCGGCTGTTGCCGAGGCCCTCAAAAGACCTCCACAAGTTCTTACCCATGCGCGATGTCAGCTCTGCAGTCTCCTCGCCCTGGATATACAATTCCTCCAATCGACTTGTGGGCGAGCATAGCATCTGACCCAACAATTTGCAGGTCTCCACATCGGGGTCACGGCTTGATGCCAAGGACACCGCATACAGGTCCAGTCTCTTGAGCGTAAAGTTTTGACTGAGACTGATAAACAACTGTCGCAATGCCTGTTCACTCCAACAGGTCTGACGTAGTCCCAGGGAAGCAGCCGTCTCGCCGCTTGCCAGAATGCTGACCAGGCTTTCAGGGAGATCATGGCCATCCGAGAGCAAGTTGCGACCCGCCATGATCTCGATCTTGTCGTTTCCTCCTTGGCCGACAGCATCGAGAATGTTGGCGAATTGGTTACCGTCCAGTCCACAGCCCTCGACCTTCAGCTGCTCAAGAGACTCGCAACCAGGGCTCGAGATCCAGGTAAGAATCTGATCCAGAGTCGTTGGGTGCAAGGCCATGCCGCTCAAATCGAGGCACCTGAGAGATCCACCACAGTTGGCGAGGGACTCGGCCATGAGAATAGGTGATTTACTCCACGAGGTCAGGTTTGAGAGGTTCAGTGTCTCGAGACGCAACGAGTGCTTCAAGAACATGTCCAAAATGAAGGAGTTGACCTTGCTCTCCGAGTTGCCTTGAATGCTGAAAGTCTCCAACAAGTGCGAGGCGACGTCCGGGTTGGCGACAAAGGCGTGCATGATTTGGTTAATGCCATCGCCCGTAATCTGACAGTTGCCGACGTTCAAGGCGTGGAGTGTACCTGCATGCTTGACGATGCCCTTGGCCAAGGTCATGACATCAGCACCGTCCGAGGCGTTATTGCCGAAGAGATCCAGAGACTCTAGGCGCAGTCCTAATGGATATGCGTCCTTGATGGCGCGTCCGATGCTACCGATTGTGCTCGTGTCCAGTTCACAGCCGTGCAAATCGAGTGCTCGAATCTGAGGGTTACCCATGATTAACTCGTAAAACTCTTGGTCGAGACGGAGTCCATAGCGGAGAGTGCCATCCTTCAACGTTTTTGACTTGTGGAGCGTCCCAAAAGAAATACCATGGAAGCTAATCTCTTTGAATGTCGTGTTGAACCGAAGGGCACGGAGCAGACACTTCATCTCCTCGGGAGAGTAGTCGCGCTTGGTCTCCGGAGTATCGCCAACCTTGCCTACGGCGATCACAAACCCATCAATCTTGATATTGTTGAAGTTCCTGCGGTCGACACCAATGGCATAACACTCAGCTCGAAGTAATTCATCAAATCCAAGGTCGACCATGTATTCCTTTGATGGTACAGGGATAGGTCTTGCAAGGTCTTCGGACAGAGATAGCTCGACACCCTTTCTTGACAGGGGGTAAAGCCAACGGAGACTTTCGACTCTAGCGCGGATGGCGATAATGATTTCGCGGGCTCTTGCAGAGGCAAAGGTCATAACAACGGTTCTTTGACGTAGGGTAGTGCCGAAACTAATCGTAAAAGTGTCATCCGTTTCCTTGTACTGGATTGTTCGGACAGTCAATAGCGGGTACTGAAGAATGGCGCGCTCGTCCTTCATATCATCCTTAGAGCTGCCGTTCCCAAGATTGTGGGGCAAGAAGTGAACGAATGATGTTCCAACTGCAATGACAACCACCTTGTTCTCCAGCACCACCTTGGTTTCTGAAGTTGCGTTTTCCTGCACGGGCACTCCCTTAATTCTCTGGCTCTTGAAGTACGCTCGCCACATGCCCCCAGCAGCTAATGCGGTCGGATCATTCTCAGCAACGCTGGTAGGAAGAGCGATAAAATCATCCTGCATCTTCTCCACGACCCATTGGCGCTGTCGAGTCCCCTTGAGAATCAATCCTGCCTGTGCAGCATGGTAGTTGCATCCTTGGCGCAGCTCTTTCAGCCAGGGCCCGACCTGTTCGGCCGCTGGGGTAAAGTGCATCGTTACCGGCTGAGAGGAGATAGAGACCAGATGCTCAATGATGATCTGCGTGTCTCCTCCTGGAGGGCTATATGTATGAACGCCGACGATCGAGTTCAATGACAGCATGCGGTGTTCTTTTGATATCAGGGAGGTTTGCTGAGGTGTCAAGATCTGATGTCCCGAAGACGATGACCAGACTGACTGGTTTCCAAAGACCTTGGAGGCCTTTTCCATGGTCTTGTACTTGAGCAGACTGGAATTCGTGAGCATCAGATATTCCTTTGAATCCTTGCGGAAGAGTCCCCCTTCCGAATGGGCGGCGGTACCTCCAAAGAGAATCAAGGAGTCTGCAGGATACTGGTCTTGAATAGGCATGCGGAAGGACTCCACAATCGGCACAGTTGGCTGGCCTTGATAGAAGTCCTCGGGGTAGAGCCCGTTCTGGTCTGCGTTGGAACGGGGCATGAGTGAGTTACGACTAGCGACGGAGTCATCGGTCGAGATGGTCGAGAGGGAGGTCGAGTAGGCGCGTTCCCGGTTGGTGCCTGCAGGGACTTGCGGTAGTTGGCCAGTATTGCTTGGACGGTGTGCATCTAGAAGGTGGCAATGATAGTGAAGAAAATAAGTAGGGCGCGGTTAGAAAGATTGGCCGATGATAGGGTTGGAATAGTCGATCGACAACCACCCGCCTAAAAATAACGTGTTTTGCTCTTGCACCACTCATCAACTGCACGCGTTCCCGCCATCTTGTCCATCTTTTTCTCTTTCGTGCAAATTGAATAAGAATGAAGGCGCTCTCTGCCTTGTGGGAAGGTGGTGAGAGTGATATGCCAAACAGCTGGCCACCAAAAAAAAAAAAAAAGATTTGGTGACTGTGGTTATGACCACGTTGCTTCAACGGTCTCGTTGACAGGCTAGAAGCAAATGCCCGATGCTCACAGAGGCTCGAGGGACAAGAACGAGGCCGGGTCTGTCAGTCGACTCGACAATCGATTCGACAATCGAAAGCAGACAACAAAATCAAACCGCATGCATACGGATACCATGCCAGCTATACCATCCCACGCTCACTCACACTACCAACTGCTGTAACCCAAGTAATAACACACTTGTGCTCTCTTCCCTCCCACAAAACTGGCATAATGCAACATGAATAGAAAATCATTTTTCAAAAGGCAGCTACTGTTAGGTACAGCAGTCTGCTTACCATTGAGCGACAATGATGGAAAGTCGATCTGCAGCGGAGAGGTCGTGGGGGTCATGTGTGGCGAAGGCAAGAAGTCCTGCTGTCCGTTCGGCCCTGCGCCTCTCGATCCTTGCCTTGTCGGGGTCAATGGCAGCTCTAAAGTTTGGGTGTAATATTGCTGTCGAGAATTGAGCGATCCACTGTTCATGGGAGATTGGAGCTGATATTGCTGTTGGTTGGGCAAGAGCTGCGGACTCGACAGGATCCCGACATCAGAGGCGTAGTATCCTGCGTAGTCCGACTGATCTTCCAAGAACGAGTCTGGCAGCGACAGAGGCGGAGGCATAGATGGCAAACTTGCATTTGAGGGAAGGCCCGGTGACATGTGCGGCGATCGATAAGACGAAGAGGACGAGTGTGTGAAGTATTGTTGTTGCTGTTGCTGTGGATGGAAAGGTATCGATCCAGATCTCAACGAATCCTCTCGGGCTGAGAGAGCTGAAGGAGGGAGCGAAAAGGACATAGGTGAAGACGGTGGTATTTGTCCAGATTGGTAATTCATGCCATAGGCATTGGGCGTCGATCGGGGAGACGGCCTTGGTGACTGAGAGCGACTTGAGGGTGTGTAGTATGGGTCCTGCTGTTGCTGCTGCTGAAAGTGCTGGTAGTACTGAGTTCCTGTCATGATGGGCGAGGAGGACGATTCTGAGCGCTGCCTGGTTTGGCGGGGAGGTCTCTGGGGGATGCCGCCGCTGCCAGTCAAAATTTCGTCAGAACTGGGTGCGCTGCCAGTGGGTTTGAAGGCCTGGGGCGAGCGACCTCCTGCTGAAGACATACTTAATGTTGTTTTTGATGGTGAGGAGAGGATTAGATGGAAAAGGGGCAACGACGAGCGATGGGAGAAGAGGGAAATAAGGAAAGGAGGAAGAGAGAAGGAATTGGCGCTAAAAGATGGGCTACATAGCACACATATATCAGCCCTTACGTGTGGCGTGAGTCTCCTTTCTACTGTGTGCCTGAATTTCAGGGCTTTTACTACCGCTACAGGGCCATGGGCATAATGGACCCACAATCTTGAACCCCTCTCTCGTCCTATTGTACTCCCGGTTGCCTTTCCTTATTTCGCTCCCCATTTCTTATGGATAGGAGACTGTACTCATGCGCCGTATGCTATATTAAGCCTATTTTGCTGTGTTCATTGGCAGCACTCGAGGGAGCATGAAGCGTATTTGATCTTGGATCAACGCTTCGTTCGTTGGGCGCTCTTTCATTTTTCCCAACGATTTCGTTTTAGATCGCTCCTTTTTAGCTGCACAATTTACCACGGACAATGTACCCTACACATGGTCTCTTGCACCGTGTCCAGAGCGGCCGGTAGAACTAAAAGGGCGTCGATTAGGGACTGGCTGGTTAGCGGTAAGAGAAAGGCAATTGTCATTGGGTATTGCCGACTGGTAGCATCTGCTCAAAACTGACCGTACTACTTTCACAAATCTGTCCATCGGAGGACCATTTGCTCCATCAATGTGTCGTTGACGAGGCGAGAAAATATCTCAAGGCGGCAAGTAATGCTGCTATCCGGTCGAGTGACTGGACGAGCATGCTGCGTGCGGGTTCGAAGGAATGCCCACATCTACTATCGCGGACAAGCACTTCCAGCCAATCAACGTACGCGATCGCTGCAACGTGCGCACGCGCTTCGCTATACTCCGCCAATTAAGGTTTACGTGTCTACTGTGATGCTGTTTATCCCCCATTCACCCTTGTTGCTCTCACAAACATGCTACATACTGTACCCTGGAAAATAAACCTTGCTGTCAGGGCGTGCTTCACCGCACATTGTATCCACATACATTAGAGCGTGCCACTTTATTATGGTTCCGTCCGGTTGGGAAGGAAGGAAACAGTAAAAGATCGATTATTCGATAGCTGCTCTACTGACGAAATCTCGTTCAGTTTTTTCTTCGTCGTGGGAGATGCTCTTATCGTTTTAAAAAGATGGCCACGGAAAGACCAGGGATCAAGCTCAGAAGACTCGATCGGAATTGGTAAACTTCCGACCGCCTTAGTCGCCTCAACGTGCCAGGGGAATCGGCCAGTCGATACTCCCGTCCCATCTAAGCTCATAATAGAAGACTTCCATCGACGTCGCAAAACGAAATGGTAACAGAATCTTGTGGACCAGTTGGCTTGCCTCTTTTTCACTTTCATCCAATCAATTGCTTTGTTCTTTGCATTATGCACTGTTCAATTTTGTAGCTACGCTCTTTTAGATCAAATGGTTCCATGGCCCATAAATGCGTACACATGCTCACGCGACGAGCGAAGAAGCACCGTTTCTCACACGACTAATGCAGGACAACGAAGGGGGTCTAGGGGTCGGACGCATTAACTAAAGCGATGTAACGGCTCATAATGCAATGATAAAAAGAAAAATTAGCACCGGTATGAAGATTAAAGTACATGTCCATGTCCATAAAGACCTGGGAACTTGCATGAAACGAGGTAAACACGACGCGGGAGGGAGCCCCATGTAAAAATGATGCGCTACCAAGTACTAATTACGCCAATGGAATAATTTTATCATGGAAGAAGTATGGGTCCGTGTCTGAATTGTAGGCAACCCCTCGCACCATGCACCATGCACAATGCAATGAATTAGTTGGACAAGTTCCCAAAAAGTACTTTCCAGAAGAAGGAAAAGAAAAAAAAAAGCTCATAGTCAGCAACCATTTGTCTAGCTCCTGTTTGACTCAAAAAAAGTCGCGACCTATGCTTACCAGGGCGTCATTCGTCCGTGTAACCGCAAGAAAACCTTATCTTCCGCCACAATGGGATAGTTAACCGCAAGGGAGTACAACATGGCCGATCACAAGCTGTGCACAACATTCGAACCACGGACGCATCGAATTACTCGAAGCACGCACGAATTACGTATTGGACATGCACGCACTTGCCTCCTGTTCTTGTCCATCCCATTCATTTTCCGTCCTATTCTTTTATACCATCCCGGCCTCGGCACTAGCAAAATGAACTTCAGCTAGGTTCCTTTGAACATTTGGCACTAAGTCTCCTTATAACTTCATAATACATATCCTCTTGTCGCTCACCGTCTTCTGACCATTCAAGTCACGTTAACTATACTATCTGTATTGCGCACACCCTACGCTTCTCCATTTGAGTGTTTGAGACTGATCGACTTGCCCTGCACAGATCCATTGCTATCACCTGCGGGACTATATGATGGTCTCGGCCGTCCAGGTATCGCCGCGCCATTATTCACTCCTCCAGAAAAGTCCATTAGTAAGAACAAGCTACCCGGATGTGGGTACGCGGACGGGCAGTTAGGGATAACTGGTTAATAGCTGAGGCTCGTTGGCGATTAGCTGGGGCTAGCGGTGAATACGGTGGTGAAGCGGGCAATCTGCCATCGGCGCAGTTCGTACACTCACCAAGTACCTCGACGATTTTCAGCAGTATACATTATGACCAATGTCTTTTATCCTAAGTTTTGAAGTAGAAGTTCATCTGGTTATCTCTCTACCGCTAGCTAATCAGGAACATTTGAGCAATGTACCTGACAATTTTAGCTCTCTTTATTGCCGCCAGCTGTAGTAGTGTGCGAACCAATTCAGTTGATGTTTATACCGCTTACTATCCACTGCATCCGGATCAAGAGGGATCCAGCTCTATACATGCTACACGGAATGCACAATGTGGTGTTGAGAGCCACTGAAGTTCTTTGACAAGTCGTTAAACGTTAAATTTTGATTTTCTCTATTAGAAACAGAAACGTGTGCGTTTGCTGTGCACAGCACCTAAGCAATAGAGACACGATTCGAACGAGGCACGGACTTGTAATGAATAAGTACTCTATCTACCTGCTTACAGCTTTCACTCGCTTGTCTTTTATTGTCATTGCTATTCTCCTTCGTCTTTATATTCCTGAATAATAAAGAAGGATAGCTGTGTTGGAGCAGAGTCGAATCACTTACTATAAAAGAGCCTTAAAAGCTATGTCTAACTTATACATACTCGTAGAAGTAAAACCCCAGGGGTGGCCTTCCGATTACTGAGGCCTCCCACTGGAAGTGTGCCATTACATCTAAAGGCCCAGCTCCGCAAGGAGTATCCTCGAATTTCGCCGGTCACTTTTTATCTGGAGATTTCATTTTGGAGGAGTGGAGAGCGCAACCTTCGGCGGAAAGACTTGATCGCGAGTAGTCCAATACCCGGTCGAGCGTGATGCACCTGAAAACCCCATCGACAAACTGAGAGCTTTAATTCAAGAGGGTTCGCAACCCGTTTGGGCCGTCAATGAGGGGCAAGCCACAGTAAAGATCTTTGTTTATACTGAAGTGGGTGGTTAGCTGTTGTCCCTATGAATCTACGGAGACAAAAGGTGTCAATTGGCTCCTCAAACAGGGACTGGCTCTGCGGCGTCTGCTTCTGCCTTATTTTATTACCCGAATTGTCAAGTACAGTAGCCAAGAAAGCTATATTGCAATCTTCCTTCTTCATTTCCAAATGGAGTTCTTACCTCCAACTCTTGCTCGGTCAAGAACCCCCCAAAAAAACCTCCCCTTTCTAGGCACAGGCACAACTCTAACCAGAGTCAAAGCCACAGCCTCTTTCTATGCTCGGTCCAAGATGCGATCTGGCTATAATGCATCGTCTAATGGAAATAAACCAATGCGAAACCTGATCGCTTTGCATACATCGTGTCTTCTCCTTTTCGATATACAAACCAAATTAGTATCGAGCCATGTTTGGCAAGTCAGTGACTTTAGTCCGCTGGTTTGTTTACACTCTTTGCGCATGGGATGCGCATGGGATGCGCATATTTATTCTAAGTTTGCTTCCGAGGATGAACATTTCACCCTTGAGGATGCGGTCTTTGCCCACAACGTGAGATGGCGGCTGCGCATTTATTTTTTTTGAATTCCAGCTGCTCACAAGCGCATGCGCTGCTTTGTTGACATCATCGTGTGCTTCTTCTGCAGGTGTGCCTGGAGATGTGCCTGGATGGGAGCAGCAGCAGTTGGGAGGGATGTCGATTGTTTTGCCACCAAGTGGGAGACGAGCAGTCTCTTTCCCCCCCGAGACAGGGGATGTGAATGGGCGGGTGTGGGGTGTGGAGTGCGAATAGAAAGACGGAAAAATGTCTCAGACAGGGCCAATCCGCATTCGGACTCAAGCGTCCTTCTCTTTTTCGCGGCAGAACATCCCCCCCCCCCCCCCCCCCCCCCCCCCCACCACTTTGACTCTGCTCTCGTGTCATCGCAATTGAGAACCTCTTTTTCCTCTCCGTTTCCAAGTCAACAATAATCCTCCTCCTTCTTCTATTTCTTCTTCTCTTTCTTCTTCCCACGCGCTCACACAGCGACTACTGCAACAGGACTCCAGCTACATGTCGACCACTACCGCTGCCGCCGCCGCCGCCGCCGTTGTCATGCTCTTGGATGTCACCGCCGCCCAGGGTCTGCTCCTCTACACTCTCTATCTCCTTCACCGACTGTGCTTCTCCCGATGGAACGATCCTCAACGCATCACCGCGGCCCTCTATCGCAAACTGTCCTCAGCAGCAACAGCACAGCAACAACAGCAAAAGCCCGTCGAGGGAAAGGGACTTTCACCACTGGACGACACGAGGGAGAGTGATGACACGCACCAGGAGCACACAACGCAAGAGGAAGACACAGAGAAAGGACCATCTACGTCGATCGCCGCTCTTCTGCCGATTTATTCAGTGCCGAGATCGATCCACGATATATTACCGCCTGAAATCCTTATCCTCGTATTCGACCATCTTTCAGCGCGCCCTCGGACCTTAATGCGCTGTATGCTCGTCTGTCGATCGTGGCACGGACTCTTAGGTCCCAAGATCTGGAAAGCTCCACGAGTGCTCTGGTCAAAGCACTGGTCACGCTTTCATCCCCTCTGTTTCACGCAGAATCACGATTCAAAAACAGATCAGAACCAGACCGATGTGTACGATTATCCCACCGCCGACACGACGAAAATTCGGATACCATATGCACAGCGCCAGCTCTTGCAACGATCTCAGCAACTCTCACGGGACGACATTATCTCGGCCATGGCATTAGGACAGATTCACGATTCCGATCGGCAGGAACTTGATCAATGGCTCACCTGGAAGAGACGAGAGCGTGCGCGACGTATCCATGCGATCAGACAATGGAGACAACGCAGCCATGGCAGCAGGATTGAACGAGAGCATATACAGCCAAGGAGGAGGAGGTGGAGCGAGCAAGAGAGTGACCAAGAAGAGCAGGACGACAACAATGATGATGAGGGCAATGAGCGCCCCTCGCAGCAGGAGACCCAGGTGCATAAAGACCACACACACGAAGAAGATTTCGCAGAGAGTGATCTAGACTATTACCCCTCCGACGAAGAGACATCTTTGATGAAATTGGTCTCAGGATTCGACTACCTGCACTCGCTTGTCCACCGCTCAGAGAAGGCACTGGAACCCAGCAGCTCCTACTGCCAGCGACCAGCACTCTTTTCGAGCACCGTGGCACGTGTGCGTCGACAGCAGGCTGCCAGGAAGACCCGCCTGAGACTTGCGGAGATACGACCCTCTGACGGATTACCTGCATCCCTCCCACTATTGTCCTGTGGACAATGGATTCAAGAGATCAATCTACAGCAGGAAACAGTTTTTTCACAAAAGTCCAGCTCGCACTCGCCCGTCTATCATCCTGCAACAGCTACTTCAAGACCACGGCCACTTTATCCTCGCACACATGCATATGCACTTCTTCTTCATTATCAACAACAACAGCAGCAGCAGCAGCAGCAGCAGCAATTGCAACTGCAACCGCAGGAGGATGGTCGGACAGCCTGTCCAGGGTTCTTTTCCACACTTTTCTCGGTTTTCTCTTATCCGCAAAACCAAGGCAGAAGAGGAGAGCCCAAAGAACCAGAACGGTTCAGATCAAGACGCGAGTTTGTCACAGACAGAACACTGCAGACGATCCTTGACTCCTGCCCAGGCCTCTGTCGCTTGACTCTCTCGGATTGTCAGGGAATTACTGATACAGGATTACGCCTAATCCGAGAATCCAAGTGCGTAGCCCGGGACACCTTGGTCTCGCTGCACATGGCCGGATGCTTTCAGATCACGGATACCGGGCTCTTGAACCTCGTCAATTCCGCCAGTGACAGCAGCGTTAGTACATCCTCTCGTGGCCCTCGCTTCGAATCGCTGGATTTTGCGGGATGCTTTCAAATCTCGAACGTCGGCCTTATCCCACTTTTGAGACAGTGCGGCGTACGCCTCACACAACTGCGGGTATCTGAGTGTGAGAACATCTCTGCGCAGTCGGTATTGACACTTGCAGAGTGCTGTCCTCGTGTTCAATGGTTGGATCTCGCACGGTCCGGAGACCTGACGGAGGAGTGTCTCCTTTACTTAGCAGATCGGTGCACGGATCTAGGGTGGCTCAATCTGGCGAGATGTCATCCAAACGGCAGTGATAATGCCAGCTCGGGGGAAGACGGTAATACCATCAGTACCAGCGGTGACGGCAGCGACAACAGCAACAGCACAGACGATGGCGCAACTGAGCAAGGCTCGGATATGGAGAGTCTTAGTAATACGACCACCGATGAGACGTATCGAGAAGCGCAGCAGTATCAGCAACAACCACAATATTCAGCGCAGCAGCGGCAACAACAACAACAACAACAACAACAAATGCAGCAGGACGCAATCAAGGACCCCAGCTCAAACAAGGATGATGATGTCAAGGACGACGCCAACAGGGATAAAGACGGTCAAGGAAAGCCTATATCTGACCGCTCCATTGCACATCTCTGCGAGTCCTGTCCGAAACTTCAGCTCCTAGATTTATCCTACATCCCTACCGTCTCCAACACCGCGATCGAATCCCTTTCCGAGACCGCAAAGTCCCTTGTCTGCTTGACCATCATCGGCTGCTCTGGGATCACTAGCCAGTCACTCTTGTATCTAGCAAAGTTGAGAAATACCAGCGGGAAATTGGGTTGTATCACCATGGGCGATGCACTTGGAATTTCGGAGAGGGATATCGAACGGATCATGCAAGGCACTCTCAGTGGCTGGCAAAAGAGTCTTGAGGACGAGAACAGCCTAGGTGATCTCCTCGGGCGAAGCTGGGACGAGTGAGCACTGAACGCATGCCTCTTATTTTTGGATGTATATATAATAAACCCCGTTCTTCAAATGAATACAACGACATTTGCTTGATAATTGTACAGGTATTTATTTGGATTCACTCTTCAAATGCAAACTTCTTTTTCGCAGGTCCATCCTCGGACCCCTGGCTGCCCAGGTCGCTCTGATGCGCATCCTCGTCGTCCGAGTCATCCAAAATGATCCTCCTCTTACTGCGAGATGTCTGTGCTGCCAGGCGTTGAGTCAATGATAATGGCCCCGTTGGCGACAACGGCAACGTGGCTTGTTTATCCACATCATCACTATATGCAGCACCGGGATCGGCACTTTTTTCATCATCACCACCATTATCACTGTCATTAGTTTCCAGCCGTATAGTCCTGCGCTGACTCGAGTACTGTTGCCGAGGCACAGCAGCCCGTGATGATCCAGCAGGATTATCACTCTCGTCGTTATCGCTCTCAGGCTCGCTCCCCACATCTCCCGCGCCCTTGGGGATCAATCTCAAGTCAGAGTCATCATTAGTATCAGAGTCGCTTTCCACGTCGCTCGCAGTCTTGGGCGGAGGTCGCGCTTTCCCATCGTCATTTCCATCTTCATCTTCCTCGTCCATCAGAGACATGACCTTTCGTCCGCCAGACCTCTTTATCAACATACTCTTTTGTTTCTGGCTCTTGTTTCGCACGTTTTCCATCTCCAATCGGCGCTGCCGTTCCTCCGCCTGTGCGAAATCGATATTGATTCGCTCTCTCAGCTTCTTTTCCGCATCAAAGTAGGCTTCGTCTTCATCTTCAGAGTCGATAATATATTCTGCAGAATGATAAACGGGCATCTCCTTCTCGGCATTCTGGCGTACTCCCGCACCATGTCTTCCTGTATTTGACTTCTTTGGCTTGTTGATCTTCTTGATAAGGTCAGAGTAGTCGTACTGCTCATAGTTCTCTTCGTCCTTGTAAATGGACTCAATTAGATCATGGTACTCTGCGATTGTATCTGTCGGCAGGTCCTTGGGGATCTTGTATTGCACAGAATTCATCTCTGATAAAGTCAAAATAGATCGCATGTAATTAGCAAAGTATTGGCTTCATAGCATTACTATGCGCATAATGTAGCCTGCTTTCAAAGAATGCGAGGCCGCACAAGCGTACCTTCCTCCTTGACAATCTTGATCAATTTGAACAAGAGACGGAAGCGAGGTTTAAGGCGGAGTGCTTCTTGTCTTGCTGGGTTATTCGCAATAACAGCTATACATTAAATTAAATAAACAAAACAGAGGCTGTTAATAAGACAATCTTTGTTTGGTCGACATCAGAATTGTAATATTAACAATTACATACGAATGTCCTCCACGTTTTCGACAGAGTACATCAGGTCAGGATTCTCTGTCAGTTCGTTCTCAGAACGGAACTGCATCAGCTGTCTCTTTTCCACCGCACTTTTGAGGATCTACAAGGATACAATGAAGATAGATAAAAGTTTGAACATTGACTTTCGCAGCAAAAAACTTCCAAAGTCAGAGGAAAACAAGCCATTCAATTGCAAGGGCGGCTCCCTCACCTCGATGGTCCACTCGACAAGGTCTCCCTCATCTTCATCTAGCAGTGCCATAATTGCGATCTTGATTTGCTCCGACTCTGGTCGGTTGGGATCTACTTCAAGTTCGGTTGACATTAGCCTAAAGAACAGGAATAGGGGCATGCAAGACGTCAATAGCGAATCCAGTATTGCAGAGCCTTTAGATGCTTTTCAAGCCAAGGAGTTGCGGTTCCCACCTCTTCTCCTTCTTTTCGGATATCACAAGCTTCTCTCTCTCGAGCTCGTCCCTGCCAACGTTGATTTCCAGACAATTTTTGCTCGTTTTCGGAAAGAATACTTCGGCGATTAAAAGTGGGTACTCCTGCATCTTCTTAAAGAACTGGTGAACAACATATGAGACAAATGGAATCATGTCCCTTCTTGCATCTTCTTTGTTGCTTTGCAGAATTTGATGAAAGAGATGTAGCGTCGACAGCTTGTAAAACACAGCCAAGTTTGAGCAGTTGACTGCGATTCTGTGAAAGAGAGATGCAGCCCAATGCATTTGGGTCTCGTCCAGCTCCGCAAAGTTCTCGAGAAAAGCACAGTAGGTACTGATGACATGCTCGTGCGCGAATCGCTATTTTCATATATCGTACACGTGCTAAAGTAAGTACGGATACCGCAAAATAAGTCTCGAGGGCTGGAAGTGTTGCTCGAAGCGTCCACTTACACGTTCATATTCTTGAAACACAAACTGGTGCTCCTTGAATGTATGAGTTGGTTGATCCTCATCGTCCTCCCTCTCTTGATCCTGCTCTTGGCCGCCATCTGTCTGCAGAACCTCATACAAAGGCTGCTCATCTTCTCCTGCCGCCTGAGTTGTGACTCCTTCCTCTGGTTGTTGCTCAGCATTCATCCCTGTTGCCGTACCATTTTCACCGAAAGGAAAAACGAAGGGAGATTGATGAGAAACGGGTCTAAAAAAAAGAGTATATTACGTGTAATAACCCAATGTCATACCTTCCTTGACGTTTTTCTTGCGCCGTCTAGCGATAGCCCTTTTCTTACGGATAAACATGTAACTCTTAGAGCTGGAAAAGTTTTCTAGCGTCTTGAGCAGGATATGGATCATCCGCACTAGCGTGTGCAGATATCTAAAGGGGATTATCGACGCAACATAGTGCGATCATTAGTAAAAAAAAAAGATCAGATTTCTATTTTCTCGTCAACTGTCGACCACTACATTTGTGTCGAGGCATCATACTTCGTGGACTGTTTCTTGTAATTTTTGGCGAGGTCCAGGAACAGTTCCAGCGTCGCGTCCTCATGATACAGGTTGCTTTGCACAATAGCCGAATCATCTCGATAGGTCTCATTGAGCGACTTGCTCATGGCGTAGAGCGTCATCAGCTATGAGCCAATTTCATATTCATACCAACGGTAAAGTGATGTTAGTAAAAGCTCCAGGCAACAAGCTGCACGCCGCCACCTGAGTGCCATGACATACAATCTCCTGGATGCAGTTCATCGCCTTTCGAATATCGTCCCACAGCTAATATGAGGAGCAGGTAGAAGAATGTGTCAATTAAGGCACCATATACACAGCTCAAATAACGCAATCATCGAGATAAATATGAAGAAGCACCTGCCTTGTCTTTTACTTCGTAACGGGTGCGTATGAAGCCGACGATTTGAAAGACGTTTGCAGTTTCGATCGCCGTCGCCACCAGATCAAAATCGCATCGAAGGATGTTTTTCTTATATTCTTCCTCTAAACTCGTGAGTTCTCGTGGATGTGCATTCTTCTTTTGCTCTTGGTATTGTTTGGCGACATAATCAGCGTATTGTCGCTGAAACTTGAGCAGGAATGCCATTAAGTAATGGTACTGGTTTCGGTGGTGGTCCTTGACCCTTTCTCTTTCGAGCTCAATGCATTGGCGCAACGAGGTGAACAGCGCTATAGTAGCGGAATCAAAGATGCTAAGGTGAGACTTTCGGGTTCTGAAAAGACGACTCCCTGCCTTTGCCTTTGCCTCTGCCTTTGCTATTGCCAGCGCCTGATCATGTGCTTAACCTACGATTAAAGCCGCTCTCCAGCAGGGTCAAGGCAAGTTCCCGCAACATGGCCAATCCAGATCTCGTCATGTTTTTCTTGTATTCGTCCGTTTCCTATAAGTTGTTGCGCATAAGATTTCATTAGGCGACCAACTCTTGGGGATGGGCGAGCATGTCGTGTCCAAAAGCTATAATACCTTCTGACGCTTAGTTCGCGCTCTTGGTTTTTTAACGCTGTCCAGCTGAGTCTCGAACGAGGTAAATAAAGCTCCCTTTTGGTGCAAAACCATTCTGGTCCCATCCTAACCATTGTACAACAAGGAGTCCGCGTTAGTACGGTTTCATAACACTTATGGTGCTGGTCAATCCTGTTCCCATCAAGTCAAGCAAAGGAGGCAACATGGATCACCAACCTGCAAACGGACTTCGCCTGTAGTCCCGAATCGGTCATGTCGTTTTCGCCCAGCAGTCGACTGTAATTTCTTTTCCTTCTCCTCCTTGTTTAGCAAGTCCTGCAACTGTGAATTTTTCGCTTGACCCTAATTTCAGAAAATTGTTGAAGAAAATGACACCAATGCTTAGTATCGGAGGACTCTCGTTGTGTTTATATTCTCAATTAAGTGTAATCCCAGGATCCATAAAGTCATACAGAAACTGCAGGGATGAGCTCAACGGCGTCGATTCCAGAAAAGATGTGGTAAAACGTTTCCAAGGCGATAGCATTCCATTCCGTGAGCTGTACATCAGTTGAAGAAGACGCCAGCGTCAGCAAAAGCTCCATGACATTCTCCTTTTGAAACCTGTCCAGTAGCTCCTCCTAAAGATAAGGATGTAAGATGCAGCGTCAATCATCCATTTGCATTAATACAATATCTTAGATGTAAATGAAGCGACTTTTTTTTCTTTCTTTGTCCGTACCTGCATGATTGAGCTGATGAACTGATCCATCGTTCCTGACACAGAACTCTCGGGGTCGGGGATGGCCACCAAGTTTCGAAACAACGACAATCCCAGACGAATCACTGCTTGATCTCTTGTTGTCCTCATCCTGTACTCGACTCCCAGCGGCTTCAGCATTACTGCAAATACGGCTCCCAAAACGCCACGTTGAAGGAACGCCCGCTTGTACTCCCGCAAGGTCTCGAGTCGCTGGTGTAGGTTACCAACGATGCTGTTGTCCTCCTCTGTGTCCGCCAGCTTTTCGAGGGCTTTGTAATCGATCGGCCAGGTCATCGGGACTATCAACTCAACTGCAACATAAGCACCCCCTTTTTGTGAGTAGCAGAAACGAGCGCCAGCAGATAGGTACATACATCAGATTTTTTTTTTTAAAAAAAAAAAAAAAAAAAAAAAAAAAAAAGGCGGAGACTTACTGCAGGCAAGGACAATTCGCTCTCTGACGTTGCTGTTGGCAGGTGTGTTTAGCAGTATGATGGGGACCAAATCCTTTTCCAGAATACCCATCGTTCCTAGATAGGTCAAAACGACATTGTCGCCCTCATGCTCGTAGTACTTGATGAATTTTTTGATATCCTTGAGACATGCTGAGTTAGAGTATCAAAAGCCAACTGGGATAGTCAGTCGACTTGATGTCAAAATATGCTTGCCCGAAGATTATGATGGCTAGGACGATGAGATGAGAAGGTCCGCCCTTACCTAGACATTCGTCTCCCATAATATAAGCCTGCCTCTGGTCATTGATGTCATCAGAAATGTACTCGAACCCGCCGAGGGCCTGGCAGGTCGAGATCAACAGTGACTCGGTATCGGGATCCATGTGTACGAGTATCGCTCCCGCTCGCGATATATGGAAGCTGAAATGGTGACAAGAGAGCAAAGGAGGATCTGCGAGACGCGTTTTTGTTTATTATTCTTCGTCGCGCTTGATTTTTATTATGTGCAGCGTGGCTTTCAAAAGCCCTGAAGCACCAAGGCACTTTACTCAAACGAAAGCGAAAAGCTCTCGCCAATCGCTACCTGGGGCTCTTTGACGGTACAGACATGGCCGCCGCCATTGGGGGCATGCGTACAATCCACCTGCAAGCTACGGTCGCCAACATTGACCTTGGTCAGCGCAATCTTTGATCCTAGGAACACCAAGCGTTCAATTCTGAGAGCTCCTATCCTTTGCACATATTCCGAGACCTTGACCTTCGATTCTGTCCTGAGATCATGTGAAGACAACACTCCCTGCGACACTCTGAACTCGTGCAGGATATAGTCGCCCTGCTCATAATGGAAACTCTCTCCATCATCCAGATAGATTCGTCCCGATGCCTCACCCCGGTTGTCCAGTGCAATTACAAGCGTGAAGGGATCGTGCTCCATCGCCTTGGATGACCGACGGGGTCTCTCACGCTTGGGAACAATGGTTCCAGCGCGCTGATATACGGCAATCTTGTCAGATGGAGACGCTACCTCCTTGATTCCTGGACCCTGCTCAACACTGTAGTCCTTAATGTCGAACCACTTTTCGTTTCCTGCAAAGTACACGCTCGAACGGGTAATACCGGGCTTGGTGACGGGCTTGACTAATAATGCATCTCCAACCATGTACTGGTCATCCATAGCGAACACGGTCTCATCTTCTGGGAATTCGGTGAACATGGGCCTATAGCAAAGACATCTGCGTTAGCCTGTTTTGCGATAACAAATATCCTTTCGTCGATTTACAATATTGAATGGCAAATTTTGCACACCTGATGATGGGCGTTCCGTCCACACTAGTCTCGTGGAAGAGTGTGTACCAAAATGGCAAGTATGTATAACGAGTGCGAACTGCTTCTCGAATCTGCGAGGTATATGGCTCCCCAAATAGCCAGGGTTCACGACGCTTGCTATCAAGATGAGCATGGGCGCGGAAGAATGGATAGAACGCACCAGCCTGGTACCAGCGGACCAATAACTCTGCATCTGGGTTGCCAAAAAATCCTCCGACATCAGCTCCAGAAAAGGGGATTCCAGAGAGTCCGATCGTCAACAACATCGGCGATGCAATTTCCAAGTGCTCCCAGTTCGCAAGGTTGTCACCGGTCCAAATAGCACCATACCGCTGAGTGCCAGCAAAGAACGCGCGAGAAAGAACAAAAGGCCGCTGGTTCGTCTCGTTGCGTTGAATTAGACCTTGAGCAGTTGCCGAGTGCTAAAGCAAGTAGGAGGATATGTTAGTCGAAAGCCCTCTTCCCGACCACCAGACCACGAGGACGCGGCATACTTACAAACATGGTACCGTAGAGATTATGGACGTTGCGATGCTCCACGTTTCCATGGTGAATGACATCCTTGGGAATCGTGATTTCGGGCCCACTGAAGACCGAGGGCTCATTCATGTCGTTCCAAGTGAAAAGTGTCTTGGTCGAGCCCTTGTATCGGTCGTACGAAAACTGGGATGCCCACCAATCTCTTGCCTTGGGGTTGTAAAAATCAATCCACTGCGAGCTGCCGGGCCAGCACCAACCATCGAATGCCGATTGTCCATCTTTGTTTTTGATGTACAAATCCAGGTCGTTTCCTTCCTTAGAAACATGATACTGGTCATCCTTTTTTATATGAGGATCGATGATGGTCACCATCTAAGAATAGAAATCGGTTCAGATAGTAGGGTAAATAACAGCTGCATGCATTCTAGTACAACGAAATACAAAGGAGCTACAATATAATAGCCCGTACCTTCCTGCCCTTGTTTGCGAGGGATTGCTGCATATCGGTGGGGTTGGGGAACTTTGCCTCATCCCAGGTAAAGTATCTCTTGCCATTGGTGTGCTCAATATCGAGCCAGAGAACATCGTATGGAATATCATGCTCGTCAAATCCAGCGTCGACCTCAGCGACATCCTGCTGCGTGTTGTAGTTCCAGCGACATTGGTGGTAGGCGATGGAGAAGGCTTGGGGAAGGGCCGTTGTGCCCACAAGCGATGAATACTGGCGGAAGATGTCACGTTGGGTCGGTCCTAGGAATACAAATACATCCAGAATTCCAGCCTCACTCATCCAGTGGGTCTTTGTTGATGGTGCCGGGACAGCTTTCTTAGACTTGATCCATGAGAGAATGCCACTATTCTTGTCCTCGGCAGTCTTCTCCACATCGACCCACGTTTCGGCTGCATTCATCCAGAATACAGCAGCAGTGCTGTTCTTGCTATGGCCGAGCATGAACGGGACCGATCCATAGAGCGCCATTGGGTTGTCAACCTCGTATTCGAACACATCCAGATTATACAGTCGGTAGGGCTCGCTGTATGGCGCGTCCGGACCCTTGGTTGCCTTGAGAGAGAGACTGGTTGCGTGCTCAGGGATGCCATAAACGTGGTTGATCCCCGAAAACGTGATATCCAGTCCAAACGACTCGGGTCCTAATACCAATTAAAAGAGAAAGGTACTTTAGAAGTGGGCTGCATGTCCGTAAAGTTATAAGCGAAACGTATCGATTTTTGTAGAAGCTGTACCTCTAGGCTTCGAATCTGTGGAATCCTTGAACCTCTCTTCCCACAAGTTCTCCTCCAGCTTTAGTTCTAGTGCGGACTTTTCGATCTTGATCTCGCCTTCCTTCTTTCTTGCTTCTTGATCGTTCAGCTTGCCTTCCTCATTCGCCTCCTCCACCTGCTTCTTCCTCAGTCGTTCAAATCTTAGAAGACCCTCCCCGTTAAGCACGACCGTCGTTACGTCGTTAACGAGAAACTCGATTTTGAAGGGCGCTGAGCTGATCTTGACCGTGTTCTGCCTCTGAGCGCCATACTGTATCGACAATACGCCGTCGGTGTCCTTGGAAAGTTGCTTATATGACGAATCCTTGGCCATTCCGTAGGGTTTGACTAACACTGTGTCCTGGACACCATCATATCGAGGGAGAACGCCTTCACGCTCTGTGATACGCACGCGCACTGCATCATTGTCGAGCAGGTGCAGCTCGAATGCCAGTCCTGGACGTGGTGAAGGTTGCTTCTCTTCCTGAGTATCGATGAGGTCGCCGGTGAGGATGCCATCTTTCAGACGCAGCGAGGACGGATTCATTTGAAAGGGGGAAATCCAATTGGGGGTCTCCTTAGCCAGTTCGGCATAGGCACGATTGCGGGCACAAAAGCCGCTCTGGGCACAAGTCTTGAAATCCTCGCGTTTGACCGCGCCCACGCAGCCCAAAACCACGCCAAGGGCGAGGACAGAGCGAAGGATGGTCATTTTTGACCTGAAGAGCTTGGACGATGGTGGCTGTGTACGTCCTCGAGCAGGATCCATCGCAAAGTGTATTGAGAATGAGATGACTGGGTACCTGTTTTCAGAGAATTGATGAAGTTACCAAGGGTGAGAGCAAGGTGAGATGAGAGATGATGAGAGCACAGCCCTCTATGATCCTTGAGTGACGTGGAAACTAGGGTGATTTTGGGTACGACGCGAAAAAGATGCACAGGTTGATTGCGCCTCAGTTGATATCACTCTACATGTTCATTGCTCGTTCAAATCGCCACTTAACTTCAGCAACGGTTCGTAACAAGCCCGACAGAGGGAACACATCCAACTACATAGGATGCATATGAAGAGCTATGCCATCCCACGCAACTTGTAATTGATCTTATGCGCGTCTATCGCAGTGTACCGCTCGCGTCAACATAGGTCATTGAGGTCATGTCGATTTCCAGCAGGAACGTGCCGTTTCAGAACTGCGACTCTGGTTACCTTGGTCCATGCCATCGTATTGGCTCTTATTTCGGCACTGCTTCCATGTCCATATCTGCATGCGTACGAGTAGATCGACAAGAGGTCTACCTTGAAACACAGATTATCCCATACAGGCAAGTAGCCCTCGGTAGCACAGCCTAAAAGAAGGATAGACGACGACGACTAAAGATCCTTCCTCTTCATGAATAAAAAATGAACCTACGCTCGATGCACGTGTTCTTGAACACCGGCATAAGTTGTCCTTGAATTGTATAATTAACGCTCGCAGAACTGCTACTGCTACTGCTACTGCTACTACTACTGCTACTGCTACTGCTACTGCTACTGCTACTGCTACTGCTACTGGTGCAAGTGCATCAAGCATCGCCAAAAGAGCTGCATCATGTCGCCCAGTAAAATCGCTGTCAACACCTCCAGCACAAGACGAGCACGTTATCGATCGCACAATGCAGTTGTTAGAGCAGACAATGGCTGTTCCTGTAATTCATTTTTCATTTTGCTTTTTTTATTTTAGTTCGTTTCATTCTGCTTCATTCCATTCTGTAATATTTTTATTTTACTTCATTTTATTTTATATTGGTTCATTTTATTCCGTTGTATCCGTTATATTTTGTTTTATTTCATCTATTCTATTCATTTCACTCTTTATTTTACTTCTATTCTAATTCTAGTCTTTTTTGCAGAAGGAAAAGAAAAAAAGAGGAAAAGAAGAAAGCTGGCTTGCCATCGGTCAGACTTGCTCAGAAGAGCAAGGCCGTGCAGGGCACACCTCGAGCAGGTTGCAAGCCATGGTGCCCCAAAAAACCACGAATGTGGGAAAAAAAGAATGGATCTCACGCAGCAACTCACCAACCCCCACTGACCCATCTTTTTTTATTAGCCCTCGAACCCCATGTGCAACCCCCAATCGCGCAGAACAAATGCCCCGATCATCACCGGCACTAAACCTACCAGGGTGTTCTCGGCAACACGAAACCGCCCCGTCAAGCGTAGAGCAGACCACATGGGTCATGACAACAAAAAATGGCCAAAAGTGCTGCGCTCATTGCTATTCAGAACGGAACTGTTGGTCAAGAAAAATGCAAAGACGGGGGCCCGCTCTTCGCCACCCACTGCTAGCCCTAGGCCTCAGAAATGGGGCCGCTCATCTTTGATTTTTTGTTTTTCGATTTCATTTTCATAGTTTTTTCGTGTTCTTCGTCCCGGTGATGAACAAAAAAAACTAGAAACGAATACCAAAAAAAAAATACGGGGGAAAAAAAAAACGAACAAAACAGAAAAAACAGGGAACCCCGCTGTGTGCTCGTACGGTTGGCTTTGCGGTGTACAAAGTCCAAGAAAGCTCTAGGAACGATGGGGAGAAGGGGGAAGGAGAGTGACAGAGACAGAGAGAAAGAGACAGAGGGAGGGGAGAGAGAGCAGTGCAGAGGTGAGCGACGATATCAGAGTGCAGGTGCAAAGAGTGGAGGCACAAAGAGTGGAGGTGCAAAGAGTGGAGGTGCAAAGAATGGAGGTGCAAAGAGTGGAGGTGCAAAGAATGGAGGTGCAAAGAATGGAGGTGCAAAGAGTGGAGGTGCAAAGAGTGGAGGTGCAAAGAGTGGAGGTGCAAAGAGTGGAGGTGCAAAGAGTGGAGGTGCAAAGAGTGGAGGTGCAAAGAGTGCAGGTGCAAAGAGTGGAAGCATATAGTGTGGAGCTGTGAAGAGAGGAGTGGAGAGAGTGCAGCTGAATGTTATTACTTACCTTGACGTTGAAGCAGTGACAAGGAGAAAAGAAGAGAGAAAAGAAAAGAAAAGAACGAGGTACAACGGCCGGTTTATATACTGCCAGCGCCACCATCGGTTAGAGCCATTTACGGACGAGTGCATTACGACCACTCCATCCACATAATGAAATTCGCCCATTAGAACAGGTACTCGCACAGATACTCCTGCGGAGGCGCATGCAAAGACATACCCAGGACCGATAGCAGCATTGTTAGCAGTATCGATCGCAGCAATACTAATGGATGATGTTGCACCCAAAACGAGACAAGAATAAGTAATAGTAACAGCAGGGAAGAAGAGCGAGGAAAAAGAACGCAGACACGCACAGTAGAGACAATGGTACTCTTTCGCAGCAGCACGCTTGTGGGCAGTGGCTACTGGAAAGGCCTCAAAGCGATCCTGATATACTCGGACCAAACTATCCAGTTCGGAGCACACCTTGCTGAATGGACCCCTTCAATAGCTGATTTACGATCTATAGTTTAATGCTCCTGTGCCTGGATCAAATAAAGGAATATTACCCACTGCGGCCACTAGCGGCTGACAGACTGGCACAAGCCCTGTAACGCACATCAACAAATGCGCCAAAAGAAAATGCTACAAGTAACAGCACCCGTGGGGACCTAATAGAGCCGCACCGTTGATACCCTGCAGCCTATTCTGCAGTGCAGCCTTGTGTGACCACAAAAAATAAACCACCGATCCTAGGATCAGAGTCGTCAGCAATGAGGATCGCGGCAGGTGGCAATGGGCAACAGCAGTCCTGCCGCTCTCCATGCTAACACAGACCAAAGTGTTCTGTGGAGAGCAAGGAACGGGTCCCATCGCCGTTTTTGGCCCTCCTGGCGACTATGGCCTGGCCAGGGTGGTTTAAACCTTGACTGGCTGTGCGCTCCACGCATATGTGGCCCATGCATTTGATTCTTGATGTAATTGGAGCTCTCTTTGTTTACAGCCTAAATTTGTGGCCCAAGCACTGCACTCCCAAAGTGGCTATGCTGCAGCGACCATCATTGGGCCACGCTCCTGCTGATACTGCCTCGCCTCATTCGCTCCTCCGACATGGCAGCGGCGTTCTGGGGTTCATCCATCCTGGAACACTCCATTGAAGTGCTGAAGCGATTGAGGGTCAGTGCCATGTTCGAACATTGGTTGCGCTGCGAATGCTGCTCTGACGAGCTGGACGAGGCGCATTAGACAAGAGTAGTGCTTCCTCAACGGGAAAAGCATCAGCACCGACGATATCTTCTTTAGGCGGGCGTTTTACTTCACCGGCGATCCCTGGTCGCCTGCTTCCGTAAATGCGTTGTTGCTGGCGTCGTTTCTAAGCTCTGTGATCAGTTGATAGACCGCTAAAAATTACTCTACTCTGACCATCTTGCCATCGCGCAGCATCAGAACCGCAGACAACTGTGCCAGCTCCTGCATCTGGTATGTAATAAAAATGTCCGCCTTATCTGCCAGTAGTTCCTGGACAAGGAGCCTCTCATTTTCGACTCGCAGGAATATTTGGCGTAGCGAAATCAAGCTATTCCCACAACTACAGCAACCGTGACCAATGCAGAAAAACGATAGAGGTGCCTCATCTTCCCCCAGTAATAACGCAAATGATTATATATTTGAGATTGATGGTATCCATAGTACGATTAGAGTCGGAAACAGAAAGCTGTTTACAGAACTACAGGTCCTCATTCTAGGATTGAATACATTGCTTTGTTTAAGAGACCCATGCAATTAGCTCCATCCATCATATAAATAGCCATTTCTATCTGGGCTGCTCAACTGTTGGAGAACTGAAAAAAGAAACATGTATGGACACGACGCGCTGCTTGCGCTACATGACAATGAGAATAGTTGCGATTTTCATATAGACGTATCTGCAGCGAGACTGACGAGGCCGAAACTGGCAGGGAAACGTGTTCATCCGTGCCAACTCTATCGAAAGGCAACAAGCACATCTCATAAAACTTGCCGTGCTATGCTCGACGTCCTCAGAAAAGGCCGAGCAGACATCTCTACTGTGTGCTCTGATTAAACACCTCGGAGAGTTTGCAGTGAAAGCCATGGACCATCGCATCAGTGGCCCACGAGTTCAGCTGAGCGTCGATTTGCTGGGCGATAGCTGCTGCTGCCCAGTTTTGAGCTCGGGCTCTCTCCCGGTAGGAATCGTAGAGAATCGATACCTGGGTTGATAGGATGTATCCGTAGAGAATCGATGCCTGGTTGATAGGATGTATCCGTAGTGCAGTGACATTACATCGACATGGATGTGCGGATCGATGGCTTTCATATCGGTTGGCCTCCTTCAATGGCCATATCGGCCAAATACTAAAGGCTCTTTCCATCCCCATTTTAATCGAGCGGATCGCTGACACATAAAGACAAGTGTACAAGTGGCAGTGGTCCAAGATTAATAGAGTGATACGCATCAATTGGTCCATTAACACCGCCGACGAAACACCGAGGCGACACAACTGTGAGTTTACGAGACTCGCAGGAGCGGGAAGGTGATGTATTGAAAGAAACATAGCTGTTCGAAGGGGCAGACAATGACAGTAAGGACAGTGTAGTAGTGAATAAGTTTAGGTGAGCAAAAGAGCGCGGGAAGACGACAAGGTCTAGCGATCCTTAAGAGATTAATACTCACAAATGAGCTTTAATGAAAGTGCTGTGCGCAACTTGGCCGGACTTTAAAATGAATGTGGGGTACAATAGAATTACGGGATATGATGCTGCCGTTGTAGGCAGGGCGGATAGTAAGATAAAAAATAAACGGGGAAGTAGGATGGAGACGACAGACGAGAATGTGAGGACAGGAAAGAGCGCGGGGCGAGAGACCTTTATGAATGTGTGTGTGTGAGGGGGAGGCATCTCTATCGTTTTTCTGCATTGGTCACGGTTGCTGTAGTTGTGGGAATAGCTTGATTTCGCTACGCCAAATATTCCTGCGAGTCGAAAATGAGAGGCTCCTTGTCCAGGAACTACTGGCAGATAAGGCGGACATTTTTATTACATACCAGATGCAGGAGCTGGCACAGTTGTCTGCGGTTCTGATGCTGCGCGATGGCAAGATGGTCAGAGTAGAGTAATTTTTAGCGGTCTATCAACTGATCACAGAGCTTAGAAACGACGCCAGCAACAACGCATTTACGGAAGCAGGCGACCAGGGATCGCCGGTGAAGTAAAACGCCCGCCTAAAGAAGATATCGTCGGTGCTGATGCTTTTCCCGTTGAGGAAGCACTACTCTTGTCTAATGCGCCTCGTCCAGCTCGTCAGAGCAGCATTCGCAGCGCAACCAATGTTCGAACATGGCACTGACCCTCAATCGCTTCAGCACTTCAATGGAGTGTTCCAGGATGGATGAACCCCAGAACGCCGCTGCCATGTCGGAGGAGCGAATGAGGCGAGGCAGTATCAGCAGGAGCGTGGCCCAATGATGGTCGCTGCAGCATAGCCACTTTGGGAGTGCAGTGCTTGGGCCACAAATTTAGGCTGTAAACAAAGAGAGCTCCAATTACATCAAGAATCAAATGCATGGGCCACATATGCGTGGAGCGCACAGCCAGTCAAGGTTTAAACCACCCTGGCCAGGCCATAGTCGCCAGGAGGGCCAAAAACGGCGATGGGACCCGTTCCTTGCTCTCCACAGAACACTTTGGTCTGTGTTAGCATGGAGAGCGGCAGGACTGCTGTTGCCCATTGCCACCTGCCGCGATCCTCATTGCTGACGACTCTGATCCTAGGATCGGTGGTTTATTTTTTGTGGTCACACAAGGCTGCACTGCAGAATAGGCTGCAGGGTATCAACGGTGCGGCTCTATTAGGTCCCCACGGGTGCTGTTACTTGTAGCATTTTCTTTTGGCGCATTTGTTGATGTGCGTTACAGGGCTTGTGCCAGTCTGTCAGCCGCTAGTGGCCGCAGTGGGTAATATTCCTTTATTTGATCCAGGCACAGGAGCATTAAACTATAGATCGTAAATCAGCTATTGAAGGGGTCCATTCAGCAAGGTGTGCTCCGAACTGGATAGTTTGGTCCGAGTATATCAGGATCGCTTTGAGGCCTTTCCAGTAGCCACTGCCCACAAGCGTGCTGCTGCGAAAGAGTACCATTGTCTCTACTGTGCGTGTCTGCGTTCTTTTTCCTCGCTCTTCTTCCCTGCTGTTACTATTACTTATTCTTGTCTCGTTTTGGGTGCAACATCATCCATTAGTATTGCTGCGATCGATACTGCTAACAATGCTGCTATCGGTCCTGGGTATGTCTTTGCATGCGCCTCCGCAGGAGTATCTGTGCGAGTACCTGTTCTAATGGGCGAATTTCATTATGTGGATGGAGTGGTCGTAATGCACTCGTCCGTAAATGGCTCTAACCGATGGTGGCGCTGGCAGTATATAAACCGGCCGTTGTACCTCGTTCTTTTCTTTTCTTTTCTCTCTTCTTTTCTCCTTGTCACTGCTTCAACGTCAAGGTAAGTAATAACATTCAGCTGCACTCTCTCCACTCCTCTCTTCACAGCTCCACACTATATGCTTCCACTCTTTGCACCTGCACTCTTTGCACCTCCACTCTTTGCACCTCCACTCTTTGCACCTCCACTCTTTGCACCTCCACTCTTTGCACCTCCACTCTTTGCACCTCCACTCTTTGCACCTCCATTCTTTGCACCTCCATTCTTTGCACCTCCACTCTTTGCACCTCCATTCTTTGCACCTCCACTCTTTGCACCTCCACTCTTTGTGCCTCCACTCTTTGCACCTGCACTCTGATATCGTCGCTCACCTCTGCACTGCTCTCTCTCCCCTCCCTCTGTCTCTTTCTCTCTGTCTCTGTCACTCTCCTTCCCCCTTCTCCCCATCGTTCCTAGAGCTTTCTTGGACTTTGTACACCGCAAAGCCAACCGTACGAGCACACAGCGGGGTTCCCTGTTTTTTCTGTTTTGTTCGTTTTTTTTTTCCCCCGTATTTTTTTTTTGGTATTCGTTTCTAGTTTTTTTTGTTCATCACCGGGACGAAGAACACGAAAAAACTATGAAAATGAAATCGAAAAACAAAAAATCAAAGATGAGCGGCCCCATTTCTGAGGCCTAGGGCTAGCAGTGGGTGGCGAAGAGCGGGCCCCCGTCTTTGCATTTTTCTTGACCAACAGTTCCGTTCTGAATAGCAATGAGCGCAGCACTTTTGGCCATTTTTTGTTGTCATGACCCATGTGGTCTGCTCTACGCTTGACGGGGCGGTTTCGTGTTGCCGAGAACACCCTGGTAGGTTTAGTGCCGGTGATGATCGGGGCATTTGTTCTGCGCGATTGGGGGTTGCACATGGGGTTCGAGGGCTAATAAAAAAAGATGGGTCAGTGGGGGTTGGTGAGTTGCTGCGTGAGATCCATTCTTTTTTTCCCACATTCGTGGTTTTTTGGGGCACCATGGCTTGCAACCTGCTCGAGGTGTGCCCTGCACGGCCTTGCTCTTCTGAGCAAGTCTGACCGATGGCAAGCCAGCTTTCTTCTTTTCCTCTTTTTTTCTTTTCCTTCTGCAAAAAAGACTAGAATTAGAATAGAAGTAAAATAAAGAGTGAAATGAATAGAATAGATGAAATAAAACAAAATATAACGGATACAACGGAATAAAATGAACCAATATAAAATAAAATGAAGTAAAATAAAAATATTACAGAATGGAATGAAGCAGAATGAAACGAACTAAAATAAAAAAAGCAAAATGAAAAATGAATTACAGGAACAGCCATTGTCTGCTCTAACAACTGCATTGTGCGATCGATAACGTGCTCGTCTTGTGCTGGAGGTGTTGACAGCGATTTTACTGGGCGACATGATGCAGCTCTTTTGGCGATGCTTGATGCACTTGCACCAGTAGCAGTAGCAGTAGCAGTAGCAGTAGTAGCAGTGTCATTACATCGAAGTTTCTGTATTGGTCTCCGTCCAAGCTGGCTATCAGTTTTTTTTCCTTCTCGGCGGCAAGTGAGACACTCTGGTAACCGGTTGCAGGTCTCTTGCGGTGTCACGCGAGCTCATGCAAAGAATACGCGTAACAGTATGTCAATACATGGACGTTGCACAGAAGCGCCGCAGTTCACTGCTGCGATGTATGTCTAGCTGGTGGTGGTGTCTATAGCAGACCAGTGAGCTGGATATAAGTCTGGAAGAGGATGCATGCAGCGATGGTTGTGCTGTGTAGGAATGGATAGCTGGGCCTGGACGCAACTCGGGATCACTACGCGCGTGCATATTGGGGCGAAAAGGCAGCCTTGCTGGTTTATGTCCCATATGGCCATCGACAGCACTGGCCACTCCATCTTTTTCTGGCTAGTTGGTCCATTTAGTGCTAGTCTCATGCTTCCTTACTTGCTTGCTTGCTTGCCGTGGCACGGTAGCAGCATGCTGTCATCTTTCCTGGATGCCGAAGAGCAAGGCAGCTGCTGCGTTGACGAGGATACTCCAGGTCCTATCTGGTTTTCCCCTTTATGGTTTTTTTCTGGTTTGGGGTGTGTCCTGGACGACCTTTACCCTTCTGAGTAAGACTGACCGATGGCAAGCCGACTTTCCTAGGTTTTTTTTCCTCCTTTTCCATTTCTCTCTCTTTCTCTTTCTTTTCCCTTTCCCTTCTACAAGATTATAGAGTAAAGTAAAGCTAAAGAAACGAAATAAAGTAAAATAAAGTAAATGAAAATGAAACAAAGAAACAGCTATTGTTTGCTCCAACAGCTGCCTTGTGCGATCGATAACATGCTCGCTTTGTGCTGGAGGCGTTGACAGCGATGTAACTAGGCGACAGGATGACGATGATTGGTACACTTGCACCGGCGGCAGTAGTAGCAGCAGCAGTAGCACTGTGTTGGCTTCGTTCAAACTGGCGCATTTTTCTTTGCGGTAAACCCTCCAAGTGGGATACTCGGATGGCTAGCTGCAGACTTCTTGTTAGTCGTAGAGACCCATAAAGGTCTTGCCTTAGACCGCCTTGATTTCTACTTCTCTATGGCGGACTCGCTGGGGTAGCGACAATGGTGCAGGAAGGGGTATCAAGGTTCCACTTTTTCATACCGACATCTATGCGGCATTGGGCTTCACGTACTCGCTGCTGACGATCTTCCAGTCGATTACAATTCAGGCTCATTGTTGTATCAGTTTAGCGCGTATGTTGCACCAGAGATTGCTGCATAGTGTTCTATGGTCGCCAATGATGCTCCTTGATACCTCTTCCATGGGATATATCCTCAACCTTTCCAGCAAAGGCCAATCAGCGGTTGATAGCGTCTTTCCGCGCTCTTCTGCTGTGTACTCAAGGACAGCCTGCTAGGCCCCTTCGGCTTTGGTTCTGGTCGCTGTGTCGACGTCCAGCTTCACCTTCCTTTTAGCTTCATATATCTCTTGCTGCATTGGTACTTCTTGACAACGTCCCGCAATATCTGCAGGCTGAATTCTGTTACTCGATCGTCGTTTTTGCGCTTTTCCGGGAAATACTCGGTGGAATCAGCACTATTCGCACTTACAGATGGCAAGAGAGGTTTGTCAAAGGCAACAAGCACAGCCTGGGCCAGAATTTGAGTGCGTTCTATCTCGGCATTGCAGGAAACTGTTGACCCTCGTCCCATTCTTGAAACTCTGGGCTCCATCAATATATATTTTTTTTTTTTTTAGATCTACATACTTACCCATCGTATCACTGGCCAAAACATCGCTGTGGATCCAGGTCTTGTGGGCCTGTCGTTGAAATATGCACTCAGTATCACACAGGCTCCAAACTGGATAGTCCGCCAGCACACCAAGCTCGAGTCCAATATCGTAGCCGTTGGGCGTCTTCAGGAATACGTCGATCTCAAGCCTGAAGCCTCAGAGATCAATGCTGACAACCGTCCACCACAGGAATGGCCAACTCAGGGGCGCGTCGAATTCATCGACTACGAGACCAGATATCGTCCAGGACTCGATCTTGTCCTCTGTGGCGTCAACTGCTCGATCAACCCTCACGAGAAGCTCGGCATCTGCAGCCGAACAGGAGCAGACAAGTCCAGCTTGACCCTGTCGCTCTTTCGCAGCGTCGAGGCCGCCAAGAGACAGGCCCCTGTCGACGGCACCGATATCTCGGCCCTAGGGTTGTATGATGGCCACTCTCGGTTCTCGATTATCTCCCAGGATCCGGTCCTGTTTGCTGGCACCATTCGGTTCAACTGGATCCCTTGGGGACAAGGCCCGACGTCGGGCTGTGGCAAGCACTCGAGGTCTCGTATCTCAAGGACTATGTCTCGGCCATAGGGGGGGGAGCTCAATGTGATGGTGCTTGAGAGAGGCGGCGATTTCTCTGTGGACCAAGGGCAGCTGATCTGCTTTGCACGGGCGGCGCTTCTTCGCAAGGCCAGCTTGTTGGTCCTGGGCGGAGCGACGGCTGCGGTTGGTCTGGAGACGGCAGCGCTAGTACAGGCGATTATTCAGCAAAGTTCCGCGAGCGCACGATCCTGACAATCGCGCATCGGGTCGACACGGTGATGGATAGCGACAGGTTCATGGCACTGAACCAGGGACGGATGGTGGAGTTTGGCACGCCAGCGGCATTGCTGGCGGACCAGAGCTCGATATTTTACTCTCCCGCCAAGCAGTCTGAGAACGCGTAGAATAGCATAGCAATAGGGACACACGGCATCCATGAAGCGGGGTTGTATATGCCCATAGTCCAGATGTGTGCCCAGATGTGTGCCCAGGTGTGTACCCAGATTAGTGCCCAGATGTCCTCTCAGATTCATAGGTGCCCCCAGCTAGACTTTCAGTTGCCTGATCGGCCATCAGCCGTGCCGCTGCCCTCCTCCACGCCAGCCACCAGCAAGACCAGCACCTTTGGTATGTCACGCGCATTGGACACCATTATACCGCTGTCGAGCACCTTGTCTGTGGACGATGTCCAGGGCTGCTTGCATGCGTGCCTGCGTTGGAGCCTGCTTTGCCTTCAGCACAAGCCTCGGCTTCAAATGCGGACATTCGATCATCCGGCGACTCCATATCCAAGAACATGATACCCCGTTGAGGATCCCTTTCTGCTTGCTTTCCTCAAGCGCTGTCCAGGACTCACGGATGTGACGCTTCTGGCTATCCTGAGACTCGTGCAAGGAATCTACTACGGTGCCCTCGGCACATCTTTTGATTTTTTCTTTCATGTGCTATATCTTCTTTTTCTTTTTGGCACCCATTGTGACACAGCGGTGTCAGGAACCAACTGTGTGAAGGCACCTAACATTAGCGGATGTTCCGTTTATTGTATTCTAGCTTGGTGACTGGGACAGCTATGCGTGGTCATCTGAACCTCAGAAGAGAGAAGTAGGAGCTTTATAGCGCTAAAGTCGGATTGGCACACCTGAGCTCACGTCGATCGACTGCCGCCGATATAAGGTGCTGGCCGAGACGGCAACAAGTCGAGCCCTTACTGGGGCTCATCCCCTGCAGCTAAACATACATTCCAGCAGTGAACTACAGCACTTGGAGCGATAACAAGGTATATTTGCTGTGCGCGTTGTGGAGTGTGGGTTGTGCATTGTGCAACATCCATGTATTGACGTACTATTACGCGTATCCGTTGCATGAGCTCGTGTGATACTGCAAGAGGCCTGCAGCCGGTCTAAAATTGAGAGCCAGCTTGGACGGAGACCAGTGCAGACACTTTGATGTACTACTACTGCTGCTGCTGCTGCTGCTACTGGTGACTCGGGGCCCAGGCTCTTAATTCGATTCAACTGTCTAGCGTATATGGGCCGGACACAAGTCGTGCTTGTCGTTACGCTTGTAACCGCCTCTATTTGATTCACGCATCCCGTCTGGTGAATACATCCGTTGAATCCTCTGTTTGAACATCAAAAATCAAGATGCAAGCAAGGCTACTCTCCGTAAGAGGGACGTAACAACCATTTGCGGCAGTAAGTGCGCTTGGTTTATGAAGAACAAGGAATGAAGTCAAGACAAAAAAGCACTGGAATTGAAGCGCGTTTTCATCAAGGACGACTGAGAACATTCAAGTGCTGTAAAATAAGAATATCGTTATGGTACTACTGAATAGATTTATTGTTTGGTGTTTACATTGAGAAAAGAATAACCAGAGAAAGCAAGATCACCTCAATACGTTGAGTATAGAGTTGTCCATGCATGTCACATCCAGACGAGATCCAGGACCATGGCTGCATTTGATAGCAAACACACAATCCTGCTCTCACTTCCGGTGCTTCCTCAGGTAAGAAATAACGAAACGAGATACTTTTTGATTGAGAGCTGCTTCCACACTTCTGCAGATGCGAAACCATAACAAAAACGGAGCCATTGCCTCGAGACATGGAAAGGGATCTTCGGTTGACGAGGACCCTACCATATCTCAAAAAGAACGACAACAACTCACTCGGAATGATCGTAAAGATCCGGACATTCGGCTTGACTTGAGATCTCCAAGATGGTTCACGATCGATCGTGGAAGGCAGTGAGACAGACTATCGACGGCGGCAAGGACTGAGGATCACGCTCTGGGGACCAAGTATCTCGCTTTGCTTTGGGAGTTCTTGTTCCTGGCTGCGCTGCGAAGAATGGAATCAAGAGATAGGGAGAGGACGAAGGAAATAAAGGAAGTGTATGCACCAAACAATTATTTTTTTTCGGGGACTTTGTAACTGCTTCTGTTGAAGAAACTTTCAGGTTAGTGAGCACAGCACAGTTAACATGAAAGTCAAGGAACAATATGCAAAGAGATAACAAAGGTAGAGGGAAAAAGAAAAAGAAATAAGAGTTTCGGGATCTGTTAAGAGATCCCAGGGGTGAGTGCCGTTGAGGCACTCTACTTTTTACCATATCGTTCGTTTGTTGAAAATAAACGCATTGGCCCTTGAGCCATCTCAACAATGTGAGATGGATGGCACGGCGGCGTTTTCACGGACTTATGCAGAGGCACGGAGCGCCTCGGCCACAGCAACCATATTGGTCAATGACTCGCGGACCTCCTTCCAACCACGGGTCTTGAGACCGCAATCGGGGTTGATCCAGAGGTTGCGGCGGGGAATGTAGCTAAAGCGCAAGGTTGGAAACGGTATGTTAAAACCTGAAGACGAGATTGCAAACAACACAAGGCCCAAATAGGTACCAAACTTACTGCAACATGGCATCGGCACGTTCCTTCATCTCCTGGACGGAAGGAACACGGGGAGAATGGATGTCGAAGACACCAGGTCCAATCTCGGCGGCATAGCCGTGAGTCGAGAAGGCGCCCAAGATCCTCATGTCACTCTTGGAGTTCTCGATGGTCAAGACGTCAGCATCCATGCGGCGAATGGCCTGGAAGATGTCCTGGAAATCACTGTAGCACATGTGGGTGTGGATGACGGTCGTGTCTTTGACACCGGTGGTTGAAAGCAAGAAGGCGTCGACGGCCCACTGGAGGTAGAAATTAAAATCGACAGAGCGGAGAGGAAGGCCCTCACGAATGGCAGGCTCATCGACCTGGATGTGGACGATACCAGCCTCCTCCAAGTCAACGACCTCATCACGGATGGCAAGGGCCAATTGGGTGCAGACGACTGAGCGAGGAATATCATCGCGGACGAAGGACCACTGCAAGCAGGTGACGGGGCCAGTCAACATGCCCTTCATGGGTTTGCTGGTAAGGGACTGAGCATAGACGGTCTCAGCGACTGTCATCTTCTTCTCGCGATAGACATCGCCGAAAATAATTGGAGGACGGACGCAGCGGGAACCGTAGGAGGCGATCCAGCCGTTCTCGGAGAAAATGTATCCTTCCAAACGCTCACCGAAGTAGGCAACCATGTCGTTACGCTCAGCCTCACCGTGGACGAGGACATCGATGTTGAGCTTCTCCTGCTCCTGGACGCAGTATGCGATCTCCTTTTTAATGAAGTCATGGTAGGCAGCCTCGTCGATCTCGCCCTTGGTAAACTTGGCACGAGCCAAACGGATCTCCTTGGTCTGGGGGAAGGAGCCAATGGTGGTGGTGGGGAACTCGGGCAGAGGGTGAGCAGCATGCTGCTGGGCCTGGCGCTGGCTAAACTCGCTGCGGCGGCGGAGCTGGTCGGGAGCAATGGCGGCGAGACGCTCACGAACGGCACTGTTGGTGGTGTGGGAGGAAGTGCGACGAGCCTCGATCGAAGCAGCGTTGGCCTCCAATTCAGCCTTGACGGACTCGACACCGTGGTTGAGAGCATGGGCGAGGGTATGGACCTCCTTGCACTTCTCCTCGGAGTAGGCGAGCCAGTCATAGAGTTCAGGGTTCTTAGTCTTGAGACGGTTCTCAAAGCGGAGGGTTACAGGGGTGTGCAACAGAGAGCAAGAAGGAGCAATGAAGACACGCTCCGAGCCGAGAGCAGCGACAGCGGTCTGGGCCAGCTTGAGGGCATCGGCGAGGTTGGTCTTCCAGATGTTACGGCCATCAACCAAGCCGAGGGAGAGGACCTGAGTCTGGCTGAGGTTAGCAATGACATGTTCGATCTGTTCGGGGGCACGGACGAGATCGATATGAAGACCAGCAACGCCAGAGTCCTTGATGAAGGAGACGTTGTCACCAATGCGGCCGAAGTAGGTGGCGATCAAGAACTTGAGCGAGGGAGCAGCAGCGGTCAGACGAGTGTAAGTCTCCTGGAAATGAGCGATGACACTGGGAGCGAGGTCGAGGGCGAGGATGGGCTCATCGACCTGGATCCAGTCGGCACCAGCCTCAGCGAGCTTGGCAAAGAGCTCCTCGTAGATGGGGAGGACCTTGGGGAGAAGGGAAATGAGCTCAAGGCCGGCGGAATTCTTGGCAGCTTTACCAAGCAAAAGGAAGGACAGGGGACCAAGGACGACGGGACGGGTGTGGATACCGAGGGCCTTCGCCTCGTTGAACTCTTGGACGGTCTTGGCCTGGGCAACGAGGTGGAAGGTCTGGTTGGCCTCGAACTCGGGGACAATGTAGTGATAGTTGGTGTCAAACCACTTCTTCATCTCTTGGGCCTCGATGTCGACCTTTTCCTGGGTCTCGGTAGCCGGTTTCTGGATACCACGTCCGATGGCAAAGTTGCGCTCGTGGCCAGCAGCGAGATGGCGGAAACGCTGGGGGATGACGTTGAACATGACGGAATGGTCAAGGACATGATCGTAGAAGGAGAAGTCGCCAGAAGGGATCTGAGAGAGACCCTGTCCCTGCTGGAGCTTCCAATTCTCGGCACGCAGCTTGACGGCAGCCTCGTCGAGAGCCTGCTCGTTGACTTTGCCAGCCCAGAAGGCCTCGACGATCTTCTTGGTCTCGCGTTGAGCACCCTGTATATGAAAAAGGATCAGATAAGATATACTTTGGGTCAGAGTTCAATTTGATAACGAAAAAACAACGGATCCACAGCACAGCGAATTAATCCACACTTACGATTCTGGGGAAACCCAAGTTGGTAGCGTGAACCATTGTGATGTGTAGTTATGGGATTTGTGAGCGAGTGTGTCTTTGCGTGGAGGGTAAAAGAACCGGTAACAGGGATCTTTTTTGGGGATAGTTGAGTACGAAGTGGGATCTGCAAAGAGAAGAAGAAAAAAGATCGAAGGGCGATGAACGGGACCTTTTTATAGCCGCGAGGAGTTCGGAGGCTGGGGAACAAGACTGCTTTTTGGGCGAATCTCTCCTCTGGACTGGGGATGGCTCAACGCTACCTTGACAGCCAATCATCGTGTGCAATTTCACCTCGCACCACAGGACGAAATCACATCATTTTTTCAGCCCTCTGCACTCAAACTTGTACCCGCCACAGTCCTCGCGATGAATAGTGCAGAATAAGCCGGATGCTGTGGTGCCTTGGGGTGCAGATATATTTTATTGCTGTCCAGCAGATACTTCCGCTTGCACACGAAAATAACGCGCACAAACATACAGTCATGCACCGGGAGGGGCGATCAAAACGTCCCCTTCCTTTTTTCCCTGCATTTTTACGCCCACAATTACACGTCAAAAAATACCAACCTGGACTAAAACGAATCCAACTGCTGGCGCCCATGTGCAGTGGTAACACCATTCACGCATTTGTCCTGGACCTGTTCCTGTCCATTTTTTTTTTTTTTTTTTTTTTGTGCGGATTATGGGGACCTTGTAAAGTGACATATGCTTCCTTGTTGCCCCTCTAGTTTGGTTTCGTTTTGAGATATGTCGAAAGCAGATGACTCGCCTAGGCTTTAGCAACTGCTGCATGAACCTAGAAGAATGGTGAGAACCACAGTTCTAGTCGCGTATGTCAATGGTTCCGGCGACATCTATACTTCGTACATATTTATTTATTTTCACGTATTCAGAATGACTCATACCATAGCGCCATTGGCTGTATTCTCAGGGAGCGAATGGGAAGGAACGGACAGTCTTTTGTCTCACGAGAAAGGCATGAGAGCCCGTCCATCCTACACTCCTGCTGGTGCATCCCTATCGTGCTGTGCTCTTTCAATGGGGGTTCCAGTTATTGACATTGTCGAACTTAAATCCGCTGCTGTGACTTACCAGTGCCCAAGTAAACCATTTTCTGTCTCTTTAAGCGCTTGCCTGTAACAACCTGACTACTCCTTTGTCTACAAATCCCGCTTCAAGCTTACTTGTTTTTAAAAATGCTCTTCAAGATCCAATCTTGAAAGCAAAGAAGAAAATTCAAAATACGCCGGGAGATATCTGAAGGGGCGGATTTAAAGAAATTTCTTAAATAATGGGTACAGGTGGATGGAGTACGCTGCCTGGCGCCTGAAACCTGGTGCCCTGAAGGTTAAATATTAATGAGCGGCCAGATTGTGACTAACGCCCGGCAGAGGACGCGATACCTTGGTTCAGCCTGCATCTAAATGAGGTGACTGCTGAAGTACACGAGCACTTTGAACATGCCTCATCATTTCATCCTACTTCCATACCCATCGACCGAAAACGCGAATCTGACAGCGATGGATGTCGCGGAACTAGCCGAAGCATTCAAGCAGCCCTCCAACCATGGGCAGCTTATGCAGCGTGTGCAAGAACTTATGGGCCAGGGCATAGACGTCTCCTCTACATTTGCCGCCGTAGTATCGGTTAGTACCTATATGCAGCTGAATAACCAATAATATTCCTTGCTAAACGATGCGCGTTTTTTCTGTTCCTACGCGTTTACTAACGCGATAAACGTATGTTTAGTCCGCATCGACACGCGACATTACCATAAAGAAGGCTGCCTACGCATTTCTAGCCAAGTACGGCCGTACGAACGAGGAACTGTGCTTCTTGAGCATCAACACCTTGCACCAGGACTGTGCTGATCTCGACCCGATGGTGCGATCTCTCGCTCTGCGCACTCTGTGCTCGCTTGGGTAAATACGCCGTACTTGAACAGATTGGCATTCAAATAGTTTGAGTACGAGAACGACCAGCAAGGATCCTGACTAACACTGTGTTGTAGACAACGAAGCGTATTGCGGTTTTTACTGCAGCCTCTGAGTAAGGGGTTTCAGGATAAAAATGCGCATGTCAGGAAGACAGCGGTCATGGCTTGCATCTCGCTCTTTGAGCTGGATCCAATCTTTGTTCTTGGTAAGAAAGGAATAACTAACGCTCTCATTCTTTCTAACAAAATTGGCATCGTCTGAAGGCTAACCGTGTAGAAGCTGATATCTGCTCGTGAATTACAATATAGAGAGTGAGATTGTAGACAAGCTCTACGAAATGCTGCGTGATCGAGACACTCAAGTGGCTGTGAATGCGATTCTGGCGTTGGAGACCATCCTTGCGGACGAAGGTGGGATCGTAATCAACCAGAACATTATGGCACATCTCATTCGGCGTTATAAAGACTGGAACCCAAGTCAGTTACAGGTCATCCTCGGAGTTCTCTGTCGGTATAAACCACAGACTAACGACGAAATCTATGAGATTATGGTATGTAGGACATGCATATCAGCGCTATTTTCCTATTTTCTATTTTCTTACTCGATGGAAAACAGGCTGCATCGCGTTAACATCCCCTTTTGTCGCTTCAAATTTGCCACCGCGAAATACTAGAATAACGTAGATGAGGGGCTACAGCATCCATCGCTTGCGGTCCAAATGGCTACACTGCGGTTGTTTATCTGGCTGTGCCAAGATCTGAACGAAATCCAAGAAGATCTTCAAAAGACGATGGAAGGTAACCACAATGTACTATCTGCTTTCTTGCGCCTTTCATAAACGATAAAGTCGTTCCGAAGTAATGACTTATATTTTCATTCTTTATTGCGGATAGAAACCCTGCTCAAGCACCTGAACTCCTCCATACCAGAGTTGGTCCATGCGTCTTTATGTCATCTTGCGCTCGTAGTAGAAACTACTGGAAGACTTCAGCATAACGCCACGCAAGACCTCTCCGCGTTGTTCTGCCGGTAAGCAAAAATATCAGGAGTCCTACAAGTGGTTGGATTCTGTTTTTAGCATTTCCGCATAGCCGTAGCTGACATGCCTATGTTTCAACACTTCGTTTCGTAGGGCAACCGATTCAAGCGTGATTAAGTTTCAAAGGCTGAACCTGTGCACCACAGTCGCCCTATCAACTGCTATATCGGATTCAGCATCGACCTTCATCCTGGAGCACATGTGCGAAGTCGCTGGGATGAAGTCCCTGATGCTGCTGCAAAAACCATCTCGGGCCAAATTGGATAGACACTCGATTGAGGCGCATGTGGAAGTGGCAGTTCGGGCTATCGAGGCAATCGGAAGTATCGGATCCAATATGCGTCCTCATCACAGAGCCCTTGTCTCAGATTTAGCGTCTCCTTCTGGAATGGACCTCAACTTGAGTCGACAACTAGGCGAGCAAAGAGAATCGAATATCACAAAGATCTGTCTTGAGAGATTGTTCCGTCTATTAGTCTTGTTCTCGAACATGGAGCACGTACTGGAGGAAGACAGCGCACGCAAGGAAAAATATAAGAAGGTTGGCATGATTGACAGTTTGATGCCTACGAATATCGGAGACTTGGATTTGGATGACTCTCAGACCGCGCTGCTGTTGTCAACAGTCCTGACATCTATCGAACGTAAGCGCAAGATGCGCAGGAATGAAATTTGAGTGTGGGTGCTAATGGGCAGCTTTCGGTGGTCCTTGTTCTCACAGACTTGCACCTTGTCTTTAATCGGAACACGTTAGGTTGCTGGCAAAGAGAGTACGAATCTCGACAGTGTGCGGACGAAAATCCATCTACTACAGCTAACGGCGGGATCTTTGACGCCTTCCAGATAAAAGTACTTGGGATATTTTTGCTTCGACATCTTGATCAAGAGGAACTGGACCGTCTTGCCAAGAAGAAGAAACCTCTCCGCTTTCGCTACGACACAAAACAGAACAACATGTCTTCACCCTCTCATTCGATGATTCAGGAATTACAGCAGCAGCAACAACCAGGTGATATTTCAAGGCTTGCAAGGATCAGCGGCATACGCATGTTGCTTCTCGAAGAGTCAACCCAGCAACTATCTCTACGGAAGCAGCTTCAGGAATCCTCCGTACTCGTAGCTGAAGGTGAAGATCACTCGTCTTCCCCAAAAAGCGACTATAGTCGAGCAGCAACCATTCGTGCAGCGTTGGAGATGAGGGCTCAGTATGCACTTCTACTGCAACAGCAAGTCCAGGACATGGTGCAGACGATCGACACACGGACTCATGCTGATGATCCTATCGTCCGATCAAACGGCGCCTTTCTACGAGTGCGTGCTGAGCAAATTGGGGTGCTCCACCTGGCTTGTTATCTTGTTGCTTTCGCAATCGAACACGAGGACGCAGACCAGCGAGGGTCCGATCTGTTCAGGCACAGGCTGGATATTCTCGCCCAGGCTGTGGACCAGCTTATTCCTGGATCCGAATCCGAATCTTCGAGCTATGACCCTCCTTCGGTTGACCAAATTTCAGGTGCAGACGATGAACACCGTGTAAATAACGTCTCCAGGGATGTAGCTGATCGAGCAAGGACGATTGAATCTATGTTTCTCGTACCGCTTTCGAGCGCGATATCCTTGTCCGCTGGAACCACAGATATCTTGCTATCGAGACTGCGAAGCGTGAGCCACAAAAACCAGTTCGACTCGCCCATCTTCAAAACAGAAAAGTACCAGAACCTCGTCAGACAAAGGATTGTTGAACAATTTGGTGTTGCCGGGAAGAATCGCTCCGCAAAGGGTGTTGAGGAGGATACATTCAGCAACCAACCCTCAAAGATTCAGGATATGGATCGACTCATACTCAAGGACTGGTTATTCCATGTTGGATTCAACACTCTGGCCGCCACAGTGTGATTAACTAATAAACATCTAGAAGCAGGGTATCAAGAAACCAGAGCTATATCGTGGACAATGTCTCTTTGTATTGAATCTATGCCATGAACTAAGAGATGCTTATGCTGTCTAAATTGTTCATGGAATGTGTCCGCTGTCTTCCCTGAGAGAAGTCAGCAGATCCTGGGCTTTTACAGCTACTGACGCTGAGTGATCCATCCGGTGCTTACGACGGCGGTCCCTGCGCGATGCCTCGTTATCCCTGCCGTTTCTGAGGGACTCGAGCAAGCTGTCCATCATGCCCTTATCATCACTACCACCATCTGCATCTGATGTTGAGCCTGAGGAAGGGAGGAAAGAAAACGGAACGCATATTAGTTTTATTGGAACAGTGAAAGAGCGAGCCAAGCAAGAACCTGGATATAAAAAAAATGTCCGTGTGCACAAACCTTCGCCATTGATGTCTGGGACCTGGAGACGATTCCGCTTGGCGGCGATCTGCTCTTGGCGCTGCTTGGCCGCAAGTCTAGCCTTCTCGCGCTGGGTATCTCTTTCTCTCTGCTTGCGGTTGTCCTCTCTTGCTTTCTGTTATCATTTAACAAAACATAACGACAATAAGATATGTAGTAGACCAGTTAGTAAGACTGCCTGTCCATTCTCTTCATACAGACCCGCTTAGAGTCAAATGCCGAACAAGCGCGGCATGCGTACCTCAAATGACGATGTAAACGTCTTGAAAATTCCAAAAAACTCGTCCGGCTTCATGATCGTAGGCTCCTCTCCGTAAAATTTGACACAATCCTTGTAAAGAATTTCCATCTCCGTTATGGCTGACTCGGTCCTTGAAAATTGTCTTTCGGCCGTCTCAATAAATGGCTGCATAACTTCGTAGAAGCGATCGTCAGCACACGTCTTCAGGCCATCAGGATAATGAGTGCTGAGCTCCACCTTGATTTCCTTCAACTGGGTCTTGATATGGTTGAAATCTGACTGGAGCTCTGGCAACGAGACTAGAAATAATGCAAGGCGCAACAGAGAACGCGCATTCGTGTTGGTTCTCAGTGCGGACAAAATTATTTGTACTGAAATTAGCATGATAACATACCTCGACACGCTTCTCCACAAGAGCTAATCTCAGCTTGGTATTGCAAAAGGTCGGGCAAGGTCGTTTCCGTGATGCTTGTCAAAAAGTGTAGTAGTGTCATACTGGAAGCGTTGGATGCTTTCGTATCGACCAGCTAAAATAGAACATACATTGAACAGAGCAGACAGTGATTAGCTACTATATAAAGAAAAGCATTCCATGAAGAGAAAACCAAGGGCAACACCACGCTAGAAGATCCATACTTTGTTGATACTGGCAATCTTGAATCCGAAGGCTCCGCCATTGTGGCTGTTTCCGTTCATGTAGTTTCCGAGCATGAGAATTAGGTTGAGCAGCTCCTTGAAGTACCCAGCATCCTTCAAACTCTTTGAAGCAATGGAAATAGCAGAGATAGACTATTCGATGCAAGCGGTTAACTAGCGCTCACGACTTTACTCCAGCACATTAATTCAAGACATGTGCTTACCTCGTTGACGCCGTCCAAGAGAGACTTAAATGTCACTTTGAACTTGAGGCCCTCCAGGCGCTGTTGGTATCTGTCAATTTGGAGGATCTACTCATACAAAACACATTTGAACGAATAAATAAAAATCGATTATCATGTGTGTCACCATAGATCGGCATACATAGAATTCCTTAAAACCAATATTTACCTCTACGAAGAAGGCCTCCGCTCTACCCAATCGCAATTTAACGTCCTCCGGTGCATCCTTATACTCTAAAAGCTTTCCGGTCTAGTGATTTACAAGAAATATGCGAATAATATCAGCAACACGTCTTTCAAAAGAAAGCAAGCATTAAAAGATGTACCAATTCTTACTTCTTCGGCATCAGGAACATATTTAAGCAGGTTTGTCAGCTGGACAAGCGGCATAAAGTCCTCGTCCATACGAAGAATGGCATGACGAATCTCAGGATTCGTGTGCTTCATACCACCCAACATAATGTTGATTTGATGAGCGCGACGCTGCTCTAGAATAAGGATCTCGCGCGCCTTCTTGGATGCACGGGGTTCTATTGTCGGGTATAATGGTTAGTATTCTTCGAGGAACCCCACTCCACTTGTCAACCGTATAATCGCTGCAAACATGTTTCTTACCTCTGTACTCAGTGACCTTGGCCACAAAGAGCTGCTCCATGTTTCCAAAGATGCCGTTTGCGCCAAGAGCGCGCTGCAGTGCCTCTTCATCCACGCCACCAGAACCCCAGATGGTGTTTCCAACAGCCATGTAATTGAGCTTGTCCCATTGCAGCGTTTTTAGCTTCACGCCTGCTATTGCACCATCCTTCTTCTTGTTCGTCAACATCATTCCTGGGGGAGGTGGCCCTGCTCCGCCGGGAGGAGGTGGCGGTCCTCCACGGCCTGGTGGTGGCGGTGGTGGCGGTGGTCCCCCTGCTCCTGATGGGGGTGGAGGTGGCGGGTCTCCAGCCTTTGGTCGGGCGAATGAAGGTCCTTTGGTCGTTGTCGGGCTGCTTTGTCCTAATCTCTTCTTCTTGGCGGCCAACATGGCAGCAAAACTGCCTGGTGCGGGCTCATCAGAGTCAGAATCGGAGTCATTGTTGCCGCCTAACTTGGTTGAATTACTTTTAGCCAGCATCTGACCAAGCAGGTTGCCCATGCCAACGGGTGGTGATGGGAGAGATGACGTGAGTCCCATACCTGGTGGTGGCGGCGGTGGGGGGGGACCACCAGCTGGAGGTGGGGGAGGTGGTGGGGGACTACCAGCTGGAGGTGGGGGAGGTGGTGGGGGACTACCAGCTGGAGGCGGGGGAGGTGGTGGGGGACCACCAGCTGGAGGTGGGGGAGGTGGTGGGGGGCCTCCGGAAGGCGGTGGAGGTGGAGGTGGAGGAGCACCACCAACGAGTGGTGGTGCCAGCGGCAATGAAGTGGCGGTTTCTTCTGAAAGCTCCTCGACTATGTTAAAAGAAGACATGGCATTAGAACAAAAGCATGTCTCGTCAAGAATGGCTCTGTAAATAGACTGCATACCTTCATCAGCAGATTCATCATCCTCGTCTCCTTCTCTAGATTGCTTGCGTCCGCGTCCTCTTCCGGATCCATTGGAAACTCCCTCGAGACCGGTGCCCTGTTCTGGGTGCTGCTGTCCGTCGAGTCGCTCCAAATCCTGCTTGAGTGTAGGATCCGCTGTAGTAATATAAGCAGGCACCTGGGCACCATATCGTGCCTGCAGCTTGGATTTCTCCGCTCTGGTTTGCTCGAGCATGCGGCGAATCTTATCCTTGTCAAGCGGTGGGACCTCGTCTCTGCTGCCTTTCCCACCATATCCAGACCCAGCACTGGTTCCTGGACCGATGCCAGTTCCTGAGCCAGTACTAATTCCTGAGCCAGTGCCAGTTCCTGAGCCAGTACTAATTCCTGAGCCAGTGCCAGTTCCTGAGCCAGTACTAATTCCTGAGCCAGTGCCAGTTCCTGAGCCAGTACCAATTCCTGAGCCAGTGCCAGTTCCTGAGCCAGTACCAGTTCCTGAGCCAGTGCCAGTTCCTGAGTCAGTACCAATTCCTGAGCCAGTGCCAGTTCCTGAGCCAGTGCCAGTTCCTGAGCCAGTACCAATTCCTGAGCCAGTGCCAGCTCCTGAGCCAGTACCAATTCCTGAGCCAGTACTAGTTCCTGAACCAATGCCAGTTCCATACCCAGCTCCATGGCCATTCCCATGACCAGTTCCAGTCCCTGTGCCATAGCCGTTTCCATAGCCAACGCCAGGGCCCCCAGGGCCTGTACCAATGGAGATGCCTGTTTGCATTCCAGCTTCCTTCATTAAAGCATTTGCATCGTCCAGGGACTTCATTAGACGCTTCAGTTGGGCATCCTGCAAGGCAATCTTGGTATGTGTCTGGGTCTCAACCTCATTCAGTTTCGCCTGGAGTGTTTGGATAGTGTGTCGTGAGACCCGCAATAGATCCTCGAGGGAATAGATATTGGATTTCAGTTCAGAGACCACACCATCTATTAAAGACGGAAAAGGTGATTAGATTGTGTGTAATATGCGGACAAAATTCCATCATCATGTCACTATTACAAATACCTACCATCTTTTTGGCCAATATCGTGCTCCAGCTGATTCTTTTGTAGAGTCAACTTTTCAACTTCTTGTCGCAGGCGCTTCGACTCCTCAAGGGCAACATTCAGACGATCCTGGTCTACCAGCTTGCTGACAAGTTGATTGACAGATATTCCAATCTTTTGATCAAAGTCGTCTGTAATCCCACGTCGATCGAGCACGACCTGAGTTACGATTGCATCCATAAGCTGGAAGTAGCGAATCCTAAAATGTTTGGATATGCGTGGCAGCGCTTGCAGAAAGGCTCAGTGATCGTGTCCTCCAGAAATTATCATAGAAACATCAAGTCCATGAAGCGTACCTTAGGTCTCCTTCCTCGCGAATAAGAAGCATATGTTGAAGAAGTGACAGGAAAAAGTCGTACGCCCTACTGCTTTCCACAGACCGAAGCAATGCATGGAACACATCGTAAGGGTCGGACATGTCATGCAGAATCTGGTGGTTGTAGAATTCCACCATATCGTCGTAGTCGTTCTCCGCCTCATCCTCGTAGATGTTGAGCTGCCTGTCGATCAGGTCATGATTGAGACTCCTCATTTTCTATCACCATCACGCCAAGCAAAAACCAATATGAACTTAGTATTTTTGAGTCCACAGACATATACAACTACATCAAAGTGCTCCACTTACGGAAATGATTCGCGTTAACCCACTAGTCGTCAGCTGGCTCCGAAGATGGATTCGGAGCTCAATATCATCTACGACTTGTAGCAATGCGTTGATGAAAATGACATTGGACAGCTATCAGAGAGAAGAAACCGACATAATGAGTACCATAATTATTTTTCGGTAGCTCATTCAGTAGGGACTGTCTGTGAAAACGCGCCAACAAAAACACATACCACATATTCGATAAGATGGCTGTCGAGTGTTCCTGTCTTCTTCAATTCCTCGCTCATTCCAACCATGGTGCCAAAGCGACCGCGGCCGTCAATGGTATTTTCCAAGATTCGCATCCATGCGTCGAAGCGTGCGCTTTCTTTCCAATATTCCTGAACCTGATCCAATCCCTCTAACACCAGCTTGTGACCCATTGGAACCTCGCAGTAACACAAAAAAGTTAGCACCTCTACGACCAGCTTTCTCGTCTGAAGCTGGGGCGATGTGATTGAGAAGCAAAGAGCGGATATACAAGGAGGATGTTTGATCGCTTCCTGAGCCCCCCATCTATTGTTGAGCAGCGTCTTCAAGCATTTTACGATCTCGTGCTCCATTGCCAAATCAGTGTCGCGTCTATCATCACGAAATGAGTATGAAAGTTAGGGAAAATATCTAAATAAAATACGCCGCTTCGATGCTCGACCAGCAATGTATAAGCAGATCCAGCAAAACATATACCTAGAGGGACGATGGTTCAGGGTTGCTAGTGAGGACGAAAGGATCTGTTGTCCGCGATTCTGAATGAAGATCCGAACCCAGCTATTTTGCCGTAAACAGGACGTTATTAGTACCATATCCGTATCCGTGCGCGTCTTCTTCGAATTCCTGTTGGACGTTGGGGGAACACATGGTATACGATGCGCACATACGATATGGGCTGAGACTTGAGCGACACGTGAAGTGCAACCAGAATTTTGATATCCATATTCCTGAGATCTGCATCCGACTGCATCTTTCGTACATAGTACTCTGGAGACGTTTTGTCGATGAAGCCCTCCTCTCGTTTCCGTGCCTACGGAAAGTAGTGTCAAATAAACGACGCGTCAGCAAAATATTCCTTTTATGCTCCTGTATATAAGAGCAATTGAGTCTTTTAGGGCGACGCTCTGTACCTTGCTCTGCTCCTGGGCCTCGTGCTGATAGATGAGCTTCCATTTATTGTCCATCGAAAGTCCCGCCATTGCCTTGCGCTTCTCAGGCTCATGCATGCCCATGTTATTCTATTCAGGGAATGGCGTTGAAATATAATCAGTACCATCATCAATGGAATTAGCGATACAAGTCCCCTGAGGGCCCAATCGCAGCAACAAGCCATCCACGACCTTGAAGAAGCGACACTGCACGCATGGACCACTTCTATCGGTCTGCTGCTGGCTGATGCACCTCTTGATTTGTCTTTTTTTTTTTTTTTTTTGCAGAGCTTTCCCTCTCTCTTCTGCCTCCACTCGCTTGCGATAGCATCTGGGCGCTCGGCTGAACAAAGACACCAGGACAAGGCCAGGTGCCATCTCCATACCATAAAATCAACGAAGCGGTCCTCGATTTCCTGGTCCGTCCGGGGGCGCGCCAGTAACATGTTGTATTCAGTTCGCCCAGCCTCACTTTGTGTCCCAGAGGTCGAAGTCCTGTACGAGCGGACAGACTGTGCATCATGGCTGGGAGAGGTCGGCCGGTCTAACCCTGAGGAGACGCGGTGATGTCCTGCGGCAAATGTGGCAAGTGCATTCGCAGTGGCAGCCGAGACGGATCCAAAGTATGGGCTGGACGAGGCTGAGTAGTGACTGGGATGGTTTCCTCGAGCAGACGGAGGCGGGGATGAAGTCGAGGATGAATAGTCGCTCGAGTGGGAGTAATGGCCATGTCCATTACTGCTTGTCCTTTCTCCCGAATTACTGTTATAAACACCGCTGTTGTTGCCACTATTGGCGTAGCTGCTGCTGATGGCATACTGGCCTTGTTCGCGGTCTGTCTGATTAAGATTGACGCTCACTCGGGGCTGATACGTCGTCTGGGGTTGATACGGCGGCGAATTGCTGGGCGGGAAGAAGGCGGCCGTGCCTGTAGGGTTCAAGGTTGGAGAGGAGATGGAGATTGGAGGTGAGTGTTTGGTCGACTTCTTCTTGCCGAGGTGCAGTATCTTGTCCATGGTTGGGATGAAAGGGGGGGAAGGTGTTCAGCCGCAATGGGCGATTGAATAACGGCTGAGGATATCCTTCGCTCTTAGGTCGAACTGGAAGTGTGTAATGGCGAATAAAACGAGAGGTGGATAAAAATAAAAGGCGACGACCCCTTTTCTGCCGGGTGAAGGATGTTGAAAGAAGGAAGGGAAGAAGAGGGTGATGGAGGGATGGAAGAAAGGACAGATGGAGTGATGGAGTGATGGAGTGGATGTAAACTCGGTCGATAATGCTCAGCCAGGCCTGTTCAGAAAGGGGCTCATAAGTTTTCTTATATAAATGGATGAGAAACCGGGACACTTGGAGGTAGCGATTTGTATCATTCAGTTTAAAGCTGACCCTCTTCATCAGAGAGGAACTTGCTCCCTGGTCACTTAATAGGTCAGTCTGAGGAAACGCTGCGGTCATTTTGTATTGTTATAAAAGGCTTCACGCAGAAAGAAGGGCCCGCAGATCAGCGGCTCATGAAAGAAACCGACTGCAATATTCTACAAACTTCGTTGTTTGATCGAGGGAATCCACTGCCCCTAGTCTTCTAGTCTCATCACGTAAGTAAATACGCTCGTCCCCACCACCTTCTCCGACACTACTGCTCAAATACAGCATGAATTTGCCTTGATGCTTAGTTCAACTGTGGAAGAAGTACGTGCAGGCGGAGAGAAAAGCAGCATACGGTTGGGTCTCTTCTTGGTGTACGTTAGATCAACTGACGTGATACTCGGTTCACAACTTTCACATCTACGGCCTCAGAAAATGCTTGAGATATTGAAATATAGAACATCGTCCAGTTGCACTGGGCCGGCAAGAACGCGTTATCTGATTCAATGTACGGTGTGTGCCTTCTTATTATAATCCTACAACCCATAGTTGAGCCGTTAGTAATATGTAATATGAGAGCACTGAAACAGCATAGTTGTCTTCATCTTACCATAATCCCTCTTCGCTTTGGAAGCCCTCGTGGCATCGTTCTTGGATGTCGAGAGCTTGAAGGTGACTCCAGTGCTTACCGACTGGTGGCGTTACTGGTGCTGGCAGCACTAGGATGGAGAGGAGCTTAGAGAAAAAAAGCGCGAGCTGGGCCTGTCAAGCCTGGGCCTGCAGGGCATTCAGGGCTCTCGTATGCCATCCGAGGTCCGGGATAAAAGTTATATTTTGCATCGAAGCATAGTTCTGTAGGAAAAGTTGGGATGTGTAGGAGAAGGATTGATAAAGCCAAAGGTGTGCTGTGGTGAAATGAAGGTGCATTGCAAGGTAGAGAGCGATGGAGAGTTGCCAAGAAGCACGAATTGTATAGGCATGCACTGCCAGGAACGCGAAGCCTTTTGTTTCGGCAGGCCTTGATAAATGCGGGGAAATACGAGGACAAGGTGTGGTTGACAGCCTGATATATCTCCGTCTATGATTGAGGTTAGCTCGCGTCAAATCTTTTATTCATGCGCACAGGATAGACCCTGCGGAACATTCAGTTTGGCGTTATCTTCTGTCTCCGTCGCATTATCTTCTGAACCGAGAGAGACTGACGAAGGGATCCTCTACAGCTCTGGTTACATTAGGGCTTGTCCAAATATACAAACACGGCGTCCTTATGCCTGTCGGACCGTCGCTCTTGAAGGTAGCGCCACCTCTTGGCCTTGATATCCTCGGTCTCGACAAAGTTTGTAGTGCTCCTGACATCCTGATAACGGAGGCCCATTTTCTTCATCAACAGCGAATCGCTTCCTTGCTTGGAGCCTTGAATTGCTCTGCAAGTGGTATCTCGATACGGTTAAAAAGGACTCTAAGATTAACAGCTTGTTCCTCGGTGTTCATTTCCGTTGCGATTCGTCAAAAGTCTGAAGCAAACGATAAATTGTGATTGTAGCGTGGATGTTTACCTTGAGCGTCTCCGTTATCCTTTCTCAACACGATATTCTTAACGGTGTGGAGTGAGGGTCCCATGTAATAGGCCGCTCGTAGAAAAGGATCCGATATCGTAGCGATTTTCGCGTTCTCTTTTTTCTCCCTTGCAAAACTCGTAGCAATTAAGTACTGCTCTACGCTCCACTACAGACACACTTTTTTCCTGAGTGCCATTTATGCTGTTTGACTGAAGCGAACGTATTGCTGGGAGGCGCGATCTTCCGCAATTCTCTGATCTGGCTCTGCAATAGCTCGACCTTCTGCAGCTTCTCAATCATCTCCAAGGTCTCCGAGGTTATTGGCTCTTCCTCTTTTTCCAGATTGGTGGACAGAGTTTCGGAAAAAGGATCAGTGTAGGGGCATTTCCTTGAATTTTTCGTGGATGACTTGTCCGGCGAAGTAGCATGGGCTTCAGAGAAGGACATGACTTTGGCAACTTGTATATCATAGTCGTTGAAGCCATCTTCCACAACATCCAAGGCTTCGTCCTAATCTACGGCCAACCCGTTCGCAATGTGTTGGTCGATACTCTTCTCGCGTCGCTCCTTCTTCCTACGTCGGTTGTGGTGTAAACGGAAGTATAGACGAATGCCTTGTCTTTTCTTATGGTTCATGACAGACAGAGATTGGCCATGCCTTGATAACGTTTGAGTGGCATCTGAAATTGATAAACGGCAATGGGGATTCTGAAAACGCGCTTTATGAAGAAACGCCCAAGGCTGGTATAGGTAAATCGGTGCCTGGAAAGTCGATACCGTGCTCTATTTTGTAGAAAGTCGTGTCTGGACTGAGATGAAATTTTGGATGAGGATGAAGATGAGGAAATGGTTTTTGAGAAAAACGCTCGCGGCTAGTGTAAGCAAACTGGTGCTTGAGAAGACAACGGCGTGCTCCGATGCGCAAAAAGTTGGTTCAGTCGCACGATCCAGGAGTGATGAAGAAATGTCAAAATTCTGTAGCGATATATAGATCCTTCAAAATAAACGATGAAAACGTGCTGTAAAACCCTGCCACCTGAACTCAATGGAGTCCTCAGTGATGTTGTAGAGCCGGGGAGATAGCATTCGTATTGGGGGAGCGTTTTTTGCCGCGTACAATCTAATTATCGTTGGTGGTTCGATACATTGGTTAGACCTGGCTATGACCTTTAAATACGCGTCCATAGTCAACAAGCAATAAAGTTTGTCATCCTCGGTGACATGCGCATCGTAATATCACTAATTTTAATTACAGAGTCCAGCCAGCACTGGTATGTGAACAATTCAAGTACCATGAAGAACTCAGTGATGGATTCGGAATTGCTGTTGGGCGATGGCTGTCTCTCTTTTATAAGGTACACAAGATCGCAGAACAATGGCATTCACATGCGTTCCTATATTTCTAACTATGCCCTAACATCTTTCACTTCTTTCATCAAGCAGTAATACTTTCGGCAGCGTCACTGTCCGATGGTTTACTTGAAATACGGCCTGAACCACACACATGGAACACGCAATCAGGAATGTTATGTGTAAATAGGCAATTCGAAGGATCCGTAACAAAGCGCCTGTGGCAAGTGTAGTTGTCTGTATTGGCCTCAAGACCTACGATGCTTCAACAGGACTGAAAAACGGTCAGTAATAAGACTATGTATCCCTGCTTCTCTTAGCCAGAAGAAGGGTAAAGGATAATATGATCACGGGTACGGATATCTTATACTCTCTCTGTAGCATTTCCATATCGTTTTGAACTAATCGATGGAGAGTAGCCACGAATACTTCACGAGTATTAAATGTCCCAAGTCCGGCCTCACTAAACCGCAGTTCAATGATAATGGCCAGTAAGCATGATAAGCGGGATAAGTAAACGAGTACTGGCGACAGAAAAACAGCTTAGGAGTAGATATTGTGGCAATCCAATAGTCACGACAATCGAGATGAAAGCTGCCAAGGATGGACACGTCCTCCTGCATAGAGATGGTAGGGCGTTGTGCAAGGTCTTGAGTGAATGAATTATGACGCGGCATCCACCTCTGTTTTCACAAATTAGCTTACTAGGCTCTGGAACGCCTCAATGGGAGCGAAATATATGGGTCAATCACAGGAGGAAGTCTCTCTTCGTGGGGTGGTCTTTCCACAAGTACCCAGCATTGGACTACGGTCCATTCTCGCTCCCTGTTTGCTGTAAATGCGCTGTTCTGTTCAGCGCGACCTATTCTTCTATTATTTATCATTATCTAACAATAACAGCGACTGAAATAAAATAACTGAAAGAAGGAGCTGTACTGCGTGCTGCTCTGACCTTTGCTTTTCGACATCGCGCTTGCGTTTGACTTTAGACCGGACTGCGAAACGTGGCTTCTGTGGATGCTTTCTATTTCCATTTTTGCACCGTGCGAAAAAATATTTCAGGAACCAAAACAGTGCACTTTTTATTCCTCCTCCCCATCGCTCACTCACCTCTTCTCTTCTTCTCATCATCCCACCCTTACCTCTTCTCTCATCTCATTCAACCCACTACATCCTCGTAACATCATGTCCCCCACCACTTGCGGAGCCCACGGCTGCAGCCAGATTGGTAGCCACAGACACGAGGAGCAGTATGTGAATATGAAGTGATCCCATACCCTAGTGCTCTTGTGCAGGCAGGACCTTGCACGAGTCAGTCCAATGTCGAATATATCATCGCCGACTCGTCATCGACTGACCTTTTTTGTTGTCGTACCCTTTATAGCCTCCCTGAGCCTGCCATTCTCGATACCATCCTGGACCATATTGGAAACACCCCTTTGGTCCGTATTAACAAGATCGCAAAGTCAGAGGGTCTTCAGTGCGAGCTACGTATGTTGTACTTTCACTCTGCATCATGCATTTGCTATCGGATGCTACATAAGCTATGTCCACGTACGCCTGTACTTACTGCATCTAAATGTTCTGATACTATGTAGTGGCCAAGTGCGAGTTCTTCAATGCCGGTGGATCGGTCAAGGATCGTATTGGAAAGCGCATGGTTGAGGAGGCTGAGAAGGACGGACGCTTGAAGCCCGGATGCACCATTATCGAGCCCACTTCTGGAAACACCGGTAAGAATATACGTCCCATTATCAGTTTTGTTCTTTCTTTCGTTATTTTTCCTGTCTCGAGAAGCAACCAGACTTAAAGGAGGATGTTCGTGTGCAATTTTTTTTTGCTATTATTGATACTCAGACAAAGTGAACACAAGACACTAACTTATGTATCCGCAACGTGGTACACAATCCAACAAACAAAAAATCCTGGGAATGTAGGTATCGGTCTTGCTCTGGCCGCTGCCGTCAAGGGTTACCGCACCATCATCACGCTTCCTGAAAAGATGTCTCAGGAGAAGGTCGATGTCCTCAAGGCTCTCGGCGCCGAGATCGTTCGCACCCCCACCGAGGCTGCCTGGGATGCTCCTGAATCCCACATTGGAGTCGCCAAACGCTTGAACGCAGAGATCCCCGACTCTGTCATTCTGGACCAGTACGCCAACCCTTACAACCCTGTCACCCATTTTGATCACACTGCAGAGGAGATCTATAGGGCCTGTAACGGCCAGGTCGACATGCTAGTTGCTGGTGCTGGTACCGGTGGTACGATTACGGGAATTGCCAGAAAGCTGAAGGCCCTTTGCCCGAACATCATTGTAAGCAGAGACGAACATGTTTGTCAAAAAAAAAAAAAAAAAAAAAGGGGGACAATATTTGTGCATAGAGACATTCCTAACAACATGACCAATTATACAAACAATTATATGAACTCTTAGATTGTCGGTGTCGATCCCCACGGCTCTATTTTGGCCCAGCCCGAGTCTCTCAATACCTCAACCGAGGGTTACAAGGTTGAAGGTATCGGTTATGATTTTATTCCCGAGGTTTTGGACCGCAACCTCATTGATAGATGGGTCAAGAGCGAAGACAAGGAGTCGTTCACAATGGCCCGCCGCATGATCCGCGAGGAGGGTATTCTCTGCGGAGGTTCATCCGGTACTGCTGTCGCGGCTGCTGTCAAGGCTGCTAAGGATCTCGGCCCTGGCAAGCGCTGCGTTGTCCTTCTTCCCGACTCTGTCCGCAACTACATGACCAAGTTCTTGAACGATGGCTGGATGCAGACCAACGGATTCACAGACCAGGCTATGGCCAACGAGCAAGAGTCCAAGCACCTCCAGTGGGGCGGCGCCACCGTCGGAAGCCTTCACCTCAAGGCTGCTGTCACTGTCACAAACACCTCCCGCTGCCGCGAGGCCATCATCTTGATGGAACGCAATGGCTTTGACCAGTTGCCCGTCGTCTCGTCCAAGAACGGCCGTCTTGTTGGATTGGTCACCCTCGGCAACCTGCTTTCAAGGATCGCGACTGGCCGTGTCCAGGTCGATGGTCAGGTTCAAGATGTCATGTTCAAGTTCCAAAAGTCGGGCACTCACTTCACAGAGATCACTGACGACACCCTCTTGGAGGACTTGACTGGATTCTTCGAAAAGAACTCCGCTGGTGTTGTCACTGAGCGTGGGGGCTCTAAGGTCAAGGCCGTTGTCACCAAGGTCGATCTTGTCTCTTTCCTTGTCAAGAAGACCGCTGTTTAAAGCAACTAATCAGGAGCAAATAGAGTGCCGTATTTGCCACCATAAAAGAACATAAGGGATCATCTGTAGAATAAAATATAATAGCCATCAGTGCGAAAAGCTGCTATATGTAGCTCAGGCTGCTGTCGAGTTCTTTATTTCGTTATTCCTTTGGTGGACGATGCTAATGTTTTGTTGCTAATATCGAGGTAACTGTTAGTTGCTGCTGCCTTCCCTGTCCATTACCATGTCCGTCAGAACTCTTGGTCTATTCAGGACGGAAGACTGAAACGATGTAAAAGGCGTCCTAAGGAGTCACAGAGCGAGATCTGGCTGAGACAGAACGGCCACGGGGGGAAGGCGAACGCGAGCGACCGCCACCGTTGCCAGCGTCTCCTGAGGGACGGCGTTCTGGGCTGCGAGAATGCCTAGGCGACATCACTTGGTCACCATCGCGATCAACCTCTCGTTCTTCACTACGACCACGAACGGGCGAACGAGAAGCAGAGGTACGACGGCGCGCACCAGCTGGGCTGGGTGAGCGAGGGCGGCGACCACGAGGACTTGGGCTGCGGCCTCGAGGGCTCGGTGAGCGACGACGAGGCAGAGGACTAGGGGAACGACGAGGCGAACGACGGCGAGGTGGCGAGCGACCACGGCGAGGAGGGGATCTGGAGCGTCCACGCCCGCCTCCGCGCTCATATCTCCACGAAGCACTGGGCGCGTTTTTGGCGAACTAGTTATAATTGAGCAAAAACAAAGACCACAGTCAATATTAGCTGAACTTGCAATCGGCATGATTCGGCAGGTAACAATAGTGGCTATGTTGTGGTACCTGAACATCAAGGCGATAGCCCTCAAATCGGACGTCTCTCATCTCGTGGTAGGCATCGCGGGCATCTCTATCATCTTCAAACTCAACAAATGCGTAACTGCAATACCATCCAATGCGGTTAAACGTTTAAGCCATATAGCGGATGACACCAATCAAGCAAAAACAGTTGCAATAAATATAATCGGTGCCAGGCAGGATATCGCGAGGCAGCAGGTTGCGAAGAGGAAGGAAACAAAGAGAGAGGAGTCGAGTTCAGTAAGGCAGGATCCAGACATGTTTAAGGCGTGGACGGAAGGAGGAGGAAGACATCTGTTCGTCTTGTCGTTTTGATTGGGTCCGAAAGGATATATTGTGCATTCGTTGGTGGTTGACCACATTATCGTCTCTCGAACATCGATCGATCGACTCGTATCGTGTACTTTTGATTTTTGTGATTTCGATACGACTGAGTGTTAGCAGGACATTACAGATGGACGATTATGGAACCACTCCTGTTGATATTGTCGGGGTGATAAATAGCGATATCATGATAATTGGCCATCAATTGAAGCTTCAATCCATGCCTCATTCATAATCTTCGAGTCTGGCGAAAAGATGAGATATTCCTCCTGGATGGTGGGCTAAACAGCGGAGTATATCCTGGTAAACAATTGGATGCTCGAGGTTTGAATCAACCAGTGTTGCGGTGTTGTGTGTAAGCGAATCCGAAGTATGCTTCTTGCATCAAAAATTGGCGTATTGAATGCTGCCATTGTCCTTGGGCGGCAACTCGTACCCACATCGTCTGCGGTGCTGAAGGTAAAAAGATCCAGTCCTCAACAGTCCTCGATCAGATAATGGGCGCATTACTTACGGCTTCGAAGAATCATTACGGAGAGCGGGAATATCGCAGCGCACAAGGGGACCGTATCTAATTCGGACAAAAAACAGACATAATTAGAACATGAAGGCACACATAAAAGCTGGAGGTTAACAACATAGCCATGGCTTTATCCTTTACCTCTCGAATTCATAAGCAAGATCTCTTGCGCGAGTGCGGTGAGAGAATCCACTATTACGACGGACAAGACAGGCAGCAAGACATGAGGAAGACTGGTTCTTGTGGGTTCATGACCGATCCAACGGCAGGCGACAATGGCGATTTGCGGATTCTTACGAGACGAAGAGGGTGCGGCGGGACATGGGACAATAGTACGGTGTGGCAATTGACAGAAAACTAAAAAGGCGCGGTTGGGCGGCGGAAGAAAAGAAGAGTAAGGAGAAGGATAATGGTGCGGTGGCATTGTTTAAGGAGTTTTGGAATCCAGTGCATTTCAGGCGTAGACTAGGTCACCGAAGTGAAATAGGTGCCCTCCTTATGCACCGAACTCAGCAAGTGTGACACACAAAAAACTAGACTTAACTATGATTCTAAAACTCTTGCTTTTTTCCCGGGCTTTCTTGGCTTGTTCGATACAGATAGTGTCCACTTGCGACCACGGGGGAGAGCACCGGTGCTTGTACTAGCGCTGGTCGTCGATGCACTGCTGTTGGTGTTGCTGGTGCCAACTGTGGAAGAGTTCATGTTTGGGCCCTCCTGCCAAGGGTACCGTCCATCGGCCGTCTTGGGCTGTAGGTAAAGAGGTCGTTCTTGCTTCTCCAGGTGTCCTCTGACAATCCTGGACATGTTCTCAGCCGCCATCACATCTCTGTGGTGATAATTCTCGCAGTGTGGATGCTGCCATCATGTCGCCAAGGCCACGGCCCAAGAATATGACCATCCCAAGAAGTGCCCCAAGGAACGCAATTAATTCCCCCTATCCATCTGGTGGGCACAGCGGGTACCGGCGTTGGCAGCAGGCTAAAGGGTATGCACGACGGGCGGTATTAATATGCGAGAGAGCTAGGAATACAAGTCGTCGCATCCTTCAAAGCCTCGGCGCATTGTCGCATTGTCTTTGGCAAAAATCAAAAACGGCTAGGGTCTACAGCACGGCGAAGTGCTTAATCTCAAAGTGCTCATCGGCTATACAATCAAGCCACGGAATCACATTCCGCCCCTTTCGCACCTTTATCTCGCAGTTTCAGCTTGCTATACTAACACCAGCAGCACAGCACTGGACTTTACAGAACATACACCTCAATATTGATTTCAAACGACGCAAGGAACAAGGCCGTCTGAATATTCAATGTAGACGTTTATTTCAGTGCAAAACCTGAGTATTATAGTTATTTCAGATAGAGAGGTATCCGAGAATACCGCATACTATGCGGACCCGATCTAGGACAGCAGATCGTCAAAGTTCATATTATTGTTCTTCTTGGCTGACTGGTTGTTGGTTGGCATTGTTCCAAAGTTACCAAATGCCATTGAGTTTTGGTTGGAGGCGGCAGGGGTCGCAGGCTTGCTGGCCCACGCGCCAGAATTCCATGAGTTGGCTGCCAAGGCGTTCATGGACGGCGCTGCCTCCTTGGCCTTGGTCTTGCCGAGACCATCCAACGAGATCAATCCAGAAGCATTGGCCCAAATATCATTAGGATTGGAAGCCGAGGGATTATTGGTCTAACAATGAAACAGCATGGTGATAAGGGTATTGTCCGAACTGTATGACAATAAACCATCCATACAGAATAGAAACATACCTGAACTGGAAAAGAGGAAGAGGGCTTGACGTTGTTGTTAGACTGCGCCGACGATGCCGATAGGGGAGGGATGGTGCTGCCGCCGAACGAGGCCATCGTGTTGCTGTTGACAGGACTGCTTCCCAAGAGATCGAATGCCCCGCCATTATTCGCTGGTTTGGCGCTGACTCCGCCAAAACCATTGCCGGCGCTGCTGGAAGTACTGTTTGTCCTTACTGGCGGGAGGACAGAGGCCATTGTGGGAGTATAGGCTGGAAACGCTGGAATGGACGCCTGAGCCTTTTGTTCGACTGGAGGTGCACTTTGAAAATCGTCAAAATCGTCAGTGGCAGACTGAAGGTCACCCCAGCCATCGTCCGCAGGCTTGGATGTGTTCGAACCAAAGGCAACCTGGTTCGCAGGCGCCGATGTAGCGGGTTCATCAAAATCAAAGAGGTTCACCTCCTTGACGGGTTCGACCTTGGCAGCGGCCTTGGCCGCCTCAGACTTGCGAGCACTACGACGGACGGGTGGTGAGCTAGATGGGTCCCGATCTTCGTCGTCATAGCGGCCGGGCCTGCTGCTGCTGCTACGATCATCATACCGCCCACTTCCTGATCCACCGCCACTGTATCCTCCATATCCGCCTAATGTTCAATTCCATTGAGAATGTTGGTCAGGGTATTCGTAAGTGAAATTTCTTGCTTAAGCTATTTGCCATGAAAACTTACCAGAGCGGTCGTCAAAGTAACTGTCGCTTCCAAAGCCTCCATATTTAGAGCTGGTGCCTGCAAATCCACTTCCGCCTCCCTCAGAACCAACAAATTTGTTTCGATTTGCCTTTGCCTTCTTGCGTTCCTCCTTAATGCGATCTACGCTGCTCAGCGTCTCAGCGAACTCTTTGGCACGGTTGCGAACTAGAATTATGGATCAAAGAAGGTAAAGCATTAGCAGCGGCGAAGCGACGATACGGCCATGAAAATAAAGTCGCCTCGAAACAATGTCTCCATTGTCACATACCATTGATACCCTCATCCTTGCCATTGTCATCCACATACTGAAAGTTGCGGAGTACCTTGACAGTCGAGATATGGCTTCTTGCTTCGTCAACGACACGCTCGGAGCCGTGCGTGACAAGGTACTCGAGAAGAACCAACGACTAGTGTGTTGAAACAATGAAAGGCAACAATATATCAGTAGGATGTCAATAGCTAGAAAGCAGAGGGTCAATGGGCTAATAATGATCGGTGACTGACCTTGTAGATTACGCGCCATTCGCGCGTCTCTCTCTCTGTAAAGCGCTTAAAGAGGGCAGGCATAATCTCGTTGAAGTATTGGCTATGAGAGGTACAAGAAAGCAATAATGTCGATGAGTATTGGAACGTCGGGGACAGTTCATTGATCCTAAACATGATGGTCACTGCGTACAAGTTGTGTGTGGCCTGAGCCAATTCCTGCTTTAGGGTGCCGGACGCCCCCCAGGGATCGTTGCTGGTGGCCTCCCTGACTTTCTGCTCCATTTCCGTGTAGTTCATGACCTTAGCGGTCCTAGAAGAGAGGGATCAAAGCACTACAATCAACAGCTTGGCTTCAAGAGCGATATAGGTCTTACAGTTTCTGCTAAATGATGCCGACATATCGCTTACACCTTCTCGAGGGCATTGCGGATATCCCACATGGAGTATCCGGACACGTTCTCTATGAAATTCTCCATGATGTACACTCTTTCCGTTGACCGTTACTGAGATGTCGTGTGCGAGTGAAGAATGGAATCCTGATGCTGGAGTGACAAGTTCAGTCCCCTTGGATGTGTTGTTAGTGTTCGATGATCCGCTTGTGTCGAGTACGAAAGGGTCGAGAAATATACCACGCTGTGTGGTGACAGATGGCGGAGAGATGATGAAGGATGGGAGTGAAGAGGAACGAAGAAAAGAAGGAGTGAGCGATGAGCTGCTGAACTTTGAATATAAAAATGTCACACATCCAATCGAGCAATTGAACGGAAACAAGCATATCAAAGAGTCTCTCCATATTCAAGAAAAGATGCGCAGGTCCATTGCGCATCATGCCTTCCATGTTGACGTGTTCATTTGTTCGTTTTCGCTCAATTCATCACTTAATATGAGCAGCTTTTTGTGATAAACACTATCAGAGGACCAAATTCTGCAGTTGTCAATAGCTACACTACCCTATGCAACATCGACTTGTGCTTCTTTTTATACAATATGGAAAGGTAGTCTGGTATGCTTGTCTCTGAGCAACTGCTGCTCGCATTTGCAATGAACTTCGCACTTTAAGCACCAAAGTGCCTGTAGCGTAAAGCGTTTTGTCCTATGATACTCAGGTACACTAGCAAAAGGCCTAAACCCCCAGTAACTTTAATATCAAAGACATCTTGTCAAGCGTCGTGAGGGACAACCCACTAAAAACTTCAGTGGCCTTACAACCCAAAGAACCCATAATTTCGCAGACATCCAATATCTTTATATGTACTGATATGAAGATGAACACAGCATACTAATTTTCTTCATGAACGGAAGTCCATCCGCGTATGGGCCCTATTGTCTCTACATAGGGAATGAACGTATTAAACAAAATCCAGTAGATAGCCCAGATCATGATATGTAATGGATAAGTAAAGGGAGAGCAGACTTAGCCCTCATAAGAAAACGTTTCTATCGAAAAAAAAAAAAAAAAAAAAAAAAAAAGATTTACCAGACGTGTGCCGAACGCGTACTTTGTCAATTGTAGAAGCTACAGATGCGATAGGTGTGGACATGAAAATGTCTTTTTTTTTTTTTTTGGTTCTTTTGCGTTAGAAGCTGCAAACTCTAGCAGTTCCTTTACCCTTCTTGCTGCATGCCTATAACAATTTGTCTCTCGAGTCGGTTGACCCTGCGAGTCTATCATACTTAACTAGCAATGATCTACTGCATTACCCTTTCCACCAAAGTATTTTTTTTTTTTTTTTTTACGAAACCCCTCAAAGACATGGGATTTATTAACTGTGATAGAAAGGACGCCTGCAGGTAGGGTAGAAAACAAACAGCAAGCTGTCCGCTCCGACTATGTCACAACGGATCCGTACTTCATAATCAATGACCATATGAGTGATGAATCGATGGCCCTTGCTCCCTACATAGCCTGTAGTGCGCGAAGACATCCTGAGGTGAAGCATGCACATTTTTATTATTATTAGCAATAGCACTCTCTAAATAGTGGTTGATTATGAGGGAGCTGTTCTTGCTGGTTAGGATTTTTTCCTGTTTGTCCCAGAAGCGCTGGCTAGGATGGTGCATGTTTTTGGGTGGTGGTGAACCTGTTCATGTAATCCCACGTATTCCGGCAAGCCTGCCTCGACCATCGACCGTTTGATTTGATTTGACTTTCTGTCTCGATCCCGCATACATGTTCGGTTCTAACGAGTCTTCACTACGTGATTCTTGAAGTTAAATTTTATCAATAGCTTTATTAACATAAATCCACATGAGCACGAGACGCATGGCCCGCAAAGGCCTTGAAGCCATAGATGCCTTCCATGCACGGCAGAGCCGCATCCCCTACCAACTATGTTGGCTTGAGGCGTCAAATTCATAACCCATGTCGCATAGCTAGCCTAACCTAACTCCTGCGTGACCTTGCTAATTCGAGACTCAAACCCAAGCGAAAGCATGCACATAAGGGAAGGGATATGCAAATAGAGGGTCTTGCAGTTAAAGGGTATTGCAAATAGGGAAAGAAAATAAATTGAACATATTATAATCAGTAGACGGCCATAACCAACAAGGTCTACTGGCCCAATGGAAAGGCGTCTGACTACGAATCAGGAGATTGCAGGTTCGACCCCTGCGTAGATCAAGTACATGTACTCTTTTCTCTCGAGCTTTTTGGCAACTTGGATGGTTAGTCATATTTGATCATCCATGCAGGAAATCCATGTAAAATGGAATAATCTATTTGGCTACCCCTGCACAAATCCCATGTAAAACAAACTCGTATCTTTTGCGAATTTCAAGTCGAAACAACGGGCGAGAGATTAAAAACCATCCCTTCCTCCACCTGGCACCCCATGCAACCTTTTGCGACCTTGGGAGAAGCCTTCTTCATGACGGAAAACAGGGTTTTGTCGATGGCGGACTCAGCGATGACGAAATGGGAAATCAATTACATTGTGGAGTCCTTTAAGAGACAGATGACGATTCTAGCTTAAAGAGCCGGGGCCAGGTACCATAAAGACTACTGGCATAATCGACATTTAAAAAATGTTGGCCTTATATGGAGTTAGTATAGGGGTTGTCAAATAGATTGTCCCATGTAAAATACTTGGTGCAATTGCTGAAGCCAAAGGGCCCCTCATGAAGCAGCCGACGTATGAACCACAGGAAAGGTATTGCTTAGCTAGAGCAAAAGCCTTGTTTTGTTCCTTTCCAGAACTGAATGGCGTATAACCGGCGCCTTGCTGACGTTATGTGTCCGCAGATTTGGTCGCATAGTGCAGTTAAAATTTCTTTGACAAATTGCAAGTTGAAGCTTTATTTCGGTTTAATATTTTACAAGTAGTGTGTGTGTTAATTTGTTCGTGTTAGCAACAGAGAGGAGAAGTTGTTTACCGAAAAGAATAAAGAAAAGGAATAGTCGCTGCGAGCAGTATGTTCACCACATCGAGAGCCAGAGTAAAAAAGAGAAAAGTGTACAATACAAGCGTTGCTAGAGAAGATAATAGGGGTGAGGAGTGCGAGAAAGGATAGCATGAAAAAAAAGTATCGCAGGGGAGGGGTTTCCCGGTCCGTTGTTGTTGTGCGTTTGTGTTTGTGTTGAACCCGCAAGGTGCGCCAGCATATGAAGGAGTAGCAGGACGACAGGGTCTCCGATGGTCCTGTTCATGAACACCATCCAAGTCCAATATTATTTCATCCCGTGTCTTGTGCCATGTTCGCGGCACTTCCACTTAGGGTTTTCTGAATTCCGTCAACACAGGGTATATAGCTTCAAACGCCTGGTAAATTTCTTCGCGGACCTGTTTTCAAATCAAAAGCAAATCAAAGCGCCAGTTAAAATCGGAAAGCTTGCCCAAGTAGTTTTCAGTGCTGCTCTACAATGATGACCAGTGCATTGTACCTTTGCACCAGTCAACACAATCTTGCCCGAGACGAAAATCAGTAAAACAATCTTTGGCTTGACCATGCGGTAAATGAGGCCAGGGAACAGCTCGGGCTCGTACTAGACACATACATAGACACAAGCGCGCAAAAGAAATTAGTATGCATTTGGTAGCACAATTGTCATGGTCGGCCGACTGAAAAATTTGCTCCGCTTACTGATGTGAAAGGTCCGTGGGCGTAGGCCAACCCCTCAAGACGGATAGGAAACTTGACGTCGCAGGAGCCGACAATGTTCTGGATCTTGAAGTCCGTAAATTTTGCGGGAAAGCCCAACTTCTGAATGATGCGAGCGTACTTGCGAGAGGCCAGCTTCGAGTCATCCTCCGACTTTGCACCAGTGACAACCATCTTGCCCGAGGCAAAGATAAGAGCCGTCGTCTTTGGTTCACGAATCCTCATAATCACAGCAGCGAAGCGCTACATTCGCCAATGAATGATCATTGAAGAGAGACAGAGAGAGAGAGAGCAAAAAGAGTTCAATGACAGCTTTTTTTCTTATACCTCTCAGGACTCAAGGGTCCTTTCGCTTATCATTCTCACTGCCAACTGCCAAATGACCGACATAAGGCAATGGTGATTCAAAGATAGCAAATGCTGTGTACCTTTGGATTGTACTCTGCGTTACGCGCATGCAGCGCAATGGTCTTCAGATCCAAGCGACAATCCAAGTTGACAGTAGCGACGATATTCCTATGCAGTGGGTGACAGTAGATAGGTTAGATGAATGGTCCCATATTGAAACGCAATGTAAAGTCACGCTCACTACTTTGCACTCCTAAGTGGTGAGACATAAATAACGCTCATGGTTGCGCCCTCGCCATCTCACCACCATTTCTTCCATTTCTTCCTCCTTCTATGTCCCCTTGCAGCATTGTTGTATTTTTGTCGTAACACATTTTGACAGTTTTCCAAAACATCCCATACACAAGGGTTGGCTGATATTGTTATGATGTTCGGTAATGCCTCTTCTATGTCCTTTGACCACATGCAAATGCCTCTCTCTCTCTCTCTCTCTCTCTCTCTCTCTTATCATCTTCAACCCGACAATAGATATAACACTAATTGCAGGCAACAATCGCAACAAATAGAGAAAAACACACTTAGACCAATTGCATCCCAGAAAGCGATAAAATACACTTACTGAAGTGTCGGCACGATACCGGCAACAGAGTGCAGGGGAGCATCAACGGCAGCCTGGTCCTCTGCCGTCAATTCTGTCACTGGCTTTTCGGGCTGGGCAGCATTGGCATTCGATGAGCCAGGAGCAGAAATCGAGGGAACGGCAAACATAATGGATCAAAGAATCGTCAGCACAACTGGGTTGTCGATATTTGGCGGCGAGACCAGATCAGAAAAAACAAAGGAAAGGAGCTTTGTAGCGAAGCTAGAAGCGAGGGCAGGTTGCAGAAGGGCAGAAAGGTGATGAAGGCAAGAAGGAATACAAAGTGCTGCGCAGTGCTACGAGATGGAGTAATATATTCAAGCTGGTGCCTGATGGTTGTGCGTAAATAATGTTCGTATTAAAGGCAGAAGGAGTGGTCTGAAGGGTGTGCTTGGACTGAGTGATTAGCTTGAGGAACCCTCTGGCAATGGGGAGATGGGTCTTGTTTTCTGGCGCTTTTATAGATGAGGAGGCAAAGAGAACAAGGAGCGAAAAGAGGCGAAACGGGGGAGAAAACGAAAAACAAAACTCCCGCAACAGTGACGTCATATGTGTAAACATGTGGCTTGTTACATATGATCAGAGTAATATACATTATTAAACCCGCCATTTCCAAGGATTTGGTCTGCTGGCCCAATGGAAAGGCGTCTGACTACGAATCAGGAGATTGCAGGTTCGACCCCTGCGTAGATCATTTTATCAACCCACCTTGAGATATTATTTTGCCACGTCGAGCATGCAAGTCAATTCTGGCAGGAAATCCATGTAGCTTGTTTACTCTGGAATCACCTATAGTCTAAGCAATGCCTTTCCTGTGATTCACACGTCGACTGCTTCACGAGAGGCCCTTTGTCTTCGGGAAATTCATCAAGTATTTTACATGGATTTCCTTCGAGAATTAGCCTGCGTACTCGATGTGGCAAATGGATTTTCGGATGGGTGTCAAATAGGACCAGTAATTCTTTTTTTTTTTTTTCATTAGCGCCATGAACGGTCAGGAACATGAAACAAAATACTTTACATAGTTCTAATTTATTGTAAAGGAAAAATTGTCGAAATATGTGCAAGTGAAGGGCGCGGTTGTCATGGTTCACCGTGCTTGATGCTGGTGGTATGAGACAGGGCGTTGATGCAGCTGTTGTTGTGGTTGTGATGAATTTTGCTGCATGAGCAGGTTTCTGCTTGCGACGCTCGAAAAGAGCTGCCGCCTTACGGCCTGGTCGGGGTCGTTCAAATAGCTGATTAAGCTTTCTGCACCGGTGCCGCCACCGTGGCTATCAGTGTTTTCAAACTCTGGCTCCATAATGTCAACGCCTCCAGGACTAATGCCAAAACCAATATTTGGATCAAACAATGCTCCAGCTCTACGGAGAGCCTCAAGCATCAATGTGTTCTGCTCAGAATCGGGGTACGAAGGCATCTGTAAGACCTGGTTCGCCAGCTCTCCATGAATATCTCCTTGTTGCTGCTGCTGCTGCTGGTACCCCATCACATCGTCAAACGTTGAGCTGCCGTTTTGAATTCGGATGTTCATGGACTGCTGTTGTTGATGTTGCTGGTTTGAAGGTGTTGCTGAAGAGCTGAGGTCAGGCGGGTCGGAAAACGATTTGGCCGAGCTCGATGCCATGGGCATTGCCATTAGGTTGTAAAACCGCTGCTGAGGGTCCTGCATCAAATCTTCCGGAGTGAATCCGAAACTGTTGATGGAGCTCGGTAAGCCCGTCATAGATTCTGCGCCTTCGAATCCTCCTGATAGAAGCCTGGAGTCGCTCAAAGATGCCGAAATAGAAATGTCGGTGCTAGAATAACCAGACTGTTGCTGTTGTTGATGCTGTTGATACTGGAGCAAATGTTGGTCTTGGCTGCTGTATCCTCCCGTAAAGTGCTGCGATGAAGATGAAGACGGTGCTGAGGCGAACTGATTGATCTCTTGTTGCAGTTTGTAATCAAGGTTCTGGACTTCCTCCTGCGTCAAGTTGCGTGTTGTCATGAAGGGTTGGTACTCATGTAACTTGCTGCGATGTGCATCGTTCCGCTGCTCTTGAGCCGGTCTCCATCCTTGCACTAGATTGCTAAGGCCATTGTCCAGACTCGCGGATAAGACGGCGGAGTTGAGAGGGTGTTGGTGAGGCTGAGACGCTTCGCCGCCGTCCATGGATTGACACGCGTTAAAGGATTGGTGCTGACGAACATTCTGTTGGTGGCGCTGGGCAAAATAGGCGTCTTGGTCAATAGCTTGGCTATGGGTGCTGGCAAATCCGCTGTCGGTAGTCGTAAGTGGTGAAGCATTTGGACCTCGGTGTTGGAGCTGAGCTCGATTCGCATACGAGTACTCCTCGCTGTTATCTTCTCCATATGGCGACGAGAATCCTGGAGAAAACCCCGCATTAGAGTAGGATCCAGCAGAAGCAGGGCCCTGTGATGAAGCAGGGACCATTTCGCTGTATCCAGATGGCCCATACTTGGTTTCCACCATGGAGCGTTGATGCTGCAGCTGTTGGTGCTGATGTTGCTGCTCATGAGACACCTGTTCACTCAAAGGATAGATCGAGGGATTGGATTGTGTGTGTGGTGATATGCCAAGATTTGAGTGATGTTGGGCCTGAGATTGCGATTGTTGCTGAGATTGATGCTGTTGCTGTTGTCTGATACTGTCGGCCTGGCTCTGCTGCATAAATTCTTGCTGACCGCTGGAAGGGACGAAATATGCTGACATTCGCTTGTCCTGCTCAATGATCTCGTCAGTCTCGTCTGCCTCGCTCGTCTGCTCATCTTCCATCTCTTCTTCGCCTGAGCTGTACGTGTCCGAGTTTGCGGTAACGTCTGTTGTCTGTGCGGGTGAGCTGGTCGTTGTCTGAGATGGAGACGACTCATTCGAGGGTGGCGTATTAGGGGTCTCGATGGTAAACGGCGTAACCTCGCCTTCTGCGTTCTGGGTCACATTGTCGTAGCCGTGAACCACAAAGTTCATCAGCTTTATACGCTCCGTACTTGTGGATGCTCTCACGATTCCTGAAAGCATCACCTTGATCTCGTTGCAGTAGCGCTGTGCACTCTCCTCCTTTCCAAGAAGCTTGCTTGCAACAATGTTGGCGAACGCTCCTGCCGCGACGGGTAGAATGACATGCGAGTTCATACGTGTCATTGGGCGTGTGCTGTAAATGTTCTTGATTCCAACCGCGGCATCGTAACAATAGCCACTCCAAATTCCATGTACCCCCATCTCGCGATGACTTTCATGTAGTTGAAAGGTGTGGTGCAGAGAGATTTCGAACATGTAGCTGATGGCGTGGTAGAATTTGGAGAACTTCGACTGTCTCTGAATTGCCATCATATCATATGGAGTAATGCGGAGCTCTTCCGGTAAAGTCGATTTGCGCCACTCCTCCAGCATTCCACGGACCTCGTCAACCTTGGTGTGAGGGCGCTGCTTGGTAGCTGTGCAGGTAATATCTGCGATCCTGGAGGAAATCTCATACAGGGGCACGAAGTGACCCAAGTCCTTGATGCCTTCAAAGTCGTCTTGCATGTAACCCTGGAAATCTGGATGGGTGTCCGAAGGCTGTCTCTGGGGATATGGAATGTCGTAGTCGTTCGAGGTGATAAAGGGTGACTGATGACCGAGAGAGTAACCGGAACAAACGATCACCACGGACCAAAAGACTCTGTGACCCACCTCAATCGTGTCCGCAGTATTCTCCTTGCTGCCTTTGTCCGACAGTTGGTAGTAAATACCCTTCTTACGGTTCAGGCCTTGCGCTGCGGATATGGAGTGGGCAAGGGCGACGAGATTGTGGACTGCATCATAGTTGGTGATGGATGAGTAGAACCCGGTCAAGATGAGATAGCACTGGCAATTCACGATCGAGGAATTAAACACGTCCTGAGCATTGAAGTGGTGGAACTTGCGGCACATGCCTGTGCCGTAGTTGGGCTCCATGTGGTTAATGACGCTCGGATCGCCAATCTCTTGTCGAAATGCAAATCCGGTCGCCAGGACGCAGGCCAACAGCTTTTGCACCTCTACGGTTTCAAGCTGCTCCCGATCCTTCAACTGCTCCATGAAGGCCTTGCGGTTCAGAATGGGAATGTAGTAATTGAAGTGTTTGAAGTAGCAGTCGATCAGGAGTTCCTTAGCGAGGTCAATTTCCAAGATCAGCTCCCGATCATTTTTGAAATCTGATGGCGGAGGCTCGTATCGCGGCAGATTGATGACTTGCGACAGGATAGGGCCAAAATTGTTGTTGGTGCCAGCAATGTCAAGCTGCCCGAGCCTGGCTACTATCACTTCTGCGCCCTAGATTCGGTGGCAAAATGTGGAAAAGTTTGCTTAACTTGTAAGGAACAGGTGCTTCATCACTGGCTGAGACTGGGAAGCAAATGTCCTTTGGCGCTATGGAAAACTCACCTTGAGACGCTGTGCTTGTTCTTTCTTCTTCATTAAAACGTAGGCATCATGGGCCCTTTTCTTGGTAGGACTCAGAGTGTCGTAGGTGCAAGGTATTGATGCTGTTTCGCAGGACATACATGGCTCGAGTCCATTACACTAAACACCGATAAAATGAAAAGTAAAAAGACAAGTGATTAGACAAACATCGCGGTATGTGATATGGCTGTGATATGCATATTAGACAATAACGAGGGTACTAAGCAAGCACATGAAAGAAGACATCTGTCCTAGAGTGAACACCGAGACGATTGGTAAGATGGGGGTGTGAAAAGGGTGGTCAAGGCGCACATGCACAACACTCAAGTACACGCACATACACGCACATGCATACTTCCACACTCCCACGCTGACAAACAACAGACAAATCAACTGAGAGTAAAAAGCGATAGAGTCAGGGGAGCATATGTGAACCTCTATATACAAAGTCCAGCATCACACCGGGTTTCAAACAGCATTGAGATTCCAGGGCATAAGGCACAGTGCAATATCGACAATGCTGGAAACCAAGGGCTAGAGTGCCAACAGTGCGCATACAAAAAGAAAAAAAAAAGGTGTCCTTTGGTGCTTAGTGTTAACCCTTGTCCTGAATTCATCCCATTAATGGGATGAATTTTTTTAGAGTTTACATAAGATTTTAGCGTACCTCTTGAAATACAAATGAGGACAAGGGATACACCGCGCAGGGAACGACATTTCAGTGCGCACACTGCGGCCATCGATGGACCGAGGCTAACAAAAATTAAAAATGCACCCAATTGAAAGAAAGCGACTAAAAAAAAAAAAAGGTGGATGGATGGGCACAGACATACTCGGCAGAGCGAGAGAACAAACGTGTACTGCTTGTTTATATGTGGATGGGTATTGGTCAATCGTGTGCGCGGCCATAAAATGGGTAACCAATACGGGGAGGCTGTAGCCACAATAAATCGAGAAAAAACCTGGAACAAGATGAATGATAATAATAACACAAGAAAGAGAAGACAGAACTCACCCTACGATGGCCCCCCTTGCAAGTATCACAAGAGCTCACTTGAACCTTCTTCTCACCCGTCTCGGCGTCGTCGCCAGCACCTTCCTTCCTCCGCTTCTTTTCTGAGCCGGTATGGGACCGCTTCTTGGCTGCAGTTGGTTTCGAGGATGAACTTGCATTGGTCGGGTGGGATAAATGTGAGTGAGGGCCTGTGGCCGCTGTTGAGGGGGATGCTGAGGCCATATTCGAGTGGCTATTGGAGTATCCCGTAGGCGTTGTGGTTGGAGGCGACTTCGGAGGGGCCATTGTCGGGAGGAGGATAGAGCTGTGATGTGTAGAGGGAAGCTTATTGGCAATTGGCACTAGATGGACTGAGACGGATACGACGGACTATTGTGTGATAGGGTCAATGGGTCGATTGTGTGGTAGGGTCAATGGGTCGATTGTATGGTATGAAAAGATGCTGTAGATGTAAAATGAAAACTGACAAAAAATGAGAGACAGAGAGAGGGTAGAGGGAGGGAGAGCAAAAGGCAGTAAAAAGAAAAAGAGAAAAGAAAGAAAAGAAAGAAAAAAGAGCCGCAGAGGGTGTGATAGAAAACGGGCAGCAGAATGGGAGCGAGAGTCAATGGGGGATGGGAAAAGTGGACTTGAGCCCTTTGTATTTATTATTTTATTTCCTTACTTGCCCAGTACAAGAGAAAACAGGCCCAGCTTCCTAGTCTACCTGCCCAGTCTTATTTGTCCGTCTGTGTTTGTGTTCATATGGGCATGCCTAGTCTACATGTAATTGAACGCGGGGTCAGGTTGCCCATCCTCAATAACAGAAAACGTTCATGTACGTCCTCTTACACTGTGCTCCCAAACCCCTGTCAAGATCGGCAGCTTCCTTCGCTACAGAACAGATCCATTCCTTAACAGCCCAGTGCGTTTGGTCTGGGGTCCCCCGAATTGACCAAGCTGACGGATTGGATCTTGATCCTCCCATTGGTCTCCACAGATGAAGCCCTTTTCTCGGTTCTGGGCCCTGACTCTTTAATACCAAGTTAAAAAATAAAAAAGAGCAAAAAGCATCTCTCGACAGCACACCCCCAGCGCAGACAACAGACGGAGAAAAAAAAACGTGGTTTCTGAAAAGGCAAGGGGAGAAAGACATGAGAGCCGAATTTTTGTGGACAAATAGGGCGTCAAGGTTCATGAACGACGGATCTGAAGAAAGCTCAAGGAGGCATGACAGACACGACATACACAAAACAAAATCCGGATAAAAGATAGAGGGAGGAACAGTTGCAAAAGCAGTATGCAACGTGAAGACCAAAAAAGTGGGTCATTTGAAGCTCTACTCTACTACTGAACAAAACAGGATAATAAACTACGCCCAGTACACCCAGCAAGCAACATCAAACAGTGGAAACGGTTGCCCAAAGGAGGTGCGAGTGGATGACAAACAATAAACAAACAGCAAACATTTGAATGAAGGAACAAAGCTTTCGTTGCTCTGGTTGAGTTACAACGAAATAACGCGTGCACGAAAAGGAGCAAGAGGTGCGATCGACGGAGGGATGATCTCGATGTCAATTGGTATTCCTGCCTCATTATTACTCGCATTGAATTTCTATCCCACCCGGGTTGTTCTTACTAATCCACACAGGTATGAGCATCATAAAAAAGGCTCCTGGAAGAAATCATATCCGGGTCGCCCAAGGCAGCTTACTCTCAAGGATTAGACCTTCTCCCTTACTTTATTGAATGTGAATGCGATACGAGAGTTTTGGAGTTCCCATCGGAGTGATTGGTGGAGCTTTATGTTGAACTGTAAAAGATAGTAATCAACACCACGGTAAAAGAAAAAAAAATGAACTGAGTTGATGCTCACTGTGCACAAAGGATGAGCGGGAAGATGATGCAGAGTCCCAAACAGGAGATCCCAGCAGGGCTGAGTCGATCGTAAGGTTGAGGTGTGAAGTTGTATGAAAATCACGGACGTGGGACAAAACGGGAAGATCAAAATGATAAACAGATCCTTGCAATGGTGGGCTCGACACCCACCTCTCTCTTTACCCCACCGATCGATCGCGCTGTTGCGTGGTATTTCTACGCCCTCTTGGAGGGGTTACATAATCGTAATGCCACGCAGACAGACTCGAGTTTGTCAAAGCAGGTTTGTGTTCAACCCTACAAAAAAAAAAAGATATTAGAAACGATCTATCGATTTACTTTACAGACCTATGCTACTGCGCGCAACTTATGTAGTCTATCCACGTTTTTTTTGGGAGGAGGCTGTGTTCATAAGGGATGGCGCTGCGTACATATTTAATGGCAAAGGCGAAAGTGAGGCCAGTAAAGTCCAGGGGTCTAAAAGCAAGCATGCAGAGACAAATAGCAGCTGGCACAACACTACGCGCACTTTCATCTTGCATGGATGCGTTTTGTTCAATAAGCACCGTCTTTTTTTTTTTTTTTTTTTTAGATAAATGTTCAATACCCATTTTGTTACATGTAAAGAAACATGTTCACTTTAAGCTCGTGCAAATGCGTTTGTGTGAATATGCTGTATGTGTGCGTGTATGTGCACTCTATTTGCTTGTCTTCTACGCGACCATTTCATCTCCTGCGCAATAACCTAGAGGCCTGGCATCCAACAATACCCATGACCGCCACAACCGAAATCAGTGTCAATCCTATGGTTAAAACCGCCCTTCTTGTCGACGTGATCTTGGCGTATTTTCGATGGCGCTTGGCTATTTCGCGTCCCTCTGTCCGCATCATCTCATTATCGTGGTAGCCTTGACCGCCATCGTCGTCTGTACTATCACCCCCAGCTCCTGAGGACGACTCTGCTTTCTTTCTTGATAAGGTGCGCTTCTAAACAAAAGATTAAAAAAAAAAAGAAGTTTCCCGAAGAAAGCAACGACAAAGAAAAAGAAAGAAACGCATCCCCGAGGCCACCGCCGGTTTTGTCAGGTAGCATAGGCATCAGTAACGGGTTAAAAAAGAGAAGGGATAGATGAGCAAATGGGAACAAAGAACTGAATCGAAATGTTTATGATCCAGCCAGCGCACACGCAATGCCAGTGATCTCCAATTAGGAACAGGGGTAGGGTTTGAGAGCAGAGACTGTTTGTCCTGCATCGATCGCTCTGTATTCACAGAGAGTATCTCCGCCTAAGCGCCCGATGCTCGAAATCTGAAAATAATAAAAACAGACAGATCTAGATCTGCGTAGTTCTGCCCCTAAATGGCTCTATTCTTTCGTTTTAGACCGATCACGGATGTCCCATCAGGTTCACCGTGCTTCTTTGAGTAACAATTTGCCACATTTTCCCGTTGCTGAAGCGGCGGAGAAAATAAAAGGTGGAGCAAGATATAATATCTTGATGCTAGGATAAACATCAAGTCAAAGACATTGACCTGCGGACTGGCAAGCGCAACTTTTTTGACCGCATTTCTAAAACCGTTTCCTCCGCGGCACCACTCAGGTGGTGTCTTTTCTTTCATTAGCCCGTGCCGTTTGGCTGTCCTGTCGATGATTGGTTGAGCGCCGATGGCACCAAGAAAAGAAAAAAAAATTGGGCAGCAATAACATTGTACCACCATAGTTTGCTGATCGAACAGAAAAAACCAGTCGAGCCTCACTCCCGAACTTGGAGAAAAAAATGGTGTAGGGACACAAAGGCCCATTGCATTGCTCGGCTACTTTCATCTCCCGGAAGATTGCCAGAGCGGGCAAAAATAATATAGCACCAACAAGAGGACGAAGTGTACATGGCATTTGCATGGCGATATCAAAGCCGGACAGGCACAAAGAGAGAACACGGGGCCATGATGGTGTATTATAATTTTGGTGCCCCGTCGCCAATTTTTTTCGGAGCAGGGTTGGGCAAGGGTACCTTAACCGGAGCGGGTGCGTTCGCAACAATCTCGGCAAATCGAAGGACACGGGAAGACACTAGAAGACGAAGGGATGGATATGAGTACACATGATGAATAACTAGGACGCGCGCACGAACCCATGCATGCATGAAGGGAGCAACAATAGAAAAACATAACACGCATGAAAGACGGATCACCACGTTATAGACGGGTGTGCTTACCTGTTGCATTATCGCGGCGGTTTTTGCCCTCGCGTCTGAACGTGCCAATGTGTTCCACCATGTCCCAAAGCGCGCCATCAGTGGAAACGCGTCCATCAGGTCCGAAACTAGGCATGAAGTCCGGATGGAGTGCAACTTTGGTTCTCTCCTTACTGCTGGTGGGTTTCTTGATCATAAGGATTCCATAATCGCTCAGACGGTTGAAGCCGTTCTTCAGAGTCTCCATGTTGACGGACTCAAAGTACGAGAGGTCGCCCTGGTAGTAGAGAGTCTTTCCAAACATCTGAGTCTTCTCCATAAACACACGCTCCTCGACCCAATGAAGTAGAGGGTCGCCGTTGATGTCCCTCTGCTGGGTCAGCTCTCTCGCTGTAGGGATAAGGGTATACAGCGATACAGCAGCGAGCCAGTACGCCTCCACAAATGGCCAGAGCAAGAAACAGTAGAAGTCTACGCGTAGCGGAATAAATAAAATAAAATAGGGGATGTCAATCCATGTTCGTTACACAGTTTTCAGTTAAGGTCCGAATGTTTGCAGCAACCCCTTACCATAGTTCTCTCTGCCGATGCGACGCTCCACGTCGGAGAGACCAACATAGCCATCATTGTTGATCTCAATCACGTTCGATTTCTAAAAACACAACCACAACACAGAACAAATAAACAAACAACGATCGTAATGTATGCACGTTAGAATCTTCCCGCCATAGGACTCTCGAGAAAACTCCGCGGAGAAAAATACACGTCACTACGCACCTTCAGATACTCGAGCGTGTTCTTCAGATTACTTTCAATATCACCAGGATTGTAGATAAAGTCGGTCTTGAGGAGACGACTCAAGAATGTGACCTCGTTCAACAGCTCCGTGTGGCTGATCTGCTGGGTTGATGTCGCACCACCAATCTTGATGCGCGTGTACATGGTGACCGCTACGATGGCCTCGTGGACAAAGAGGTGGATAAGCTGGTTGCGGTAAAAGGACAGCTCAAATCGCTTGACCGCGTAGAACACGGGCTCAATCAGGTTCTTTTGCAATGCTACCAGGTCCTTAAGGACACCCAGCGCGCTAATAACATAATGGTGAGGTCAGGTCATTGCATATATGAACCATCGACTCGCGTGAAAAAAAAAAAAAAAAAAAAAAAAAAAAACAGCACAGCCCTTACCGATCAACAACTTCGCCAGTCTCCATCCCACTAAAGTTGGCAACACGACCTCCTTTGGACAAAATCTCACGTTTCAGCCATTCCACACGGCGGATAAGTTCGTTGCGTCCAACGCCCTAAATGTCAGCATTTAAAGAAATAGCAGCATCTGTTAGATGCAGGAGACAGTTGATGTAATAGATGCCTGATCACAGTACAGGATATTCACTTACACGTCCACGAAGGGTCAATACGACGGTACCAACTAGCGCCGTTGGCATCACGACCGAGACGGAATTGATGTCGGCCAATACCTTGTAGCCCAGTGCCTTTAGCAGTTGAGATTTAGCGGCATTGCTCGTCTGCTCGCGCTCATTGATGATCCTATTAACAATTAAAAAAAAGATGACTCGGTTGTTAAACGCAGCGCTCATGAGTGGTCATCCCGCGAAGATCCTTGCAGAAGCGTAACTTTAGCTGATACTTACTCTCTGCGCTCAATTTCGTAATTCATAAAGTTACGCAAGCTGTATGGCTTCGCGAAGCGGACGTCGATGCGTCCCATCTTGAGCTGGAGCAGTCTGGAGTTGGTGATGACACCCCACAAACTCTCCTTCTCCTTTGGGATTCCAAGGAGTTCGCTGATATATGTCTCGGTTTCGATGACCTTATCATAGCCGATCGAGATGGGCACAATGTAGCAGTCCTGTATGCGGTCGGAGAGCATGGCATCCATGATGATCTTTAGAACTATGGGTCCCAAAATGGTATAATTAGTACGAAAGTCCCAGAGATTACTTGGGTTGGTGCGTCGGTAGTAAAAGATTGCCGAATAATCTACATACCTCCGAGCTTGGGGGGCAGCAGCTTTCCTGTTCTGCTTCGCGTTCCCTCAATAAAACATTCGATGTTGTATCCGCCTTCCAACAGTTCCTGGACATACTCTTGAACAATACTGGTGTAGAGCTGGTCATCAGCCCATGATCGACGGATAAAGAAGGCACCGGCTCCTTTGAGTGCCTTTCCGACGACAGGCATGTCCAAGTTGTCACCAGCGGCGATATGGGGCAAGGCCAGACCCATGCGGAAAAATATGTACGAGACAACAAGGTAATCGATGTGCGACTTATGACAAGGCAAGACCACCATTGAGAACTTGTTCTCCGCGCAGTACTCGGCAACTCGACGCAGCTCTAGGAACTCTGACTCTTTGATGTGAATTCCTTGGTGATACATTCTTACGAGAATGTTGTTGATGAGGAACGCAAAGAATCTAGCGATCGTAAGGCGTTGCTTCGTCAGTATCGTGGAAGCACTTCTCTTCAAGATATATGGCATAGACAAAGGTTCAGTGGCAAATAATTTTACATCACGCGCTTTACCTGATGAATTTCAGGCTGTTCATGTCGCACACCAACTTGTCGATGTTACTCTTGGCGACGGCTGTCAGCTCAGCCTCCAATGTTTTTCGGCGGGCCTCAATGTCTTCAGGTCTCATGGGTCGGGCCTTGGGCTTGTAGTTCTTCTTTCCAGCATTTGCAACCATCTCTGCGTCATGGGCCTCTTGCTTCTGTCTGATGAGCGTCTCCAATTGCTTATCGGCCATATTTTTTATCAGATTGCTCACTATCGAGGTGATTATAAAAGAACAAGGTATATAGATTAACATCTTTCATCTCAATGACGATGACTAAGCTTCGAGCAGATATGGATGAAACATGAATAATACCTTTCTGGCTGGCAAGGATACGCTCCTTGAATGTGGCAGAGAAGCCTTCATAGAAGATGCGAGTGCCAACATAGTTGCTGTAACTTCTCCAACCCTATGTGATTCATTAAAAACAGAGGATTTCTGATTAAGAATATACCCTTTGCATAGCGATTGACCATTATCCTTTGCCTTTCGCCTCTACAAGGTAGCAGAACAGCTGGCGGACGGTCCTTTTGTGCTCAGGCCTCCGAGAATAGATAGCAAACAGCACAGGATCCAATTCTCCAATGGTTTATGATCCTGCATATTTTGTCCTCTCTCAAAAAGCATATTGGAGGTGTTGTGGTGGCAAGCGCCTTCGTCGAATAATTGATGGGAGAAATTGTCTCGAGACCGTCTTCACATTTTCATTGTGCGTCCTGTCTGTCCATGCCTTCTTTTGCTGGTCTAGTTCTTAACGTACCGTTCCTTGGTAAAACGCAGCGGTCTGCACAACAAAGCCCACAGGGTCCTCTCTGATCCTTCCAGCGTGCTTCTTACTAAAAGAGAATCCAAAGATGGGAATAATGCATTAAATGTTAGCGACTGTGATCGAGCAACATCAACATGCATGCGTCCAATGGGTCTGTTCGTCAAGGACTTGCGTGATATTTTCGACGCCGGACTCGTCATTGTCAGGATCCAGCCTTTGGAGCGCCTGCACGTTGTTGGGCACGCAAGGCAGCTGAGGGGAGGCTTCGCCTGAAGGAGGGCATGATGAGGAGTCGACTTGTTGGGCTGGGACAATAGGCATGACATTTTTGAGCGGTTTCAGCTCCAGGGCAGGAGCAGCAGGGGTAGAGGTCGCTCCCGATGGCTGGTCAGCTCCGGTCTTGGTGCTAGTGTTGCTGTTGGTACTGTTGTTTTTAGTTGCCATGTTGGGATATGGCGAGGGATCCTTGCGTAGAGTACGAAAAAGCTGAATGAGCTGATCTGTCGGTCGACCTGATCAGGAAAGGTCCAAGAATCGAACTGGTTTCTCCACACGACCTGAAAGTGTGAAATGAGCTGCTTAGCTTTGTCAGAGCTGAGAATGGTTTCTACGTGCGGTCCTGAATCCAACGAGAGCAAGCCAACACGGAGGCAGAGACGAATGCAGCGAGGAATGAGAGGGAAAGCAGAAGAGAGGCAACGAAAGGTCGAGTGCGGGGAAGGTGGTGTGGACAGGTGGAGGAAAATACTCTTTTCCGCTGGGGTAAAAAATGACCACAAGATTTTTTTTTTTGACTGGTTCCTCTGTGGATGTCCGTTTGAGCCAAGAACAAAGAAGAACTATAAAAAACTACTCGAAAACACTATGGAAAAAACGCTACCTATGTGGATCAATGGGTTAATCCAATCTACGGAGACAGTTACTACCTAAGTAAAAAAGAATCAGCTCAATTGGACACTAAGAGGAACCAGGATGCGAAATGACGAGTGGGAGAAGGAAGGGTGTATCACTTTCTATCTCCACAAATCGTTGTGATGTCAGAAAAAGCGAAATCTGGGGTAAATAATACTAGCAACGGCACAGTGTCGATGATCGACGGATACGTTGAAAGGGGTCAAAGACAGGTGAGGATGAGCGCTGTGAAGAAGAGGAAGAAAGAGAAAGGGAGTGGAAGAAAGAAAAAGGAAAGGGGAGGATGCGATTATACCTTTTTCTCTCTTCTCTACTTTAAAGAAACGCACACATCCGAACGAAATAAAACGAAAATTGACCTCCCCCACCCCCTCCACGTCCATGTCTGCTTTTTCTCTCCTTCCTTCTCCACGGCGTTTTTTGCTCCGCTCCGACGGGGGAGCAGTGGCCGAAAGTGGTTGAGGAGCCTTGTTTAGCAAACAGGACGCGGACCTTGCCTGCACTGGCTGCGTCTGGTACAAGTTCTCTCCATTTATTACGACTTGTTGGGGGAAAATACGAGGTACAGAACCTTGTCCACTAATGCCTTCCGCATTCTTTCCTCCAGCCTTGACATGGGTCTCATTATTATCATCATTTGTTTATTTTCGGTCGTTGTCAAGAGCTTCCCTTGGCATGCTGTCATGCCTTTGTCTGGTGGCCTAACCATAGTGTATAGTAACCAAAATGCAATATTATTATCCCTACTCTTATGCACGGCCTTGCTATCCATCTCGGAACACGCGTTCTTGCGCGTACACGCACACACACGCGCATGTATTATCGTACCCACATGTCGCTGCTGCTAGTGCATGCTCAAACTGGACGCTTTCATTTCCGGGACGCCTTTCCTTGGCACCCATGTGTCGCGCTTCTTTCAGAAGATCATTGCATTCCGCTCGTTGCAAGCACTTGCCTGTGAAAAAAAATGTACTTTACATACTATCAAGACATGATATCCTTTGTTAATCAAGTGAGTATCTTTTGTTAATCGAGTGAGTGTCTTGACAGCATTGGTCGTTTCAGCATAATACTGATTCGATCGAGTTCGAGCTGGTGGTCGTTGGAAGACAACCCGCCTCCCCAACGTTCATTCGATGCGAACGGACCATCTGGGAAAAAAAATTGTTGATCCGACCCGAAATGCTTCTTAGCTTGGTGCCACCAACTTGCATGAGTGAGAATGCGAGATAAAGACAGCAATAAAAACGACTGGCTCTCGTACGCAAAGCCCTGGCAGACATGTCAGTCAGTTGCATTCATTCACTATTCATGAAGCCCTTGTCCATGTGTTTACGACCAGCAATTGCTCTTATTCATCGTGCATGGGTTGTCCGTCCGTTGCACGTCTCGATTCGCTCTACATGCGCTCACCATATCCAATTATTTACCTTGAGCACAGGCATCGATATGGGCGAATACCTTTCGAGAACGCATGGATAACCGGAAGAAGCCGCGTACCGACCGCCTTCTTGCATTGATAGTGACAAACGCGGGTTACGGGCTGGATACCTTCCCTGGGGGACTAGGTCAAAAATAGTCTTTTGGACGTACCTCGTTCGGATTTGTTGCTGCGAGCCAACCGCCAAGCTCCACCCCAAGGTTGTCGCCAGACAGAGACAGGAACGGATAGCCTCTCCAAGAACGCGGGTGAGCACTGGTATTTGCTTGTCATTTTGTCGCTTTAAGACGCGGGTTCTTTTGATTTGATCGTCGAATGGAAATGTATACGCAGCCTACGTGTCCTGTTGCACAGCGGTGTGTATAATCGCTAGGACGCTTGGGTTCCTTAAATACACCCACAGCATTTGTCTGCCTGATCAACCGACAGCAAAGTTCTTTCGGCAGCATATTCATTAATCTCTGCACTGACCTTGTGGGAGGTTGATTCTTTAGCCAGCGCCCTTGATTTGGGCTCGATAGACCATCAACGTGCTGCGTGAGTGCTGTGCATACTGCCTGAATTTATCCACGCAAGGGACTATAGTGTCTCGTCGCTGCACTCTTTCCCGCTTCCCCAGGCTACCGAGGACCAACCGATGGACCATCGAGGATGCATATTCTAAGAGTATCTCGTTTGCTACGACCGAAGCTCCCACGCACACGTCTGATGGGCCGGCCCCAGTAGAGTATGCATGGGCGAAACATGGGCTCCACAGCCCTTAAATTTGGCATCCAATTTTGGATAGGCCGAATGCTGCAGATCGGTGTTTACATTTCTGAGACCCTCATCAGCCACCTACCACGAACTCGCTTGTCCACTGGGGTTCAACAGGGGCCCAATCGCGGATTCCGCCAACCTTCAAGTCCCCTAATCCTCTCCCAGAGGAGACAAAGATCTTTCCCACCTTCTTTCCACGCTCGCCCTCTTCCTCTCTTTCTCCCTCCGCCTCCTAATCTTGCTACTGAGTCCGGATCGCTGTCCCGACACTGTGCAATCTTTGAACGCGCTTCGTACCTCCGTGGTTATATAGCGTTTTTGTCCGCTTATCCAGGTACGGTGGCCGTATGACATTTTTGGCACCTGCTACTTAGGGCCGCGAGCTCGCTCGGTAATACTTTTCTCCCTCTATAACACACCCTCTCTATACAGTATTTTCCTCCGTAGGACACGCGACGGGCTAGACGCAACCGATACGATCGTGACGACGCGCCCTGTCTAATGTCCTGCTCCTCCAGTCGCGCAGCCAACGTGCTGTCTGTGGCCATGGGCATTCCCTCGCGATCCAAGGGATATCTGACTGGACTATCAAAGCGAAAGTTTCGTACACGGACATCGGGAGATCTTTCCTGCCAAAAGATCTGTTCTGACATTCCGTCCCAAGCGCATTCTGTTGATCCTCTGAAGACATTGAATCGTCGTTTGGATGTGTCAACATCCTCGTCATCATCATTATCTTTGCCGGAAAACCGGATATATTGTTCAGAGCCGTCGTGGGAGGTCTTTTTTATTCACTCTTGCACTTCTGGATCAAGACGATCTCGGTCACTAGTTCCCAGTCATCATCGTGTTCACAACCTGCAACAGACATATCCTCATCACACAAGTCTGCGACCTCGGAATGGTGGTCCACATCGCTCATTTTCAGTCAAGGCATGCGCCGATAGCTCAGTAGGGGTTGTTTCAAAAGGAGTGCAGCATTGCGCACAAAGTGAGGGCCTCTCACAGCATTCGTTGATCGTATCACCACCATGCATCGTCGTTGATAACATCCACCGTGGCAAAAGAACAACCACCAAGACTCATTTGCACTCAAGGAATACATCGTCGACGCCAAGGCAGCAGTATCTTACACCAGATTTATTCGGCTTCCAACATTCAGCCTTACAGATATCAATGTCGGTATCAGGAATACAAAACAGGGGCAGCCCCGATGCTTCGATGTGGTTCTGCATCTGCAAGCCAATTAACCGACTCTCGTCCAAAAGATTTCTGCACTCGACCCGGTCCAGGCGGGCATTTTTCTCGCAGGAGGGTGGCGAAGGCATAGGTCTATCTCTGGAGGAAAAGAGATCTATTGTGGCCGAGTTACGACAGAAGGCGTTCGTGAGATCTAGTGTCCCGCAATTGTGGGCAGCATATACAAAGATCGTCAAGTCTGAGGCCCTTCCACTACTACAGAGCGACGACGTCACCGTCCTTTTTCAAGTTCTCTCTCGGTCACCTCAGATTGAGGAATCAACAGAGATGATGCTCCAGGTTGCCCTGGATGTGAACGACATGGGGAAGCAGCTCCCACAGGATGCCTTCGATCTTCTCATACGCCATACAACCGACAATCTGCCCGCGGAACAGGTCAAGGCCATGTTGTGGCAAATTCAGGGTCGGCGGCGCTTCATCACCGAGTCCATACAACTATGCGATTCCAATGCAGAGATGAAGCGATTTTTGGGTCTTTACAATCAACTTGTCAAGGCCTCATTCGACGTGGACGGCTATTCGACATATTTTCAGAGCCGAAAGGAGAAGGCCCAGCGTCTCGGCGAGATAGTGCTAGGATGGATCGAGGATGAGAGCAAAAGTATCAACACAAAAGTCATCGAGCACCTCTTAGTCTTTCTACTGGACCGCGGTGTGACCGACAGCGTCTATAATACGATCGGGGGCCTATCAAAGGACGGGTTCAAGTTCACTCATGGATTCCTCACTACCGCTATCCATCGTTTTGGACGACAGCAAAAGTTTGATTACATGGACATAACACTCGACATCATGAGGAAGCAGGGCCTTGAGCCTCTCGAGGATACCTATTCAGCCATCATTGATGCACACGCAAAGGCGGGGAACCTAAGGGAGGCTCAGAGAGCGTACCAGGAGGTTCTTGCCGCAGATCTCACACCAACCGACACGACGTTTGGACCCATGGTAGAGGCTGTCGGAAAAATGGGCGATTACGACATGACGCGCCAGCTGGTGGAACAGATGAATGCGGTCGGTGTTCCCTCAAACGAATATACATTCAGCGCATTTCTCCAGAGTATGTCACACGACCCCGATCGAAGCGCCCAGCTCTTCAAGGAGCTGTCAAAGCAGGTGGGGCCCAACGCAGTCAACTACAATCTTCTCATCCGGACGTTCCAGCGCCACGGCGACCTCGATGGCGCTTTCCGAGTATTTCGATCTATGGTTACAGACGGAATCGAACCAGACCAGTATACATTTTCCAGCATCCTCAGTCTTTTTGCCTCACGCGGCGATGCCGGGGGCGCAGAAGTCTTTTGGAACGAGATGGTCAACGTGCACAAGGTCCCACCCAACGCACACGCATACGGATCGATGATGCATGTTTACTGCACGGCAGATGATATGCTGAGTGCACAAACTGTGTATAGAGAGATGATTCAGGCCAGCATTATGCCAAACGAAGTTATCTTCGGCACCCTGCTCAACGCATACGCTCGCCGCGGGGACTTGACACAAATGCTCTCGATCTACGATGCTATGCGTGCAGAAGGTCTCAAGCCAAACAGCTACATCTACTCTAATTTGCTGTTTGGGCTGGTCAAGGATGGCGACATGACGGCGGCACGGCGATTATACGAGAACATGGAGGAGGATGGATACGGCAACAACGTGCTGGCGCAAACGATATTGATGAAGGGATATCTGGATCAGGATAACTTTAAGGAGTCTCAGGAAATCTACCAGAACATGCTGCGCGCCGGACTGATACCCAACTTTATGACCTACGCCACACTTCTGCAGGCATATGCAAAACGAGGAGAGAAGACAGAGGGTCGAGCATTCTTGAACAAGATTATGAAGAGCCGTGGGCTCGTTGTTGTGCGCGAGGAGGAGGAGGTCCAAGATGATGACGAGACTCTAGAGGATGAATCGACGTCGGGCGGCTTCCAGGAGGATCGTCTTTCTACGATCGGCACTGAACGCAAGCCCCTCAAGGCGGCATCCAAACCAAAACCCCTGCTGGCATTTACCCCTCTCCTCGATGCGTATGCAAAGGAAGGCAACATTCTTGCCGCGAAGGAGATGTTTGAAGAGATCAAGGCTCGTGGCCTTATACCCAACACCATCACCTATACCATCTTGATGGACGGCTCCAGGCGTGCAGGAGATGTCGAGGGTGTCTTGCGCATTTGGGGCGAGCTCTTTGACCGGTACCAACGGCAGTGGAATGACGTTCGTGACCATCCTGAGAAGTACAGGCCATCCAGGCGAGCAATGGTGGAATGGAACCAAGACCGTTTGACGACTAAAGGTTCGAAGCTGCAGAGACTGATGCAGCAACCAGTGTCGATCACGCTCGATTCACTTTGTTATTCTGGGAGAGCCCTGGAGGCGAAGGCGATCTGGAGGCAGCTGGAGGAGATCGAGTTTAACTTTGATTCAGCCAACTGGAATGACTATTGTATTGCGCTGATCAGAAATGGATTTTTGATGGACGCGTGCGAAATCATCCAAGAGAAGCTACTCCCAGGATTCGAGAGCGAGCGAGAACTGAGTCATTCGTCCCGTTCTGCCAGGGGCTTGCCAGCACCTTCAGAAGTCGTTCACTCTACTCAATACAGAGCAAGTACTGAGCAAGAGGAGCGATTATACTTTCGTAAGGATGGGTCTTTGGAGTCGATCGCGGAGGACGGTGATACGCCCGTATCGTCCAAGCAGCCTGCCACACTGTTGTTCCCGCGACCCAGGACATTTGCAGCGTTGGCTGACAGTCTTGAGGAGCTCTTGTCACCTAAGGATGATGCGCGTGTTCGATACCAGAAGCAGCCCTCAAATCCCATCATAACGGAGCCAGAGCGCGCAACTACACCTACAGGCTCTTTGACTGACCACAGTGCGGTCGGTCTCAAAGCCAAGCGACTTGAGCGGCGGAAGAGACTGATCGAGGCCAAGCTGCAGCCTTACCCTCATCCGTTCGAAAAGCTGGACGAGAACCATCGACAGATCTTGTGGAGCATGATCCGGACAGGGTACCCCCGTGTGCTTGAAGCCCTGGACGAGGGTATGCTAGTAGCCTCGAGACAGCTCATTGGCAGCAGCAATACGTTATCGTCGTCATTTTCGTTTGGAGGTGGACCTGATGGTACCTCCAAGGAGTCACCAAAGGAATCTGGTATCCAAGCTGAGGCTGGATTTAGGAACTTCCGGCAGTGGCGACGACTCAAGGCGGTGATCAAGGATATGGAGCGGAAACAGTTTTTGGAAGACCGCAAGGCGTTTATCCAGGAGCGCGAGGACCGGTTTGCTATGTTGCGCGGACGCAAACCAGCCTAGACAACCGCATAGAAGGAGTTCTTCTTATTTGTATTGTACCATAAATATATCGCATTCTAGACGCCATCTCCAAAAAAAAAAAAAAAAATGCAACTTGGTCATTGCATATAGACCAGCCCTCAAACGCGCTTCCTTCATTCGTACTTTTCTTTTTCTTTTTCTTTTTCTTTTTTGTACGGAATCTAATGCCTTTATTTCTTGTTCTATCAAAAAATACACAATTTCTGCTCTTTAGTACACATGTGCTGAGGGTCTAGCAAAGCCTGCGGCCGGCTGATTCGCCGCAGATCCCGCATTCATCAGTCCCAGACCTCCTCCGACTGTGGTTCCGACTCTGCGTACACGGGCGGGTTCACCTCGGACGACTGTGGATACATCATCCGGATTACCGCCAAAGATCTTGCGCCATGTCCTGTGAGCATGATAGAACAGACTGCGTTGACCGACCAACGTCAGGAGCACGGTGCCGAACCCCCAAAAGAAGCCGTGGATAAAGGGCATGAGGATGATATCCCGCAGAGTCATGACCGTGACTCGGGCCGTGATCGAGGGCACTGTCCTGACCTGACGCTGTTGTCTCCGATTCCTTGATGACGATGAGGATGTTCCTGTGGCGGCAGCGTTGAACTCCGCAGCCTGGGCAGATTCCCGTGCATGGGTCTCATAGATCTGATCGAGCGCTTTGCGGTAGTTGTGGTCGAATCTCAAATCCGGGACCGTAGGTGCCTGTGCCAGAAGATGGGAAGCCGACGCAGAGATGCGGCGACGTCTTCTTCTGCGACCAGGTTTTCGTCCGACATGCTCATATCCCTCCTCACTATTGTCGTCCGAATCCGTTTCCGAGTCGCCGCTGATATCACCAACGTCCTGAGAATAGAGAGCGGTGTGGTGACCAAAGACGGATGGGTGGGAGCGTCCTCCTGGGAGACTTGTTGAAGGTATCATGGTCACTGCTGGTTTGCTTGTAGGTGCTGCCCCGAGGTTGCTGTCATCGCCATCAGCATTAAGCGGTTGGCGAGCGATTCCGTGCAGTGGATGTGGTGTAACGTCCGGAGTGATCGTGTTCGACATGGTGAGCTGTGAAAGAAACGCGGACGAGTGAAAACGATGCTCGCAAGGCGCGCGCAAACGGCTTGACATGACATCAATCTGATCACGTGTAGGTAAGCAAAAAAGACGCAGGTATGAAAATGGCAAACATGAGTGCGTGTATGTGTCCATGCGCCTTCTTTGGTTCACAGACGAGGGATTGGAACCGTGACAGATCAGCGCCGCCAATCTCTCGGCGACCATACTTGGCTCTGGACTGATTTGCTCCGCCATTGTATCCATACTGATATGTGTTGATGTTTTACCGGCGTTCAAAACCTCTTCTGAAAATTGAACATCATGCTTAGAACTTGTAGTCCTACAACCCATAGTTGAGCTGTTAATAATATGTAATATGAGAGCACTGAAACAGCATAGTTGTCTTCATCGTACCATAATCCCTCTTCGCTTTGGAAGCCCCCGTGGCATCGTTTTTGGATGTCGAGAGCTTGAAGATGACTCCAGCGCTTGCTGACTGGCGGCGTTACTGGTGCTGGCAGCACTAGGATGGGGAGGAGCTTAGAAAAAAAAGCGCGAGCTGGGCGAGTTGGGTGTGCTGGGCCTGTCAAGCCTAGACCTGCAGGGCATTCAGGGCTCTCGTATGCCATCCGAGGTCCGGGATAAAAGTTATATTTTGCATTGAAGCATAGTTCTGTAGGAAAAGTTGGGATGTGTAGGAGAAGGATTGATAAAGCCAAAGGTGTGCTGTGGTGAAATGAAGGTGCATTGCAAGGTAGAGAGCGATGGAGAGTTGCCAAGAAGCACGAATTGTATAGGCATGCACTGCCAGGAACGCGAAGCCTTTTGTTTCGGCAGGCCTTGATAAATGCGGGGAAATACGAGGACAAGGTGTGGTTGACAGCCTGATATATCTCCGTCTATGATTGAGGTTAGCTCGCGTCAAATCTTTTATTCATGCGCACAGGATAGACCCTGCGGAACATTCAGTTTGGCGTTATCTTCTGTCTCCGTCGCATTATCTTCTGAGCCGAGAGAGACTAACAAAGGGATGGACCGCTCAAAATGGCCATACTCTTTCCAGTGCCAATCAGTCCAATGAAGAAAACACAGTTGAGGTGTAAAAGGTTCAAGTCTGGGAGCGTGGTGTTGCAAAAGTTAAAGGGTGTATTTGGTGGTGAAGGTATATGAAGTGTGTTTTATTATTTCAACGTTCATCTTCTGAACGCTCGTAGCAATATTACAGACCAAAACTTTACATGCCTGCACAAAGGGCGTTTTGGAGGGCTTTATCTTGACGAAACCTGGAATAGAACATTTATCAATCTGAACTATCAGTAGGGTTTTCAGGCACGAAAGCCATTCAAAGAACATGAGAGAGAGAGAAAGAGAGAGAGAGAGAGGTAGAGGAGGATCCATTACTTGCACAGGATAACGCGACCCTTGAGCGACGCCTGTAATCCTTTGTAAGGGAATAGCTCTCCCACGACTGTCTCGATCCAGGCTCGCGCCCATTGATGCAATGATGGCGACGTCCAATAGATGTCAGCATGTCGTTTCAACTGTCCCTAAGGCATTCTCTTAGCCCAGGGAACCTCGCTTTATATCCTTATTACCTCGTTCTCTCGACCAATGTCGTATTTTGCTGCGAGCTTTGCTAGGCACGGGCCACAACAAACGAGCAAGGTGTTTTGAAATAAACCTTAATCGCCTTCAGTTGTAAATTGGTTTGCCGGCTCCCTCGGTCTGTTCATGTTGTGATTCGTAGTGGAATTGGTCTTTATTCCCTTTTGTTCAGTTAGAATATGCAATGCTGTATGCGTGCGTGTGCGTAGAATAAAAAAGAGAGCTGTGTATTGCATGGCGAATTGAACGCATGAACTTTTTGTGTAGGTTCTAGTTGCTATACGTGATGATAATGCATGAGCATAGGGCGATACTCAAATGCAGCCTTTGGTACGCCTGTGTGTCTGGAATGATCTGTCATTTAAAAAAAAATATCCTGCAGTCCTACGACCAAGCAGACGATTGTGGTAGACGTTCTGTCAATGACGACAGAACAAAGGAAAACAATGAAGCCCTTTGCTGGATGCGATGAGAATAACGATGTATGATACAAAAAACAACAAATGTATGGTCGCATGGATTAAACATGAGGTGATGCAACATGAGGTGGATGAGGAATAGCAGGGATGAATGCTGGTGTAAGGTTTCTTGACGGGGATATCGAGAGTGATTTCTATACCCCACTTTGGTGCAGATATGTCAAGACGCTAGCAAGAGTACAAATGGAGCAATTGCGAGTGAGTGAGTGCATGAAAAAGATGCCGTCAAAAATAATACAAGAGGTGGTCCTTACCTGGGAGCAACGGATCGTGATTTCAGCAAGACCTCTCGCCATTCCTCATTAGCATCCGATAAAATAGTCAACGCGCCTCCAGCACCAACTGACAGCTCTGGATAGCGATGAATAAAATAATCGCATTAGATGACCGGTATGAAATTCCTAACACGCGATGATACATTTGTCAAAAGTTGGAGAGTAGTTACCTCCAACAAGAGCAATCGATTCGTCCTTATCCTCTAGCGGCTCGACTGAAAGCACAGCTGTTCGGATCACAACCGAAAGATCAACGGCAGAGCGCGCTTTACGCTCTTCGCCCACACTTGTCTTGGAGACTGCTGCCGCTGCAGAGGCCGGAATGCCGATGTATCCAAGACAGCCTGAATAGATACCTCGTCTGACATGACGCTCGAGCGAGTCCAGCAACTGAACCGAGCGGAGCTTGGGTGCACCTGTCATGGACCCTGGCGGGAAGCACGCCCTCACTGCCTGCGTGTTGTCAATGTGTTCAAAGAGTTCGCCGCGAACTGTTGTCACTAGCTGGTGCACAGTTTCGTAGGACTCGACACGCATCAAGTATGGCACTCGAACTGACTCTGAGTAGCAGACATGGGCAAGGTCGTTGCGAATCAAATCAACAATCTACGTAGGCAGATAATTCAAAGGCGGTTCAACAACGTAATCAATGCAAAGTGTATTTGCTTCTTCATTTTTCACAGTGCAGACAACAGGCCTTACCATGAGATTCTCGGCGCGCTCTTTGATGTTCTTCGATAAGGAATCGATTCGGCTCTGATCCTCACGTTTCCTCGCTTCTGCACACCGATCGCTGATAGAGCGACGGCGTAAACGTTCAACGCTGCCCACACGTTTCATCCCAGTAATCCCAGGGATGTCCTCGTCCATTGGATCAGTATCATCCTCATCCGCGTGTTCACTGCTGTCGTCGTCATGTATATCCACGCTGCAACCTTCATCCTTCTTACAGAAGCAGCCCTTGGCTACGGCCACTGTCCCCTTGATAGGTTTCATCTCAACCGTCCGTGAAGACAACGGTACATTGTGGTCTAGAGTATTGATTTCATCGCTCGGCTTTTTTCCAATCTTCAGGAACCTTTCTGGCGACGACGAAAGGACTACAAGCTTGCCAACGATCTCATTGGCTTCGGAGGAAGCGTCGTCTCGATGGTCCTGAGACAATCCTGACCGGTTCTTCACTGCTGTGCTGATACTTAAATATGCTGAGAATGGAGCTGGATTGAGTTTCCGTAGAATCTTGTATAGATCGTATGCTGGATCGCCCTCGAATAAATCTGTGTCGGCGTCCTGACTCTCCTGCTGATGATGGTATAGGGGCAGTTTAGCCCTGAATTGAGTTGTTAAGCAAAGTTCGTAGCTCTCGCCTTCGTGAATATAGTTCAGACTGTCTTGGATAGCGCGCAGGTAATCTTTTTCGCTCACATCTACCCTAAATGGTGACATCAGCCCAGCTGAAGATTGACGACGATGGCGCTCCTTGACCAGATAGGGCTCCCGGTTGACGCCGTTTGAAGGCACGCCTGCTGGAACAGATCTTCGCCTAATCCCTCCAGCTGATGGCTCGCTGTGGGCCAGATGAACAATAGAGCGACTGACATCCTGAATCCAGTCCTGGCAGGTCTTTCTATCAAGGAATCCAATGGGCCCACCAATATCCACGTGCTGTTTTCCAGGGTTGTTGTTAATGATTCCCAAGACGTAAATGCGTCTCTCGACATGGTCAAACACGACCGCCTGTGTGGCCAGAATGAGCGAGGCGTCTGGCTGTCGTAGGCAATCGCAGGCGCATGAGCGTCCATCTCCAGCATGGCCCGTACATCCGCACTGCTGCCCCTCGGGTGTGTGATAACCCTCCAGGCTTTCTCGCTTCATCTCGTATCCAAAATAGCCGACCATGCCTGCGAAGAAGTCGAACGGCACCTCCTCAAAATCCTTCTGCTGACCGTCAGGCCCAATCACAACAGTCTCGACTCTTCTCCTGTCAAATTCAGCCATGATGTGCGATGTCCAATCCCAAAACGTCCTCACAGCAGTATCCTTGATATCTGCTCCATCCAACTTGATCCGCTTAATATCCGATTCGTCCGACTGAGTCCTGTATCGACGAATGTGGATCTCCTTGTGTAATGTTGAGTATTGAATGACGGCCTGGGCAGCACCAGGCACACACTGTCCACGTGAAGACTGGCCATGGCAGCGCCTGGTTTCCACGCCTCCCATGAATGAGAACCGCGACATTGGGTGAGGTTGGCGAGCACTATCTAACCACCATGAGGCAGCTTTTGATCTGGGTCCTGTAAGAAAGAGTGACGAGAAAACGGCCTCGGGCTCGGGAAAGATAGTGACATCCAATGCTTGGATCAGCAGACTATATGGGCTCAAGGAGTTCTTGGGCCCATGACAACTTTTCGGGGTAGAGTGTGTAATTGTAGGACGAGCCGGGATGACAGATAATGCTCGAATATGATCTGGCAATTGCTGCATGGCGGTGTCTTCTCTCTTGCCTGCATAAAACTCCCGCGAGATTCGGAAAAAGTTGCCCATCATCTGCTTGCCGTACTGAGTGCAAATCGATTCTGGGTGAAACTGAACACCATGATGCGGAAGCGTCCTGTGCCGGATGCCCATAATGGACCTGGATCCTAGCGTCCGATCTGCGTTGATGATAGTGACAACGTTTTCTCCGTCCATGTTATTCGCTGAGATTAGGGGGAAACTATAGCACCAAGCCGAGGGCACAAGATCATCCGGTAGATCCTGTTCCTGAATTACCAGCGAATGGTATCTGACCGCCTCAAATTCCTGGGGAATCGCTTGAAAGAGTCCGGTGTTGTCGTGCTTGATATGTGCAATCTGTCCGTGGACAGGTTCAGGTCCGTAGGTGACCTTGGCGCCATGTGCCCATCCAATTCCTTGATGCCCCAAACAGACCCCAAAGACGGGGATGTGTTTTGTCTGGAGAATTTGTGTGCATATACCAAAGTCCTAGAGGCACAGTCGTGGTAAAAAAGAAAATGCAGTGAGCGTACTTACTCCGGCTGGGGTTGTGAGTGAGGGTGAGTCATTTTTATTATAAGGCGAATAGTAGGAGCATCGAGGAGATGCTTCGCAAATAACGGCATTTTAATTCAAGGAATGTTCAGGCAGGGAAATGTAGGAGGCCAATGCAATACATATCAAAAAAAGAGCCCTCTGCAGAAAAAAAACCGTTCAAGCAGATCTGTTCTAAAGATTACCTGGGCACGTTCAGGGCGTCCAGGGCCAGGCGACAGAATGACTTGATCAAAGTGCGGAAGGATCTCCTTCTCGAACTGGAGCCTGTTCAAATACCATAGATGTTGACATAGTTAGCACTCCAGAAACAAGGACAGCCAGCCATTATCCATTCCATCCTCTCAATGCCAAAATACCATGTAAACTGATCGTTGTGGATCACAACAGTATTCTCGAGCTGGTCCTGATCAAACAGCTGCAGTAGATTGAAGGTATACGAGTCGTAGTTGTCGACGATCAAGGTCCGCAGCGCTCCCACGGTTACAGCTGGTCCTGTTGCGGGCGAGACCTCTACGCCTGCACTTGTATCCATGGTTCGTTGACTTTTGAAGCGGCTGTCGACTGGGCTCGGCATTGTGTATTGAAAGTGGTATAGATAGGGGTAGAGATAATAATGCAAATGGCGGGCTGAAGAACAAGGTGAAGTAGAGTGGAATGAGAAAGAGAAATGAGGCTAAGACATGTGCCGAGTGTGTTTGTTCATGGGAAGCTAGCGGGTGGCATCGTTCAAAGGGGGCGAGGAGGAGTGGAGTGAGAAGGGAGAGAGTACAGGGGATAGCGAGAGTGAGGGTGGGCAGTTTTTCTCTGCTTTCAATTGAACCAAAGAGAGGAGTCTTTTCTTCCCAAGGTAGAGCCTTTTTCACCCTCCTGAAAGAAGAATGGGAATCAATGAGTGTCGAGGCAATTGCGGTGTTAGTGGAATGGCAATCGTTGATCCTCCTCTTCACTTTTCTTTACTTTTCAGTCCGTGGTCTCCACCGAGCCAGCCCACAAAAAAAAAAAATTAGTTGGCGAATCATATATCTGATCTGATCTCACTGGGCTATACCCTTCGTGCTACCAACTTTATTTGGGTGTGCTGTAACATCCCATATCGCTCTATTACTATTCCAGGTCCCCGCGGTTGGCCTCCTGGGCTGCGCTCTCCATCATCGCCTCAATACCCTCCTCTGCACCCTCTTCGACAACCACAATCGCACCTGTGTGGTCTCCTCCGAAGAATGCCTCTCCTTCCCCATCCTCCGCTGCACCCTCCTCTGCACCTTCCTCAACATCCAAAAAAGCAGATCTTCCCCAGACTTCATCACGCACGTCTTCCCACAAAATCGATGGCATCCGGAACCGAGCAACAGTATAGCCCATGCGCTATTCGCTAGGGATACGCATGTACTCCGAGATCTGGTCCGGTTGCGATTCATTCATCACTTGGCGGAATGTAAACGTAAGTTGGCCATTGGCGGGCAGTTGCTTTGGAGCAAGAGACTTCACCTCTTCGGTTCGACTCGTGTTTGGCAATGTGCTGAGCACCCTCTGGACTCGTCGCGCCCACTGCGTGTTGTTGACCTGAACAGCTCCTCCTGGGAAAGACGTAAACATCATGGACTGTCCGTGCTCACCGCGATTGCGACTGTGCGTACACCATACCGCTCGTGCATCTGTAGCGCAAGGGCTGCACATGTCGATCCACAAAAGCCATTAGTGAGAAGGACAATGTCCTTGGCCTGGAACATAGCACCCTCTGGATCACCCTTGAGATTATTTACCGCTGGACAGAGTTGATCCGTGATCGCGTTGCTGAAAAGACTTTTACGCCCCGGAAGCTTGGTACCAGGAATCATCCACGAATCTGTCGAGAACTTTCGTCCAGTCGTAGGGTTTACAAAGCCTCCATAGGGGGAATCAGCCTCCTGATTATAGCTGAAAGTTGCCTTGGCTAACGCTTGCGTCAATGGGGAAGCTCGTATACTATAGATATAGGGCGCATCCACCGTGTTTGGGGAAAGCGTCTGCAAGACATAGCGATCCCAGCAGATGATACCACCTGCATTATTTTGCAAATCAACAATCAATTTAGTTGCTCCTGCAGCGTCCAGCGCAGCGAATCCGCTGTCGATATTGGCGTAAAAGCTGGGAGGAGGGATCTTTTCTTGCTTGTTAGGCGATTCTGTACGAAGGCGGAACACGCCAGTAACGCCGTCATTCAACAAATGAAAGGAGGCATAGGCATCCCTGTATAACTCTTTGGACTTTTTCCGTCCCTGCAGGTTCCGGGTCCTGGCTACAATGAAGTTGTCTGCCACGGCAGAGTCCAGGCCAAACATTTTGGTTGTCTGTACGGAATCGTTTGCGCGGAATTGACGTCGGTAGGATGTGGCGTCTATGTATGGGGCCATGGTTGCATCCAATGCTGACCAGGGGATCTCGAATGCAACTTCAAGTGGGGAATCGCTTTCAGTGGGTAGGCCGGAGCTGAATTTGGACCGGCAGTAGATTTTGTATTTAATTGTGGCCTTAGGAGATATATTCGTTCGCTGAGCAAAGGTTCCTAGGACGTAGCGGTCATATGGACTTCCAGTTTTGTCGTGTCCAAGGTATGCGAAGGATTTGTTGATGCGAGCCCCACGGTCTTTGTTGTACGGCTTGGTCTTTGCAAATCCCTTGACAACTGTTCGACAATAGTATTGCATTCAAGGAGGAAAGATATGACAAAGTGCGATAAGTAGGAGGGTATAGGATGTTTTAGTGATTTGCCATCGGACTTTGGTGTTCTTGACAACGTTCATTGCTTCATGGGATAGGATAGATCCGCTCACCATCAAATGCTGGGCGACCATCGAAGTGCGTGACCTCGCAATCAGCCAGCGCATTTTTCAGGCGAGAGTCCAGCTTGTTCAAGACTGTTGCAACCTCGACCTGCTGCCTTCCATCCTCATAGATACCATATGTGTACAGTGGTTGAATGAATACGAACTGTTGATAACACATGCTTTTATAGGACGTATGTGGATCTTGCAGTTTGGCGATCAGCTGGGCCAGTTGTTGGTGGAAGATATAGTCATTGGGGAACGTGATGTTGCCGAGTTTCTCCAGCGATGATAGATCGACAGGTTCCAGATCTGAGTTTTCCATGGATGGAGATGATCTGTAATATTGATAAATAAAAAGTTTCTTATTAACCGACAAGTTCGTGAACGGGAATTGCGTGAGAGTGTAGGAAAGTCTGCGACGCATACTTGGCAATGTCATAGAAGACATAGAACGACTTCAGGTTTGCGCGTACGCTTTTGAGGATCGAACACAAACATTTCATAGCAACCCTTTGCGACAGCGTATGGGATGACACCGTGCTCTCTCTCGGATGCCTGCGCTGCCAGGGCACAGTAGTCGGCCGTGCTTAATTCCACGGGCGAATTGATGTACTGTGGTAAGATCTCTGGGGTTGGGAGAGGTGTGTCGGCGTCTGCATGATTTCTTGATAGTCTCATTGCGCCCGATGGGTGACCTTAAACATTTAAGTTGGATTGCAATTGTAGGATGCCTGCACAAATCAGGAAGATTCGCAGTGTCTTGGTGAATAAAGTGTTTTGGTGAATAAGCCCTCCAGAGATCCACCGGAGCTGTTTTGAGGTTTCATAGCTGTCGTGTTCCTTTGATCGGGATTTAGGACTAGGACCAAGGTGATGAGGGACATGTGTACAGAGGAGAGTGTATGGAGGGAGAATGAACACTAAAAGAAGGGATGCGGATGCACTGATTTGAAGATGAACTAGGAGAAAAGAAAAGGAGTACGATGACGATGTCTGGTCTGTAGAGCCTGTCCTGTAGATCCGTCTGTTACTTTCAGATGTCACCAACGGCCGATTCATTCTGTTCACTCCGTACTGGAAGCTGGGATTCTTTCTTTGGAGATCGATGCATAGGCAAATGACTATAAAAGATTGGTTGTTGCTGAGGGATGCCACTATGACGGAAAGTTATGTTTCTGGGATTATATACATCCATGGATGCGACACACTGTGTAGGACAGCTCAGTTGTATATAAACAATTAAGCTTGGCTATGCTGTGTTCAATGAGCGTGCCATGTCGCACACGCGTTTGTCTCACGAGCACAGACAGGCACATGGACACACACAGGGGCTGCAGTCCAATCCATTGCGCGGGAAACGTCCGAACCTTCTTGGTCTCACGCGCACCCTTCAGGGCCAAGCGTGCCTTCAAATTAAGGGTGTTTGGGCTAAATTTGGGCATGTAGTTCATTTGAGAGCAGCAACGATGCTACACCCCATCAACTCTGTCTCATCCTTCTTGTTGCTTTACATTCGCATCCTTCTTGTCGCTTTACATTCGCATCATTCTCATCATCATCATCTCCCTTACCACACCATCCCTCATCCATAAAGTCATTTCATCAACACTGCAAGACAATGGATTCGTATGTTCAGTACTCAAACACACCACCGCGCAAGGGTGTGCTCCGTAAGGTCTGTTCACAGGCACCAAACTTCATGAACGGTGGACTAAATGGCTGCCGCATTTTCAACCCATTTTAGCCTCGAATTCGACTTGCACTCGCAAATTCTCTCGAGCCTGGCCTCAACCTTGGCTAAGGACTCGAGCACCTCCACAGATGAGGTACAGCGTCTCGTCCGTACCGGCCCTTCGCTCACAGTGGACTCTGCGCTGCCTGAAGGAGGATTCATGGTGCGTATCCATTCTTCTTTTGGCCCACGGAAATAGATTGTGACCAAACTACTTTAATTTCCCTCTGGACAACGATGGCCATGACTCGCTGACATTCGTTTCTTTATCCGTCCCATACGTAGACCATGCGCCATCAGCACGCCCTGATTGCTCAGGCTAAGTTCGCTGCAGAGTCGTCTGGTCAGTTCGATAACGACCTTGTCCCCCGTCTCTGTGGATACCTCCACTCTCTACTCAACTTTCAATTCAGCGATGGGTTCGGCCTCAAGGGTAAAGGAACACTTTTTATGAATTACGGATCGTGATCTGCTCACTTGTCAAAATATCAAAGTGCTCTCAAACACTTCACATGCTGATCGATTGCTCTTCCAATTCTATCTTATAGGTAAATCGCCTGCCGACAGCCTGACATACAACCTCAGCACCCATCTCCTGACAATTGCTGGCCAAAGACCCATTGTTCGTCAACAAATCCTGGACTCGATCTGGTCTTATCTTGACAAGCTGTCCTCGCTTTTAACCTCGGGCACTGGTAATACTTTTGACGCACAATAGCTGGATTCATTCAATGTGTCGATTGCTGGGCGCTGCTGACAACACACCCTTCTTTCAACATAAACAGCGGATAAAGTCTGCGAGTATGTCCTTCCATCTCTCAATGGCTTGCTGGCTGCTCTGGAGACATCTTCCCTCGAGTTCCAGCCTCGGGATTTCGCAGATCTAGTCTCGCACTCCAATGTATTCCTGTCAAGTGAATCTTCAGAGAACATCAGGAAAGCGATCGCCATCGTTAAGCAGGATCCCACCAATTCCTATGCGCGCAGAGTCCTTTCGCAGTACGCCGCGGAGAGCATTGTCCTCAGCTCGAACAGGGTGGTTCTTCAATTGTTGACTGTCAAGCGCAACATGATCGGGTGTCTTATCAACGCCCAACTTGCTAAAGCCAGTAACCAGGAAGACTCTAGCAATGCTGACAAGGCACAATCTGTGGAGAAGGTGTCGCCGGAGTCGTCTTACCTCGCCTTTGACGACATTTGGGGCAGACTTTTGACCAACCCTTTCATCAGTACTCCTGGACCTCTTGATTTGACCAAAATCATGCGGACCGAGTACATCATGTCTCTGCAGTTCTTTGCGGACATGCGTTCGTTCGCCAATGAGCTCTTGACCCAGGGAAGCGTCTCCTACGAATTTTATTATAGCGAGATCATGGGAATTTCCCTGGTAAGTTACGGTCGCGACAATGTATTATAAAGCATCTCGATGAACCCGTGTTTCTAGATTCTAACATCGTACATCTTCTATCTCAACAAATTAGCAACTGGCATCTCTTGCTAGCGTCTATATCCACGAGCTCGACGATGTCCTTCCCTCGCACATTTCGACCTGCCTCTTCAACCAGGTTCGCATCGAAGAGTTCTGGATCCATGCCGCCGCGTTGGATTGCACCGCTTTCTTGGGCATCAAGTAAATCGTGCCCCTATTCTTTACCTGTCCAAAATACAAATACTGTTTTGCTTAGTAACTCACCGTCTCTGTAATTTCAATATCTCCCTAATTAGCTTCAGCGAGGCCAATCAGGAGATGGTGGCTCTGCTGCAGCAGTTCCTAACCACGTCCTCACCCATTTTTGAGGGGCCGGATGCAGCCATCATCCAGGCGTGTGCGGTTGAGCGACTGGCACAGACTTTGAAGCACTTCTCGTCTGGTGAAGATGTTGCTATGTCGACTGTCTATGCCTTGCTGAACACTCTGTACAGCCATAATACTACTGAGAACACAGAGGCGCTCGGTCAGTCCATTCTCATCCAGGAGAATGTCATCGCAGCTATTTCCAAGATTGCCTGCATTTTTAAGAGTGAAAAGGTAATGTCTGATCTGGTCTGACGCCGGCTGAGGATGCATCTGAGCTAGGAAGTTATGCCTATGGAATGCTGACCGTTGACCCTATTATCCTTCACAGATCACTCCTCTAGTTCTTTCGATGTTGGCGCAACAAATTCGCAACTACAGCCCAAAGCTGGACTGCGTCATCGTGTCTTGTCTGACGGATATGGCCTTGACTGGAAGCGAGAGCTCCTTCAACGATATCACGCAGATTCTCTCCAACCTCTCCAAACTTTCGATCTCACCGGAGAACAAACCCGAGACTAAGGATCTCTGCGAGGCTGTAAGTATTGATATATCAAAGCGGCCTAATTTCGCTGGTTCCCTCTTAACATCGTGATCTATTAGTGAACTAACTATTCTCGATTTATTTCTAGGTGAATGCTTGTCAGCTCCGCTTGGCCAAGACAATCAACGCGCGACCTGAATTCTATGCATCATACTTGACATGCCTGCTCAAGCTGTTTGTTGAGAAAGGTGTCCAGATCCAGCTGACTGTCCAATCCCATAAGAAGAGCCAAAATAAGATCAACTCTCTTTCTGCCGGATTGGGTATTCTGTTGCCTGTCCTCGGCCAGTTGCTCTCGCATGACGACTTTCAGCCTCATCTTAGACCTAGTAAGGAGGACGCTAAACTATTCCGCGATACATGGTTCCACTGTGTTCTCTTCGAATTTGTCAAGGATTCGCCCTGGTATAAGGAATGGAGCGAATCGATGCTTCTGATTGCCCGCAAGACCCCAGCTTTTGTTTCGGGTGACTTTGGCACCAATGCTTATCTGGAGGGCGATCTTGAGTACAATTCTGTTCTGCCGCGAAGCATCCTGGAGGATCAGAAAGCTTCGATGAGGGCGACCTTGGCCAGCTATCTACCAGGCCAAACCAGCGAAATCAAGTCGCTTAGCTCTGCCAAAGTGGTGTTCCTCCTGTCTGTGTATCACGTCGAAACCTTCCGCAGCCGTCAAGGAAATTGTTCGTTCATTTTGAAGTACTTCATGAACTCTGGGGTGAACGATGGCGGTTTATCGAATTGTTTAGAGGCCATCGCCGATCAGGTCATCAACGTCTTCGTTTCCGAATCCCAGACCAAGGTTCTCGCCCACTCCCTCGATGACAACGTCCGCCAGCAAGTCCGTAACCTGATTATTGGCTGCACTCACCGTCTGAAGCGTGTCAGCTCCTTGAGTAACAAATGGGTCCATCGCATGATTACCACCTTCCCTCAATTGATGTGCGACAAGGCTCTGTTGACGCTTGTCCTCGAGTTGAGCGAACTTCTCTGGCTGAGCTGTGAAAACGAGATGACGGACGAGTATTGCCCTATTTACAGCTTCACCTCCGCTAAGGTCAGCGTGACCATCGACTTGCCGGATTCATACCCGTACCGTCGCGAGTTGCTCAGCAAATTTGTGGATCTAACTCGCACATGGATTGGTGCCTCCATGGCCAACTCACCTCAGGAGGTCGATGCCTTGCTTCAGGACTACCTCGCTGAATCTGAGAAGATCCACACTGGAATCAGCCGCGTGCATATGGGACGAACACTCGCAGCACGCGCAGGCAAGGACCTTGTCAAGAACCATAACAGCTTTGACACCCTAGCTAACATTCCCGGAGCCATCATCGACAATTCTTCTGTCTTCTTCCAGGAGTTTTCGGCTCGTCGTCGCTACCAGGGGGAGATCGGAGGCATGGAGACCTTCTCCACCGTGTTCACACAGGAGTCCGGCTCCGCTTTGAAGAGCCAGTTGCCAGCTCTTCGCGAGAACCTCCAAAAGATGCTGCAGCAAGTCAAGGATGACCAGTTTGTCTCGAACAAAGACCTTGCCAATGCCCTTCACCGTGCCGTTAGTGCACTGGTTACTTTGGATAAGATCGAGGAGGATCTCGTCAAGATGATCGCCTGGATTCCAATTTATCTGTTCACCCCCGACAGCTTGAAGATCGGTACCTCGGTTTGGAACTGGTTGATCACCGAGAAGCCCGCGGTCGAGAAGCGCCTGATGTCTGAGGTCGCCTCTGGATGGGCGTGGACAACACGTCATCAAAAAGGTCTGTTCTCATCTCTCCTCGATTCCGAGGATCCTTTCCGTGTTCGTATGGAGTATGCTCCCTCGGATAAGAAGGCGCGTCAGAAAAGTTACAAGATTGCCTCCTACCTGTTTGCGCCCCACACCATCTGGATTGAGTTCTTGTCCAGCCGATTCCAGGCAACACGATACGGCAATCGCGACATGGTCGATATCTTTACACGCTTGCTTCAATTGACGTTCAACTCTGGTTTCAAAATGAGTACTCATCCCTTGGCCAGAGAGGGTCGCTTCCAGCTTATCCTTCTTGGACTTCGGCTCATTCAGTCCAACCGCATGGAGGCTTTGGTCGAATACAAGGTTCGTTCTGCGCTGTACCTTGCCGCCCTGTCCTGGTTCGAGTTGTCGCCTCGCTGGTCCTTTGGAGGCAACAGGATGCTGAGCAAGACTGAGACTAGGATCATGACGGAGTTCGGTGTAGCGTTGGATCAGGACAAGATCTTTTTGGATTTCATTCTTTCGAGCATGCAGTCAAGCGAAACTCAGGCCGGCTATCTCATCACAAATGACCTTACTCGCGACGCCATTGTTCGTAAGCATACCCAGTGCCGCCGCTTGTTGTCGCTATTGAACGAGAACGAATTGAACCGTTTGAGCGTGTGGAGCACGCCTCTCGTCTTGAGTGGCGCCAGCCCGGAGGTCAGCGTTCAGGAGAAGAGCTTCTCTGAGGAGGGTTGGCGCAATATGGTTCGCTTTGCTTGGAGCGTCTCGCCAACGTTGGCCCTGCAGCTGATGGCTCGCTTCAAGAACAATATCATCCCAAGCGAACTCAGCAATCTTCTGGCCAGCGATCCTTTCGCGGCTGTGCATGACTCGGATGCAGTCCAGATCCTGCTGGGCGATGGCGGTGCCCGTTACTCGCCCTCGCAGCTCAAATATCTGCTGTTCTGGCATCCTGTTTCATCCATCACTGCGATCTCGTACTTCCAACCCGCGTACCACAACAACCCCATGGTTCTACAGTACGCAATGCGTTCTCTGGAGCACTCACCTGTCGAGGTCGTCTTCTTCTATGTGCCCCAGATCGTGCAGGCCCTGCGCCATGATGACCTGGGATATGTCGAGAAGTACATTATGCATGCTGCTCGTGTCTCGCAGCTTTTTGCCCACCAGATCATTTGGAACATGAACGCCAACATGTACAAGGACAACAACAGTGAAGTCCCAGACCCACTCAAGCCCGCTTTGGATCGCATTATCGAGAACATTGTGAACGGACTGTCAGGCGAGGCCAAGAGCTTCTACGAGCGCGAATTCCAGTTCTTCAACCAAGTGACATCCATTTCCGGAACGCTGATGCCTCTTGTCAAAAAGAGCAAGCCCGAGAAGAAGAAGAAGATTGACGAGGAGATGGCCAAGATTGTGGTTGATGTTGGAGTGTACCTACCCAGTAACCCCGAGGGTGTGGTCGTCGACATTGACAAGCGGTCGGGACGACCCCTTCAGAGTCACGCCAAGACGCCCTTCATGGCAACATTCAAGGTCCGTAAGACGCGCGAGGAGTCGACTCTTGACAAGGCGATTATCAAGCGCGGTGCTGGTGACGATGAGGATGAAGAGGCGGTGCCCAAGACCTACGATGTCTGGCAGTCAGCCATTTTCAAGGTCGGAGACGACTGTCGTCAGGATGTGTTGGCTATCCAGCTGATTGCGGTATTCAAGAACATCTTTACAAGTGTTGGACTGGACTTGTACCTGTTCCCCTATCGTATTGTAGCGACAGCCCCTGGCTGCGGTATGATCGATGTTATCCCCAATTCGATCTCGCGTGATATGTTGGGTCGTGAAAAGGTCAACAACCTGCAGGATTACTTTGTGACGAAGTATGGAGGTGTGGATTCGATTGAGTACCAGAAGGCGCGAAACAATTTCATCCAGTCTGTAGCCTCGTACAGTGTAATTTCCTACCTGCTCCAGTTCAAGGACCGACACAACGGCAACATCATGATTGACGACGATGGACATGTCATTCATATCGACTTTGGATTCATCCTTGACATTTCGCCTGGAGGTAACATTAACTTTGAGTCGTCCCCTTTCAAGCTGACGGCGGAAATGATCCAAATCATGGGCACCAGCATCGAGGACCAAGGTTACAGATGGTTCTGTGAACTCTGCATTAAGGCTTATCTGGCTTCGCGTCCATACGCTGAACAGATCTGTCAAATGGTGGCCTTGATGCTTGAGTCGGGCCTGCCTTGCTTCCGAGGGGAGACTATCAAGCGTCTGAGATCGCGGTTCCAGCCAGATCGCTCAGAGCGTCAGGCGGCCGAGTTCATGAAGGAGAGAGTGGACGAATCATACCTGAACCGCCGCACTGTCCTCTATGACTCGTTCCAGAAGGTCACCAACGGCATTCCCCATTAAGTAGGACAGGAAGAGCAAGAGGGGCATGGAAGGACGACATTTGATCTGTGGTTTTGAATACGAACCGCATGATGGATATTATGAAATAAATGATATGTATGTTATAAGTCTCAATAGAGCATTGAACATGACGATGAGGGTGTGCTGGGATTCACATAATGAAGGAACAACGAAGAGATAGCGGAGGGATAGCGAGCAAATAACAAACAGAATAGCGTATGCAGTACGTGCGCGGGCGCGCATGGTGTTCTTGAGATGGCGTCTAGTAACGCGTCTTGCATATGTTTTACGAGCTGCGTTGAATCGGTGTGTACACGCCGAACCGCTGCAGTGCATGTCCAGGTGCGCAGATGTTGTTTGGCCGCACGACATACAGTGTGTGCAGACAACTTGAAAGAGCGTGCCATCGTCCCAACCGTTACTAGGCTTCATTCGGTGCTGTGGCCTTGATGGACTTGTTAACCGTGTAGAGCGAACGACAGCCATCTTTACTCATACTTCAAGTCCAAGGCCCATTCCAGCACCCACCCAAAGGATTTGTTTTACACTCGAAACCAGGCTTCTTGCTGAACATTTCATTTATTGGCTTTATGTATCGAGGATGAAGTAGAAGACAACGAAGATCAATAAACAAAAAGAAGAAAGGAAATAAAAAAAAAAAAGGAAAGCCGGCTTGCCATCGGTCAGTCTTACTCAGAAGAGCAAGGCCGTGCAGGGCACACCTCGAGCAGGTTGCAAGCCATGGTGCCCCAAAAAACCACGAATGTGGGAAAAAAAGAGTGGATCTCACGCAGCAACTCACCAACCCCCACTGACCCATCTTTTTTTATTAGCCCTCGAACCCCATGTGCAACCCCCAATCGCGCAGAACAGTACCCTGATCATCACCGGCACTAGACCTACCAGGGTGTTCTTGGCAACACGAAGCCGTCCCATCAAGCGCAGAGCAGACCACATGGGTCATGACAACAAAAAATGGCCAAAAGTGCTGCGCTCATTGCTATTCAGAACGGAACTGTTGGTCAAGAAAAACGCAAAGACGGGGGCCCGCTCTTTGCCGCCCACTGCTAGCCCTAGGCCTCAGAAAGGGGGCCGCTCATCTTTGATTTTTTGTTTTTCGATTTCATTTTCGTAGTTTTTTCGTGTTCTTCGTCCCGGTGATGAACAAAAAAAACTAGAAACGAATACGGAAAAAAAAATACGGGGAAAAAAAAAAACGAACAAAACAGAAAAAACAGGGAACCCCGCTGTGTGCTCGTACGGTTGACTTTGCGGTGTACAAAATCCAAGAAAGCTCTAGGAACGATGGGGAGAAGGGGGAAGGAGAGCGACAGAGACAGAGAGAGAGAGAGAAGCAGAGGGGGAGAGAGAGAGTGCAGTGCAGAGGTGAGCGACGATATCAGAGTGGAGGCACAAAGAGTGGAGGCACAAAGAGTGGAGGCACAAAGAGTGGAGATGCAAAGAGTGGAAGCATACAATGTGGAACTGTGAAGAGAGGAATGGAGAGAGTGCAGCTGAGTGTTATTACTTACCTTGACGTTGAAGCAGTGACAAGGAGAAAAAAAGAGAAAAGAAAAGAAAAGAGCGAGGTACAACGGCCGGTTTATATACTGCCAGCGCCACCATCAGCGCCACCATCAGCTGGAGCCATTTACGGACGAGTGCATTGCGACCACTCCATCTACATAGTGAGATTCGCCTACCAGAACCGGCACTCATGCAGATACTCCTGCGGAGACGCATCCAAAAACGCATGCAGAGACACACCCAATATCGATCGCAGCAACACTAGTGGGCGACGCTGCTCCCAAAACGAGACAAGAACAAGTAATAGTAACAGCAGGGAAGAAGAGCGAGGAAAAAGAACGCAGACACGCACAGCGGAGACAATGGTACTCTTTTGCTGCAGCACGCTTGTAGGCAATGGCTGCTGGAGACACCTCAAAGCGACCCTTATCTGTTCGGACCAAACTATCCACTTTGGAACACTCGTTGCTGGATAGACCCCTTCAATAGCTGATTTACGATCTACAGTTTGATGCTCCTGTGCCTGGATCAAATAAAGGAATATCATCCACTGCAGCCACTAGCGGCTGACAGACTGGCACAAACCCTGTAACGCACATCAGCAAATGCGCCAAAAGAGAATGCTACAAGTAACAGCACCCGTGGGGACCTAATAGAGCCCCACCGTTGACACCCTGCAGCCTATTCTGCAGTGCAGCCTTGTGTGACCACAAAAAATAAACCACCGATTCCAGGATCAGAGTCATCAGCAATGAGGATCGCGGCAGGTGGCAATGGCAACAGCAGTCCTGCCGCTCTCCACGCTAAGGTTTTTTGTGGAGGGCAAGGAATGGGTCCCATCGCCGTCTTTAGCCCTCCTGGTCACTATGGCCTAGCCAGGGTGGTCTAAACCTTGACTGCCTGTGCGCTCCACGCGTATGTGGCCCATGCATTTGATTCTCGATGTAATTGGAGCTCTCTTTGTTTACAGCCTAAATTTGTGGCCCAAGCACTGCACTCCCAAAGAGGCTATGCTGCAGCGACCATCATTGGGCCACGCTCCTGCTGATACTGTCTCGCCTCATTCGCTCCTCCAACATGGTAGCGGCGTTCTGGGGTTCATCCATCCTGGAACACTCCATTGAGGTGCTGAAGCGATTGAGGGTCAGTGTCGTGTTCGAACATTGGTTGCGCTGCGGATGCTGCTCTGACGAGCTGGACGAGGCGCATTAGACAAGAGTAGTGCTTCCTCAACGGGAAAAGCATCAGCACCGACGATATCTTCTTTAGGCGGGCGTTCTACTCCACCGGCGATCCCTGGTCGCCTGCTTCCGTAAATGCGTTGTTGCTGGCGTCGTTTCTAAGCTCTGTGATCAGTTAATAGACCTCTGCTTTCTTTGTCTCCAACTGCTAAAAATTACTCTACTCTGACCATCTTGCCATCACGCAGCATCAGAACCGCAGACAACCGTGCCAGCTCCTGCATCTGGTATGTAATAAAAATGTCCGCCTTATCTGCCAGTAGTTCCTGGACAAGGAGCCTCTCATTTTCGACTCGCAGGAATATTTGGCGTAGCGAAATCAAGCTATTCCCACAACTACAGCAACCGTGACCAATGCAGAAAAACGATAGAGGTGCCTCATCTTCCCCCAGTAATAACGCAAATGATTATATATTTGAGATTGATGGTATCCATAGTACGATTAGAGTCGGAAACAGAAAGCTGTTTACAGAACTACAGGTCCTCATTCTAGGATTGAATACATTGCTTTGTTTAAGAGACCCATGCAATTAGCTCCATCCATCATATAAATAGCCATTTCTATCTGGGCTGCTCAACTGTTGGAGAACTGAAAAAAGAAACATGTATGGACACGACGCGCTGCTTGCGCTACATGACAATGAGAATAGTTGCGATTTTCATATAGACGTATCTGCAGCGAGACTGACGAGGCCGAAACTGGCAGGGAAACGTGTTCATCCGTGCCAATTCTATCGAAAGGCAACAAGCACATCTCATAAAACTTGCCGTGCTATGCTCGACGTCCTCAGAAAAGGCCGAGCAGACATTTCTACTGTGTGCTCTGATTAAACACCTCGGAGAGTTTGCAGTGAAAGCCATGGACCATCGCATCAGTGGCCCACGAGTTCAGCTGAGCGTCGATTTGCTGGGCGATAGCTGCTGCTGCCCAGTTTTGAGCTCGGGCTCTCTCCCGGTAGGAATCGTAGAGAATCGATACCTGGGTTGATAGGATGTATCCGTAGAGAATCGATGCCTGGTTGATAGGATGTATCCGTAGTGCAGTGACATTACATCGTCATGGATGTGCGGATCGATGGCTTTCATATCGGTTGGCCTCCTTCAATGGCCATATCGGCCAAATACTAAAGGCTCTTTCCATCCCCATTTTAATCGAGCGGATCGCTGACACATAAAGACAAGTGTACAAGTGGCAGTGGTCCAAGATTAATAGAGTGATACGCATCAATTGGTCCATTAACACCGCCGACGAAACACCGAGGCGACACAACTGAGAGTTTACGAGGCTCGCAGGAGCGGGAAGGTGGTGTATTGAAAGAAACATAGCTGTTCGAAGGGGGAGACAATGACAGTAAGGACAGTATAGTAGTGAATAAGTTTAGGTGAGCAAAAGAGCGCGGGAAGACGACAAGGTCTAGCGATCCTTAAGAGATTAATGCCCACAAATGAGTTTTAATGAAAGTGCTGTGCGCAACTTGGCCGGACTTTAAAATGAATGTGGGGTACAATAGAATTACGGGATATGATGCTGCCGTTGTAGGCAGGGCGGATAGTAAGATAAAAAATAAACGGGGAAGTAGGATGGAGACGACAGACGAGAATGTGAGGACAGGAAAGAGCGCGGGGCGAGAGACCTTTATGAATGTGTGTGTGTGAGGGGGAGGCATCTCTATCGTTTTTCTGCATTGGTCACGGTTGCTGTAGTTGTGGGAATAGCTTGATTTCGCTACGCCAAATATTCCTGCGAGTCGAAAATGAGAGGCTCCTTGTCCAGGAACTACTGGCAGATAAGGCGGACATTTTTATTACATACCAGATGCAGGAGCTGGCACGGTTGTCTGCGGTTCTGATGCTGCGTGATGGCAAGATGGTCAGAGTAGAGTAATTTTTAGCAGTTGGAGACAAAGAAAGCAGAGGTCTATTAACTGATCACAGAGCTTAGAAACGACGCCAGCAACAACGCATTTACGGAAGCAGGCGACCAGGGATCGCCGGTGGAGTAGAACGCCCGCCTAAAGAAGATATCGTCGGTGCTGATGCTTTTCCCGTTGAGGAAGCACTACTCTTGTCTAATGCGCCTCGTCCAGCTCGTCAGAGCAGCATCCGCAGCGCAACCAATGTTCGAACACGACACTGACCCTCAATCGCTTCAGCACCTCAATGGAGTGTTCCAGGATGGATGAACCCCAGAACGCCGCTACCATGTTGGAGGAGCGAATGAGGCGAGACAGTATCAGCAGGAGCGTGGCCCAATGATGGTCGCTGCAGCATAGCCTCTTTGGGAGTGCAGTGCTTGGGCCACAAATTTAGGCTGTAAACAAAGAGAGCTCCAATTACATCGAGAATCAAATGCATGGGCCACATACGCGTGGAGCGCACAGGCAGTCAAGGTTTAGACCACCCTGGCTAGGCCATAGTGACCAGGAGGGCTAAAGACGGCGATGGGACCCATTCCTTGCCCTCCACAAAAAACCTTAGCGTGGAGAGCGGCAGGACTGCTGTTGCCATTGCCACCTGCCGCGATCCTCATTGCTGATGACTCTGATCCTGGAATCGGTGGTTTATTTTTTGTGGTCACACAAGGCTGCACTGCAGAATAGGCTGCAGGGTGTCAACGGTGGGGCTCTATTAGGTCCCCACGGGTGCTGTTACTTGTAGCATTCTCTTTTGGCGCATTTGCTGATGTGCGTTACAGGGTTTGTGCCAGTCTGTCAGCCGCTAGTGGCTGCAGTGGATGATATTCCTTTATTTGATCCAGGCACAGGAGCATCAAACTGTAGATCGTAAATCAGCTATTGAAGGGGTCTATCCAGCAACGAGTGTTCCAAAGTGGATAGTTTGGTCCGAACAGATAAGGGTCGCTTTGAGGTGTCTCCAGCAGCCATTGCCTACAAGCGTGCTGCAGCAAAAGAGTACCATTGTCTCCGCTGTGCGTGTCTGCGTTCTTTTTCCTCGCTCTTCTTCCCTGCTGTTACTATTACTTGTTCTTGTCTCGTTTTGGGAGCAGCGTCGCCCACTAGTGTTGCTGCGATCGATATTGGGTGTGTCTCTGCATGCGTTTTTGGATGCGTCTCCGCAGGAGTATCTGCATGAGTGCCGGTTCTGGTAGGCGAATCTCACTATGTAGATGGAGTGGTCGCAATGCACTCGTCCGTAAATGGCTCCAGCTGATGGTGGCGCTGATGGTGGCGCTGGCAGTATATAAACCGGCCGTTGTACCTCGCTCTTTTCTTTTCTTTTCTCTTTTTTTCTCCTTGTCACTGCTTCAACGTCAAGGTAAGTAATAACACTCAGCTGCACTCTCTCCATTCCTCTCTTCACAGTTCCACATTGTATGCTTCCACTCTTTGCATCTCCACTCTTTGTGCCTCCACTCTTTGTGCCTCCACTCTTTGTGCCTCCACTCTGATATCGTCGCTCACCTCTGCACTGCACTCTCTCTCTCCCCCTCTGCTTCTCTCTCTCTCTCTGTCTCTGTCGCTCTCCTTCCCCCTTCTCCCCATCGTTCCTAGAGCTTTCTTGGATTTTGTACACCGCAAAGTCAACCGTACGAGCACACAGCGGGGTTCCCTGTTTTTTCTGTTTTGTTCGTTTTTTTTTTTCCCCGTATTTTTTTTTCCGTATTCGTTTCTAGTTTTTTTTGTTCATCACCGGGACGAAGAACACGAAAAAACTACGAAAATGAAATCGAAAAACAAAAAATCAAAGATGAGCGGCCCCCTTTCTGAGGCCTAGGGCTAGCAGTGGGCGGCAAAGAGCGGGCCCCCGTCTTTGCGTTTTTCTTGACCAACAGTTCCGTTCTGAATAGCAATGAGCGCAGCACTTTTGGCCATTTTTTGTTGTCATGACCCATGTGGTCTGCTCTGCGCTTGATGGGACGGCTTCGTGTTGCCAAGAACACCCTGGTAGGTCTAGTGCCGGTGATGATCAGGGTACTGTTCTGCGCGATTGGGGGTTGCACATGGGGTTCGAGGGCTAATAAAAAAAGATGGGTCAGTGGGGGTTGGTGAGTTGCTGCGTGAGATCCACTCTTTTTTTCCCACATTCGTGGTTTTTTGGGGCACCATGGCTTGCAACCTGCTCGAGGTGTGCCCTGCACGGCCTTGCTCTTCTGAGTAAGACTGACCGATGGCAAGCCGGCTTTCCTTTTTTTTTTTTATTTCCTTTCTTCTTTTTGTTTATTGATCTTCGTTGTCTTCTACTTCATCCTCGATACATAAAGCCAATAAATGAAATGTTCAGCAAGAAGCCTGGTTTCGAGTGTAAAACAAATCCTTTGGGTGGGTGCTGGAATGGGCCTTGGACTTGAAGTATGAGTAAAGATGGCTGTCGTTCGCTCTACACGGTTAACAAGTCCATCAAGGCCACAGCACCGAATGAAGCCTAGTAACGGTTGGGACGATGGCACGCTCTTTCAAGTTGTCTGCACACACTGTATGTCGTGCGGCCAAACAACATCTGCGCACCTGGACATGCACTGCAGCGGTTCGGCGTGTACACACCGATTCAACGCAGCTCGTAAAACATATGCAAGACGCGTTACTAGACGCCATCTCAAGAACACCATGCGCGCCGCGCATAAATCAATTAATTGAGGACGTCCCATAAGTGCATTAGGCTGTGCTTCCCAAATATGCACGCTCGTTCGGCCATTGCTCATCTTGGACCCAAGTCCTCCTCTTGCCATCGCGCTCAAACCTTCAACACCACTTCTCGCATTCACCAGGACAGAGTCGACGCGGATACATTATATCAATATATTAACAGGATACGAGTAGGTATGGATGCTGTTAACTTCACCGCGGCAGCGCGCATTCGCGTCCTACTTGTTCCTGTCGGTCCCATCAAGAGGTCCACCTTCGAGCGCCATGTCAAGATGCTCCGGCAACACAACGCTGTCAAACTAGAAGAAGTCTGGATGGGCCCTCGTACAGAAAACTGTAAGCGCTGCTGTGTTAATTCAGCGTCAAGAACTATGAAAGGAAAAGAATTGACCTCTCATCTTGCATCAGCAACAGGTTGTTGCTGTGTAAAGAGACTCCCAGCGAATGCCTACTTACGCTGTTTCATTTTAACTAAACAACAGCTTTCTTTAGCCAGAACGTACCCCATGAAGGTCAGCTCTATTTCCAGTTCGCTACTTCGTACAACGCCGAGCAACAGTACCTGGAGGAGTTTCAAATGCACCGCCGTATCTTTGGAGTAGGCAACCGTCAATGCTATGGGTCTCGCTCATAATCTTGGACATCTTTATGAACAGGAGCCTACAGGACTAATACTTACCATCCACTGCCATAGGTCATTGGAATCATGGATTGCCAAGAATGGCCAGATGGCAATATGGCGGCAGGATATCAACAGTTTCAGCAGATTCTCTCCAGGGTATGGATGTCAACTCAGTCCACCAAATTGCATTACAGCACCTATATTTCTCCCGTCCTTAACTGCTATTTACTCTATGGCATAGTACCCATCAGCGGTAGCGAACCAGTGCTTTGCATTCGATCCATCGGAGCAGCATCCGGACGATCTACGAGGAGGCGGTGTAATCATGATCCCCAATGTCGGCAATACATCCTCCTACCTTCGCGTTTTAATCTGTGACCTGGCCAGGAGTGTCTTGACCGAGTTCGAGAATATTGTATGTTATCACATGGAAGGTTTTGGTGAATACTCCGGTCGACAACTACTGTGATATTCTCTTAACGATATCAATCCAACCTTTAGGCCACGGCCATTGGAAAGCGACAAGACATCGAATCGCCTAACCCTGCAATCGCCGTGTATGGGAGACAAGGGCCTCATGGGGGAACGATGCCGTTAGCCAATACGCCTACATTGCCTGACATGCCTGCCAATGGAATCAAACCGTTGACAGCTCCGCCCTCAGCCATGACCACCTCAGGATCATCAACGCACTCACGTACTCTGTCATCCGCAGGGTTCACCTCCTTGAATTCTACAAATCAATACGTACAGCCTATAGTGGTGACGGATCAGAGATTGCGGAAGAGGACTGCTGCGAGAGCGCAAAAGCTGTATGGGGACCTCTACTTGATGGCAGGACGGTTGTCAGATGCGGTGTCCAGGTAAGGCGACAAAGATGTTCCAGCTTTCTTTGCATGACTTTTTATCGGTCCTGGAACTGAAATAGTCCATTCTTGCTATCCCATCCTCTAATGCTGATATAGTTATCAGTCAGTAATCGAGGCGACAAAGTCCAATTCAGATTTTCTGTGGCAAGCGAGCGCGATGGAGGGGCTGTATTGCGCTGTTGTCCTTCTAGCTTTTGTGCAGGCGGACCTTTCTGTACGATCATTCCGATTCAGCTGGATATGACCTCGATGAACGACAAATGTATGATGGCAGCTGTTAATCTTAGATATTCGTGTCTTTATCTTTGATAGCAATTCCAACAACAACAGGCACTGCAAACCATTACTTCACCCACTTCGCCCACAACCGCTGAACCCACCAAAATACAGAGTACCCCTGCAATTAAGCCATTGATCGTCGATATCCCTGAAAAGTACCAAACTATCCTGACGCTCTACAACAAAGTGCCTGGCAATGCGGCTCCTGCAATTCTCTACGTAGAGGCGTGCATGAAGGTTACCAAGTTCATTGCGACCTGTTTTGTCTGCGGCAATGGCATTTTGGACGACCGTGCTCTAGCAGCAGTCGTGAGCGGTAACATGTTTACGCATTCAGACGGGACAGCAACGGAGGGGCAGCAACAGCCTATGACCCATTCACCCTCAGGAAGTCATTCGCAACCAGCTTCGGGTGCCTCTGGACTTTTGCACCGTGCATCGACTTTGAGGTCACGGACCGGTAGCATCCAAACACCCAGCGTTGGCATTACTAGGACGGATATCATGAATTGGGTTTCTAAGACCTGGACCGGTCGTTTGGACGAACTGTGGATAATTGACCAGGTAGGAGTTGCATGCTGTCTTTACATGGATTCTGCTCTTCTCTCGTCAACAGTGAGCGAATAAGTATGAGCAACCAGACTGAACACGTTTATTCATACCTATAGATTCACTTCACCACCACAATCGCATCCATCCTGGGCGCCATTCAGTTCCGCCGAAAGCAGTCACTCTACTTGAGATATGCGGTTCGAATGATTGCGCCCTTATTGCACCAGACCCGATTGGCACAAGCAGCCGCGGCACAGGCGAGTGGATCACCGCCGAAGAAGCCCATGAGCTCTGATCACGGGGTGCTGGAGTGCTTGACACAAATCTGCAATGTCTTCGGCGTAGGCGATAACTTTATGTCCAATAATAATCTCTACATGGATCACGGCTGGCCCGAGCTACAGATTGATGTGCTCTACGAGTGCATCCGTGTTGCAGAAGCTGTGCCAGGTATGTGCTCCCATTCTGGTATTGCGATTGAGGCTGTGCGGCATCCAAGGAAACTAACATGCATTTGGGTCTGAATACTAGACTACAAGGCTATGATGCACTTTTCCTCAACACTATTACGACAGCTTTATGCATACTTGACCAGGGAGGAGCAGGCTGGTCTGTACGCATCCTTGCCTCGCATTCTTGCAGCGGCCAAGAAGACGGGCGTGACAGATATTACTGAGACCAAGTACTGGAACAAAACTCTTGTGGTCGACATCGAGGTTTGCTCGTAAGTGACCCAAAGGATGTTTTCTCCGCCCTTCAAATAGTGGGACCACATTTTAACCAGCGCGTTCGTCTTCTATTCAATTCGTGCGCAGGCCTTCAGCGCGAAAAATGCCCTTTACACGGCCTAAGGACACTCTCAAGTCTATCATCCCCGAGACCACTCTTGCTGTCAAACCTACGGGCGAAGTAGATCCGTTCATCTACAACCCCTTCCATCGCAAGGTCAACAATGTGGCTAAATTGGATCTTGTTGCTGGCGAGACCGCCTTTTTTATCGTTACTCTGACAAACCCCCATGGTATTGATCTTGAAGTTCAAGAGATTCGACTATCGACCTCTGGCGTGGAATTTGAAGCGATTCCTACTTCAACCATGATCCCAGCTCAGACGACGGTCTCTATCAAAGTAGCAGGAATACCCAAGAACCCAGGAGAACTGGTTATTCGGGGTTGTATTGTTCAGATAGCTCATTGCGCAGAGGAAGAGTTCTTTGTGACAAACCCAAGGACCGGCGAGCCTGCTGACACCTGCAGTAAGACAGACACAGCTTCCAATGATGCCATAGCTCGTTTTAAGAAGAGGTAATGATATATTTCTTGGCCAGCCTACGGAATTTTAGGTGATGTTTGAAACCCACAGTGGATACTGATATCTTCCGTTTCTAAATCGCCTTTGATCGTTTCTAGAGGCCTGGAAAGTTTTACGACCAAAAAAATCAAGGACGGTGCAGCGTCCGAACCAAAGTTTGCAACTACTTCTGTCATCCCGATCCAACCTCTGCTGAAGATTAGGGAGACTTCTTTACAGCATGGGTCTGTTATGCTGTTTGAAGGCGAAAGGTACACCTTATGAGTTTTGCTTGCGAACGCTTGCCTTAGCGGCAAGGCTGAGGTTTGACTGACGTTGCATTTATCTCTAACTCATGCTTTATTCTTTCTTGCTTTAGGACGATAATCCGTTTGACCTTGGAAAATATTGGAGCTATTCCTGTGGACTTTATCACGCTGACATTTTCCGATTCAACCAGCCAGCTCGCTCTTGGCAACAGCTATGGCACTACTACCAATAACGGGGTTGAGCTCTCTGCAGAGGATGCCTACGAAATGGAGCTATTCTTGAAGAAGACCAATGTCTTTTCTTGGAACAGGGAGGTGGAGTGTAATATTCCTGTTGGAGGCACGCGCGAAATCAAGGTCGAGGTTCTTGGAAAGCGAGGATGGTATGTTTAGCTTCTTGCCATGGATGTTAAAATTTGATTACTTTAAAGGGACTTTGTTCATTAATCTTATATGCTGTACCTCGTTCTTAATATTCCTCATATTGTTTTTAGTTCTTCTGGAATGATTCAAATCGACTATGCATTTCTTCATAGAGATGACGATAAGGATGCTGAAGAATCTAACATCTTTGTGACGCGGCAGCTGTTTTCGCAGGTGCTCATGACAGTTTACAAGACCGTCGAGTCATTGAACCTCGATATTCTTTATTTACAGTCTCATGGCGGTATGGATATCTCTGTCACGGAGCCCAATACTCCTGTCCTTGAAGGTCCCAATGGCAGCAGTGGTACGTTCTCAAGTGCAGATCCTGCAGTGCCAAGGATCGATTTCTCAAGCGACGGATTCCTGGCTCCACCGGCGAACGACGATAGCGATAACGCACACACCTCTCAGCAGAATTTGAAGACAATTCATATCCAAGAACAAAAAGGGCTCCACAAGAGTTATGGAGCTGGTCGTCGTGGGTCGCGGACAATTAACAAACGACTGAGCTCAAATTTCGCAAACGTTGACAAGCGGCAGTCTGTGGAGCAGCTGCTCTCGAAAGCACGGGGCGATGCAATTCTGCCAGGGGAACAGATCGAAGCCGCCATCTCTCGCCGCGTGGCACTGGGTACCAAGAACGAGTATTGTCTGTTGACGCTGGATGTTCGTAACGTCTGGACGGTACCTGTGGAGGTCGCGATGCTTGTAGATGACTCTGAGGACGGTGAAGGACTCGATGTGAACAAGCTGATTAAATCGACGACGGTCATCCAACCAGGCAACACTCAACGGATCATTTTACCTGTTAGAAGAATGGTGCTTACGACGGAGCAGCTCTCGACACCGATTCCAACGCTTTCAAACAAGCAATTTGTCGTGGCCAGAGGTGCAGCTCTCTCAACAGAGGAGCTTGCGCTTGAGCGGGCGTTGTTCTGGTTTAGAGAAGAGTTACTCAAGCGTGTAGTGGCAAGATGGACTTGCAAGGATGCATCTGGGCGGTTTGGCAAGTTTGACCTGAGGACTCTGCGGCTGACAAAGTCGATGCTAAGCGTGCTTAAGATCGAAGATGTTTCCTTCTTGGTTGCACTTGAACCCACAACTGACGTGGACCAAGAGAGCAGCGAGTCAGGCCCCAATGACGGCGAGGAGGGTGGGCTATTGCGGCGAAGGCTAGAGCAGATCGGCTCTAACCGCTGGAGATGCCCTGTGGACCAGTTTGCGCAGGTTCGGTTCACGGTCGTGAATAGATCACATATGGATGTGAAGCTGTGCCTGAGGATGCAACCTGTGCAGGTGCTTGGAGACGGGACCATGGAATACGATATGGGCACAAAGATGGTCTGGCATGGCGTGTTACAGGCACCTCTTGCAAAGGTATGTGCAAGCTGTCTAGCCTGGCTCCCTGTTCTGTGTCGTTCTTCGAAATTGGCAAATTGTTAACCTGCCCTACATTTGGTTTGATATTGATTAGATGCAACCGGATTCAACCACGAGCCATGTGTTGCCGGTGTGCTTCTATAGCCGGGGCGAGTTCAAGGTGCTCTACCATGCAGAGGATGTTCATCGACGCCTTGTGTATTACGATCATGAACCACTGGTTATCGAAGCATTTTAAACGACTTAATAAACTGGGAGGGCCACTGCAATTCGAGCGCGTTTATTGTTGAAAATGCGGCACACTAAACGAGCAGAATCCATCTGCATTTGATACTGAGAACCGAAAGAATTCCTGCTGGGCGGCTTCTACTGGAGAGATGACCATTTGGGCCTGGAAAAGCGAGCTCGTATCATCTTCTTCAGTGTAGGGCGGCGTTAACTCTGATCCGCATGTGATACTGTTCAGGTTCCTGCATTGGCGGCGCCCTTGCCGTTTCAACCACTCCCGTCGCAGATCACCATCCGTCTCGAACCGCTCCAAGGTCTTGGGTTGCATCAGGAACCGATATCTCAGCCGCGCCCTCAAAGCGTCTGTAATAGTCCTGTCAGTAGTTGAGTTGGCTGAGGGTAGCGACCAGGTTGTAGAGACAAAGATGAGTTTTCGTCGTACGGCGAGTCGGTTAAGTGCATCGATCAAAGCTGTCATATATCGGGTATGGTTGGTCTGAGCGCGCTCCTGCCAGTAGAACGATGAGAGAGAATCAATCATGAGAAGGGCACATGGAGGAGTTGTTGTTGCTGTTGTCGTTGTTGAAGTGTTAATCGACAAGTATTGGTCCAGTGTCCTCAGGATCACGATTGCAGAAATGGCATCCGGCGGCCTAAAAACGTGTACGTTCTTGAGACATGACAAAGCCAATTGCTCGACCTTGGCTCGCATCTCTGGAGTACTAATATCGATATCTGTGCCCAATGGCTCAGTGGCAATCTCAGAATGTTTGCCTTGTTCATGACGACGCTGCGTATGGTCCTGTGTTTGATTACACATGGCTCCTCTCTCAGACTCCGTCTGTTTTAGTGCTTTGAGCCGTGATATAATCTGGAGACAGAGCAATGACTTGAGTTGGTCCACAGAGAAGCCCTGTTCCATATCCACAAAGACAACGCTTTTTGCTTTTCCGAACAGAGACACAGCCGGACTTGATTTCGAGTGCTTCCATGATTTAGGAAGGATGTTCGAGACAATAATGGCGTAAAGAAATAGGGTTTTACCACTGCAGCTTGGTCCATGAAAGTCAATCATGTCTCCTGATCGCAAGAGACCGTATCGGTCCAGAATGGGATCAAGGCCATCAAGGCCAAGGTTCACCCCTGTAGCAGTGTGTCCTAGATCCGCCGTCGACTTTGAATATGCAGGGTTGAGCGGTATCACGAAGGCTGGTATATCATCAGGCTCGTCGAGGCGCTGGATGAACTATTGGGGATACATAAATATGTACGAAGAGATGCTCATCAGGAACAACGTTTCCTGCCTTGGTTCTCCAGAGTTCCATTTTTTCTCATGTTGTCGTGTACTCACTCACTCACTTCGAGCCCGGACTCTTGCTGGACCTGCAAAAGACGTTGGCGATGGGAAAGATGCATTCGGCCTGTCGACTTGTCTCCGGTGGGCGCGTGGGCGATGGGTCCGGTGCCTGGCGATGAAACGACTGGAAAGCCAAGAGCGCTTAGGCTGCAGTCACGTCCAAAATAAAACAACCTCTGCACCACCCACGATCAATTGAAACGCGACAACGCTCCTTCTCCTTCTATCGCCACACCTCCCAACCAAATTCTGCTTGATCCACATCGGTAGTAAAGAGGCTTTATTTCCTTCACTATTCGCATTCTGCCATCATTCGACCAATTGGCATCGAGCATTTCTTCATTCTCCCGATCGTGGTTCTCGAGGTAAACACTAAGCATCACTTTGTTTCTTGCCAGTGTATGCAGCTCAGCACAGAATTTGGCGTCAAAACTCACGCTTGCCTCCTCATTCAAACATAGACTGCGATACATATGCTGAGAGCAGGTTATCGCTATCAGTGATCACTTCGTGCGTCAACCCCCACTATTCCTCTATTCCTACGACAATGAGCAAATATAGAGAGCTGTCAAAGACGACAAGCGCAAGGTATATATGTTATTTAAATAGGCCTTGCATCGTTTTTGCTTCCTTCAAGTAGAATTCGGATTTCGCTGTTGAGATCATGATGTAACAACTGGTTCCATCTGTTGCGCCGTACAGGTCCTTCGCAGGAATCTTCACAGCCATATCGCAGCAGGATGAGCATGGTGTTCGCTATTCAGACGCGCTGAAAGCCCTTGTAGAGGAAAAGATCAGTGAGATTCAGCTTGGGCTAGAAGCCTTCAAGAAACCATCAGCAGCCTCGCGCTCGGGAATGGCGACAGCAACAAGAACTGATGGCAAGAAATACACGGAAGCGCAAATGAACCTGGCGAAGCGGCTGAGCGATGTTGTCAAGCTGGATGAATTGCAGGCACTGAAGATCGTTGACAAGCTATCGCAGGAGATAGACGTACCTGATACAATCACGGAAGAGTTTGTTGTGAAGGCTATCACAATGTACTGGAAAGAGCGATCTTCGTTAGTGGCACTCTTGGGAGAGCTTGTCAAGCAGGCAAAGGATGGCGAATCCGACCCAGAATACCAGCGAATCGCTGGTGTTGACAGAATTCAGACACAGAGCGTCGCCCTGATCCGAAAGCTTCTTTCACAATTCAGCGCTAAAGTCTCGGAGGAAGCGCCAGAGTACTTTACGGTCAGCTCGGACTATCTGGATCTCTGGATCGGACAATCGCTTACGGAGCAAAGCACGCTACTGGAGACCATGATCATACTTGCCTATGCAGGAAAAGACGCCAAGACAGAGTTGCCAGGAATTGTCATCACCACATTACTCTCGACACAATTTGGAAAACAGCAACACTACAAGGCAAAGTTCAGGGTTGAGGCGGTCGATCTATGGGAGGATGTCCGTCTTCTATGTGTCACCCTCTCGATTGCATCTCTGGATCTTGAGAACCTTTACACCACATCGATCACGGAGACATATGACAGCAGCAACCACACATTCAAGTCAACCGTTCAAGTCCAGCTTGTGAACAAGGCTCTTCAAGGCGCAGAACGACAACAGGAATTAGGGCCCTTCATATTGGCCTGGTCCAGCGTGCTCTCAGCAAGCATTGTTTCCAAATCTGGCGATGCGACACAGCTGCAGCGATTGGCGGGCCAATTCGCATACGTCTCCATAGAAACGCTTTCGGTTTTTACATACCTTCATGGAATCTTCGCCAACGAACTTTTCGACAAGGATCCAAAGGAACAACGGAGATACAAGAAGCTTTATTTCTATCTCTTCGAGACTATGCTTCTGGATCACCAACCGAAGACGATCAAGGACTTTGAGGGGCTGGTTGCATGTTTGGCGGACTTGCTAACGGATGAACCGGACCTCTGCGAACTTGTCTGGAGGGAACCACCATCTCTCGGACAGGGAACATTGGAAGTCCTTGAAACAGCACGCGGCCGCTTTCCTCTTCAATTCGAGTCATTTATACGACTTTTGACTGCCCTCGCTACCGGAGACGAATCTTCTGCCAAGCATACCATCTACTACTTTCGTCGTCTGCCGACACTTTCTCACTTAATCCCTTTGTCGACGCCCTCCGTCGAAGTCGATGTTCACCCTATCACAGGAGCAACGGTTATCAGAGCAATCCAAGAGGTATCGCTTGGGATTGCCCCCGACCATCCCTTCATGGTATTGCCTGCAGGAATGACTGGAAGCCTTATCTCAGGCGAGAATGCGGCTCATATTGTTCAGTGGAAGCACGAGAACTCGGGATGGGATATTTGTTTTACGATGCTCGATGCCTTCCGAGAATCCACCTTTGATGACTTTTCTTCAGGCGCAAGGATCGAGATGGATCACGTTAAGGCAATTCTGGACCTCCTGCAGTCTGTCTTCCGCTATCCCACTGGCGCGGAAGAAGTTGTCAATCTCTTCATTGAAGGTGGACGCGACACCTCACCGATCCCAACTCTCTTTGCGATCCTGGATCAATGCTCAAAACTTCAGAAGCCATCGCTAGATGTCATTGCCTCTTGTCTGGCGTGCCTTACTCGGTTGTGCGACTCATTTGCCCAGGATGTTTGGCTTTACCTGCGACAAGCTTCGTTCTTGCCATCGGTCATCACTACAACAGTTCAATTCACGGGATTGGGTCGAGTGCAAACCAGCGGGCTCGCTCATAACATCCTTTCGCGATACGAGTGCATTCAGGGCGATTATTCGGTCACACTCGCCTTCTTGACCCTTGTCCACAAATTAACTATTAATGCGCAGCAGATGGAACTCTGGGACTCGAAGGAACTGCGCTGCCTCAAGGCCGAGGTTCTCTACCCTTGCCTGGCGTACTTTCAGAATGACGTCTTCATCAACTACGAAAACTGGTACTACAGGAACATCCGAGACCGATTCATCATTGCCTCCAAGATCCTCGCAATCTTTAATGACACTCTGGACGACCTGCCGCTCCTCACCGGAACCGATCCATCGGAACACATCGGCCTCAGCACTCTGCAGGAATACTTGATCAGGAACTTTTTGTACGATGGTGGCAAACAGCTTGCTCTGCCGCTTGTGTCGATCATCGGTACGGGACCAGACCTGTCAGCCTACTTCTCTAAATATGCCCGCCTAGGAGAACTAAGCGAGATCCGTGGGATGGTGTTGCAGGGACTCAAGTTTGTCAAGAGCTTGCTGCGCCATAGAAAGATGGCCGGCGGTCAGCCGTCGTTCCTGGAGGTGTACATGATCGACCGTACTGTGGGCCGAGCGAATGCTTCTCTTATTCAAGTGCTGGCATCGTACAGCGATTTTTCATGTGGTGACGGAGCTGCGCTGTTGTCTACGGAAGTTTTGACGCTGCTGTGCTCGCTGACGTTCGAATGGCAGACCAGACCGTCATTTGTTGGGTATTTGGGTACAAACGACCAGGCTCAGCAGCTTGCTTCGACACTGGTCCATAGGGTGGGTGACGACAACCAGTCGGCAGATTATCGAATTGCTCTCTGGAGCTTAATCACCATCACCTTGACGACACAGCCTGGACTCTCGACTCTATTCTTTTCGAACGACCGTGCGATCCCAGTTACAGGGCTCACGGGCAGCCAGCACAAGGATGCCACCAAGAACTCGGTCCTTGTCAAAGCCCTTGACATCTTGCACAGGAGTGAGGCGATTCTGGAAAGTGAGGCGGAGATCCTGCCCCATGCACTCCACTTCCTGGATGTTCTGTGGTTTAACGCCAAGGACCATACGGACGTGGTCAAGAGTCTGCAAGAGAATGAGTCATTCTGGAAGGACCTTGGGCAGATCCTGTTGAGGCCAGATCGCCAAACGGACTTGGAGATGGGATCGTGGGAGGACGTTACTCAGCAGTATGATGGAGACGCCCTTGTGCAGGTCTGTCACGTCTTAGCCGCCAATGCCGACCAGCGCTCACGAGGTCATGCACTCAGTATCTTTGCTCTTGCGATTCATTACCATTTCGCCAAATCAGAGACCAAGACGTTAGATTTGGAGGCGCTGCCGAAGGGGATCAAGGAGTTCGTCAGCCTGTGTATCAGCCAGGGTCGATTCATTGAATGGAACAAGACGATACCCGAGATTCATTACCATGTCCAAGGTCATCGCGAGCTCAGAGAGATGAAACAGCATCTTTCTTCGCCGTTTGATTACCTGAAGCTTGCTGTCAGGAGATGGGAGGAGATGTATGACACAGATTACTTGCCTGGAGAATCCTTTATGCTGGATCTGGAGAGGGCCCGGTTTAAGCTAATCTGGAATGGCAGGGAAGTCGAGCACGCGTTTGTGCGCACGGTTTTCCACGTCAACTTGAATTGGTCTATGGTCCATTCGGAGATGCACCGACTCTCGTCATGGCGTTTCTTTGTTGAGATCCTCACAAGCGACCTTGGAACCTCGGTCTGGGCAACCAAGGCTGCGAATGGAGCAGGAGCAGGAACATGTTACCCCTTTGTTGACTGTTTGCTTACTCATATCGGACGTGATACCATGGGTAGCCTGATCCTTCGAAAGGCGCGCCAGAACTGTTGTCAAATCTTACAATCTGTAATCGAGAATGCTGCAGTCATCAAGCGCTCTGATAAGAAGAACCTAGCGGTTCATTTCCCCAAGATTGCGACTAAACTACAACAGTTGATCCAGAGCCCCGATCTGGATATCATGGAGACGATCCAGCGCCCTGAGGATGCCCAGTCCTCACACCAGTCGTTGCTCCTTACCGAGTTGTTCTGCTACCGTACTTTGCACGACAAGGAAGTTTTTGCTAGCCTGGATTCGACAGATTACGAGGCGCTTCAAAAGTCGGCAATCCTTCTCTTGCCACTCATCTCTGGCTGTTTTAGGATGATTGTCGAGAGCCATCTATTAGCACAGCACGATCACTCGGACAATATCGTGGTCTTGTTGGCGCTGCTGGAGGAACTCTGTCACCCTGTCTGGAACCCGTATCCAGCTCTTTGGATCCCAATCCTGCGAAATGTCGACGTCTTCCGCTTCAATCTGCAGTTGTGTGCTCGGAGTTTTTCCACAGGCGACTACGACAATCGGCCTTCGTTCTTCGAGGGCAGTCTGAATTTTTTGCTGGCTCTCGCAAACGTACCAGAAATGGCGGCATATTTATGCGATGCGGGAGTGATGTCGATGCTGGCACACAATGGTCTGACACCGTTACTCCAGAACGGGTTGATTTCACATTTGGATGAGGCTCATGGCGATCGTGGCAATTGGCACCATGCCTGGTGCATGATGCTGGCAACTGTTACAGGACTGTTGCGGTCCATGGGACCAAGTGATGCTTTCTTGCAGATGCTGATCGGATTTATTCAGCTATACGGCAACCAGGTCAGCAAGGGACTCGACACCTCGACAGACCGACCACTTACAAGTGCGAAGCTGGAGGAGATGGAGAGGATTACGATGCTGTTCTACGAGCTTTCGAAACATGACCTGCGTCTGGAGTTTCTGGGAGGGGGCGAGCTCTTGAGGGCGTTCTTTGATCGATCGGCATTTATTTTGCAGCATTCCGTTCATCTGTTCACACATCCGCATACCCTGGCGTCGGTGATATTCCCGGTTACGACAAAGGAGCAGAAGGACAAGGAGGATTCGGTGCTGTCAACGGCGATCGAGGGCAAGCTAGCGGCTGTAGTGAGGAACATTCTTTCGGCGATCCTGGCGTGGACGGACCCGGCGGTGATTTTGACGAAATCGAGTCTGGAGTGGCCTCTCCGCAAGGCAATCATTCCGCCGTTCATGAACACACCTGTGTACGAGCCGGCATCGATTGGAACATTGTTTGATCTGACTCAGTATGCAAGCACGTCACTCAAGGAATGGGAGGCGCGATTAGAGGGCAAAACTGGAGGCTCTGCGGGATTGTTCAAGGATTCGGCGGATGATGAGAGACAGAGCAATGTGAATGCTTCAGCGTCAGCGAGCACGACCAGCTCAAAGACCTCATCACGGCTGGCATGCTTTGGAAATCTGTCAACGACGGGGATGACGGCTGCTGCCACACTTGCAGCTTCAACCACAGGCGTCTCATCATCATCGACGGCTGCGAAGCCAGCGTCCAGCATGACATCACCACCCAATTCGATATCGTCTTCCGGCGCAAGCACATCATCGGCTACGGCTACGAAAGCAAATGAGTCGGCCTTTGCGACGCTTTCGACGACGACAGGATCTTCGGTCAGGATGATCTCGCTGTTGGAGGACGCATTGGTGGTGATTGCGACGCAGCTAGGATTGTACATGTATAACCCGCAGGTGGATGCGGCTGTGCGAAGGGATATTCAGGACCAGTGCTTAGATTTGATCACGACATTGAACTCGACGCAGCGGATGTTGCAGCGGTTTGAGAATGTGCCTGTGCAGGTGCGGAAGGAAGGGCTTGGAGCGGAGGCGTATGATCAGATCCGGTCGTTGCGAGATAGCATGATCCCGATCATCAAGAATTTCGCAGAGACCAAGATTAATGTGCAGTGAGCGAGTGGCGACCTAAAAAAGAGGGTAAAAGAAATGTAGCAAACTATGAATTACTATTAAAAAAAAAAAAAAAAAAAAAAAAAAAAGTTCTAGCACAGCAATTTGTATAGAAAATGTGTGTATTATGTGTCCTCCGAGCCTCAGGCGACAGCCAGTTCGCATGTTGCATGTCCCCCAATTGTCACCAGTTTCTATACGCTCCTTGCTGCTTGGAGCAGGCCGCCTGATTTAACGTTTTGGATGCAGCAAGGAACCCGCTGACGAGCGTCACAGAAGCAACGACCCCGACTGACAACCTCAATGCAGGGATAACGTTTGTCTGAGTATTCTTTGCTGCGAAGCTTTGACCTAACTGGGCTTGCTATTTCTACAGCTATAAGTGCTCCGCGGATGGTATCCTTCAGGGGCGGTTGGTGTGTCAGCTATAGGAGGTATCTTATCCCGCAGGACGCCGAGAAGGTATTGTTCAACTACAAGGCAAAGTTTCTCAGAAAGGAACCGAGGTTCGCCCCCATTACTTTTTTATTGGGAATGCAGAAGCGGACGACGACAGTTGAATCGGGTGGACACAGTCAAAGGGAGGTAAAACGATTGAGGGAAGAATATGGGAGATAATGCGCTGGTGCAGTAACCGGCAAATTTTTGACTCTGTTTTCAGAAAGTTTGGCGTAGGTCATGCCGTCTGGTCAAGGAATCCCCAGAAGTTGTCAGCAACCATATTCATGGTGTGCTGGAATGCACAAACCACAAGTGTATTTCATTCAAGGTTGGATATTGCAATCAGTATCTCTGACGCATCCCGAATGAAGTGGCTTCATTCCCACGCAACACCATGCTGGATTCATCATCACCGCCCCCGACATCGACAGCAGATGCGACTGGAGCTCCTACGGCGGAAGCAGGTCTATAGGTTAGTTCACTATCAAGGCTCTTGCGTGTCTGATTTTACTAAAAATGCGTGACATTCAAGCTATGGATTGTTGCAGGAGGTAATAGAGAACACGAACTACTTTATAGCGATTAACACAAACGAATGGGTGTGTCAATTACGGATTCGTCTGCTGGACAGGGGTTGGCTTTGGCTTGCTGACGGGGACATGTCCCAAGGCATTGGCTTTATCGAGCGGACAATGATTCATGTTTGTACCCCACCAGCTCGGAAACTCTGCTCCATGCATCTGGAGCGTAAAGAAGATAATTAGAGCCGCTACAGCGACACCAGAGTCCATGGCGGCCGAGAGGATGTAGTTGAAGCGCTGGTACCATTCCTTGCGATACCTCTTTGCGCAGAATTGGAATAGAAAGCCGACGGCAAGCCAGTTAGCGTACTGGTACGGGCGCGCAGGGGGCATCATTCCTGTGGAGGTCAGGAGGACGGGTGTGTGGATCCTGTCGGCGGCAGTTCCGGGAAATCGTTTCGAGAAGAGATAAAATGGAAGAGGGATGAAGAAGCCGAAGAGGAAGAAGTACATGAGAGGGTGATAGATTGATTGGGTGCCGAACATGCGTTCTGGTGCGATGACACCCCAAATAACAGAGGCCGAGAAGAAAACGTTTGCGCCAGGGCAGGTCCAGGGGTACCCCTCGGGAGTGCAGATGTGGGGGCGAGAAGAGAGGAGCCAGTTTGCGGTGACGAGGTTGATGAAACCGGCGATGAAGGTTCCGATGAGTTGGGTCATGAACATAGCCTTGGGAGGGATCTTCATGTACTGTCCCAGCTTCAGGTCACCGAGGAAGGACATGGCGTGGGACATAGAGATGTAGCCGTAGGTCTTAAAGGTGACGTTGGCGATGGGCCGGCCGGGGAGGATGTATCCGACGACGAATTCTGTGAGAATGTTGAGGCCCGGTTGCTGGTTTGTTACGGCCTGGATGAGTCCGATGGGCAGGGAGAAGAGTGCGGAAATAGCGACGGCGAGAAGGACGCACCACCAAGGGAGGCCGTAGTCCCATACTTCGCAGGTGACGATGGCGAGGATGACGGTGGTGAGGAAGAGGGAGAGGTACCAGTATTCGGGGACTTCGTTGTAGGCCTGCATGAGCTTGTAGTGGATGTCTTGAGAGGCCCCACGGGCTTCTTTCCATTGAACCCAGATCTGACGGCGGTGATAGAGGAATGTGTGTGTGATGATCGCCATTAAGCCCGCGAAGCCCACTCCGTAGCTGTCAGTGTCAAGGAAGACGGACGTTGGTTATGGTTGAGTTAAATCTAATGGAAAATGAAGACCAGGCAATATTGGAGAAAATACTATTACCTAATAGCAAAGAAGGTGGCGATGCGGAGGGGTCCGTAGGCCTCATACGTGGTCTCGTCCAAAGTTTTCTCGGGCGTCAAAACCGACAGGGTGTCATAATAATACCCATCCGTCGTAAACAGCTTCGAGGTCAAGATCGGATACTCCTTCGCGTTCCACACATTCGTATAATAAGCGATCGGTACCATTACCCAGGCAATCAACACGAACCCCATCATAATGTTCACTTGGGCCCAATATGGCGTGATCAACGGCGACCCCAAGAACGCTGTAATTGTGTTCCAATCCAAAGCCAACACACCGACGCCCAGCCCCTGAGATCCTGTTATCTGCGACAGGGGCATATTACTGGGATCAATATAACACAACAACGTCAAAGAAGTGACTACCGGAAAGATATACGCCGGGATCCAGTAATAACAGAAAGAGACGATTGAGAACACCGCAAAGAATTTTTGACGAGTCCATTGCCCGGGTGCGAGGTTCTCACGTGTGTGAAGAGTATTGAACAACGAGACCGTGACTAGATTCGAGGGCCAGATCATCGCGGCTGGATAGACGAGGTATCGACGGAGGATACCTGCCATGCCGTATCCTACAAGCTGGGTCGTGAGGATCAAGAGCAAGTTGGCGAGGAAGCCAAAGTCCTGTTTATAGAAAACTCGCTGAATGACGATGATGTCGACGGCATAGGCGGTTCCGGCACCACAGTTGGCCATGATGGTAATGAGGACGTGCTCTTTGACGTTGAAGGGGCTTGGGTTGAGACTGAAGGAGAAGCCGAAGATGCTGAACCGACGCGTCGGCAATACGCGCGCCATGAACTGTCCAATGCTGATGGGTAGCAGAGGCTAATAAGGTTAGATAAATGTAATTGAATGGACATCGAATAGTTGCAGGGCAACTTACGGGTATGAGATGAGTTGGATGACAAGGGAGCCGACCACCATCGGGGACTCGCGGAAGAAGCTGTGATGTAACGAAAAAAGAGATTCTTATGAGACATGTCTATATCCACTTCTGCATGTATTACAATACTCGAGACAAGAAGAAGGGTGTGACTTACAAGAACTGTGGGCGCAGGCGTGGGTGACAGGAAAAGATATAAAAATATATATAAGAAAAGACGGAGGTAAAAGATCAAGGTTAGGGTATGTCCGTGCACTCGTCGTCTCCTCCTCTTCTTTGTACCACCAAACATTCATCAACCTTATCCCTATCGGCGCCTTTTATTTTCATCATCACCCCGAGCTCGTTTCATGAATCTGTTACCTGGTTAACAAAGGCCAATGCAAATATGGAGATCAGCCCCATGACCCAGAACCGGAAGGTCATGCACGGGATCAACGGATCATCCGTGTTCGACACCACCGCCGCAACCTCCGGAATCGGCGAAGTCTCACTCCCAAACTCATCCGTCGGTGGCCCATCCTCCCCCTCCCCTACCTTCTCCTTCTCTGGCAATGATGATGACGATGAAGTCGATTTGTGGTGCATGATCTCCTCTTTGTCACCCGTCATTGCCATCGTCGCTGCGGTCACGCCCTTCTTCTCCTCCTGAAAAATTGGTCCAGTTTCTTGTCCTACTGCAGATGAAGAAATTGAAACTAAAGTGAAAGCACTCGCCTCGGAAAAAAAGGAATGGGCTGGGCCAAGCGATGGTGGTGGCGATGGTGGTGCTACTTCTGCTACTGCTGCGGCCAAAGATTGATCCAATTTGGCCATGGACGCCATGCTGTCAATGGGTTGGAGTAGAGAGTCCTGACCGCCTCTATCGTCCTTGCTGTCGCCGCCAGTTGGGGTGGTCCTATTTGGCGAGTACATTTATCTCGCTATGCAGCTGTTGTTGGTGTGTTTGTTTACGTGCCTTCTGCTGCTGAACTTTGTCCTAAATGGATGCTAGTGTAGACTTGGGCAAGAAGTAGACTATTAGAGTAGGGAAAAGACACTAAGGGAGTCAAAAGATGAAGAGGCCCGGGCAATAAAATAGATATAGTATCGACGGGATGGAGAAGGAACTTTTGTTGGCTGGCTGGCGATAGTTACAAAGATGTGGAGGGAGGGGTGCCGAGATCAGATAAAGACTAACAGGATGTGTTTACGAAACGCAACAGAACAGAGCTGTAGAGTGGGCTCAAGTCTATGTCTCTCTCTCTCTCTCTCTCTCTCCTCACCCCCTGGGAACTATCGGTTCTGAGGACAAACAAGGAGGGGGATGGAATGTGAGGCATCATACCTGAGATACGTTTGCTTGTTTGTCGTCTGCTGTATGGATGTGTCGCAGTGCGAATGAAGGCCGAAGGGACGGTGCCACGCGAGAAGGAAGGGAATAAGAAAAGAATGGAGGAAAGGAGAAGAAAATGAGCATTGCCTTGTTTATCCATGCAGACTCAAGGCAAACTGATACTGCGGCTGAGAATGCAATTAGATGTCGCTCTGCACCGCGTGCAATTGATTGACCAAATCAAATACGCGACTCCCCTCCTTCCTTTGCTTCCATGCTTCTCCACACATGCACCGTTCCCCCTTGCCTGTGTAACATTTCACACGCCTATTGTCCAGGGGAAATGTTTCAGTCTGTTTTAGTCTCACTCTACGCCGTGCTCATACGCCTATTCCAGAGGGTGCACACAGCAAAAAATAAAATAAAAAACTCCGCCAAGGAAAGGGGCTGTGCGACCGTACCTTTCTCCGTATCTCTCTTTTCGGTCACACATGTAAATGTATACACCTTAACATATATAAACGACAACGACTGAGGATGTGCACTATGCAACATGTTCAGCTTGACGCCATACATCTGATTCAGGAACACTGGCACTGACTGAATTGGACTGTAAGAACACCGCTGCATTCCCTACATTCCACATTCCCATGTGTATTCCACTCCATCAATCTACATTGCTGCAATCGACTAAATGCACCTTGCCCTCCCTCCGATCTGCTTATCATTTCCTGATTGCCAATTCAGCCTAGAACCAGCCAGTAAACAAGCCTTTTTATTTTTATTTATTTTTTATGTTCTGTCTTATTCATCCTTTTGGTAAATACACATGTTATGCCCACTTACACTCGCGTTCATGTTCATGAAGTCTTTCTTCGTTAAAAAAATAACAAATTAAAAAAAAAAAATCAACTCGGCAATTTGTACTCTTTAATCAGATGCGAGTGAATATGAGACCTTCCTCCCTTTCACTTCTGTGCAACAATCCGCTCCAACACATCCAGCGCATAAGTTACCGTCTCCATATCTGCCTGAGTACCCATATGTCCGATCCTAAAAAGCGCGTTTGCCGTCTGTCCGTAACTACACGCAGGTAAATAGAATGACAGGATGTTTAGTAACGCAACCCAGGTCAAGAGAAGGAGGTTTTCTTTTCTTCAACATCAGTAACAACGCTCTCCTCATGGTGTAGTGCCTTTACCTTCCACCAAAGATAACGCCGTCCTTGCGCAACTTCTGGTCAAGCTCCTCCCAGGTCGTGTTCTCGGGGACACGGATAGCCGTGACAGATGCGGAACCCAGCGACGCATGCTCGTTGTCCCACCAGAGTCTCAACCCCATCTTTTGCACCCTCTCCCTACAGTACTCTGCAACACGTTCGTGGCGCGCATAGACTTCTTCCGCATGCTCGTTGTTCTCGCCGTAAACGGTCTTTAATTGCAGATTCAGGGCGTCCAACGCAGACCACAGTGGTGTGTATGGGAGGCCGGTCTAGTTGGAATTTCAAGTATAAAATCAACCAATTGGATACGGACGGTCAAGAGTTGAAAATGTATCAAAAAAACAACAGCAGCCAGTTCTAGGCCTTACCATCTTGTCACCGCCCTTGAAGGGGAGGAGGGCATCGTATCCTGTGTAGGCGACTTTTTCGATTTGCTTCCATGCCTTGGCACTCACTGTCACCATCGCAAGCGAAGGCTCACACGAGAACGCCTTCTGAGACCCGAGCAAGCCTATTCATTCATCCATCCATTAGCTCGAAGTATATTTAGAAACACAGCAATCTCTCAAAGCAGAATAAATCCCATTGGCCCTCGCTTTTTTTTTCTTGTTTCTCGCTTCACTTAACTCACCGATATCGATGTTCCAACCTGAGATGTCAACGGGCACGGCACCTGCGGAGCTAACGATATCAACGTATAACAATGCCTCCGTCTTCGAGCACGCCTCTCCGATCGCCTTCACCGCCTCCGAGTTCAAAGCTCCCGTCGGTGTATCGCAATGGACCACTAAACACCGCCATCGCATTGGGTTCGATGAAATAGAATAAAAATGAATTCGACTCCTTTTCATTAATAAATAGCCTCCCCCTTTCAATCATACAAATATCCAGTATCAAAAAATAGAGACTGTCGCTTACTCGTAACAAGATCTGGTTTCCACTCCTGAATGCTTCTCACGGCCGCTTCAACATCCACCCCCTGATCCCAGGGACCCTCGACCGCCCGGGCCTCGACATTCGGGTACCTCAAGCTCCTCACCATATCAAGCATCCCGCACCCATACACTCCATTCCCCACACACAGCACCCTAAATCTTTTCTCTCCGCCTTCTTTTCCTTCCTCGTGTCTCTGCTGGGAAAGATTTCCTGCGTCATCGTAATCGAACGGCCAAGGGATCGCGGACTTGAGTCCTCCCCAGAGTCCGACCATCCCCTCGCCAGACATGATCACGATCGATCCGCCCTGAGCCTTTGCTGGCTCAAAGGAAACGACTTTGGAGAGACGGGCACAACATTCGTTGTAGACCTTCAAGCATCCAGCCTCGAGATCTCCGCTGCCGTAGAATGTTGTGGCGTAGCGGGATTGAAGATACCGTGGCACCACTGTAGGTCCTACAAACGGCAAACGGTAAAAAAAAAAAAAAAAATGGTTTCGAGAAACAAGAGTGTCATTAAAAACCTAAAAGGAATTGTGCGCAGCAGCAACAGCAGCAACAGCAACAACAGCAACAACAGCAGCAGCAGCAGCAGCAACAACACTTTTAAGTGTAAATAGTTTCGTCCGCACGCGGAATATCTTACCAGGAACAAGGTGCGCTTTTGGCTGATCCATCGCTTCAAACAATTAGTTGTCTTTGATGTCTAAACAGATTACAGTCAGTGTGAAGAGAGTGCAGAGAGAGCATAGAGACAGAGGGTTCAAAGATATTATTTTTTTAGCAAAGTTGATGATGTCACGCGGGGGACGCGGATGTTTATTAAGGGGTAAAGCGGAATGTCTGGGCTACAGCTGCCTTCTCCGCTTCCTTGGCTGGTGTTATTGTTGTCGTAGTCGCGGTCGTCGCGGTCGTCGCGGCCGTCGCGGTGGTGGTCGCGCCAAAACTCTTATGCAGCGATGCTTGTTCTAGCTTGCTCGCAAGTGCCCCAACGAGGCCGGCGGGCGCAATCGGCACATTCGGTATCGTCTCGTTCAGAACCGTGCCGCTCTCGCTCCCTCCACCATCCCCCGTATTATCAGTTGCGCCAATTCGGTGCCCCTTTTCATCCGCGCCCCCCGCCATATCCTGGACAGGATATTCATCATCATCATCACTACTCGAGCTTTCCTCCCACTCTCCATCCCCATCCGCCGCATCCTCCTTCTCATACTCCTTCTCACTATCCTCATCCTCGTCCTCATCCGACTCGCTCGAATCATCCGTTCCCCAGCATGTCAGCATCGTATCCGTATCATGCGGCGACTGCAGTTGCTCAAAATAATCGTTCTGACCACCACTGCTCTTCCTTACCACAGGACTCGTCACCCCGGACCGCGTACCCGCCCGCCTTGCCCGCGAACTACCCGCGCTACTGCTGCCACTCACATGCGACGCCTCCACTGCACTCTGACTTCGTTGATGAATGAGTCCATGATGCCCGCGTCCATGGTTATGATGTGGATTATGACTTGTCCCATTTGATCCCGGAAAATTGTCTGGAAAAGGTGTGGTATTGTCTCCAGGTGCAGCACCACCGTTACCTGCAACACTGCTAGGTTTTCCTCCAGGAGAAGACGATGCAGAGGATTGCCGCGCTCTTCGCGGTCGACTGTGCTCTACTACTGTGAATCCCTTTTGTCGCTCCCGTTCGTTCCACCGCAGACAGCGCGAGAGTGAATGGAACCAGTCCGATGATTGCGTGCTGGAGCAGATCGTCGGGAACGGGTATACGCTCGCTGTCACCTTGATATGATCTCCCTCTACGTGAAGCAAAAAATAATAATAATAAAAATAATAGGACATTAAAAATGGGTGGCTGGATATCGTGCCAGCATCGTGAATGTCCTCTCTTTCTCAGTCATCAGCCTACGTTTCAGCTCTACTCGTCCACGGCCGTCAAAACTCGCCCAGGCAGTCGAACGTGAATCAAAAGGGACACAAATGCGCAGCTCCATCGAGTCGGGCAGCAGCATGGGTCGGAAACTCAGCGTGTGGGGACAGATAGGCGAGATCAAAATCGCAGGGATCTCTGGATGGGTTAGAGGGCCACCCGCAGCAAGCTAGACCAGAGAGAAGAAGAAGACGCTCCAATGTTAATATTGGTGGCTGATTGTTAATTTGGCGCTTGCACACCACTATACGTACTGAATAGGCAGTCGATCCTGTGGGTGTCGAAATCACAATGCCATCGGCCTGCACAGTCGTCAAATGCTCCTCATCGCCAAACAATTCCAGCAGACTGAGATTTGCGCTTGGCCCTCTGTCTAAAACTAGAACATGGATGGATAAACAGATATGCCTTGTGAACGACTATTCTACTAGCGAACGTGGGGTGCGCAGCAATGAACCAACTTTCGCTGCGGCATACCAAGATCGTTCAAAATCTCAAAGGTTTCAGTCGGCGTAGTGAGAACAGTGGGCAAACGCATCCTGGCATCGCTGTCGTCATCGCTGTCAGCCTCAGGTATGTTCTGATTACTCGATCCATGCTTTTTACTTTGTCGAACGCCCTTTCGCTTCTTCTTTTTCCGTGTCTCGACCTCCCTCTGTTCAAGACAGCGATAGATGGTGCAGCTGAAACGCATCCTCAAATTGACGCGCACTCCGTGATCTAGACAGGTGCTGAGTGTTTGCTGGTAGTCGACAGTGGGGAATGGTGTGAGGAACCCCAACGAACCAGCTGAGAATGGCAGGATGGGAGGGACAATTCGCTGGAAAAGCCAGCTGGTAAAGAGAACGGTGCCATCTCCGCCGAGCTATACGAGAGTACATGCAGTAGCTGTTAATGCTTAATATCCAAGACGATAAAAGAATTGAGGCCAGAGATAGTTCCTTTGGCAACTTTTTACTTACAGTGACAGCAAAGTCAAACAAATGAGCTTCCTGTGCACAGAGATCGGCTGTCCAGAACTTCAAGGACTGGGTATAGTCATAACCTAACTTGGAGCTCTTCAAAAACGATGGATATCTAAACTTGGGAAGATCCTTCATTTTCTCATCTACAAAGCTATGCAATCCATGAGAAGATTCATTTAATGGTGAGTACAGGGCTCCAGGTAAGTTGAAGACTATTTTAATGAGTGCTTTAAATAAACGACATAGGGCTTACACAGTGAGCCCGCGACAGGATATCATCCAGAGGGCGATCTCTCGAGTAATTTTTAGAAGCGACTCATCGCCTGGCTTTGTGACAATCATCACCGTCTTTGGTGTCTCCCATTTGACCCTTGCCCGACCTAGAGGGTAGAGAAGTAAAGAATTGATATGTTGGCATCATTTGGGAATGAAGAACGAAAACGTGCTCACAGCGGGACAAGGGGGGGGGGGGGAAAGGGAGAATAGCGCTACGGAGGACTGCGGATCAGCAACGACAGTTTCTCTTTCCCCAAGAAAAACACAGGATAACACAGCAGCTTTTTGGACAACAGGGCATGAGGTGGTAGGGAGTACGGGAGAATGGGAGAATGAGGCCCAGGCACAAGATAAAATGAATAAAATGATGATGCATCTCTGCATGTCCTGAGCGATACTTCTTCCGGGCTAGTGCTTGCACAGTCGAAATATGTTGATCGGACGGACATGCAGCATATAGCCACCACATCCCTCATCCACTCTCATAATAATGAGCCGAGAAATGCGATTAACAATTGAAAGAGACAAGGCGTGGAAAAGAATAAGATAAAAAAGAATATGGCTCTGAAGGAGAAGAACGATTGGGGTATGTAATCGAAAGAAGTATGAGGTGGGGAGTTAGGATGATCGAAGAAAGAAAGCAATTGATAACATACCAATCTTTTTAGACACTTCGCGCACACCGACTGCAGTCTCTGCGAGACGACTGGTCGGTGTCATGATGCGATGTTGATTGAACGCGGATGGATGGTAAGGTGTAGGGCTATAGGTCTGGGGTGGATCCTTGGCCAGCGTGTCCTGCACACAGGATTCGATCGAACGAGGGAGGATCCTTGTCGTGTTAGGGGGTTTTGCGATCGGAGTTGCAGGATAGTTGCCATCGAGCGCATGGTGAAGTCCAATGGGCGATTGGGGCTGCGGTATATCGATTGAGGGCCGTGCCCTGAGCGAGGATGAAGACTCTGCTGTGGGGGTTGCGACTGAAGATGGCCGCATAGCTGGAGGTGCTGTGGGTATGTTGGATGATGATGAAGATGACGAAGAGGAGGAGGAGGAAGCAGGAGCAGAGGCATAGGGAGTAGAGTGGAGAGAAGGAGTAGATGATCGGACGGAGGCAGCGTCTGCAGCAGCACCAGCGTCTGCACCAGCATCGGCGACGAGGGCCATGGTCTTGACGAAGGCGGTATTGGTGGTGTCGTGGATGATGTTGGCTGTGAATGGGTCCTTGATAGGTGTCATGGCCAAGACGAATTGAGCAGAGACACTTGTAGAAGTAGAAGGGACAGAGGAGGGTGGTTGTTCTGCTGACAAGATAGGATTGGACGAGGAAGCAGAAGCAGGAGCAGAAGAAGAAGAAGAAGAAGGAGAAGAAAATGAAAAAGAGGGAGAGGAGTGGATGAGCTTAGACATGGGTGTGGGTTGGGTGGGAGAGGTAGTTGCTGCAGAGGAGAGGATGAGGTGAGGGAGCTGTGTCTTGGGAGTATGAGCAGTGTTACAGATACGGCTGTGGCTGTGATGGACAAAGACAGTGACTATGAGTGCAGCATGAGCAGAGAGGAGAATGAGGGGTAGGATGGAGGATGAGACTGGATGGAGGGGAGAGTGGAGAAGAAGAAGGAGGGGAGGGATCAGGGCAAGGATGTAGATCAAGTACGATGAAGACGAAGAGGAAGGCGAAGAGGAGGAGAAGGACGAAGAAGAGGGGGAGGCCGTTGTTGACTGTAGGGACAATGGACTGCTTCTTCTGATTCTGCTTCTGCTGGTGCTGGTGCTGGTGCTGGTGCTGGTGCTGGTGCTGGTGCTGGTGCTGGTGCTGGTGCTGGTGCTGGTGCTGGTGCTGGTGCTGGTGCTGGTGCTGGTGCCACGAGTGAGACCAGCCCTCGCTGCTGCACCTTGCAGCCCGAACAAGTTGGTCGACATCCTGCTGCTGCTTGCCGTTGTTGTTGTCGTCGTCGTTATCGCTGCTTGGTGCTGCCTGCTCTTTGGGCCGTGTCTCTTAATTACTGAAATCCAACTGGCCAATTGAAATATAAGACAGCAAGCACGTATCGGACTGTGTACTACACAGGCAGAAAATGTGTGGATCGAACGAGAAAGGAAAGAAAGAAAGAAAGAGGAAAAGAAGAAAGAAGGAAAGAAAGAAAGAAAGAGGAAAAGAAGAAAGAAGGAAAGAAAGAAAGAAAGAGAGAAAGGGCCTTGCCAATATCGTGTCTTGTCCTGTCTGGAGTCGAGTGTGATTGCGGATAGGAAGATGAGGATGGGAAAAGAGGACTTGGGGACCGACCTTTTATACTGGCCGACAGTCTGGGAGTACCTTTATTATCGATCAAAGACTTGTCTTCAATGTTCATGAAACGCGTTAGAGGGGAGAAGGAGGAGTCTAGCCCTCATGTAATTTACACACACAATCACGCACACTCATACACATCCATACACGCGTGCGTATGTATCTCTTCTCTCCACACGGCCAATTGCAATAACGACATAAATGTACAAATCATCGAACGCGTTTGAAGGACACACATGGACACGGATTGGACAGATTTGTCCACGTATGAACCATATCGACTTGCCTTTACTACGTACTTCTTCCTCTTCCTTTGTTTCTGCTTCCTTTCCCCTCCTCCTCTTTGAAATATACTTTTGGAAAATGAAATTTTAACGGAGAAAAACAATATAGAAGCATAAACAACCCTATACACGGATCTAGACGACGATCTATCCTCCGAGAGATGTTGCAGCTCCTAATGAACCAATGCTCCTTTCATAAACCTTTTTCTGGCGAGGGATCTTCCTCATTTTGATACATCATTTACGTGTACTTGCTGAGTGTCCGTGGCGTGTATACATGAAAATGAACTCGAATTTCCTTTGGTGGCAACAGTATTATTGTACATAGTCTATATTCAATTGCAATCTTTCGAACAATAACCATAATTTGTAATGTGCATGTCAAGGTGTCCATTCAGAGCTCCAACGACATTTCAGGCAGAAGTAAAAAAAAAAAAAAAAAAAAAAAAAAAAAAGAAAAAGACGCGCCACGCGCTGTGAGTGTGCTACGGATCGTGCCCACGCGTTCTTTGTTCTCTCGTGCGTTCAGGTACAATCACAGTGTCTCAGTTGAGGTGTTCCTGAGCCGAACGAGTCCCTTAAAGGGGACTGCGGGGTGTTGGTGCTGGCGTTGATATTGATTCCTGTAGGCCCCATCACCTGGGGACAATGGCTGCTTCAAAGAGGGTAAGAGATCCAGTCTTGGTTGTATCCTATTCATAAAGACAAGGTTCAGCGGGAGCGTGAGGAAGAGTGAGGGTTGTCTGCATGGCCCATGCAGCATGCTGCAGGAATGTTGGTTTCTTTTTTTGGTGGTCCAGGTGGGGTCAGACAGGATCTGACACGAAGTGCAGCGAGCTAATGAAGACTGAAGGAGATGCACCCGGGGTACACAACCGCACATCGCTCTCGCAGTCGCCACCCGCTCTTTGTCTTGCTTGACCCGTCTTGACCTGCCTTGTCTGTCTTGTCTGCCTTGTCTGTCTTGTCCTCGCTGTTTGTTTTGTTTGTTTGTGTGCTCATCCCCACTCTCACACCCTTCTCACTCATTCCTCATCCCTCCATCAACTCCATCAACTCCCTCTCCCTTCCCCCCTCCTCCACCATCACTCTCGCTCACTCCATCACCAACATCCCTGTACCACCCCTCCTTCATTGTCACCTTTAACCGCCAAGGAGGGAGAGACCATCACCACCTTTCTTTCGCCCTGACTTACCACTCCAAACCATGGCCCCAAGAACTCCAACCAGCGCCTCAAAGACCCCAAAGGCCGCCGCTGCCGGCGGCCCCGTCCCCTTCACCGGCATCCCCGCCCCAGCGAGCGTCCTCCAGCGCCGCTCCTTCGCGGCTGCCTCCCCCTCCGTTGCAACAAAGAGCTACCAGAACATGACCCCAGAACAGCAATCTCTCCTGGCCGAGGCCATCTCCATCCACAACCCAGGTCTCATCGACCCCAACCGAAAACGAACAGACTCTGTCAGCTCAGACTCAACCTCGGCTTCCTCATCATATCAACACTATCATCAGTCCCCCGCCCCTACCGCCTTCTCCCAAGGAGCTACCTCCAATATTAACGGAGGCACTGCCAGTCCCTCGGGGGCGCTCGCCCCTCCTTTATCCTACAGGTCATCCCAGACCCAGGCGCGCAGAACAAGCACCTCACGCACCAGCGCCAGTCCAGAGAGCAGCAATATCCGAGTTGCCAATGGCGCATACTCGGCCATCCCTCCCCTCACCACTGCCTCGTTTCAACAATCCTTCGCCTCGAACACATCCTCGCCCACCACTGCCACTGCAGAATCACCTTCGGGTCTTCGCTCCGTACGTCTGTCCCAAGGCCCTGTCTCTTCCTCTGGCGCAGCAGCAGCAGCATCGCCAAATGCGACCGGCTCGCGTCTCTCAAAGCAACCCCTGTTTCAACGTCCGCCCAGCGCTGGTTCCTCCTCAGCGCTAGGACCCAGAACCTCAATGATGGCCTTCCAAAACAACAGCAACAGCACTCATGCCTCCACAAGCATCCTGGGGTCACCCATTCAGAACCAGCCTCAAACACAGCCTCATGGGCAGAACCAATTCCCTGCTTCACTCGAGGGCATTGAGCTTGGCGACAGAGTCGTTGTCGAGAGCATGGGCCTTTCAGGATATTTGCGTTTTGTCGGCACAGCCGAGTTCAAGACAGGAGTCTGGGCAGGTATCGAGCTCGACACGCCCACAGGAAAGAACGACGGAAGTGTCAATGGGTATGTCCTTGGCGTCTCTATTTGAAGGCCCCTTATATTCACAGCAATGGACGTCTGCTAATGTATTTATTTATACTCGTCTTTCTCTTTGCAGAGTCGTATACTTCAACTGTCGCCCAAAGTGCGGCATCTTCGTGCTGGCCGCCAAGATTGTCAAGACAGAGCTGTTGATCCCGTTCTCGTCAGTACCAGAAGTCACAGCTCGCCCCCCATCAGCACAGGAAGATAACCACACAACCCCACCTCCCGTCAACCATGCAGCTCAAGCAGCTTCCAGGATCACTGCCGGCTCTAGGGCCTCAAAGTACATCGGCGTCACTGCCACCCAGCTCAAACAACGCAATATCATGCCCCAGTCCACCAACTCGCGTCTCCCCGCACAGCAACAGTTGCCAGGTCCCACAGCAGATCATTCCCCAGGATCCCCGACCACAGCAAGGACAATTTCACACACGACCCAATCCACAGGCGCCACCACAACTGCCAGGACCAATCTGGGCAGTCGTCTGTCTCAATCAGGATCAAAGGCCTCACTATTGTCCCAGGCTAATAGGGCTGCTGCCACCAACAACCGAACGCACTCAACCACATCCCCAACAGCTGGCCTTGGCAGTCGACCCAGAACCTCGCCAACCCCTGGCCGCCTCTTAACATCTCCTCGACGGGTCTCCTCTCGCGCATCGGACCATTCGGACACCAACAATAGCACCAGCTCCGTCTTGTCATCCAGTTTGCTGGACCAGGCTACCTTAGTCCAGATGGCGGAATCTCCGCATGGGAGCCTGGCGACTCAATACCAACAGCTCCAGCTGGACTATGGGGTTGCAGTCGCAGAGAACAACATGCTGAAAACAGAGATGAACCAGACAAAGTCCCAACTCGAGATGACACGACTTCTCGAAAAACGCGATCTGTCTTATGATGAGCGCGCCTTTTTGAGCAAGAGCCTCGGTCGTGGAGGAATCGACGAGCGTCTCGGACAAGAACTGGAAGATTTACATGCCATGAAGACCGAGTGGGAGAAGGAAAAGTCGCTCAAGGATCAGGAGATCAAGGGCATTACTGAAAAGATGACTCAAGCATGGCTTGACGCCGCTAGGTCTCAGAAGGAAAAAACAGCGCTCTTGCAGGAAAAAACCGAGCTGGAAGAGAAGCTGAAGGGACTGGAGGAGAGTGGTGTGTCAGGGTTAGAGTCAGGGCCCGCTAGCGAGGAACAGCAAACTATGATCGACTCACTGAAGAAGGACCTTCAGGAAGCAGAGGAAAGGAGTGCAGCTCTCGAGTCAACAATTCAGGAATTCAACAATAGAGCACTCGAGGATGAGGACAGGATTATGTCTATGGAAGAGATCTTGGCTGCCAACCAGAGCCATTACGCTGAACGGTTGGTGCTTCTGGAGCAAGAACGCGATGATCTGCAGATGAGACTGGACGATCTCGAGCTTGTCATGAAGGTCACGACCGAAGCCCTGCAGTCCAAGTTAGAGGCCGCCATCCGCGATGCTGGTCATTCTGAGGAGGTGTTGCTTGAGGTCCAGGCTCGCCTGGAGCACGAGTCGGAACTTCGACGAACCAAAGAATCAGAAGCAGAGACCAAACTGAAGGCCGTCGAGACAGAGCTTCGGGAATCGCAAACTCTTTTGAACAAGAGCGAGAAGCTGTGCAAGACGTTTGAGGAAAAGGCCAAGGATTACGAGTCATCGGTCGCGAAACGCGAACAAGAGATTGCGGGCCTCAAGCTCGAACTGGAGGATCTGACGGGCATGGTCCAGAGCGAAGAGGTTGATCGGATGCGCAAAGTCTGGGAAAACGAAAAGAAGCGCCTCGAAGAAGCGGTCGCGGACGATATTACAGTTATCACCACACTCCGCGACGAAATTCAGTCCTTGGAAGCAAACGAGACAGAACTTCAAGCTAAGATTGAGGATTTGGAGGCCACCATTGCCACATTGAAAGCATCGAATTCTGAACTTGAGTATGAGGTATCCCAGCTCAAGACTTTGTCCGCTGCGGCTCAGGAGCAGTTTGATAAGGAACGTTCTGAGCTCCAAGGCATGGTGACCGAAGCTGAAAAGTCTATGGAGCTGCGTGCCGCCGAGACCAAGGACAAGATCGAGGATCTGGAGGCTATCGCGCTAACTGTCGAGACCTGGAAGGAGCAGTGCGAGGCCATGCAATTCGAGATTGTCCAAAAGACGGCCAAGGCTCAGGATATCGAATTGGAGCTGGCAGATGCGCAAGCAGAGCGAGAGGCGTCCAAACAGGAGGCCGAGACAGCGCAGAAGGAACTCGCAGACAAGGTTACGCAACTGGCGGATATGGAGAACATTCGACAGGAGCTCAAGACGATACAGGATGATAAATCTCAGCTGCTTGCCAAGGTGTCCGAACTGGAGGCTGCTTTAGCGCTCTCAGCTTCAGCGCCTACCAAGACATCCTCTGTACCTGAGGCTGACGAATCCAAGTCAAGTGCAAAGACCTCAGAGTTGGAGGAGGAGATTGCGCATCTGAAGCAGATGGTGCATGATCTCACACGAGAGAACGTAACGATCGCAAGCGTGAACAAGAAGCTGATGCAAGAGCACGATAATCTCATGGAGGCCCACAAACATGTCGAGACAGAGTGCCTTAAGCTGATGGACGAGGTGGAGAGGCTGCATGCGGAGAGTTTGGCAGCTCCTTCGCTGGATGGCATTGCCCAGACCCAGACAGGAGCGGGCGAGAAGGACAGCGCTGATCTTATGGAGAATGCCGAGCCCACGATCACCACGCCCGGCAAGGAGTCCATCACCGAGCACCAGGCACCCGCTTCGCAGTCGCATTCTGTGATTCGTCTCGAAGGTCTTTTGAAGGAGAAGCAAGCGCTTCTTGACCGTCTGACACAGGCCCATGCATCGGAGATGCGCGAGCTTCGCCAGCGATACGTAGCCCTTGATCGCTCCAAGGCGTATGAGGTTGCTCAGTTGAATAAGGAGCTGACAGAGCTCGAGTCCTTGATCGAGAGCAAGATCTTCCACGAGGCCGATCTAGAGGAGGAATGTCAGCTAAAACAGAAGCAGATCGATCAGTTGCAACTCGAGATTGTGGATTTGAAGAAGCAGCTCTCACATTCTACCAATGGGTCGAACGGCTCTTCATACATGCATCCGAGTACGAGGTCCGCTGCCAGCCATCATAGCGATCTGAGGGCAGCTCCTGTAAGCGCTCCTGCAGCAAACCCCATTAGGACGAAGGACGAGAGCCAGGCATTGTTCTGTGAGATTTGTGAGGTCGAGGGCCACGATATCATTAGTTGCACGGCTGTCTTTGGAGCCAACAATTCTAGGAACAAGGTGCCCGTGTCGGCTCCTTCGCTCGGCAGCATCACTGTTCCCACAGAAGTGGAAGAAGAGCGGCCGGTAAGGTTTGAGGGATGCTACCCTTTTGGACTTTTTTGTCTGGATGACTTTGATGCTAACCATTGGTTTTTTTTTTTTTTTTTTTTTTTTTTTTGTACTGGAACTCAAATCAATAGTACTGCGAGAACTGTGAAGAGTTCGGAACCCATTACACTGACGAATGTCCTAACGAATCGCTAACGTAAGTGGATTTACTTGAGCTTGGAAAAGAAATGCTTCGCTGTGTATTTTATGTTTAAAAAAAAAAAAAAAGGATGAAGTGATATACTTACGGATTTTTTTTCCATATTGTAGTTATTGATTGAAAAGAGATTCCTGACAGGATTCTGACTTGCCCCCTGAACGTGGCCTCTTTTTATCCCATGAATCAAAAGCAAGACCCGCTGGTAGACTTTTTCTTTACAAAGGGGAAACCGGATATTTTGTTACACAGCCAATTTCTTTTTCTCCCTATTCTATTCTATTTTTTTTTTTTCTATATTTATTTATTGTGGACTTGATTCTTTTTTTCCTCGCATGCTTTGATGGTTTCTTCTTTGATATCCCTTCCTTCCTTTTCTTTGCCAGATATACAGTATGGCATAACAGTTTTGGCGATTCCCAATGGGGGGTTTTTTTTTCATTGGGAATGTTTTTTTTTTTTTTTTTTTTTTGTAACATATAATGCAACCAAATAAAGAGTGAACTTTGAAAATTTTATTGCTCCTGTGTTAAAAAAAAAAAAAAAAAAAAAAAAAGATATCTTTGTTACATACCATTGGAGTCGAGCCAAGCTGTGATACCCTCAATCCCTTGCTCCCATTCTGTGCTATCGGAGACCATGATCAAATGTCCACCATCATCCATATTTTCAAGCTCAATGTGATCGACCTGTCCTGCCAAGGCATGATGTTCCTTCACATCGGCGGTCGAGACGATCTCGTCCCCATTGGAGGTGACGAGGAGAATAGGAAAGTTTGGCTCAAAGGCACTGGTCGGAATCGAGTCGTAGATGGCGAGAGGGAGTTGTTCGAGTGGTGAGGGGACCGAGGCTTCGGACTCGGCGGTCTGGACAGGCAAAGAGGCGTCATCTCTGGCGGCTTCCGTGAGTCCGTAGTCCGCCTGCGTGTCTGCATCAGTTGTTACTATTACAGTATCGGGTGCCAACTCAAAAACCGGTACCGAATCCCTGCCGAGCGCCTCAGATCCCTTGATCGGTTCAATTCCCTCTTCAGCACTCGACAGGCTGTTTACAGTGTCGTTGGTTTTGATGTTGACCTCTCCCGCTAACGGTGCTGCTGCTGCTGTTGTTGTTGATGATGATGATGAATATGTTTCGGTTTGGATACTTTGCTGTTTCCTAAGCTCTGTTTCCTCTTCCATTGATTGAAGGGCCTCATCCTGTTTCTGTTTCTCGACCTGCTCCTGTTGTTCTTTTTCCTTCTCCTGGAGCTTCTTGGCGACCTGATCGATTTTGTAAACGGCCTTTTTTGGTAGGACGTATTTTTCGCGGAAGCCGTCCTGTGCCAGCACATCCGCGTGGGTGATGAAGTTGAATTCTGATGGGAGATCTTGTGTCGTCTGTGTAGAATGTGTTTCTGAAGATGGTGTCATCTCTGCTGCCGGTGCTGCTGCTGATCGGTTCAATGCTGACTCTGCGGTGTCCTGTTTTACCTTCGCGTCCTCGATCATTGCTTTGTGTACCCTCTCTTCCGCTCCCACCGTATGCGCCTTCCATTCCGGGCCCTCAACCTTCAATTTCTGTGAGAGCTCTCCAAATCTACGTTTGACGACCTGTGGAATAAACGGGGAGACCAACACCAAGGCGCTGACGGGGTTCGATTCCACATATTTCTGGGCAACGAGGGCGTGTAGTCCATGAGCAATCAAAATCGGTGGGTAGAAGGAATGGTCCGTTTCGATCGAGGTCTTGAGGACCTTGACAAAGTGTCGGATGTAGGCGTCACCAGAGTCCAAGGGTTCGAGGGGCATGCCCAATTCGATACTCGTGCTTTGGTAGCCTTGGTCTGCGAGTGTTGTCTGCCATGTGTCACGGAAGCACCTAGATTTTTTTTGTGAGCGGAAAAGAAGTGATTAGTCAAATAGGAAAATTTTGGAGCAGATGAAGTGTGAAAAAACGGGACACTACCAGTTCCCGCCAAAAGGAGCAGTCAGCAGAACGACGGGTGTGGGTTTGAGGAAGGCATAGGTTGCAGGAGGGGAGACGGTGCAGGCGACAGACTCGGGCGGGGTGCCGAGGTTGGTTGGTGTTGGTGCTGGCTCCGTGTCCTCTGTCGACTTTGCTGGGGACTCTACAGGGGCCGTTGTTACGGATGGGTCGGAAGTTGATCCGTTCTGTTGTGAATGAAGAGCTGAGGGATTGAAGAGCTGCCGGGCGGTGGTGGAGAAGTAGACGGGGCGGCGAGGGAATGCACTGTGAAGAGAAGCAGTGGATCTGGCGAGGTGATGCCTCGCCTGGAAGGGGAGGAGGATTCGAGGGGTGGCGTGGGGGATCATTTTGCGATGGCGGCTCGGGGAAGGAGGGATGGGGAGAGGAAGAAAGCATGATCGTGCAACGCGAGGTGGGTCTGAAAAAGGAAATCTGGCGCAAAAAAGCGCGTGCACAGACGCGTTGGGGAAAGCACGCTAGCATGAGCGGCAGCAGTAGCTTGCTTTTCTGCTCTGGAGACTCGGATGCGTCTGTCCGCGAGAAGGGACCACACGGCCCCGCGTGTAGTGTCGACAGACGCCCTAGTCCCTTCTTGGGCGAATAGGAGGCCGAGGCATGCGGATGGCCCGGATTGACAGCCCTCCTCCCTTTCCTCACTTCACTCCTCACTTTGCTCCTCTCATTGGACATCTCGCTCCCTCTTGCTCTCCTTCATTCCCTCCATCCACCACTCCGCTCCTTTATTCCTGCCATGGCAGACATTCTCCCGCAGCTCATCGAGTTTGCCACTCAGCTGGATCTGCAGCGGCTCATCGTTGCCCAAACAGTATGGCTATGATGAACACACACAGCAGCCCAACGGAAACCATCTATCGATTGGACACACTCAACCCGTATCGAACCCAGAGAACTAACTCGCCCTTGCGTCTTTTCTTCTCCCTCCACACCCCCGTAGACAATCTGCCTCTTTGCAGCAGTCCGCTCCGTCCCTGTCTACAATCTGCCGCTGCTCTTCTTTGGGCTCTACGCCTACCAGCACCACGACTCTGCAGAACCACTTCAGCAGGTAGCTTCATTTTATTTGCAACCATGGGCTTCCTCTTGCGCCTATATGGCACCTAACAGAGTTCTCTTCTTTGCTTCTCCTGAGCATAGTTTGCAGGGTTCACGGCGTTTAGCATTTTGCTGGATATCGTCTGGTGTTTGCTCTCGCCCGGCATTGGATTTGGCGAAGGGTAAAGAGACCTATTCTTATGCGCGCGAGCAAAAGTGTCATTTCCAATGGACATATTTCTGAACAGCATGAACTTATCATTCCTTGCCTTCTCTATCGCCTACAGGCTTACGATCGCCGCACTGCTAATCAAGGTATCAGTATGAATTATTTTTGATCGTTAGATCGTGATGGTTGCCATACGGAAACATCATGCTAACAGGTGGGCTGTGAACGTTTCTTTTCTCCGCTGTATATTAATTGCAGCCGATGACTATCATCTCAGCGCTCCAGCTTCTGAAATACCGAGGCGACCCCTTTTCCTCTCTAGGTGGCGGGAGTAAGTGCACATGCACACAATCAATGTCACCAGAAAATATTAGCTCCCGAGAGGGAAGGGGGTATTCTCCTTTTTATCCCGTACTCATTGCTTCTTGCATTCAATAGACTGGTCAGGCAGAACAGGATATGACGGCGGCATTGGAGGCTACCAATCCCTTGGTGATGCCATGGACTATGAGCGAGACGCCGAAGAGATCAGTATTTCGCGGCATCACAACAACAGTAGCCACCAGCATGGGCGACATCGCAACTCTCCACACTCAGGATCCTTTGTCACATCGAGCAGTCGCTCCACGTCTGTCAAGTCGAGCAAGGCAGGCAGTGGCCATAATGTGGAGCTCGGCGGGAACACGGGGGGTGTACATCATGGAAGCACTCATGGAAGTTTTGTATCTGCGGGTATGACCTCTTTGAGTAGCGGAGGCGCTGGAACGGGTGCAGCTATTGTTGCTTCTGCTGCTGCTGCTGCTGCCGCAGGGGCACCGAAGGACGACCGAAGAGATAAGGTCGGACAGAACATCTCGGAGGATGAGGACGAGGATACGAGTAGCCGTGAGATCCCGGCCAGTGGAGGGACAGAGAATGCCCGTGCAGGATATCAGGCCTTTTGAGAAGCAGCTTCAATAAACTTTCCGTTGAGGTCTCTTTAATTTTTTTTGACGCGTCTATGTTGTGACCGCAACCCCCGCATCTGTGCCTTCATTTGCTACCCACAAACAAAGAAACACAAAACGCGCGTGCAAATTTTGGTGGCCAGCGTATGGACTTCCCTGCCGCGACTCGTCCCCATCTCATCCTTCAACCTGTTCCTACTCCCTCTGTCCTGATCTCGCTCCTTTACGCTCACTTTATCAGGAACACGACATATGCCATCCGATATCGAGAACCAGGTCTTTGACCTGCTCACCACCACTGTGGAGGATGAAAAGAAGAATGTATGTCGTCTTGGACTCGGCACGAATCGCAACAAAAAATTGGTGGCAAAAGGGTAAATCGACCTAATGACGTTCAGGATCCCCTTTGTGTCAATCTGTCGATTCTAGGTCACCTACCGTTGGCTGAGCAGAAGCATGGGATTATCTGTCAATACCTCGAAAAAGTAAAGTCTTGGCCTTACGGACTATCCAGCGTGCATATCACCATAAGGCAGCCAACTTACTCAACGCTACAATCTGTTGTTTTGTTTCTGTGCACTAAAGGCTTATGGAATTGTACTTGACGACCGTGGGCGAGGGAAATGTGCATGGAACCTACTATTTGGCACGTCGAGATCCTCAGACCGGGAACCAGAGCATAACTCTTGTTAGTCAGGAAGATCTGAATGGTAAAAAGCCGTCTTTATGACCTGTACTATCGATCGTTGCTGATGCGCTTCCGACCTGAGATAATTACTAACTGCAGATTGTTCTCAAAAATCTTGCGTAGAGGCGAAAAAAGATTCAACAGTGATCGGATACCACATCTATAGCCTGGAGCCCTCGCCTCTGAAGGACCTTGCCATCTTATCCGTTGCAAACTCAGAAGCCGGTCAACTGCAGAAGGGCAAGGATATCAATATTTACAGAGTTATCCACAACAAAGATGCCGTCGCTTCAAAACATCATGTCCGATCGACCGCAACACCAGGCGCCATCTCAGCTGCTACAGTGAAAGCATCATCAGTAACATCCAAGCAGTCTGCTGCAGCAACTAGTGCACCATCATCAACAGCAGAAGCAGCTACAATTACAGTCACAACCAGCAACAGCTCGAAGGCGAAACCAGCTGCCAAATCGTCTATGATGAGTTTTTTCGGAAAGGCAGCGACGGCTCCAGCCAAGACGGCAGCTACTTCTGCAAAGCCCACTGCAACAGCTACAGCTCCTGCAGCCACAGTCGCCAAGTCGTCAACATTGAACTTTAAACCTTCGCAACAACAAAAGCGTAAAGCTGACTCGATGTCCTCCGGCGTAGACAATGTCGGTCGCAGTGGGCCAGCCACAGATGAAGGATCGGATGAGGAGGTCGATTCGGAAGAGGAACGGGATCGTCGATTGGCGTTGAGTTCTCGACTTGATCAGGACCAGGGCGATGTAGTCACCAATAGCGGTAAAGAACCGGTGATTGATATCGAAGCGTACAAGAAAAAACAGCGGTCTGCGCGCCTCCTGGCTGTGGATGACGATGATGAGGTTGTAGAAGAGGAGGAGGAGGAGGAGGAGAAGGAAGATTCCGCAAAACACGAGGACAAGGACGCTCATCATTTGGCCTTGGAGAATATGATGATTGATACGAATAATGTAGCTGAAGTGGAGGACGAGGATAGTGTTATGGTTGATGTTGAGGCGTTGGACCCACCAAAGACGCCGAACAATGGCCACGGTGGAGAGACAGTAGCGAGCCAAGGGGCTGTAAAGAGACGTGTACGAGGCTACCGGACTGTCACGAAAAAGAAGACGTTTAAAAACGAGCGCGGATACATAGGTACGTTGTTCACTCCATGCTTCATGCTATTCCTCTGTCTATCCAATTCTCTGTATTTGATATGTGCATTCCAGCGTTCCTAATTATTTCTTTGCATTCTTGAAATAATAGTAACCCAAGATGTAGTGGAGATGGAACCATTCTCGGAAGATGAGATCGTTCCTGTGGAGGCACCGGCGCCTACGCCTATGCCTACGAGAGCGGGAAAGGCTACAGAACCGGTCAAAGGCAAGATTGAGGTCGGTAAAAAGAAGGCAGGATCTGGGAACCAGAGTCTGCTCAACTTTTTCAGTAAAAAGTAAATTAGCCGTCGTGGACACATCTCTATGGCAATGCGAAATAAATATCTTCTATTTTGAGCTGTATTGAATCGGCTGAGCCATCGATGTCGAATAGCGTAGCGTCCCAAAGGAGTCAGATCGCATGGTGCATAAGCTACTCGTCAAGGCGTGCTTGCTCTTGCCATAATATTTGAAAGTGGCTGCATCCCTTGTCCCTTGTCCCAGAGCAATGCAGCTTGTAGACCGTATCGTACAGTTCAAAGGCTACAGAATGAGCGACGTATCGACAAAAGTTGAGGCGCCGGTCCTTGGGCTGGTGTAGAAGGGTTTCCTCTTGTATTTTTTGTATTTTTTGTATTTTTTTAATTTTTTTTCTTCTTCTTTACCTGTCATCCTTTCCTTCTTCTCTAGATTCCGTTCTGACCAACTCTGCCTCGTTGGTCTCCATTGTGGCCAGGAGTCTACTGCGGAAGAGGCATACCGTTTTCGGTTCCCCTGCATAACCAGTCTTCATTGCACGTCTTGTTATATAGAGCGCAGTGGATAGGTCATAGACAATAAATGAGTTGTCGAAATACAGAAAAGCAAAAAGACATATCGATGCGCTGAAAGAAGAACACAAGCGATACCTGCCCTTGGCCCAATGATGGTCGTTGCACCAGCCAAATCCACAGCCTCTTTTGGGAGTGCAGTGCTTGGACCACAAATTTAGGCTGTAAACAAAGAGCTCCAATTATATCAAGAATCAAATGCATAGGCCACATACGCGTGGACCGCACAGGCAGTGACCAGAAGGGCCAAAGACGACGATGGGACCCATTCCATGCTCTCCACAGAACATCTTGGTCTGCGTTAGCATGGAGAGCGGCAGGGCTGCTGTTGCCCATTGCCACCTGCCGCGATTCTCATTGCTGATGACTCTGATCCTGGGATCGGTGGTTTATTTTTTGTGGTCACACAAGGCTGCACTGCAGAATAGGCTGCAGGGTGTCAACGGTGGGGCTCTATTAGGTCCCCACGGGTGCTGTTACTTGTAGCATTCTCTTTTGGCGCATTTGCTGATGTGCGTTACAGGGCTTGTGCCAGTCTGTCAACCGCTAGTGGCTGCAGTGGATGATATTCCTTTATTTGATCCAGGCACAGGAGCATCAAACTGTAGATCGTAAATCAGCTATTGAAGGGGTCTATCCAGCAACGAGTGTTTCAAAGTGGATAGTTTGGTCCGAACAGATAAGGGTCGCTTTGAGGTGTCTCCAGCAGCCATTGCCTACAAGCGTGCTGCAGCAAAAGAGTACCATTGTCTCCGCTGTGCGTGTCTGCGTTCTTTTTCCTCGCTCTTCTTCCCTGCTGTTACTATTACTTGTTCTTGTCTCGTTTTGGGAGTAGCGTCGTCCACTAGTGTTGCTGCGATCAATGCTGCGATCGATGCTGGGTGTGTCTCTGCATGTATTTTTGCATGCGTCTCCGCAGGAGTATCTGCATGAGTGCCGGTTCTGGTAGGCGAATCTCACTATGTAGATGGAGTGGTCGCAATGCACTCGTCCGTAAATGGCTCCAGCTGATGGTGGTGCTGATGGTGGCGCTGATGATGGCGCTGGCAGTATATAAACCGGCCGTTGTACCTCGCTCTTTTCTTTTCTTTTCTCTTTTTTTCTCCTTGTCACTGCTTCAACGTCAAGGTAAGTAATAACACTCAGCTGCACTCTCTCCATTCCTCTCTTCACAGTTCCACATTGTATGCTTCCACTCTTTGCACCTCCACTCTTTGTGCCTCCACTCTTTGTGCCTCCACTCTTTGCACAGCTCCACATTGTGTGCTTCCGCTCTTTGCGCCTCCACTCTTTGTGTCTCCACCCTTTGTGCCTCCACTCTTTGCACAGCTCCACATTGTGTGCTTCCGCTCTTTGCGCCTCCACTCTTTGTGTCTCCACCCTTTGCACCTGCACTCGAATATCGTCGCTCACCTCTGCACTGCACTCTCTCTCTCCCACTCTGTCTCTCTCTCTCTCTCTCTCTCTCTCTCTCTCTCTGTCGCTCTCCTTCCCCCTTCTCCCCATCGTTCCTAGAGCTTTCTTGAACTTTGTACACCGCAAAGTCAATCGTACGAGCACACAGCGGGGTTCCCTGTTTTTTCTGTTTCGTTCGTTTTTTTTTTCCCCCGTATTTTTTTTTCCGTATTCGTTTCTAGTTTTTTTTGTTCATCACCGGGACGAAGAACACGAAAAAACTACGAAAATGAAATCGAAAAACAAAAATTCAAAGATGAGCAACCCCATTCCTGAGGCCTAAGGTTAGTAGCGGTTGGCAAAGAGCGGGCCCCCTTCTTTTGCGATTTCTTTGTGCAGCAGTTCCCTTCTGAATAGCACTGAGCCTAGCACTTTCTGCTCTGCGCTTGACGAGGTGGCTTCTTGTTGCCAAAGACACCCTGTTATCTCTAGCGCCAGTGATGATCAGGGCCTTGTTCTGCGTGATTGGGGGTTACACATGGGTTCGAGGGCTAATAAAAAAGATGGATCAACGGGGGTGCATGGGTTGCTGCGTGAGATCCACTCTTTTTTCCCACATTCGTGGTTTTTTGGGGCACCATGGCTTGCAACCTGCTCGAGGTGTGCCCTGCACGGCCTTGCTCTTCTGAGTAAGACTGACCGATGGCAAGCCGGCTTTCTTCTTTTCCTCTTTTTCCTTTTCTCTTTTTTCTTTTTCTTTCGCTCTCTTTTCCCTTTCTTCTTTTCCTTCTGCCTAAAAGACCAGAGTAGAAGTAAAATAAAGAGTGAAATAAAATAGAATGGATGAGGTAAAACAAACTATAACGCAATGAATTGCAGCAATATAAAATAAAATGAAGTAAAATAAAAAATATTGCAGAATGAAATGAAGCAGAATGAAATGAACTAAAGTAAAAGAAGCAATATGAAATGAATTTCAGGAACAGCCATTGTCTGCTCTAACAACTGCCTTGTGCGATCGATAACATGCTCGCTTTGTGCTGAAGGTGTTGCCAGCGATGTAACTGGGGGATAGGATGCAGCTCTTTTGGAGGGTGCTTGATGCACTTGCACCAGTAACACCAGCAGCAGCAGCAGTAGTAGTAACAGCAGCACCAGTGGCAGCAGTAGCAGTAGCAGTATCAGTACATTGAAGTGTCTGCACTGGTCTCCGTCCAGGCTGGCTTTCAGTTTTTTTTCCTTCTTGGCGCCAAGTGAGACACTCTGATGACCGGCTGCAGACCTCTTGCGGTGTCACGCGAGCTCATGCAAAGAATACGCGTAACAGTATGCCGATACATGGATGTTGCACAGAAGTGCCGCAGTTCACTGCTGCGATGTATGTCTAGCTGGTAGTGGTGTCTACAGCAGGCCAGTGAGCTGGATATAAGTCTGGAAGAGGATGCATGCTGCGGTGGTTGTGCTGTGTAGGAATTGGTAGCTTGGCCCGGACACAACTCGGGCGCGGTGAGTTGTCGTTAGGGATCACTATGCGCGTGCATATTGGGGCGAAAAGGCAGCCTTGCTGGTTTATGTCTCATATGGCCATCGACAGCACTGGCCACTCCATCTTTTTCTGGCTAGTTGGTTCATTTAGAGCTAGTCTCATGCCTGCTTCCTTGCTTCCTTGCTTGCTTGCTTGCCGTGGCACGGTAGCAGCATGCTGTCATCTTTCCTGGGTGCCGAAGAGCGAGGCAGCTGCTGCGTTGACGAGGATGCTCCAGGTCCTATCTGTTTTTCCCCTTTGTGGTTTTTTTCTGGTTCGAGGTGTGTCCTGCACGGACTTTACCCTTCTGAGTAAGACTGACCGATGGCAAGCCGGCTTTCCTGTTTTTTTTTTCCTCCTTTTCCATTTCCCTTTTTCTTTCTCTCTTTCTCTTTCTTTTCCCTTTCCCTTCTACAAGATTATAGAGTAAAGTAAAGCTAAAGAAACGAAATAAAGTAAAATAAAGTAAATGAAAATGAAATAAAGAAACAGCTACTGTTTGTTCCAACAGCTGCCTTGTGCGATCGATAACATGCTCGCTTTGTGCTGGAGGTGTTGACAGCGATGTAACTGGAGGACAGGATGCAGCTTTTTTGAACATGCTTGATGCACTTGCACTTGCACCAGTAGCAGTAGCAGTAGTAGCAGTAGTAGCAGTTGTAGCAGTAGTAGCAGCAGCAGCAGCAATAGCTAAATTGGCTCTCGATTTGGTTTCTTTAGGGACAATTAGAACATTCTGACAGCCGACTGCAGGATTTTTGCTGTGCTACAAGAGCCCATACAGGAGATACGTGTACAGTAAGTCGATGCATGGACGTTGCACAATACATGGACGTCGCACAATGCACAACGCGTGATGTATGTCTAGCTACAGGGAATGGGCTCTCAGTAAGGGCTCGACTTGTTACCGCCTCGGCCAGCACCTCACATCTACAGCAGCATCTATCATCGACGGCAGTTGATCGATGTGAGCTCAGGTGTGCCAAGCTGACTTTAGCGCTGTGCAACCCCTACTTTCCTCTTCTAAGGTTCAGGTGACCACGCATAGCTGCCTCAGTCATCAAGCTAAAATACAATAAATAGAACATCCGCTAATGTTAGGCGCCTCCACACAGCTGGCTCCTGGAACTGATGTGTCACAATGGGTGCCAAAAAGAAAAGAAGATATAACATATGAAAGAAAAAGTCGAAATATGTGTCGAGGGCACCGTAGTAGGTTCTTGCATGAGTCTTTGGGATAGCCAGAAGTGTCACGTCCATGAATCCTGGACAGCGCTTGAGAAAAGCAAGCAGAAAGGGATCCTCAACGGGGTATCGTATTTTCGGATATGGAATCGCCGGATGATCGAATGTCCGCATTTGAGGCTGAGGCTGAGGCTCATGCTGAAGGCAAAGCAGGCTCCAACGCAGGCACGCATGCAAGCAGCTCTGGGCGTCATCCACAGACAAGGTGCTCGACAGCGGTATAATGGTGTCCACTGCGCGTGACATACCAAAGGTGCTGGTCTTGTTGGTAGTCGGCATGGAGAGGGCAGCGGCACAGCTGACGGCCGATGAGGCAAGCGAAAGTCTAGCTGGGGGTACCAAGGCATCTAAGAGGATATCTGAGCGGACGTGCGGGCACAAATCTGGGCACACATCTGGGCTATGGGCATAAACAACGCAGCTTTATGGATCTCGTGTATCCCTATTGCTATTCTATTATACACGTTCCCAGACTGCTTGGCGAGAGAGTAAGATCGAGCTCTAGTCCGCCAACAATGCCGCCGGCGTGTCAAACTCCACCACTCGTCCCTGGTCCAGCACCATGATCCTGTCGCTGTCCATTAGCGTGTCGATCCGATGCGCGATCGTCAGGATCGTGCACTCGCGGAACTTTTGCCGGATAATCGCCTGCACCAACGCATCTGTCTCTAGATCAATCGCCGCCGTCGCCTCGTCCAGGACCAACAAGCTGGTCTTGCTGAGAAGCGCCCGTGCAAGGCAGATCAGCTGCCTTCGGCCCACCGAAAAATTGCCACCTCCCTCAAGCACCATCGCATTGAGTCCTCCTTCCATGGCCGAGACATAGTCCTTGAGATGCGAGTCCTCGAGTGCCTGCCACATCTCGACGTCGGGCCTTGTCCCCAAGGGATCCAGGTTGAACTGGATGGTGCCAACAAACAGGACCGGGTCCTGGGAGATAATCGAGAACCGAGAGCGGACATCATACAACCCTAGGGTCTAGATATCGATGCCGTCGACAGGGGCATGTCCCTTGGCGGCCTCGACGCTGCGAAAGAGCGACAGGGTCAAGCTGGACTTGTCTACTCCTGTTCGGCCGCAGATGCCGGGCTTCTCGCGAGGGTTGATCGAGCAGTTGACGCCGCAGAGGACAAGATCGAGTCCTGGGCGATATCTGGTCTCGTAGTCAATGAATTCGACGCGTCCCTGAGCTGGCCATTCCTGTGGTGGACGATTGTCGGGATTGATCTCTGAGGCTTCAGGCTTGAGATCGACGTATTCCTGAAGACGCCCAACGGCTACGATATTGGACTCGAGCTTGGTGTGCTGGCGGACTATCCAGTTTGGAGCCTGTGTGATACTGAGTGCATATTTCAACGACAGGCCCACAAGACCTGGATCCACAGCGATGTTTTGGCCAGTGATACGATGGGTAAGTATGTAGATCTAAAAAAAAAAAAAATATATATTGATGGAGCCCAGAGTTTCAAGAATGGGACGAGGGTCAACAGTTTCCTGCAATGCCGGGATAGAACGCACTCAAATTCTGGCCCAGACGGTGCTTGTTGCCTTTGACGAACCTCCCTTGCCTTCTGTAAGTGCGAATAGTGCTGATTCCACCGAGTATTTCCCGGAAAAGCGCAAAAACGACGATCGAGTAACAGAATTCAGCCTGCAGATATTGCGGGACGTTGTCAAGAAGTACCAATGCAGCAAGAGATATATGAAGCTAAAAGGAAGATGAAGCTGGATGTCGACACAGCGACCAGAACCAAAGCCGAAGGGGCCTAGCAGACTGTCCTTGAATATACAGCAAAAGAGCGCGGAAAGACGCTATCAACCGCTGATTAGACTTTGCTGGAACAGTTGAGGATATATCCCATGGAAAAGGTATCAAAGAGCATCATTGGCGACCATAGAACACTATGCAGCAATCTCTGGTGCAATATACGCGCTAAACTGATACAACAATGGACCTGAATTGTAATCGACTGGAAGATCGTCAGCAGCGAGTACGTGAAGCCCAATGCCGCATAGATGTCGGTATGAAAAAGTGGAACCTTGATACCCCTTCCTGCACCATTGTCGCTACCCCAGCGAGTCCCCCATAGAGAAGTGGAGATCAAGGCAGTCTAAGACAAAACCGTTGATAAGATGCTGTATGTGTATCACATTCATGGGTCTCTACGACTAACAAGAGGTCTGCGGCTAGCCATTCGAGTATCCTACTTGGAGGTTTTGCCGTAAAGAAAAATGCGCCAGTTTGAACGAAACCAACACAGTGCTGCTGCTGCTGCTACTACTGCCGCCGGTGCAAGTGTACCAATCATCGCCGAAAGAGCTGCATCCTGTCGCCCAGTTACATCGCTGTCAACACCTCCAGCACAAAGCGAGCACGTTATCGATCGCACAAGGCAGCTGTTGGAGCAAACAGTAGCTGTTTCTTTATTTCATTTTCATTTACTTTATTTTACTTTATTTCGTTTCTTTAGCTTTACTTTACTCTATAATCTTGTAGAAGGGAAAGGGAAAAGAGAGCGAAAGAAAAAGAAAAAAGAGAAAAGGAAAAAGAGGAAAAGAAGAAAGCCGGCTTGCCATCGGTCAGTCTTACTCAGAAGAGCAAGGCCGTGCAGGGCACACCTCGAGCAGGTTGCAAGCCATGGTGCCCCAAAAAACCACGAATGTGGGAAAAAAGAGTGGATCTCACGCAGCAACCCATGCACCCCCGTTGATCCATCTTTTTTATTAGCCCTCGAACCCATGTGTAACCCCCAATCACGCAGAACAAGGCCCTGATCATCACTGGCGCTAGAGATAACAGGGTGTCTTTGGCAACAAGAAGCCACCTCGTCAAGCGCAGAGCAGAAAGTGCTAGGCTCAGTGCTATTCAGAAGGGAACTGCTGCACAAAGAAATCGCAAAAGAAGGGGGCCCGCTCTTTGCCAACCGCTACTAACCTTAGGCCTCAGGAATGGGGTTGCTCATCTTTGAATTTTTGTTTTTCGATTTCATTTTCGTAGTTTTTTCGTGTTCTTCGTCCCGGTGATGAACAAAAAAAACTAGAAACGAATACGGAAAAAAAAATACGGGGGAAAAAAAAAACGAACGAAACAGAAAAAACAGGGAACCCCGCTGTGTGCTCGTACGATTGACTTTGCGGTGTACAAAGTTCAAGAAAGCTCTAGGAACGATGGGGAGAAGGGGGAAGGAGAGCGACAGAGAGAGAGAGAGAGAGAGAGAGAGAGAGAGAGAGACAGAGTGGGAGAGAGAGAGTGCAGTGCAGAGGTGAGCGACGATATTCGAGTGCAGGTGCAAAGGGTGGAGACACAAAGAGTGGAGGCGCAAAGAGCGGAAGCACACAATGTGGAGCTGTGCAAAGAGTGGAGGCACAAAGGGTGGAGACACAAAGAGTGGAGGCGCAAAGAGCGGAAGCACACAATGTGGAGCTGTGCAAAGAGTGGAGGCACAAAGAGTGGAGGCACAAAGAGTGGAGGTGCAAAGAGTGGAAGCATACAATGTGGAACTGTGAAGAGAGGAATGGAGAGAGTGCAGCTGAGTGTTATTACTTACCTTGACGTTGAAGCAGTGACAAGGAGAAAAAAAGAGAAAAGAAAAGAAAAGAGCGAGGTACAACGGCCGGTTTATATACTGCCAGCGCCATCATCAGCGCCACCATCAGCACCACCATCAGCTGGAGCCATTTACGGACGAGTGCATTGCGACCACTCCATCTACATAGTGAGATTCGCCTACCAGAACCGGCACTCATGCAGATACTCCTGCGGAGACGCATGCAAAAATACATGCAGAGACACACCCAGCATCGATCGCAGCATTGATCGCAGCAACACTAGTGGACGACGCTACTCCCAAAACGAGACAAGAACAAGTAATAGTAACAGCAGGGAAGAAGAGCGAGGAAAAAGAACGCAGACACGCACAGCGGAGACAATGGTACTCTTTTGCTGCAGCACGCTTGTAGGCAATGGCTGCTGGAGACACCTCAAAGCGACCCTTATCTGTTCGGACCAAACTATCCACTTTGAAACACTCGTTGCTGGATAGACCCCTTCAATAGCTGATTTACGATCTACAGTTTGATGCTCCTGTGCCTGGATCAAATAAAGGAATATCATCCACTGCAGCCACTAGCGGTTGACAGACTGGCACAAGCCCTGTAACGCACATCAGCAAATGCGCCAAAAGAGAATGCTACAAGTAACAGCACCCGTGGGGACCTAATAGAGCCCCACCGTTGACACCCTGCAGCCTATTCTGCAGTGCAGCCTTGTGTGACCACAAAAAATAAACCACCGATCCCAGGATCAGAGTCATCAGCAATGAGAATCGCGGCAGGTGGCAATGGGCAACAGCAGCCCTGCCGCTCTCCATGCTAACGCAGACCAAGATGTTCTGTGGAAAGCATGGAATGGGTCCCATCGTCGTCTTTGGCCCTTCTGGTCACTGCCTGTGCGGTCCACGCGTATGTGGCCTATGCATTTGATTCTTGATATAATTGGAGCTCTTTGTTTACAGCCTAAATTTGTGGTCCAAGCACTGCACTCCCAAAAGAGGCTGTGGATTTGGCTGGTGCAACGACCATCATTGGGCCAAGGGCAGGTATCGCTTGTGTTCTTCTTTCAGCGCATCGATATGTCTTTTTGCTTTTCTGTATTTCGACAACTCATTTATTGTCTATGACCTATCCACTGCGCTCTATATAACAAGACGTGCAATGAAGACTGGTTATGCAGGGGAACCGAAAACGGTATGCCTCTTCCGCAGTAGACTCCTGGCCACAATGGAGACCAACGAGGCAGAGTTGGTCAGAACGGAATCTAGAGAAGAAGGAAAGGATGACAGGTAAAGAAGAAGAAAAAAAATTAAAAAAATACAAAAAATACAAAAAATACAAAAAATAAAAAAAAGTTACCCAAGATGGATGGCAGCTTCTTTGTAGCATGCAGTGATGAAGTGTGCCTTGCATACATACGACATCAACCGACATATTGTAGATGAAATAAAAATTGGCCCAGAATGGCATGTTTAGCCGAGAACTTAATTTCTCCACAGCGAGAAAACAGAGCAAATCAGAGCTGTGCGCAACACCCAAACTATTCGAGTGTACACTCCACTCGCTTCCTTTTGCCTCTCGCTCTTTTCCATTATTTTTTTGTTTCTGGTTTCTGAGAAATAAATATACTCGTTTCTTATCCTGAGATTTCACCCTTGATGCGATGGAGAGGTCTATCTCCATTAAAGAAACTTAATCGTGAGTAATTCAGTATCCAGTCAAACCTGTCCCACTCAAAGAACTTTATTGAAAAGCCGTGAGCCTTACCTTCTTAGGCTTTGTGGCCCACTTACACGGCCGAGTGACCCCATAACACAACAGTTCTTCCGCTTTTGGTCCTGTGGAGGACCAAATTTTAAGGTTCGTTGTAATATTTCGCATTTTTCGAGGCCTAACTACCTACAATAAAATCCTATCAGACCCGTCCGGAGCCGCTCCGCCGGCCACCTTGTCTCGCACCCACCAACCTCAAATAGCTGTGAACCCGAACTTACAGTACCCACTTATCCCCCATTGCAACTTCATGAGTCAAAACTTAGGTCGTCGGAACAAGGGATGGCCCAACCTATGCACACCAATTCAGTTTCTTTTTTTGCAGTACACGCTTGCTTTGGCATGCATGCGTGCACGCAGTCAAATGCCGGGTATGCAAGCCGTATAAACGTCTACATTTCAGAGTACTGATGTGCGTTGTAGAGAGCTCACTCTCTCATTTTCTGCATCAACAAGTGGCACTAGAATTTCATGAATCTCAAATTGCAACTAAGCATCTAGATCGAGGTTCATTTGTTTGTGTTTAATACTGTACATGGCTAGGTGTAGGTTAATAATAACCCAACTATTATAGTGGGAAATGATGTAGTATCGCAAACAGCACATCAAATACAAAATAAATAAATAAATAAAGCAATAGTACAAAGGTGTCACGCGTCTATGGTTTTCGTTCTGCCAGGAACGGATGCTTTAACGCCTCTTCGGCCGTGGCTCTCTCTGCTGGGTTCAATGCCATCAAGCGCAGTAGGAGACTCAGCGCCTGCTCGAGATCTTCTTGAGAGTCCCATCCGACGATTTTCCGCCTGACCTTGGCAGTGTCGCCGCTGCTGCCAGTAGCCTCACCCACCTTCACGCCATTGGAATTCGTTTTCTCATGGCCTTGCGCAGCTCCCTCAACTACTGGTCCTCCGGCCTTGCTGCGATTCCTTTGTTCCTCCACTTTCACACAGGCTTCAGTACTTGTTTCTGGTACGAGCAGCTCATGAAGGGGTGTATTTTCAGTATTTGGCAGGTCTTCATCGTAAAATTGAGGCGAGCCTGGGTCCACTCCAACAGCATCAGCCGGATCCGCTGTACCCTGCGCAACACCCTGCGTTTGTTGTGCATGAGACGTGGAATGTTGCTGGTCCTGGGGGTTTATGGACAAGGTTGGAGGATCCACAGACGTTTCAGCAGCAGCACGGCGGCGTTCAGATCTTGAAAGGTACCCTTCTGGGGGAGCGAATCGCCCTGGATGTAATAGTTGACAGACCCGAACTAGTGAGATACCGTGGTCCTTGACAGAAGGCACGTTCGTGAGGAAAGTCCGATCTAAAGCATTCATGATGAGAATTAAGGGAAAAGTTAAACAGGAAAGTCGACCTGACACAGACGAGGCTACTAAGAAAGCATTAACTTGTCGCATTGTTGACTTACTCATCGATGCAGCGGCCCTTTCCAGCTCGAATTTACCAAACAAGACTCCGATTTCAAGCAATGCTTCAGCATCGTCATTAGAGTTAAAAAACGGAAACCTTCCCGTCAAGAACGAGATCAAGATCACACCGACGGACCAAATATCCAGCGCTATTAAAATAAAGATACATATTATAAGATGTGAGATGAAGATGTCTGGTTTTGGCCCTTACAGGAAAAGGTATATAGACTGGCCTTATGCCACTTACCGACTGTTTGACGAATGTGCTTAAACAGTATTTCAGGAGAACGAAAGCCCTTGGTCCCTGCGCGGTTGACTCTAATATGGGGCCTATGATTTCAACATATATATATATATATAAGAAAAATCAGTATGGTAAAGCTTCCACGGACCCGTGATGCGATTGCCTTCTGCGTTGCCTGCATACCTAGGATCTTTCCTGAAAACTCTAGGCTCGCGTTTCCCCATCATAGCTGACGTAGTTGGGTTCAATGTTGATATATATGCTCCTTTTGTCGCAGGCCTTGGTCGCGCATGATTTATCATACTGGGCATCTTTGAGGGCGGCAGGGCAGCTACGCCATGAGCTGCAACATTGGTTGAAACCTTGGTTTCGTGAACCAAAGGCTGTACAGCCGTAGCATTAAGCGGGTTGGTGATTCGCTGGGATGGTTGTAGGGCTACAGCATAAACCGGATTGTTGTTTGGCTGACTTGCGGACTGAGAACCCGCCATGGCGGACAGGCTGTTGTTTCGCTGACTCAAGGGTTGGTGAGGTGAGACAGTAGGAGTATTGTTGGTTCGCTGAATCAAGTGTTGAGTGCTAACTGCGAATGGGTTATTGCTTCGCTGAATCAAGTGCTGAGAGTCAGTAGCCGGTGGGGCATTGATTCCTGAAATCGATGGCTGAGGGGCCACGACAGCGAGAGGACCACTGTTTCGCCGAATTGAGTATTGAGAATCAAACGCAGCTGGGTCGTTAGTTCGTGGAGTCGATGTCTCGGGTGTCACAACAGTGAGTGGGTCATTGATTCGATGACCCGCCGTTGGTGTTGCAAAGATGGCCGGCTTGGAGACTGAGGTTGACGCTGGTGTAACGATAGCGGATGCCCCTGATGAAGACTTTGAACTTGCCGAAGCAGCCTGCTTGTTTTCCAGCTGAGATGACTGAGTTTTCGTCTGTTGCAAAATATTATGTAAAGTTTTTGAGCTCTTTGTTCCTCTACTCATCGAAATGGGTCTTGCCTGAGCCTCTGGCGGCCACGGATCCTCTCTGTGAGCCAAGCCGAAATCAACGACGACGCCTGTCCTTTTCACTGTGTCGTACAGAAAGTTGCTAGGCTTGATATCTCGGTGAATGATCCCTTTCGAATGGACATGTGCAAGTCCTTTTAGTAGAGCGCGAAGGTAACAGCGAATGTCGTCCATGGGTAAACGGCGGTAGTATTGCTGAAGGTTACAAAAGGTCAACGGTTCAGCTTAAACGATTTGTCCAGCATTCAAGCTCTTGATAGAATGTCCACTGATACCAAACGTACCCGAAAGTCGCTGTGCTCAATATAAGGCAGGACAATGATGACTTGATCCATGAACCGGGTGGCTGTAATAAGTGGAACTACGTTCTTATGACCACTATGAGACGCGAGAAAACAGAGAGTGAGAAGATGCCTAGTGGGGGCGCAAGATAATCTACAGTCATGCTCTGTGCAGCCGTTACCTGAGATCGTGAAGAATTGCAATCTCGTTCTCTATCCGTGTAGGGCTGCTGGTGACATAGATACGCTTGATTGCGACCACTTTTCCTCCTTCCGATTTACCAGGCCTTGTTACCGTAGGCGAATTACCTTTTGAGTTGCTGGTCACATCCTTCGTATCAGTTCCCTTTGCGGTAGGTATCTCTTCCAGACTGTAATCCCAGTCTGAGTTGTCGTACTTGTCGTATTCCAGGTCGATTGCCTTATATACCGAGCTGAATGTGCCTACACATCATACAGATTCGTGCGTAAGTACTGGATAAAGACGGTCTTAAATGGTGAGCACATTGCATTGGCTAGTACGGTACCTTCACCAATCTTGCCAAGAAGTTTAAATTTTCCTTGAAGGGTTTGGAATCCTTGCTCGAAGTCCCGCATCTCCCTCAACATGTACTCCGAGGCAGCGCACGGTTGATCATCGTCGTTGATGTCAATGTCATGGTAACGTTCCTCCTGCTGATTGTCGTCTTCGCCTTTGATTGCCAAGTCAGGGTCACCCACAAATCTTTCAGTCACCCCTTGGTGAGTAGTAGACAGTTCTGCTGCAGTCTCATATTTCGTCCGCACGATCGTATTGTTTGCATCTGCTTTCTCGACTTCCGTATCTTTTATGGGTGAATTCCACGATACTACAACGCGTGATTGCGTAGGCAGCTCGGGAGTTTCAATATCCATATTTTCTTCCTGATGTAACTCATTTCGCTCGTCTCGGGCAGATCGAGAGGACGACCTGTACGAGGTCTGGCATGAGTCTATGTTCGCGTCAGCCCCGATTTTCCCTTCCTGCTCCTGTGACGGGTCATATATGCTATTGGAGTCCTTGCTTGATCTCCTAACAATTCTGTCCAAGTGATTCCTGGAGGCATGAGTGATTCGTCGTTGCTTCAGTGGCGTGTCCTGGCTGTGACCTGTACGTTCCTCCAAAGGTCGTTTGGCGGGGCTGAGGGGTATTGAAACAATTAATCGAGCCTGTGTATGAGGGTCGGCATTTGTGCTGGAGTATTGTTGCGCCACTGTTTCTTCTTTGTAGTCCTCCTCACGAACATCAACTCCGTTGGCTGCAGTGATGCCCTGGTGCTGTTGTAGATCCCGCTTCGATTCATGCCTCGTGAGACCGTGTGTAAGAGTTGATAGTGGATTGTCTCTTCTGGAGCGCGATATAGGCATGGGCGATGGTGATTTCGGCTCGTAGAGTATCGGAGCTATGGTTGGTGCTTTCGGTGCCCGGGGGGTTGTGATTTTGAAGCCTTCATCTGGACCTCGTTCGTCCTGGTGTGCGCCTGTGGCCTTCGATGTGGGCGTCCGGGGCGTCGAAGGCAGCGAGGGATCCTGCGCCATATACCTAGGCCGCGACATGGAGCTCTGGGGGTTGTACAGCTAGTGAAGTAGTCGCTATCCACCGCTTCAATTTGAATTGAGGCGAGGAGTAATAGAGACGCTTTTTTAGGGGAAGGTTTAAGGTGTGTGTTGAGGGCGAAGCATGGCCAGTTTGGTTTTGTGCTTCCGCTTGCGGCTCCGTCGTCCTGCTCTGCGTCTGTTACTCCTGGTTCCCCGGGTCCGAATGAGAATGTGGAGGAACCTTAGTGATGGTGGGGTTTAGCTACAGAGTGGAGTGGAGCTGTTTGTATTTGGGCCTGGGCGATGTGTTCACGTGACTTATTTACCCGGTTTTCAGTAGCCCTGCATGTGGTCAATTGGATGGATCACAATGCCATGGAACCTCGCTTGGTATCACCGGCCAGGTGCAAAGAGGAGCTCCGCTCTCACTCTGGCAGTCGTAAAAATCGCTTAGCGGCAAGGTTGTAAAGTTCTTGAGGCCCCGGAACGCTGCAAGCATGTATCTCCATATCCTCTATATGAGCTCTCATACCACCCGTTCTGTCGGCTGTAAGACCAGAGCGAAGAAGGTAAGAGACCCTTGGGGTGGATAGGTTTAACTGGTCCATACCCATACCTCGCTCGCTTCTTCCTCCCATTCGTCCATCCCGGCGCCCATCTCATAGCCTCACTTCTTGGGCCCATCTTTCCCTCCCTCCCTCCCTCTCTCCTCTCTCCTTCACTCCCTTTTGCTCTCCTTCTCATCCCCATTCATCTCCCATTGAATCTGCTTAGCTTCGTCTTTGAGAATCATTCCCAGTATGTTGCCGACCCTCCGCTCCTGGAAAGATCAGTCCTGCAGCAACATGCACCATTGTCCATGCTAACCCAAATACTGCTACTCTCCCATCCTCTCCGCTCTACTTGCTACGTTGTTCCCGCACTCTTAGAATGCCATCATCAGTTGTTTTCCAGCAGGGCAGTGTTGAAGCCATGGCCCCTGCTTCACCCCGAGGAGCAGACAATGGGGAGTCCAAGAGCCCCTCTGGATCAGAGAACGGAGTCTCTGCCGCGGTCGCAGTTCCCATTCCCCTCAAGAACGAATGGGTGTTTTGGCACGATAAGTACGTCCTTGTTACCCTTCCAGTCTTCTCTTCCCTTCTCTAGTCGTCCTAGGCCATTATATTCAGCATAGTACCTTACTCTCCTTCTTCCGCTTTTCTTGATAGGTTCGTTGCTAATGCGACCCCTGCTGAATACACCGAGAATCTCAGGGAGATTGCCGATGTCAACACTGTCCAGGTACGGTGAGCCATTATTATCAATGCCGACATTATGGCACCATGTTCGACTGCGGGAATGTGGCCATCATTAGAACTTTAGTCGTCGTCTCAATTCTGTCTAACACAACAGAACTCCGTTTCGCCACTGCGGGGTGTTTTTTTATTATTTTTTCTATACATGGCGTAGTCCTTTTGGTCAGTGTATAATAACATCACGGGCCCTGAGCGCTTGTCGTTGCGATGCTCGCTTCACTTTATCCACAAGGGCGTCAAGCCCCTGTGGGAGGATCCCAAGAATGAGCACGGAGGCGCATGGAACTTCAGGACAGCCAAGGGTGACACGGCGTACGTCTGGCGCGAGTTGTTGATGGCCCTCATCGGAGAACAATTCGAGGACACCATCGCCAAAGGTAAAGGGCTGTGTTCATTTACTACCTCATGCTTATGACCGTAGGAACCCCCAAGCTGAGTGAACGGCGCACATGGAGAAGCCCAGGAATATGCCCACTTTCACTCAGCAGCCTATCAACTCACGCAGTGGATGGCGCCAAAGCCGAGCGGATCATTCTTTCCAGCACTCGGCAGTATCTTTCTCTTCAATTCAGGAACGAGGGGTTTTTGAGTTTTTGTTTCAGGAGGCATCAGCACCAAGGATATGATGTGCTCAACACCTTTTTTTCCACAACGTAATTTTTACGGAGCACAAAAAGGGGTGCCAACAGAAGAGCACTGACGTTTGTTGACTCCAGCGCACCGTGTGCATGGGAAGGACCCATTCATCTGCGGAGCACAGAAATACAGGAACATCTGGAGGCTTTTGCCGACACTCATCACATACACATGGACATCGACAACGACGGTATGAACTCACAGTTGCTTTTCTTAAATGTATAACCAGACGATCAAATCTTCGGATTGTCAGTGTCGGCGCGCTGGAGCTCGGACATCTTCCAGATCTGGAACATGGACTCGTCATTGAAGGAGAACGCTACGGTTATGGACAAGGTGGGCGAGATTCTCAAGGGCGTCCAAATTCAGTCGCCCTTTTACAAAGGTACGTGTCATCGAAGGACTGATGCCGCCCTCTTTCTCTCCACCTCGCCCGTCGGAGGACCACATTCTCATACGAATTTTTCTGAATATTATATAGCCCACAAGGACCATGACCATTTCAAGATGTAAAGATGCTTTCTGTTCTTGATAGAAAGACCAGCCTCTTGTATCAGCCCTTTCACCTGCCTTGGCCTTCAGGATACCTCATTTATCGTCGTACCATCAACACTCCACTCACTTGAGCAATGCATATAAAGTTGTTGGCACACTAAGTGAATAAAACCACTTGTTTAAAGCTCAAGTCACTATGGTACATGTATATTGTGCGCCTCTACAAATGCCACTGTCCATCCTCACCAAGTTTCATGACCGGGAACTCGCCCAAAAATTTCCGCTTCTTGAGACCCTTTGGGAGGTACTCCTGGTCGATCTTCGCGCCCTCTGGATAACTTGGGTTGTACTTGTACTCTTGTCCGTATCCAAGATCCTTCATCAGGGTTGTTGGTGCGTTTCTCAGGTGGATCGGCACTGGATAGGCAAACTCTTCAGACACCGTTTGTTTGATGAGCCCGTACGCTTTATAGACGTCAACGGACTTCTTGGCCCTAGCCATGTATGCCACACAATGAGCCAGGTTTACATCACACTCTGGCATCCCAATCATCTGGCACGCTTGATATGTGGCAACGGCCTATGCATGGCAAGCAATAAAAACGAAGATACGGTTATTAGCGTCCGTTATAAAAGATCGTCTCTGCCTCTCGAAGCAGATTGTAATTTATGCACGTACCATTGGCAAGGCAGAGGAGTCTGCCATCCCGATATCCTCAGATGCCATGCGAATCAACCTGCGAGCAATGTAAAGCGGCTCCTCTCCCGCTACGAGCATGCGGCCCAACCAATACAAGGCAGCATCGGCGTCTCTATCAGAACATAAAAGGCATCATGTCAGCTTTCTGACATAAAGGTCGTTTACAATATACGTCAATAACTTCTATTAAAAGTACACATACCCCCCACGGACCGACTTGTGCATTGCACTGATCAGATTGTAATGCTCGTCTCCTTGTCTGTCGTATTGAAGATGCGTCTTCTGGAATGCGTTCTTGACGGCCTCTGCTGTAAGTTTAACCGATATAAGTTTATCGAGAACGCCTGGTGAGCTGGTACTTTTTGATGGCGATACATCCTGTTTGTAATTCTGCTCTACGTTGTCCGACAATATCAAAGTGGAAAGTGCTTGGATTGCAATTTCCAGAGTATTAATTGCAGATCGTCCTACAAAAATGGAATAGAAAGGTCTTTAAGAACCGCTTTTGGAGGGGCATCCTAACCTGCCATCGGGTACATAATGAATATCAGACACGTACCATCTCCGTCGCTCAGATCGATGAGCCACTTCACAGCCTCAGGCTCTATTGTCTCGTCAATCCAATCATCAATCGACTTTTCATCCTTGCCTATCGTTGTCGAGTAGCGGTCCAATTCCACTGGTGTCATTTCCTCTCGCGCCATCTCCAATATGTCGCGCCATTTGATCCGCGCTGCTCTCCTGATCATCCGATCCATGCCGTCCTCCATTGACAACTTTTCGAGGGTCAACACTCGACATCTGGACAGCAGCGCATTATTGATCCTGAAGCTAGGATTCTCAGTTGTAGCCCCTATCAATGTGATAGTTCCCTTTTCGATAAACGGCAAGAAAATATCCTGCTGTGCTTTGGTAAATCGATGGCTAAAAGAAGTAGATACAGATAAGTGATTAACTATGCAGACAGAATCATTCAGAATGCGATTTGCACTGGCAACACAAAGGTCACCTACATCTCGTCCAAAAATATGATTGTGCGCTGTCTTGCAAGCTGGAATAGATTCTTGGCATCCTCGAATGCTTTCCTATATTAATGACGTATACAATGCCTCGGTATTAGTCGCAATTGTCAAGAAACGAGCCGGAAACCCCGTTGCCGAATGTCCGGCTACAGTTGTGTACCTGAGATCTGCGACGTTATGCGTTGTTGCCCCCATCTCCTTGAACTGCGCTTTTGTTGTTTGTGCAATAATACGGGCCAGTGTCGTCTTGCCGACTCCGCAAGGCCCCCATAAAATGATGGATCTATAAAAATCGATATGCGTGTTAGCATTGTCGCTCATAGGAAGTACGTACGATAATATTCAGAAAAATGACAAGATTACACTTACGGGACAGAATCCTGAAGCACAAGTGCCCTAAGCATGCCTCCTGGACCAACCAACTCCTTTTGTCCAATGTAATCGTCCAGAGTGTTCGGTCGTGCTATTTTGTCCGACGGAACTACTGCGTCAGTCCTGTTTCCCTGTTCTTGATGGAACCCTTGTTTGGCTCTGTATCAAGATACAGCGCAGCGCAAACATACCTCGTTCAGCAAGAGGCATGGCTCGCAGCACTGCAGCATTTGCTTTTTCCTTCCTGCTCTGTTGCTGGTGTTCAACGAGCGTAGGTGAATGCAAGAATGATGATGGTCTGTATTCCTTGTCGTTCCCGTTCGATCTGTTTTCAATAAATGGATTTGATGTGTCCATGCTTTCGAATTCCTCGATCTCCCCGTATTTCCGTTTGCCCGCTGTCTGTTGCAACTGCATAATCCATGGAACAGAGTGTCAACATCGTTATTAGCGGTAAAAAAGAACAATAGAACATAAATCCAATGCAAAATTCAAGGGATAAGAACCGTTACCATGGCCTCGGCGACACTCTCCATGCCCGAGCATTCATTATCCAAATGGTTGTTCACGAACCTATCCCACAAATGAACATCGTGTTTGTCAATCAAGAGCACAGTAGCATGAACAGAGGCTGGATCGTGGCAAAATTACCACTCTGGAATCGATTTTTCGCATATCGGGCATGGCACTACAAAAAAAAGCAAGGTAGTAAGGATCAGCCTGTTTGCCTTTGGAATCGCACACATCGTCTAGCACTGCGACAGACAGAATGAGCACCACCATACCAAGACTTGAGACTGATGAGGATACAGAAGAACCCTGTCTCTGTGGTGTTGACGGCGAAGGTGCGGTTCTCTTGGCTTTTGGTGTGCTGAATGGGTTCATTGCAGATTCTTGGTGTACTTGAATGAGAGTGAATGGGAAGCAACATAATTTGAACTCAGTCTTGTTCTGCTACATAAAATATATCAATTTTATTCTCTCAGCGTTGCTTAAGCCATGAAACAGAATGGTGCCTGCACTTCTCCTACGCCAAAAAGGCGAAGCATAGTGCCTGAAGATCTACTAGGCATCAGCAAACTTTTTTATCAGATAGACGCGAAAAAGAACACCTATAAGCTTCTCAAACCGATAGAGAATGAACAGGAGTGCGAGCAACGTCCAGTCATTTGCTATTCGTCTGTTCCGCTTTAATGAAAACGATAACCGGATACGCGCGCATTTGAGTAGGAAGAGGATTCGTATGCTGATGTGAAGAAGCGTAGGAAAGGTAGCCAGAAAACTACTTTAGGGACGGTGCGAACGAATCATAGGTTGCGCCGATAAGGGCACATCCATCCTCCTTCCCCACGGCTCACAGCATGACGCTTGAACGATGCTCCTGTACAGCGCGGCGGAGGGAACTGACCGCATTTGTTTCCCACAACTCGGGTGCAGTACGTCTCCCCCATCGTGCATAACCAGCCGCAACCGGTTCTTTGTGGTCAGGGTCCTGTATTGCTTGTAGCCAGTCGTATGCAGCAGTATGTGATCGGCGCATACGATCATCTCGGGTAGACTATCACTTCAGCCTAGAAGGGAGCAAAATAAAGACTGTCGTGTCGATTGCAAGGCCGTCATACCCGCTACTCCGAGCAGCAAAAACAGCTAGCGAAAGACATGTCTGGTTCTGGGATGCCTTCTTTCTTGCTCTCGCCCGACTCGATAACGTGCCGATCGCTTCGCATAAATTGAGTGCGGGGACGGCTTCCGCTTCTCCTTTCTTCTCTTCACTTAACCCTTCTGCGCTCTCTTCCCAAGACACATTATTACCATCATGTCAGTCGAACACACCCCTATCAGCTCTATCCCAAAGGTACCGAAACAAGCGGTCTTCTCGCCAGTTCTTTTGCAAGCGAACGTTGTGGTTAACTGGATATTCTGTTGTCTTGTATGGAACAACTGTAGATTGTTGCCGACATGCGTGCTTCTTTCCTCACCCATCGCACCCAGTCCCTCGATTTCCGCAAGGAGCAACGTAAGGAAGCCAGTCGAGGATTGACACTTACTCATAGATCAAAGTGTATCAGTGACGCAGAACAGCATCTCTCACCACTTGGCCATTCAATTGACATTCCTTTCTAGTGCGGGCATTGGTTCGAGGCGCAACCGAGTGTACGGACGAGTTAGTAGCGGCCATCCAAAGCGACTTGGGCCGCACCAAGGACTTTGAGGTCCCAAGCTTCATCAAGGCCACCAACTCTACTATTGATAACCTCGAGGCCTATACGCAGAACCAATCCGCGAAGGGTCTCAAGGAGGGAGATGATTGCTACGTTCGTCTAGCACCTCTGTAAGTAACCAGATCGACATCGTCAGTCTCTACTCACAATCTTATACATACATTGTTCGGCCGAGAATTGACGTATACATCTGGGGTTGAACCTTCTACATCTCGGCAAATTATAGAGGCACGGTACTCATCATTGGCACTTGGAACTTCCGTAAGCGTCCTTAAAAAAAAGTATTAGTTGGTATCAAGTCCTCGATCTTAGCGCGATTCGCACTTACATATTTCTTCTTCTATCTTGGCCATCAGCCATCAACCTGGTTCTTGCACCATTGGTAGGAGCCATTGCGGCTGGGAATACGTGCGTTGTTAAGCCCTCCGAGGTGGCCCCCCATTCCGCTGTGGCTCTGACTAAACTCCTCACCAAATACATGGACCCCGGAGTTGTCACTGTCGTCAACGGAGGCAGTGACGAGACGACAGAACTGCTCAAGGAGCGCTTCGATCACATTTTTTATACTGGAAGTACTCCGATTGGCAAGGTGATTATGGCTGCCGCTGCCAAGCACTTGACGCCTGTCACCTTGGAGCTGGGTGGCAAAAGCCCAACAATCATCACGGAACAGACAAACCTTCCCAAGGCTGCTCAGAGAATCGCGTACTGGAAAACGCTCAATTGTGGGCAGGTTTGCCTGTCGGTCGACTATGTCATTTGCCCCAAGCACTTGCAGGAGGAACTGATTAAAAATATTATTGGCGTCTGGCGACACCTCTTTGGGCCTGACTTCAAAGCTTCGCCGAATTACCCCAAGATCATCAACAAGCGTCAACATGAAAGACTGGAGAAGCTACAAAAGGCGGTCAAGGAGCAGAACAAGGTCGTGTTTGGCGGTAAATCGGATCCAGAGACGCTGTTTATGGAGCCGACCATCGTTACGGATGTATCACTCCAGGATGACATCATGAAGGACGAGATCTTTGGACCGATTCTGCCTTTTATTGCGTGTGATGATTTGAGCGGTGCGATCGACATCATCAACAAGCAGGAACACCCACTGTGTCTGAACATCTTTACGGAGAATAAAGAGGAGATCGAGAGAGGTATGCAATCGCTCTCTTTCCTCTCGACTGCATTCACTGCCGCTTCAGTTACGCTAACGTGTGCTGTCCTTTACTTTTCTTTGTCTCGATAGTGTTCAGAGAGACGCGCTCTGGTTCTTACAATGTCAATGATGTCGCAGCTGTTTACACAAGTAAGTCATCTTTATTGTCATAACGTCTTTCGTGTCTTCTCACGCAAAGCAACTTTCTTAACTGCATGTACGTATCGTCTTCGTTTTCATTAGATCACTCGTTGCCATTCGGAGGCGTTGGCCATTCTGGCATGGGAAGCTACCACGGCAAGTTCTCGGTCGAGACCTTTTCTCACAAGCGCTCTGTCACCGTCCGCTCCCAGGCGCACCTGTAAACTAGTTCGATACATCGAAGCATATTACTGGCATAAAGTATTTATGCAAGCGTTTCTGCTCTTGAAAATAAAGTTGTACGTACGCCATGTTGAGAATATCCCTATTTTGATAAATACGGAGGACACCGCACCTCATATACGACAACACCAACCAATCAATCAACTTGCTGGAAGTCACCTCTCTGCTGAAGTTTGATTGACAGAAGGTCCGACAACCGCTGACCACAACTTAATATCTTTGAAGGAGCATCGACTGCACGTGAGGAGAAAGTGCAGCGGGTTATTATTATTCGGAACATGAACCAGCACTATCGATGCAGTCCAACGATGCCGACTATTGAGACTACTGCTGGGGAACCCAAATTCAGCGCGGTATTCCAGCGGCCGTAGTTACAACGCCTGCTGGGGACGAGACTCCCTCACGACCATGACTACTCCTGCGCCCCTTGATTTTGCTGAAATTCTGTAACCGGCCCCTGATCATCGAACCAAACATCAGCAGCAGCGTCGTGTGTTGTATTTTATTATTTTTTATTTTAGTTTTTTTTTCTTCACACACGCTGCTGCTGCGCCCAAAATACCCTCCACTGGGACAACCCAGATGGCCTGGACATGCTTCCACCACCTGACCTCGCCCTGTAAAATCACCCTCATTGGTTCACCTCCTCCGCACAGCCTTCCCATGCGCCTAGATATCTCTCTGATATTTTGCAGAATGTATTGAGCCAGCGTCGATTGGAACGACCCACCTCAATAAACACCACCCTTCCATAAGGAAATGGGATCTGGCTCATACTACATGTTTGTGGTTGTAGCACCCACGGACCTGGTACCATCCAAGAGCACTCTCGTCTAAATAGGTAACATGTAGTCTTTTTGTCCGAATAAACCAAGAACCCACCCTATAACACTCACAGTTCCGAACCTACTGCAGAAAGTCATGTAATTATTCGTATGCTACACCGTTGAGTTTGTCGCATTGGGTATGAAATCTGGAGAGCATTGCTATATAAATACAGGTACGTCTTCTAATTGGACTTGAACACCCATTATCTTCACTATCGTAGATACCGTATTCCTATCTATTTCCCTTGAAAACGACATATTAATCGTCATGCCAAAACTCACGATTACTGATTATCTAGCGTGGGCAGTCAGAACAAAAAAAAAAACTTTAACGTGAACAAGAGGCATAGGCGGCTGCTAGGCGTGTATGCAGCGATTCTAAAACAGCTCCATAGCCTGGAAATATCAGACCCGTGGCAATTCTTCCCGATGGTCTGATCCGGCGGCTCGGTGGAGTACGGCTTATGGCAATCGGTTCCTCAAGAGCTGTCCGCACACTAGAGAGCCTTTCTACGTGATACACGATACGGTATCTGTTGGAAGTCACGGGTGCGGCCCGGAATCGGGACGTGGGATTGGTCAGTTGTTATCGTCGCCCTGTATGCTATTCGAGAGACCCGCTATCGCTACTTCCACCTTACTCTGCACAGCATGATCTGGGAGGTCATATTCGTGTTAATAAATGAATGTTACTTCACTACTCGCCTAGTTTTATTGTCTATGAAGATGAGGTGCAAGTATGGGAAATAATATAGAAGTACAGGATAAAAAAAAAAGAGTAGAGTATGGTTACGATAAGTTATGCAGCCGCCAGAGTGTTGAAATGGAGGAAGAATGGACCCGTGCAAAAAGAAAGAAAGACAGGAAAGATAAAGTGGAGAGCTGCAGGTCGTTCGCCGCTTAATCCGAGTGCCTCATCCAGTAATCGATTGCTGTCGAAAAGGCCGCAAATCCTGCACATCCAAATGCTGAAGCCTTTGCGCCTCCCTTCGCCGCCAGGACTCCTCCTGTAAAGCAACCGGCTGCTGCACCATTGTAGATATCGTTCTTTGCACGGTACTAAGCATCAATAGTCAACAATGAAGAGAATGGTACGATTAGCAATCAGATCATCAGTTCCACCTACTTGCCATGCTCAGTCAGTACTATGACCAGAGCAGTACAGACACGGGGACTTACGCCTTCGATAAAACATTCACTGGACGAGAAGATTGCGGCAACGACAGCAAAGTTCTTTGCGGACGAGTACGATCGGTTACCCATATCCTTCAGCATGATCTTCATCTGCTCCTTTGTCGAGAGTTCTTGCAGCGCTGGCGTCAGTTGTGGGCCCGCAAACTCAAACGACGACATGACGATACCGAACACTCCTCCCAGTGCGAATCCTATCATTGCGATCCATTAAGATGAAGACGGTCAGACCTCTACTGCATGAAAACAAAAACGTCGACTTCATGGATCCTACAGCGGAATACGATACTGTTGTTCGAAAAGCATAATTCGTACCTGTGACACCGCCAAAGACAAACTTGAAAGGACAGTTCTCACGGAACACAGAGTTGAAGAGTGCAACCTGCTGGGGCGAAGCTCCGCCGGGCTGGGTGGGCTGCTGTGGCATAGGGTTCATGTTCATGTCTGGATTGTGTGCGGTATAAAGGGGGGAGAGAAGATCCGGGTATTTTTCGTAGACAGGTCCTGGCTGTGAAGTAAGAAGAGTTGTAGCTGGATAGGAGGGTTGACGTATCTCCGAGGCGCTGTGTTCCTGAGTTGACTGATCCTGATCTTGAGAGTAGGTTGTGGTAGACTATAACAGTATATGTCGAAGCGGGTGGAGGAAAGAGGATGAGCTTGACCTGAGGGGCTTAGATGCACGTCCAAACACAAACAGTCAGATCCCACTTCCGCTTTTGGATAAAACGGTAAAATGGCGCAGTCTAGAGACACGAATGGAGACCAAGCAAAAATCATGTTTATTTTCGTCGGTGTAAGTGTACATGTGGGAGGGAGGGGAAAGCATTACAGGAAGGCGGTTAGATAAAAAGAAGAGTGCTGATGCTTTAGTACGGTGTGGCCGAAGACACGGGTGATTTGCGCTGACTGGGCGAGGGACCAGTATCGTCTTGACTATCATCTGCTGACGACGACGGTGTAGGGGTTGGATATGCTGATACGGATTCATAGGTACTGATGCTGGCAGGATTCATCGGATCACTCCTAATTGCTGAGATTGACATAGTTTCGATCGCCGGCGGCGCTGTCGTCTTTGGCATAGGTGTCGTGTGAGTCGAGTAATATGGTTGAGTCTTTGCGCACTTGAGTTCCTTCTCCTGGCCTTCCCAGATGACTTCATTCTTGCTATTCCTCAGCAGGCATGGATTAAGCTTTTCCTGCAATGCTCGACCTCGCTTGATCAGCTCTGCGCTCGTAGCCAGGTTCGCCCAGAGGTCCAACACAGGCAGAGAGTCCCAGTCTGGCAATCGACGGTTCGGAAGATCGTCCAGCAATCTCTCACTGTCTGTCATCAATGGGACCAAAAACGTGCCTGCACTATTTCTCTGCTGCTTGGTATGGGTGCCCCACTCCAGGTGGTTGGTTGAGAATGATGTGAAGTTGAAAAAATTGGGATACAACATTACATAGCCGCGCATGTAAATCATCTCGATGAACAGTTTCTTCCACGAGTTCGACCACCGGTTCGTCCTGGAGTTGGGGATCTGTACAGACTGGAGACTGGTCTTGTTCCACTCAATATCCAGCAAGCGATCCGCGACATACTCATGGAACTCCCGCCAGTGCTCTGGGAAGTAAACTGCTCCCCAACTACAAGGAAGCTGCAATAAAAATGGTGTTCTGAGCTCATACTCGGGCGTCTCGATGAATATGTCCTCTGGGTTGAAGGGTGCGCGTCCTGCGAGATGGGTCTCCACGAATTTTTGAGAGTACATGCTGACGCCGAACATGCGTTGGTATAAATAGTTGTCAGGCGAGTAGCGGTACTTGAGGATGTTGTACTTGATCCAAACATAAAACAATGGAGACACTTCCACATCATCCTCTAATAGCACGGCGTACTCATCGTTTCCTTGAGGGTACCACGCCTCGACAACAGCCAACATGAGTCCTCCTCGTCGAACCCGGTGGCGCATGAACTTTTCGCCAAAATCCCACTGGAAGGAGCCAGCCATCTGAAGTGTCACGCGGTCTGCCTCTGCATCCATGTTGAGGGTCAGAGATACCCTGTCATTCAGGTAGTGGGCATGCGACAGTGAGCGAAGAAGACGAATGCATGACCCAGGGCGATTGTTCGTGATGACAACCAACTTGACCTCGGGGGTATTCCAGTCTATGGCGGCGTAGCGAGAGGGGGGGGAAATGTTAGACACTTGATCCAACGCCGATCAAAGAAATAAAAAACATTCATTAGGGATCAACAGGGCTTACTCTCAAGCGCCTGGATGGGAAGATCAGGCAGCCACCCGACATGCTCTATATCTTCAGGCATCAAAGCGATAGCTGGGACTTTTGCACGCGCCTGCGCAGTCGCCAAACCCTCTGTGAACACTGAGTCTGGCTCGTTCAGGTAAAAGATGACCCTCGGCCCGAGTGAGTTGATAAGATGGAAGGTGTTGACAGAGACGTCGGCAGCAAGCCTGGCTGACTCCAATGCTGTTCTCCTGAGTGGTACATGCGTGAGTCGCAGATCGTAAACGCCTACATGGCACCCTTCCGAGGGCAAAAGTCGTGCAAAATCCTTGCGTCCAAGCCCTTGCGCAGATCCAGCTACAGCAACGTGAACTGAGATATCGGGCGAAAGGCTCCAACGGCAGATGAGGTCCTTGAGCAACATGGCCTCGTCGTGACTGAATAAAAAGATGGTGACAATAGCCAGTCTCTCATGCTGAGAGACAAGCGCTCTGCCTCTTTCGATCCATCCCTGCCAAACTGCACTCTCTTTGTAAAGCTGTTGGATGCTGTTGCAGAAGGTTGGTGGCTGGTCCTTCTTCCTGATATCTCCCCAGGTAGCTAAATTCCGTGGATCATTGGCGACGACAATGGACGGGACGGATCCATAGTAGCGGAGTAGGGTGCTGAGGTATATGCTAAGTGGCGCCTTTCCTGACATTGCCCAGGGCTCAAGACTCAATAATTCCAGAGTCTCGGTCCTGCCGAACCAAATATCTGTCAACATGTCGACAGTCTCTGTTGCCCTGACCTGTCCACGACCGTCTTTTTCTGGCAGGCACTTGATGTCAACCTCACTATCGAGGACATCTTCCGGTGCGGTCAAAAACATAGCACCATGGCTTCCAAGCAATGCCCGCGAGTACTCTGGAGTGTGTGCCAGGCGAAGAAGGGTCCCAAGATAGCTCTTTCCGGGGATGACGCCGTTTTCCAGCATGAGGAAGAACTCGGATGAGGCCTGGCGCGCAACGCTCCACCAGGGATCGCTCGATGAGAAGACGCGCATCTTGACGCGTTGATCCTGCTCATCCTCTTCTTCTTCATTCGCTGCTTCCTGAGGCTCCAAGTTGCCATTGAAAGATGAGACGATCTCTTCTGCTGCAGTGATATCCTGGTCCTCTGCAACAGCAATCCAAATCGCCTGGGGTTGGTCTGTCTGGGTCAATAATGCGCGGATCTGATTCGACAAGCTGTCACCAAAGTTTTGGGGATGGATGATGACGGTAACTGGGGCGGTTCCATCCTCGTTCAGCATGAACTTTGAGGGAAGGCGGTAGAGTTCCTGATAGCTGTGCCGCATTGGCCGCCTCTGTTCCAGCAGGGCGAGCGGATCAGGATTATAGACTTGACCCCCATTAGAGGACTCCGATACGATATCTATTGATCGGCGTGCATGAGGGCGGGAGAGCATCAAATGAGATAGAAAAGAAAGATGCGTAGGGTCAATAGAATGAATTGTGAAAGTGAGCAGTAGACTGAACTTTCCATGGAAGAGGAACAAATGCAGAAGAGCATCTATGGGGTAGTTGGGCGGTGCGATGATATTTGAAGAAGTGTGTACCTGGATAGTAGATGTCATTGGATTGTGAGCCTGAGAAGAGGACGGACGAGAAGAAAAGAAGGGCGGTGATGGCGATGACCAGGAGGATGGCGACCCTTGATGAGAGCGTGCGGATCAGCTTGGCGATCAGGTACCTGGCGGATCTAGACCAGGCAGGTGCTGCTGTTGTGGGACCGGAGTGTGGGGGCAGCATCCGGCAGAGAAGGGTACAAAGAGGAAGTACAGAATAGACAAGTATACCAGGGGAGCAACCAAACTGCGGGATACTAAATAATAAAGGAGGGGAGAGGAATGAGGAGGTGGAGCTGATTGCTGATGATTCTAATTGGTGGTTGATGGTCGATGGGCAGTGTGAAAAGTCGTTAAAGGTGTGCAAAAGAACTGAACACTAATAGCGCGTGCGTTATATTGCAACGACAGCGTTGTTATAAAGGAGAGGGGGGTGAGACCGAGGGAAAGATGATGGTGAAGAACTGATCAAGTGGGTAAGTGGATGATGGGTCTAAAACAAGATGGAGTGGGTAGGGATCATCATCATCATCATCATCAAAAGGATGGAGTATGCGTGTGTAACAACAAGTGGAGAAGAGGACAACCAAAAAAAGCAAACACCCGGCAAGGATGGCGATAGTCTACCGGGGGGAAAGGTGGAAATATGGACGGCAGTGGGAGTGAGGAGAGAAAGGGGAAAGGAGGAGATGGGATTGAAAGAGGAATCCAAGGATGCCACTGCCAACGGAAAATAAGAAAGAATCTGGCTAAAGTACCCCGAAACAGAACACAAATAAGAGTGCGAAGTCCAATTGTCACGGTAGCCTATTGGTCTCATTTATTTACACCGCGCCTGGAACTTCCACATCAGGTCCCCTCTTCAGGAGCCATACGTACAAGGTACACCATGCTGTACGTGGCCATGGACGTCTTCATCCCGCATCCCGCTTTCTTTCCCTGTCCTTTGATGGCAGTCGACTGCGGTTCATCTTCTTGCGCTCATAAAAATAGGCTATTTTTTGTTCCACTCCTCTTCCTTTTTTTTTTAATCATTTCCCACCACTTGGAAGTCCACTCGTCTTTCTCGTCAGTCTTTTTATTCCCTTGTTCACACTACTCAAGTGTCCTGCTTGTCCTGCATGCACTTGTCCTCGTCCTCCTCTACCAGTCCGCACACACTGCCTATCTCGCTTCTATCTCTTCAAGACTCCTCCGCCTCAGATCCAGCCCTTTCCTCTTCCTTCCACTCTTCTCCGCAGACAGGATGTAGCCGCTTGCTTCCCGAAGAATGTCTCCAGGAGATCTTTGTCTATCTCGCTAGAGATCTCTCAGCGCTCTATTCCTTACTTCTCGTCTCAAAGACCTTCTTCCGCATTGCTATGCCGCTCCTCTATGCGAGCCCGTTCGATCTGCTAGAGTCCAACCAAGCATGGTCCTCTCAGGAGCGCACAAAACGACATGCCTCATTGCTCTATCTCCTCTTAAACTGCTGCTCAACCGGCCCCAACGATCGCGAGCTCCTCCCGAACGAGCCACCAGTGAGCCATCATCCCTTCTGGGTGGATCTGCCGCCGGTCTGCACTGCTTTTGAAGCTGCCCATGAATCCCTCAAAAGGCCCTTGGTTGACTACCTCTCAGCGTACCATCACCACTTTTTGTGCATGAACCTCTCAAGCACTTTTCGCATCCTGTTCCCGAACATCCAGCGGTACTCACCACCGTCACTGGTCCCACCATCACTCTTGTCTACCAATGTGAAACATGAAGAATACAGGCAACAAAGGCAACAAACACTCACAAACACGACTATCACCATGTTTACGCGCAACGAGATCGAGCGGAAACTATTACTCCATCGGCCAGAGTGTATCCGGACCATCTCCCTACCGATTCAGCGTTTGGTCGCATTCCAGTCGATCGGCTCAAAGCTCTCAGGCCTCGTCCGGTTCGAACTCTATGGAATCAGCTGGCACTTCAATCTCGATCCAGCAATCGAATTCTTGCAGGAACACTCTCGGCTCTTTGGCACGATCCGCGAGCTCAAAATGGCGGGACCTAATGATGTAAGAGTTATGCAGAAACCGACTCTGCATAAGATCATCAAATTGATCAAGCATCCCAAAGTAATCGATCTCTCGAGATACAAGGAGGCAACCAGGGACCTCAACACCTTCGAATTTCAAGACATCAGCAGTTTGGAGCAATTGTTGTTTGATCTCGATTTCGTTCCGGCGCCGCAGTCGCCTGCTCCAGCGCACCAGAACACCGATGCTACCCAGACCCAGACACTATCCTTCGTAGGAACGACTGCGGCGCCGCCCCGAATTTCAGACGCAGGGTTGGTGACACAAAACGATCGTGCACTTGACCTAATCAGACGCTGCGCCAATCTGAGGACCCTTCACATCGGAGTCCAGAACTCAACTGCATTCTCATGGGCTGTGGACCGCTACAACGCCGATCCCTCGTCACTGCAATCGATCAAGGTCCTGCACTTGTCATCTCACCGACCTACGACGGCCAAGCAGTTGGTCCAAGACTGCGCCTATGCCTTCCGAGACTCTCTCGAGGACCTGAAGGGCGTTGCTCTTAAGCTGTCTGCTGTGGTTCCCTCGCCCTCAGAAACCTGGTTTGGTTGGTCTTGGACTCTGGGCCGATTGACGACTCTGAGCCTGAAAGGCGAGCTGGCCGTTTGGTTCGACATGGAATCACTGGCCTACTGTCCGAAACTGACGGAGCTGAACCTGACTCTGCATCCGTACTCGCCTCCGCGGGTGGATCATTTGGAGAAGGTGGTCATGGCCCCGCATTTAAAAGTACTCTCATTGGTCGGGAGATGGATTTTGACGGATAGGGTCATGGATAAACTGGGAGGAGGTTTGGAACAATTGCAGAGATTGGTAGTGGATAAGTGCGATTCGGACGCATTGACAGTCGATGGATTTATACGTGGATTGGACAAGATGAGGGCTCTGAGAGTCGTGGAGATAGAACTTGGTGAGCGCACGGAGGAAGTTATACGGGAATGTCGAGCAACACAGACAGGACTAGGCATCCATGTGCGACTGAACGATCTTTTGTCTGGTTAAGTAAAGAGTGCAACTCTCAATCACTGACAAGCATGGGAAGGGCCGAAAAGCTGATAGCGATAAGACAGCTTTGAATAAAACAATGTAGGATCCTCATTTTTGATCGTTACCGTTGCGACTGGTGCTCGCAACTGGTTCTCGCGACTGGATACAACATCCTCATCCTGTCTGTCCATTTTCACCTCGACCTCCTACAGAGGCTCCATCATCATCGAAAGCACTCTCAGAGTCCCCGCCACCGTTATCAGCACCGAAACTCTCATCTGTTATTGCCGAGGTTCTGTCATGTTCAGCTACACGGCTGTCGAGCCTTAAAGATGAGGTAGCGTGCACAATGAGCGAACGCAAACACGCGACCGATAGCAAAAATCTAAATGAAAGTGCGACATAAACAGGCCCCTTCTTTCGGCAGCTGCCCAGTATTATCTTCAAATCTACGTTTATTGTTCTGAATGCAGGGACCCATCTACTGATTCAAGCTTTCGACATACCGCTTCGCCTCTTCAGGGTATGCCGCAAAGAGTGTGTCCTTCAGCCATTGCACATACTCCATGCCGCTCTCCAGGGAAGGCTCAGCGCGTGGCAAGAGCGAGCCCAGGTCCTCTGTGCGTCTCTTGAGCCCGTTCGCAAAGCCCATGCTGAGTTTCAAGAACGCTGGCACTGCGGTCTGGTTATAACTGATCGTGGATGAGTAGCCGACATTGCTGACTCCGCCGACTGACACCCCGATGCTCGAGGTCAAGTCCACGTTCACGATCGTGCCCGTCAGTACACCCAAGTTGGCAGGCAAGAACGTTGTCACCATGAACACACCAAATTGGAAACCCGTGGGCGCCTGAAGGATCAGCGCAGGTGATGGGAGTGTGCTTCCGACAGGGATCGAGAACGCCGTGTTGGCCTTGATGGCTCCAAAGAAATTCTCGCGCCAGAAGACTTGTGCAGAGATATCGTTGATCGAAAGCGATGTCTGGAGAGGGTTGAGCACCGATACCGTCAAGGGAATCTGGCGGTTGCCAATGACGCTTCCGATGCTTGGTTGGCCATCGCCACTAACAATCAGTCGTGGAGCAGGAATGATACCTGGGACTTTGGTTTTCATCGAAAGAGCTTCCATTACTGGCGCCATGGACGTGATTGAGGTCGATTGAGCGTCTCCAGTAATGACGCAATCAAAGGTAGCGCCCGCGACGAATTGAGAGAAGAACATGTCGCGGAACGCTGGATCCGAGGGGTGAAAACGGACCTGAGCGATCAAAGTTGTCAAGCCCGGCGCGAACTTGAGGTTGGGGAGAATAACGTCTCCCATGACACCACTCATACCACCGGCGATACCACTGATCTGCAAGTTCACTGGACCAGCATCGACCGAGAAGATGGAGGGATTGTTGATGCCGACGTTGGCAGACAGGGTAACATACTCTGTCGATCCGGCAATTACTGTCACGTTGGATATCGTTGGGGAGACCGAAGCGAAACCGATGCCCTTCAAGGCGATTGTGGAAGCGAAAGGAACCTTGAGACGAACAATGCCCATGGGGGTCGTGGCAACAGAATCCGCGCTACCCTTGATGTCGAAACCAGAGTCTAAGTTTTGAACAACGTCAGTCAAAAATGCCTGGAACGCCTCGTGTGCGTCCTCCTTGACGTTCAGGGGGGAGGGAGGCAGTGTGAACACAATCTTGTTGTTCTTCATATCAGATGTGGTTTGGTTCCACACAGCGGTCGTCAAATCCGCAAGAGGTGTGCCCTTGTAGATCAGCGTCATTGTGGCATTCGCGAGCTCAGTGATGTTGAGAGAAATGTTGAAAGGTAATTTGAAGACAGCAGATACCGAGTTCGAGTTGGCAGTGGGTGCCCATGGCGCCTCAGGACGGACGATCAAACCCATATCCTGAATATCCAAACCCTGGATGACGTTCAGGGGCTCAGGCGAGACGAGAGGGACGGTCATCTTGGTAGCCAGGATGGCCGAGGTCAACCAAGAGACAGCGTTGACGCCGTCAGGGAAGACAGAGACACCCGTAGCAGAGGCTGGAGTGACAACGCCGTTCAGATAATTGGACATGAGTAGAGACAGCTCCTGGAGGTGGACTGGTTCTGTTTGCTTTAGAAGGGTTCCCTCAAGGTTCAAGATCATGGGCTGTCCGCCGACGAGGGTGACATTCTTGGCGACCACACGTCCGAGGTACGCGGTCTCGAAGTTCATGTCAAGAGTAATGGTGCCGAGAGTCATTCCAATAGGTGAGGGATTGGCAATTGAGGCCTGGATGGCGACAAGGGCGCCGTCGGGAGCATCTGCGGGCAGATCGAACTTGAGGATCTTCAAGTTGGAGAAGTTACTCAGACCTACAATGTTACGTGAGGCAAAAACGTACGCATCAGATGTATGTACGGCATTTATCAGCGTAGCCGGGATTATGTAAACAATGGCATAACTCAATTTAGCAATCTCAACGGTTGCACGAGCTTGTATGTGCATAGGTTGACTTTCTTGCGGGGGTAATTTGAATTGAAAACATACCATTCATGTTCAGCACCTTGTTGACCTCGAGATCCTTGATTGTCTGCCCCAGGGTCTTGAGGGTGGCCTTGCTGGTCAGGGTCCATGCGAAGCCATCGGAAGCCAGCTATACCAGATGATTGGATGCACATGTGCCAGTTAGCCTATCTAGCTCATTGATTACATTTTCAGGAACAAGGGTAGGCCGCGGGGAAGAGTGTCGGACTCATAGCAGCAGAGCCAGAGCCAGAGCCAGAGCCAGAGCCAGAGCCAGAGCCAGAGCCAGAGCCGTTTCCAGTCTCCGCTCCGGCATCTCCACATTGCTCAGCACCCCTATACAGCCAATGCTATTGGTGAATTCTACTTTGTGTGGGGATTTTATCGATGCAGCCCGTCTGTTTAAAGTGAACCTGGTGCTCTCCACACCTGACCCCACTTCTTTCTCATCCTCCACATCCATCTAGCGCGCCAAACACGCGGTTCTCATAGAACTTAAACTGCGCTATACGGACTGTATGGTACAGTACATGGAGACTGAGGGACACCACAAAAACCATATCAAGTGTGTTTTCTGTTTGTGAGCCTTGGAGAAAGACAAAACAGACACTTTAAGAGTCAGCAACCGTGTTCTCGTCCTTTATCCTCTATCGCTGTAACACTTCCCAGGGAATGCGTCCCCCTCGCATGTCATCCGTATTCCTATTACGCGCGTCCTTTAGTCCTCTTCGTTACCTTGCTGTGCAACGGTTGCTTCTTCAAGTGAGAAGAAGCCTCCCTTGTCACCCACTGCCGATGCATCCAGAACACGGTTCTGGATCTTTCTTTTTTTTTTGTGTTTCTTCTCCAACGCACATAGCATTGAGAGCCATAAACATTATTCGCGGGCACATGCCCGCGGAAACAAAGCACCTTATTCATGCCGCATCTTTCGCCTTTCCCAGTGCCTTTCCATTAACTGTAATAGTTCAATCGAGAAAAAAAAAAAAAAAAAAAAAAAAGCTTACCATATCCTTAGCAAAGGCCGCAAAGGCATTCTTATCCTCAATCGTGAACCCAGTAACCTGCATAATGTCTCCCTTGCCACCCTTGACATGCACAGGATTCAAGCTCATGGATCCAATAAGCTGTTCCTGCCAATGAACCATCACCGGCTCTGTAAACTCCATATCTGCGGAAAAGATCTTTGGAATCCCTCCGACCTCCGCAGACACCGAGACTGTGAGGGCGGATTCCCCGGGGTTGGTCATGTTCAGCTGCATGATCTGCATGGTAGACGAATTGAGCAGGGACTGGGCCACCTTGGGCAGGATAACAAAGATCAAGAGAGGGATGAACGCTGCCAGAAAGATGACTGTGCCAATAGCGCACCGGACGATCACTCTTTTGCGTCGGTAGAATGGCTTCTGTTGTGGTTTATGTGCCGACTCGTATTCGTAGTCCTTGAAGGACTCGTGGTCGTCGTTGTCGTTAACAGTGTAGTCATGGGGCCGCTTCTCACTGTGGGGCAAGTGATACTCATTGTCGTCTGTGATGCTGTTGTACTCGGCCTCTGCGTCAGTATAAGGGGGTTGTTTCTCGGTGAGCTCCGCAAGAGAGGTTTTAGAAGAGGGCATGGTGAAGGGAATGGATCATTAAAGGGTGGGGAGCACAGTCGAATAGTAGGGTATGTGGATTGACGACCTTTAGGCAGGAGGTGGAGGAGGTGTGAAGGGATCAAAGGAGAGGTCGAGGAACTCTTTGATACTGCTGATTGCTCCAGCTACAGGAAGGGAAGGTGTCGTGAAGAAGGAGTGGGTGCGGAGGGTAGGAAAAGGAAGAAGACGAAGTGGAAGAGTAGAAGAGGGGAGGGGAGAGCAGAAGAGTCCAAGGAAGGCAGCTACACGGCAGCGGACACTTAAAAGGCGCCATTGACACGCCAACGGACGGCAGTTGCGCATTTGCATGCGAAGGCCATTGCAAACGCCCCAGGGGCAACCAGCACTTGGGGTGTACAAATTGAATATAGAGCTCAAACATACTGGCAGTTACGGTAGTGCAAAATGTATTGTATGTTTATTGGCGGCACATTCATCAAAGCAAACAAGAAATGACCCCAGAAGGGGATACTGCGAGTACAAATGGTGGCCCGAGGCGCGTGCGAAAGAAGTATTTCCAGGAACAGTAGCCATTTGTCTCCACAGCACTGACTAGCGAGGGGGAGGAGAGGGTGGGTTGACGGTAACATGCAATGAGTATTATCAAGTATGTCTCCGCTCCCTATCGCGCTTCTTTTCTGAAGAGGAAGGCGTGCACTTGACAGGCCCGAAACAAGCCAGCGGAAGAGAGATAGTCTTGTAGAAACTGAGGGCCATGACGCCATACAGCTTCCTTCTCCACAACCGGCTCCAACATAAATCCTGAACTCTGTCCTCGTCTTCGCAAGCTTCCACACCATGCATGTGTCTATCGGGGACTGGTAGTCTAGGCCAATGAACAATTTTTTGTTGTGAGCACCCGTTTGGTGTCCGAGAATCTGGCCAACAAAGCGGTTTTGACCCGATCACCTGTGAACTGCCGAAACCTTGGATGTTGTTACTTTCTACGAAGCACGCGCCAGATTCGCACTGCCATGTCCTAGGAACCCACGCCATTTCTGGTTATTCGGCACGCCTTAGAAGCCCAGAAATGCAACCAGCTGTTCAAGTAGTAATGATAACGACGATAATTCGTTTTTGTTTTACTCGTCTATTTAAGAATGGTATGCATGCTTGGTATTTTTCTTACAAGAGGAGCTTGCCGAGCGCAGCCTCCGACGTGAACTTGCCCTGGGACCAGACCTTCTGTCCACGGACAAACGTCTCCTTTACAACTCCATGCAATGTGCGACCCATATACGGCGTCACCTTATTCTTAAACTCAATAATCTCCTTCGTGATCACGAACGTCTCGTCCGGGTTCCAGATCACAAAATCGGCATCCGCTCCAGCCTTAATCGAACCCTTGATACCGCCCAATCCGACCTGGCGCGCTGTGTTGTAGCTCTGCCACTTGGTCAAGTCCTGGATACTATCATAGGCGAACAAAAATAAAATAAAAAAAGATTGTTATGAAAAGGTATGGATATAAGTCTGATAACCACACACACAGGTACACGAGAGAAAAGACTTACGTGCATCCGCGGCGACGAGCCTCCGTCCACACAACTGGGATACCAAACTGTAGGCCGCCAATACCACCCCAAGCACCAACAAAGTCACCCGCATCCATCAGCTTCAACTCAACCACGCAAGGCGAGTGATCCGAGACCACATAATCGATCGTTCCTTCTTTCAATGCCTCCCACAGCTTATCCCTGTTCTCATCCTCACGAATCGGAGGGCAGCACTTGTACTCCGTTGCTCCCTCGGGAACAATCTCAGAGTTCAGCGACAAGTAATGTGGGCATGTCTCGACCGTCAAACGAACTCCCTCCTTCTTCGCCTCCCGGATCATCGGCAGAGCATCGGCCGCCGACAGATGCACAATGTGGCACCGGACCTTGGGGTACTGCTTTGCCAACTTAATGATCGTCCGGATAGCATTCGTCTCCAGGACCTGAGGGCGCTGGTGCAGGAATGTGTTGTAGGCTTTGGGATCCATGCCGTCGGGATTGGGCATGTCGCCACAGTCCATCTCAGCGTGGAACATGAATACAGAATCCGTTTCCTGGAACTTCTCCATCGCCGCCTTGATCTCCTCCTCATTCACACAGGGGAACTCATCAACACCAGATTCGATCATGAAGCACTTGAAACCCTTGACGCCCTCCTTGACCAGAGGGATAAGATCATTGACGTTAGTGGGGATCACTCCTCCGTAAAAGCCGACATCGACGTAGGTTTGTCCGCGGGCGGCATCCCTCTTAACGTGAAGATTTTCGACGGTAGTTGTTGGAGGGATAGAGTTCAATGGCATGTCAATCAACGTTGTGACACCACCTGGGAATGTTACAAGCGCGGAGATAGATCAGCATTTCGCCTTATAATAGAAGACCGACTGGAGCATTTCGTGAAAACGTTGGCTCTTACCGGCGGCAGCGGCCTTGGTGGCGGTGGCAAACCCCTCCCAATGAGTTCTTCCAGGCTCGTTGATATGGACCTAGGATCAATAAAGACATGATTTGGATGATCATGGTAAGTAAGGAGTAAGGATGGTAATTCCTTGACAGAGACACAGGGACGTAGACTTTATCATGCGTCGTATCCTTACGTGAGCGTCAACGACTCCGGGCATGACAACGTTGTCACCAGCCTCAATAAAATCGCCCTGGTGAACCTGCTCCTGAGAAAAATTCTCACGGCTCTTGATGGTATCGAGCACTTCGACGATCTTTCCCGTTGCCTTGTCTACGACAATGGTTCCTGGCGCTGCAGGCGCGGCAGGCGAGCGCAGAACTCTGTTGGAGGTGATCACGAGACGAGGTGCAGAGGACATTGCGAATCTGAAATGAGGGTCAGGTTGAGGAATGAGAGGCGAAAGAAAAGAAGAAAAAAAGGAGGGAAGAGTGTGTTGAAGGTCAATTGCTCCCTACGTCGCTGGGGGATATGCGTGAGATACATGGAGAGCTGCCGCGTCCCTGTTTCTCCCCCCTGCTGCCGTCTGATTGGCTGCGCGTGTATGATCCTCACCCGAGAAAATCCACGGGCAACCTGGAAAATAACGACTGGCGCCAGGAAAGACGCACAAGTTGCGGGGAACTTTTTTATTTTTTTTTATTTCTCGTCGGAAGTTTAACTAGCGCACAAAGAGCTGGTGCATCGCCTCGAATTCAGCACTACTCCTCAAGAACACTGCCAGGTCCTTCCTGGCCGGTGCCTGCTGGCCTTCGGGAGCTCCAACAAGACCAGACATGCCCCGTGGAAGATGAACGCGACCAATAGGGGCATCCATCAACGTCAGCTATAAAATGGATAGAAAGCGACAAAAAGCTTTGTCAATGGGAGCTCGATAGCATCAAAAAGAAGACGAATAAAAACATGAAACCAGACTATACCTTCTTCAACTTCATAGGTGCAGAAGGAGCCGCAGCACGAGAGACCTTGGTCAGCCTCTCCTTGAGCTCGTTACTCCTCTGCTGGATCGTGTGCAAAGCTGCCTGCTGCGTGTGGTATTGATACTCTGGACGGGTTTGCTGTGCTTGCCATGGACGACGCGTCGTAGCGGTGGCGGACTCTGATGGTGATGCTGGTGCCTTGGATGTGGTATACTTGGACAGATCTACAAGCTTGGGTGACGCGCAAACAGCTCTAGCGTCCTTGAGCAATCTCTTGGTCTCCAATGCTACAGCCTTCAGCTCGGTATCTGCCTTCAGCTGTCGCCTATGGAACTCGGGCTGGTCAACACTTGTTGGAACAGGCACTGCTTCGACATCCGACCTACGACCCACAGGTCCAGACAATGCAGACATGTTCGCCGTCAATCCAAGGTCCAACATAGCCGCCCTTGTTCTCAGGGAGGCGTTCTCAGAACGCAAGAAGCGCAGCGCAGACTTGAGAGACTCGATCTGAACCAAGAGTTCCCGGTTAGACCCGGTCTCCGTGCCTTCTGTGGCCATAGCGCCCGTGGAATCCTGTTCGTGAGCGTTCCCGCTGTGTCCATGCTGTCCATGGTGAGGAGATCTCTTGACAGGAGTAGTGATGTTTCTGCTCTCTTTGTTCTTGACCGAGCGTCTCAGCAGAGCATTTTGCTCCTCCAACGCAGCCATGTCTGCCTGCAGTGCGCTAATAGCCTCGTCATAGTCGCGCTCCTGCTTCTTGGCTTTATCCACATCACGATCCAAGATCGAAATCTGCTCAGCCTGCTTCTTGAAGGTTTCCATGCGCTTTTCAAGCAACTCGATCTTGACATCTGACTCTTGTAAAGCTTGGTCCTAATATTCAAATTGAGCGCATCGTTGTCAGTGGTGAAACCCTATGCAGTCTTACAACAGTTGACGCAATAGACGTGGAAGAAATATACCTTCAGCTTGGCTTCCTTAACAAGTTTGACAACTTGCTCCTGGAGCGACTGTGCCTTCTGTTCTGCATCAAAGTTGACAACAACTTCTGCCTTCATGTCCTTGGCCCTCTTGACCCAAACCTGATCTGGTCTCGTAACTATGAGCAAAAAAGGATGCCAGTATTAGCCATCAAGACACAAACACACAAAGCCATTTCGTTAAGCACATACGCGCACACAGCGACCCACCTTTAACAGTAATCTCAGGATCCAGAACATTCTCCGCCAAAGTAGTAATATCCTGCAACAGGCCATTCAACATTTTGCGGCATCCATCCCACATACTCGTCTCACTGACGCCCAGGTGTGTGTCCGTGACGTTGTAAATGGTCTGATGGATTGACTCGGTCTTGGCACCTTCCCGGCGACCTTTGACGTACTGCGCAATGCGGTTCTTGACCTCATAGGTAAACTCGCCCAGCTTCGTGCTTAAAGTACAAGCGTTCCTGTACTGCGCGAAGCACTCTGGCTTGACAACTGATGCCTGTGACGAAAGTTCCTCGAGCTTCCGTAGCAGTTTTCTAAAGAGAATAATAAAAGATGAGGTCAGCCAAAGTAAAGAAGTAGGCACGAGGAAAAAAAAAGAAAGAAAGAAAGAAAGAAAGAGAGAAGGTTACCTTGTTGTCGCCTTGCCTGACTTAGCCTGAGTACCTAAGCTAGCCACAGTCTGGAGCAGCTGGTATTGAATATCGTCGGTGTCGACCAAACGAACGCCATCTTCGTTCGACTTGAACATCGCGCCAATAGCTGTCATGTTCACAAAGACGCGGTCAAAGTTCAAGTCCAGTGCATGAGCGGCTCCTTGGTAGCGCTCCGTAAGATCCAGCTTAGTGTTAGTCAAATAGGTCTCTGCCAGATGATCCAGCTGAGCAATAGCCCGCTGCAGATCAACAATGCAATCCGACTCCTTGAGCTCCTCCTTGCGCAACTGCTCCATCCAGTTATTAAGACGGCGCTCGGTACCAATCAGGTCGTGATAGACCTGGCCCATTTTCGCAAACACGTCCACAGGGCAGCCCTCGATATAAGACACAAATCGCTTAGCCATGTCACCGAACCAGGTCAACTTCTGGCGGACCTCGCAAACAGACACGAGCTCGGAGGGGATGGCATTCTGAGCAATCTTATCCGCGATTCCATATTGCTGCTCCAGATGCTTGCTCATAAGTTCTGCCTTAAACGACAGTCGCTTGAACAAGAGGAAGCACTGGATCGAGTCATTCTCAGTCCTGAAGAATCCGTCGGGCAGGTATGGCTGAACCAACGTGAGATTGTCGTTTGCCTGGAGGGCGTCCAACTTCCTGAGCTCCAGATCGATCGCCTTGGCCTGTGCCTTCATAGCTGTGGACTGCAGCTGAAGGTTAAGGCTGAGCATAGCCTGCGATTGGCTTCCCAAACCTCCAGAGGCAGTCTCCTCCTTGTGACGCAGCTGCTCCAGATCGCTCTGCAGATGAGCGACCAATTCGCGGAACTGAATGATCGTGTTCTCATAGTCGGCAACGTTTTCTTCCAAGGTCTCGATTTTCTTCTGGTGTTCCCTGAGCTGGATGTCCTTCATGTTGATCTCTGCTTGAAGCTGCTTTTCCGTCTCGCTGTGGTTCTCCTCCAGTTCGTCGTTTAGTTCCTTCAGGGCCTCGAGATCGTCAATGGCCATCTGCATTTCCTCAATCTTCTCGCTGAGGGTGATATTCTTTTCGGAAAGCTGCTCGATCATGTCCTCAGCGCCAATGGCATCGTCCAGACGCTGCTTCAATTCCTCGTTCTGACCTTCCGCTAACTCCAGGCTCTCTCTCAGCTTTTCGTTCTGGATCTGAACCTCTTGGACAAGCGAGGCCTCCTTTTCCAGATTCTTCAATTTCCTGGTCATCTCTGCCTCCTGCTCGCTCGTCATATCCCTAAGCCTACGAGTGTATAAAAAAGAAAACAAATAAAAATCGTTGGTATCTTCGTGTGTCCATTGACAAAGCAAGTCCAGAGACTGCATGTTGCAGGCCTACATACTTGAGCAAGGCTTCTTTGAGACGTTCATTCTGCCTCTCTAGCTGAATCTGGTTGACCGCGGGGTTCGACATGCCGGCTATGCATGTTTGGCACAATTGAATAGGTCCAAGTTTAGTTGACATGCGCCGCATGTGATAAATTAAATTTCAGGGGAATACAGGCGGATGCATGTGGCGTTGGTCAAGCGCGCGTGTCCTTCAGTCAAGTGCCACAATGGTCCACTTACATTCTTCTTGCTGGAAAACATTGAGGTCGACATGCATCTCCTCAACCTTCTCCTTAAGTATATTGACCTCATGCTGCAGGTTCTCAGCTCTTTCCTCGGCCATCTCCTTGTCCAGCAAAGTCACCTCCATCGAATCGACAACGTCGTTGTACTTGGCCTCAAACGCCTCTTTCTCGGCAGTGGCTTCCTTGAGGATGCGCTTTGAGTCCCGAAGTTCCTGCTGCATCTCCGTGAGCTTGGCTAAGTAGTGAGAGAGTAACCATGATGCACATCGTAATGATGGTCAGTAATGGTTTTTTCCTAATAAATACAACAATATTGACGTAAGGTATGTCCTTTCTCACCTTGCAGTTTGGTTCTGATATTCAAAAACTGCTCGGACTCCTCCTTCGCCTTTTCTGCCTCGCGAATCTTCTCCCTATCCTCGGTGCGCTTGCTTTCAAGGAGACGAAGTTTGATCCTCAACTCGTCATATTCCTTCAGTGGGACCATTGCCTCTGATCTCTGACCAGCCGCGACAGTGGCCTGGGGTTGGGGACCGGCACTGGGCGCAGTATAAGGCGGAGGTGGAGGCGCAAATCCTTGTTGGTCCTGTAGCAATTGCCTCTGAGCCAAGGCTTCCTCTGCCTCCAGTTCTTCCATAATCGACTGCTCCTGTGCCAAGAGGTGAGCATTATCTTCCTCCACCTCAGGGACCAACGTATCTTGCGGATCCTGTTGAGGTGGCAGCTGTTGCTGAACACCAGCGCTCGGCAATGCACTCGAGCGAAAACGCTCAGTCTCTTCATCCTTTAGCGGCTGAGATGCGACCCGGATTCTTCTCGGGGACGCGGCTGGCTCGGGTGCGGCTTCCGCACCGACTGTTCTCCTCGTTGCCGTAGGTCTCGTAAGTCGAGAGGCGGGGATAGATGCTGGAGAGGGTGCAGCGGAGCCAGCGGCGCCAGTCCTTGCAGTTGAGGGCCTGGTTGGAGCACCGACTCGGGATCCCGTGCTTGCGGCGGGACGACCCACCATTGAGGTTGGGCGCGAAGTCTTGCCGGCCCCAGTTGTCTCAGGCTGCTTGTCGTAGCGAAGGCATCCAGGAAGCATATGCATTAGGAAAAAGTGCTCCCTCTTTGTCATCGTCTTTGTTATTGCATGCTGAATATAAAGCCTATAGCTTTTACCTGTGCAGCTCCTTCGACAACAGGATGCGCTTGTGAAGCCCTAACAAAGACACCGTGTCCGGTCTTGCAGTCGAAGTATCGCTTGCCCTCGACTACACCGCTGTTCTTGCCTGCTTTAACATCCAACTCGACACCAACCCAGCGCCCCGTAGCGAAGGAGGTCTGTCCAACATAACGCACAAAGCCCAGGTTTCCGCCAACCTCCACCCTAGTGCCGATGCTGAGGTTCGCTGCAGCGTCGGCCATGACTTGGTCCTGGTATCAAGTGCTTTCTTTTGCGTTCTTTGTCTGAATGTTTGTGTATGAGAGATAGTTAAGAGAATAAGGTGGTCAGGAATCTATAGTGAGATGCTGTCACAGGGTGATGGCATTTGCAGTGGTGATGGGATGGGTGGATGTTGGGGTAAGTGCTGGTTGATGTGTGATGTCTTTGGAAAATCAGGCACGAGCCTGTGAGCCCTGCAATTGTGTCCATATGAATATCACTTGTCGCGCGTCTGTGTCTGTGAACGTGACGTCGCCACACCCATGTATATATATAAGTAACGCACGCCCTTGGACAAGAACCGACTGTTCACAAAGAAGATCGCTCTTTGCTTCGATGTGCTGTTTATTGATGTATGGTGTGTATGATACAAGAGAATATCGCTCCTTGAGACCCAAAACTGCAATCAAAGGCAAGATATCCTATCCTAAGCACTGCTTTCCACCGCATAATACATGTCCATGCCAATGCCATAATCTACAAATGTACGATAAGAGGCGCGGATCAAATTAGTTACCGTCGGTTAAACCATGGATGTGCGCACGAAACATATTCCGTTAGAGATTTGTTGTTTACCTCCAAGGAATTCGATGTGGTAGGGCTCCAGGGCAGGGTGGGTGGAGCACTCTCCAAGAGTGGTCTCGAACACCGGACCAACGATAATGGGCGTCATTTGGGCAAGAGCGGGCTACATACACAGCATACATAAGAATTGGTCGTTAGTGTCAACAAAGACATCCTTACAGTTGGCAAGTTCAAAATGTCATCCTGGTCAAATGATCGCTCACTTACGCGTCGTTGCTCCTTCGATTTCTTTTGAGAGGACATGTCTGGTTTTGAGCCACCCTCTTCACCTGCATCCAGTCCTTCGTCCTCAGAGAGATATCCTTCTGGGACCAGCCAGTCATCCTAGATGGTCAAAAGAACGCAACATTAGTACTTGGGTTCATGCACAACAGAAAGGAAGAACGCAAGTATTACTCACCTCTTCGTCTTGATCGCTGCCAGCATCCTCAATGTCTTCCTCGTCATCGTCGCTCTTGCACTCCTCGCCCTCCTCGTCTTCCTCCCATTCGGCCTCGCTATCGAAATCATAATCGATCAGCTCAGTATCCTTGCCCAGGAACCGGCGCCCAGTAACATATTTGCTGCGTTTGGACCATGTACCTGTCAATATCAAGCAACGATACTTGCGCAATTAGTGGACTATATACAATATTTCAGTCGTCGACAATAGACGTGTTGTTTGTCCATTTACCAAAGTATGCTGGGCGATAATTCTCTGCGTACTGAAGCAGCCTCATACGGAGCGAGGGGATTTCATTCCAAGTGAGCATGTTGTAATCGGTATTTTCGTCTTCATCCTGGAGCAACAGGCCAGACTGAATCACTTCAGGTACGGTCATTTGTCTATAGCGAGATGGCAGGTTCTTTTTCCGCTGCTGAGAGGCTCTGCAATCAGCTCGTGGTGCCTTGGAGAAAAGAGTTGATATTTTTTTCCTGGCTGTTGCTCTGTCAGTTGCCGAGGGTAGTTCTCTGTGATCCGAGTCCACCTCCATATCAGAGGTTTCATCCGTGCTTGACTTCATGTCCAGTTTGATTTCTATGTCGATCGTCTCTTTGGAAATGGCCTTTGCAAATCGATTGACGGGCGCGAGCGTGGTGTTTTTCTTAATATGGAAAGGATGAAAGAGCTCCGAAAGTGAGGGTGCAGTAGCGTCGTTCTTGGTAGCTGTCTGTGAACTATCCTTTTTGGCGGTCGTAGGCGCCATGGGCTTGAAAAAGCCTACAAATCGCATAGCGGTCTAAAGGTAATATGGTATGTCAGTTGAAAAATAAGATTACCGCACTGGTTCATCACTTCCGAAAAGCAATCTGGCGCTTGCACACTTGCCTGCTCTTTCTTCAGACGCTCTTCCTCGGCTTTACGTTTCTTTGCCTCCTCTTTTTGTAAGCGCTCTGCCTCCCTCATATCCTTCTCGAGCTGCTTTTCTGCCATCTTACGCTCCTTCTCTAATCGACGCTCTTCTTTGGCTTCCACCTCTTTCTTTTTCGCCTCCGCTTCCTTCAGCTTGGACTCAAGCACTGCCGGATCTATAGCGGCAGCGATCGCTGGTTCACCCTTGAGAGGAACCGCACCAGGCCTGTTCACACCACCCATATCTGTAACGACACTTGAGAGCAGAGTTGCATCGCCATCGAGATCCATGCCCTCGCCTCCTATGGATAGCCGGCTTCTCTTGCCTCCAGCGAGTACGCCTTTCTCGACACCGGAAGCGGTGCCGAGGCCATTGATGGATGTGACAGGCGTGGGACACAAATCCTCCTGCTGCTTCGCATCCAGACCCAGGAACCAAGCTGTCAGTGCTGCTGAGGCCTCCATACGCTTAGCCCTCCGTTTGGTAACCGCCGCTTTCATGTCGGCTGGGAAAAATTGATCAATATCTTGAACTTCCCATCGATAAACAGACAGGTTTGGTGGTGTCATAGCGATGGGTCCTGGAAGGTTGGAGACGGGGATGCCATAATTGACCCGTTGGGCGACTGCTTGAACAGCCTCTATAATAGCGGCTGCTGAAACTACTGTACCACTTCTCCTAGCAGGCATTTGCTTATCCCCTGCGCCATCAACATCTACGTCCTGATCCACATCCATATTTTCATCACCGTCCCGAGCATCGCTGAGTTCCATGTCTCCAAAGGCTTCAAATCCAAGCGGGCAAAGTGTGGCCATGAATGTTGTCGCCATTTCCGCCAGCAAGAGCTCGCTCTCCTCGACCAATTTGGCTATCAGTCCATAGTGCTCTGCCGGTACATTTGTGATTTCGACATGATCGCCCTCGAGCCTCGTTCCAGGATACTGTGTCAGGTCCTCGGTTTCCCGCAGCGTCTCCCTGTATTCATGAAACCTGCACAAATCCGCGATGGCTGAGGGATGAGTCGAGAACTTGAGCTTAGGCTCCGTAATGTACGCCTTGCCTCTTGTGACCTTGAACATGGATGCAGAGTCGATTTTGTTCAGTTTGTTGATGCTGTTGGAATTTGTGCCTGATGCGCCGCTAGTAACCGTGGAAGCAGCTTTGTTGGGTGATGATGGCGCTTCCTTTGTATTTGTGAGTGATAGCGGCTGGGACTCGGCCAGTTTGTGTGTCTCAATGGATGCAGAATCCTCTGCCTCCTGGGGTTGTGGAATTGAGGATGACGCTTCAGCTACCAAGTCGCTCTTTGCTGGTGCTGCCTGGTTCTCGGAAGTCTCTTTGACTTTGATGGTTCGTTTCCTAGGTCTCTTCTTTTCCGGAGAGGCTATTGGTGATATTGGCCCACCTGACTCCGTGTCTAAGACAAGAGAGGCATGAGTGAGCCGTTGGTCTGCAATCGAGGCAGAGCGGTGGAGGACAGGTCGTAGATCATTCGTCTCACCTTTGACTCTGTTTGATTCTGCGGTCGACCCATTGGTTACAGGGGGCTCATCCTTGGTAAAGAAGGAGTTGAGTGTCCGGGACTTTACAGGGGACGATGGTTTTGGAGGCATGGCTGTGATGGTGATGATCTCCCAGTGATGTCGAGGGCTGATTCGATTGTAAAGTCCTCTTGACTATTGGCCCTGAGCTAATACTATGGTTGTGTGTGCGTCAAAGTGATAAAGGATGTTGTGATGAGAACCAGGCGAGCTAGCTGGGGGGTGGCAACAACAAACGCGTCTTTCTTTTTTGTTTTGGAGGTGCTCGTCCAACCTAAAATGGACAGTCTTGCGCCGCCAAAAAAATGTAGACGCGTAAAAGAAAGGGGTTGGCCTGGTGTTGTCACCCAATGAAACGCGTTCGGAGAGCTGTGGACGCGGCGGTGTACAGATCCTCACCCAGGCTTGCTTACTTATTCACTTTGTTTTGCTTTTGTAATTTTTATATTTATTTCAGTAGAGCGCAGCTCACATAGGCACTTTAAATATCGATAAAGGATGTGGCCCTGCCATCATCGCAAATAAATTTTCTTATAATTGTCGCCAGGACGTTGGAACAGAGGTTGAGCTCAGCTCAGACCACTGTATATTCAATGTCGTCGCTTTACTTGTAGAGGCGACGGCGAAGAGTAGCCGAGCAGGCGGCTCCCTTGGCCCAGACCGAGGCGCTGCCGGGGGTTTCGCCTTGGGTCCACCACTGGGCAGAGTAAACGAATCCTCCATAAGTGACCTTAGCTCCACCGTTGTAGGAAGTCGAGCTCGTCCAAGCGTTGACGCCGGCGCACGAGCCGGTTCCAGGTCCAGGTCCCGAGTTGCCGGAGCATGCGCCATTATCAGTCCAGGGAGCACCGGCGGTAGGGATGTTGTTCTGGGACCACCACTGGGCAGTATACTGGTGTCCGTTATACGAGACGACGGCACCGCCGCTGTAGGCAGTAGAAGAAGACCAGGCGGCAGCAGAGCAAGTACCAGGGTTGGTGGGTGAGGGAGTAGCAGTGGTGGTGGTAGTGGTGGTGGTCACGGCCGTGCTGGTCTGGGTCGAAGTCTGGGAGGCAGTCGAGGTTGAGGAGACAGTGTTGGTGGGTCCACCGGGCTGTGGAATGACACCCGAGCAGCGAGGAGTGCTGGCACCGAGAGCAGCCTTGCAGATCTGCTGGGCAGTCGAAGTGGCGTCGACATTGGTACTCTGACCTGGGGGCTTGTACAACTCCCAGAAGAAACCTCCCTGAGAGCCCTGAGCAGCGAGGATGGACGTAAGCTCGGACTGGACCAAAGGCAATTGGTGAGTGGGGTCATGGTTCGGGTCGGGGTAGGCGGGGATGCCGATTTCATAACCGACGAGGGCCTTCATGCCGTTGGCGGCGTACGAGTTCATGTAATAGTTGACCTGCTGACTCAAGCTGCAGACACCGGTGTCGGGGCACTCGTAGAACTGCTGGTTGTTCGACAGATCGTAGGTCATGACGTTGACACCACCGCTGTTGGCGATTCCGTTGTAGATATCAGGGTACCACTTGAAGAGGTTGTACCAGATGTTCTTGAGGTTACCGCCCCACCAGTTAGTCGAAAGACCACCGGCAGCCGAGGAAGCAGTCGAGACCTTCAGGGAGGGTTGGATGGCCTCGATGTTGAGCATGACATCTTTCATGATAGCACCGTACTTGTAAACTGTCTGGTGAGAAGTCCAGGGACCAGCAGATGGGCCGTTCTTGAAGTAGTCGGCGTGCCACATCTCCTCGTAGTCGATATCAACACCGACAACGCCCAGGTCCTTGGCCAGGTAAACCAAATCCTGGTAGGGATCACGGTTCACGGTGACGAAGTAGCCATCACCGGGAATCAGGTTGACCTGGTTGTTCTTGGTATCAGTCCACTTCTTGCCTATATTAGCAGAACAATACCTGTGTCAGCTTGTAATCCTCCGCCATTTCCAAAAAAAAAAAAAAAAAAAAAAAAAAAAGAGTGCTTGCGTACCAGGAACCATTTCGGGGTGGAACACTGGTGGATCTCCTCCGGCCTTGGAGATAATGTACTGCTGGGCAGCCTTCCAGGTCGACGAGTTCGAGGGTTCAGGGAAGATGTCAAAGTCGGCGAGGACCGTGCCCTCACTCTTGGGCTCGCAAGTGTAGCACCACATGTTGGCCTCCGTGCAAGCACTGAGAGATCCTCCATTCTCGGCAATCTTGTAGTAGTTGGGAGTGCTAGTACCATAGCCACCGACCGAGTAGTAGGTGTAGAGATACTAATCATAGGATGGAAAACAGGTTGAATGTAAGTACGCTTTCTTATACTTAGAATTTCAGGCAATGACTTCCCCTGTTGGCACTTTGAGAGACTTACTGGGAAGCATCCGTAGTTCCATCCTCCGACGGACAGGAAAACCTCGACACCACCGGCTTGCAGCGTGGTGATCTTGGACTTGATGTCAGCGAAACCATAGTCACCAGAGTTGATGTAGTTCAGACCGACGTGCTCGAGGGTGTTGGAGCCAGGGACGTAGGTCATTCCAGGACGAAGGAAGGCAAGGTAAAGACGGTTGATGGGGATATTCGCGGCATTCTGGGCGAGGGCCTGGAGCTTGGAGGGTCCGTTGGTGGGATTCAAGAGCAGGTAGCCGGCGACAACGGGAGCAGCCACAGCCTGCTGGGTGAGTGCCAAGACGATGGCGGAGGCCGCTGACAGAAGGGTTACTGTCAAACGCATTGTGTTGGTTCTTCTTGGAGAGACTTTCTTTGGTGCAGGAAAAGGAGAAGGAGGACTCGAGAGAGGAAGGGAGAGGGCTGGAGTACAGAAGAAAAAAAAGTATATTCGCCATTCTCATGTCCCTATTTATACGGGGTTTCACGGCTATAGGAATGGCCACCCTGTTTGACGCGTATGAAGGTCGGTGCGGAACATAGGAGAATGTAGCCACTCCACGACATGGCGATGAGGTCCACCGACCGAAGCGATTGATCCGTGATAAGATCCGACGCGTTATACAGACTCACCCACGGAGTAGATGACTAAGGACGATGGAGTATATAGGCGGTGAGGCAATACCAAAGTGGACACAATCTGTCATCGAAAAGGGTCTATCTGCTCTCCCCCCTCCACTTTTGTCCAACAGGCGTGAGGTGGTTGTTCATCGCCAAGGGCGTTTATTAGCAACACAACTCCTCAATGATTATCTCGACAACATTTCAATGCAATTATTGTTTTTTTTTTGTGCTTCAAATGGACAAGTCGATAAATACAGTTGTTTGTGTGCCTTTACCGGCTGCCATCGCAGGTTCGTCAACAAAAGAGCAAGCCAAACATCGGTTGATCGTATCTAGGGGGGCAGATTATGCGAGATTGTGCTTGGATCCTTCACTCTTGTCCCTTTCTCCTTGACCGTTAGTTGATACACATCGCCGTCCTCAACATTCCATCGCGGTACAGCATGGGGGACGCTTTCGCTGATTTGTTGTTGGCATTTGTTTTATCTGCTACGCGTTACAGCAATACCTGTTTGCATTCAGCTCTGACTAGTTCTCCAAGGTCACAACATTTGATGGCGAAGTGTTTCTCTTGCGACCATAAATATATGGAGACTCTGGAAGACTGACTGCTTCAAAATGGATGGATAAAGAATGCCTTACTTGGAACGTTTATCCTAAATAGCACCTAATGGCTGACATATAGTTTTCATTTCTCACTGGATTATCTCATTTTCTTCTTCTCTTGTACGCTCTCAGCTCTGTGGGCTGCAAACTATTGGACTAGACTGCACCGACCCATCACACGCGTATGTTACGCAAGAGCAAACAGACCAGTATTTGTTTTTATTGTCTGCCGTTTTCTCCGTGGCACCTCCGACCAATAAGCATGCGCGATAGAACTGTCAACCGTGGTTCTTTTTGTTTTATCTTTGAACCTGCATGAAATGCAGCGGTCCGTGAGATGTGGTGTGATGTTAATGTGGATGTTGGAACGTTGTATTGATAGTTATCGCGCAGGTGTTTGTGTTGTCTTTGGATGCGATGCGGATTCAAGTTGTCCTTGTTTGGGTGGAGCCGGCCCTGAAGCTCAGAGAATCCGCCGTGCGTGCACTGCTTGTGGCAGTGAGAGGACCATGGAGAGTGTATGAGAGGGGGACGGGCATGCTGAAACTCAAAGCGAAGAAAGAACCCATAATTAGAAATACAGCGCGTCAAAGAGAAAACCACTCATGTGGCTAGCACTAAGAGCGCATTGGGTGGAATAATTGTGGCACAAAGATTGTGCATGACATTGGCTTTGCAAACTGGCACTATGACCCCAAACGAGAGAGCCAACATGGCTAAGTTAGGTTATGATTTCCTAGCCAGATGGGCCGCCATGGACCTGCTGCCATAGTTTTCATAGAAAAAGGAAATTACCCGGCCATGCATTTTGCCCCATTTCAATAAGCCTTTTTGACATGTCGAGCGATGAGAAATAGGGCCCAACAGGGACAAACAGACCACTATCGGCTGAGATCTATTGGACGATACGTCTTTGTTTACGCGCAGTTCCTGGTTTTGCATGGATATTGCCGTTTAGGGTTCACTTTATTCAGGTTTCGCGCCTACTGACGCTCCGTGTTATTCCAAAAATGAGGAGCGATGGGGTCTTGATTGTACGCGCAAACAATCGCAGACCCTCCCATGCCTCTGGCTCACCATGCACTGTAATCTGCAGGGGCCCAGTGTACCCCCATCACGGGAGATGACAGCGATAAATGATGGCAAATGGCGCTAGACGGGTCTCTTCCCAGCCAGCCGTATGATTATATATGTCTTATTCAAGTTGAAAGTAGCTCGGCTCTCAAGCATCCTCTGTACGAATCATGCATCGGGCCATCAAAAAACGTCTTGTCTTTCATGATAAAGAGACTTTTTGGATCTCGAGCGGCTTTCGCAGAATGTGGAGGATGCGGAAGAGGAGGTATACCTTGAGTGGTCGCAGGGATATAGTCTATTTGATTTTTGCGTTTTTTTTTTCTCTTGCTTTAGTTCGCAGCCCTTGATCGATCTACCTGGCACATTTACGAAGCGTGTTTCGATATTCGCGACCCCTCAGGGCGACGTGCTGAGACTACTGAAACGCTGGATCATAGCCCTAAACGCTTGTCACATTCTTGGTTCTTCCGCTCTCAATTTCTCAGTATTTTTCAATTGCAGCCTCGCGGGGCTAAAGTGCATCACAAGGTTTATAATAAACAGTCCGTGGGGTATAAAAAGGAGTGCGCTGTGGGACCGCTGGGAAAAACTATCTACATTCGAGATTATTACAGTACTGACCTGCTCATTTTCTATGGGGCGGCCAGAGATTCCATCTCGGTAGAGCTGACCGGAGTTTTTAAGAGTTTTGCTTCAACAGGGGCGGTTTTCGGCCCTGTTGTGAAGTTGAGCGTCAGAGACTTCGTACATCCCACCTCTAAAAAAAAAAAAAAAAAAAAAAAAGACTTTTGCACTTACTACTGGAGAAAGGCACGCTGGAAGATAATTCTGAAAAACAAAGATCGTCTGAAATACTGATATAAATGCTACTGTTGATGCGGTACTTTACTTTTTTCTTTATTGTATCTCGTAAAAGCCAATGTGTGAGGATGTCGTGTCTAGTAGCTGGCCTTTCCTTTGCCCTTGTCGGCCTTCATACTCGGACTAGTAGCTGCCTCATACTCGTTGCTACTCATATAATAGCCGTCAGGTCCCGGCGACAAAGTGCGGTCATCCTGGTAATCACTGTTCTGCGGTGTGTGCGGCCGACTTCCGCCGGAACTAGACCCAATGCTATGGCCATGGTTGTGGCCGTTGCCGTTGCCATTGCTGCCACTATAGTTCGCTGTCAATGTCTTTCCGGCTGCTTTGCTTGACGAGTCAGGACGTGGAGGTGGGGTTGTGACTGAGCTCAAGCGAGAGGAATCTGATCTCGGCTGAGGTGACTCTAATGTAACCCAGCCGCCTTTGATGGGTTGAGAGCTACGATGTTCAGAGCGGCTCATGGCGTGCTGCTGATGACGCTGGTGCTGATGACGGCCGTTGTTGCGGGAGCCAGGTCGGGAAGAGGATCTTGAAGAGGATCTTGCTTTAGATGGTTTTATCATTCCATTGCAGATAGCACAGTTCAAAACCTTGGATGTATCCGCCGACAAGTCCTGCCCTGACGATGCCTGTTGCTGCTGCTGAGTAGGTGTGCCTATGACCGTCGCAGGAGTGGATGCGGACTCCATCTCGAGGCATTGACGATGGTATCCATGCCCACATCGAAAGAGCAGCAGGTCCTTGTCAGGCGTGCTCTTGTCCTTATCGACCTTGGCTTGCATAGCTACGTCTGCGGTTGTAGCGGATGATCCTTCTGGGATTGGTGTTGACGATGGGGAATCTGAGCTTGTTCCTTGTACTGAAGTGACATTCGTTGCCAATGCAGCCTTGATTGCATTCGCGGCTGCCCTTTGCTGCTGAACCCATAGCTCTCGGACAATATTGGGGCCCCAGAACGCCCCTCCACAAATTTCGCAGCTGCCCTTTCGTGGTCGCCAGCCCTTTGCCCGACTCTTTGCTATCATCTGAACCCCCATGAACAGGTCTCGTTCGAAAAGACCGTTGGTCATCTCTAGTAGCTGTCCCTCGTATTTGAACGTATCAAGCATGCCCATAAAAATGTCCTTGAAGTCCGAGAATCGGTTCAATTCCCCTCCATCCGCAGACTCTGATCTTAAAAGACGACGCAGGAGCGAAGGGAGTGACACTTGTGGAGTGGATGTTGAAAGGAGCAAAGTTGCCAGGATCGACTGAACAAAGCCTTTGAAGTTGTTCGTGAGTTGGTTGACGACATTATACGAGCGGTCGCTTTCCGGACTCGAGTTCGAAAACAATGCTGGCGGTGCGTTTTCGATGATGAGTCCGTTTGAAGTAGAGGGAAGTGTCGTCTCCTCATCGTCATCTTTCTCTCCACTTGATCGTTTGGACGCAACCAAGAGCGTTATCTTTCGCGAGGCTGCGACAAAGATCTGCAGGAGACGGAACCACAGTGTCTCGGTGTCGCTCTGCGCAGCCGCGTTCTGCTGTAAAGGCACCTTGGCGACCTGACTCAGTAACTTGACTTTCTGGCTCCGGCGCTCACACAACTGCTTTCCGACATTCAACACACCTCGGAGACGAACCAAGCTGGCTCGCATATTCGACTGTTCCTCCATTGACCAATGAATATCCTGAATCTCTCCGTCGAGTTTGGACTTTACGAGCGATGAGAGCATATCAATCCGTTCCTGCACAATCTCTAGCACCTTTCCTAGCGCGCCTCCAACGTTACCACTCCTCTCCAAGATCCATACAACTGCATCGACGACTCCAGCATCCTCGCATAGTTTCAGCACTCGCTCGAGACGATAGCTGTTATCCTGATGCCTCTCCAGATAGTCATATACCCCTGAAGGATCGTACTGACACAAAAGCTCCACATACTGTTCGTGAATCTCCGGATCTGTGATAGATGAGGCTCCAATTGCATCTCCGTTATCAGTCAGTCCATTCGAAAAGTCACCAGGGGTTGGATTCTGATTCTTGGTTGGGGCATTCGAAGGCTCCAGCAATCCACGGAGGTACGCAAAAAGTCGAGGCTTGGATCCATGCAGTGTTTCCAAGACCGACCGGTGTTCTGCATTGAGGTACTTATGGACCAGGAGCGCACTTTGCTCGCCATCGATATCGACAATCTCCGCAATGTGCTCCATTGCCGTCTTGACGATATCTGTCCTTTGCTTCTCTGAAATAGTAATACGCTGCCTTCTCGCCGGGTCAAGTAACTTCTGGATCGCCTCAAACACCAGGGGACGTCGCTCAGGGTCCTTTAAGAATGTGACAACCATGGGGCCATACTGCTTTTGGGATCGATACATCTTTTCCAAGACTCTGTAGAACCCTGCCTGCTCGTACAGTGTCATCATGCCCGCCTCGTCACCAGGAGCGTAACGCCGCAATAGCGCTTGCACCGCAACTTGTCGCTCCTCCCGGGTCGATGAATCTGTGTCGCTGGATAGTCGAGTCAAAATCCTGTGTAGCGCTGTTGGTGAAAGGGCGATGGTCTTGGGAGACTTTGCATAGTTGCGGGCAATAAAGCTGTATAGGTGTGCGATGTCCTTGGCTGAATACTCTACTACAGACGAGCTACTATTGCCGCCTAGCTCCGAAATTGATGCGGTACTGGAGAACGATGATGCACTTGGTGATAAAACTTCCAGTAAGGTATTGATGATCAACTGGCGACTCATCACCCTGCCTGGGCCTTCCTGTCCGTTCCTTGAGATCTGTGAAATATCCCGGCTCGTAGAAGCAAGGTAGCTGTCCTCGAAAGCAAGGTCCATGACCTTGAGAAACTCCTCACTGTCGTGCCTCAGGAGTAATCGCAGATATGGATAAGTCGGTTCCAAGTCCTCAGCGTCGTCTGCATCTCCTGTAAGAATGAGTTGCCCTCCCACAGGCGGCCACATGACGCATCGTCCAGAAAAAATAAAGGAATAAAGCGACACCTTGGCTGCAACTGCCTCATTTTCCTCAAGATTCGTCCCATCGATGTAAGATCTTCCAAGGAGACTGTCCGACAGATACTTGTATAGTTTGTGGACAATCTCCTCATTTGACGGCTCATTCTGATGAGGTGTCTTGTCCTCCAAGTCTGTAAACGATACTGAATCCTGGTTGCCATGTTCATATCCATCAATCTGGCTTGGTGCTCCAGCCTCCTCTGATCCTACTGCCTGGCGTCGCTCTTTGAGAATAGATTTGATGACCTTGAGCAATTCGACAACTGGACTGACATAGTCGCCGATACTCTTGTTCCATACGTAGATCAGTCCAGTGTACAACTTGTGGCGCTGGCATAGGTCCACAATCTGATCCATCTCGAGAACGTGGCAAGGCGTGTGGCAAATGCATAGTTCCAACTCCTTAAACAGGCCACGATTACTGTAGTACTTTACGAAGGATTGCATCACCTGTGGCGGCATCTCTGTCAACCGGCCCTGGAGGATATATCCTTCCAAAGACTGAAGGAAAATGCCCTTTACAAGCGTGCTGGCCTCAGCATAGCGTTCGTACACATCCTCGAAAAGGAAACCCTGGTCCTCGATAGCAAGGCAGCTCTCGATTGACTGGATGGCCAGGTCGTGGAACAACACTGTTCCTGCTCCGACGCCTCCAGCCGCTGCGTCCGCGTCGACATCCAGCATTCGCTCCTGATTAAAGGTGTAGTTAAGCGACGCCGTCAAGAGCTCGTAGATCTTCTCGCCAACCATCTGCTTCCGTGTCGCCTCATCCTCGGGCAGGCCGACCACAGCAGCCTGAACGGACTTTCCAGTGTAGAACAATGTCGCCAATGCGATACCCTCCAGAAAATCCCCAGATTTGACAAGGGCTAGAATTCGGTCTGTCCAATTGAGGATCGTACCTACTTGAACGCGCCTCACACCCTAGGGGAAGAAAAATAGGATGGATCGTTAGCGACATACAGATGCACGGTATGGACATGGAATGAAATTATACGTGGTGCAGTTTTTTCATGGAACTTACAAGGATAAACAGTTTTCCTTTGTGAACACGCCAGCTACTGTTGTAGCACATATCGCCCACTGGTTGCCTCACTTCTGTTAGCGCCAGCGGAGAATTTGTTTGGCGTTGAGTCTTCGCGACATTCTTGAACCAGTCGTGGTACACAATTTGAAGAGAGCGGGCACTGCAGCGCTCTGTCTCGCACATCATCTTGGGATCGAACACAATAATGTCCTCTGTGTTTGTCAGGAGCAAAAGAATCTAGTTATGCACACCGAAATACAGACACGTTAGCAGGAGCAATGTAGTATGCTGCAAAACGTGAAGTATGCGCAGAGATACAAGCAGTGCACAGGGCTTCACTGTACCTGTGGGCGGACCCATTGGATGCCGACAATGCCTTCTCTACTGATCCAGTTACCAACTTTGATGAAATCCAGCTTGGGATTCTTTCCATTCGCTTCTGAAGCTGGTTTCCTGTCAGGCGTAAGATGTACGGATGTTGAGCCAGGTGTCTGCCCTGTGCCCTTGATGACTTCAAAGATATACAGGTGTCGATTCCACGAGAATGCAAGCATGGGGTTCGTTTCTACAGATTCGTGTTCTATATATCAAACTGGGTTAGCTCAAATTGCTGAGTTTCCTTTCAGCGTAATTCCCGCATAGTATAAAGAGGTTATTGTTACCTGATCCACGCTGGCTCTTTGTCGCTGGGAACCAAGCGAGATTTCCAGATATGACTGCTGATGACTCTCCCTCCCTGTTCTGCAGCTCTTTTGGACGCAAGAACTTGAAGAGCGTTTGAGGCTGGGGTTTGATGCATACAATGAGCATCTACATGGGGACGAATAAGAAAGTTAGCACGTAAGGTTATGCTGCCAATTGGTCAACAGAGACGGGGTATCTTTACACCCACATCTTTACCTTATATGGCGTCAAGAGCGCTACTAGCCCTACGCTATCTGCAGGATGAGGGATCTGCCCATACGGTAATACACCCATCCCAAAGACCGTGCTCTGCCGCTGAGCACTAACGACTCCTCTGGGATCAGAGCCTCTCACGAATTTTGGTGCTGGGTACTTCCCGAGAAGCCGCGTTGTCTCGACAGCGTTTACCATCATGACCTTGTAGAGTAGGTGATGGAACGACATTCCCTGATGAATCCGATATAATTTGCTTATATTAGTCGACGTTCTTGGCGGTGAATAATACTTTCATGATGGAGCGCTATTTCCAGTTTATACCTGATCATCAGCGCTGACGACCTCAGCCCTCTTAATCCCTACAAAAGCGACATGTAGGACTGCAGATCCTCGGACGTGTCCTAGTTTTCTGCCCGAGAGCGCCACTTCCTTGGTGATGGGGAGGATGATCCTGGATGGTACGTTAGGCTTGCTGATGTTCCACACAATAATGCTGCCCAGGGAATGTCCAGCGACCATATAGGTATTGTCCGTTGAGATAGCAATTGAGCAGACCGATCCATGTTCCAGTGCATACTGTGGACTTCCAAAAATCCCAATGAGCGCCTGGGTTGCACTGTACACCAGAACCGATCCACGACTCGTTCCAACTGCAATAATGTTTGAAACCGCAATGCATGTGCCAAGTCCTGAAGATGCCTTGATCTCCTCTGAAAAAAGCTGTTCAGAGAGTTTAAGAAGCGGTGTCCACCGAAAGGTCTCCCAAGGTTCAGCGCCAGCGCCTGGCCCCTGCGAGGAGTGCGAATCCGAATGGTTGAGTCCTCCAATCGAAAATGATACGGATGAGGTGTGCGAGTGGCGTCCAGTTATGGCTGACGATGACGCCACAGAACCAGGTCCAGTGTGAGGGAACGGATGTGGGCGAAGGCGATATATTGGCTCTGCTGAACGTGAAGAGAGAGCTGATAATGGCGAGCCAGGCAGAGATGTTACTCCAATATGTTGTCCATAGTGGTTGCCGGACATCAAGGATGCCTGAGATAGGGTATCTTCATGGTGGATATCGGAAGCAGAGTCGATTTCTGAAGGGTCTCTGCCCAGATTAGCAAATCCTTGCAGTTCGTGTTCATCCTCGTCTGACGCCTCCTTCAAAATGGCATCCAGGCTAAGATAGTTGGCTGTGGTATAAAAAGAAAAACATTTTATCCATAAGCTAACCTCCCAGATGAGCACCTAACGCTCAACGAGTGACGTTGGACTTACAATTCCGTACAAATTCCTCATAGAGGGACGTTTCCCGAACGATCCTGTCAATGACCTCCTTGATTCGCTTTTGCCTCTGAGTTTCTCCTGAGATAACGATGCCATTCCCGTCCTTTTTTGAATGATGTGGTGTATCGGCTAAAGGTCCACCTTGCAAATGCATGTGAAGTTCCTCTGAAATTTTATAAATGTCTGCCAACACAGCCTTGATAGTTGTTTCTGGAGTATTCATCAACTCAAGTTCTGGGATCCGTAAATCATTGAATTTTTGCTCGAGAGAGGTGATTGACTGAAGACCGTTTACTAAGCGCCATCAGAGAGAAATATATCAATGAATAAGCTGTGATATTCGCTGCTATACATCCATTGGTTGTCAGGCCATTCCGTATTCATCTCAAGCATTACCAAGACGTGTGTTGGAGCCTTTTAAAATGATGGGTATTCCACTTGATCTAGTAGCGCTGTTGACAATCAATTGACAGGGATAATCAATATGGTGTCCAAAAAGCGGCCCGCCACGGTTCACCATCCAAATGCAAGTGCGCTTACGAGGCATCGTGACCGTTCCGTAGAGCTCCGTTCCCGCGCGACTGGGAGCGAGAAGAGTGGTTGGAATTGTCCATCTTTGTTACAGTCTTGAATAGCGAGTCGTTTCGGTGATTATATCGCGCAGGCGTTTGTTCTTGCCGGAGATGATGCGTTTGATGGTGCCTTCCAAGTCTTCTGAATGATTGTTCGAGGGAGTTGTCGCTGTTGAAGGAAGAAGAGTTGTAACGGTTCTTGGTAGATAGTGAATCCGGATAGTGAGTCGAGTTCTGGATGTGACTTTGACTGCCCTTGAAAGAAGATGAGGTAACACTGCTGGCACGCGTGAGGGTGTTGACTGAGGATGAGGAACTGGATGCCACAGACGATGGAGCTGAGAGTGAGAGGAGAGAAAAGGATCTATCCTTGCTGGCAATGGAAGAAAGAAATGCCGGGTCGTAGTTTGATGGTTTGTTTAAAAGCTCGTTCGTGTCGGTCGTCCCTGGTATGTCAGTGCCAACGACGATACTCACAGGCACAGCCTTGGCGGGATATCCGTATGTTGAGCTTCTTGGAGTGCTGCTGTTGCTGGTGCCGTTGCTTTGGTTGTTACTGGCGCTACTTGCAAAAGTCTTGCTGGTGCTGGTAGTACGGCTGCCTGCAAAGCTAGTTCTCCAATAGGTGGGGTCGAGGTCGAGGTCGAAGGCTAGGTCCAAGTCCGCTAGGTCGAGAGCGAGTGCACGGTCTTGGTGCTTCGACGGTGATGAGTAGTTCCTGCTGGTGAGGCTCAGGTAGCGGGAGCGTTCTTCGTCAGAGGAGTCAGATTCGAGAATCTCTTTGAGCAGTGCTTCGTACTCGTCTTGGGTCGATAGTGGCGTGTGCTTGGTCCCGAGTGTGCTCATGGGAATCCGTTTGTGTGGACACAGCCGATGTTAAAAAGGCATGAACGTCCTGTATGGGTGTTGTTGCGAAGAGAATGCGCCGTGCGAATAAGCGAGTAGTATGTCTAGAAGGTCAAGGGTCGATGGCGGACAAAGATGGAACAGGAATGCTTATGATTAGGTTTACTCGTCATCGTCATGTTCCTGCGTTGTTCAATGCCACGCTCCACTGCCAAGGCGCGGTCGTTGCTTTTGCTGTCCAAGCAGGATTGTCCACTTTTCTTGTCCCCTGCTCGCCTTGCCGTTCCGTCTCCTTGCACAGGGGGCGCATGCACTTGATGGATGCTTCAGCAGAATGGCTCTGTTCTCATGCACTTACAATCGGGATGGAGTTTAAGCCAGCGTAGAAAAGGATGTTGAAGAGGAGGATCCAGACAAGAATCAAATATGAGGTGTACCCAGGCAGGCAGTCAGCCAGGCAGTCCTCTTCTCAGCACAGACGCAGTCTTCCCCCCTTTTTCTTCATGCCATATGCCATGTGCTGCTCTTGTCATGTCTCTGTATCCCAACTTGCAGTTGAGGGAAGGACCGGGGTGCATTTGTGCATGTCTAACATGCCATGTGCTGTGTCTGGTCTGAGGGCACTGTCCCCGCAAAAAAAAAAAGAGTTTTGGGGCTGTTGGTGCGAAGAGAGGCGCGGCAGTGAAGAGTCGATGGAGCTTAATCCATCGACTTATCGATACACTCCCGCCCATCCCTCCTTCCCTCCAGCCTTCTTCCATATAACTTATACACACATATATACTTGTATATATCTGTTGGCACACTCCCGCTCCTCGCTCACCACTCAGCACCACCCACCCACCTACCTTGCCCTTCATGTCCCAGCAGGGACCACCACCTACCTGGTCCCCCATATCCCACTCCAGACCAGCACCCACCTTGCTCCCCATGCCCCACTACAGACCACCGACCATATTCTCCCTCTTCCCCGATGCTCTCGCTATCATCCTCCAACACTACAGCTTCACCAACGAGGCCTTGGCCACCCTCGCTCTTATCAACCGCGAGGCAAGTCCTACCTCGGCGCCTTTTTTTTTTTTTTTTTTTTTGGATCTTATAATACCCATACTTCTGTTCTCTAACCTCCTCTTTCTCTTGACATTTTATAGTGCCGTCAAGTCGTATGGCCCTTCTTGTGGGTCGATCCTCAGCTCAACAACAGCTCCGTGTACACACCTCTCCAATCCATCCAATCCATCCTTGACTCAATGAAGAAAGGCGCACTCCAGCCTGAGACTATGCAGATGATCAACTTCCTCGACATGTCTCAAGTTGAAGAAACTCTCTACAGCACCCTTCCCGACGACTGGCTTCTCGTTCTCCTCAACAATGCACCTAAGCTTCACACGCTCTGTCTCTCTGGCAAAAAGACTTCATCGCCCTTTGTCAAGAACCAGGCCTTCCGAAAACTCGCCAATGCCTCCCTAGTACATGAGAGTATGGAGAACCTGGACCTGAGCGAATGCACCGATATCAGGGAGCCGACTCTCAAATCCATCGCCGCCTTCTTTCCAAATCTCGTCTCTCTCAACTTGTCGCGCACTTCGGGCGTGACCGATACAGCAGTGGCCCTGATTGTCGATAGGTGTCAGTACCTCAAAACTATCGATCTCTCGTACTGTCGACAGCTCACAGATCTCGGTCTGCTCTCGGTTGCAAAATTCTGTCGACGCAACCTACGTGTCCTGCACCTCACCGGCAACCTCAAGATGACTAACGCGTCTCTACTAGCTGTGGCAAAGCACTGTCCACAGATCCAGAAGTTGTTCCTGGCAGAATGTAGTCAGATCACTGACGCAGCACTCGAGTGGATCGCACGATCGAGCTCGAGCGCATCTCTTAAGGAGCTGGAGCTGCACCGGTGCGACAAGGTCATGTTTGGATTACCTTTACTCGAACTCTTGGCTAACAAGTGCAACGTCCTCGAACGGATCACTCTCACCTACAAGCAGATCAATTCGAAACGGGACGATCTCAAGCTGGTCATGGAGGCCTTTCGCGATTTCCATCAGCTCCAGACCATTGGTATTTATGAGGTCCCTGAACATAGTCCAGCGCTCTTCTTTTGGGATCTAGCATTCCAGGCGAGCCGTGGGAATCTCAAGACCATCAATCTCTACCGAGGCTCGTTTGCATCGGATTATATTCTGGGAACCTATGCCGTTGTATTCGAGCATGACCAAAATATCTCGGATCAAACGGTCCACAAGTTCAACGAGTCTCGGTACGGTGTCCGCAAGGCAAAAGTCAACCTCTTCATGGACGACATCTATTGATGTAGAGTTGGCGGTCGTAATGTATTGTATTATTCAATAAACCAATTCTTTTCACTTGGAATTGTTCTAGTCGAAGAAATTGAATATAAACAATGATTTATTCTGAATCTATGGTAATGTAACAGTTCGTTCAACTTCCTCTTCCTTCCTGCATCGCAGCGCCACCGTTCCGTGATCTCACACCATTAAAGTGCCTTTTGATTGTGAAACTCTATATGACTCCTCCACTACCGCTTTACTTCCTGTTACGGGCGTAAAATTCATATGCCAAGGCGTGCATCTGCGGTGGGAAGGGACTTGGAATCTCGGTCTTTCCTGGACGAGAGATTGGTGAGCGAAGAAAGCAAGTCGAGCAGGTATTGTAGTTGACTTCGAGGTAATCGGGGACAAAAAGAAAAGGTTGAGAGAATGGCTTGGGTACGAACTCCATGGGTGCCTTGATGGATGATTCGGCCGCCTCCCCCTCTGCTGGTGCTGCATTCTTCAAGGTCGAGATAGATGCCGGGTTAACATGAATAATGTCTCCGTCTGTTACTCGGTGCGAGGGATAAGGCATCTATGTAGCCAGCAAAGGTTGAGGTTAGCGTCCTCATATCATTCCGTTATCTGCTCATGACCTTCTTGACAGCCCTATATCGCCTTCGTATAATCGATTGCAAAATTGTTCCTGAGACATACCGGCTTGCCATTGACAGTGACCTTTCCATGGCCAACCAGCTGGCGGGCAGCATAAATGCTGGGTGCAAAGTTGCTCCTGAAGACAATGAAATCCAAGCGTCTCTCCATCTCCGCAAAGGTCAAGGAAAAGACTGGTGGGTGAGGCTCGACGCCTCCGACCTTGGTGTTAGCGGTAGGCAGACGAGTCTTGAACATAGATTGCCATTGACGCTCTGTAATCTGGTCTCCGTGATATGAGCGGGTGTCCTTCTTTGCTGCCCACTTTTGCTGATACAAAGTTTTGTTAGAGTTGTTGGGTGTCCTTGCGCGCTGAGCGAGATTGTAGAGGTTGTACTTGTTCCAGGACATGCGCAACAGTTGCCGACGAAGCGAGTAGACAGGAATCTTTGCGTTGCGAACCATGTTGCTGTTGTTAGTGTTATCCTCAGTGTGCCGGAATCGATGGAGAAAGAGAGAGATCGCCTTGCTCAGGCGCCAGCGGAAAGTCGTAAACAAGACTGCTGTCACGGAGTGGATACACTGTAAAACATTCGTTAATTACGTCACGCGGTCCGCACTAACTCACTGATTGGCTCGAAATAGCGTTGGGTTTTATTGTTTTCTCGCGTGCGGAAATAATGAATATGCACTAAGAGAATTTACTGGCAGCGAGAACCAGCATTAACTTCATCTATTCCTTTTACCTCGCGTACTGCTTTCTGAAGGAGTGCTGCCACAGAAACAAAGTAGGTCTCCGTGCACTTCCTGGTCTTGCCATTGTGAACCACTCGACCAAGCTCCATCCAAGCCTGGCGAATTGTCTCCTCACACTCCCGCATCATTTGAGCCCTTTCCTCCTTCTGCCGTCTTCTTTTTTCCTGCATCTCCTGTTGTCGCATGGCTTGGAGTCGCTGCTCTTCCTCCTCTCGTGCTGCTTGTAGCTATTGAAGTAGATTCGGAGAGAGGAACTCCTCTAACGGAGGGCCATAATCCTCTTCAAGGACGGTTTTCTCATTCTCGTCATTGACTGTGCCGTTAAGGTCAGTTGCATTATTGTCAAACCCCACTTGGAACCTTGGATAGATCCTCGATACCAAGAACATGTGCTTACACGGTAGACTTTGTTTTTCGTTGTCGGGGCAAGAACAGGAGCGGAGCCATTTGTCCGACAATACATCGATAGCATATTGCGCCTCAGGCGGGGTCTGAAACGACAACACAGAGATCAAGCCTTCCACAGACTTAGTAATGTCGATCAATGTTCTCGCCCGAGCCGAATCAACTTGGATGGCCTTTTTACGCCGTGCCTCCTCGTGGAATGTTAGGCGACGGGGTTGAAGGCCGCTTGTGATCTTGAAGTATGTGGTGCGGTACTGGCTTTCCACCACACCTAGCAGGATGTAGATGAGTTCGTCGGCTCGCAAGTTGCGCTTTCCCGCCAGAAAGTTTTGCTTGAGATTTCGATGCCATCGCTCCACAAGGTTATTTGTGTTAATATGTTGATGGTTCTATTTCAAATGAATAAAATGCTTCAACGTTAACAAATTGACTACAGTCCTTTTTGCATTTTTTCCACTGAATTGAAATATATAAAGGGTGTTATTCAGTTCAAAATTATCTATGCTTGGAATTACGGATCACATACTGTGCTACCTTTCGGCCAATCGCGTCTTCATCCCCGAGCCACTCGACCAGCAAACTCGCCACATCCTCTTCTCCGTGCTTGGACTTGGACGACTCGACAGTGTCACGCTCAATGGAAGAACTCCTGTCGCGTGAGCCGTACCTCTTAACGATCTTGTTGCGCACCTTCTGCTTGATCTCCTCTGCTATATCCTGTGCGTCCTTTTGGTTCTTGTCGAGGGAAAACTGAATCTTGTCCCCGTCCATGACCGAAGCAATCAATCGTACATAACGTCGCCTGACTTGACTTGCATCCTTGTCCGCCACAGGTGGATACTGTGGTGGCCGCTCCTCCACATATATTGATTTCTGCTCCAGGTAGTCAACTTGCGCCTTTGAAAGAACGCCCGCTTTGCAAAAACAATGCCTCACTGTCAAGGCTTTGACATGCGACCACGCGTACGGAATAAGTGACCACGCCTCGCCGTTGGTAATTTTCTCCCCGGTGGCATACTTCTTTGTAACCGATTTGTTGCTGAGCATCTCGAGATAATGTCGTTTGAATGCGCTGATTATTCCTTGGTCCTAAGGTTGGGTAACGGATGTCGAATTGGGTGGCAGGCGCTCAATTCGAAGGAGTTTCCATGTCTCTCCTGTAAGTGGGTCCTTGTCGTTAGACTTGCCGTGTGCTCCACATGAGTCAATAAGCAGAAGGCTCCTGTTGGAGAGGCTGTCGTCGAGCGAATGAAGCCATCGCTTGAAGAGATCCAGGGTCATGTATCCTTTTCCATGTTTCATCGAGGTAAAAGGGACCTTAGGTAATGGCTGGATACCTCGAGCAAGGTGCGCGCCTGGAATATCAAGCAATTAGATATGATTAATGATTATTAGTTTCTTTTTCATATTATCCTCTATTAATACAAAAACACGGCGTTTTTATATCCTTACCAATGACTTGCGGCCTCAAAGCCTCTACCACTGCTACTCGGTCAAGCGAAGATCCAGAGGCGTTGACACAGAAGAGAATCGACACGCGAGATTCTCCCCGCTCTGGTGTGGTACCACTCATGAACTCCTCCGTAGTGTACGAGTGAGTGGAAAGCTCCTTGAGGTACAAGCCAGTCTCATCGCAATTGTAGATGTCGTCGAGTTTAAAGACAGAGCATATATTGCGAATTTCAGTTATCCTTTCTGCGATGGCATCCTTGTCGACAGACCCCGCTTCTCCTTTGAGACCGCAGTAGGCGACACTGTACTCCTGCGTCATCCTCGAACGCCACGATGTCGTAAAAGAGATTGTGCGACCGAGAGGGATATCATCGAGGGCGAAAATGTCGTCCGTAAGGATGTGAAGAACGGAATTGGCTGCGGCCTGAAGCTGAAGACCACTGACAATGCCGTTATTCTTCCGAACCTCCAGTACCCACTCAAGAACGGTCTTGTCCATTATGTGTCGTATCAGGTCGACTGGACTGCCGGAGAGTGTGCATTTGTCGCCTCGACCATGCGCCACATCAAACCGAATCTTGTCGAAGTCCTTGTCCCACTGTTTGATCGACTGTCTAGAGACGGGGCGGTGTACGAACCGGTGAAAATTGCCGGCTGCAACCTTCACATCAGTCCTCTTGCTGAGGTAGCGAAAGATCTCGACCAACTCCATCCGATGCCTTAGAGTATATCCTGCACCTCTCTCACCTCTACCACGTTTCGGTTCGGTAGGCTTTTGAGGTTGTTGTTCGACGGGTTCGGCAGATTTTTGAGGTTGTTGTTCGACGACTTGGCCAGTGCTAGCCCGAGCTTTAGCCAACAGTGAGTAGTACTCCAGCGCCTGCGCTTCATCTGATAGTGCTGAAGTGCCGTTCTTGAGCTGGTTGACCGTAGACGTGACGTCCGAGAGGGCGGAGCCTCGCGGACGTGCGTTGGTGCTGATACGGGGCCCTTTGTTTTTTGGCATATGGAAAAGTGAGCAAGCATCACATATTGCAAGCATTACAAGTTATTGATACAGATAGAGGCAAACTCTACGAGGATATAAGGTAAGGTCAGCTGCCACAAAACTGAATAACACCCTTTATATATTTCAATTCAGTGGAAAAAATGCACATTTCACTATGAAAAGTGCATTATTCTGCAAAAAGGACTGTAGTCTATCCACTTTGAGATTTACATTCGAAGAACATCGTTCCATCCCTGTATTGTTAGTCTTTAGACAGTCGGAAATTGATTCTGTGCGTCCTTGCCTTTCACGCTTTCATGTACTTGGCGCTCTGTCTTCCATTAAGACCATGGACTCATGAATATCTTCAATGAAGTTGACACGCCCTTTCATAAACCAGCTTGATAAAGTCGCCGCGTCAGAGCTTTATTATTCTTTCATAGCCTTGGCATCCGGGGTAGCTTCAGCTCCTTCGACTTGTTCAATGTCTCTCTTGGACGACCCCTTATTCTCCTCCGCAACAAGCGCCTCTGGTGTAACTAGAGACGACTCTTCCGTGCTGGCACTAGCACTAGCGCTGGCGTCCATGCTATTATCACCCTCTGCGACGTTCAGCGTACTCTGGAACGCTGCCGATGTATCCTGCTTGCAGATCTCACGAATCGCCATCGTCGCGTACTGACTCGACTTGAGTGTCAAATTCAAGATCAAAGCTAAAAACTTGCCATTGGGCACACCCTCCGGCTTGGGCTTCCCTTCCAGTTTTTCAAGGTCCGTGAGGACTAAGGGTACATTGGCCTCATCGTACCTCATAATCTCCCACTCGACGTTCTCTGGCTTGCTGATGATACTGCGGTAAGATCCCGGAAGAGAGTACTCCTTGTTCGGGTGTCGCATCTTGTAAGGGTCCAGCCCATCCTTGTTCATCAATTCCTTGTACCTCTCTCCAATCTCGTGCGTCGGGTAAATGACATCGAAGCCAGGCATGGGCAAGATCACGTCGTAAATCGTGTATTGGTCCTTGTTCTCCTCCGTCAGAACCTTGGCTCGAACATGCTCCCGCTGTTGTGTAGACGAGCCCTTCTCGTCCGCTGCTTCATCTGATACCTCCAATGCAGCCTTATCCTCCGCAACCAAGTCGCCAACAACAGGATGGTCTGATCCATAGAGACGAATGCGTTCCGTGACCATATGGTTCCAGACAAGGGACTGGTACGCATGGATATACATTAATCTCAAGTTCCTGGGAATGTTGGCCAATGCATCATAGGGACTCCTCAAATGACCCGCTTTTTGGAAAGACCACAGAACCTGTGTTTCCGCCACCCATCGCCTCGGGAAAAGCTTCAGTGCTTCTTCAGGATCCTTGTGCTTTGCCCAGTGTGTCCTGGCCTTCTCCAAATCAGGTCCTTCTCCCAAACGAGGTTTCATGATTAGATTTACGGCCTCCTCCCACTCAGATCTTAGGATCGCAGCGCCGACATCATGAGTGCCAACGGATCCAGTACCAAATCGCTGCATTCCGAAATAGTTGATAAAGCCTTTACCCCGTAGTGAGACCATCGATCGGTTCAGTGTCTCTTCAGAGTCGACAAGGACATTACGGAGCGTGATCATGAATCGGTTTCCGTTGAGATCGCCCAGTTTGAGTCCGCGAGAGACGTAACTGAAGTTTCCGAGGCACATATTGCGCAGAGTTTTGTTAACGGCAATCAGACGCTCTGCTTTGACCTTATGTGCCGTAACCCACTGACTGGTGACGCCCCTTCTGTCCTTGGTCCCTGCAATTGTGAACACCTTACCAGGCACTCTGTAAAGGAAAGAATGTGCATAATGAAATGAAAAATGTAAATGTTAGCAAATTTTAACAGATTTTCGCTCCTATTGTCGGCGGCCAGATCTTCCGGGGAAAAGAAACGGTCGTGACTATCATACATTGAGAGACCATAGCAACAAAACGTGGCCTGGACATTTACCGTAGTGCGCCAGTAAGAAAGTTGATAGCCTCCATGGTCTCGCGGTTCTCCTTGAAGAGACAGAATCGACAGAACTCTCCACCCAACTCCTTCCATATATCCGTCTTTACCTTGCCCCTTGTGTCTACAGAATGCATTAGAAGACAAATATAGTTGTCAAAAATGCCGCTCTTTAAGCAAGATAGATCCATGGGCTGCGTTGCAAGACATACCGAAGTTATCTTTCTTCTTATGCATGCGGAGGCGGATGGTACCGTTCATAGTCTCCGAGACCATCCTTCCACTGAACCGTTCCTTGACCAGCTTATGGATCTCTGTACGCTTGGCCTTATCTTCTTCTGGCTAATGGTACACACGCAATCAAAAGCCAAATAAACTGCGTGTTATTGTTCTGAATCCAAAATCAAGCGCGCCCAAGCAATTCTGAATATCGTCATGGTATTGTACGTTACCTTCAAATTAACATGCTCCAGATCGTTTCCATAGCTATCAAGCATTTTCTTGATCTGATCCATAACCTCAGCGTCATCCCCCAGGAGTTGCGACAGCTCGGCCAGCTTGTCTTCGTCAGACACAGCCCTGTTGATCTGCGCCGCGTCTTCCTTCGCCTGATCGCGCTCCTGACGTAACTTGACCTCGTCAGCATTAGGAACTGGCACATCGTAAGATGTCAAGCGGACGGTTTCATTCTGCTGATCGACTTCGTTGACAATGAAATCGGTGTATCTGAATATCAGAAATCATGTCATGGATCGTATTAGCACTGAGGACATCCATCGTTGTTTTGCGCTTATGCCGGACCGAAAGATAGATATTCATCAATTGGTCTATACCGCTGCTTGATAATGGCCGAGAATCCTGGAATAGAGGGCTCGACAAAAGTGCGGATGCCAACTACCTCTTCGCTCATCGTGAGTGCTCCTTCTGACGCCATGACTGATCTGCGCACGCTGTCGTTGGAATGGGTGAAGAGGGGGTTTCAAGGCCATTTAATTTTTATTTTTTTGCGCCAAACAGCATGTCTTCGAAGCCACTACTGCTCGGAAGCAGTCGCGGTGTTGGCCTGTGCGAATTCTTTTTTGAAGACAAAAAAAAAAAAATGTTGTTGATAACAATCGACTGGTTGCACCGAAGTATTGAGATGCAAGATTGAAAAGACAAAGTGAAAGGGAAAAGGGACAGAAAAAAGGAAGCAGTGTCGAAAAAAAAAAAAGAAAAAAAAAAAGAAAAAAAAAAGACACTAGTAATCCTCAAAGATGTCCTGCTCAGTGGGATCAAATGATCTCTCGAGGACCAGCTTCGAGTTTGACATACGCTTAAACTCGCGGTCATTTGCTGGCCAGGAGATCGGAGATTGCACATGAAGCTGGTGTAGCTGGCCCTGTTGCTGTTGCTGTTGCTGTTGCTGTTGCTGTTGCTGTTGTTGTTGGTGGGGCAAGTACTCCGATTGGTGCTGATGCTGCTGTAGTTGCTGCTGCTGGTTCCTGAACAACGAGCTATTGCCGTCAAGTGAATTTCCTAGACTGCTTACAGTTGAATTGGTTGCTCGATGACTGTACAATCGATTGTCGCCCGGGAATCTGCCTGCCCCAGTTCCATCATGACTGCGAGTCGAAAGCGTGGTACTACGATTCAGCAGCAATTTCTGCAGCTCAGGCGTGTCATCGTCCATAATCAGGGACCCGATAGCAAGCCGTTCTCTTGCTGCCCGGGTCTCATCATCCTCTTCCTCCCCTCGGTCACTGTCATCCAGGCTCATCTCATTGATTCTCGCTGTGTCCTGCATGCCATAGCGCTGGCCCCCACCCTGTGCTAGCTCCTCGTTCAAATCGAGCTCATGGCTCAACGCATGGCTCAAACCCTCGAGACTCTCATTATAATCCTTGCTTTGCTCGTATCCATTCTGACTTTCGCTCTGAGCAAGTCCTTCGTCATCCTCCGCGTTGTCCTCGTCATCCTCTAGCCCTGAATCCGATCCCGACGGCACCACAATAAAGCCTTCCTGCTCAATGTCTGCATTCCCGCCTAGCCAACGGCGGCGGTCCAAATTCTCCACAAACTGCGACACGAATGAATTCATCTCAAGCCGCCCAATTGATCCTCCCTTCTGTCCCGTTGCATGAGCATTCAAAATAGAGTCGGGTAGTGGGCAGCCAGTGTAAGCGCCATTGCGCAGGCAGAAATGAAGATAGTTCGCCCAGTGTTCATCAAGCACCAGTAACTCTGGGTTGCCCACGATGACCATCATAGCCATCGCTCGAGTTAGAGCGACATTGAATCTCTTTCTGAAATGAACAAGGCCCAATCCTTGACGTACATCCTGATCCAAGTACTTTGCACGACTCCTTGTTGTTGAAATGAACATGATCCTGTATTCCTGTCCCTGGTAGTCCTGTAGGGCATAGGTGAAAGTGAAATACAAGAGAGTATATCAGCATAGAGATGCAGGGCAAGAACAAGCGAAGACCACGCGCGGGGAAATAGACAGTGGGGACAAGATGAAAATACCTCTACAGTTCCAACATTCACACCCGCGTATCCCCTCGATCGAAGCACTTGACGCAGGAGCTTGACCTGTTCCCTGAAAGGAGCGATTACACCAACGTCGGACATCTTGACCTGGAACGGATTGTCTTCTTCTTTGGATCCCGCAAAAAGACTTTCGATGATCGACGCCACCTTCTCCGCCTCCTCCTCGTTGTACCAAGAGACAGCTTCCTCGATATGAGAAGCATCCACGCCATGGACACCAACAAAGGCGATGGGACAGTCCGGGTTGGGCAGGATAGGACAGCCGAGCATCGAGTTGATCTTGGCCTCATCCGCAGACGCAAGCAGCGTATCGTTATAAAACATGGTCGACGGCATCATGAGCATCTTGGGGTGGCACCTATAGTTCTGGACAAGATTAGCGAAGCACGGTATGGTCTTCTCCAGATACTCGGTATCCTTGTTCTTCACAGTCTGCGTGCCAATCTTTCCCTTTGGTCGCGCAAACTGCCGGCTCTGTGGATGGTCTCTGTACAACGGCTCAGTTGTGATGAGTCGCTCCAGGAACGACATTTGCAATTCGGGTAAGAAAGTCTTAGGCCCGAGCTGCTGGTGGTCACCGCAAAGGACAATCTGAGGCGGTATCTCTGTCTCCTCCAAGATGCAGAGCAATGGGATATCAGTTTCGGGTTCAATCGCTTGAGCAGCTTCGTCGATCAGCAAATGAGTCCAGTGTGAGCGCCTCTGTTCGCCTTCATTGGTGAGGCCCTTGTGAGCCAGATATTCGCGAAGACTCTGGTTGCTTACACCGGCCGATATCAAGAGTCCAGCATCAGCACAAGTGCAGACCACGATGCGGAATCGTAGAAGGTCATCCAATGGCGGCATATTGAAGTACACAGATCCGTAGCAGTACGGCATGATCTGGGATGGGACCTCTGCAAATGTGCGAGTGGGATCATTCAGTCGCAACAAGTATTGGGGCTTCAAGTAGGGTATAAGTCGGTTCATAATCGTGTCGCAGGCCGAGTGAGATGGTGCCGTTATCAGAATGCGCGATTGGGTGTCGTTCATAAGAATTTGGAGGGCCGTCTCTGCCAATGTTTTGGTCTTGCCAGTTCCTGTGGTGCAATAAACAGATAGAAAATTAGCAGCCATGAGCATTTTTATCTACTCGTGTATCTGCTGCCAGCAGAAATAGCTTACCTGGAGGACCGGATATGATGAATGGAACAAGACCATAATCATTCCTCACAATTCTCTGGACAGTTACTTTTTGCTCCCAGTTCAGGGAAGGATCCACAAACTCAAGCGTAAGATTTGGCAGCTTGAGTCTTGGCTTCGAGTCGTGAATGCTCGGGAACAGGAGCGAGCGAGGCGAGTAAAACTGGTCACCTTCTCCATCGCCATTGGGATTCCGAGGGTGATAACCAATGAATTCCTGAACGCCGCCGACTGCACGATACATCTCCCTTATTCTGCTGTTGCTGACCTTGAACTGGACGTTCCATCGTTCTTGAACTAAGGATGGCAGGGCTCCAATTGGAAGATGGACATAAACGCTATTGCTTCGCATGTTGGTTCCGTGAACAAATGTCCTGTATTCAATTCCTGTAAAAACGCCGTTTGTCACTTGACGAACAATGATTGCGTCACCCCGAAGAAGCAAGGGGCATTTTTCGGAAAGCCCTCCAACTTGGATCTGGAAGTAGTTGGACGCAGCATCATATAGCTTGATCTCGACCATGAAGAGGTTGTATGTCGACACATCATCTTCTACAAGATGCTGCTCCACTTGAAGTAGGGGCAACAGACGCGAAGCGTAGCAGTCGGCTGACAAATCGATGGTGATCTGTCCTGGAAGAATCATCTCGAGCGACTCCACCACCGGGGGTTCCAGTGAGAACTTGCCGTTGTGTTTCTTATAGCATGGATGGCCAGCCGACTTCAAGTACTCATGGAAGTCGATAGTTTCCACAGATTCCCCAGTGATGACCATGCGCGGCTTGACCAAGTTGAGATTGCGTAGCCACTGCGGAGTGTACGCCTTGGCATATGGGTCCATCTCTCGGTCAAGCTGCGTATTGTTGGTGACATTCCAGGTGATCTTTCGGCCGATCAACGACGACTCGTTTACCAAGATAAGCAGCCAGCTCGAGAAGAATCCGAGGTTAGCTATGAAGGTTGATACAATGATGATAAATCCTTAGTTAAGTAGACCCTATCCAACGTCATTGCTTCAACATTAGCAAGAGAATCCGCACGTATTCACTTACATCCAGTAGCCAACGAAATCTCAATATTGCCAAACATTGGCTCGGTGCCATTGGCAGGATGGGCGTAGATAGCATCCTGTGAGTGGCATATCAGTTGATCGTAGGGATTAGGGATGATCTTGAGCGCCTGAATCTGCGTGATTCGTGGTCCATGGTTCTCGATCCTAATAGTCTTGCGAATAGCTTCCGCTTTAGGATTGACATTACCGAAGTCTATCTGCCCTGGAACGAGAAGGTCAGGTTGCTCCCTCAAGAGATAGTCTTTATGCTCCTCAATCCATTCCGTGATTTCCTTCAATGCAAGCGATTTCTCAAATGGTTCCTGCTTCTTGGGGGTGCTTGCACCGTCCACAGGACTTCCAGTTTCGCTTTCTGTCATGGATTTTCCATGACGAGTCCAGGCATTGAGGTAATCGTATTTCTGTAAGAGTTCCAGGAAATCCAGATTCTCCTGAACGGTAATGGACGACTCTTGCTGTACGCCCTGATAGCTGGGCGAAGCAGATGTTGGACTCTTGTTGACTGCTCTGTAATCCGCAGGACTAGAGGCGCGACTAGATGCCGTTAGTGGCGGAATCGAGCCACGTCGAGATTCGGATCCGGTGCGTGATAATACGGTTCCCCCGGTTGCGGTCCGACCAGCGTCACTGCCTTGGCGGCTGGAGGTCGCAGTCGCTGGCGGTGATTCCGAGTGAGGAAGTGTCAGGTCATCGAATCGAGGCGTAGGGGCGACAGAGGACCGATGGTTGGTCGAGATGCCATTGACGCCATGCGAAGGACTGGTCTGCGGGTTGGGCAGAGGAATACCAGCCGCAGCTGCCGCAGCATGTGAAATCATGATCCATTCGCTGCCATTATATATGGGGAAGTAACCGGGAGGGATCTTGAGGACACTGGCCTGTGTGCCATCAGATTCGGACCGACTCATCGGCACGTGGCTGTGGGTGAATCCGCCATCTCCAAGATAAGGTGTCGCTGGCGCAGGCTGCGGTTGAAATGGCTGAGGTTGGAATTGCTGCTGGAAATGCTGCTGCTGCTGCTGTTGCTTCTGAGGATGGAATGCTGGCGTGTGAAGCTGGTTTTGCTGTAGGACCCGTTGGCGAGTGGGCTGGGGAGCAACCACGGGGGTTCCTGCAAGACCCATCTGCGTCGAGAGTGGGCGTCCAATTCGCTGTTGCTGCTGGTAGTGGTGCTGTTGCTGCTGTTGCTGGCTGGGAAGATAAGGCAATGATGAAGACGTAAAAGAACCAAAGGCCGCGTCCTGTTGTCCATCTGGTCCAAAAAACGACTGCACCGGTTCTGACTGGCCAAGAAAGAGCGTCTGGGGTATAGTGATGGGGGTTTGTTCAGAACGCGGCGAGAGTTGGTTTTGAAAGGACCACTGTCCTCCGCTACTACTTCGGCTGCTGTCAGGGGTGCTATGGTTCGCTATGCGCGCACTAGTAAGTGATGCAATGTTGACTGATTGAGAATACTGCAATTGCTGTTGTTGTTGCTGTTGTTGTTGCTGATTACCACTGGTTGCGCTCATAGGTGAGACATTGTCCTGGTAACCATGGCCCTGACCAAATGTGGGCTGAGTACCTAGTGCGAAGCCTACAGGTGACAGTCTTCCGCTAGAGTAACCACTTCCGCCAGGGTTGTTGAATGGAGGCGGAGAAGAATGGACATTCGATCGGCTTGGACTCGGAGTTCTCGAGAAGCGATGGTTGTTGAATCCTGCATTGTTGCTGCTAGACGCCACAGCTGTCCCTAGTTGGATCGAGCCAGGCGTCTCTGGCTGTTGAGTCGGTGTCTGGTATCCTGAAGAAGTGCCAGTCGTAGGTAGGTGCGGAAACGCTCCTGCAGTGAACACGTTAGCACTCTGGCGAGTGGAGTGTTGGTTCTGGCGAGCGGGGAGAGGTCTATTTAAGGCACTTGAGACGAGAAACCCTCCCTGAAACTGGTTGTCCAACGCCTGTTGCATTTGCTGCATCTGTTGCTGTTGCTGCTGAAGTGATATGCCACGCTGGGGCAGAGGAAACTGGTTCGGGTTGAATGCCTGCTGGTGGTGCTGAGAGTGGTGGTGCTGGTGATATTGCTGCTGCTGCTGCTGTTGGCGAGGCAACGAACCCGATAGCTGGGGCTCCATTGGGGGTCTTGTCCCAAGGGTCCTGACCCGAGCCTATCCTGTATAGGAGCGTACTGCTTGCAACGCGTCACAGACGGAAGACGCCGTCCTTTTGAGAAGGAAGGCAGGAAATAAGAGATCGAGGCGGATGAAAAAGGAGTTGATGAGAGGATGAAAAAGGAGTTGATGAGAGGAGGAAAAAAGAGGGAAGGAGGAAGAAGAAGAACAGAGGTGAAGAATGAGGAGGAGAAAGGAGGGGTGGAGTCTTGTCCTCTCTCTGGCCAAGGCGAGAAAGAAGAAAGAGGTGGTGGCAAATTCTTAATTTTTCTTTTTTTTCGTGTTGTTGTTTGTGGTGCCGCTTGCATCTCATTCAAGGATGGCTAGCCTGTGTATCTGAGCGATAAATCACGAAAACAGGCAGGCAAACCGTGCGGTGTCTGGCCCATATCCATTAGCATGTATTATCATATTGCCGTCCTCATGGATGCCAAGTCCGCGACTAGGAGCCGACACTAGGGTATCCAATAGGCTCCTTCTTTACTTCCTTGAAATGAATATGCTTTTTTCCCACATCACCCCACAAGGTATTTGATAGGGTGGGGCTTGGTGCGTAAACACAGTGACGGCTTTCCAACGCGTCCGCCGAGGATATAAAAAAGGGCGCTTTCTGTACCAGGCATAGGCATCAACACTCGTTACAACGATCGAGTAGTGGAGTCGCAGGAGCACTTTCATTTCAATTACCCTACACAGGACACAAGAGCGAGGAAGGAAAGGGTTCATCGATTTATCAACCTCTCGCTTCTTGGGATCGTCCTGTTTAATAGTATCAACACCAACCGCCACCCCGTTCCCTTCGACTATTAGTGAGCACTCGCGACGCACCTTTTCATTGGCCATCGACGACGAGTCCAGCATCACGGATCCCTTCACTCTCGTATTTGTTTCCTGAAACTCATTGGCTTGTAAATGTCATCACCAGTACCACTCAAGTCGTCCTCAGGGCGTCCACGAAATGCCTTTCCTTCCAACGCACGTATCCCGCTCGAATACTGCGATGGACCCACGCAACGCATGTATGCTGTTTCGGCCTTCGTATTCCTTCAGGCACTCAAACTGTACTACTGGCTCGGGATCGGGCGCTCAGACTACGCAGCAGAGTTCTTTGGATTCATCCTTTGGCTATCACTCGACGTCGCCTTTTTAATGGCTCTCAACTACCTCAGGATTCCATGGCTCGAGCTGCCAATCCTTAGGCTCATCATCGCGGTGTTTATGCTCACAATCGTCAACTTTGTCCTCTTCACAGCAAGAGAGGTAACGCTTGGAATCATGAAGACCATTACAGGAACAGAACCTATGGACTTGTAGTGTCGATATGGACATTGATTCTGTTGTACCTCGAATCTCATCTTTAGATATCACCAACAGCAATTGCGCGCTCCTCAGCATCTAAAGGTAACAGCAAGTCTGCAGCACGCGCGACATGACGATCAATGATCTGGACATGGGTCAGGATCTGGAATATTTGCGACTCAGACTGATGGTTTTGTATTTTCATCTACTCTCTGTTTTTCTAGTATGGGGCTACCTTGGCTCACCTTCCTTTTCAAGGAGAAGTGATCTGGCATATCGTAGTATGTATTCTCTTTCATTTCAATCTGAGCATATATTGATGTTTGACGAAGATGTTCGACGAAGAGAGGACTCACAATACCCATGTGTAATATAGATCAGGATGAACATTTGCTGGGACGGCACACAGTACTCATCAAGCCTTATAGGTACGTTGCAACCAATCTTGTTGTCTGTACTTCACTAATCTTGATAAATGCGACGTCTGATTAACTTCGATCTGGTTGTCACGACCTTAGCTCGGCAATTTTGAATCCAGACGACCAGTGCTTCTGTGTCCCAGACACAAACATCCCCGTTATCGAACAGCCCGAGATTCCAATACTGTTCAATGGAAGCGAACCACACTACCTTGAGTACTCAATTACATCCTTCGAGACAGGAAAAGCTGTGGTACACAAACTTTCAGGACCATTCAAAGAATCCAGCCCAGTACTGCATAAAGCACGATCCAACCAAGTAGAAGGAAAGACGGTATACAACCTTAGAGCAAGTACGGCAGGCTCATACAAGTTGCAAAGGATCCTGGATAAGGATCGCATGGATGTCCGATTTTATCATGATAAGGAGGTCTATGTCGTAAACTGTCCTGATGCGCGCATCGACCACTACAAGGACACACTGGAACGCTGTGCAGGGAAGGGCGATGTCGACATTCCAATCACCGTGCGCGGTTTGCCGCCATGGACCGTGACATACAAGCGCCATGCGCGCGAGAAAGCGTCTCATGAGTTGTTGATCGAATCAGAGCCTCCAGGATATTCGTCACCTCTACTCAAGGGATGGTCGCCACCTACGACACCGAATTACAACTGGGCAAAGCAGCATGAGATGAACCTGTCAGTCAGCCTCGGACTGTCGACTTCGGGCGAGTACACATTTCAGGTCATGAGAGTCAAGGATGGTTGCGGCAATGTTATTGATATTGATGGACTTGTCACAAGAAATTTTCGGGATGCAGAGATTCGTCGAGTCAACATTCGCGACCGGCCCGTAGTCTCGATGATGTGCGATCCTCGACGACCCATCAAGATTGTGGATATGGGGGATTCACCATCAGCCCCGATCGATCTGAATATCACGCATGGATCTGCACCCTTCCAGGTCAGCTATGTTTATCAGAAGAGTGACTTGGACGAGCCTCAGGCCATGAAGGATGTCCAGGTGACCAAGGACCATCGCATAGCTCGGATATCTGCCAAACAGCCCGGCCTGTACACTCTCACGCACATCAAGGACGCCTACTGCGAGGGGGAGATTGAGCTACCAAGAGATTGCTCTGTCATTATGGCCACACTTCCAACCGTCGATGTTATCTCTCACCCCATCAACGACTCCTGTGTCGGCGCTATTGGGGTCACGGTTGATGCCACATTCACAGGCGAGGGTCCATGGGAGGTCTGCTTCGATGTCAACCGTAATGGTCACCCTAGGTCAAGAAATGTATGCCATTCGTCCCCCAAGCCCCGTCTGAACTTGGAGCTCAAGCCAGAAGTATCGGGCAGCTTTCAATACAACTTCAGGACCGTCAGCGACAAGAACTACAATAACATCAAAGTCGACCTCCCACCCATCTTCCAGAACATTCATCCTCAGCCATCTGCGGCCTTTGTGGGAGGCCGAACAGGCTTGAAGACTTGTCGCGGAGCTTCAGAGAAGTTGGATGTTGAGCTCTTTGGAACTGGACCATGGGACATTGAGTACCGTGTGATTCGGGGCACGGACATCAAGCTCTTTACAGAACGGAACATCACTAAAAAGATCGCCACGTTGACATTATCACCATTCGAACGCGAAGGCATCTATTCAGTGGACCTTGGAAAGGTCACTGACTTGGCAAACGGATGTCAAAAGAACCTCAAGGTATCTGATGTCGCTATCGAGGTATCGAATGGACCGCCTACAGCCTCATTTCAGTGCGAAACGGCCATCGAGTTTGCGGAGGGAGAGTCCGTCGATCTTCCAATTCATCTGACAGGAGGAACCCCATGGTACTTGACCTATGGCATTGAAGGCCAGGAACCGTTGATCGCCGCCATTTCAGAGTCCAGAAATGCATTAGTGACGGTGAACAAACCCGGTGTGTATGAGCTCAAGTCCGTCAGCGACTCTTTCTGCGAGGGCGAAGTCGTGGAGCAGGCTCGCAGATGTGAGGTCGTCTACAGCAAGCGGCCAACCATGAACTTGATGATTGATTCGATCCGCTTCCGCGGGGGTCCTCGTGAGAACGTACCTGAGGGCGAGATTGCTCCATCTGAGAAAATCTCGAGAGAGGATGGCCACTTTGTCTTGCCTGCGGTGTGTAAGGATGCTGACCGGACACTGGAGTTACGATTGACAGGAAAAGCACCCTTTGAGCTCCGTTACAGAAGAGTATTCAAGCCAGCCAAGGGAGGCAAAGAGGAGATCAGGATACTTGACGAGAAATCGCAGCACTCGACTATGCGACTTCCTATCATGACCGAGCAAGCAGGAACGGTTTCCTATCACTTTGAGACGCTCTCTGATGCAACATACCATAATGTCGATGTCCGTCACGAGAAGCATGCAGTTGTGTTTAAACACACTATTCGATCTCCACCCACGGCCACGCTAGTCAACACAGCCAAGCAATTCTACTGCAAGAACGAGATTACAGGCGTCAAGGAGAAGATTGCGATCAAGATTCAGGATGGCGTCGGGCCCTACTCCTTGGCGATCGAAATTATGCGGCCCAACCAGGCTGTGGCGGAGAAGCTGTTCGAGCACGACGTTGTCCCGCGTAATGGAATCTATGAATGGACACTGCCTGCCAAGTTTACGGATATGGGACTGTACAAGGTCTCCGTCCTCCGCGTTACGGATGTTAATGGATGTTCTGCAGGCGTCGCCAGTACTGTCGAATTTGATATCCTGGACACTCCCAGTATTACGCCACTGCGCTCGATCACGGATGCTTGTGTCGGCGACAGAATCGAGTACTCCGTGCAGGGAGAAGCACCACCGTACGCTTTTTTACTTTCTTCATCGTTGCAATGAGTGGGTTTGCACTTGTAGGCTTAATGCATGCAAGAATCCGCGACTAACCTTCTATTGTTGTAAACCTGTGAAACTATAGATTCAAGGTGTACTACAGCGTTGACCAGACGAATCACACCGCAACTCTTGACAACAAGCAACGCACATTCTCCTACGAAGCCCACAAGTCGGGTTTGTTCAGGATCAACAGGGTCTGCCAAACGCTTTCCAAGAAGCAATGTTGTACACAACCTATGGAAGAGATGACCACGATGGTCTGGGCGATCCCGACGGTAAAGGTCGCGGATGGAACGAATTTCATTACGGATCTGCGCGAAGGTGATCGAGCCGAGGTCGTGGCGACATTTGTGGGCGAGGCGCCGTTCTCGTGGAGTTATGTTCGTACAGAGGCGGTGTATGATAAGGAGCATCACGCTAAACATGGTAAGCGGCCGAGTACCTTGGAGAAGAGAACTGTCAAGGATATCCATGATCACAAGTATGCATTCTTTACGGCTACTGAAGGTAAGATCACACTTGCAGAGATGTTTTGAATTTTCCCGTCGCCTGCAAAGGTCGAAGACGGCTAACTCGTTTCGTTTTCAACACTCTTCATCAACATTGTAGGCACCATCGTGCCGGTATGGATCAAGGACAAACATTGTCAGTTTGGAAAGGAGCTTTAGAATAGGATGGTCGGCATGAAATCCATAATAAATATTTGCAAGTAGATTTTCTTTACTTATGGACCCATGGACGTGCTCTATGAAGAATTGAGTATCAGGGTCTACTTGGCGAGACCGAGATCTTTTGCGATCATGGCAGCCGCAATAGGATGGTAAAAGGATTTGTGAGTTAGGAACGTCTCCCTCGCTAGATCGGCGCCATTCTTGGCCTTGTATAATGATCTATATTCATAAGATCGATTAAAACTGTCTTAACGAGCGCGTCATTTTGCAGTAAAAAGTAATAGTAACAGTAACGCAACTGTTCATTTACCTGAGAAGAGGCCTCGCCATTTTCATTCGACCCATAGACGATGCAAAGGCGGTTACTTCAGGATAGATCTTTTCATAGTCCGCTTTGAGACACAACAGATGCCAGCGCAACCGGATCTCCGAATTGCGGACCGTCGTCAATCGATACAGGCGGTCCATCTCATCCAGATGTTTATGGGGCAAAGGTTCGAGTTCAGACATCTTCTCCAGGAATACGACCGTTTGGGTCGAAGAAAACTTAGCAATGTCCTCAGGCGCGAATCCAGAGGGATGGGTATCATGACGCGAGCTATCCCACTTTTTGCAGAGACAAGTGCATGCCTTCGCCAGTGTGTCATCAAACCTGTTATCGAATGGTGGCTGTATCATATTGCAGATTAAGCAAAGGGATATCGGTCAGTATACAGCCTACTGGCGTACCATGAGGCAAACAACTCTTGGAGAAGTCGAGGGTTTTTGTGTTACCATGCCTGTGCCAACGAGCCAAGTATCCCAGTCAACCTTATTCAGGAGATCGACTTTCTCCTGTCCAAAGGTTTTCTCCATAAACGAATATAAGAACGCCTTCCAGTCATCAGTGTTGATGGACCGGCCTGCAAACTCCTGAACATGAGCTCTCAGATAAGGCTCAAAGACCTCTGGACCTCCCAAATGCTTCTCCAGATAGTATAACAGATTGAATCCCTTCTCTACAAATCATAGCCATAAAGAATATCACGTGATTAGATAGAATCGTAAAACAAGTCCAGCATGTTGTAAAACACATTTCTTCGTTCATTTTCATACCATAGGGAACGCGCGAGAAGGCATCATCTGGGTCCTCGCCACGTAGGCAGGGGCGGAGAGCGGTAAAGGGATGCTCTTTGCCGTACAAGTCAACACTCTCCTGAAGCGCCTTGTATCCAAGAATGGCACTGAATTCGCTATGTTCCTTGCCCTTCATGCGACCCAGGATCTTACGTTCCACGAACACAGTGAACCCTTCGTTTAACCTGTAAAGCAATAGAAAAGACGATCAGACATCATACTCCTCAAGCACCCTGTATGGATATACACAAGCATTTTCGTCTTACCAAAAGTGTTCCCAGTTCTCAGTCGTGACCAAGTTACCCATCCAGCTGTGCGCTATCTCATGTGCCACCACATCCACAAGGGATCTGTCTCCAGCCAGAAGCGAAGGAGTCACAAACGTTAGGCATGGATTCTCCATACCGCCATACGGAAACGAGGCCGGCAAGACCAGCAGATCGTAACGACCCCAATCATACGGTGTCAACAACTCCTCTCCTGTACGAATAAAGTTTTCGGTATCAACAAATTCCCACGCCGCTGCTTCCATCACCTCAGGCTCCGTCCACACCGTTGACCGTGGTCCAATCTCGCGACTCTCCAAATTTCCCACGGCCAGCGCAATCAAATACGATGGCACACGTTGACACTGCTCAAATTTGAATGTCGTCGTTCCGTTCTTATGCTTGTCTTCTCCCTTAGGAACCGCCGACATGACTGCTCGAAGCGGTGCCGTAATATCTGCAGTGTATGTCAACTTCATCGACGGACTATCCTGACACGGCAGAAGAGAACGAGCGTGGATGGCCTGGCATTGTGTGAAGAGGTAAGGGTGCTTTTTGCCGACTGTTTGGCTGGGCTCCAGCCATTGACAAGCCGTGCATTCCTGAGTGGTGGCATACTCAATCGTGACCTTTGTCGATTCGTTCTTTGCGAGGGGCTTGGCGAGCTCAATTGAAAGCGCAGAACCGTACTTTTCGTGGCGCTTCTCCAAGTTGAACTAAGGGATGCAAGTGATGGGATGCATGAATTAGATGTAGAAAGGGACAGTTACATTCATTAACACAATGGATAAAGTATGAAACAAATTGGATGTCCATCTTACCTTGAGTACATGGCCCTGCGTCGAGACCGAGCGAACGTCAATGTAGCTTGTGTCAAGCACCACCTTGGAGACATTACTAGTAATGGCCTCAAGCTCGAGCTCCACAGAACCTGTCAGCGCCTTGGCAGCAAAGTCGACTGTGAGCGCAAGGTGAATATGGTTGGTCCTAATCTCGTCGAGATTCGACTGCGATGTCGGGTCGTATGGCATGATGAGCTTGGTGTTGATGAAAGAAACAGTTCCGCGCGATAAAGTGCCTGTGGGAATCTTTTACGAAAAGCACGACCAATGGGACGACAGCCTCAATTTACCCGTGAGAATGTAAAAAAAAGAGGGGCTGTTTTGAAAGTTTATTTCATTGATTCAATGATACCTCTCTTTACTCTGTGCTTGCGGACGGTCTTTGTGGCCTTCTTCGAGCTCCTTTCATTTAGCTGAGGTCCATGGCCTCGCTCTTAAAGTTACTTGAGTAAAGATCGTCGCGGCTTTCGCTCTCGGCAATATACTGGTTCAGGTCGTACGCGTTGGGCCCGGCCCTGACCTCGTGCAAGAACTGTGTAAACTTGGGCGTTAAGGCAGGATCCGCAAGCTTGGACAGGAACGCAATTGCGCGAAGTGCTGATCGTACGAGCTCCTGGTTCTTCTCCAACTCTTGCTTCACAGCTGTCGGCTTCAGCTTGTAGTTGAGTGTAGTCTGCAAAGGCTCAACCATATCATCCAATCCTACAAACAGTAGAAAAATGGACCAGATTAATACACATGCGCAGGTAAAAAGATGTGATATCATTTTCTATAAGTATCGTTGAGCGCGACTTACTTTGTGCAACGGCAGTAGGCGAAACAATTGACAAGCGTACGAGCGTTAGGTGGCAGAGCATCTTGATATCTGGCTGATCGGTAAGACCAACAAGAATGCGGTCGATAAATGCAAAAATCTCCACCTTATCCCTGCATTTCTCCAAAAGTGTATACATGCACTCGAAGGCACTTTTTCGGATCTCGAGACCATCATCAACTCTGTGCTTGAATGGCCCCATCTCCACGATATGAATCAGTTCCTCCACCACATTCGTCTCTTGGTAGAGCAGAGGCAACAACTGGCTCAAGACATCGCGGATCAGGTAAGGCTTGTTGTGTGCGGCAGAATCCAAGGTTGAAAGCGAGAGGCGACGGACGTTCAGATCCTGGTCCTTCATCAGAGACAGGAATTCGACAATGAGTGGTCGAAGGAGTTCATCGTAACTGCGAGTGTTATCGATGAAAGTGTACTTGAATGCGGAGACGACAGTTCCACGGATCTGGGGGGACTCTGATCTCAAACGAGCCTGGAGTTCCGGCAAGAACTTGTACGGATTGGTCAGAGTAAGTTTTCCAAGACACTCGGCAACAACATTGCGGGTGCCCTCCTCCTGGCTCTCGCAGTTGTCGAACAGCAGAATCCAGATCTCCGACGCATGTGCTTCCAACTCCTGGCCACCTTGCTTCTGGGTGTAGCGCGTGATGACTTCCTTAAGCGCGTGCAAAAGGAGATAGCGCTTCTTGGGATCCTTCTGGATCTCCTGGATGACGATGGGGACATAAAAGCTCACGTTGCCTGCGCTCACATTACCAATAGCGAATGCAGCCGCAGATCGAATCTCTTCCGAGTGAACATTGAACATGGCTAAAATTGACGTATGAAGCGTAGCATGACCATTCAGAGAGACACGACGACCAATTTCTCCCAGAGTGATCAAGGATAGGTATTTGAGCGAATCGGGCGTATGAGGAGCCTCAATCTTGTTCACAAATTCGGCCACTGTCATCTCCATGTTCTTGTCAGAGTTGAGGCAAAGGATGGCGATGCACTGCGCGATTGTCGAGAACGCCTGCTTGGAAAGAGCAAGCTGGCCCTCAGGGGTAGGGGCAGTGGCAGGCTCGACAAGACCGCTGACCAAACCTGGGAATTCCTTATCGTTGGTGCGTACAAGGGCTGCAAACAAGGCCAAAAGACTGTCCAACGCTTGCCCCTGGATCAATGGCGACCTGACGAGTCTGAGAACCGAGGGCAGAATCTCCTGCTTAACAACGTTAATACTAGATGGATTGGCGTGCAGAATCGTCACGACAGACGTCAAGCCGAGGGGCAAGAGATGAAGATCCTCGTCTGTGATCAATGGCTTCAGCTCGCTGAGCAGTTCATCGTAAGTCTGAACAGATAAAACTTTTCCAAATCTAATACAGTGATGGCAGTAATGGTGATTGATATCCGTTCATGATAAGCAATTGTCTCTGGAACGACAAAGCAGACAACATACACAGATGAGCACATCACTATATACATACCGACGAATGGCGACATCCAAAAAGTGAAGGCTGGCGACCTTGAGGGGCCTGTTACTCTTTCTCAAGAGAGACGCAACTTCGGGGACAGCTTGAAGAATAGAGGCCTTGATATCAGCGTCGGCACAGACAGGGCTTTCGACGATCTGTGACAAGGTTTTCACAGCCATCAAGCGCGTGAGCTCATTTTGAAGCTTCTCCAGTAAGAGTGGCAAGCAGGCAACCAGCTCCTCCTTGAGCTCATCGCCGACGCGCGACAAGAGAACGCCCAAGCAAAGAATACTACGCTCCTTCACTTCCTGGTCGGCATCGGCAGTCGAAACACGCTGTAAGATCACCTTGTAGATCTGGAGAATATAAGGCTTGGCGGAGGGGTCCAAGGAGGTGTAGGAATACTTCTGGGCATCTTCGTCAAAGTCCATGTGACGAACGATCTTGATGAGTTCCATACAGCAAACCAGTGCCTCTGAAGAGATCTTGTAGAACTTGTCCTGAATAGCCGAGATGACTGGCGGACAGAGCTGGTCAAGATGCTTCTGGAATACTTCCGGGGCATGCGTACGGAAAAGGCTGCGTAAGAATCCAAGTGCCTCGATTTTTAAATTGGAATTGGTGCCCAAGTGATGGTGATCGTTTTGCGAAGCGGTCGAAAGCGACTGCTGGATGGACGGGACAAAGAGCATATATGAGGCTTCTAGACCACCCTTCAAAACCGTGACGAGCTCCTTGAGAAGAATGTATCCAGAAACGCGTGTCTGCACAGACTTAGAGACCATCTGCTTGGCCAAGTTCTTGGTTAATCGTGGCACTTGACTGCGCAAAAGAGTCTTGGGACTAAATTCAATAAGAATAGGATGTTGGTTAAAGAACATTAACCCTAGACACAATGTAAACGACTGCTCTTGTCTGATAATCCAAAGTCATACCTCTGGTCAGTCTCAATAGGAGTTCCAGGGCGACTTCCCTTACGCCTCTTTGTAAGGGTTTCGAGATTTACATCGATCTCATATTCTGCACCGCCGTACGTGTTGGTCTGGCGAAGGAGAGTAATAAATGTCTGCAGGATCTCCACGCGCACAGTTTCCTCGCGTTCCTTGAAACGGCTGATCAGTGAGGGTGCAATGGTGGCGTACAGCTGTCCAAGCAAGTCCTGGCGGGTGCCGATAATGGCAGAGAGCAACTTGGCAGATGTACGACGAACCTTCCAAGACATGTCATCATCATCCGAATAGTCGCTATTTTGTTCAATTACGAGGTAGTTAGTCGACCATGAACGATATTAGAAAGCCCAATCCCAATCTTGGAGAACAGACATACCCATCATCATCCTCGTCCTCGTCGTCCTCATTGTCGCTGTCCATGTTCTCATCCTCATCGTCATCAATGTCGTCTCCATCGTCATAGTTGGGATCGTAACGAAGGAACTTTAGGCTGAGATCAATGATGGTATCAATATATAAGGAGATTTCGGTGGGGCAGCGCAGAACGAATGCCTCCAGAGCCTGAAGAGCGTTCTCACGCAGCTCATCGTCATCCAGTTCGGTGTATTTGATGACTGAAGGAGCGACGCCAGACAGGAACTTGCCGAAGCGCGGCGCATTGGAGCGACTAAATTTTGGAAATAAAAAAAATCGTTCAGTGGCGTTAAAAATGGGGGCGCAGCATGGTGAAAGCACTATGTACGAATGGGGCAGGAGATGTCACACCAAAGACGCGTACCTGATTGTGCCAGTGACCTGAATGTAGGTTCGAAGGCGGTCGGGCGAATTTTTAGAGGTTTCTAATCCGTTGAGGATCTTCTTCAAGAGGTCCTCAAAGATATCGTCTGGCACATGGGCCACGAGGTGACCAATAGCCAAGGTGGCTCTCTTGCGCAAGGCTGGGCGAGAATGACCCAAGAGAGTGAACAATGTGTTTGCAGTCTGCTTCTGGAGGTTGGTGGTGGCGAGAATGTTGCCGAATCTGAGAAGTACCTCGCTGAGAATATCCAATGCGTCCATCTGGGCATCATAACTCGAGTTGGACTAACAGTTGAACATTGAGAATATGTGGCGATTTAGTATTATATGAGTACAGAAAAATATCTCATTGGCTTTTGAAGATTCATACGACGCTACTCACACTCTCAAGCTGTGACAAAAGCCGAGGCACTAGACGCTTGCAGACATTGACTGCAACCACCGAGTTCACAGGCACTTGAACAATGACCGTCTTGAGACCGATGCTGGCAATCTCACGCAAGTCCTCCTTATCCTGGGATACATATGCGCACAGGTTATCGACAATCTGCTGTAGCTGTGCCTCCTGAACTTTTTTTACAAGAGACCCAAGGCTGGTTTTTTGAGCCTCATGTTAGTATTTCTTACTGCACCAAAGAAATGCTCACATTTGCCACCATGCTTCTATAAGTGCGTGGACCCTGTATCAACGACCCAACATAGGAAACAACTTACCACTTCACTGCCTGGTTTTGTACCTCTCCGTTTTTGTCTTTCATCAAGACTAGAACTTTATCCACGACTTTCTTTTCTGTCGATTCTTCGAGCTGAAAGGTAGGGCTCTGGAGCTCTGTAATGAGATCATTCAAGGCCATGAATCGAAAGTCCGTGTCGTCGGAACCCATCTATATTGTGACACGCATGGGTAAGCAAGTTGGAAACGCATGCTGAAGAAGGGGACAGGAACATTCGTGTCGTGAATCGTGCCGAAGGCGTGGGTACAGCGCAAAATAAAGAGAGAGCGCGAGTCGTGAGTACCTTCTCCAGCAGGGACGCGACTAGGTAGGCACTTGTGTTTGCAACCATGGCGAGGAATTAGTAGCAGTGACAGGGAGAAGGGGGGAACGGTGATGGAATAACGAATGGGTGGGTGAGAAGGAGGGGGAAAAAAAGTAGAGAACGTGAGGCAGTGTGGGCTTCGGTGCAAAGCAAATGGTGGCGGAAAAGTCTACTTTTTTTCCAGCAGGGTGACGTCTCTTCCCTCGCCGCATACAGTGTACGTACGAATGCCTTCGCCCAAAAAGTGCGCAACATACACCGCCTCCAGGAAGTTCTCTTCCTCGTTCTCCTATCAACAGACGTACTCTCTTCGCTTCTTCTTATTCTAACTTCCTTTCCTTGCCAACACACTTGGTGCAGCTTCGTCCAGTAAAAAATTACTGACCTCTGCCGACCATTCACGATACACACATGTACATCGCTCCAAGTGACAGCAATACTCAGGAACATGGGCCCCTGGTCACCGCCCTCAGTCTCGCTCCAAAGGGAGTGACACCCCCGCGCTGGATCGTCGATCAGGCTTTTCACGATATCGGCCTCATGCCTCACGCACACGTCTTCTACATGAATCCGAACGAAGGGGCGGACAGTGAGGAACCCACGAATATCTCCTGCCAAACCTGCTTCAAGCAATACAGCATTAGCATCACCGGGGGAAGTATCTGTAGTGGAGTACTGCACCACTTACACACCAGGTTTGAGACTGACGCAGTGGTCGCAGTGTGCTGCCATTGTGGATTAACGGTCCATGCAGCTCTGGAACAACCTGTAATACCACCGAGCATGATCTATCGGATCCGAACAGCAAGAAAGCCTCGGTCTACCAACCCTGCGGCACCACAATTTCAGGACACTATCTTAATGCTGATCAGGATCTTGCTGAACGCAGCAAAGCCAGATGCTGCTCCCAGCATTAACACCGAGTCGACTGCCTTCAAGAATAAGATCAGTCTGGACAGCGCCAGGTACGAAGACTTGAGTGGACCTAACGACGGGAAGCAGTCGGGACATATTTGACAAGTGTGGTAATTGACCCTTTCCGCTTTCGTTCCCACACATGTTGCTGTTAGCAACGAGTTTTTCACACACGCCCGATTCACATTGATCGATGGACGCTTCCATGTTCCTGAGCCGACGTCTGACAACGTACAATTCCTGAAGCGTTGTGCATTTCAACTGCAGATGATGCTCTTGGAAGAAAATCCATCGTTACTGACGGGTAATTGCGGTGGTAATGCTTTGCGATCAAAATTCACTGGCTTCTATATCTTTTACAGATTTCTAACGAACGACTCGACGTATTCATGTTCGTTTGAACCTGATAGATCCTATTTTTCCGGCATACGCTTCCATACTCGAAAGGATGGGTTGCGCGAACTGTAAGCACATCACTTTAATGCTTTAATGCTTTAATGCTATGTTTTCCTGAGAACGCCAATTTGACACTTCTCACATTTAGACGAACGCAATCCAAACTCGAAGATTTTGAATCTATCCGAAAAGTCGACCCTAATGTCCGAGCAACACTCGGCTCTTGGCAAGCTGGGCTGTCTCACGGACATGAGTGACAATATTGTCATTGATGCTTTCCAGACCCAAGTCGCGCACGATGTCACAGTGGCCCATCCTTTGGTCGACCTGCTGCAGGAGGCTCAAAAACAGAGGAAGAGCGAGCAATTGGGCATTGAGATTGCATGTCAACGATCCGAGGGCGTTGTTACTACAGCTGAGCTTGGGAAGGCTTACCGAGACTTTGAGATTCCAAACAACGGCGAGGGCATTAACAACGATGTTTTGGTGGGTTTAATCCGCGGGTCACTCGTGCCGGGGTCAAAAGAAAGTATTAGAATTATCTCCAAGGCAAGGAACGACAGTTCCATCTATGAGCTCCTCGAACAACCATCAATGATTGTGCCTCAGGAGGAGGATCCTTTTCTCGACATATTTTATGCACAAAATCCGGTCGGGCTTTCCAACATTGGCAACACATGCTATCTCAACTCGTTGTTACAATACATCTATACGATCAAGGAGATTCGGGAGACAGTGATGGAAATGGAGGCGCATGTTGAGAACGAGGATGATAACAATTGGAAGGAAAAGGCCATCGATGGTCGCATTTTGAATCGACGGGACGTTAAGGAGGCAAAAGAGAGTGAGTGCCATGACTTGAGGATGGCTATCTGTATAAATTGAAGACAGGTCTTCGATGCTAATAATGATTCATCCGGCCCTTTTAATATCTGAGTAGTTGTTCGAGAGCTAAGACGGCTGTTCTCTTCCATGAGGTCCTCCAGAGCAAGATCTGTTACACCCTCGGACAGGTTGGTGGAACTGCTTCTTTCGACTGGAAAGGATGGACAGACAGACTCTAATGTCTCGCGCAAACCGAATCAGTCCTTTGAACAGCAGGATGTATCAGGTACATACTTATGCGGATAGCGCGACTTGTGCCTCCTACTTTCCTCATATTCAGTATGCTAATGCTGTGCTCACCTCACATGTGCTATAGAAACAATGTCCATTTTGATGTATCGCCTTAGTACCGCTTTCAAGCCAATCTTGTCCGAATCAGAGATGAAGCCAGTGGATCGATTCAACAAGTGAGTTAAGAAGCCATTCAACCACTATCTTCATCTCGTGTATTAATACGCAAGATACTCATATGACTTATCTTGTTCTTCGCGATCCTAAGCATGTTTTATGTTAAGGCGAACAGAAAGGCCGTGGAGACAAACGAGGCTACGGGTGTGAAGGAGACGCGTCTTATTCCAGAAGATTTCAGTACCCTTATGCTGAATGTTGAAGAAGACATGACTATGGAGGAACTTATCGATGATTACTTTGATCCAGGCGGGCCTGGATTGGATACCAACCATCAAGATGACCCACCCAACAGTGGCGACTCAACAACACAGCACGACCGCGATATTACTGTGACAGACTTACCGCCAATTCTGCAGGTTCACTTGATGAGGACTCAATTTAACCGGGAAGAAAAGATATCGTACAAGTCAAACGCGATAGTGTCGATTCCGAAACGGGTATTCTTGGATCAGTATTTGGAGTCAAATCAAGAAGGAAACGCAGATCGGATCAAGCGGATGAAATTACTAAAGAAGGATCGGCGACAGTGTCGACGGGCTCTTTCGAATATTAAGCAAAAACTCAAGGTAATGATCTCGACGCAACGGTGACCTAGTTGCTGCTATGGCTACTTATTATTTTACATTGAAAATGACGCTGCATAGGAACGAGCCTCCCTCGGAAATACAGCACCCAGTATAGCGACCCCAGGGGGTACTCCCAGCGCAGCAAACGAAGTAGCGTCATCCGCTAATGATACTTCATACAGCCCACGAGAGAGCACCGCTGTTGCAAACGCGAGTCTGTCCAACAGGCAACTGGACATTACTGATTCTACAGTGGACTCGGCTCTTGACATGGAAGAAGCTGGTAGGTTTTTGTGCTCCGAGTACTGCGCACTCGCTTATGTCCAATTATATCTTTGTTACTTGATACGCCAACATCGCTTTTTCTTATGTGTAGACCAATTAGTGAAAGTAATGGACATTTCAGCAAAGCTTCAGAGCGAAGTAGCAGATCTAAATCAAACAGAGTACAAAATTCACGCGGTCTTCCATCATCACGGCGGCGCCGAATATGGCCACTACTGGGTCTACATTTTAGATGACCAATCTGACGAGCCACGATGGTTTAAATACAGCGACGACGTTGTGTCAGAAGTTGGACCGGTAAGTGCCCCGAATTGGTTCGAGTTCCCTCTGTTAAATTGTCGCTTATCCTCTACTGGAATTTTCTAAGCATGACTATCTACCTTAACTGTATGTTCATCAGGCGCAGGAAAGCGAGGTCTTCAACGGTGATCAAGGATCAACCGTATGTTTCTGCGTTTACGTGCGCTCCGGCTCTGATGCGGTGCAAACTGTGTGGAGATCGATCCCATAAACATTCGCCAACTACTACATACATGGTTAGTGAAGATGACAAAAGGAGTCTTACAAACACTACCTGACTTCAGCAACCTTTTCCTTTTATCTAAAAGAAAATAAGACAGAGTTGCTGGATAATTTTTAATAACATTCCGCTGGCTCAATTTGACCCTGAAGAATAAAATCTGATGTAGAAATAGCTGTAGAATTTTGCCTCAATGAACGGTAAAAGCCAACATTCGAACAACCAAGCTGTTGTCGATATCCGAACGGAGAGAAAAGACAAGGTTCGTGTAAAGTTGGGCGCTAAACAAGAGGTGGATCCCAGGATCCATGACTGGGCAAATATTTAAAAGATAGTGGGGCCATTGTTATCCATACCGTGTCCCAAGCTCCAGTCTACAACTCAATAAACCGTGTTCGTTTTTCCTTCTTTGGATACATGTCGCGCTAATTATCCTCTTGGAGATGAAGTTTCCAGAGGAAGGCAACTGGGAATAATGTAGTTCTTTGCTTTGGCCTGGGTTAATTCAACACTCAAACCGGACTAGCATCAAGCACTCAGCGTATGAAAAACGACTTGTCATCAGAGTAAGTCCTAATGCGTGCTTTGTGTTGCTGTTCCAAAGAGGATGAAGGTCTAATGTACACTCCCGTATTTGTATGTCGTGCTGGGCGCACACGAATATTATACAAGCGCAAAATGTCCCCGTCTGGACTGTAGCCAGTTCCTGGTCAAGCTGCCGTTTCGTTCAAATATTGTCCCGGATACCATGTACTGTTCGATCGCGATGCAGTGGAGAGCGAGAGCATAGCCCGCGTATGCCAAGCGCAGCTACAGGATCAGAAGAGGCCGACAAATACAAAGGCCAGAAGCGTCAAACGCCAGCAGACCCCGGCCCATCAGTCACCACATACAAATTACAGTAGGAGCCGCGAGGACATCGCTAGAGCAACACGATTTATTGGGTTTGAAAGCTCCATGAACAATTTGTAAGTTACAGCCATTCTGTCTTTGCTTGCTTTGCTTGTTGTATTAATGATATGCGTATTCCTCTGAAATGGACGCAGATGCTACTAGTATAACAATAATAAAACACTTTTTCATGTTGTTTTAGGCGCTTGCAATGCTTCCATTCAATGTGAACCACTGACTTCTGCACTCAACTGCTTCACGTCTAACAAGTCGCTTGCGATCATCCAGGGACTTTTCCAGCTCCTTCAAAACCTGTGCCTTGTAAGGTCGAAGGGCAGGGAAGGGTAGCGATTTGGGCAGAGCGGCCAAGCACCTGAGTGCTGCGATCCTGACCTTCATAGTATTGGCAGGATCTGAGGTATTCGTCAAGCTAATCAGAAGTGGTGCCAGCGTCGCCAAATGATCTGCCATCAATCCTGGTGCATCCTTGGTGATAATCTGGAAGGTTTCAATGGTCGAGGCCTTGAGATTAGGGTCTGGGAAGGATAGTGAGTGGACCAGCATTGGCAACAGCTAAAAAAAAAAAAAAAAAAAAAAGGGACAGTGGGAATGAACAGCGTTAAGCATATGATCTAAAGGCTGAGAAGGGAAAAAGCAGAAGCTGAATACTTACAGGTGGAAGTTCAGTCAGCAACACTTGCTTGGGAATATTTCGGAGGACGTGCGAGAGTGCCACCAAGAAATTATGGCGCACTTCATCGGCCGAGTTCTCAAAGCCCTTGACCAGCACAGGGATGCAGTGGTTGAAGAACCGTTGCTTGTACAAAAGCTGCATGTGACACCATAGAATTGGGTTGACAATTAGATTCAAGTTCATTAGCAAATATCACTAGGATGCGCAGCAGTGATAACCATACCCGAATCACAGCAAAGGTTTCCTTTGTCAAGACATCCCGCTGTTCGCCAATGACCACGTTAAATCCGTCGGCAGCAATCTTGCCAAGACGGGGCGCCGAAAACACATTCATCAGCTCTCCTGCCATGTCATATCCAATTGCGTTCGTACTCAGCACCATGGCCTTGGTGATCCAAATGTACATGGTCAGTGCAGCCTCCCTCTCTTCATACGAAGTCTGCTCCTGACGAATCCTGCTATGTAACTCCGGAATCAATGTGTGGCTAATAAATTCCTGCAATACATTGCCCTTGTTAAACTTGTTCAGGATGGTAGCCGCAGATTTTGAGAGAGCTGTGCGCTGGGTGGCGTTGGGTGTTCTGATAGCAACCTCCACCAATAACCCAATGAAATGCTGCAAGTTTTCGACGGGAATAGTGGTCTACAATTTTGGTATAGTAGATGGTGTGAGCTCTACAATGTCCTGCAGAGGCAACATAGGCCTGTACATTCTCTGTTTATGAGCAAGATCTAGCCCTACCTGCTGGCGGCATCCATCGATAACAGTGGCGAACAAGACACAGGCGTTCTGTTGTGAAACTCTTGCGTCAAAACGCAGAGGCGTGAAGGGTACTTGCTGGATGCCCTCTTCGTACTTGGGCAGCGCCGACAGATCTCCGTCCACGAAAATGCTAAAGATCGCCTTAAAAAATTCGTTTTGCGCACTATCGCAGTAACAAAATAAAAACAATGATGTAGGTGAATATCTGCGCTCTAAGATGGTTTGACTTTACGGAGCCAACGCTTTTCTAGCATTCATACCTGGAGTCGACGTGGATCATGATAACACGAGTTATCCCTGCGACAGTCTCCTGGATCTCAGAGTTCTTCATGATGTGATCGGCATCGTCAGCGCTTACAGTGGGGAAGATGCACATACCAATCAGTTGTGGCACAAGCTGGTACAGGTATTGAGGAAGATCAATGTGACCTTTCTCTGCTTTTGTTCGGAGCAGGACTAACAGTGCTGTGAGCAAGCTGAGGGGATAAGTGGGGCTAGAGCTACTGAGATCACGAGAGACGAGGTCGATTTTTTCCAGGATCTGAGGAACGATATCCGCGAACAGTGCTGGCTCCAGGCCAATCTTTGTGATGGCGTTCAAGATATACTCGGGGCTCTTTTTCTGGACCACCGTATCCACATCCATGTCGTTCTGAGAAGTAGGGAGCATTTCAAACAAAGCTGGCAGTGCCATTGATCGAACGACGCCAGGCATAATCGATGACAGGGATGCCAAGGAGCTCAACGCGGTTTCCCTGTATGTGCACGGTTGTTTTCATGTTAAAAGATTGCGGTAATGCAAGCGAAATAGTTAAGTTAAAACGTGCAAATAAGACATTAACTTACTGGAGTTCAACATCTGGATCCTCAAGGACAATACGAACAAAGTACTGAACAGCGTATGATATCTCTGTCTCTGACAAGAATTCGCGAAGCAAAATCATTCCATGAAGACCTTTGACGCCCGCTAATCTCAGCGCATTGTATTCGTTCGACGACATGATGGCGTTTGTAAACAACTCAAAGAAACGGTCCTTAAAGGTGAGAAGAGGTGTAACAAAATCCGTGTCGTCTATAGCACGAGGGGAATGCTGGTGTTAAAATCTGAAAAAATAGACAATGCAGGCCTTGATGAACACAACAATTTCAAGACATACGTTCATTTGGCTGTCCAGCAGACCCATAGAGCATTTTGCTTGCATCCAAAAAGTCGATGAGCACATCCAGCAGCGCCTTTTTCCTGGTTGACTGCTCGCTCGATGTGTATTGCGAGAGAAGTGTTGGGATCGTAGCCAAGGTGATAAAAGTACAGGCGGGATCTAAGATCGAGTACCACAAAGTCATGTTCAGTTCTTGTTTCCGGCGCGCCTTCTCGAAATTTTGCATGCTTCGAGTCCTCACGTACCTGATGCCATGGCGCATGCCTTCAAAATCTTTCCACTCGGCTTGGCCAGCTTGAGCTCTGGTTTTTGGAGTTGTGTCATGCAGTCCGTGATAATGGGTCGCAAGAACTTTTCTACAGGATCGTTTGACCCACCCATACTAACACCCATCGAAAGCTCTGTTGTAATGGTCTGTAAGGTGTTCAATGCTACTTGCTCAAGGTCATCTCCTGTGGCATGAAAGATCTAAGTTTAAGTCAAGAATAGCCGTGTTTGATAGTCATTCCTCTCAAATCCTAATATCTGGAATGCTCCTGTCAGTAAAAACGATACCATACCTCGTTCTGCAATCCGCTCCATAACTCCTCTGCATATGGCGTGAGTGCAGAGGATCCATAGACAGGCGCACACGCAGCCAGGGTCTCCATAGAATCTTTCTATTAGGTTCCTCGCAAAAGTTCGCAATTTAAGGTTCAGTTCCTGCACGATAAAGGATCGGGTCGTTTAATGACTAAGCGCAGTTCCAATCTGATCTATACATTACCTTTGCGCTTCCAGAACTGGAGGAGAGCTTCTCGAGAAGCAATGGCAATGCAAACTTGGCAAAGTAGGGTGTAGATGAGAGACATTCGCGCAAGCCGATCTTCAAGTGCTCCGAGGTGATACCATAGGGATCATCTGGAGGCGGTCTGAACGTGATTGGAAAGTAACAGAATGTCACCTCGAACAAGTCCTATAAAAAGTATAACACTTTATGATTAGGTCATTCAGGGTTTCAGGCACTTCGAGTGATCCACGCCAGGTGCTAACCCACCTCCACATGCTGAGCGATATCGAATTCCTGGATTATCTTTTTGATAAGTGTGAACGCCAGCAGCAAGTTTCGAGGATCCTTTTCTCCGTCAAGGCATTGGATAAATCCAAATACAAAGTCGGACGACATAGATCGAAGGCCTAACCATGCCGGTTGAGAAATGTCAGTCTAGCTCAATGCGATTTACAACCATATATGAATGAGAGAGGAACTTACTTTGAGTATGTCTGTTGATCACCGAATCGAACAGCAAAAAGACGTAGTGGCGAGCAGTTTGCTGGTATGTTTGTACGTTGACAAGGGCAAGAATCCTAAAAAAAAAAAAGAGCGGACGGGTTGAATTTAGCACTGGTAGACAAATAGCGGTACTTTCCTTCAAAGACGGTTCGGGGAAAAAATACTCACGCTTTAACGGCCTTGTCGCAGTCTGCGCCTGTAAACTTGTCGAATTTAGAAAGGGCAAGCAGGCCCTTCAAGAGCTCAGGAACACAGGCTTGATCTGTCAAGCGATCGCAGTAAAACTCAACAAGAACACTGACTGAAGTCGTATACTAATGTGAGCATACAATGTCTCAGCGATCTAGCAGCACTTGCCCTTACATGTAGTATGTTTTACAGAAGTTCTTACCAGCGCTTGCATTGACCTTCGATTGATCCAAAGTGGCTAGGGTTGTAGACAACAGGGCGGTTGCTAAAGAAGGATTCAAGTGCGTTGATAATGTCAATGATTTACTTCTGCGGTGTCAGCGCAGGCTTCAAAGTGCTCGTTCTTGTTACCCTTCGAACGAATAAAGGCCTCATCGCTTGTCAGATATTCCCCGAGCCCCTGGACAAGGCTAAGCAGCTTTGCGGGGCTGATTCCAACATCTAACGAAGAGCAATTGGACGCGAGTATGAGGGTATTAGATGGATTGCGATATATGCCCAATGACCGTCTTGTTGACGATTACTGTCGCACCCTTGACAATGTCCTGGATAGCGGCGTCTGCCTGCTCCTGTGAGTCCGTCTGAGCAAGAATGTAGGTTGAGATCAGCCTGTCCATGGTTGATTACTTGGTCTGATCCAGCTTTGATGGCAAGTTAGGAATCAGAATGGGGGAAAAGGAAGAGGGCCACGAAAGAGGGTTGTCTCCAGAGATAAAAAAATGGCCCAGGTTCTGATTGGTTGTGTCATGTGCTGCGAACTGTTATCAGATCGTGAAGTCTCGCCGTAGATTTCTAGCTCTGTAGTCCAGCGCCATATGCATACCCATATCCATGTCCATACCCGCGCTTATATCCGCGTTTATATCCATACCATATCCATACTATGTCCTTGGCCCACGTTGACATCGCCAAGTCACCTTCGCAGTGCCAAATGCATAAAGAAATGATTGCGTTGATCTCGATTGCGTGCAGCAGGGCTGCCGACGCGCTTCGCCAAATGCGAAACTGAAAAAGGAAGTTTTTGTGAGTGCGCAGATGGTTGCATACATTTGGCGGCGGGTGAGTCTGAGGGGAAAAGGCCATATAAAAAGGACGAGAGAAACTTGCGTGCCTACTCTCGTCTCATTCTCTCTACTCATCTCATTTCGTCTTTTCGACATCTTGTCTGCACTCCAACCGATCAATCCCATTCACCTCAACCACGCATGTACGACCTCCCTGACCTGAACCGTTTCGTCGAAGTCCGCCCTGGACTCTTCAGATGCACCATTATCTGGAACATTAATAAATTCGTTGACGTCCCCGTCGCTACCTTCCTGGTTCGATGCGATTCTCTCGATCAGGGAACGAACCCTGCTCATGACTGGCTGCTGGTCGACTCTGGCGCTCCCATGCAGGTCGAAACCCTACTGAAGGCCATTGCCGGTGTCCTGACCCACGAGAAGGACACCCTGCGTTACATCTGTATCACCCATGCCCACATTGATCACACTGGCGCCACACCAGCCCTGCTCCAGAAGTACCCCGAATGCAAGGCCGTCATCCATGTTGAGGAGAAACCCTTTATCTGTGAGGGCAAGTCTTTACGGTCCTGCTCAAGTGATACTTGGTCCTATACATTGTTCAAGCCCTTTTCACACGAAGCTGATGTGAGGTTGCCTGAGGATCGAACTGTGACCCTTCGCGATGGGGACCAATGGGAGTTTGATCATATCCTCCAGTTTGTAGAGACACATGGCCACACACCTGGTAAGAAAGCTGAGGAGACTACCGTCCATGCCTCTTAACAAGCATGAAAGATTCGGTATCGCTGTATTGCGCTGACTATGCCACATGTATTTCACGCAACTGAATGCTAGGCTCGGCTTCATACATCCACATCCCGACCCGCTCGATCATGGTGGGCGATGCCATCATGAACATTGCTGCAAACCCATGGTGGTCCAAGGTGCCCTGTATTTCTGGACCCATGGCCATTTCAACATGTCACTGGGGCAATGCCATGAAGGCTATCGACAAGATCCTGACGCTCAAGGACAAGGTCGATACCGTCTTCCCCGCCCACGATTTTAACACTGATGGAATCCATATTGACCAAATCTGCGAATTCCGCAAACCATCCAGCCTGTAAAGAAAGGTCGACAGAAACAAGGGGATCTCGTCACTTGCTACAGAACACATACTATCAGGAGCATGTGCATTCGATCAGGATACCCGTGCACCAGGCATTTGATAGTAATCTCAGAATGAAATAAACATACTTTTTTTTTGCAGCGACCTCATACTCACAAGACGCTTGTTACACGACCACAGTGAAGAAATGACATGTTTCTCATGTGCCCAAGATTACAACTTGACGCCCAAGTGCTGGGGACCCGGCGGCATTTGATACCCGTAAACAGCAAAGAGTGCCAAATGGCGCGAAAGACCTGTGGCATAATCATCGTCATCGTTGTCAACGTCGCGATACATCGCTACATCACTACTATCATGAGCCGTGGCTGATATCCATCCGAACACAACTATCAAATGTCAAATGTCAATCGCAAAGATAGCACGCAGTTTTCATCATCAGCACAAAGGTACATGAATATGTTCTTGTACAGCGCCGGAATTCTCCAGCAATTGTTTGTTGTATGCCGACTAATGTTTCTTCAACAACAACAAAGGAGGGTTCATAAAGCCTGGGTACTAATACTATTTGGGATTGGGATGCACCGCTGGAAAATGAAAAAAAGTGAGTTCAACGGTCAAGCACGTACGTTTCACATGCAGCTGAGAGCACCAGCCTCCAATTCTGGTCAGTGCCACATCCAGAGTTCCCTTTCTCTTGGTTCCCATCTCGATTTTTTTTAATGAGAGCCCCGTTACATGTTCCGTGGACTGATAATCCTCTGTTTATCTGCACTATTTCTATTATTTCTTTGTTTTTGTTGTCGGTGATGCATGCTGTGCATTAAATGAAATATTTAATGACATTATACATTATTCAAGTTAACGCCGAAGATAACAGCGATACGCTCACAGGAACCGTTAACGGTCGCTAAATCTAGCTAACCTTAAACTTAAGGAGCTGTTAACTTCTTGGACCATTTAAGCGCATTCCTGCCATTAATGCATGTAGGACATAGCACTTTAGTGATGAGGTACAATAGACATACATCTACAATCGAATAATGGTTCATTCCGAGTAGGACTCTGAATTCCTGACGCCTCCTCCGTTCTCTGCGTCGTCATGTACCCATTTCCTCCGAGAAAGACCCCGCCGGAAGAGCGACGGATGGTCGAGACCGCAATCCAAGACCATGTTGACGTGCAGAAGCGCCGATAGCACATCTTTAGTGCATGAAACAAGAAGGAACAATCGCAGTTGACAATGAACTTAGTTGATCGGCATAGAAGGATGCCAGCTCGAGCTCCAATGATAGCCAGCGGACACATGTATGGCTCTTAGCCATGGCTGATGGGGAACTGTTCTTAGCTGACTTGGGAGACATGTTTGTATAAGGATTCGCCTTGTATCTTTCATGAGGCAACGCATCAATTTCGATGGGTTCGCGTATTCTCCTTATCAGAGCACCTGCGCCCAACTGTATCTTTTCAGGCTAGGTTAATGCAAGTATCAGGCGTAATTCTCTCCACTCTCAGACGTAGCACCCCATCCGCGCCGAGGACTCATCCTGACGACACTTTTATCTGAGCGGGAAATCACGCGGGCGTACGTCTTTGTGCTGCGTAAATTATCTATTGTACCTTCGTAGAACCCAGCTTCACATTCTCGCCCAAAGCTGATGACCTAACAAGATATGAAGGCATGATGTTAGTTAACAAATAATACGTCGGTTAACGAGCGCGAGGAACCACCATCTAATAAAAGAGCAAACGAGGGATGTGCATGTGAGATTGGACAATGGAGCGCGAAGCAAATGAATGGACACAAAGAAACAATGGGCCATGCTTTTGTCTGCGGCTGACTTTAACGCGAAAGATTTAAGCAAAATAACGGGTGTTGATAATTTAACGTAACAAGGGTCCGCAGACAATTCGATAAACCAATTCAATTGAGAAGGAATAAACAGTGGTCTTATCAGTATTACTTAAAAGTATCTAATAGAGCGCACCATATTGTTTTCTTCGCTGCCGGCTCCTTCGTACCTCAGTCTGATGTATGTTCATCATCATCAGCGTCTTCCCCTTCCGGACAGCTCCCGAGGAAGACAGAGGCGCAAAATTAGTATCAAACAAACAGGCCGAAGCCGATCAGCTCGTACGAGGGATGGAACTTAGCGGGATGAATGTGTTTGTTCAGCTCTGCTGCGAGCGCTTTACAAGGATCTTCCCTACTTGTTTCCTCATCCTTCTCCTCTTCCTTCCCGTTCCATCCTCTCTTGCTCTCAGCTTATCGCTAACTCGGTCTCCATCTCTTGTAGCCAAGGCGCGCCAACTCTACTGCGATAAGCGAACTATCCCCAGTCGTCCAGGCACAAGACACCTATTTTTCATTGGATATACACCTGTCTCTCAACCATCTAAGGACCTACACCGATTTTCCAGTTGCACTCGTCAACGCCAAAACACCTACCCTCGCATACATCATGACGACCGCCATGTTCAAGACTGGAATGAACAGGGCCCTTCTCAACAGGGACTTCTTCCAGGTCATCCTTGACCGTGCCTATGGCCCAAATACTGCCCTGACGACGCAATGGTCCGAGCAGGAACTTGATTCATCCTCAAGCATTCTCAGTAACATCAGCTCTGGCAACGCCGATGGAGACGAGGACGAGGACGACTTTAGTAGAGATATCCCTTCATCTACATCACCGACAGATGGTTTCACTCAGACAACAGACAAAGCAGAGGAGCCATGTCCGATGAATGACATGACAGGACACTTTTTATACAAAATCGAATACAGCGCTGTATCCTTCACCTCTTCGACACCATCAAATCTACTGCAGGACCATCCATCCGATAACCGGTTGTCAGGGTCCTTCTCCATCTCGGCAACCAGTCGCACGGAGCCACAGCCGCTGGCAGGGGGCCAGCTCTGGATTGTCATCAAGTCCAAGCCCATCGACACTGCCCTGATCGAACTGACCAATATCATGGCGCAGCTTCAGGGTGGTGAATTCGCAGAGGAGTACGATCAGGTCAAGGACCTCACTGGGTTCCGTAACAGCCACATCCGCGAGATCGAGCTCGCAGAGTTGTCATGGAAATTCGGCGGTGCCATGGCGAGGATCTCAACCAAGGTTTACAACGTCCTGCGAAACGACTCGCAGCAGCTGTACGCACTTTGCCTCGAATACCTCGACCCAGCCATGGGCAACATCACCCACATGAACAGCACAGATCTTGCCCCCGCAATCTGGGCACCTGACGATATTCACTTGGCGCTGCGGGACCTGGCCTCGTTCCATGCACAGTTCCTGGGGGAGGAAGACAGGTTGCTGAAGATGAGCTTTCTCGAGAACCCAACACGAGCCATGATGGGAGTATTGAGACCTGCGTACGAGGCCATGGTCAGGACAAACCACATGAACGAGCCAGGGTTGTTCTCTGAGTTTATGTCGCAAAGCATATTGGACTATTTGGCGCATTCAGATGAGTACTGGGCCATCCTCGAGAAGAGCCCAAGGACTTTGGTAGGTACAACGATGGCTTTCGGTTTGATCTAGTTCAATAACGCGTGCTTTGCAACTAGGTATTCACTCTTTATTTTTTTAATGATCTCTGTAGGTTCATGGCGACTTTAATACCCGCAACATTTGCCTGCGGTTCGATCCAAGTACCGGAGCCCAAACACTCTGCGCTTATGATTGGGAGTTGGCATGCTGCCACGTTCCACAGAGAGATGTGGTGGAATTTCTCTCGTTCGTGCTTCCGCCAGGCTCTGGCGAATGGGCGCATTACATTGAATACCACCGTCTGGCCCTCAAAGCAACTATGGAAAGACAGCAAAAATTGACTTTTCCGAATTCCTCACGTCAATTCGCCAACCTTTCTTCTCCACAAGAGTACATGGAAGTGGCTAAAATTGCTTTGATGGATTTCGCATCTCTCAGGGTGGCCATGTATGGTATCTCTAACTCGTTCAAGAAAATCGATTGGTTGCCACGTATCCTGAGCTCAGTCGAAGAACAGGTGAAGAGAATGGGACCTCTTCGTCGTGCCCAAGATAGAGTACACCACGAATCCAAGCTCTAACGACCGTACGACATTGTAATTTCGCATTTTAAACTTGATGCATTTGAATAATAATAAACACAACTCACTTGAGTGACAGCCATCAATTAATGCAAGGAAGTGTAAATTACTAGTGCGTTGCAGAGAGGGAGCCTTCGTAAGAGGCAGAAAAAATTGCTGTTTATAACACTATGCTCTCCTGACTTAAAAAATAACCAAGAGAACGACCAAGAAAATGGCCAAGAACATGAGAAAGAAAAGACGAAAGAAAAAAAAATGTGCGAGGCGTGATTACAAATCGAAAACTATCAGATTGGTGTCGTAAAGGTATTATGGGTTCATATTTATTTGATTACGACATTGGGAGGATGTCTACTCTTTAAGAATGGTCTCGATGACAAAGCGACGATAAAAGTACGTGCGGTCCTTAGCAGTGGCAGCGTCTGAAAGATCGATCTCGGAGCGGATCAAGTGCTTGAGCTCCTCTGGCCTCTCTCTGGGGACAAATAAGTTCCAGTAGCAGATGCGCGCGTCCTTGGTGCCCTTGTTGTGAATGGCCGTCAAGAAGGTTTTGAACAGATCCTCATCCATCCACTCAAAGATGTCAGAGAGGTTATAGCCATCGAAGCGGCCGCTCTCCTCCGACTCAAGGTACTTAAGCACATCCGCGCGGACTAGCTTGACGCGATCAATCCTTGACCGGATGATCTCATAATTCTCCTTGGCCAAGTAATCCGGAAGAGCGTTCTTGCCACTCTGCTGACCTGTAAATACGTATTCCGCATAGTAGTTGTCCCAGATTGGGATGTTACGAACACCATTGCTGATCTTTCCGAGCAAGAAGGCACCAACATCGAGGCGGACATGTTCAAAGAATTTGGGATCGCGACCGAGATGGCCCAGGGACATCTGACCAAAGAAGGTGCGTGCACCGGCTCTCCAGATCCAGGTGTTCCAGACAGAGTCGAAGAATTTAATCTGTTTGGCCTGATCCTGACTGTCGAGAAGCGTGCGGGTCGTGGATTTGTAGTGGGCCAGGGGCAGGATGTACTTGCGGTAGAGCCCAAAGAACTTTTCGAGGCGGCCGATGTGAATGATCTTATCGCGGATCAGATCCAAGTTCTGGTCCCAGTACTGTCGATACTCGTCGTTCGTCAGCGCAGGACGGACCTTGTCCTGATAAAGAGCGACACGGTCCTCGGGACTAATGCTCTTGCCATCGAATTCAAATCCGAGAAGCTGGGTGAATTCATTGTAGTCCAGAGTCTTGTAGGCTGCAATCTTTAGTGCGCACAAGGCCAGCTGTGCAGGACTGAAATCTAGATTTGGAGGGAGCGAAACAATTTTTTGGATGAGCATATGAACGATCAGACTGGGTGCGGATCAGATCCGAATTCATAACACTGCAACACTTACCAATGGCAACAACTTCACGGGCATCGTCTAATAAGAGTGCGAACGCATTATCACCAGCGGAGGCGATACTCAGGACACGGCTCTGGGGCTTGAGGCGAAGGCCTTGACGGAGAAGACGAGTGTCTTCCCAGACCTGGGAATATCGGATCTTTGAGAAGTCGACTGTGGCTTCGACAGTGGTTCCCTTACTGGAGGTAACAGCCTTGCGGCCGAGGGACCCATGATAAAACTGGATGAGTGAAGAAAAGAGACGGATGTGAAGAGGGAGGGCCTCTGGTGTAGTTGCAGTGTTGGCTGATACTGTTGAGGTCATGTCTTGAAATTGTGTACGTATGTTTTTCTTTCGTTGGTGTAGAATGGGCGCGGTTTCTTGTGCTGTTTAATTATGGACTCGAGACTGAGAGAAAGAAGAGATGGGAGAAGACGTTCCTTTTAATGGATTTACAAATTGTTGTGGGCTTTGAGTGGCCGTTCACTAAACTTCACTCCAAAGGTATATCGCGCGTGCAATGGAAAAAAAAAATAGTACAAAGTTCATCATGGTCAACCCTCACATGCTCTCCATCCTTGCTCGTGCATTGAGCGGAGTGAAGGGGATGCTGTACTGTATTGGATTGCAATGAATCCATTGGGATAATGATGTCGGCGGTGTAGCGGTGTATTTGTCTATGCCATGGTTCATCATCTGTCGACGTGAGCGTCGGGCCGATTGTCGTTGTGGATGACTTAGAGGATTGTGTAAACTCTAAAGAATGCTGCGCTCATCTTAAGTTAATCTAATAAAAGGAATTGCGTGGCATGCGTCTCAATGAATTAATGAGAGTAATCCAAACACGGACACAGACTGAATGCGTAACAGAGTATAGACATGCTAATTACGGAGCCTGCCAATCTCTCCAGACCTACAAACCTACAAACAAGCACAAGATACATGTACACACATCATCGTAATATAACGCAACCTCCCCCCCCCTTCTCTCTCTCTGAAAGACATCGGGCATTCGTTCCACATTCACGGCCGCAGACAATCTCAGCCGTTCTTTTTCACCTTCTACTTCTTTTTAAACTTCTCCGTCCCTTTCCCCCTCCTCTGCATATCTGCATCATCAATTTCCCAGCGCTACTGGCCCATCAAAAGTAGAATCGCCCATTCTTTATCTCTTATTGCAACATTGGTTTCTTCCGCGCTATTCAAGACCCTGCCTCTACCCGGAAAAACATTACCACTACTATAACGCCTGCTCATACACTACAGCACTATCCATACCCAGATTCTCTTTTCATCTCTACCTCTTCACGAACAATACAACACCAATCTCCGCATAACGACACTCCTCTCGGCTATAGCTCCTTTCTTCACTATCCAAGTTTCGCCGCGATACCTGCACGCTGCATCGAGAATTATCTTTTAACGCATCCCACACATCTACAAACATGCTGACCAACTTTGACACCATCACCAACGAGCATCACGGGCGGGTATCCTCACCCTTGCCCATGTCCGCCGTGTATAACAAGGAGCACTTCATTTCCCAGTTCATCTCCCTCCACCACGAAAGCACACAGCCAACAATGATCCACCAGCTTCTTAGCGCAGGGTTGCCCCACACCTTTTCAGAGTTCTGGATTCTCTATGACGATTACAATCGACCTGTTGCATGTGTCGGCGCTAACACTGTCATCTCAAACATTTCCGCGGGCTACATCGGCCTCTTTGAGGCCAAAACCGAGCAAGCTGGAACAGCCGTACTCAAGGCAGCGACTGAATGGTTGAAACGAGGAGGCCTAAACGAGTTCGAACCGGTCCATCAGATCATTGGACCAGTCAACATGACAACTTGGCTGCAGTATCGACTTCGGGTCGACACCGATCCGCAGCCCTCAATGTCGTTCGAGCCCAGACATCCAGAGTTCTACCAGGCGTGCTTTGCGCAGGTAATAAAGTGTTCTCATTTTTGCACATAAACTCTTTTTTCAGACCGAGATTTTTATATTATTGTTGTTATTGTAGGCCGGCTTCACCAAGGCTGCGGACTATTACTCAGCCTTCTTTGACATGGACCAGCTACTCGAAAACTATTACAAATATGTCCATGGCGATACTCTCGAAAAGCTAGGACTTCTTCTGCAGCCATGGAATACATTGGATTTTCCTGCATCGCTCAATCCCGAGAGACACCCTGACCTTACGCCTCAAGACAACGTCGCAAAGCGCGTTTACGACCTCAGCCTTGAGCTGTTCCGAGGAAAAGAATTCTTTGACGACACCTTCTCTCGAATGAACCACCGCCAGGTTGTCTTGAACGATATGATCTCGCGTCCTGAAGTCGACAACGCCTCTTTGATGGATCTCTCAACATTTGTGGTTGACTCGATGACGGGAGAGGATATCGGGTACGTGGCTTGCTGGGTCGAGAACAATGAAACCCTGGTCATCAAGACACTTGGCTTTCTATCCAAGGCCAGAAAGACCAAGGCGTTTGCAGTCAGCATCCTGGAGATAGCACAGAGAGCCAAGGATCGTTGGGCTTGCACCAAAGTCGTATGCGCCCTCATGAACAGCAATACTGTGCTTTCGGCGGAAAGGGTTGCAGGAAAGAGCCTACGACACGTCTATCGGCTCTACATTCACCAACAACCCAAGCCAACAATGGTTCGCCAAAGCAACCAGGAAAGTTATCACGGACACATTCAGGATGAACGGCGCCTGCAGGACAAACTCCCTCTAATTCAATCGACGGTAGCCGCATTCACATCCACATCTCCGACTTCAGCACTAGTGAATGCCGAGCCAAGGTCGAGCCATCTAGAAGCGAAGCAGCGGCTAAAGGATATTGCTCAACGGTCGAGAGGTCGAGCTACGGCCCGCCTTTAATGACTTTAATGACTTTAATGACTTTAATGACTTTAGTGTCACCCTCTAATGAAAATGATGACGACCTTTCATACACGCTATACGTAAATACTACAACAAAAACCACACTGTTACAAATAAACAAAGCATGATTCCCGGTGTATTAGTTCAGCTTTCCCTTTATATGAACCCTGTAATATATACTTTGTTTGTTTTGTGGAGAGGACAGACTGGGTACAGAACAGCGGAGCGGTTGCAATGACAAAGATTATTTTCGAGTGGGCTCACCTCCTTTCTTCCATGGACAGAATTCATGGTTCTCTGCCGTATCCATCACCCTCTCCTCCCTCTTGCATGGAGCTCATATAGACAGTCAAAAGAAACGTTCCATGCGTGGTACATTGGTTGTTCATGGACGCCACCAAATTAAAGTGGAGGGCGCGCACGACCCACTGCGCCTTGAAATGCGGCAAAACGGCGAGCGCACGAAGCAACAGGCTCTGATAAAGTTTAGTCCAACCCATTCAAACGCCCAATAGTTGACATGGTACGTGCACAGCACATCCGAAAACAGAAAGCGCCCACTCCCACACTCCCTCTCTTTCCCGCTGAGAATTATGAATCATTAGGCAGTGGGACTGACTGTGGAAATAAAAGGTATGACGCGCGAGAAATTACAGTAGAGAATCGCACATTTCGGTTACCCCGTACAACCTCTTTAGCAATAACAAAGGTTTGAGGCAGTAGAGACCTTAGCCAAACGCCTGTTCGATCGTTGTCCCTTGCTCATCCATACAAGCTCAGCCCAGATTTCAAGAGCCAACCATCTGACTACTTTCCTCGCCTTCGACTGCTGCACACATGCTTGAGCATCTCATAAGGACCTGGACAGCAGTCAATCATGTTACACCAGTAGACAGGGTAACTGAAGAAGCATATGTTTAGCGCGAAAAGTCATCTCTACTTTCCTATCGCGTGCTGCGCGAGACTCGCCATGGGCTGTTTAATAAACAAAGCCCTTTCCGTCTGTCTGTTAAAGCTGAAGCGCACCTTGAAGTGTCAGTCAAGCTTGACAGAAATGTGGGTAAAGGATTTATGTTAAAGTGAATAATAGGATATTATTAATTAATTAGGTCTAGAACATTTGTGTGTATTGTGCACACATTATGAGATACAACGTGGGTAAGGAATAGTAGCTCATTGACGGTCGAGTACCTGAAGTATTGTGCAGTTTATCATGGTGCACTCTTCCATGCTCCTTGCTTAAGCAATTTCCCTAAGGTCTATTTTAACTTGTTCAGCTCTATGAGATAACAGAACCGACATATTCGATGCGAAGTTTGAATGGTCTCACTTTGTGCTGAAGATGCGCTGTTTGAGGGACTGGGTGTTAACTTTCACCTATGGAGCCATTAAGCTAGTTCTTTTCTGTAGGTAGTGGTGGAATATGGAACACTTATTGAATATGCCGAAGGACCTACTCGGCGGTATACAGCAGGATCTAAGACACGCCTTAGATAGTCTCTTTCCGAGTTTTGATTGTACATTAAGCACCATTTCAGGCACCCAAGAGTGACCTAGTCTGTGACGAATACATAAAAAAAAAAGAAAAAGACGCGCCATAACCCATACTTTCTCTTTCTGAACGTGGTGGTCCAGAATTACGGAAAAATCATATTTGGCAACCTAAATGTATCTGTAGTATTGTCCAGCACACCACGTCCTCGCACTGCATGCCGAACTTATCTGTCTCTCTCTCGTCTTTTTTTTTTTTTTTTTTTTTTTTTTGACCCGCTCCCCCTACCCTGCGCGTCTTGAACAAATATGGTTGGGACCCAAAGCCTAAACGCGTTCAGCCTAATGCGCGGACGTGCACTATAAAAACAAGAATAACCCAACGCAAACGTTCTTTATAGGAGGTGTCAGTCGGCTTTTAATAAAAACTTCGTCCATCTTTCTATTACTGCGATTCAGCCCTTATCTTTGACCATAAGAAAATGGTCTGAAAGTAAGAAGTATAACATAGAATGAAATATAAAAAAGGAAAAGGGCGTGCCTCCTGATATTACTTCTTCTTTTCAAAGCGGGTGAATTCACGTTAATGATGTCAGGCCATGCAGACATATAAATAGTTTCCAAGGAAGTAGCATAGGGAGCAGGTTATACCTAGCGTCGCTTTACGCGTCAAACAAACTACTACATGCTCACGGCCCGGCATTTCTCTTCGTTCCTAATTTAATAAACGCGGTAGTTACGTTTGCGGCGTAATTGCACAGTTTTGTCGCGTGAGGTTTGCGCAGATGTTTTTTCTCCGTGGCTGCTTCTGATAATCTCGGCTCGGCGCTTGAATTCGTTGTTGAAGGAAGGATATCTTTTGGCCATGGTGCCATATTGTACTTTGTTTCCCAGTATGAGTGTTTCCATCAGGTCTGGGAACTGCGACGCCGAATCGGCCTTTGTTAAATAACATACATTTCTATTCCAGCCATGGCGCGCTTTTATTTATGAACACTCTTTACGTCCTTGTGTATAGTCTGCACAAGAACCAAAGGATCGGCTTGATTGGTGTCTCCAACTACAGCGGACAACGTACGCGTCTGTACCTGTGTTATGTAAGAGACAAAGATGTTCGTTTTGACATCTATATCAGCTGAGTACCGCTTATTTCGGCCCGTCTGGGCGCGAAATAACTACTGTATTAACTTACATACAGTATGGGCATATAGCTTCCCCGGCTAAGGTAGGCCTGTTTGGATTGAAATGTAGTTGAGATTCTTTGATTATTTGTTACAAGTTCAGGAAATCGGTGATCTTTGGGAGATGGAACACAAAAAAAGCCTCCCCTGAAAGCATTTTGGACGGGCGTGCAGAAACAGAAAGCGCTCTGCATAACAAGATTCTTGCTGGCAATGTGTTTGGCAATCTGATATTGGTTGGTTCCGGACGAATGTGTGAATGAAAGCCCGCTGAGCGCCTCGGGTTTTCATCGTGCAGGACCTGACGCCGAGTGAGGAAATAGAATTGACCCTCGGCCCGTTGCCTTCGTTGGGTAAATACTATATAATTTGCGCAAGGGAGGAGGCGCGGCGCACACCCGTGAAGGTATGTATCGCAGCGGGTTCTCTACAGTTTAGCGAAAGAGCGTCGGCCCATCTGTAAAGTCCAATGGGATCTCATGGCACCAGCGGGATAGGTGTAAACCATACTCGTGTGGCTCTGATCAGGAAACCATCTACCGAGTAACCATGCATGCATCTACGTAACTCATGCAAAATGCAACACAAAGATTTCAGAGAAAAATATAAGAGCTGCTGCCACGCATGCACTACAATACTGAGTGTTTTAGTGGCAGAGCATAGGCAGGCTTTGAGGTGAACACCTGAATCTGGCGTATTTATTTACCTGCTTCTCCACGCTATGGTCTCCTGATAAGGCGGGACTTCTGCAGCATGCTTCAGGGGTAATGCGCAGAAATTTGAAGGCAAATGGAGCTACGAACGAGGCGGCGTAGTAGGAAAACGAGTCGTAAAGCTCTATGCTTAGCATCCTTCGTTATCCATACGTGGCGTGTTGAGGTAGGTGATGGATAGCATGTGCCTGTGCATCTGGTTCCCTTGGATCGTATGAGCACATAGATATGTTACCGCGTTCAGGAGGACTAAGAGTACCGCGGCCCGACCTCATTTTCAAAGTCCTCGAAGTGTTTGATTTTTACAAAACCGACCTAGGCCGGAAGATGCGACAGAGAGAGCAAACGTGCGTCGCAAACAAAGATGAGAGCATATAAGAGAATAATGTGTATCAAGAGCCCATTTCACACTCTCTCGTGGCACTTTGGAAGAAAAGAAAAGAGGTATATTTAGTCATTGGTATGACAAAACGATATAATAATATTTATTTACGCTGTATTTAAGAAAGTATAACGTATCCTATTTTACGTTATTGTCTGCAGTTAAAGGGGGGAGCTGTTAACACAGAAGATAGTTCCGCGTAACATGGAATTGTGAAAAGTAAAATCTCACTCCGCTCTTTATTTTTCTTCTATGCTCACGTATTCCACTGACCGTCTTTGCATTTTCAACGTTTCCTTTCTTCATCGTCTTTTTCTCTTTTTGTCTTTGCATTTCCCTCCCTTCCATTTGTCTCTTCTCTCTACTATCTCCAAGCATCATTTCTCTAATTTTTTTTCTATACTCGTAATACTACTCTCGACATCCTGACAATCCTTCCAGTATGAGTCCCGCAATCACCGAGGTAAACGACCAATCTGATCCCCTCTCTTGACTTCCCTGACGCCTAGATTCCGCAATCCTAATACTGTGACTTAACCTTCTAGATCACCAACTCTGCATCCAGCTCCGCAGGAGCTGCCAAAGCTATCGCCATCTCACAGCTGCACGAGTTCCTGTCGGGTGGATTTCCAGATATTTTCAGATGGAGTCTTAATCGACCGCCAACGGCAGAGGAGTTGAACGGCAACTTGTGCAGTCTGTTTAACGCCATGTTCGAGCACTTTCGAAATGCCTTGCCTGCCAATGATCCTTCACCCGACTGCTTCATCTTTACAGAGCCCGGCAAGCCCAGTGTGACCTTTGACGAGCTTTGCAGTCGCATCAGCCATTTTACCCAGATCTTGGCCCAGGAAGGGCCCTACAAGAGCAAGTCCAGGGCGTCTCTGAGCAAGGGAGACAGGGTTCTGATCCTTTCGTCTTTAGGAGTCGATTTCTTCGTGGGCTCGATCGCCTGTCTGTCTTTGGGCGCCACTTTGATCTTGCTGGATCCGTTCATGGAGAGAGCCAAGATGAATGTCTGCATCGAGTCGGTTCTGCCCATTGCCCATATTGTAACCAACATGAAACTGACATCCTTCAAGAAGTGGGTCCTATCCAGGGCTGTCCCTGCCTTGAAGGATATCCCAAATGTTGTCGAAATCCCTGTGAATGTTGAGTACGTACTTTTTTTTTATTTTTTATTTTTTTTTTGGTAGTACGTTTGAGTTCGCCACAGCATTCCTAATGAACAATTGCGTATATCCGCTAATAGCAAGAAGACCTTAGCCGCAGCTCCCAAGACGATTCCAATTGTCTCGATTCCTGGTGATACGACCGCATTGCTCTCATTCACAACAGGCTCGACCGGAAACCCCAAGCCCATACGCAGATCTCATGACTACCTCCGCGCCCAGACAATCGCAGTCTTCTGTCAAAAGGAAATCAAGGCATCTTCAGCTGAGTCTCCAACAATGGTACCAAAGGCCGAATCTTCTGAAGCTGCAGAGGTCGCCTCTGCTGCAACGTCGCACAGGCCTGTCAAGGCGGTGACCAACCTGCCTGTATTTATCTTTGGTCAGATCATGCTGGGTTACACAACGCTGATTCCCGATAATTTCAACCCCGCAGGCGTCAATCCTGCACCTCTCCTCGAGGCCATGATCCGCCACAACGTTCAGGTAGCCTTTGGTTCGCCTGCATTCTTCCTACGTATCCTGCAGCATTTGGAGGAAACCGGTGGCGTCGATCAGCACGGCAAGTTCCTGAACCCACTTCCTGTCAGGGTCCTCTGCTTGGGTGGCGCGCCAGTATTTTCCTCAGAGCTCGATATCATGCGCAGAGGTGTCAAGGGCGCCGCGTTCATCTTTTACGGTGCAAGTGAGGCCGAGCCCATCTCTAAGATCCGAGTCGAGGAGCGAATTCTCCTGGAAGCCAATCCTTCTAATACCCTGGCTTCCTCGCAAAAGGCAAAAGGACCGAACGGGATTTCAGGGCTAGATTTCAACAAGGCCGATTCGGACTCTGGTTTTGACGGCGGAAATGTTAACGCAATATGCGTGGGTCACGTCGACCTGGACGGCGGGTTCGCGCTTACGGCGATTGCACCCCTGGATGACAAGGACGCAAATGGGAAGCAGTTCCTGGGGCTCGGTCACATTGGCGAGATTGTTGTCTCGGGTCCCCATGTCCACATCACTACTACCTCCGATGATGAACGTGTCATACGCGAACTCCCCTCGGCAGCTAACGGTGGGAAGGACAGAGTCTGGCTCAGGACAGGCGATTGCGGCTATCTAGACAGTGCCCGTCGTTTGTGGTTGGTTGGTCGTGCGTCATGGGTTGTCAAAGAGGACTGGGAAGAGGACGGCCTTCACTCTCTCCGCTACTGGCCTATTGTTATCGAGCGGTCTGTTCTCGAGACCTTTGGTCCCTCGCACGGCGTCACGTATGTCGTCTTCATGCCATCAGGAACGACAGGCAAGCCAGCCTTGTTTGTTGAAGTGCCTAAAGGTCTTCCACTTGCAGCCCACACCCTGATTCTCGAGCACCTTCAAGAGACCTTTGACGTACCTGTCGATGAGCTTCATGTCTTCCGAAAACTGCCCCGGGACAAACGTCATGCATCCAAGATCAACACTATGGCTCTGACCAAGATGATCAAGAACAAGAAGGCCACTGACAAGGTCATCATTCAGCGTGGTGACATTAACGGAACTCTCAATGACAGTCTTCGTCGTGGACTCACCCCTACCTCGTTCAAAATTTCCTCGACCTCCTCTAACCTTGCTGCGCGTGATACGCTTGCTAATGCCGAGGTTCCTCCTTCCGTCCCCGAAGGGCACCGCTTCAAGTTTTCGGACCCTAAGCAGAACCACTTTTTGTTTGCATGGCACCCTGCTCATCTTCTAGTGCAGTATGGAGGCGGGAAAGCCAAAAACATGGCAACTCTTACGAACCTTGTAAGCAGAGTACCCGGTGTCCGTGCTACTGTCCCTGCATGGTTCTGTGTCTCGACCGAGGCATTCAAGGCCTTCCTGTTGGAAAATCACCTAGACTCTCAAATTGCTCCCCATATCACCACCGCTGAGGGGCTGGAGGCATTCCATGCTTCCTTGACGCAAAAGATCATGGCTGCTCCGCTGTCGTCCGCCATGACACAAGAGATCACCGCTTTGGTTGAGTTCCTCAGCTCTACGACATCGTCTTCAACTAGTAGACCTTACTTTGCCGTGCGATCTTCCGGTGCCGACGAGGACTCTGTATCCCACTCTTTCGCAGGCCAGTTCGACTCCTTCCTATACCGTCAGTCGATGGACGAGATTATCACAGCGCTGAAGAAGTGCTGGCTGTCAGCCTTCGCACCCCGTGTTATGTCCCATCGCCTTGCTTGTAGCTTGCCAGTGAACCAAGTCCGCATGGGTGTCGTCATCCAGATTATGGTTGACTCCGAGTGCGCTGGTGTTGCCTTCTCTCGCCACCCATTGAATCCGATTAGCGCCCATGTTTCGCTGGTTGAGGCTGTCTGGGGTCAGGGTGAAGCCTTGGTCAGCGGTGCTGCTGAGCCCGATTCGTTTGAGGTCGAGCGCGGACTGAACGGAAAGGTCAAGGAGACATTGGTTCCCAAGCCGAAGATGTGGATCCGCAACAGCGGTGATGCCGAGGGCAGCGATGCTACTGGTCTTATCGCTATTGACGTCCCGGAACCCAAGGCCAGCGCTGCTACTCTGTCGCACGACCGTGCCAGAACTGTGGGCGCCACCGTCTCGGGGCTGGAGTCCTTGATCGGAACCCCCGTTGACTTTGAGTGGGCATATCAGGAGGAAGACCCTATGCTCTACTGTCTGCAAGTTCGCCCTATTGTCAACTTGCCCCCAGCGTCGTTCTTTCTTGCCACGGACCCAGTCAAGTCGGAAACTTCGTCCGAGACGTTGCACGAATCTGATATCTCTATTCAATCCTCCGTCTCATCAATCGAGGGCAAAGAGACAAAGAGCAAGAATAAGAGCGATCTCGTTGACTTGTCCACAATCGCCGACCGAGCATTGGACTCGTTGGCGGCGGCTCCTCAGGGCATGAGCGTCACCCTATGGGATAATTCCAACATTGTCGAGTCCTACTCCGGCGTGACCACGCCATTGACGTTCTCCTTTGCCTCATATAACTACCGTATCGTTTATGAGACCATGCTCACCTTCTTGGGAACGCCCACCAAGTACATCCAGGGTAACGAAGACGCCTTCGTCAATCTTCTTGGGTATGTCCGTGGAAATGTCTACTACAACCTAATGAACTGGTACCGGCTACTGCTGCTGGCTCCCCTTGGCAAATTCTCGGATCCCAAACACATGGAGACCATGATGGGTGTCAAGCAAGGGCAGGACGGCAACGCGGACATGGAGAAGGAGTTCAAAAAGATTCTTGATGCCAGACCAAAGTTTAACGCCTGGCACCGCACCAGCTTGTTGCTCAAATATATCTCTGCATATCGCAACATCGACCGCATCGTCAACAACTTCTTCGCTAACTTCGATGCCTTCTACAGTACTGGCCGTGAGATGAACTTTACGACCATGTCCCTCGAGGAGATCGCGATTTACTACAAGCGTAATGCTAGTGCCCTCCTACGCGACTGGAAGGCACCTGTGATCAACGATCTCCTAGTGATGGGATTCTTCGGGACACTCAAATCCTTCATTGCCAAGCATCTTGTCGAGCCCAAGGCAGTTCCTACCGCCGCTGGCGGCGTTACTCCCTCCGCTGCCGAAACCACTGCTGCTGCCGCTGATGCCGCCGCTGTGGATTCCCTTCAAAACGATCTTCTTTGCGGCGAGGACGTGGAGTCCGCCAAGCCTACGAAGATGCTGATGGAGATTGCCAAGTCGATTGACAACACCATTGAGTATCCTGGTCTTGGTGAATGGTTTTCGAGCCATAAGGACGAGATCCTGAAGGCTGTGAAACCTGAAGAGAACCAGTGGATCCTGCGCTCGACCATTCTGAAACTGTCCTTTATTAAGGCTAGCGAACTCCTGGCAGATTTGAGTGTGACCCAAGCTGGACAGCAGCAGCCACCTGTCCAAGTTGTCGCTGATGTGTTGGCTATGCTCTTAGAGTTTTTGGACTCGTATGGATTCCGATGCATTAACGAGCTTAAGTTGGAGGAGAAAGACCTTAACGACGACCCAGGTATGCTTCAATTGCGCCTTTTTTTGACCCTCTTTTATTGTTAACAGTCTTTAACCCTTTCACTTCTCAATTACATAAAAACAGCATTCGTCATTGACGCTATTTCCGGCTATGTCCGCACAAAGGCCTACGAGGTTGATGATCTCGACAATCGCGAACAGCAAATCCGCGCGGCCGCCGAGGCTCTGGTCCATCAGAAACTCAAGGGTACTCAGTTGAAGATCTTTATGTGGCTCCTCCGGAACACCCGCCGCGTTGTCAAGCACCGTGAAAACCTTCGCTTTGCACGCTCCAAGGTCTTTGGTGTTATGCGCCGCATCTTTCGTGGCATGGGCCATCAGCTCGTCAAGTTGGGTGCCCTTGAGGCTGAGCAGGATGTCTTTTTCCTGACCACCGAGGAGCTTCTGTCATATGTCGATGGCCGTGCTGTCTCCAGGGACCTCAAGGCCCTGACAAAGCTCCGCAAGACTGAGTACGAGGGCTATGTTGCTGATGCTAATGCTCCACCAGAGCGTTTCATCACGCGTGGTGCTGCAGGCGTTTACATGTGGTACCCACACATCCTTGCAGACTTGGATCTCCTCAAGGACGCAGAGGATTCCAACGGCCCACCAGAGCCCGGTGTCCTGAAGGGTGTCTCGTGCTGTCCAGGCATTGTTGAAGGAGTTGTCCGGGTTGTCAAGGATATCACTGAGACCAGGGATCTCAATAATGAGATCCTGGTTACGGCTAGAACGGATCCAGGATGGGTGCCGCTTTACCCCATGTGCTCAGGCCTTCTGATCGAGCGTGGATCGTTGCTCAGTCACTCGGCTGTGGTAGCGCGTGAGTTAGGCCTGCCGACGATTGTTGGTATCTCGGGCGGGCTGATGAAGCGGCTCAAGACAGGCATGCGTATCAAAATGGATGCTGGAAAGGGCAAGGTGTATATCTTAGACGAGCTCGAGGCTTTGGAGAAGGCGAACAGCACTAGCGAAGTTATTGCTGCCCCCGCTGCGGAGGCTGAACCAATCTCTGCGTAAAGGAGCACTATACGAAATATTACAATCAGCAACGAATATTATGAACAAGAACAGCAATGTACAATAAGAAAGGATTAATAAATGTCTTTATTTTTCACTCTCGCCCTTTACTTTACTCTTTACTCTTTTTTTTTTTTTTTTTTTTAGTAGTTATGAAGGCGGGCGGAGGGTGTGGCGAACAACCCAATCCAAAGGGATTCCTATAACTGTGCCCAAATGGAAGAGGCCTCCCGTCTACCAGAGCCACCAGTAGCTCCATAAGGGTACCTTTCGAGTTTAACGAACCGCCTTCTCGTCCAAAAAATTCATTTGCGAGTAATCCAATACCCGGCCAAACCTGGTTCACTCGGAAAATGCCCTCGAAGAGCAGCGAGGGGCTTACCTTCATAAAACCAGGAACCCATTCGCATCGTTGGATAGCTTCTTTTTTTTGCGGACATGTTTCCTTTGACATTCATGCAATACACATACAACGACTTCGAATAGTCCAGATCTGAAGTCATTTAGTGGCGAAGACTTGGAGAAAGCAGAGTCGTCAGCTACTAAGGTACAGTTACATTCAGCGGTTGAGGAACGAAGTTGTGGATACTAGTCTATAATCCTGGGGCAAATCATTAGCGGATCTTTCTCAGTATTATGAAGAAATGGATGGGTATTTATTAAGAGCGGCTGGATGGATAGATAGCAGTACGCATTAAAGGTGAGAATGATTCGGCTGAGCAATGCGTCAACCCTAAGAAGCGTGTCCCATGGTATAGGCGTGAATAAATGATGTTTACAACAATAGCGGCCTTCCTCCTACCTCTCTCTCTCTTTTTTTTTTTTTTTTTTTTTTTACGCCTTCTTGGCCAAGAGAAGCAAGAGCCCAATGATCCTGAAAAAGATATAGTATCCCAACAGGATCAAGACTGCGCGCCACTTTGTCAACCACTCGATATGGTCCATTCCAAAGTACGCCAGCGTCGCCGTGCCCTTGTCAGACCCATCCGAGAACTCGTTTCCAAGCAATCCAGAGAATGCCCATTGGTAATAAGACGCCCAGAAGGCCCAGATCCATCCGCGGGGGATGTCTGTCCTGCTGACAATGAAGCCTGAGAAGAGCATGGCCATCGTGTTGATTAAGGATAAAAGATTCATGCCAACCTCGGCGTTCTCGGCACCGGCACCGATGGCGGCAATGAGCGAGAGGGCGACGTTCACAAAGACGGCAACAGACACAAAGTAATAGATCAAAGAGCCGTGCAGGCCGATCAGGTAGTAGGTGATGACGACAAAGATGACCGAAAGGATCGTGTAGGAGAGGGTCTCGACGATGGTCTTGGCCATAAAGTAGGAGGACGTGCGGTACATACCCGCTGCACGCTCGCGAAGGAAGAGGCTACGTTCGATGATAACTGTTGAATATTTAACAGCAGAAACGTTAATTCCTGAGTAGTACATAATGCTTCGAGATGTAGCATATAATCGGTGTTAGCGTTCCTTACACTGAGGCATGGCCGAGAAGGTCATGGTGGCGAGGAAGGAGGTAATAAAGAACAGCGCAATCGACTTGTTGAAGCTGGTGGCGCCCATCTCTGGACGGTCCTTCAATCCCGAGAACAGGGATCCAATAACGAGCGCAAAGATGATGTGGATCACAGCCGATGCCTGGAAGATGGTCGGGTGGCGGGCTAGATTGGTCAAGCTGCGCTGGGTTAGCAGCAGGGTCTGAGTCAGGCTTGTGGCGGCGTACTGTGTCGTGTATTGCTTTTTGAACTCGCTCAAAAGTGCGTCGCGTTCGATTTTCTCGGTGTTGTTTTGATGCTGTTTAAGGACCTGAGTCAGGTAGGCGTCTGGGTTTGTGGTAATGTAGGAGGCATATTTTTGGGCAAAGTCCTCGCGGTTGGTTGTGCCTTCTTCAGTGGACTCGGTCTTCTCCTGGTGCAGGGTAATCAAATCCACTAGAATGCCATAGAAGGAAGAAATGGTTAGTAATCAGAGTAAAAGAGGAAGCGAGATGAGGGATGTTTCGACAGATTGGGCGGAGGACTTACAGAAGTAGTCGGCGACGTTCCAACCAACGGGGCACTCGTGGCCAAGCCCTTCAAAGTATGCAGCTGCGGTTTGGGCTTGACCGAAATAGACGACCTTCCCTTGCGACAGCAGCAGCAGATCATCAAACAGCTATAACAGTGATCGAGTCGACACGAAAACGAATGTTAGCATCCACATAGACAACACGTTGCATGAATAGCATCCCTATCTCTTAACCCATTTTACCTCATAGATATCTGAGCGAGGCTGGTGGACTGTCAAGATGACGGTGCGGCCCCTGTGTGCGAGCTCTTTGATAGCATTGGCGACATTCAGGGCATCGGTCGATGAGAGACCAGAGGTAGGCTCGTCCAGAAGCAAGACGCTAGGGCTGGACAGGAGCTCGATACCGATGGTAACGCGACGCTTTTCACCGCCAGAGATGCCACGGATGACGGCACCTCCGACTTTGGTGTCCTTGATATGGGTAAGGTTGAGTTCCTGCATGACCGCATCGACCCTTGCCAGCTTGTCCTTGTTGCTCATGGATCGAGGGAGGCGCATCTTGGCAGCGAAGGTTAGGGTCTCAAGAACAGTGAGGGTCTCAATGAAATCTGTACGAAAGAGCAGTGGTTAGCCATGATACTACGCATGTCGACGCAGCATAGAGATGAGGATGCGTTTATAAAACATTACCATCTTCTTGGGTCACATATCCGACAAGACGCTTGCGGATAGAGCCGTACTCCTTGATAGGAACATCGTTTAACAGGATCTCGCCCTGAAGTTTACCGACATTGCGTGCCTGGCGATCAGCAAGGAGATCCAAGAGTGTTGTCTTTCCTGCAGGAAAAAAAATTGAAGAGGAGAGGTGTTAATACACAAGTTCATTACTTGCTCATACTAGGAACACTAGGACATGGTTAGCAGCTTCTAAAGCAGCAAGGACAAATCAAACATACCTGATCCACTGGGTCCCATGATGGCGAGGACACGGCCAGGAGTAGCCTTGGTAGTGATGTTGGAAAGCAATGCTCGCTGGACGTTGGGAGTCTTCTTAAAGATGGAGGACTTCTGACTATCATTGGCCTTATCCTTGACTGTGATCTCGTACTGAAGATTGGAGACGGTCAAAGACGCAGGAATAAATGGAACACTGTGGCCAGCATCCGTAGGGATATGGACAGAGGAGGAAGTGCTGGAAGTACTTGGGGCGCACTTTTCGAGGTCGATGGTCTTTGCCATTCTAGCAATAAAGGAGGAGGGGATGGAAAGAGGTTTGGAGGATTTATCTACAAGAGCGAGGGATGAGAGATGCTGATCTACAAAGACAAGAGGGAAGAGGCAAAGTGAGGAAAAGTTTCAGCTTGCTTAAATATCGAAATTTAAAGAGAGGGGCGGTGAGCAAGAAGTGGAGAAATAAGAATGGGGCAGCTTCCTGAAGTGACCAGTGTTTTCGAGGATAAAGGGAAGAGTAATCAGAAATGGGTGTAGCAAGGACGCCCGGACTACATCTGCACTTTTATGTGGATGGTGTTCCTTGTACCACCATCCCAGTTCTCATATTCTTCATTCAGTGCTAACAAAACCGCTGAACATGGGCACCGCGGAAATCCACTCGTCCGCCCTCTTACCTATCATAGAAATCGCATCTCACAAAAATGCTTGGCAACGCATCATCATTAGCTGCAGAGATGTCCTGACTCCTTTTCCCGAATGATGGGCCATTTGACTGAAAGGTGTGCTCATGCAAGCTATGCCTGTAAAGAAGACGCTGTTTTTAGTCAGGTACCCGAGTCACCAAAGCCGGGTTCTACAGAAACAAATGTGCAAGACTGTACATATTGTGTAATAGGTACAGATAGGGATAGATAAAGCCCTCTCTTGCGGTTCACATGTGAACCGACGCGATGGAGTACTGCAGTAGGTTGAATTATGCACAAAGTGGATAAAAGGATGTACTGCGCTTAGTGTATGTATTATGTTGATGTAATGCTGTTCCTGCGGAGAATGGTACAGCATTCCGGCAGTACATGGACGAACTACAAAGATCAAGTAAAACCAAGCCCGGCCTTTGATTTCTATGGATCGGCATTCAACTGCGTTTAATATATACTTTTTTAAGCATTTTAGCGCAACGTAAACTATTATTTTCCTTAAGATATAGTTACCTTAACTCTGTCGAGCATGCGCATCGTGCGAGATTTCATCTTCCGCATTTGCTCTCTTGTAATTGCGTCCTCCATAGTCCGCATTCATTTTATACGTTGGTTGTTTGTATGCACCATGTACCCGCACCTTCCACAGACGCACGCCACTTCAGGACCTCTGGACTATCTCGCACTCGACTCTCTTTTTTTTATTTTTTATTTTTTTCTTTGTCCCAGTCCCCTCATCATCTGCTGCTCATGTCCGCCCGTGTGTTAGGGGTATTATAACGGCCTCTCTCCCCCTCTCTTTCTCTCTTCTCCGCACAATCCATACATCTAATCCTGCCCCCATTGCAGTCTGTGCCAATAGACCTGTATAAGCCCCATAGAATCAGCTATCTTTACTTTCTTAATCTTTTTTCGTCTCTTCTTTCTTGCCACTTTCCACACACAAGCTCCCGAATTAACCACCAAAATCATGAAAGCCAAATCGGAAAACGAGTCTCAGATCTCTGTCTCAAGCACTGGCAGCAACCGGCAGGTTGATATCTTCGTTCAGTTCTCAGGGTAGGGTACCCTTCTTCGCCACATTTGGCGCTTGTTCATGTCTCGACTTGCCGACCACGAACATGTACTCACCCTACTCGACCCTATATGCACCAATGTAGATACAAGAACTGGTTCAAGTTCTTCGCAGAGCGCGTCGCACTCTTTGTATACCTATTAACCGCTGCTGGATATGTTTTGACCGCCAACTATGCCCTATCTGATGGATCGAAAAGTCTTCCCTTGCGACCATTCTTCTGGACCATGGTCATCGAGGCCTTCTTCCTGATCACGCTCAGGGTCATGGACGACTTGAAGGACGTTGACACAGTAAGTCAGAAATGCCTGGAGGCATATGCGTGCCTGTACGATTACCGCTGCCAAACAGTTAAGGAATAAATCAAATAACGTTTTTCCCTTGCAAAACGCTTTTCTCCTAGGATATTCTCGCTCACCCAGAACGTCCTTTGCCTCGAGGATTGGTCACTGCCCGCGAAGCCAATGTCGTCGTCCATATACTCGTATCGATCCTGATCATCAACGGAATCGCACTCGCGCTCGTCGAGAACCTCGCCTGCGGTCTTCTCTGCATCGCCACGACCTTGTACTACTATGCTATGTTCAAAGAGTTTGGATGTGGTCACTGGCTGAGCGCTCGTCCCATCCTGTATGTGATCACCCACCAGCTTGTTGTCCTTCTCATGATCCTCTTCCCAGTCGCTGCTTTCCATGGCGCCTCGTCACTCAAGTCGATCCTCTGCTGGCATGCGGCCTTGTTGCAGTTCGGCGGCTCTTTCACTTTTGAGGTCTGCCGCAAGTTGGACCCAACTGCTCATGTGGCCTTGGGAACATACTTAATCGCCTATGGCAAGTTCAAGACATTCCTGATGATCTTGTTTGCGGTCGTCATTGGCGCCTGGGCTTCGTATATCATGGCAGTCGAGATTATCATGTGGCCTTTCCTCGGATTCCTCCTCTTGAGTGTCCTGGTCCTCTTCTGGAAGCAGCGTACTCCTGGAACGCCTCTGACTGAGGGCGAACCTGCTCCCAAGGGACACAAGACGGTCGAGTTGATTTGCACCCTCATCACACTTTTGACCATGTATATCGTACCCATCAAAGTGTGGAGTGGAGTCCCAGAGACCGCCATGCGCACATTCCAATAATCTCCATGTATTTCTTAGCTAATAATAAATTATTCTTGTGTAAAAAAAAAAAAAAAAAAAGAATGTGTCCCTGGCTATGAACAGAACTCTTCACGATACAGTTTCTAAAAAGCAGCTGGTGAAGCTACAGCAAAAGCGAGGTGTACCGAACAAAAGCCATGGATCGATTAACGGGTTACGCAATACATGTTTATTCACTCCTCTGTTATCTCGAACATATTTCATCTACATTACTTAGATCCATACTTGCGCATGGTTCAGTCTGCTAACCTGATGCCCAGGTGAACTCCAGGCGAAGGCTTCAAGCTAACCGACCAACGCCAGTCGATCTCGCTGTTATTGGCCCTCATCTCTGGTGTCTGAATAAACTCAAACGTGTTGATAAGATTCGCAATATGTGTCTTCATCTCCAGCGTGGCGACCTTGTTGCCGATACAGCCGCGCTTGCCATGGTAGAATGGAAAGTAGCACAGGCCGTGCGGTGGCATGTAGGGGGGACATGGCGTATCAGAGATCCAGCGATCCGGATTAAATTCCAAAGAGTCAGGGCCCCAGATCTTGGGGTCTCGCTGCAGGATGAACATAGGAATCTGAAGATTCGTGCCAGCAGGGACAAACAAGGGCTCAAGGCCATTACTGCGTGGGAGATAATCATCCTCGACAGACACGCGAAGGTTCAGCTAGAAGTAGATGGTCATTTTACAAGAATAAAAGGGTCCGAGTCTGTGTGAGTTTGTTTGATCGCTCCTGAACTTATGCTTTAGACCAGGAAAAAAAAGTACATACAGGGACGGGTGACCAGATCCGAAGACTTTCACGAACAACAGCATTCAGATAGGGCAAGGAGTTCAAATCGTCATAGGAAGGATCGCCATTTGTATTGCTGTACAGCTGCCGGGTTTCTTCTCTAAGGCGCTGCTGGATCCCGGGATGACACGCAAGCTGGTAGAATGCCCATGAGAGAGCAGCCGAAGTAGTTTCCTACCAAAAAGAATACGAGTAAAGACGTAGGGTAATGAGTTGGCATGGCAAAGACTATATCTTCATACAAGGTAGAAAGTAAAGGAGAGAGAAATACTCACATGACCAGCAAAGATGGCAGTGAAGACATCGTCTTGAATCTGCGAGTCCGAGCAGCCCTCGCCCGTCAACTGATCCACTAGTAACATCGTCAACATGTCTTTCTTCTGACTGGACGCGCCTTCCTCCTGCGAAAAATTCCCACCGTTGGCTTGAATTTCGTTGAGCAACTCCTGCTTCCGATCCTGAACAATCTTTGTCATTGACTTTTTGAAATCACGCACGGCATTCCATGCTCGTCTGTTGGTCCTTGTTGGGATCCAGTTCGAAAACGGAAACAGGGTAAGCAGCGTCACTTTGAAGGACTCGACAATAATCCTGTAGTTGTCAAAGTCAGGGCCGATCGGTTGCTGGATGGCATCGAAGCCTCGGCCAAGCGCAAATTGGCCGATCGAATCCAGCGTCAGACAGTAGAATGATGGTTCAAGATCAATGGTCGTATAAACTTTTCCATCGTGCTCCCAATGTGTCTCCTTGCTGCTTATGTCCTTTTGGTTCTCCGTTGGCACTCTACCCCTCCATACTTGGATGAGATCATTGGCGACTCGTTGAAAGGCCATCGCCATCGATTTCAGGTACATGTGCTTGAATCCCGTTCCAAGGTACTTGCGGTGGGCTATGTGCTCCTGGCCTTTCATGGACAGAAGCGAGTGCCCAAGATTCTGCTCAAACATGTCTTCAGTCCCCTTGCTCTTGAGCCAGTTGTCGTTGGCCTTCCCAAGGACGTAGCCGACTGTTACGGGGTCTGAGGTCATAAGGGTTAATCGAGTAAACCAGTAGTATCGGTAAATCGAATCAGGATATTCCATTGCCCAGTCGTACAGGGTCATCATGGGTTTCTTTTTCGTTAGCGCGAGCATGTTTCCGATGAATGGGACCTTGGATGGGCTCGGACCTTGGAGCCGGGCGAGCGGATCAAGATAGTAAGGGTAGAGCCAGGATCGGTAGAAGCTGTAGGTGAGCACGGCGGAAAGGGCCAGGGCAAGGGAGATGGTCGACTGCTGCGTCACCTTGCCGATGACAGCCAAGAGAGTCATTGTGTGTTGAGTACGAAAACTGAGTAGTTGGGCAGGGTAAATGTCTAGCGGATTTGTAGGACAAGTTGGGATAAAGGCAGTATATATGACAGCAAATACAAAACGTATGCGCGCTTTTCTTGAGAAAGAAAGTCCTCTTTTGTGACGAACTCTTCACGTAGCGTATGTCAGTTGTGTCAAATGAGAAGGAGAGTATGTGTGAGAGAGGCAGAAAGTGCGTGGGTAACCCAATAGGGATCGTATTAAAAGATAAATCGGCGATGGTCTGCAGCACAAATGGATAAAGAAAGACGAAATACAAGTCGGACAAGGCAGGTTAATCATTTGTTCCGTTGCGCTAGTTGTACTGAATAAAAGGTGCAGAGTTGTTCGACCGGCGCCTACATGACCACCGACCTCATCAAGCATTAGTTCGATGGATGCACTTGGGATTACTCATCTCTTGGTATCAATGTGTTAGGCAATTGAGTGGTCTGCTTACCTTCGATCTGGTCAAGGACGTGAGGCAGGCGCATGTGCAAACGCGCCATAGGTGTCCCTTGAGAGAGAAAGAGAGCGGAAGAAATAAATGTGATTATAAAGAGCAGACAAACAAAACGAAATGAAACATTCTACAGCTCTGCAGTACTTTATGATGACACCCACCGTTTGCTTATTCTCCCTTATTCTCGTAGTGAAACCAAAGCGCCGGTTAACGTATTCAAGCTTAAGGATTTAAGAATACTGAGCACGGAACATCTCAATTCAAAGACTCAAATAGCGCGAACTTTAACTGCATGTTCCTGAGAAGAAATGCATACAATTGTTAACTTATCTCATTAATGTGAAGCCGATTGAATCGACTGAATCGAAGATACTTCATCCATGTACAGTAAACATTCTTGCGAAATTATAAAAAAATAAAACGCGTGTATGGCAAAATGCTCCTAATAAAACCACTATCACAAACGTATACCTCAGCTCATTTCTTTACTGAGACGCCTAATTAAACAATGTATGTTAATAAGGCACTGTTCTGGTTGGCTGAAGGATCTCGCCATCGCCCACGCCCACGCGGGATGGACGGAGCGCTCCGTGCCTGTAAGTGGCAGACGTAATGGATGACTAGCGCTGCCATTCTATAGTCGGCAACAACTCATAAAAAACCTTAGACCCATCCGCTAGCTGCACATTACCATTAACAGCGCAGCTAGTCACCTTGAAATGCCCCTGCCATGTTCATCCGCAGCCTTGTCTCAGCGGTGTGTGGTCTGGTCGGCTCGCGTACTGATCGGAATACTAAATATACTGACATTGGAGCAGTATCTGCCTGCACTCATGTACATCGAGCGATCTAAAGAGCGCGAGATAGCAGCACATGGTATTTCCCACTTAGCAGGGTAATGATTCCATTCTGGCAGCTCCTCTTGATCTTGTTATGTATGTCCGCAAACACTGCAGCAAAGGAAGGCGCGAGCATGGCGACCTTGACCATTTGGTTGCATGGACATGGATGCCTCTGAGACTTGGGATCAGACGGGTGCTCATGTTTTTATCAAACCAAAAAAAAAGAATTGAAAGATGTGTATTGGCGTGCTGCACCACAACAGAGGCCTGGCGAGCACAATGATATACTTTAATAGCCATAGCCTACAAAAAACTAATAAAAGGGTATGCAATCCCCTCGTCCCCATTGCAAACGAACACCACTCATTACCAAAATTCTCTTTGATACTGTGCCACAGCTGCTGTATGCTCATATTCCCCCTCCCCCTTTGTTTTCCCTCCCTTAATTTCATCTAATTCATTCTACATTAAAGTTATAGTCCGAATACGCTAACCCAGGAACCGCATGTAAGGCAAAAACTTCACCCAGGGACACGTATAGCTGTTTTTTCTTGCCGTACCATTCGCTAAACCCCACGCGCACATTTCTTCACCTGTAACCTAGTCCATAGGCAAAAGAACATCACCATTACAAAAAAAAAAACGTCCCTCTACTCTATCCTACTCGACTGCCTGCATTCAAACAAGCCATGTCGCATCATCGCTACAAGTTCGGGCCCACCAAGGCCAGGGAGTTCTATACCGAAAACAATGTCATCTTCCTGACAGGAGCAACCGGGTTTGTCGGCAAGACCATTCTTGAAAAGTTGCTACGTTCATTCCCTCAGATCACGAAGTAAGGCATCTTTGAAATGTTGTCTATGCCTTCTCTCCAAAGAACATCTTTTTTTAATAATCATTCTAAATTATTCTACTACCAGGGTGTACTTGTTGGTTAGGATATCAGGCACAAAGACTCTGCAGGACCGTGTCGAGACCGATATATTTGGTAGCCACATCTTTGACACGCTAAAGGCTCAGTTCTCGAGCCCACGAGAGTTCCATGACCGGATCGTAAAGAAGATTGTACCTGTCAAGGGTGACATCACGATCAACATGTTGGGCCTCTCGGGCGAGGATCTGGCCATGATTCGCGAGGATGTAGCCGTGGTGATTAACAGCGCAGCTTCAGTCAGCTTCGACGATCCCCTAAATAATGCCCTTGAGGTAAGACGCAGCTCTTTCATATTCTGCTACATCCGTCAACAATTGTACGTAACTTTACATATAAACTAATACGTATTTTGTTTGTTATTCTTGACCAGATGAATACAAAGGGACCCTTCCGTACGTTTGATGTCGCCAAGGATGCCAAGCGACTCGCAGCATTCGTCCACATCTCAACCTGCTATGTAAATGCACCCATGATTGGCGCCCATATCGATGAAACCATCTACCCTCACCCCTTTGGCGAACCCGAGGCCATCTATGAGATGTTGACAAAGATGTCGTACGAGGAGATTCGTAACTACGAGCGGTCCGTAGTCCTGAAGGCCTACCCCAACACCTACACGTTCTCGAAGAGCCTCACAGAGCATTTGATCCAGAAGCGGTACAAGAGTATGGGCTTGCCCATCGTCATTGTCCGTCCTTCAATTGTCACAGCGGCCCAGAAGGAGCCCGTGCCTGGATGGGTCGAGGGTGTTGCTGCTGCCAACAAGGCTGTCGTATCCTGTGCACTTGGCCAAGTGCAGGAGTGGATAGGGTCCCAGGTGAGCTACCCTCGACTTTATTCAGTGAATACTTGCATACGGGAATATTTGCTGACTATTCTCCTGTGCTTCCTCTACCCGATAGGCCGCCAGGACAGATCTTATTCCTGTTGACATTGTTTCCAAAGTAATTCTCCTTGCTGCTACGACCGCGGACAGCACATTGACCACGCCACCTATTTACCACGTTGGCACCAGCTGCATCAACCCCATAACCTGGGGTCTCTTTGGCATCTACCTGGTCAAATACTGGAGCGCAGTTGAGAAGCCCCGCCGCCGCATCTCGGATGACATTCGGTTTGAGATGTATCAACCTGCTGAGTTCAAGCGACGCTTCGACAGCCGCTTTGGAGAACAGATCCGCACCCTTGCACAACATAAGGACGGCAAGAGACTGAAGGTCCGCATCTCCAAGGCCATGGCTGTACCTATGACTTTTAAGACCTTTGCTCTGAACGAGTGGTTCTTCGATGTGGTCAATACCCTGGCCCTGGATGACGCAGCGCCCGCAGAGCTCAAGAGTGGACTGAGGAGGGGTATGGACTGGCATCGATACATGGAGGATTACAATGCGGGTGTGCACGCCTTTATTTTGAGAGAGAAAGTCAATCGTTCTATCGTAATTGATTCTTCCGTAAAAACTTGGAAGAGTGTTCTGCCCTTGGAGCAGAAGAAGAAAGAAGGGGAGAGGCTAGAGAAACCAGAGATTGCTGCTCGACTCTGATTGTGCATATTTCGCCTTTGCTTTCTCCATTTTCATTCCATAACCAGTCATTCCCACCGCAAATAAACGCATCAACGCTTTATCACGATAGCATTATATTGTATGAGCTGTCTGTTGCAAAGAATCGCTCAAGAGAGAAGGGTATCAGTAAAAAAAGTCCCTAATGGTGGCGCCAATAATACTCTTCTTGACGCACGCTATGGGCTATTACTTGCTGACCAGTTCTCCGTTCTTCTTGGCGAGAAACAAACATCTGCATGCATCACAGTGGCCAGCTTCATCTACACATGTCCGCCCCAATCGATCCTTAATGTCAATATCAATTTCCGGGTAGTTCTCCAGCAGATACTCCATCAGCGCATGACGATGTTCAGTTGCGACGATGTGCATCACTGTTCTGCGGTCAAAAAGTGCGCGGTTTAGATCATACCCTGCTCCAGCAATCAACGATACGCGATTCAAATCCCCCTCCGAGGCAGCAATCATCAGCTTCCATCCCAGGTCCGAGACCTCTGAATCGTTAAAGTGAGCTCCTGTATCACGGAGCACCTTCACAACTTCCATACTGCTGCTTCGTGTCACAGCGTCGTACAAAGGCGTGTGGTTCAAGCGATCACGCGCATGGATCGTTGCACCGTGGCGCAGTAAGAATCGAACGACGTCCAAATGACCAGCGCTACACGCAATATGCAGTGGTGAGCGACCCTCCCAATCTCCATGACTCAGACCGAGACCGTCGCCACCCATCACAGCACTGCCAACTAATCCAGGTGTGGTCGCATCGTCCGGCTTTCCAGGCCCAACGATCTGCGACGCCTTGGTGAGACCCTGACCATCCGTCATAACATCCCAGAGCTTTGTCAGACCCTCCAAATCGCCACTTCCGGCAGCACCGCAGATTAGCAGAGGGTACAGGCTACGCTCGATCCAGCGCTGATCTTCCAATGTTAACAGACCGCTTCCAAGCTCAAAGTCTGGGTTCGAGAACGAAGAAGTTACTTCGGGTGTGGGACTTCCTACTGGCGAAGATGCCTCTGAGTTTGAAGACGACTCTGGGCCCTTGATTGTGAACGAAGCCGTCTTCTTGGGCTCGTTTCCCTTAATCTTTGTCTTCCCCAATTGTTGTACGATCTCCGTTGTCGCCTGCTTCTGGGCCTGGTTCGCTGAAAACTCCACTCTGCCTTCTGTCTTGGGTGCATTGGTCAGCGTTCCATTTGTTGCTGCCCTGAACAAGAGCTGGAGCATGGCCTGGGTGCGGTTGATGTAACTGAAGCGTGTTCGAGGCTGAATCGCTGTCAGCTCCCCGCGCAGGTTCTTGGTCATCATCTCGCGCACCACAGGAATAGGCAAATCATGCCCGAGAAGATATGACAGCTTTGTGAGTGCGCACTCTGGTGTCATGTCGTTTCCTGGGATGACTCCTGCGTTATAAAGAACTTTGCCTGTCTGGTAAGAGTCCGTTACCAATCCACGCTTACCTATGTCGATTCGAAAAAAAAAAAAAAAAAAAAAAAAAAAAAAAAACAAACAAAAAACAACAACAATCAATCAATCAAATCAATCATGATGTAAGTCGTATGTGAAACAGCCTGCCATTTCCCCTTCGGAAGGATACTACACGCGGTTCACCTTACATTGTGTACAGTTGACAATAACGACGCCGCGGTCGCATGCCTCCTTTAGGGCAGCCACCAGATCTGCTCGGGTAGACGGGGCATTTCCGGCTCCGTACGTTTCAAGAACAATTCCCTGGATTGATGGGGCCAGAAAGGTCTTTATGGTCGAGTCCGTGATTCCTGGGAAGAGCCGTAGACTGGCCACGTTAGGGTTCATGGATTTGTGGGCTCGAAACCGGGAGAGAGAGGTGGGGCGAATGACTTCGGACCAGTCGACATCTGACAAGACGATCAACGAGTCAGTTACATGAACATTTGATGGATAGAGAATCAATGGCGGGCATACGAGAAAGAGCACTTACCAATGTTGATGCCAACCTTGACTAAAGGGGGGAGATTGGGGCTGTCAAAGGCATTGAAGTCGATGGCGTCCATCTTTGAGGACCGGTTGCCCCTGAACAGCTTGTTACTGAAGTACAAGCACACCTCAGGGATGACAAAGTGGCCAGCGATCGTCAGCGCGCCCAGAAGATTATCGATGGCATCATTCCTGACCTCGGTGATGGGTACTTGAGAACCAGTGATGATGACAGTCTTACTGCGAGATGGCGGGCATCGTTGCACAAAGGCGGGGAAAGTAACGAAGAATTAATTTCACATACCGCGTGGAATATAAACCCCGTGTGAAAAAAGAAGGCTCAATGATGGGGTAAACCAAAGAAGGACATGTCCACACACGGACATCGAACAAACAAATCCGCAGACAGCGACCACACAAGACAGTTGCTGAGAATGAACCAAAAAAAGAAAGATACATAAAAATGCAGCATCCTTACAGGAATTGGGGTATTTGGCAAGTCATGTTAGCCAGAATTGGCTCATTTCACTCACCCAAGGTCCTCTAGCATAAAGCTCAGTGCACTGGCTGTATAGGCCATAGTGTCAGTGCCGTGCAAAACAATAAATGCGTCATATAGCTCATAATTAGCCTCAATGTCCGTCGCGATTCGGACCCAGTCGGTCATGGTCATGTTGCACGAGTCCAGCAGAGGATCATATTCCAGAATGGAGTATCGGATTCGCTTGCCGTAGAGCGAGGGTGGGGTGATGAGCGACGGAATCTTGCCCTGTCTGTTAGGCAGGTGAGAAAAACAGGGGAGTCGAATCTTGTTGACAGGGGTATTGGGTGGTAGGGTTGCCCCTGCTGCGGTGCCGTTGGTCGTTGCGTATTCTGGTGGGATGGTGTGGTGACTGAGAAGGCCATTCATGGCTGGGTCCAGATGCTTTCCCAGGTTCGTGTTGGGCAGCGACTCCAGGTTGACACCGGAATTGGTTCGCGAGAGTCTTCCAAAGACGTCGTTGAGCGAGGGCAGGTCATGAAACCGCGATTGCTGCGAGAGGGTATCTGCGAGGAAGTTTGGCACGGGGACGTATCCGTGCTGCTTGGTGTTGCTCATTCCGATCGTACCACCGGTATAGATAATAAGGACTCGCGAGACCTCTGATATGCAGGGGCAGGTAAAGGGCGCGTGCACAGGGTTGGTTATTGTTATTTTTGGGTCCAGTCTCTCTGTCTAGGCCGTAACATTGAATCTGAAAAGTGTGCATACCACAGGGCAGCATCTCGTCGATAAACTGTGAGAGCTGATAGTCGACGGCGGCATTTTCGAATGCGATCGTGTCAAGACTATCGGAGAGCGGCACGTTGAGCATGATGAAGGACGAAGGCGGGTATGTGAAGGATGGAGAGGGAGAGAAGAAAAGGGGCTGAAAGGCGATGGAGAAGAAAGAAAGATAAAAAAAGATAAACGCTTTTTATTTGAATTTTGCTGGCCACGGACAAAACGACAAGATACCCAGAACGCCAAAGCTGTGCCACGGAACCATTGACTCCACGTGATCAATTGAGCCATTTGCCGGTTTCTCACCTACTAAATCCTCATCACTCGTCGCTTGATCAAGGTCCTTTCTCATCTCCTAGCACACTCTCATCTCGGACGCGCGCTTGTCCTAGTGTTCTAGGTCATTCACTGGAACCACACCTTTGAGCGAGAACGCATAAATATGCCGCCGGTAAAGAGAAACTGCCCTTTCTCTACTTATTGCTGCATGTGGATTGTTGCTATCTTCTGTTGAAATCAGAGAAACTAACTGGCAGATTCTTCGCTTATCGACACAGCTCAATCAGCCCATGTACTATATCCAGGATGTGCCGGTCCAGTATTTGCATTTGAGTAAGGCTCTCCGGGTTCTCTGCCTCTTCCCGGCCGTCTGGGGTGTATATAATCATTTGGTCCAGGCCCACAGCGTCGATAATCGATATGCACGAGCCATCGACCCAATGATGAGCTCTGCTCTCGACAACTACGTTGGCGTTCTCTGGGTGAGTACATGTTCTTTACATGCATTTGGATTTACCAGCCACCGTGTAATTCCAATGAATAACGATATCTCGAAATTAATCGTCCGCCAATTGCCTGATAATTAGTGTTTATTGAGTGGCCTGTGGACGTTTTGGCTGACCAACAGTCTGATCCGCCGATGGTTCATTCACTACGAACCCCGGCCAGCTATGATCCGGCTCTTCACTCTTGGGACATTTTACTGGTTTTCAGTCTTGTTCTTTGTCAGTTACTTTGGTGCGGATGAGCCCATTTGGCCCTGGATGGTTGTTTGCGCCATTCTTGCCGTTATTCAAGTCATTCAGATTGCTCATTTCAGGGTCAAGGGACACTATAAGGTGGAGGTCAAGGAGAAGCCCAGGCGAGACTCGAGGTCATTGATTTATAGGACGGTCTTGATCCCAGGCGGAATCGTCTCATTTATCACGATGGTCATGCTCTTACACCAGAACAACATGCGTCCATCAACAGCAGAAGCAATCGCTACCGGAGGAGCCACAAGTATCTCCGCCACGAGCGATGCCAAGCTGATCATTGGAGTTGCACAGGTCCAAGTGCTAATCATCATCCTCTCATCGTGGTCCCCCAAGGCATTCCAGAGGCGCCGCGAGATCAGAGAGACAACTCTGAAGCTGACGCCACCGTCTTCATCAAAATTTGCCTACACCTACAAATTTGTCTTGGGTGAAGCACCAAGCAGCCACACAAGGAACGCCATGGGCGCAAAGATCAGTGCTGAGATCCGCAAGCACGATGATCTTTTGCTGTTACCCGTGTCCGATACACAGGAGAATCGCGGCTTCAAGCTTTTCAAAGCATTGGAGTGGAGCAATAGGTTCAAGTTCGATTTTCTCTGTAAAACTGATGACGATGTCTTTGTCAGGTGGGATACTGTTGCTGAAGAACTCATGGTACAAGGGCCATCACATTACTACTGGCGCGGGCTAGCATTCAGGTTAGTGCAATTCACTATTCTCGACTCCGTTCAGCGATTACTTCATGAAAAAGACAGATTTGTTAATGCCTATCATGCTGTGTTAATGAACATGACTAGGAACATGGAGCCAATTGCGAACTCGGAGACAAAAGTCAAAAACATGGATGTCGCAGGGATCCTTCCGCCGTTTGTTGCTCATACCTTCTATGTCCTCTCGCGCGACATTGTTACACTGCTGACGTACCCAGGGCCACGGATATTCACAAGACACGAGGATCAAAATATTGGGCTCTGGCTGCACGCCTTCAATATCGAGCCAGTTCATGACCGAAGAATTCAACAGTGGGACGTATGCGAGAATGATATGATCGCTAAACACGTTGGAGATGTATCCAAGCGCCTGGAACCTATGCAGGAAATGTATCGGAATGTTGTTGCCAACAAACCCCTTTGCACCGGCTTCCGACAAGACCGTTGTGCACTATGCTACTCGTGCTATAATCGTGAGAGACACTGGAAGGATCTCGGGCTGGACTGCGACAGTGTTCAAGGGGTCATAATTATGAAGACAGGAGGAGAACTCGAGGAAGGGCTGACTGTGGACATCAAGGACGCCATGCCATCCCTCGGCAAAAACCCCAAGTGGATCATCCCTGGCATCGTGAGCGACAAGAGCAGTATTTTCTCCGATAACGAGGGATGGGCTCGTTTGCATTGGGCTATATGGACGACAGATCCAGCGACAACGTGGCAAGCACGCCATTACCAGGCTATTGAATCCCTCTTGGTCCACAATCCCAGCGCCGTTCTTATCATTCTATCCAATACCCTGCCCGCTACCTTCTTTGCAGACTATACCCGGCAGGGTTACCAGATTCACATCATGGCCTTCTCCAAGGAACTGCTTCTTCATCGTGAATGGTTCTTTGGTCCCGAGACACAGGGATGGCTACAGAGGTGGGACGAATGGTCGCAAAAGGGGCCGTATTTCCCAGTCCATCTTGCGGATTATCTTCGCCTGGTGGCCATCTACAAGTACGGTGGGCTTTACATGGACATGGATGCGCTTTGGTTACGGGCTCCTGGAGATGGCATTACAGAGTTCATTGGTTCCGATGTGTCCGACACCGAAAGCGACCTTGCATGGACTTTGGACGAGAAAAACACATATTTGGCGAACGGAGTGATGCGCTTCAGGCGTGGTCGAGCCATGTTCAAACACATTGCCAATAATGTTTTCACAGCAACGAACTATGACTCCGATTGCTTCAACTGTGGTGGTCCAAAGGCATTTACGACGTATGTCAAGACGCATAGGACTTCATTGGAGAAGAATGGACTACACGTGTTGCCTCGAGCGGCTCTCTACCCCTACAGCTGGAAGGAAGTTTCGACCGCCCTGGAGAAAACAGACAAAGCAGAGGAAAAGATTCACCAGCTAGAGGAGCGTGGTATTGGCCTTCATCTTTATGGCAAGGTCACAAGCCGCAAGGAAATCGAGGAGGACAGTGTCGTCGCTACAGCGCGGAAGATCTGGGGTTTGGGTCTCTCGTCTGCTGCATTAGGTCACAGATTCAGTAGTCCCAGGCTTCAAGGCCCGAAGACGCTGTACTATCACGTATCGCCGACTCTTACCGCTGCGGCGCTTAAGGACTCCTTGCTGGCCAAGGTGCCGGGCGCTTTCATAGGCGTTGATGCAGTGTTCGTCCGTGGAGCTCAGTCCTCTAGCGAAGAGTTGGTCTTGAGGAAGGCGTCCATATCGATTTCGGTCAAGGAGGGGTCCATTTCCACGGATGCGTCAGGGGCAGGTATGCACAAGATCCAGCTGGATTTAGGGCATGCAGTCACCATGGCACAGCTCAACCTGGCCTTGTCTGGCATCCGATATAGTCCACCAAATACGAGGATAGCATGGGCAGGCACGGACCAAATTGTGATTCTGGTTGAGTTTGGTTCGATGAAAGAACAACTAGATATCCCTGTGGTGCGGAGAGAGGGTAGGACCACTTCCTGAGATTTTGCTTCGAATGCTTTCACTTCCTTGCCTAGCGACGCGTTTACGCGTTTTAAAACGCGAGTGACTGTACACTGTAAAAATAATAAACAAATTTAAAGGTAGCGTGTGCCTGAACTGTTTTCTGTTACCGTGCGACAATTTCTACAACCCACACTTCATCATCCTTCGAGTCCACTGTAACGACCAGGAACCATGACTAAAGTGACATCGAGATGGGCACACTCTAGCGAGGTGTCCGGGTTGGCTTACACTCCCGATGGAAGGTCCGTAACTCTCGCGATGTTGCGATTGTATGCAGCAACTTGACGCGGCGAGACTTGCTCAACGTTCTTGCCTACTCTTCTCTTATATGCTCTCGTTCATCATAGCCATATAGTAACATCCTCCTCTGAAGAGTTCGATATGCATCTATTTCCGCAGAAGGGAGACAAATCCATCCTAAGCGCTGATAAAATAGAGCTTCAGGAACCCGCGAACTGTCTCGTTGCTACCGTAAGGCGAAGTCGACATGCATTATATACGACTGCGATTCATGGAATCTTTGGATATCCTTGCAAGGATACATTATCGGAGCGTATGGACAATGGATCAGACGTTAACTCCCCTTTCTCTTTAGCAAAGCCACATTTTCACAGGGTCCAGCGACGGTGTTCTTCGACAATATAGCATTGAGGACAAGATGTTCGTGGGAGTCATAGTTCGATACGAGCTTGGGGTCCGATGCCTCGCCATATCACCCGACGAGAATCTGTTGGCTGTGGGAACAGAGTAAGGGATTCTACATGTCTTTCGCATCTGGACTGAACTGTGGAGGCGCTTCAGGAAGTTTAACGCCTCGATTTGGATCTTTAGGGCGACAGAGATCAACATTATTAACCTGGAGGATCCGGAAAAATGCTGGTCATTCAAGGGCCACAAGAAAGCTATTAATTCTCTATCCTTTGACCCCCTGGGAGAATTCTTGCTGTCATCGAGCTGTGATGGCACAGTGATCGTTTGGGCTCTGAAGACAAAGAATACGGATCCTCTTGAGATCATCAACATCGTCCCTCCAACTACAGCAGACTCAACAACGAAGATTCCAGTTGCATGGCACCCGTCCAACGAGTTTTTCGTCATTGGCAAAGACAAAGATATTACTGCACACCACAGACACACATGGAAAAAGTCATTTACATACAGAACTGGATCCTCAAACGTAAGCAAGAATTATTATGAAAGATCGGCATATAGCATCAAGCATAGACAGGGCAACTAACATAGTTGATTATACTCCAGCCTGTCAGATGCCTCGCATGGTCACCGAACGGAAAGTTCCTAGCTGCCTCCTCAACAAATGCCGAGCTTTGGGTTTGGCAGTACAAGGAGAAGGAGAGCCCATTACTCATGCAAGTACTCATACCTGCTTAACTTGGGCGCAAAGGAACGTATGGAGCATTGAAAACGTGGATCTCATCATAATGCATCTCCATATTGTAGACACAAACACAAGAACGGAGGAATCACAAATATCGTATGGACTCCCGATGCAAACCGCCTTGTGTTTGTAAGTTGTAGTTTCGCTATACTCGGGCAAATATTCCTGGCCGAAATTTGATCCGCATTCTTATCTGGAGATCATTCTTGCAATCATCATCATTAGGCTGACACAGCGGGAGAGCTGTCTCGCTGGGACGATGTTATCGACTCTGAGAAGGGTACTCCATTCGATGTGCCAAAGCCTGACCCGTTGGATGGACTTTTTGATGATGCCGCTGCAGAAGACCCTAATATTGAGGACCAAGGTACTATTACTACCAGACACTTTATCTGCCGTATTGGATTAAACGTTGGATGTGGGCAAAATCCTAATCTAATCATCATCCTAGAAATGGCACAGGACTATTTGAGCGAAAATGAATCGCTGAATGATTTTATCGTGGAGGACGAGAACAATACGTACTTAGAAAAGAAACCAGGCTCATCAGGTCACAAAGCAGGATTGAGTACGCAGGCTGTCAAGGAACTGCATCCCCGTTTCCAATCAGGATCGACTGCTGCGCGTGATGACAGACGATACCTCGGTATGTCAGGAGATCATATTGCTAGTTAATACTAAGACGGGAGTCAAGAAATTAACACGATTTCAAGGCGCTCTGTAGCATTCAATCTCCTGGGCCTCATTACAAGCGTCAATCACGGCACACATGCGACTGTATCTGTCGAGTTCCACGACAGGGTCGCCCATCGCGGCTTCCACTTTACTGACAACTCTCACTACTCGATGGCGTGTCTCGGTAAGATTCAGAAACGTTATTCTTAAGTAATGGATTCACATGCAAATGCACAGCCCACTGACCTTGCCATAAAAAAACACAATAGGGGCAACTGGAACCCTTTTTGCTGCGGCATCGAATGACGGAAACTCGAGCACTGTATTTTACAAGACTTATGACAGCTGGGCTACGAAGTCGGAATGGCAGGTCTACTTACCTGAAGGAGAGGACGCAACAGGTAAATGAACGTTTGAACATGCTGCCTTAGACATTGATGTATCATTGGACATTTATAATATTCTAACTGGATTTGATTCCGAATTTGTATAGCTATCGCTCTGAATGCCGAGTCTGCTATCGTGGCAACATCGCGTGGATACATCCGTGTGTTTTCACAAAGTGGAATTCAGACAGCGCTTTTTAGCGTAGGATCTGTCATTGCTGCTGCCGGAAAGGACGACATGGTACTTCTCGTATATAACCACGGAGAACCCTTCGAAGGTGACCATTTCGACTACCAAACGCGTTCTGGCTGAACAAGAGTAATTGCTCTACTTATACCTACATGCTTAACATTATGGTATTTTACGATCGCTTTAGGGTCACAAAACCTGGGATATGTCATCTATAATGTCGAGACTGGTCAGCGGATACAACAGGGCGCGGTTCCAGTCGCAGACGACACTTTTATTACATGGCTGGGCTTCTCAGAAGGTGGTATTCCCGCCTTCTATAACGACAGGGGTGTGTTGTATATTCTCAATTACTATCGCCGAGTCGATCAGGGACAATGGACACCCATTTTGGACGGCACCTTGATAGATGCCGAATCGGATATCCGTCCCCATTATTGGCCGATCGGCTTTACAGATCAGACATTGACTTGTGTCAAGTGCAGAGTAAGCGCTAGGACTTTCATATTAATCTCCAGATACTGCTTGGTTCTGCTGGCGTCTTATGCTAACTCGAAGTTCCACTAAAATAGAAAGGAGAGTTTGAACCAGTGTTCCCGAAGCCCATTGTGTCGGAGCTATCGCTGAGGATGCCCACTCTCTATCAAGATACTGTGGCTGGGAAACATGAGGAAGGATGGCTCCGTCAAAAGATTCTATCTGGACTTAGCAAGGACGAAAAGATAGCCATGTCCTTTGAACGCACCGACAACGTTGTGGCGAAGAAGGAGCTCGAAATGGACAAGCTGGCTCTCCAGATGATCGATGTAAGTTGGCTCGGCATGTTACACCGATAGTACAAAATTCGTCGCTGTCACCACAAGAGACAACTAATATTCTGTCCTCTCTTTACAGTTAGCTTGCAAAGCTGATCGAACACAAAAGGCGCTGGATCTAACAGCGATGCTTTGCAACTTGAAATCCATCGATGCCGCGGTCAAAATTGCTCATCATCATAATCTCCACAGTTTGATGGAGCGTATGAACAAGGTCAAGGAGATCAAAATGATGGAGGAGCAAGATAAGGATCCAAATGCGGAGATGGACCTGATTATGGCCAATCCTGTTCTTGCCGAGCTAACCGCGAAGGATCAGCGCACTTACAGAGTATCATCAAGGGAGGAGGAGGAAGAGTTGGAGAGAAGAACAATCCAGCGGAGGGACCCTGTCAAGCCGAATGATCCATTCGGACGACGTGTCGTCAAGGAGACTAACACCAGCAAGGCAATCAGCGGTCATGTTTCGACATCAGCCAGTTCTGGAGCAGCCAATCCATTTAAGAAAAAGAGTGGATTGGATGCCATGGGTCCGCCTAGAGGGTTTGGCAACATCGTGAAGGAGTCCGACAAGAATGCGTTGCCAATCACACGACGAGCAACAGATGTATTTGAGGCCGCAGATTATTTGGTAGCGGATGAACAGAGGACAAAAGCAGAAAGGGAGAAACAATCACGACAGGAAGATCTGCTGAGGAAGAGAAAGGCCAACGGCGCATCGTCCTCTACGAATGGCGGACAAAAGACCCTCAACATGTTCAGTAAAAAATCGGCAACGGAGTCCTCTGTAACAGCAGAGGCCAAGCGGTTCAAGAAGCAGCAGGATGAAGATAAGGATATGGATGCACCGATGGATGAGGACGACTTTCTGGAGGATGCCATGCGAGAGGAAGATGCAGCAGCAGCAGTCCAGATCCCAGGCACGCAGGAGGAGGAAGAGCTAGAAGAGTCCCTTGAAGAGACGCGAGGCCAGCTGGAGAAGACACGTGTGGCGGCATCTTTCTCGCCCGTCAAGAGCCCATCTTCTGTGCTCGCGGGCTTCAAGTTCAATGGCGCGTAAGCTGCCCAGCATCCAGTCCTTTCTCAGATACATATCGCATACAGAATAAAGTAATGACAGTCTGCAGAGCTAGAATTGGTGGCAAGGTAATGGAAGGAGGAATATGATTGGCGCCCACAGGTGACGCCGACCGTGCGCAACTTACAGTTGAAGTGCCCTCTAATGGATTCTCCTCTCATTCCAAGACCTCTTCTTTAACAATCATTCCACCCTCCCCGTCATGGCCACTCGAAGTGCTCGCACAGCAGACAAGACCACAACCGACAAACACGCGCGCATCCTGAAGGCGCTGCTTCAGAAGCCCTGTAATAAGTTTTGTGTCGACTGCCGCAAAAAAGGTACCACTCGTATCTTCGCTCAATCAGTCGCTCCTGGACACGGCCTGAGTGTCTGAATCAATTTACTAACATCAACCGCCGTCTCTTATCGCCTCCTATCCTTACTAGATCCTCGATGGGCTAGGTAAAATTCGCCCCTTGTGTCAAGCACCGCAACCGTGTGTTACACTGTCTCAGAAGGATCTTACATTGACAGAGTATATTTGCTCTCAACGTGTAGTTTTAATTTGGGGTGCTTCATGTGCATCCGATGCTCAGGTGTACACCGCTCAATGGGAACACATATCAGTAAAGGTATTACATGGATTCAGGTAGAGGAGCAGGAAAAAACTTGGCGCATCAATCATTAGTCAAACCTAGGGACTCACTCAATATCTCCTCTTTGATCTTTCCTATCGTCATCGTTTTCGCGCGCTCGCAGTAAAATCAGTGGATCTGGACAACTGGACAGCAGAACAGGTGGAGAACATGATCAAGTGGGGCAACGAAAAGGCGAACATGTACTGGGAAGCGCGATTGCCCGAGAGCAGCATTCCTAATGAAAAGTAAGTTGGTCAGAGTTATTGACGCAGACAGGGCTACACGTCCGGGAGCAGAACGATGGATATGTTCGAGGCGATCGTAATACTCACGACACAGATTTCCAACTTGATACTTTTAGTACATCTGGGATTGATCCCTGGATCCGGTCAAAGTACGAATGGAAGCAGTTTACGAACAAGGGACCTGTGCCCGATCCGTCTGAGCTGGGGCCTATTGACGAAACCATGCTTATGGACCTTGTAAGGAGTGCCACCAAAGAACTGGGAACGTTATAAATGCAATGTTTAACTGATCTAGCAACACCTTTGACTTACTTTGCTACATTGTTCATCGGATTGCTAGTACGGAAACCCAAATAGTCACTCTCGATCACGAGCAAACGACCGGTCTGCAGAATCCTCTGAATCGTTCGGAATTATCGCGCCACCACCCTCATATCCAACACGCTCCTCAGTCTCCAAGCGACCGACCTCAGTCTTGGGTGGTGTTCAGAGCGCAGATCTTTTTTCATTTGGCCAGCAGCATTCGTCTTCAGTGGCCCCTATTGCCGCTGCTCAACAGGATTTCTTTGGTCTAGACGATCCAGAACCAACAAGTCCTGCCGTAGCACAGGCTAAGAGGGCCAGCATCCAATCACCTCAACTACAGCAATCTGCACAGAACTCAGCTACCCAGGATCTCTTCTCGCTAGTTGCGCCTGCGCCATCGCAGGGCCAACCTGCACCAGCTACAGCTCCCAGTACCTCCCAAACACAACAACCCAAGGCCAGCAATACCGACTGGAAGACTTCTATCATGTCGTTATATGGAAACCAGCCTTCAGGATTCAATCGTAATTCGATGGGGTACGCTACTAGCATACCGCAGCAACAGCAACAGCAGCAACAACAGCAGCATCAGCAACAGCAGCAACAACAGCAGCATCAGCAACAGCAGCAACAGACAGCCCAATTTAGTCAGCAGCAGAACATGAACACTTTTGGCTTTGGACTACAATCGCAACCGCAGCAACAGCAACCGAACCTGTGGAGTGACAACGATGGCTTTGGTGCTATGCAACAGGCATCGGTTCCTTCCACATCTTCATCATTTGGCTCTTTTGGTATGGGATCAAACACTGAATTTGGTGGTGTCCAGACCAACAGTGGATCCAATAGACCGGCCGGGGCAAACAATAACGCGGTTCCTCAGGGCGGTGATTTCTTCAATATGATCGCGGGCGCAGCGCAATCCCCAGCAACGAACCCTCCTGCTCAGAATAAGAACAATAGGTACCGCTGATATTTCGTGTTACGGTGTTCGTAATATCAAATGCTCCACAGTATAGGTTTCTAACAGCATCACTAACTCCGACGAATCGCGCAATAGTGCATTCGGTGACCTGACCTGGAACTAAATGTTGCAAGGCAGGATACTCATCAAATATCTCTCGAGATATCGTGGACACCAATGCGACACATCAGCGTTGGTGCAATAGAACGTCTCTACGCATTGTTGGAAATATAAATCTCGTCCGCATGTATCTGCCTTCGCCTTGTATTACAGCCACAGGCCATATAGTTTGATCCGTACACCTTGAGTTGGCTCCCAGACAGCTCAGCTGCTAATTTCACTGCTGTCTTTACAACCAGCTGCTTGCATCCCAACTTAATAAACAAAGGGCGGAAATAATATCCCAGTGCGCCTTGCCTTGTTTGCTCCTCCGACATGATAGTGGTGTTCTGGGGCACATCGATTCTAGGAACACTCCATGGAGGTGCTGAAGCGATTGAGGTCGGTACCGTGTCTGAACACTAGTTGCGCTCCGAATGCTGCTCCTACGAGCTGAACAAGGCTTATCGAACAAGGTTGATGCTTCTTCGACGGGAAAAGCATCGGTATGCTGTTAATTGGCCACGACAAGCAAGGAAGCAAGCATGAGACTACCACTAAATGAACCAACTGGTCAGAAAAAAAGATGGAACGACCAATGCTGTCGATGACCATACGAGACATAAACTAGTAAGGCTGCCTCTTCGCTCCATTATGCACGTGCGTAGTGGTCCCTAATGACGCCAGGGTTGTGCCTGGACCAAACTATCAATTCCTATGCAATCATCGCTGTGTGCATCCTCTTCCAGACCGATATCCAGCTCACTGGCCTGCTATAGATACCACCGCCAGCTAGACATACATCACAGCAGTGAACTGCGGCACTTCTGTGCAACGTCCATGTATTGACGTACCGTTATGCGTATCCCTTGCATGAACTCGCGTGACACCGCAAGACGTCTGCAGCCGGTCATCAGAGTGTCTCACTTGTCGCCAAGAAGGAAAAAAAACCGATAGCCAGCTTGGACGGAGACCAGTGCGGACACTTCGATGTACTGCTGCCGCTACTGCTACTACTACTGCTGCTGCTGCTGATACTGCTGTTGCTACTCGTGCAAGTGCATCAAGTATCTTCAAAAAGAGCTGCATCCTATTCCCCAGTTACATCGCTGGCAACACATATAGTACAAAGCGAGTATGTTATCGATCGTACAAGGCAGTCATCAGAGAAGACAATGGCTGTTCCTGAAATCCATTTCATATTGCTTCTTTTATTTTAGTTCGTTTCATTCCGCTTCGTCTTATTCTGCTTCATTTTACTTTATTTATTTTGCTTCACTTTATTCTATTGTATTTTGTTATATTTTATTTTGTTTTATTTTATTTCACTCTTTATTTTACTTCTCTGGTCTTTTAGGCAGAAGGAAAAGAAGAAAAAAAAAAGAGAGCGAAAGAAAAAGAAAAAAAAGAAAAGGAAAAAGAGGAAAAGAAGAAAGCCGGCCTGCCATCGGTCAGTCTTACTCAGAAGAGCAAGGCCGTGCAGGGCACACCTCGAGCAGGTTGCAAGCCATGGTGCCCCAAAAAACCACGAATGTGGGAAAAAGAGTAGATCTCACGCAGCAACCCATGCACCCCCGTTGACCAATCTTTTTTATTAGCCCTCGAACCCATGTGTAACCCCCAATCACGCAGAATAAGGCCCTGGTCATCATTGGCACTAGAGCTAACAGGGTGTCTTTGGCAACAAGAAACCGCCTCGTCAAGCGCAGAGCAGAATGTGCAAGACTCAGTGTTATTCAGAGGGGAACTGCTGCACAAAGAAATCGCAAAAGAGGGGGGCCCGCTCTTTGCCAACCACTACTGACCTTAGGCCTCAGAAATGGGGCTGTTCATCCTTGAATTTTTGTTTTTCGATTTCATTTTCGTAGCTTTTTCGTGTTCTTCGTCCCGGTGATGAACAAAAAAAACTAGAAAAGAATACGGAAAAAAAAATACGGGGAAAAAAAAAAAACGAACAAAACAAAAAAAACAGGGAACCCCGCAAGTGTGCTTGTACGGCTGACTCTGCGGTGTACAAAGTCCAAGAAAGCTCTGCGAAAGGTGGGAAGAAGGGAAGGGAGAGCGACAGAGATAGAGAGAGAGGATATAAGAGAGAGGAACGAGACCGAACAGCACACAAAGAGAGAGAGGACAGTGGAGAGGTGAGCGGCGATATCAGAGTGCAGGTGCAAAGAGTGAAGACGCGGAGAGTGCAGGTGCAAAGAGTGGAAGAGTGGAGGCTCGAAAAGTGCAGGTGCAAAGAGTGGGAGCATATATGGTGGAGGTGTGAAGAGAGGAGTGGAGAGAGTGGAGCTGGATGTTAGTACTTACCTTGACGTGAAGCAGTGACCTGGAGAAAAGAAGAGAAAAGAAAAGAAAAGAGTGAGGTACAGCCGCCGGTTTATATGCAGTCAGCGCCACCATCAGCGCCACCATCAGCTAGAGCCATTTACGGACGAGTGCATTGCGGCCAGTCCATCCACATAATGAAATCCACCCTCCAGAACAGGCACTCGCGCAGATACCCCTGCGGAGATGCATCCAGAGACACACCCAGCATCGATCGCAGCAACGCTAGTGGACGATGCTGCTCCCAAAACGAGACAAGAATAAGGAATGGTAACAGCAAGGAAGAAGAGCGAGAGAAAGGACGTAGACACGCACAGTGGAGACAATGGTACTCTTTCATAGCAGCACGCTTGTAGGCAGTGGTCGGTAAAGACATACTAAAGCGACCCTGATCTGCTCGGACCAAACTATCCAGTTCGAAACATTCCTTGTTGAATGGATCCTTCAATAGCTGATGTACGATCCATAGTTTAATGCTCCTGTGCCTGGATCAAATAAAGGAATATCACCTAGTGCAGCAACCAGCAGGTGGCAAACTGGTACAAGCCTTGTAACGCACATCAGCAAATGCCCCAGAAAGAATGCTACAAGTAACAGCACCCATGGGGAGCTAATAAAGCCGCACCGTTGACACTCTGCTGCCTCTTCTGCAGCGCAGCCTAGTGTAACCGCAAAAAAAAACCACCCGATCCCAGGATTAGAGTCATCAGCAATGAGGATCGCGGCAGGTGACAATGAGCAACAGCAGCCCTGCCGCTCTCCATGCTAACACAGACCAAGGTGTCCTGTGGAGAGCAAGGAATGAGACCCATCACCGTCTTTGGCCCTTCCGGTCGGTATTGCCTGACCAGGGTGGTCCAAACCTTGACTGCCTGTGTGCTCCACGCGTACGTGGCCCATGCATTTGATGCTCGATGTAATTGGAGCTCTCTTTTGTTTACAGCCTAAATTTGTGGCCCAAGCACTGCACTCCCAAAGAGGCTGTGGGTTTGGCTGTCGAGGCGACCATCATTGGGCCAAGCGCAGGTATCGCTTGTGCTCTTCTTTCAGCCGCGTCGATATATCTCTCTACTTTTTTTTTTTTTTTTTTTTTTTTTTTTTTTTTTTTTTTTTTTGGAGGCACATTTATTGTCTACGATCTAACCATTGTATAACTGTATCTCACGTAACAGGACGTGCAATGAAGGTCGCTTTGTACAGGAATGCTGGGAAAAGCATGCGTGTTCTCCACATTGCATTGCCTGCTCAAAGAGGAGAATGTGGGAATTGCTATGCGGACCATATCCACAAAACGCGTCCCCAGAAAATGCGAAATATGGACTAGCCACAGTGGCAGGCCTTGTTGCCGCATCGCCAGCACCCTACACCGATGGTAATATTCTACATCTATGACAATCTGGCGGTGTGAACTCGGGTGTGTCAGTTTGATGTGTGCATTGTATAATACGTACGTTCTCGCGTCTGAAAAACACACAAAACTGTTTCCATCATTAGTCGCGTGAAAAACAATAAATTAAAAAGTTTAGCACCGTGTAGCAACAAATATACCCGGACTGGTGTCGACCACACATTTCTAGTCTTGGGCCGTACCTGCCTACCTGAGATTCGCGCACTCGGCTACAAGCGCAAAGTCCAACGTAAGCATGGAAAACAAAGCACGCCTTTTTCTTTTTCTTTTTTCTTTTTTGTCCATCCATGCTCGCCTTAGGTCTTCTGGTAGCATATGTGCGCTATAATGGCTCATCAAGCATGGGCCAAGTTGACATCCATCTTGTGTGCATCTTCGTCAAGCAATTGAATCCTTGCAGAACAATATTAATCAATTTATTTAAATATTAAAAAAAAAATGCACTCTATTCTTTTACGTCCATTTCATCCCATCAGGGCCCGCAGCACCAAATCTTCGCATAATCCATATTCGACCCTCCATCCTAACCTGCAACGGACTGCACCCTGCCCAAACCTTTCCCAATTCCTTCTTTGTCACCGCGTCCACAAACGAAGCCTTCCTCAATCTTTCCGAAAACCTCTCCACAGCCCTCGGACACGTCTCTCGGATCTGTGACAATGGCACACGCTGCATGCCCGCATATCCATCCACCTGCTCCAGAATCTCAAAATCGTGCCTATGCAACTCCGGTGTCGCTGTCAGCAAATGCGTGTACTGTACATAGTCCTTTCGTTTCTTATGCGATTCATCCTTGGAATATGTCCATGGATAACGACGTTCCGGTGTAGCCATAGCTCCGATTTCTCCAAAACGACTGCATCCAGTCTCGGCAGCTGCTCCATCAATGTGAACGGTCGCTACTTGGGGATGACATGAGTCGATTTTGTATTATTATTTTTTCGTTAGCTTGCTGTTGCCTTCTTAATCCCCCAAGGTCGCTAAAACGTATTCCTTTTACACATACCTGCATGAAAATGAGGCAGCTCCAGCTCATGGAGACGCTGCAAGGCCTGTCCACCAGGGTAATTAAGGCTCGAAATTAGCGACTGCGCCACACTCGACAGGAAACTCAATCCAAGTGCTCCGAACAGAACGACCGTCAACAATCGATACGCCAGTGTCTTGCGCTTGACACTAAATCGACAGATATACATGCGTATATATAAAACGATGTTGGCATTCTGAATAGAGTTCGAGTCACTTACGCCATCAAACAGTCAAAAGTAAACTTACATCCACGAAAGTGTAACGGCAGCACCCAAGTTCAGGATCGGCACGACATATATCACGAATCGCCATTCCTTATGCCCCAAGAACGAATACAGTCCTACAAAGATTCCCGCCGGTAACATATATCTTCGGAACCTCGGCTCAATCACTACCGCTCCCAATGCCAACGGCAGCGCCAATCCCGAAATCTTTGGCAACAATGTCGTGAAATACGTATACCAGGGGGAAACGCCCCACGCCACCGACTTGCCCTCCACAGCATTGAACCAGAAGACGGCTCCCTCAGCCCACATCCATTGCTTCCAGAACCAAGAGTCGATGGCAACGGCAATGGCCAGACTGACAACACCGGCCTTGATGCCCTCCAGCACTGTCTCCCATAATCGGATGCGCGTCATGGCCAGCTCCAGGAGGATGATAGGCCCCATGAGGAGCAAAATCTCGGAGCGGAATAGAACGGTGCTCAAGACAAGACAGTCGATCATCCGTAACAACCGTTGTGCAGTGACGAAGCGCGAGGTCTGAGACGAGGCCTGCATCCAGTACGAATATGCCACATTCACTATATACTCCATAATGAAAGGAAGATGTGAGGGGACGCGACCGTCACCAATGCTTTTTTTTTTTTTTTTTTTTTTTTTTGTAAGACAAAAGGCATCCGGATAACCCTAGCACTTACCAAGAATCAGTGCAAACGTATTGGGCAAGGTTCTACCAGCATAGAACAGCCAGTGGAACTGCACACCCGAGACGATCATAAACAAGAGACCAGTCGTCCTTCCAAACTGGTGTCGGACCCCGCGGCTCATCTGATGCCATCCCAGGAATGTGAACACCCCCAGCACAGTGCGGACTTGAATTGTTATACAAAAAAAAAAAAAAACGTAAGCAATTACTCACTCCGCAGATCGCCTGCATCTTTAAAAATTCCAACAGATTAGTCAAAATAAAGCACTTACCAATGATCTGGCCGAGAAGTCCCTTGGGAAGCTCTGATCCCAGTCCGAGAAGACGCGCGATTGCCATGATGGGCCAACTTCCGGCTGCCAGCAATAAAGGTCCCACAAATGTCCTGGGAACCACTCCAGGGAATTCTAGGTGATCATACTGAACAAACAAATGTATACGTACATATATATATAAGAGACGGACAGACAAAACAAAAAGATAAAATGGCATGCTCCGTCCATAATTGATTGCGCACACAAAGATGGGCAGATAGCTGGTGTTTCCAATTGACCATTGCCTACCTGCTTGATATTTTCGCTTGAGACTCCAAATGAGAGGATATCGTGTGCTGCCTGCAGGTTAAAACTCTCCTCGACCTTTGTAAAAGGCGCCACCAAGATATGGAGCAGAATCAAGACCAGCACTGTGCTGTGGACAATAACTTCAGTGGGTGTCCATGATGTCGATGTCGGGGAGCTCTTCCAGCATGTTGATGAGGTATAAGTCGACTTGTATGTAGTGGTGTAGAAGGTAGTCGTCGAGGGCGGATTTTGGAACTGAACGGATTTTGGTTGTGCCTTCAGTCCGTGGGCGTCTTTGACGGTGGTTGTAGTCGTGCTGTTGGCACTGGTACTGGTACTCCGCATGTGGTTGTTGGGATGACCGTTGGGATGACCGTTGGGATGACCGTTACACTGATCCTCCATCCCGCTTGTGGCCATGATCAGCAGTGAGACAGACTCGTCTTTTGGAATGAATCAGAGGGGAGTGGGTTGCTTGTGGACGGATGAGGTGATGAAGGAAAAAAGACAAAAAAGACAGGAAGAACACGACGGGAAGACGTCAAAAAAACGAGCGGGAAAAAGGTTCAGGGACTGAGGAGGGCAGAGGACCGCGCGGGAGGGCCAGGCGCGTAACAGTGGGACTACAAAGAAACCTAAAATCAAGATGTCACACCCATGCGGTCTATGTGCATACATAGACTACATAGTCTATGGACTGCATTGCATTGCATTGCATTCCTTAGCTCGAACAACTGCATCTAACACACTCATTTTCACCCATCCCTTTTGATGTCAAAGCAACATCCACAGAAGTATCCTGCTCTCTTTGCGAGAAAACATCTAATCAAACAGGCCTTCAATCCTTTGCAAAACTGGTAATCTTTACATACCGCTTCGTATATACATCCTCTGCAAAACTTGTGCTCTTTATATGTCGTGTCATGAATGTGTCGCTCTGCCTTACTTTCTTTCGCATCTAGACTGCTGCTGCCTCCTCTCCTTCTTCCTTTTCCGTGATCTGCACAGGCCGCGTCAAGCTACCAGAAGAGCATCGTTCTTGACTCTGTCCCTCCATCACCGCCAGTCCACTTCCACCTTGGCGCTCTAACTCCTCCTTTTCCTTCGAATCTCTATCTCTCCCCCGCTCTCGATCCATCGCCACCACTGCCGCCGGTCGCGTCGACATCGATGTTGCTGTAGACGACACCGACCCAGACCTGGCTTTCATCAACCCATCTCCAACCCACTGCCCTGTGGTCGGTGCATTCTCTCGTCCCGGCGTCGGTGTCTCACTCACATTTGACTGGATCGGGCAAAAGAACTGCAGTCGCTTCTCAATCTCCTCGCGCGTCACTGGCTTCACCATCATGTAATCAAAGATCTGTGCTGCCAAATCTGGGAACGCAGTGACTGCAACAATCGGCGTCAATGAGTTCGTGTTCTGCGTTGACTTGATCATCCTCGTCGCGGTCTCACCATCAACTACAACGACAAAATAAAAAAATGTTACTACTGAACTAAATGAATCAACAAAAGGCTGCTTTGAAAAAACCAACATTACTTACTGATAGGCATGCGGATGTCCATAAAGATAATGTCGAATTTGACGCTTCCCATAGCGCATCGAATCGCCTCCGCTCCGTTTCGCATCACAACACACCGGCAGTTGAGGCGTGTCAAAATCGTCTCCAGAATCTTGGCACTGATCGGGTTATCATCCACGACCAGACAATCTCGCGTCCTGTTTGCCTTGCGGACAACTCCCTTAGTCGTCGACCGCAATGTCGCCGCTGCCTTAAGGGAGTGTCGACTTGAGCGTAGTCCTGATCCACTGCCTGTGCTGCCGCTTCTACGATCACGCGTATGATGGGCCAAAGGCAGATTCTTGCCAGGCCCCATAGGTGAAATAGGAGACGCCGAGTCGGGTATAACAAATGGATGGATATCTGCGCCTCCAGCGCTTTGGGTCCGTGGGCGCAAAGGCATCGACGATCGTCGCGATGCTTGTGAGAGATCCAGAGGTGAGATCCTCTCCTTATAGTCCTCGCCAAATGCGACCGGAACAGATGCTGACCTCTGAGGGTGATGTTCACTGCCTTCCTGAGGCGTGCTTCCACCTCCTCCTTGCTGCTGGCTGCCGCTAGTGCCGGCCGATCCGCTTGAAGAAGGCGAGCTCTTGGGCGAATACGAAAAATAGTTCTTACCCTCAAATCGTAATGGCGGAGTATTGGTCAACGCATTCATAGAATTCATGGACCGATGTTTACTCTTCGTGATGCTTGCGCTGCTCACATAGCCAGTCGAGCCTGGTGTTCCTGGAGTCTCTGCCGAGAGCTCAGAGACAGATGAAGACAGACTGCTGCCACCATTGGAAGCCATCGCACTGTCGCCCTTTAACTTTCGAATCACATCGTTATTCGCCTTTTCGAGAACAGGAAGGTTGATGAATGCAAATGTACCGAAGTCGGCCCCTGGCTCATCCTTGGCTGACTCAGGCGGGCTAGAGGTGGCCTCGTCTTCTTGATGCGTTGGGGTTCGGGCACGAGGTGTCACTGACGTATCCAACTGGTTGCTATCCAATGACAAAGCAGGAGGCGTCGATATCGAGCCCTCTGAGATAGCTGGGCTCGCTGGCTGTGTTGGTGCAAGGCTATTGCGCTTCGCGAGAGCATTGGCAATGGCTTGGACGTCCTTCAGTTCGGGAATATCCTCCTTGAATGAGCCCATCTTTGCGCCCCTCACGTCGAAGTAGTCTGTGTCTTCAATGTCTGCTGGCGCGGGCACGAACGCTGGTCTCTCTGAGAGTAAGGTATCCCAGTTGATCTCCTTGAAGAAGGGATGATTCTTGACCTCTTCAGCACCGTTGAATCCAAGACGCTGTTCCGGAGCGCTGCACAACAATCGCTCCATAAAGTCGCGAGCCTCCGGTGAAATCTCTAGCTCCGACTCGTGCCAATCGATGTCTCTAGAAAGAATGTTTTCGAACACCTGTTCGGGCGTCTCTCCATGGAAAGGCGGGCATCCGTAGAGAAACTCGTAGCAAATTACACCTAGGGCCCACTACAGATATGGCACAAAAAAAAGACCAAGCGTCAGGGACAATTCCTATAGATAGCGTAGGCAACGCAACTGAATTCAGGTAAAAAGAAATGAAGACATACCCAATCGACCATGGCATCCTGACTCATGCCAAGGACACACTCTGGCGCAAGATAATCCGGTGTTCCGACGCACTTCTCTGGCGCTTCCTCCTTCAAGTCATTCAGTAAGAAAGACGGAGGCATCAGTGGCGAATTACCATGCGAAACCTTGGGCGACATCGAATTAAGAGGAAGGAGTGCCCCTGAAAGATACGAGCTTGAGGACTTGACGCTGCTTTCTGAAAGTGGAAAGGCCGCATTGGAGGACGAAGAAGCCAACACAGCAGCTGCGGGTAACTTTGGCATTTCTGCTGCTGGCATTCCAACTACAGGGGACCGCCCATCTATAGAAGTCATACTGGCATTCGATGACCGTCGGCTTCTTTCGCTCCAGCTAAAATAGGATGGGTTAGAAGGCCCCAGCTTGGGTGTCGGAATCATCGGGATAGTCGACTCATGACTGGAATCCACTGCGTTTGAAAAGAGATATGGTGACATGGGTCTCGACTCTGGATAGGGAGAGGGCATGGGGGCCTTGGACCTCCTATCGGTCTGTGCCTGGCGTCCCAAGAAACCGACTCGTGAAAGACCAAAATCTGTGAGCTTCAAATGCCCATTCTGATCAATCAAAAGATTGTCCGGCTTCAAATCGCTATAGGAGTGAGCAAACAGTAAATGAAAAGAAAGATTAGTTAGTGTCTATCACCTTTCTGAACCACATGTGCCATATGGCAGCGAACTTACCGATGAACGATGCCTGCATTATGAAGATACTCCAGTCCAAGAACGACCTCCGCCAAATAATTCCTCGCCCAATCTTCAGGTAGGCGCACAATAGCCTTGATGAGTGCCATGCAGTCGCCTCCATTGAGATACTCCATAACCAAATACAAATAATCCTTGCTTTGGAATGAAAAGTACAGATTGACCACAAAGGGCGAATCGGTCTGGTTCATCAGAATTAAGCGCTCTGCCTTCACATTGGTCACCTGGTTCTTGGCCACCATGTCTGACTTTTTGAGGACCTTGACCGCATAGTAATCACCAGTCGCCCTCTTCTTCGCTAAAAAGACCGAGCCAAACGCTCCTTTGGAAATGGGTTTGATGAAGTCAAAGTCCTTGATGCTGGGTGGCGTAGGGCGAGTAAGAGGAGTTGGCTGAGGAAACGAAGGCGAGAGCGGCGATTTCATCAGAGTCGAAGGCGATGTGTTGTCTGTGGGTGAGCCGTCAGCTGAATGGGGGGCGAGGAATCTACCTGCAGTCCGAGGCGAAAGACGGGCTTCTGGGAAAAAGGACGAGGCAGAGTGGATATCGACAAACGAGGGACGATGTTTTCGCGTAGCAACCGACGCTGAACTCGTCTGGCTGCCCTGGCTATCCTGGGATACCTGGCTGCTCTGAGACGCCTGGCTACCCATGTTCGTCTGGCTAGTCTGGCCAGCGTTGGTGAATTGACTGTTTTCGCCGATCTTGTCCTCCTGAAGAACCGGATTAGCCTCAGCAGGCAGCTTGTCGACCTTGCTCATCTTGACAACGGTTGTCGATGACTCTGCAGAGTCGGATGCGGCGCCTGTTCCAAGACCTGAAGATGTTGATGCAGTCCTAGAGAGATCTGCTGACGAAGGCGGCGGTGCAGCATCCACGGGCGAGGCCTGCTGCTCCACCAGCTGGGGGACGGTCACGCCTTCGACAGTGCATTGAGCTGCAAACTCCTCTTCCAGACCGTATCCCCGGCTTTGCTCGCGCTCATCCTCTTCTGCAATCTGCCTCATGTCCGCCACGAGCGCTGCCTTGTGATGGATAGCAGCGTCGACCCTGTCGCTCACAGCCATAATGGAAATATCGCTCGTCGCCGGAGCTTCCCAGCGAAAGACTTCGGACATGCGTGACTCTGATGCTGGCGATTGGATGGCAACCCGTGTCATCGATTCCTTGCTTGATAACTTATCGTCGGGATCTGCGTCGCGTCCAGGAGTCGAGATTGCTAACGCTGTCCGACAGATGGTCTGGAGATTGTTGAGGGCATCCAGGTCCTGTATCATCGGAGCGCCCTCCTCTAATGTCGAGGGATGAGCCGTGAGTGGCTCCTTCAAAGTGCTGATATGAGTGATGAGCTCACGCAAGAGGTCATTACAAAGCTGAAGCTCCATCTCGATCTTATGCCACTCAGAGCAGATGCCAGAGTGCTTTTCGAAGTAAAGCGAGATGATCATGCGCTCACAGATGTTGCATCGGATTTCCTGAAGCGGTATCAGCTGTTGATGAAGCGCCGCATTCTCTGCCGCCGTTCGCTGGTATATCTCATCTTGGCTCTTGATTTGGTCTGGATCCTGCGCTCTCTCGTCTTCGTTATGGCTTCGTTGCTCTGCGTCCTCTTCAGAGTTCTCAGAGAGAGCAGACATAACTGAACCGGATGAGGACAGCGTGTTTTCATCCGGACTAAGGTGTGGCTGGATCGCCCACATTGTTCGAACAGGCTCGCATGTTGTGCGGTCATAGATGAGCATGCCTCGTCCAATCATCTTGAGAAAGTGGCCCGTCTCCCCGAGGTGGTTGACTCCTTGAATGTAGGTGAAGTGCTCAGACTGGTTGGAACTCGTGTCGTCAAAAGATGAAGGAGGACTGAACTCTGAAAGGATATGGAATGTCAGCTCCAAGGTCGATTGATCATCCTCCAAGAGTCGTTGTGTCGCATCCCTAAAGACATTGACCTCGTCCTCGGTCAAAAAGGTGCAGATAGGCGTGTCCATGAGCTCCTGCCAATCAGATCTATGTTTAATGTTTCCTTGAGTGTCAGCCAACAGATGATTACAACCGATAATTACTGAAGCGTTGCGACATGTTTTTCAAACTGCGCACTTACCCTAAAAGCTCTGTCCAGCTTGGACTGAGGTACAAGATCATGATATCGTCCATATCAAGACTGAGTTCCATCACGACATTCTTACTCTGGCCCCTCTCCGCCTCACGCTTCAGCTGTAAGATATCTTCCTTCGTCAGCCTTACTTGTTCGTCCGTGTCCTTTTCCAGAAGGCTGGCCAAGACATCCATGCTGACAAGATCTTCTTCATCCTTGGTGGTATCCACATCCATGTCCGCAGCAGACGTGTTAGCCATATCTTCCTGCGTCGCAGCGCCAACAGCTTTAGGGTGGCTCAAAAACGGTGTGTCCTGATCACTAGACTTCTCATCATCCGCGAAGACATCCTTGCCAAGTTTCTGTGCATTGCTGTTCTGATCTGCAGGTTGAATAGTTGATTGGATTACTGGATCCTGCTTATTGACATGAATGCTGGTGGGACGAGATGCATCTTTGGTCTTGATAGAAATGTTGGCGCTCTGCATCCAGTGGTTGCGCTCCGCCTCCCACCATTGCACCACTCGGGCCAATCCAGCGACGGCCAAAAGTGCCTTCACATACCATGCCCTGCAAGGCCAATTGCGATTGTAGTCCCACGCTTTGCCAATCACCTGAAGTTTTGTCACAAAATTGGTGCAAGCACCCTTGTTGTCCAAAATAGTCTTCAGCGGTGTATCCAGCATGAGTTGTGCAACCGAAATAAGCTCCTGTAATGTGAGAATGAAGGGTGTTGGCTGATAAGAATCCTCTGAAATAAGAGTGACATTGGCGCTGGGCGAGGCGTTGAGAGGCGTGTTGGGCGAATAGCCGGCGTTCGAGTTGGGCCTGCGTGAGAGAGAAGAGACACGCGAGTGTGATCGCTGTCGGCCATCTCGCGCGATCTTGCGATGCAAAGGTATGCTGCCACCATTCCAAGAAGGCGATGGGGACCACTCTCCTGAATCGCGCATGGACCGCAACTTGCGCTCTTCTGCGATGGGTGACTCGCTGTCCGATACTTCTGGGAAATACCCCTCGCTGAATTCCTGATGCTCACTCGTGTAATCTGTCCGAGGAGTCTTGTCGTCCTCGTACAAAGCTTGATCGTTGACGCTGTCGAATTCCCTATCGTTATCGAGTTCCTGGGTAGCGTCATCCTCTTCCATTTCCATCTGACTGTTCTCAATCCAGCCTTCGATCTCTTCGACCTCATTTTGGTCTAACTGCTGAGCAGAAAAATCCGGCATGTTGTCGAGATCCTCCACGTAGTTGAGTCCCTTTTCCACATACTCATTAAGGCCGTCGATAATTTTTCGCATCTCCTCATCGCATTCTGCCTTGTACTGCTCCAACATACTGCGGATCGTTTTGTTGGATCGTTCCGGTCCGGCTTGCTGGGGGCTGCCTTCGGGAGCATTGGCAGAATTGATCCCTGCAGAGAAAGATGATGTCCGTACCATTACAGAGCCACGTCTCACGAGGGATGGAGACATGTTCACTTGGATTGAGAGTCCTGGCTTCTCGCGAGGCGATGTCCTTGTGGCGGTAGATTTTGTTGGACTTGTCTCTGTCGGGTTCAAGGCTGTTGTTAAGACAAGCGGTCCCGGTTTCGAGTTGCTTGGCTTCTCAAATAACGAATGAGAAACAAACGATTCCTTGAGTGGGTGTGGTGGCGGGCTGGAAGAGGAGCTGGCAGGCTCAGCATGCCCTTGCTTTGGTTCCATATCTGGCAACGGTGTTGAATCACGAGCCTTCGATTTGCTAGACTCTCCTGGCAGTGCCGGTGAGTCGATAGACTTGCGCGGATGCACCAGCGACATGGACTTTCTGCGCACCGATTTCCACCAGTTTACAAGCTTGGGACCGAGCCCTCCTTTTAGAGATTGCTGGCTCTTCTGGCTGGATATAGAGACTCCTGAAGGTGATCGGGAATCTATCCGGAGTCCATGAGGTGCTTTCGACCGACGCGCTGTTGGAGAGAGCGATCCTGCTGATGATGGTGACACTGGTGATGTCCCAGACAGGATGGACATGGATCTAACATCTCCTCGCACACCCTGACCACTCGACGGGGGAGAGACTGATAATGAAAGTGCTGGCGAAAGCGACTTGTCCTTCAGGCGCATGAGACGCGCCTGCTTTTCCGCCTGGTACTCTTCTAGCCAGTCGACCCAGATGATTTTATCAGATGCCGGCGTTAAGTTTCCTGCGTTGTCTGATCCTTGAGATGGCGAGGCTGACTCAGACCTGGAGTCAGCGATCGCCTCAAACAAATCGGGCCTCCATTTCTCCAGTTTTGCTCTCCTAGTCTGCGCAATAATCTCAGCATGGAGCATGGATGGATCAATAGAGTCGAAAGATCGTCTCCTGATGGGCTTCGCCTGGTTTGGGTCGGGTATCTTGGGTTGCCCATGAGTCTTAACTATGGATTTGGACCACAGAGCACGGGTAGATCATTAGCTCCCAATTGTTGGCAAATCGTTATAGCATTAAATTTTGGCTAGTACAACACACTTACATGCATTGACAAAGTCAACAGAATCCAAATAGTTGGAATGAGGTAGCTCCGGGACAGAGACATTGTTGTCGCTATCACGGCTAGCAGCAAACTGAACTGCAGCTTGATCGAGGCCCGGAGCAGAGCCTTTCGAATTCTGGTACCTGCCAATATAGCCCGTTGACTTTGGGCTGTCCAACGAGAGAGCTTCCACGTCGACATCAACACTATCCTTGTCTGACGATACATCCGTTGCTGGTCGAAATCCAGACTCGTAATGGAAACGATTCCCTGCTTGGCGCCTAAGCCTCCGTTCATGCGCATCTACATCTGTGATGGACGCCTGTCGACTGTGTCCAACTTTGACGCTTGGAGACGACATGACTGGGGATGGCCTACCGGGTATGACTACTCCGGACAAAGCCGGTCCGGCCAATGGGCTCGAGGCTGAGGATCTCACCATGGGCATGATTTTTGGTGAACCTTTGGGTGACCCCTTTGGTGAAATGTTGGGTGAGCGAGCGAGGAGTGGCGTCCTGATGCCTGTGGCAAGGAGCGAATGCTGAGTGGTACCGAGGTGCTGCTGTGATGATTGATCAAAATCGTTTGCCGAGTTCATGTCAATGAAGGAAGCCTTTCTTGACTTGACAAGATATCGTCCCGACACTGAGGAACTCCGCGAGATTGAAGGGGATGGGGAATCCCTTCCCCTGTCAGAATTCCTGTCACGTACGGTGTCGCTTGATCCAGGGCTCCTCATGTTCTCAAAGGGGTTGTTGAGCGCGGCAACTTCCATAAGCGAAGCAATGCTCTGTCCTGTCATTGGTGATCCGGCCCTTGATCTCCTTTCTTGTGCCATGTATTGTGAGAAGGAACCTGTCGGTATTGATGTCGAGTAGGTATTGAGGGAAGGCGTGCCTTGACTCCGAGTCGGCGACCAGTCGTCCAGCGATAGCTCATCCGTGATCGATGCTCTCCTAGACCGAACTCTTCCAATGGGTCTGGGTGACGAGGGTGTCGACCCGTATTCTGAGTGGCCTCCTGCATCTATCCACGAGGTCCTTCTGGATCGAATGAGATACTTGCCACCACTACCACCTGCATTGACTGCTCCACTGCCTCCTAAACCTGAACCTCCTGTGCTATTTCCTCCTGTGCCCCCTCCTCCTCCAGGCAATGTTTTCGGTATAAAGGAGCTTTGATCCCAATCACTGAGGCTATTAGACACAGACGTTGCTAAATTCGATGGTCTCCGACTGGCGCTTCCTATCCTAGGATGATGAAATTGTCCAGACCGCGGGGATTCATGTACCGGCATGTTGCTGTTGATGCTACGATAATGATGCTGATGTTGATGCGACACCTCATCCGAGTCATTGGAGGAAAGAGACGAGCGACTGGAGCGACGGGTGAGAAGGGGCTGAGGGATTGGAATGCTTTTGAACTTTGTACTACTGCCGCTGGACTCTGCGCCAGAGGATGTGGACCCAGTTGTCTGCGCCAGCAATCCCATGCTGCCACTATGATGATGATGGTGGTGATGGTTATGGGGACTCGAAGCACGACCATGCATTGGCTGATAGGCCGAAGCCAGCTGATCCGATGGCCTCCTCAAGATCCTGCCAGACTCAAACGATGACGCTGCAGAGGAAGTCCCAGATGCAGAGCCGAGGTTGTCGAAGGAGCTTTTGCGACGTGTAGGGATTGCAGCTGCAGTGGGAGGGGAGGGAAACCGGCCAGGCCGCGGGGACGAGTCGCGACTGAGATTAGAGGAAGAAGTGTTGCCGATGTGGATGCTGCTGGAGCTGTGCATAGCTTCCGCCTGGTGGAGCGAGTGCAGACGCGAAAGACTGGAGCTGCTTGTGTTTCGACTGCTGCTGCCGATGCCTTGGCTGTTGGCGATGCCGATGGTGATGGATGAGCGGTTTGGCATTAGAATCCTGTCCCGTGTTGGATGACTGACGGAGGCATGCATGGAGCCGGACCTTCCTCTCTGCTCTGGCAATCGCATGCCTGCATTGGAATTCGCGTCTTTGGTATAGCTGTTCTGGGCAGTGCTGCTGCTGTTGGTCTCCGTTCCGTCCTGGTCCTGGTCCTCGTCCTGGCCTTCGTCCCCATCCTGCTGGTGCTCCTGTTGATGCTGGTGCTGGTGCTGGTGCTCCTGTTGATGCTGGTGCTGGTGCTGGTGCTCCTGTGGGACCTCTAGTGACGGGGTTGCGGGCGAGAATGTCAGCGACGGCCTGTCCTGGACGTGGACTTGGAATTGAACTTGAACATGATCGTGGTCCTGGTCTTGGTTCTCGCGCTCGACTTCCCCTTCTGTCTTTTCCTCGTCCTCTTCCTCTTCCTCTGCTGTGCTCGTGGATAGGATAGTGTGTAATTGACCATAAATTGTATAGGTTAGACAGGGGGAAAATATGGTGTTCTTCGAGGCGTTAGTGCGGGAGGGATAAACGCTGTAACCCTCACCCTCTTTCTTTCTGAAAGTAACGGGTGTGCTGCTTGTGTGGTGTTTGGTCCTCCTTACCAGTGGGTTCTAATTCCTGCTGAAGCAGAGACTGGGTCATGGTCGGTGTGCTGATGTTGGCTGGCTCGTTGGACAGAATGTGAGATGGTTGTTGATGTTTTTGTGAAAGTGTGGACGGGGAGGTAGTGGTGGCGGCGGATGAGGAGGAGAGAGACGAGTTTGGGTTGAGGGGTGAGGATCGCTTTGTTTTTAGTTTCTCTGAGAAGATCTTCATGGTTAGTTCTGTGTGTGGAGGGGGAGGGGGAGGGAAGGGATGAGATGGAAGGATGGAAGGATGGAAGGATGGAAGCGGAGGATGTGTGTGCAGCGGTGGATGGATGGATGGATGGATGGATGGATGGATGGATGGATGGTTGGCTGAAGAAGGGCGAGTGGTTACAGGTGCACGAGCCTGTGCATTCGGCAACTACAACAACAACAACAACAACAACAGTAACGGCAACAACGGCAACAACGGCAATAACAGAAAGAAGAATGAACTGCACTGCAAAAGAGAGAGTGTGGGTGTGGGTGTGGGTGTGAGAGAGAGAACAGACGAGAGATCACCGAGAGGGAGTGTGTGGGAGAGAGGGAGAGGGAGAAGGAGTGCGGGGGGCAGAGACTGCAAGGTGTGCGTGCATTATTTGCTCAAAGGGAAACAAGAAACAGAAGACGGCTCCCTTACTCTATTCTTTCAATTCATTCATGCGTTCATTCGAAGCGAAGGGGGGAGATGGTTGTGAGTCTACTTGCTACGCATGCGCTTTACCCTTCCTGCATACTGTCCCTCTCTCTTTCTTTCCTCCTTCCTTTCTGTCCGTCCTCCTCATCCCGACCCGCCTCGCCTCGCCTCGCCTCGCCTCGAGACTTGTCCCCATCATCGCCGTCACCATTATCCTCGCGCGAACCGGGAAGGAGGAAGGAGTGAAAGAGCAAGCCCATGGAATCGATTCGATTCGATTCGATTGGATTGGATTGGGTTGGACTGGATTGGATTGGATATGTGATACCACACTACAGTGCATCAACACAAAACCCCGCTTTTTCTTTTTTCTTTTCTTTTCCCCTTGTGCGCCAGTAACGACCTTTTCTTGTCTCTTTGCCTTGACATGTCTTGTCTTATCCTGTCTGCCGTTGCATTCGCAGTCAAGTCAAGTCAAGTCGAGTCGAGTCGAGTCGAGTCGAGTCGAGTCGATTCCAGTTCAGCCCTGCCCATCATGAGCAATCTATTGAACTAACGCTTTCTTTTTTTACTGTCTTTGCAATATACTCCTTGTCGGCCGCCGAAATGAGGAGGAACGCGGCAAGAGCAAACTTGGAAATGAACATCTCCAATGTAACAAACATGCATCAACCTGCCTATTCACCCACATAAACCGTTGAAAGACCAGCAAGTGCATAGGGGGAAGAACCTATGGTAAACCTAACTCTCAGATTGCTCTCGCTCCTAGGTAGGCTGCATACAAACATAAAACAAGTTTGATATGCAATGGTGGAAAACATGTTGCAGTCTCTTACTTCATCGGCCATTACCGTTGCTATCAACTGGATGTCACCGCCCTTTATCGTTATCATCGAATATCGATGCTAGACTAGCTCCGTCCACTTGTCTTGCCCAAAAAAAAAAAAAAAAAAAAAAAAAACCACTTTGTAGTAGCACACCATTCTGTTGTGCTACCATCTATCTCCCATACTCCTGTGTCCCTGTGTCGCCGCTTTTGCGGCATGGGATGAGCGAATTGCATACCAGACTATCAACAAGATATTTTCGTAGTTGAAATCTTGTGAGCCAATGACCGATTGCGGACACGCTAGAATCCACTGACAAATGCTCTCCACTTCCACATCGGTCCCTCAGGCTCACTATTTGTGTCACTTCAAACATACCATTACCGGACAAAAATTCATAGACAGGCAAAATAAAGGGAAAACGTCCAACATGTTGTCGTCGCTGTAAGCATCTGGATCCTCCGCTGAACACGACTGGCTCAAGTTGCCAGGAGTGAAACAAGCGGCTGCAGTCTGCTGACAACAACGCGCCCTTTCTGGACTCCTACACTGAACCAATGGACACATTACACCACGCGACCCTGGCTGGCCTTACTAGGCTATCCACCTATAACACCCCATCTACCGCTGGAGGGGGGGCAATAGCACGCATGACAAATTGCAAACTGTGAGTTCCTCCTCGAGACCCATGACCTTGCTGCTACTACCTCCCAGGCTACGTCTCCGTCCGGGTTGCCTGGCTGGCATGTAAGACCGCTCCAGTGACGCATTTATGTTGAGTCCGAAAGATCGGAAGTCAGGATTGTCTAGGTTGTTGCCGTAATTGCTGTGCAGCAAACCAACAAATTGAAAACGGCACATATTTTATTTATGACTCTGCTGTACTATCGGTTCACTACTTCAAGCCGCTTTCTACTGGATTATCATATTGTAATATCAAGTCTTATTCCTCTCCTGCGACTCGACGGCGTCGACTCTTTAATCCACCATTTGCAACTGAATGGACGTGTTGCGTCATTTGTATATCATCGTCTCAACTCCAGGCTGGCTTTTAGGCGTACATAGGATCGCTAGGCTACTGGCAGATCAGGATCGTATTGGTGCATTTCATTCAAGAGATACCTCGGACACGACTCGGACATGCTAATGTAAAAAATACAGGGAGTCATGTGTTTGCATCTGTGCCAGAACGGCACCCCTGCCTCCTAATCTCCTTCCGTGCTTGCAGCTATAGCAGCGCTAGCTTACGGCACCACTCCTATATTCGAGCTTGCTAAGAACTGCCGGAGTCATGGGGTCAACAGGGAAGAGCCGTGGTAATCGCTAATAAAGTGCTTAGTTTTTCTGGCAATTAATGTCATATAACTGGTGCGAATGTAGGTTGTGATATGATACAGAACGCTTTTTTAAGTCCCATGTGTCAATGCTTTACTTCCAATTCCATCGGCAATGTGAGAGCGCTGGTATTGTGTCTCTTCTCCCACATCAATGTCGTACCCTCAATAATACCCAGATATAGCAGGATAAGGATACCATTTTGCTCAAGGAGACTATGTATATAAGTTTTTATACTAACTAACATTTAACCTTGTTTAAAATAGGGCCCCAACGATGTCCGAGGCGGCATATGAACGTTCTACCAGGAGGAATTTATGTTCATAAAAGCAATATGCGTCAATGGGATCACATGTTTTCCGTGCCTGCAGTGCCTGCAAGGATACACTCGGCTACTGTAAAAAAGTGAGGCATCGCATAACATATGCGCAACTGGTTGAGAATCGGTGACTTCTGCGTAACGAGTTCATGGAGGAAGGATGTCTGCTGGAGGAGACAGACATAGATGTAAGATGCATGAAAGTTTTTACAGCACTAAACGTTTTACTTTATGCAATGGCGCGTATCTTTGAAGCGTCTTTTTGTGCTCCTGATTATCATCTCTCGTTTTATATCGTAGGCTGAACCTGTAATGACGTCCTGGCTCTGTGGGTGTCGGTCCTGGACCACTCGGTCAAAAGGATATCCTCCCAAAGTAAGTAACCTTGCACGAATGAAAGGAAACGTATATTAAACTAACGCGTTTGTTAAAGGGGGTATCTTGTTTCCAGAGGCCTACAAGCAGGCCTATGGTGTTCTGAAGGTAGATCTTGCCATTTAGCACAGGAAGGCCGTGTGCTTGAACCAATGCATTCAGGGCGCTTATGCGGCATTGGAGGAAACCCTGTCGTGCTGATATAATTCTGGAGACTTGAACTAATCTGTTCTACACGTTTAAGTAAAGAACTTGTGCTTGTCATTCGCTCGTAGGACATGGCACAATAGTTCGGGGACACTGCTGCAAACAATGAATACAGCATAGCGATAAAATAGCGAAAAAGAAAAGCCCAAAGTGCGCATGCCTTCAGTTTCAGTGACGATGATGTTGTAGTAATGCACTCCTTGTGACACCAAGTCAAGTACAATCGAACTGGATTAGCGCTCACAACATGTTGTTTACGCGCCGCGTCTTTGTGCCACCATCGCAGTCATTGCTAGCCCGCATTCAGCAGTATGTCCTTGATAGATATGTTGACCGCATAGACAGGTTCCATAGGCTGACAGCCACACTCACGTCCGTTCCCATGGTGAGTTCAAGTCAAAGCGTCAAGTCCAGGTGCCAAAGGTATTGCGTAATGTATCGAAAATGGAGAAACAAAAACAAAAAAAAAAAATAGAGAAAAGGTCGGGTTGCCATCGGCCAGACTTACTCGGAAGAGTAAAGACTGTGCAGGACACACTACGGGCAGGTTGCAAGGCATGGCATCCCAAAAAAAAACATCACAAGCGGGAAAAAATATCGGCCCCGGAGCGGCTTCTATTGTTTTATTATCCCTATTACGACATCCCCAAGAAAGATGACGGCATGCTGCTAACTGGCGACGACAAGCAAGAAAGCAAGGAAGCAAGCCTGAGACTACCACTAAATGAACCAACTGGTCAGAAAAAAAGATGAAGCGACCAGTGCTGTCGATGACCGAGACATAAACAGTAAGGCTGCCTCTTCGCTCCATAATGCACGCGCGTAGTGATCCCTAACGACAGCTCATCACGCCAGGGTTATGCCTATCAATTCCTACACAATCATCGCTGCGTGCCAGACCGATATCCAGCTCACTAGCCTGCTATAGATACCACCGCCAGCTAGACATACATCACAGCAGTGAACTGCGGCACTTCTGTGCAACGTCCATGTATCGACATACTATTACGCGTATCCCTTGCATGAACTCGCGTGACACCGCAAGAGGTCTGCAGCCGGTCATCAGAGTGTCTCACTTGCCGCCAAGGAGGAAAAAAAACTGATAGCCAGCTTGGACGGAGACCAGTGCGGACACTTCGATGTACTGCTGCCGCTACTGCTACTACTACTGCTGCTGCTGCTGATACTGCAGTTGCTAATCGCGCAAGTGCATCAAGCATCTTCAAAAAGAGCTGCACCCTATCCCCCAGCTACATCGCTGGCAACACATATAGTACAAAGCGAGTATGTTATCGATCGTACAAGGCAGTCGTCAGAGAAGACAATGGCTGTTCCTGAAATCCATTTCATATTGCTTCTTTTATTTTAGTTCGTTTCATTCTGCTTCGTCTTATTCTGCTTCATTTTACTTTATTTATTTTGCTTCACTTTATTCTATTGTATTTTGTTATATTTTATTTTGTTTTATTTTATTTCATCCATTTTATTTTACTTCACTCTTCTACTCTAGTCTTTTTGGCAGAAGGAAAAGAAGAAAGGGAAAAAGGAACGAAAGAAGAAAAAGAAAAAAGAGAAAAGGAAAAAGAGGAAAAGAAGAAAGCCGGCTTGCCATCGGTCAGTCTTACTCAGAAGAGCAAGGCCGTGCAGGGCACACCTCGAGCAGGTTGCAAGCCATGGTGCCCCAAAAAACCACGAATGTGGGAAAAAAGAGTAGATCTCACGCAGCAACCCATGCACCCCCGTTGACCAATCTTTTTTATTAGCCCTCGAACCCATGTGTAACCCCCAATCACGCAGAATAAGGCCCTGGTCATCATTGGCACTAGAGCTAACAGGGTGTCTTTGGCAACAAGAAACCGCCTCGTCAAGCGCAGAGCAGAATGTGCAAGACTCAGTGTTATTCAGAGGGGAACTGCTGCACAAAGAAATCGCAAAAGAGGGGGGCCCGCTCTTTGCCAACCACTACTGACCTTAGGCCTCAGAAATGGGGCTGTTCATCCTTGAATTTTTGTTTTTCGATTTCATTTTCGTAGCTTTTTCGTGTTCTTCGTCCCGGTGATGAACAAAAAAAACTAGAAAAGAATACGGAAAAAAAAATACGGGGAAAAAAAAAACGAACAAAACAAAAAAAACAGGGAACCCCGCAAGTGTGCTTGTACGGCTGACTCTGCGGTGTACAAAGTCCAAGAAAGCTCTGCGAAAGGTGGGAAGAAGGGAAGGGAGAGCGACAGAGATAGAGAGAGAGGATATAAGAGAGAGGAACGAGACCGAACAGCACACAAAGAGAGAGAGGACAGTGGAGAGGTGAGCGGCGATATCAGAGTGCAGGTGCAAAGAGTGAAGACGCGGAGAGTGCAGGTGCAAAGAGTGGAAGAGTGGAGGCTCGAAAAGTGCAGGTGCAAAGAGTGGGAGCATATATGGTGGAGGTGTGAAGAGAGGAGTGGAGAGAGTGGAGCTGGATGTTAGTACTTACCTTGACGTGAAGCAGTGACCTGGAGAAAAGAAGAGAAAAGAAAAGAAAAGAGTGAGGTACAGCCGCCGGTTTATATGCAGTCAGCGCCACCATCAGCGCCACCATCAGCTAGAGCCATTTACGGACGAGTGCATTGCGGCCAGTCCATCCACATAATGAAATCCACCCTCCAGAACAGGCACTCGCGCAGATACCCCTGCGGAGATGCATCCAGAGGCACACCCAGCATCGATCGCAGCAACGCTAGTGGACGATGCTGCTCCCAAAACGAGACAAGAATAAGTAATGGTAACAGCAAGGAAGAAGAGCGAGAGAAAGGACGTAGACACGCACAGTGGAGACAATGGTACTCTTTCGTAGCAGCACGCTTGTAGGCAGTGGTCGGTAAAGACATACTAAAGCGACCCTGATCTGCTCGGACCAAACTATCCAGTTCGAAACATTCCTTGTTGAATGGATCCTTCAATAGCTGATGTACGATCCATAGTTTAATGCTCCTGTGCCTGGATCAAATAAAGGAATATCACCTAGTGCAGCAACCAGCAGGTGGCAAACTGGTACAAGCCTTGTAACGCACATCAGCAAATGCCCCAGAAAGAATGCTACAAGTAACAGCACCCATGGGGAGCTAATAAAGCCGCACCGTTGACACTCTGCTGCCTCTTCTGCAGCGCAGCCTAGTGTAACCGCAAAAAAAAAACCACCCGATCCCAGGATTAGAGTCATCAGCAATGAGGATCGCGGCAGGTGACAATGAGCAACAGCAGCCCTGCCACTCTCCATGCTAACACAGACCAAGGTGTCCTGTGGAGAGCAAGGAATGAGACCCATCACCGTCTTTGGCCCTTCCGGTCGGTATTGCCTGACCAGGGTGGTTTAAACCTTGACTGACTGCTCGTGCCAGACGTATGTGGCCCATGCGTTTTTTCCTTTTAGAGAAGAGTGCAAGCAACCCTTTACATGCGACTTTCCTGTGGTCAAAGACTGTACCATCAGCGAGACAATGGGCCTGGCTGCTGCAGCGACTATCATTGAGCCACGCGTAGGTATCGCTTATGTTCTTCTTTCAGCGCGTCGATTTATCTTTTTACTTTTTGCTTTTTTGGCGACACATTTATTGTCTACGAGCTATTCACTGTGCGCTATATAACAAGGCGTGCAATGAAGACAGGTTATGCAGGAAAGCCGAAAAAGGTGTGTCTCTTCCGCGTCAGACTCCTGGCCATAATGGAGACTAGCGAGGCAGAGTCGGTCAGAACGGCGTCTAGAGAAGAAGGGAAAAAAATGAAAGGACGACGGATGAAGAAGAGGAAAAAAACAAAAAAAAAAAAAAAAAAAGCGAGGAAACTTTCTACACTAGCCCAGGACCTTGCGGCTCCAGACCCTCGAGAACTCGGTACTTGAATTTTTTCTTTACTTGAGGAGCACCATATGAGGATCAGGTGCACTTTAGATAGGAACAGGCTCTCTGCAGCTTAGCGTTCGCACTCTCCAAGATATATCAAGATACATTTCCATACAATAGCCTCATTTCTCTCAAGAACCCTTTAGATGCCTCGCCAGTGTTCACAAGACTACTTCATATTTTTTACTTTGCCTAATGAACACTCATTGAAGAAGTTACAGTGCCAGGGTCGTTCCTGCAAAATGGACCGACTCCACACCATGCTCTTAACGCTCGTCCGAACCATTTTTGAGCTGTAACGAGTCGACCTTGGGACGATGGGACACGAGTGGCTGCAGTAGGTCCTCTGGGCGAACTTTATGGATGGTCGAAAGTGCCACGTCTGTGAGTTCTGGATAGCTCTTGATGAATTCAAACAGAAGAGTTCCTCGACCAAAAGTAACGTGTCTTCGGATATGGAGTCGCCGGATGGTTGAATGCCTCCGTTTGAAGCTATGTCCTGTGACGAGCGTAAAGCATTACTTGTGACCAAGTTATTCGCCGGGATAGCCTGTCTGTAATCCCAGCAGCAAGTGTGACCAGGGTTGAAGGATTGCAAAGAGCATCGAGCAGAAGCATTCTGAATCGGCGTTCAGGACCTACATCGGCAAGAAGGCAAGTTCTCGAAAGGCCTGTCGCATGCTGCTCTGAAACGAATCGAGTAGAGCGCAGAAAAAAAAAGGGTGACCTACAAATACACGAGCTTCGGGTTTCGAGACACGACGTCCAACGACATCCGAGCAAAGACTTGGCTGAAGCTCCTTGTTCTCGTGATAAGCCATTTGACATAGAAGCCCTCGAGGGTGGTTCGGCCTGTATGGTTTAGGAAAGAACCATAGCGTTTAGCATGCAGGGCGCGAATCCAGTTGACCTGCCTATAATCACAATCCTATTCTTCGTCCGTTCGGGGATTGTGATCATATTTGAATTCCCAATTGAAAAAAAAAAAAAAAAAAAAAAAAAAAAAACAAGGGACTTCCATTGGTGCGGACGAAAAGCAGATCTCAGTCGCAGCACACACGAATACTGCTCTAGACACCGTCCACGGACAGATGCTCGGAAATGGTGTCCAGCACGGGCGACATATCAAAGATCCTGGCTTTATCAGTGGTCGTTTTGGAGGAGGGCAATGGCACGGCTAACATCCGGTCATGAAACTGAGGAAGACATAATAGAAAGCGAGCAAAGGAGGAATGAGAGAATGAGAGGGTCAATCGGAAAGACAGAGAAACAGAGAGGGCTCGCAGATCTACTGCATGGAAGCATATACTGTTGTCATCTAAGCGGACATTTGTGAACACTTTTGTACACACATTCGGGCTGTGCACATAAACAGCGGCGCTTTATGGACGCTATATACCACCGTTGTAATGTTCCCCTACACGTCCCTAAATGCTTAGGCAGAGGATTAATAGATCAAACTCTGGTCTGCCAATAGTACTGTCAGTATACCAAACTCGGTTATCTATCCCTGACCCAACGCCATGCTCCTGTCGCCATCCATCGCCGTATCTATTCATTCCACAATCGTCAAAACATGCATTTACTGAACTTTTGCCAAACACTCGCTTGCACCAGCGCATCCGCCTCCGGCTCATGATTAACAGACTGGCCTTGTGGAAAAGCGCTTGTGCAAGATAAATCAGCTGTCTTTGGCCCATTGAGAATTATCGCCTCCCATTAACACCATCGCATCGGGTCTTATTTCCATAATCGAGGCATAGTCCTTGAGATACTGGTCCTCGAGTGCCTGCCACAACTTCATGTGGAGCCTTGTGCCCAAGGGACCCAGGCTGAATCGGATCGTGTCAGCAAGCATGACCGGGTCCTGAGGGATAATCGAGAGCCGAGAGCAGACATCGTACAATCCCACAGTCGAGATAAGATCCCATGAACAAAGATCTGTCCTTTGACGACCTCGATGGTACAGAAGAGCAAGAGAATCAAGCTGGACTTGCCTGGTCCTATTCGACCACAGATGCCAATCTTCTCATGGGCGCTAATAGAACGATTGACACCGTGGAGGACGATCCCGAGTCCTGGATGGTTTTTGTGTTTCATAGTAGACGAGCTCGGAGCGTCTTTAAACCGACTATCCTTGTAGAGGACAACTGTCAGGGATCATATCTGGTGCTCCAGGTTTGGATGTACTGGTGGACCATCCAGTCGAGAGCCCATGTGATACTAAGCGTATATGTCAATAACAGGGCCACAAGACCAGGATATCCACAACGATGTTTCTGGCCAATGATGCGACGGACAACGATTCAGATCCAAAAATAATCACGGAGCTCAAGGTTTCGAGCTGGAACGCGAGCTAGCGGATTTTGCAAAAAAAAAAAACGCGCCAATTCTGGTTCAGACGGTACTCATTGTCCTTGACGAACCTCTTCTGCTGCCAATGAGCACAAGTAGTCGCGATTCATACCGATTGGTTGCTGGGGTTTATCAGCAGATCGTGCGAGATGCCACCAAGAGATACCGCTGCAGGCAGAGAGGCATACAAATCTCAAAGGAGGGGTGATAATAATAAGTCTGGGCTCCCATAGAGTGACCACCACCAAGGCCGAAGCAGCCTAGAAGAGTACTCAGTAAAATATCGTAGTAAGACCTGACCGTCCGTTGATTGGTCTTTGCTGGGACGGTTGAGGATATGCCCTATAGAAGAGGTATCAAGAACCATCATTAGCGATCACCGCAACGTACGCACCGAACGGATACGACAATGGGCCTTGACCATGATTGACTAGAAGATCGTCAGCAGCGAGTACTGATGCCCAATGCTGCATAGATGCCGACATAAAAGAGTGGATCCTTGGTATCCTTTCCTGCGTCATTGCCGTTACTCTAGTAAGTCATCCATGGTGAAGTAGAGATCGAGGCGGTCCAGGACAAGTCCATGGACAGGATATAGGCAATGGCAGAGTGATAGGAACATGCCTTTGCATATGGGAAGTAGACGCTCCTACTGACATATACGAGAAGTGGCCGAGATAACGACGTTTGCGAGAAGGTCTTGGTCATTCAGGACCGTGGCTATTATCTTTAATCCTATCTTTGCAAGCTGATATACGTATGAGAATGCCAGCGAGCGCATATTGCCCTGTACGAAGTCTTCCCCAGATCTTTATAATCAATATCGAGTTATGTTCTTCCCTTCCTTTTTTTTATACAAGTAATCTCCACTTCTCGTTTACGGCTTCCTAGTGTATCACAATCTCTCTACGGTTCCATAGACAGGAATGAAATGATTGCGCCCATGTTCGATTTGCGTCCGGTCATGAATATGATTGTTCGCAGTATGAGCAGATTCCATATCCTTCCCCTTTTGATGGCATCAACGTGCATGAGGACATTCTGCATGTGGATATGCTCACCTTATTCTTATACCTCACCCCCCAGCATTCCAATGCTGACCTGAAGCTCAGTTGGACCCCCCTCGCCTTTGACGTCCTCCTCTTGCTCCTCTTCCGTCAACTTCCGTGGTGTCTGCATGAGGCCTTTTTTTTTCCTGCAGTTACTCCCCGTTGCTTACTGCCGAGGAGGTACAGAACAGAGTGTCGACCTTCAAAAGGATACATGGGGTTTCGATGGGCTAACCAACATGGGTCAAGGGTGATCCTCACAAATGCAAGAATAAGTGCACCCCTTCGTCAGTTCCGCGCCCCAGTCGAACATGGATGGGTCTAGATACCTTCTTCTTTCATATATAAATGAGCAGCCTGCCTCCCTTCTATCGGGTTCATCTCTTTCAAACCCATCCATTTATTGACCCGCGTCCAAGTTTTTTTATTTTTTATTTTTTATTTTTTTTATCGCAAGTGTCTTTCTCTACTACACCTCCCTCTTCACTTTTCTACCTCTCTTTCACTTCATTCTCTCCACTTTCCCACCATGATGGTAAACCAAGAAAAGGCAAGCGCGCCGACCGGCGCCAAGAACCATCCCCAGGTCGAGAAACTGAACGACAACAGCGCCTCGTCCGCTTCGTCGACCAAAACATTCTTAGCCAGCAATTCGCGCGGGCCCCATGATAGCCATGTCTCCGCAGGCTCTTCTTCTTCGGCCACCATAGCGGCAGGCCATATCCACCATAGCCATTACCCACAACAATCCCACCCCGGTCTTCACCACAAGGCGTACCATCCCGACCCGGAGGTCATGTACCACGACACAGGGATCGATTACAACCATGTGCTCATGAACCGCAATGCCTCAGTCGCGAAACTATACGAGGATGCATTGCGATATGAGGATGGATCAATGATCTCGTCTGAGGGAGCGTTGGTGACGAGCTCGGGCAAGAAGACGGGTCGCTCACCAAAGGACAAGCGTATTGTAGATGAGTCCACGACGACGGCAGATATCTGGTGGGGGCCGGTGAATAAGAAGCTGAGCGAGCATGCGTTCTTAATCAACCACGAGCGTGCGGTCGACTACTTGAACACCAGGGAGAGGCTTTATGTGTTTGACGGATATGCGGGATGGGATCCAAAGTACAGGTAAGAAAGAAAAAAAAAAAACTCGAGTATGTATGTGTGGGCATGGACTCACTCAGAAAGAGAGGTGCGCCAGGGGGTAGGGGCTAGCGAGGGGGTGAATGAAAGAAAGAGAGGGGAGATGGGATAGCGAATGAACAATCCAGAAGGGGCTGCACTCTAACACCCTTTTGAGAACCCCTCCTACCAAAATTTCAGGATCAAGATTCGTGTGGTCTGTGCCCGCGCCTACCACTGCCTATTCATGCGCAACATGCTCATCCGCCCCACGGACGACGAGCTCGAGGAGTACGGCGAGCCCGATTTCACTATCCTCAACGCCGGCGCCTTCCCCGCGAACCGTTACACGACCGGCATGACTTCCAACACTTCAGTCTCGATCAACTTTCATCGTCGTGAGATGGTCATTCTCGGAACCGAGTATGCCGGTGAGATGAAGAAGGGGGTCTTCACCATCATGCACTACCTCATGCCCAAGGCCGGTGTCCTCTCCTTGCACTCCTCCGCTAACCAAGGCGAGGATGGCGATGTCACCGTCTTTTTCGGTCTTTCCGGCACTGGCAAGACGACCCTCTCCGCCGACCCACGTCGTCATCTGATCGGTGACGACGAGCATTGTTGGTCTGACACCGGTATCTTCAACATCGAAGGTGGTTGCTATGCCAAATGTATTGATCTCTCTGCGGAAAAGGAACCCGAGATCTTTGGAGCCATCCGCTTCGGTGCCGTCCTCGAGAATGTCGTCCTGGATGAAGATACCCGTCTGGTAGACTACAGTGACAATTCTCTGACTGAGAACACCCGCTGCGCCTACCCGATTGAGTACATTCCCAACGCCCTGATTCCCTGTATCAGCAGCGGGCACCCCAAGAATATCATCATGCTCACTTGCGATGCCTTTGGAGTCCTCCCACCAGTCTCGAAGTTGACATCTGCCCAGGCGATGTACCACTTCATCTCCGGATTCACCGCCAAGATGGCCGGTACTGAGGATGGTGTGACCGAACCTGAGGCGACCTTCTCTGCCTGCTTCGGCCAGCCCTTCTTGGTTCTGCACCCAACCAAGTACGCGACCATGCTGGCCGAGAAGATCCAGCAGCATGCGGCTGATGTGTGGCTGATCAACACTGGATGGACTGGAGGAGCCTACGGCAAAACAGGCCAGCGTATTGCGCTCAAGTACTCCCGTGGAATCATCGACGCCATCCATTCAGGAGAGCTCAAGAAGGCCGAATATCAGACCTACCCGATCTTTGATCTCCAGATCCCCAAGGTCATGCCAGGTATTCCTGCGGAGGTTTTGAACCCGGCCACGGCATGGAGGGGACCCGCTGCTGAATTTGAGCAGAGCGTCAAGAAATTGGCCCAGCTGTTCAAGGAGAACTTTGCAAAGTACCAGGACCAGGCTTCGGCCGATGTCATCGCTGCGGGACCCAAGATCTAAACCCTCGAGCGAGAAGGTGAACAGCCATACGGCCCAAAAAAAAAAGAAAAAAAAAAAAGAAAAAAAAAGATCAAGAGTAAGGGGATTCTTTTCAAAATGACGAGACGGCCCGAGTACGCTGTACTTGTTCTTTTGCATAATGTAAAAAACACTAGCATCACCGCTTGCCACATGTAAAAGCAAGGAAGATGTCGCTTTGCAGTCAGTTCAAATGCAACTAGAATAAATAAAAAGAAAAATAGCGACCTATATTGAACCCAGATATGGGCTTCATCACATACCTGCGATGGGGATCAACATCTTTTGGGTACAGGCTCCCACTAGAAGGGAAAAAAAAGAAAAAAGAAAATGAGGTATGCGATTGATTGTCTATCTATTCATGTGGGTGACTCGCGTCAACCACATCTCATAAAAAGAAAAGAAAGGCAATGCGTGGTGACTCTTACGCTTTGTGCCCAGAGAGGGCGGAACGCGTTGCCTAGGTATCTACCTTTTTTTTCTTTGGGTTCTGAACACAAAAGTTTCAAATTTTCATTTCATAGAACCACCCAAGTTGTCGATAAATTAGTATTAATATGTTTTATTTATTTCTGTGATAATCATTCAGGAACTACGAAAGAGAAGGAGACCGTGGATGGAGAGGGGAGAGATATTAGTGGTAGACTAAGAGAATAAGGAGGCAAAACGTGCCATGACAAGACTGGGGTGAGATATGCAGGATGCAGAAGAAAGAAAAAAAAACCATGAAAATGCAAATGAGAGAAGAACTAAATGATATGTAGAAATACAGGGATGAGGATGGTATAGAGGAAAAGGGTATCGAGAAAAAAAAAATGCAAATGAAAGGTGTGGGTGTGTAATGGTGGGAAAACAAATGCAAATGAGGTGAACGGTGCTTGGTGGGGCTGGTGCCTCGAGTCGATACTTTCCCATGAGCGGAGGGCGTCAAGGGTAAAAGGCGGTCGACCGACTGGCCCGATATTCAGATGCTGAAGTCTTGCTCTCGATGAGCTTGCCCGCCACCCCGTGCTGTACCTTGACAACAGATACACCAGAGGATGTTGAGTGGGAGGGGGAACCTTCTTTTGTTTTTTCCCACCGTTGCTCTCAAACGTTATTGGGGGTGGAGAGAATGACTTCCAGAAATCTCTGCTGCTGATGTTACTAGTGTGATTGCCGTCGGCGTCGGTTTGTTTTTCTGTCGGCACTGCAGTAGCGTTTTGTGTCCAAATAGAGTAACCTCGCGTAATGCCGTGCCGAAGAAAGATGCGGGGGGGGGGGAAGAGAAGTGAAAGCGACACGAACTTCCATCGCGGGCGTACAGCAACAGTTGGTTGCCTGGAAATGTGCAGAAATGGCCAATGCGTGAAACACTCTGACCACGTTCCGTGCGGGATCGCCTCAGTCGACGGATGAATGATGTGCTCGCTCACATTCATACGAAAAGGAGTGTGGATTATGGCTCGAGGCATAGGTGTTTGTCCAGAAGAAGGAGCGTAAAAATAAAATAAAAAAAAGTGTCTGAATTGGGTTCAAGCAGAGTTGCTTCGCACCAGGGCGCAGATCCCTGTATTTGGTCATTGTTGTGGTTGGGATACACAACGTGGTCGAAAGTTGCCTATACAGACCAGCAAGAAAGATGGATGAGTTCACAGTCCAATTGAGCGGAAGTCCAAACATCTTATTGTTCTTTCTGCCTCTGGCCAAGACCCGAAAAGTAGGTTTGGAATGACCATGCAGCATCAGCAACAGCTGCAGCCTTCCTTCATAACGAACCCAAACGAGATATATATATACATGTACATTGGACTTACCCTCACGGACGAAGAGAAAAAAATAGCAAAACGTAATAGATGGGAGCAACGAGGCCATTCGACAGTAGTGTTCAATGCAAGAGTGTACCGCACTCCGAAATTAAGACGGAGCCGAGGAATGTAGAATTATCCAGAGACCGCATCGGCATCGGCATCCGTATTCGGAGTGGGATGTTTTTAGTAAAAGTTTTCACTTGCAGACCGATACTCGGACGATGCGGTGGACAGAAACGAGTCTGTCGAGGAGACGGACGACCAAGAGCCGACCATAATATCGTTCAGCGGGTGATCGTCCTCCTCCCTGGGCATCTCGAGGAAGTTGCATAGGGACGATTTGACTGTTCATATGAAGAAATAGGAAAAAATAGGAAAAAATAGGAAGTAACGTTAGTGTAGTACTGGGGTAGTAGGGTGTCTTGCATGCCAAACACCAAACTCGCTGCTCTTTATGGTTTTGAATGGGGTTTGGTCATCATGTTTACAGGCCAAATGGTAAACCCATCCATATCAATGGCTCATGTCGTCGCGCCCACCCGCATCACCCCATCCAGGATGAGATGGTTGCACACAGTGCAACATCAACACAGAATTAATGCAGTGATGAGATGGATCTCCAAAGGATTTACCTCCATTCATTCCATGGTATCATCTCCAACACCATCGCATCAACAGCCCCAGATATAAAGTCAAAAATCCTGAACGAAAACATGGCCACACACACATGTCGGTCTCGACCCCAATTGAAAACAAGGAGCTGCAGGAATACTGGAAATAGGAGGGGGTGTGTGTGTGTGTGTGCATTAAAGCCGAAGAATAGAGTGATCTTTCAAACAAAAGGGCCAAATTGGTGTGCATACCTCTGCGGAAGGAATCCTTTCTCCTGGGCAGGTACCCTCTGGGCTTCAGTGGAGACACGAGCTTGCGCGCCCGGATCATCCTCAGCTCGGCTGCCATCATCCGCAGATAGTCCGTGTTCGAACGCGTCTCGCGTGTGGCCAGATGCCTCGGCAGGGGAGGCGGTAATGAGGCCTCTTTATCGCCGGATACGGCATCCTTGGAGTTCTTGGTCACAGGAGAAGAGAGAGAGAGAGTTCTCGTCGTCGTTTTGGAGGATTGGGCAGTCTTGCGCTTAGAGGGAGGAAGAGGAAGAGGCTGGGGCCGCTCAACAACAGGTGTTTCGTGATATGTGAATGTCCTGAGGGGAATGGTGTCAGAAGGGATGGCCTTGAACTTGTCCATGGCCGCAACTGACACAGGAAAGTTCACAGATCCATGGTAGACGTGAGTAGATGGGGTGGCAAGATTGGGTAAGGAGAGTAATCCGTCTGTTAAGGTCAAGGAGGCAGAGGGAGGTGTTGTTGCGTCCACCGCCGCGACTGGGGTGCCGTTTGAGAGTCTAAGAGCGACTGGAGGCGAGAATTCTTTGGTGGCTGGGCTTTGGCCGTTGCTGGAGCTGGAGCTGGCCCAGGAAAGGGTGGTGGCTGTGGCGGCCAGGTAATGGGCCTTCAGATTGGCCCAAAATCCTAGTCGGCTGTCAGAGGTGGTCGATTCAGGAAGCAGAGACTGAAGGGAATGGAGCAACGGCTGGATTATCTGGGTCTGGACGGGATTGCCGCTGTTTTTAGAGCCGCTGCCGCTTTTGCGCGACAGGGACCTTGGCTGGAGCTCCACTGCGTTGTGAGAGGTCTCTGTTGGCGAAGGAGGCAAAGATGAAGTGGATTTACTGATTTTGCTGGACTTTGTTGTGATTGAGGAGGTGGAGGAGGAGCGGACGAGGCCTGGGGCCCTCTTTTTGCGGGGAGGGATGACACCGTAGGGCTGTGGGGCCTTTGCGGTGAATTGGGCGACGAGCTCCTTGTAACTGGCAGCATTGTTCAAGGGTGCCGAGGCAGAGGACTTGAGCGGGGGTCTTGTTCCCGCTGCGGCTGTGGAGGAGGTGGTGGCGACGGTGAGGGCAATTGAGGGAGAGTTCTTGGAGTTGGTTTTGCTGTTGCTGCTGCTGCTAAAGGCAGAGGCATGGGAGGCAATTGGGGCTGGCGTAGCGGCAGCGGTGCCCAGGCTGGCCGAGACTGAGGCCGCAAAGGACTCTGGGTGTTGGTGTAAGCATGGGGAGGATGAGGGTCGTATGAGGGACAGCATCAGGGAAGTGGGAGGGGTGTGGTGTGCGGGGGAGTGGATGCGGATGGCGAGGCGGGGATGGGCGATGGAGGTGTGGAGGGAGAGGGATGCCGATGATGTTCTGGGAGATGTGAAGCGAGCGAGGGTGCGGGTGTCAGAAGAGAGAGGGAAGAAAGAGGCGTGAAGGTATCTTGAAGGCGAGTGACGGGTAAAGTCGTCTCTCGCTTTCTCCCTTCGCGTGTCTCGCTGTCTTTTATTTTTATCGCCTCGATTGTATTGGTTTGATATAGGAAGCATACGGTTTAATTGATTGAATCGCCCTCGTATTCAAATCAGCGGAGTATCCTGCTCTCGGTATTACACAAAGCTCTGCTCCACTATCATAGTCCCATGGCTCCAGTCCGCATCATGTCATCGTCTCCGTTGGCAGCAAACAGCGGCCAGGACAGAGAGGAGCGAGAACCCACTTCGCTGTATCAACACCGCATCATCGACAGCTTCCTCCACTTCGCCCATCCACCCATGTACACGCCCTTCAAGGCCATCAAGTGCGCATCTCCTGACCATGCTGCGGACAACATCTATGCAGCAGCCAAAGCAGAAGGTTGCCTGCATGCCTTTTTGTTTCTTGCATCTCGAAGGGGACAAGACCAAACAACGGCTCAAAAACCAGTGGGGATTCTCCCATAAACAAATACACTGGGGTTGACAGCTGGCAGAACCCCCCAAGAAGGGGCGAGGATGCAGACTACAGTGCACATATAGCCCAGAGGCATGATCATCAGCAGATCAGACGAGCAGGAGCCAAAATCCAAAAGAAAATCTTAAAAGGCATAGAAAAACAAATGTCCTCTCCTCATAGACAACATGTACCTCTCCCCCATCCTCCACTCGTCGCGACTTGTTTGTCTCCGAGAGAGGAGGCATCACCGGACACTCTCCCCACCTCTCTGTTCACGATGGGTCTCTTCGGCGCATCCTTTGGCGCCGTGTGCAGTAGTAATGACAAGGACGAGCGTCTTTCGACAAACAAATCGGACCCAAGAATAAAGCAAGAGAGATCCGAGCCTCGGTGAGGTGATCCTCCCATCATCCATCTTGAATAAGAAAAGGCAGATCAATTCCCAAGTAGGGCATCCCATCACATCGCCATCAATAACCTTGATTCCGCATGCATCAATAAGCTGATTGTCTGTATAGGGCCTACAAAGAGCAGGACGAAAGGGTAACCTGCAGACACATGTGGAGAAAAGAAAAGGAAGGGAAAAAGATGGGTAGAGGGTGCAATGTCATCATGCTTCATCACCCGCTTGGCAAGGAAAACAGAGGACATGCACAGCATGCAGAGGTAGAGGAAAATGGACTTGCCACCAAACAGCTGAGGAGATACGCGCCTTTTCCGTGGCGAAACAACTGGCGGCAGTCTCTGTGCGCTGTTCCCCACCTGCCATAAAAGGCACACACGACAACACGTCCACACGTCCGTCCGCCGAACACCTGTTTGGGGCAGGATAAGGAATCCATCCGATGCAGGGAAAGAAAAACGCACCCAGACACATGTTTGCGCTTGTGAGAAAGTCTCTCCTGCGCAGAGTCAACACGAAGTGCGCATCCGCCTTGGCGCCCCTTGTCCCACATCGCAACCCACTCCTCTCTGGCCTCTCTCTCCAATGGACCGTCTAGTCCGCCAATGGCCACCGCTCTGTCGACATGTATCCTCTGCGCCATACAGTATCCCACGGTTCATTGCTCTTTGGATGATGATTGGATGTGCCGTTTATTGTATTGTTGTATCCACAAGCAACAGCCATCGGGACGGATCCGGCATTCATTTTGTGTTTCTATTTATCCTTCATCCCCTTTGTATTTGTTGACAGCTTTTACCACCCAATCATTTCGTGCCTCAGTATCCCTGGACGCCTCTCTCCCCTCGCGCCAACTGGAGCAAACGCGCATTGGTCCAGACTAATGCCTGTTCAACTGTTCATCGGCATAGCTACTCACCTCTGTGATCCATTACGCCGATGCTGCTCAGTCTAATAACACACTAGAGTCCTATCCCGCATTAGAAAACCGGCCAGCCGCCCGATTTCTACGCTCTTCCGCCCCTGTATGCTGAGTAATGCAATTCGTGTGTCTGTGAAATGAATCCATTGTAGGGTTGCACAAGCACATAGAGACAATCGACCACAGCGCCAACTGTGTCTTTGTCGCTCAAGTGTTAGTCTAATCCAACCGGTTCAATTCGTTGCCGGCTCCATCAAGTAGAGCCCTGTAAATTCACAAGGATACAGGTGCAATTACAATGTACTCATAGACACAGGACAAAGGAGAAGAGAACGAGAGAGGAAGGTTAGGTTAAGGTTCGGTGCGTAAAAAAAAACGTGTGTTCATGGAAGAGCAAAGAGGGTTTTTCTAGTGTGCGTTATCACATCAGACCACAGTAGACTATGTTTGTAGTCTATGTAGACTACAGGGCGGCGCTTGAAGGAATGCGGCTCACGTTCAAAGGGAAATTGCCCAGCGCTGATTGGGCAACTGCCAATGTTCCTGAGAAAAATGCGCAAAAGAAGGCTAGCCTGAATTGAGCTGAATGAATTTCTTTACTCGCACCCTTGATGACAATCTTGTCGCCCTGCATCTGTAACCAGGTACAAGTTCTGGGATACCCTTTTGTGCAACATTCTTCTTGAGGGAGATAGAGCCATACATGTGCTTTCGCTCATGGGAAACCTCTATGGCTATGAAGCGGAAGCGGAAGAGCAGGGGGGGGGGGGGGGGGGGGGGGAGGAGCCCATGGATACGTGGATTGTTCCCACAAACCAATTGTTCTGTATATTACGTGGGCTCCTTGTGCATACTCACTCGACTGGACCCTGAGCACATATTCACTCGATATCTGTTCAGGGTCGGGTGATGTTCTGTGTTTAGAAGTGCATCCGCCACCAATAGAACACGCGAATGAACCTGCAGACTACGCCTTATCTTGGTCTCGACTCTCCATTCTTTTTTCTACGCACACATGACTGAGCAAGTATCGGCCTTCATTTCATATCATTGATATTGAATCAAGTCTTGTATTTTGTTAAATCCTTATTCTTGCTGCAACTCATTGGCCTGGCCGAGACACAACAAAAATTGGTGGCGCTAAAAGTAACCACAGATCAGATTTGGTGCGGACTACAATGCATGTTTAAATTCCAGGCACCATGATAAACCGGCGCCACCCCTCGTTTCATTGTCTTTGTATTATTTATGGAAGACACTATCGGACAGTTGGCATGATTGAACAATATGTATTTTACATGTGCATGCAAATATGTCGCCTATTTCTTGAACTCTCAACTCTATACGCCAAACCCTTCAACGATTCCGCGATTCCCTCGTCCTGTTCCAAACAATCGTAAGAAACGTCCCCCTGTAACCTTTCTCTCAAAGAAAAGCCGCTTGTTTAATGGAACTTGGAGTAAGGGTTCCTGAGCTCGTCCAGAATGCTGCTGCTGGGGAATGGTGGAACGTTGATGTCGGGAATGAAGGTGACCTCCCTTGCGAGCTGAGGTGATGTATCCTTGGCGCTGTCAAAGCGCTCCAGCTTGTACTTTGCAATGTCGGCCTTGGGTTTAGGGATCTCGACCTCCGTACCAACCACGAAACGCTTGCGCTCCGGCTTCCCGGACTTGGAATCAACAACTTCGCGGTAGTGAGTCCTGACAGGTTGTCTAGATTGAGCAGCAAGCGGGGGTTTTTTTTGTTCCGCACAAAAGATGCAGCAAATAAACATGTAGTGGTTAGATCGGTGAATGAAAGAGTGCTGGTTGACGTCGTAGCTAGCAAATGTCGACCAGTAGTGCTCCATTTGACCAAACACAGCGCCCAAGCGCAGAGATGACAGGCGTACCTTGTCTGAGGGTCGATCAATGAAACGTTGGAGACGTGAATAGGTGCCTCGATCTGGACTCTGGTCGCCTTTGTGGGATCCATAGCCTGAGGGCGAATGTGTTTCGTGACCTATGGAATCGCAAAAAAATAAAAATAAAGATCGAATATTAATCCACTGCTTGCTTGCTTCAGGTCCAGGAGCGGCAGATCGCTTCCTGAAACCACAATCCCTTTATGCTTAATTAAAAGTGTCCCTGTACCATGTTCCTATCCTCGATCAAGAGCGAGTTCAAGCTCCTAAGGACCTTCTTGACAGTTCCTGTCTTTCCCTTTTCCTTTCCGCTTGTGATATAAACCTATCGATCCAAAAAATCACACGTATCAGGCATTAGCATTAGCAGGGGAATGGCGAACAAAATCAGGCAAACTGATGTTGTTGCAGCAGAGAAGACGTCCATGTCCGTTGTGTTGTTTCGTACCTCGTCTCCTCGAACGATCCTCCACATCTTAATTTTATCCTGAGGCGCCACATATTTGACCCTGGTGGGCTGGAGCTTGGTGTTGATAAATCGGCGCATGCCAGAGACTAGTGAGGGCTGCATGGCGTTTGAGTATGTCGCTGCTGTTGTTGTTGTTGTTGTTGTTTTTTCGAGTTACGGCAAAGAGATAAGACGCGGAGTAGGAGGGGGGTCAAAGAGATCTTTGCCTGCCTCTACCATTTCCAGACCCGAAAGAGTGACAGGTTTGTTTTCGTTTCCGGGTCCAAGCCACTGTTTCTTCGTTTCAAAAGGTTCCGCCCTTCACACCCAGCAAGATTAGCCCATCCTCCTTTTTGCACTCCTCGCTCACACACTTGCACACGCAATAGTCATGCTCAGGTCAATGTCAACAACGGCCTTCTCTGGCCTCAGGACTGCCTCAACACAACAGGCACGTTGGATTCAGGTCTCGGCTCGTGCACTCAGCGTCAAGGAGGAATCGAACGCCGCTGCACCAAAAGGTATTGTTTCCAATGCCTTTCTCGGGAATTGATCACACTTTTGCTCTGGGACACAGGGAACGCGTCCTTGGGATTCATGAGGACGACATGTATTTATCAGTTGTGTGTTGTTCGAGCCATGTTGATACCTCTTCTCGCGTGCTTGTATCTCGAAATTTGTTTGTGATTTTGCTGTTCAGAGTTTCTGACGCTCGTATCACTCATTCTTTGGTTGTTGCACCACGGTCTACATAGCCAAGCGTACCGTCGTCTCCAGCGCACCTGAAGGCGCCATTTTGAAGGGTCTCAATTACATGAAGGATGGCAAGGACCCAGTGGCACTTGCCGACGAAGCCTATCCAGAATGGCTCTGGAAGATCAATGATCCCGAGGTCCGTGCTGCCAGAATTGCGGATCCCTTGGACAAGAAGCATCACAAGGAGGCAAGGAGACAGAGGATCAAGGCCGAGAACTTCATCCGCGACAGAAAGACGTAAAGGGAGCGCGTTTTGCATCGTCTCTTATTTTATTCAGGAATGTGGTGGGGGTTGTTCGGGATGTTTCTGTTGGTGGTTAAAGCGGCAATCGACAGGTACGCTGGATTCGGACTCACGATCGTTGACAACGCCAATCTCGGCTGTTGTTCACTTCGTTTTTCCATTTAGAGAGCGCAGTAATAAAGCTCATGTAATATATGCAATCAAACCCGCCAATTCGTATCAAGCACTTCGTGGCCCTCACTGTATATTTTTACTGGATTAGTGTAACTTTCATGAACAAATGGCCTGTTTTCGTACTCATGGCCTCCACCTGCCGCTCATGCCATGATCATCACATCAAGGCGGTTCAGCTTGGCGTAGGTATCCGCAGACATCCTGAACTTGATTGACCCCGCAAACATCATCAAAGACCTTGCTCTTCTCTTCAGCATGTCCATGTGCTATATTCATGCAGACAAAACGATCGCTCATTGTCAGTGACATGCGAAGATAAGTATGTTCAATCGATCCAAGGAACCAAAGTATGTTTACCTCTTTGCGGCCAGTTTGATCATAGGGTGATAGCTTGAGAGCCTGGTACATCTTATAAAGACTCTCCATTGTCTTGAGGAGCACATCGGAAAAGTTCCTTGCCACACACTCGTCCAATCCCTGGAACTTGTCGGCCTTCTTGGCGATCATGGCCATATCTGCCTCCAGAGGAATCAGGTCCAGCTCCTCAATCACAGCGACAGCAGCCTCATACTTGCCACGGTCATACAACTCTGTGAACTCAACTAGCTTGAGCAGGATGCCGCATGTCTCTAGGTTCTTAGGTGCAATCTGCTGGTTCACCTTGGGGTCGCTCACGTACTCGTTGATCAACCGTCTGATAGCAGGGATGTTGACACCCGTATCGCCAGCGCCTTGAAGTCCTGGATTAGAAATGACTTCTGCCAACTGTCTATTCAAGAGCTCCACGACCTGGTTGTAGGCCTCCGCGATGCTGTACAGCTGAATAGCGTCCTCCACACGGCCCTCTTTGGATTTGCTCTTGGCTGCTTCGATCGCAATGTCCTTAATGAATTGTCCACTGTTCTCAACCTTGATCAACGGAAGGTACTTTTCAATAACACCAGGAGTCTTAATGCCGTGCTTAGTGGTACCGAGTAAAGTCGTATAATCCTTTGCCTGCAGGACCAACTCCTGAATATAGCTGTGACAAAGTGCGATTTGCTCCTGGTTAATGGCTGGCTGAAGATCCGTGTTCAAGCAGACTTGATACAGGTATGTGAGCGCTTCTGTCGGGTAATGCTCGGCAATGATGCGAGCCTGATAGTGGATCAACTGCGTAAAGTTGTAATGCGTCACTTCATGGCCCTGTGCATCTTTGGTAGTAGAAAATGGGATGGGGTCCGACACCCGGTGCACCGCAGGGATGCGAAGCAAACCGTAATATGTCAATGCGATTGCCATGTGCACAGTCTCAAGTGTATAGGCTTTAGAGGACGAAAGGTAATGAATGGCCTACAAAAGAGGATCAAAACCGTTCGTATTAATATGATGACTTCACACAGTCGGTTCGATTACGCGACGGCGCAATAGCATAATTATAAGGACAGCATACCCGCTCGAACTGCTGTGAGTAGATAAGGACCTGAAAGTACTGCAGTGGGTTGTTGTTGTTGGGGTTGAAGTAATTGGCGCCGTATTTGAGGACAAGCGCCTGAAAGTCGGAGAGATCGTATTTGTCCTGTGGCATGGTATCACTCTTGGTCTCCCGAATCATGTTGAGCTACCAACACCAGCAATTCAAAGGCAAGCGTTAGCATGATGTTTGGTAGCTATAGCACTGCCAGAATGAACTGGGATAAAATTGCAGGAGCATTACCTGGAGCCAAATGAAATCCTCGAGGGCCCCGACGACAGGAGTTGTCCGTTTGCTCAGCTCGCAACGACCGAGAATCTTGTACAGTGTCAACTTGTAAGGATCCACCGTATCGGAACTGTATCTAATCCTCTGATTGAAGTCGGAGAGGATTCGCTCCTGCATTGGCGTGGGCAAAAAGCGATCCTCGCTCTCGAGATATGCGGCAAGATATGTGACGAACTGGCGATCAGCAGGAGAAAAGTTCGTCTCGTTCTCATTTGCAAACTTGAGCGCCTCCTGTCCATGTCCGGTCCGAAGCAAATAGTAGATCTGGGCCCATACAGCCTGTCCATTGGTAATCTACATTGTATGCAATACAATCAAATCCATGGGTTATGAATGATAAACAGCAAAGATGACCGTATTATTAGTGTGGAAATCATTTTAAGTGTTACCTCAAGATTGGGTTGCGACCACGACCCATATCGGAGGTATTTCAACTGAACAAATGCACGAATGGTGTTGGTGAGCGATGGAATGCCACCGAGGTTGGCTTCTGCTGGATTTTCTGCCACGGCTGCGTCGATGTGGTTCATGAATTGCCTCTCAAGGAACGTCTTTGATCCCTTGATTAAGCGCTCACGTAACGTCGCCGCAACAGGGCTCTTATAGGGCGATGCCAGGTATGCATTGGCATATACGCGCTCCTTCAATGTCTTGCTCTGAAACCGGCCATTGCGCAGCTCCTGTTCGCCCAAAACTGACACCAACAGCTCCCAGGTTTCTCGAATCTTTGGATTGGGCTAAAAGTGATTGACCAGAAGGGAGATACATTAGCTTTGAGCATGAGATGTCAATATGGTACGCTGCCATTTCATCGCAGAGTAAGCTCATACCTGATCCTTGTGTGCCAAGAGCGAAGCTTCGACAAAACTGCTTGCCAATGGAAAAGCAGTTCCTTGAAGGCGAGATTCGCAAAGATCGTACAAAACTTTGTAGTAGGGCTTCAGCTTGCTAAAGATAATGTCCAATGATGCTGGATTCTGGTTGAATCCAGGGACGTACGATGAGCTCTGTGACAGGCCTAGGCTAGACGATCCATGGAAGGTGTTCACTGACTGTCTCAACTTCTTGTCTGATCCGGCTCCTTGCGTTTGGCTATGTCCGAGTTCCTCAAAGATCCTCTTCTTTGTACGCTCCCAGTCATAATTCAGCGAAGTTTCAAAGTTTGAATCAAAGTCCATGACAGTCTCGCGTCTGCTTTCGTCAATGGTGTTGACAATGATTTGCTCATGCTGGTATCGCAAAAATGCCTGAGTGTCGGTATCGTGGATGGGTTGGTAGGGATCATAGGTCGATCGCAAGTTGATTGCGTTGAGAGTCGCATTGGTGACATTGGCATCAATCCCGCTCTTCGCCAGAAGAACTTGACTAGCGATATCAGAAATAAGACATAGGCAGTTTCGAACCATTTTAGTCCACAGTCCAGGTACAGCGGCCCTGATCACTCCGATACTATGTGTCGCAAACGCACGATGGCGTAGCTGATGAATACCGCTCACTTACGCCTTGTTGTCGGTGATATCGACGGGTTTTGACGACTTGGTGGCAAGCTTGCGCGACTGATTCTCAATCTGATCGATGCCACGCTCGATGTGAGGCAGCTGCAGGCCGTTGATGTGGCTAGTGAGTTGCTTGGATTGCTCCGCAAGCTGGGCCAGAGTAGAGAATGCCATGGTGAGTCCTATTGGATCTCCTGAGATCTCTGCTATCTTGTCGAGCTTTGGAGAAAGGGACGTTGAGTGACAAGTGGTCGATCAAAAGTGGTCGAGAAGGAGGGAGCAGATGTCAAGGTGAAAGCGCGTTTACAAGACCGACAGCGACGGGAAAGTAGCTCGTTTCTCGCTGAAAATACGTCACCGAAGACGTTCTTCCCGCGAGAACGTGCCACCTCTAAACTAAAAGTGTGCTTGCTAACACACATAAATGGAAAATAAAGCTAGACTAGCTGACTATTTGACAACTCGCTTACGGTGGGCATCTTGTATGGACGCTGTTCGCTTGCGTCCACCGCCAACTCGCCCTTGCCCTGGCCCCACCGCGCTACTGCTGCCACTGCAGCTGCCGGCTTCTGTGTGCGATCTTGCATTCTGAATCCAAGGGTAGTGCCCATTTTTATCCGCCGGTTGAAGATAAAGAGGTCGTTGTCGATTGACCAAATGGCTGCGAATCGCATTGACAATGCTGTGCCACGCCATGATATCGTGGTGCATGTAAGGCCTGCAAGTCGAGCAGTACAGCCTACGGATCTCGACCTGCCCGACAAGTTTCTCGCATGTCGGGCACTTCTTGGACGTATAGTATTCATTTACACCAACCACGGTGTAGCCTAGGGACCTCGGCCTGTGGGACACTAAGACGAAGTCAGTAAAATATATAAAGTGATTTCACACAACTGGGAATCTTCAGTGATAGTACCCTTACCTTTTGAACAAAGTACGATTGGAAGGAGCCATGCAGCAATGAAAGCCTCGTCTTGGTTGAAACCTTGCCCAAACCGACTCCAATAACCACCCTGTTAGCTTTATCCCTCTTTCTGCCGATCGGGACGCCATCCAACTTGAGTAGACCCTTGCATCCCACTCGTGCTTCTTGAAACGGTTGTTGTCATTGTAGAACTCATCGAGTTGTCCCTTTATTGTCCCGAGCTCCGTAACATGACTCGCAAAGCTGGCGCCCTCGCTGCGCAGTGGTGGCAGTTTGGTCTCGATGTCGCTGATGGATTCTATTCCGTCGCCTGGGACGACGCTTTTTTGCCCTTCCATCCAAGCGGAGGGACATTCGCCGAATCGACTGGTTTCGCTGACTGTGCAGCAGGGGAACTGACCATGGGGAAGGTATCCAACATACTGTGGTTTGATGGCATCTTCAGTTTGGATGCCACGGACGCCATGCTGATCAGCTTCTTGCCTGTCTCGCGGAAGCTCGAAGGTGGAATCGGCACACCCACAGCGCCGCGCTGCTCCAATAGTCGCATATTTATCCTGTTCAAGCCTTGGGCATTTTGGATTGAGGTATCCGAGACAAAAAGTGAGTCATGCATCGTACTCCAATGTAGGAGCACCTTGTAGCGGTCATCCTCTTCTATGACCTTCCACACGCGTACAGACTTATCGTCACAGCCGGTTGCGAAATAGGTGCCGTTGAGAGTCGCGTTCCAGGCGATGCTTGTGACATATCCGTTGAAACCATTGACAACTGCCAAACACTGACCTAAATCTACATCCCACAGCCGCACCGTATAGTCGTCACTGATCGAAGCGATCTGCTGGCCGCTGGGCGAATACGCCACGCTCCTGACAGATTTGGTATGGCCGCTTAAAATAGGACCAGGTGCACCGGTTTGCACGTTCCACAGCCGCACCGTGTGGTCGTAAATGCCTGAGGCGATCTGCTGGCCGCTGGGCGAATACACCACACTCATAATATAGCTGGTATGTCGTAAGATGGGACCGGGTGCACCGGTTTGCGCATCCCACAGCCGTACCGTCTTGTCCTGACTGCCCGAAGCGATCTGCTGGCCGCTGGGTGAATACACCATGCTCCTGACAGGTTTGGTATGGCCGCTTAAGATGGGACCAGGCGCACCGGTTTCCGCGTCCCACAGTCGCACCGTGTTGTCGTGACTGCCCGAGGCGATCTGCTGGCCGCTGGGCGAATACGCCACGCTCATAATATAGCTGGTATGGCCGCCTAAGGTGGGACCAGGTTCACCGGTTTCCGCGTCCCACAGCCGCACCGTGTTGTCGTAACTGCCTGAGGCGATTTGCTGGCCGTTGGGCGAATACACCACGCAATCGACCACTCCGGTATGACCGCTTAAGATGGGACCAGGTGTACCGGTTTCCGCTTCCCACAGCCGCACCGTGTAGTCGTAACTGCTCGAAGCGATCTGCTGGCCGCTGGACGAGTACACTACCCTGTTAATGCCGTCGGTATGACCGCCTAAGATAGGACCAGGTGCACCGGTTTGCGCATCCCACAGCCGCACCGTGTGGTCGTGGCTGCCTGAGGCGACCTGCTGGCCGCTGGGCGAATACGCCACGCTCCTAACAGATTCGGTATGACCGCTTAAGGTGGGACCAGGTACTGTGGTTTCCGCGTCCCACAGCCGCACCGTGTAGTCGTGACTGCTGGAGGCGATCTGCTGGCCGCTGGGCGAGTACACCACGCTCCTGGCAGATTTGGTATGACCGCTTAAGATGGGACCAGGCGCACCGGTTTCTGCGTCCCACAGTCGCACCGTGTTGTCGTTACTGCTCGAGGCAATCTGCTGGCCACTGGGCGAATACACCGCGCTCCTGGCTGGCTTGGTATGACCGCTTAAGATGGGACCAGGTGCACCGGTTTCCGCGTCCCACAGTCGCACCGTGTTATCGTTACTGCTCGAGGCAATCTGCTGGCCACTGGGCGAATACAGCAAGATCCTAATATAGCTGGTATGTCGTAAGATGGGACCAGGTGTACCGGTTTGCGCATCCCACAGCCGCACCGTGCTGTCCTGACTGCCCGAGGCGATCTGCTGGCCGCTGGGCGAATACACCACGCTCAATACGATGTCGGTATGCCCGCGTAATATGGGGCCAGGTACACCGGTTTGTGCATCCCACAGTCGCACCGTGTTGTCGTGACTGCCTGAGGCGATCTGTTGGCCGCTGGGCGAATACACCACGCTCAATACGATGTCGGTATGCCCGCGTAATATGGGGCCAGGCGCACCAGTTTGTCCATCCCACAGCCGCACGGTGTTGTCGTTACTGCTGGAGGCGATCTGCTGGCCACTAGACGAGTATACCACCCTGTTGATGCCGCCGGTATGACCGCTTAAGATAGGACCAGGTGCACCGGTTTGCGCATCCCACAGTCGCACCGTGTTGTCGTGACTGCCCGAGGCGATCTGCTGGCCGCTGGGCGAATACACCGCGCTCCCGGTAGAGCCGGTATGGCAACGCAAGGTGTGGGTTTTTGCCCAAGTCGAGGTATCATACACGCTGATCGTCCCATCGCGAACGCTCACAGCACAGGTATTCCCGTCCGGCGAATATACGCAGGATTGTACCGCGTCATCTTCTTTAAGATATGGCCATTCGCCAAACTTGACGCCTGCCATTTGCGCGCTGCTCAAATCAGCCTGACGCAGCCAAATATTGCGAAGATTGACCTTTCTCAAATCAGCTCCCTGCAGCTGAGCAGAATCGAATTGGCCAAAGCTCAGGTCCGCCCCTGGAATTTGGATGCCTTTTAGATCTGCCCCAATAAACTGTACCCCGGCTCTGACTAATATCGTGATCGCATTGGCGGCTGCAACGCGCCACTCCTTGTCTGTTTTCGAGTGTTCGATCAAGGCATACAGTTGTTTTTTGAATATGGGCTCCTGTTGAATGCGCTCTTCCAGAAATTGCAGAACAGAAGGCTCGCTCACAAAATTCCTCCAGACCAATGGCGAGGTGGGCTCAACAGGCTGTTGCTCTTTGGCAGCGGCGGTCACGTTCTCTAGACCACCTTGGATCTCAAAGCTCCAAACGGAGCTGGTGCTCCCTCGACGGGCCGGGGTGAGTGCTCCATTCAAGTTCTTCCTGCCCTCTTGCGGTTCAAACACCGCGCGAGCTATGCAGTATTCCAGCAGCGATCTATGGATAAACCGGTACTGATTGCCGCTGCGGGTCAGAGGACAAGCTTCCAGTAGGAGCTGGTTCTCGTCTTCTCGGGAGAAAAACTTCTCTTTCCACGTCTCTTTGTCTCGTTTGTGAGAGTAGGCCACCACCGGATTACCTGCCTGATGCATGTAGATTGCACTAGCCAAATCCTTGAGAAACTCCATGCCGTTCTGAGTAAAGCCTTCGTCGTTCAGCCTCTCAAAGTCCGCCCTTGCTTGAGGGCCCAAGTCTTTGTCCCCAAGCCGCTTCTTGCCCCGCTCCAGCCACTGTTCCATGAACTGGTCATACAATGCGACTCTAGTGACCCGGACAGCCGAGAGGTCTTGTCCTGGATCCACCATGCGCGGCAGTACCTCCAAGGACAGCGTTAACATAAACGGATTCTTGACCAGGTCTTGCAGGCTGGGGATCTGATCAAGAGCCTGCAGGTAGTCCGTCATCTGCCAGAGCGGTTCCATCGCAGACACATATTTCTTGATGTAATCTTGGACTTGATCCATAGAGAACGGTGCAATGACCGCTTCTTGAAACAATGCTGGCTCTGCTTGGCGGTTGCGATCTGCTGGCTGGAACCGATCCCGATAATCGAGGCCAAGGTACTCGCTGCGGCAGCTAATTACCATCTGAGCACTCCATTCTCCCAGCTGATTCAGTCGGTTACTCATGTACAAGTTGTGGGTCTGCTGGCTCTCATCATATCCGTCGCAAATCAAGATGAATCTGCGGTAGCCTTTCAACTCTCTGATCTGGGGCTCGGTGAACCCTGCCCTCCGTAGTTGTTTGGCGATCAGATCCTGCTCTGGTTTGTCGATTGCGGGCAAGTTGATGAAGAGAGGAATTCTGCCTTCCTTTTTCTTGTAAGCGTCCCATAAGTCGCACTCGAGCGCCCGGTTAAAAGTCGACTTGCCTGCGCCAGAATCACCTAGCAGCAACATCACTTTTTGATTACTGCTCAGGAACTCCTTGACCTTGTCCATCAATGAAAACAGCGCATCATCGGGAGCTTGTAGACTAGCCTTGGCCTGAGGGGGAATATACACAGCGTCGCCTCGCTCCTTGAGACGTTGTTCTTTTAGCCGGCGCAAGTCAATTTCAATGTCGGGTTTATTCTGGACGCGATCGAGCAGGGATGGAGATGCCAGCATGGGTACAGAGACTACTAATGGGTACTGGCGCTGAGGATTCTCTCGGTAAGCTTGATAAAGGTCTTGCTTCTTGGCATCCCCATCTGTACCCAGCTCTTGCAACAGGGCTTCGGCAGCTATGGTGCGTAACATATTGATTATATTGGAGTGTGGTAGATAGAATTAGATATGGAGGTAGAGGTCTCAGCAGTCAATCACAAGAGATCGCACCTCAGTTGTCCTTCGTCCTAACATACACTGCAATGCGCCTCCTGACGTAGAAGCTAGCTGCTCAAGAATATTGAGAATCCACTGTTTGACGATGGCTTGCTGGCCCCATTCCGCATCGTTCTTGTACAGCTCACCTAGGAAGCCTACAGCGTTCCAGCGGGTGTCGGGGTCCCAGTTCGGATTCGCGGCTATTTCCCCAAGCCGTTGGCACACTCCCCATTGAAAAGCAAGATCACGACGGTAAGGTGCTTCACAGATCAGCTTCTTGACTTTGGCGAGTTGACCGTCTCGAATCAATTTATCGATACCACGTAATGCCGGATACCACGCACGTTTCTTAGCAAAGCTGAGGCCTTCCTTGAGACAGTCAAGAAAGTCCTGCCCGCTCTCCACTAGAGCCTTTGCGCCGTCGTACCCGATTTTAGCGACCTGGTAGACCTCGACCAAGCCGTCTTGAAGATGCCCTAGTCCCTCGATAAAACCATCCACATCTAGGCCCTTGACCGCGCTCACGACTCCTGAAATGCCCTTGACCACTGCTCGTCCACGTCTTAGCGTAGCTTGCAAGGGTGACTCGTCGTCCGGGACGTACTGCAGTGCTTGGAAGGCATAGGCGGCTTGATACACCAGATATGGGTCAGGGCTGCCCTTCAGTCCATTCAAATAGTCAGAGAGGGGCTCATGCAGCTGTTCGCGGTTCAGGTCCTTGACATGGCAATCGGCCATCGCATCCAAAACGTGTGACACCGCCAGTGTCAATTTATAAACATGGTGCGTCGATTGCTGATGGGTATCCTTCAAGCGCGTGCTGAGGACCTCCAATATCTTGACCAAATCATCGGCATCAAGGTATTCCAGTGAAGCGCGCTGCATCAACTGCGCCAGCCCTTCTAGTAGATAAAGCTCCAGCAAAGTGGCTTGATTGATGCCGTCGATAAAGTTCATGAGTAGTTTCCTGAATAGTTCTTGATCGAGTACAGGCGCCAAACAGGCCACTTCAGCCACAATGGGGGGCGATTTGAATGTGTCATTGATGAATGCCTTCGTCAAGTCCGCCGCCAACGTGCGTAGTCGTTCTTGCTCGTCTTCATCGCTCGCTTTGGCTTGAGACCAGGCCCGTTCGGCTTCATCGAGAAGTTCCAGAGACAGTGATGCAGAGGGCAACAAGCTGAGGCAGTACACGAGCTGAGAGGTACTAGCGAGGCGCGCACCCGCATTCGGCAAGGCACACTTGGTCCTAGTCGGAGTCAAGTCCCGATCAAAAATCTTTGGAGGAATATGTGCATTGTCGCGACCATTGGGGCCACTTAGGTCCGAAGGAGGAAGCAGGCGGGGCGTTGCTGAAAAGGAAGCAGCAGGAACGAGTGCGCGGTGAATAGTGCTGATCTCGTTGTTGCCGAGCTGAGAAGAGCCAGGCGATTGTTGGTTGACCTGCTGGACATAGCCCCATTTTTCAGCCTTCTTGTAGCTAGTGTGTGCCATTTCTCTATTCCCCAAGCTGACAAGCTGTTCACTGTGCTCGAAATAGGCGGTAGCGATTCCATTGCGCAGGGCTTGGTCCTCGACAGACAGGGGAGACGCAAGTGTCTTTTTCGCAGCCCTTTTCATCCGCGATAACGCAGCCTCTGCGTCGTCGCACAACGCTAAAGCAATTTCTCGATCCTTGACTGTGCGCGCATTCTCCAAATGAAAGTTGGCAAGCTCCAGTTCCTTTTGTGGCGAGAGAGCGCTTCGCGAGGACGAAAAAGTGTTACGCAACATGTAGCTTCTTTGCGAGTTTTGTTTCTGTTTTCGTAGAGGAGGTGGTGGCGATATTAGTGACCTTGTCGCCAATCAATATACTTGTGCGGGTAGTTAGCGTACGTGCTTACACTTGGAAGACACTGCAGTAACACAATGGGGGCACGATAAGATGCAACGGGCTGGGAGACTGCAGACGTAGTGGCGGCAGAACGGCCTATTACCAAATGCAAAGATTACTATCCATAGCTGCTGCCTGAACTTTATCATATGTAGCTACCCTGCGCAAGTGATGGCGCCTCACCTCGGAAGTGTTTATTCGACTCCTGTGTCCTTTGACTGGATGCCGAGGGAGTCCAAAAGGTTTGTTCACTTTGTGTCTTCTAGCAACGATACCAAATGTCTTCAATGAAGCATGACGGATTAATAACTATAGAACACGCCTATAGCCTACCCTCAAGTGACAAGAAACAGTGCCTCACCTCAACTCGAATCTGTTTCTCGATTCCTTTCACTGGCTGAGGAGATGGTCCGTCCTTGTGCAATGCTCTCTACTCCAACTCTTTGTTCAAGACTGTCCGCGCACGCATAGGGTGGTCGAGCGGGGTGATATTCGCCTCCCCTCGTTACTTCTAATTGAGATGTCTGTCATGCAAGAAGGGTTATTATTCATTGCACATGCACGGTTGTTCTTTCAACCTTCCTACACCCTGATCCCAGTCATTTTAGTAACAGCTCTTGGCTTAACTATAGCGGTTCATGCACAGGCAGGAAAGTCGTCTCCGCAGATAATCTGCGTTTTTTGTTACCTATGAATCGCCACTGGACTGTGCTTACTGAGATCAAGCAAAGACGTGCGAGGGACAGAGAGAGGTGAGAGAAAGAGAGAAAGACAAAAAACAGTGAATTGAGCGAGGGTATAGCTGGGAAAATGGGAAAATGGGAAAGAGGGAAAGAGAGGAAGTGGAGTGCAAAGGCTCAAAAGAATGAGCACTTTGAGACACATCCATCATTGCAGCATTGACCAAACAGACCCATGCTTTCTAACCATATCACTCCTTCGCCCTAATATAACGTGTAATGGGCTCCCATCGGATGCGAAAGAGAAGGGAAAACAAAATCTGAAAATTGCACCGAGCTCTAACTGCATGATTCCTATTAATGCCCAACCTTAGTTTATCATATATATTTAAGGCACTACTCAAATATCTCGACGATAAAATTTAAACATGGATTTTGAACCAGCCTCCATAACTGCAAACACAGCAATTTAGCTGAGTTTTTAGAGTTTACAAGTGAGGACAAAGGATAAAAATGCGTTTCAGCGTACGACTTAGCGGTGCAAGATATTCCTTCATGATAAAGTAGTCAAGGAGCTCAATTTTCATGAATGTTATGGTGGTATGAGGGTAAGATAGCAATAGTGAAGGCGGAAGGCAAGAGGCTCGGAGAAATAGGCCTATGAAACCCTTAATATGGTGCAGAATACAAGAGTGCTAATTTATTTCCGACCCTCTCTCTGTCTTTAAGCTATTTTCATCGTCGTCTTCGATTGTGATATGTGGAAAGTAGCCGAAGTACGTTCTTCCCGGACGCGCCACTTCTAAACTAAATGTGTGCTTACTAACGCACATGGAAAATAAAGCTAGACCAGCTAACTATGCCAGTTACATGGAGGAAAGTGCACCTTACGTGCTGACGACCTAATATATATCCTATAGTGTGTGGTCGACGTCCAGTTTCGTACAAAGCATTACAAGGCTACGAACCGTCTCGACGTTCATCGCCTGCCAGATTACGAAAGACGGCAAAAGCCAAGGCTGCTGCTATTGACCTCGAGCTCGCAAAGACATTAATCGACATAACGAAGGCTGCTGAAGGTGTTAAGTCCTTCGAGAATCGTCCAAATGTAGAGCCATATGCCATGAGCGTTTATACCCTTATCCTTATTTCCCACAGCTTTGCACCCATCCAGCTTCTCCCGATGGGACTGACGTTTCGAAACGGATTTTGCTTCTCCCGATGGGACTGACGTTTCGGAATGGATTTTGCAAGCATGTCCTGCACCAGAGGCATTCGCCCAAAAAAAGACCGCCTTAGTCCATCCGCATCTTGTCTCTTCAGCATCATTCCCTCCTGAGGACACACGAACAAGTAGCATCAACAGGAGAAGCAGGCAGGAGCACATACTCGCATCTTCATTCATCAATAGTTATGTCTGGGCCATCGAGGTCATCCTCCGTTTCACCCTATAAAGAGCCACCCAGCTCGCCAGCTTTCAGTATACCGGACGAAGGCTACGACGAACAGCGGATAGAACTCCCCAAGTGGGTCCACCAATGGACGGACGAGCAAAAAGCAGGTAAAGGAGCTCATATCAATGTTTTCTTCTCGAGTACATATCTATTCCTGCTACAGGTCATTTAACGAAGCAGCTCGTTTCATTGAATGCGAATCTAGAGCTCGCAATTCAACTCCTAAAATCAGTTTCTCCTTCGGTCTTCACAAGAAGTTACACTCGCCTTACCCCCTTATTTGAATACAGGGATTTCCTGGTCCTTCTCCCGTACGAACTCACAGGTAAGTTTTCTGCAGTATTTATTGAATGACTCAATGGCCAGTAGGGATATCGCCGGCTTGACATATCGCATTTCTCTACCTAGTGCATTTACTGTCGTTTTTGGATGAAAAGTCATTGGCTACAGTTGCGCTTGTCTCCAAAGCCTGGAGCAAATTTGCATCCGACAACACAGTTTGGAAGGGACTTTATTTCAAACGAGGCTGGAAAGTGAACGAGGACATGGTGGATTGGTACCTGACATGGGCAGACATGGAAGAGCAATGGCTCCTAGGCCCAAGGGGTATGTACCCAAGAGTTCACTTCGAGTCCGAGTCGACTGTGAGCCGAGGAAAGCGCAAGATGCTGGACCATGACATGCTGGCTTGTGGAGGCAACGATGGCGAGAACTACAGGATGCTGCAGGACCATGTCGACCTCGGTGCAGCATACGAGCTTCAAACGGACGACGATGAAGAAAATACTACGCATGCACATCTGGAGCCTTACCAGCAACTTGAGCCCTTCCCTATATATAGCTCACCATACGACCATACGGAGGACGTCGACATGGCACGGTCTCATATGGATGACTATGAAGGCGGCAGCTCTCCTATATCGTTCCCAGCTTCGCCGCCAGCCATACATGAATCATCTGCATCGCCAGAACAGTCACCGCTTTATGACTCTAGCGGGTCTTTTCCTCGAACCAGAGGCTCTTCCTCCATGCGGATGCCGAACCAACGACATGGTCGATTCTCACTTTCGAACACGACCTTTATGCCATCCCTTCCACGCGCCCGCATGCCAATGTACACTCTCGGGAGTAACCTTATGACACCACCATCTATGCTAAAAAAACTATCCCGTCGAAACAGCCCTCCATTGCCACTCAGGATACCCGGTATGCAAGGCGCAGCAGCTTCGTCTAGTTCAACATCCACCTCACGACAGCCTAGATTCTTTGGACACCAAAGGGCGAACTCTGCGGATCAGCTCCGTTCGAGCTCTCAGCCATCATCACCAACCCTGCCAGCATCGCCTACTCTTCTGGGCAATTACATAAGTGGTCCTCACTCACCTCTTACCACAAAGAGCCTCTGGAGTGTGATCAGGCATGGTGTTATGGGCGTATCTGGATCATCCGCATGGCCCTCATTGCATTCACACAAGCATGCGGATCCTACTGAACTTGATCCATCGTCCTCCAATCGCCAAGCCCACCAGCAGCAGCAGCAGCACCACCACCACCATCACCACCATCACCTTTCGCCTTCGCTTCCATCATGGCTGATGCACCTACCTTCCCCACTCACCAGCGCATCCTCGCGCTATCATAGGAATTCAAACACGCAACTGTCGGCGCCGTCCGTGACGACTACTCTCTCAAGTCCACTCATGGTGAATAGCTCGACCGGACCTATTTTTGAGACGAGGCAGCCACCAATACCTAAGCGCATTGATTATCTGGATCCCAACGCGCCGCTTCCACCAGAAGTTTTAAGTGCAGACGCTCTTCATGTGCATCGCCACCCTGTGACTAAGCGGCCAATGATCAACTGGAAATTCCTCTGTCAGCAACGCAGACTGCTGGAACAAAACTGGAATCGAGGAATTCACTTTGCGAAGGAGCTCCCAGGACACACAGAGGGCATCTATTGCATTCAGTTTGACGATAACAAGATCATTAGTGGCAGCCGTGACAACACTATCAAGATCTGGGATCTTGCGTCAGGACTTTGCCTAAGAACATACTCGGGCCATAGTGCCAGTGTACTTTGCCTACAGTATGACGAGAGCCGGATCGTGAGTGGGAGCAGTGATACCTCCATTATTGTTTGGGACCTCGATATAGGCAAGGTGCTTCGGCGATTGACAGGACATGCGGACAGTGTTTTGAGCCTCCGATTTGAGAAGGACATCGTGGTCAGCTGCAGCAAGGACCGGACTGTCAAGATTTGGAAGATCAGCACAGGCGAGATGATCAGAACGCTGATTGGCCATCGTGCTGCTGTCAATGCTGTTCAGTTTTCACCTGAATCTGCCGCTCCATCGCCGTTTGCGGGAAGTCCCAGGGTGGTGGTTTCTGCTAGTGGCGACAAGACCATCAAAATATGGTCTTTTGAGACTGGCGAGTGTTTGCGAACTTTGGAGGGCCATGCTCGAGGTATTGCCTGTATTCAGTTTGAAGACAACATCATTGTCAGCGGGAGCTCTGATCGGTCCATCAAGATCTGGGACATTACAAGGGGCGAATGTGTTAAGACGCTGGTTGGACACGATGGGCTTGTCAGGACGTTACAGTTCACCGGAGGAAGGATCATTAGCGGGGGTTATGATGAGACACTCAAGATTTGGGACCAGGAGACAGGCAAGTTGCTTGCAGATATGGATGGTCGACACTCTCACCGCGTCTTCAAACTGCAGTTCAATGATTCCAAGATTGTTAGTTGCTCACAAGATCAAAAGGTATTTGCCCAAAAGATTCACTCTCGAAGAGCCCTCATTGACGACGAGTGTATGCACGCGAGAATTAACATGGTTTCCTGCTTGTCTAGATCATCATTTGGGACTTCGCCGTGGGCGTCGATACTACATTTTTGATGTGACGAATGCCCTCTTCACGCCCTTTTTTGAAGCACCCCTACAATTCTATGCATCTTGCATTTATATACCATGGATTGCAACCTACAGCTTGCATCCATTACCCTTCGGTCCGCAGGACTGTCACTGTCGCATTGTTATTCTCGCTGTGTAATTTAGGAGCCATTGTATCGCTCTTCATTGTATCAAGAAAAACAACCGTTGTACCAATACATTCTGAATAATAATGAAAAAGAAAAAAGCAATTCTTGCATGTTATAATGTTGCTTGTAATGATCTACAATTGAACTCTCTGGATTTTATCCATCACCTCACTGACTGCAGGATCTGCAGACCCGTCAAGGGCAGGTTCTGTCTGGCATGACCCATTGCATCCAATTTTGGGCCCATTCAGGTCGAGATCCATGCCGGTGGGCCCTCCGTTCACTGATCCCTGCAGTTCAACCTCCACCTTGGGCCTATTGCCAGCAAGTCGCTTAACTTTTGCATCTTCGCTCTCATGCTCTAATTTCTCTGCGTCCTCGTCAGAGAGGTCGCTGCTGTCTTCATCCGAATCCGTAGGTGGCAGTTCTGGCCAACTTTCTCTGGGGCCAGCCCAACCACACTCTTCGCACAGCTTGGTAACAGCAGGATCGTGAGGCTGCTTTGAACATTCTCTAATCTTTTTCAAGTACCGAAGTGGAAGATCGTAATCTAGAGAGATCGAATAAAGAAAAGTATTTGACGATGAGAACTTGAGCTCCTTTGATGGAAGTCTTTACCAGAAAGCGCGAGACTTACGAATCCCATCGCAGAACCTGGAGATACATATGAAGGACATGTAAGAATGCGGTGAAAAATGATTAGCATGCGCGACGTAGGATAATATCTTGCAGTGTTGAAAAACAGGTCAACTTACGGTGGACGGGTGGTGTATCTGCAATCACAGATGCTGTACATGGTCTGAGTGTTTTTGCCATCGGGCACTCGCCATCGAAGAGGTTTGAACGAAGTGCCTTTGTGGGACTTGCCATCGCACCTAATGATCATTCCATAACGGGGGGCTTTATTGTGAGCAGATACACTCATCCCTTACATTGCGATACAGCATGATGAAGGCCTGTGAGATTTACCATGGTCCTTTCTTGGTCAGTCCGCATGTGCACCACTCCTTGATCGAGCCTGGCTTGAGATTACGGACTGTGCATGGGTTATACTATGGACAGTTGCAAAGATGCAGCAGGGACATAGAAAGATGTGAGTGGTCCTTAGAAAATACACTGGCGATACTCTGTCATATATGCGATATGAAATTTTAATAGATCTTACGTTTGTGACCTTTGGTTTGCGAGCAAGGTGGCCCAAGTCTTCGATATCCATTGCGGTATGTTAGTTATATGGGAATCACAAGGCGAGTCAGAAGATGAGAGTGATTAGAGTGATGAATGCAATGATGAGGGAGGGGAGAGAAGGAATGGGGAAGGTAAATGGGGAAGAAGGTGACGAAGTGATGCCGAAGTGCCTCTCTCTCATTTATTTTCTCACGAAAGGGTTTACTTACGGTGTTTATCCAGATGGGTCTCGACTGTTGCATTCAGAGTGAGCATGCAGCGGATAGAAGCACTCGTCTCCCCTACGACAATATGTACACCTTCTGGCTTCAATGACCTAATGCCAGGGGATTGGTTTCTTTCGTGAGGCAATTGGGTACCATCGCTAGATCTCGTATCCCACTAAGTGTGAGATCCCTGGAAGTGGGATTGTATATTAAAACAACTTCGCCCAAAAAATCGACCTGAATGTTTGACAACAGCCTCTCTAAATGACCGTCCCATTTAACTGCAATGAAAAACGTTTTTTTTGATCGAGTCCACCCTGTCCCCCATTCGTTGATCATCCCTCACGACCATCAGCATGATCCCGCCACCAGTCGTCCAGCGAGGGTTATTGGCTCTGGACAAGTCTCTGTTTACCAGGACCGTCAGTGTGATGGCTCTAAGGATTCCAGCCAGCTTGACCATGGAATGCAAAAAGGTCATTGGGACGTATGTACAAGAAAGCAGAAAACAGTGACAGGAGCTATGCCAATCGAGGTGTTGAGGACATGATGGTATCATGCCCGCAGCTAAAGCAAGCAAAAGCGGAGAGCCAACGACTGACATCGCCAGCGCTAACCAATTCACTCGATTAATGCTACATACTTCCCAACGCGATAGTGACATGTTACTGGAACCCAAGATCAGGAACGTCGTGGACAGCGACGACGGAGAAAAGTCTAAGCGACTAGTTCTCTTGAACCTGGATATTAAGAATGAAGGCAAATTCTAAAGCAATTAGAGGCATACAGTTCTTTTCTGTGTGATACATGTAATCTAACTGCTTTTGTGGTTAATTGCTGCTGATAGATCTCGAAGGCGCATCCGAAATGACCAAAAGTTTCGTCAAAAAGAAGGACATCGCGCTCACGAAAACAGAGCTAACAGTTGGATACGATCATTGGACGGCAGGTAAGTATTCTGAGAATGCATGTCCTTTAACGAGCAGTGGAAGAAACAGTGTTTTACGTCGCAGTCAATTGAACACATTTTACAACTCTCATTACGCCCCTGATAGACGAGGTTCTGCGCGCGATTCTTCCAGAGGATATCATTGACGAGGCACCCTCGTCGTTCACGACCGTTGGACATATCGCACACATGAATCTCAAAGACGAATATCTCCCCTACAAGCATTTAATCGGCCAAGTGATCATGGATAAGAACCCGAACCTTAGGACTATCGTCAACAAGACAGATACCATCGATACCACCTTCAGGTTTTTCAAGATGGAGCTTCTTGCTGGAGAGGATGATATGATTGCAGAAGTTGTGAGTCACGGATCTTGGATGGGCATTCAATCATATTGTATGACGCCTCAGTGGCCTCTCCTCTAACGTATTGTCTGTGTTTGGCACGATATGTAGAGAGAGAGCGGATGCAAGTTCAAACTGGATTTCTCGCAAGTGTACTGGAACTCTCGTCTGCATACAGAGCATGAGCGCCTTGTCAGAATGTTCAGTGCAAACGACGCGGTTTGCGATGTCATGGCAGGCATAGGGCCATTCGCCATGCCCGCTGCAAAGAAAGGCTGCACCGTCTACGCAAACGATCTCAACCCGACTTCGTATCAGTACATGCTCGAGAACAAGGCCTTAAACAAGGTACCACGCATTTCGTTTGAGTGGCAGAGAGATCTAAAGCGGGGGAGAGAGGGGAGGAGGGGTTGACCTGTAACTAATCGACGGTTACTGTCTGTGTATGCCGTTTGCCAGCTCAAAGACAACTTGAGGATTTATAATTTAGATGGTCGGGATTTTATTCGCAAGGCTGTCGAGGATCTGGAGAAGTCTGGGTATAAACGTCCACCACTGCCACCTGTGGTCACTAAAGGAAAGAAAGGCGCTGCGAAGGACTCAACAGTCGCTGTCACCGAACCAACACCTACTCCAGTACCAGCACAAGCTCAGGATATATCACCGACATCCCATTCGTTCCAAACATTTGATCACTTTGTGATGAACCTGCCAGCAACAGCGATTGAGTTCCTTGACGCCTTCTGCGGTCTGTTCAAGGGTCGCGAGGCAGATATATCTGAGCCCAAGAAGCAGCTTCCCATGATTCATTGCCATTGTTTCTCCAAGAGTGATACACCTGAGGAGGACGTGAGGGAACGCGTCGAGGCTGTGATGGGCGGCTCTCTTGAAATGGACTCTGTCAAGTTGCACTGGGTCCGTAAGGTTGCACCGAACAAGGATATGTATTGTATCTCTTTCCGTCTGCCCGCTGAAATTGCATTTGCAAGGTAAGGTAACGTCCATGTCCACTTAATTTAATATTTCATTTGTCACATACGGTGTCTGCATAGTAATTGCTCACTATGTATGCATCCGCTTTTTTTTTTTTCATAAAAATAAAATGCTCACAGTGACGGGAAGCGAAAGCCCGAGCCAGAACTTGAAGCCAGCATTACCAGCAGTGTCACAGACCCTGCTACTACTGGCACTACGGAAGAATCAACGGCCAAGCGTCCCAAGACTGAATAAGCAGGAGCGCCAATATCTACGTTGTTTAATTGGCATTCCCATGCATCGAGTCATCTACCGCAATAATAAAATCGTCGTCTGATATCCATCCAACAACTTGAATTCTGGCCCGGAATCAAGGCTCTTTCTGTGCGTGGGGCCTCGAGACATCAAATATGAAAAACAACCCGATGAACACCTGAAGCAGTAGATGTTTGTGTCAGGGATATATTTGTTGCAGAAGAAAGATGACGGGCTATGTAAAATGGCGAATACAAGTTGAGACTAAGGCGAAAAAAAGAGGGAATAAGTGTACGCTAGTCCATGCATTGGGGGATATCTATGGGAATGAACGAAAAGGGAAAAAAAATTGGGGAACAGGGGCCGACTCAAAGCTTGGCTGCTGTTGGCTTGACGACATACCAGCCCATCTCCACGCCTTTTCTCTCGAAGCCGCACTTTTCGTAGAAGGGTACGTTCTTCTCGGAGCAGTCGAGAATGACCTTGTAGCAGCCCTGCTGCTTTCCAATGGCCTTGAGAGTCTCAATAATCCTCAGACCGAGCTTCTTGCCTTGCTGATCGCCCGAGACAGCAATGTCCTCGATATGGCCGACCAGGCCGAGACCACGAATGAACTTACGCTCGACAACAATAGTTCCTGCGGCGACAATCTTGCCACGTCCTGGGGTGACCAAATTGGGTGTTGACGACGTGGCGGATCCAGCCAAGGTGGCGGGCACGTTCATGTCCTCGATGACGATGGTGAAGTACTGGTCATTGTGATCCTGGAGGTATTGGAAGCGCCTCTGGAAGTCTGCGTCTGAGATGGCTCCAACGGTTGTGAGGACCTCAAGGGTCTTGAGGAACGAGCTGTTGGATCGCACCTGGTTGTCGGTCCTGCACAAAGGCCTGATGACGTAACCTGAAGGGAGAGGGTCCTGCAGCTCGGCGGGGATGAAGGCGGGGTCGAACAAGAGGTCATTGGACTTCTTGAATGGACTCTTGGACTTGAATGTCTGTACGGGAGCCATTGCTACTGATATTGGTGATTTCGAATTACAAAGAGCTTGGTGGGGTTCTTGTTTTTTCCTGAGGGGAAGCCGCGATGAGGAAGAGATGGAGAAAGATGGAATGAAGAAAGAGATGAAGAAAAGAGGAACAAGTGGAGTGGGAGTGGTTTAAAAAGGGGATCCAAGGAAGACGATGTGTACGTAGCTGGAATGCTGGGGTTCTGGCGATAATGATAGCATGATCCTCATCCGTGGGAGATACCCGACCAGCAGCGTGTTTATTTTTAAAGTTAACAGAGACGAATGAGAGGACGCGGACACGAATGATGCCCACGGAGCAGACGGGCGAACAGGATGCGGGCTCTCTCTGTCTCTGCCTGCTGTTTCTTTTTGGGGATGAACCCATATGTATTTTAAGCGGCTGCCAGTCCCAGGGCCAGAAGTAAAAATACTCTTCCATAGCACGTTGCATGCAACATACATGGTAAATTCTCGTAGACAGCTGGTTATTCCCGCGTCCTGATAAGAACACGCCCAGCGTGCTGGGAATGTGAATGTACCGGCACGAGAACCATCCTATGGAAGCGCCCTGTACTCATCCCTGCTCCGACTTCCGTGCCTGGTTCCTGCCCCTGCCCCTGGCTGCCAAATACCTACTACCCAAACATTTGCTTGGTGCCGTCATTCCCATTCATTAGATGACGAGCGATCTATCGCGTTCGATCTGGAACTGCTCCAAAGGGACAAACACCTGCTTTGCTTGACCCGTCTATGTGGTCGTGACCTGGTAGTAATTCCTGCTTCCAGCTTGGCCCATACTTTAGCGAGGGTTAGACGAAGTCAGCAACCGCCCTTTCTTTATTATTTCCATTACCCTTCATTCGCGAGGGAACCTAACGCACTGGGTCGCCTCTAAATCACCTCTTCTGGCATTAAGTTCGTGCCTTATTATTTTACTTCTTTACCATCGATACAGGACAATCATCAGCTGGATCTTCATGCAGCGATGAACAAGGACCGCAGGGCACAGGGAATTGAAACAGCTACAGGGAACAGTTCTTCAAGACGTGGAGTCGACAGTATGTCTGGAATGGCGACAAGACATTGTACACATCATTCCAAGGGATTATCGAGAATGAGGAGCGATAGCAACTTACTAGATATTGATGGCGAGCGTAAGGCTGCTATACCGGAGATGCAGCAGCGTCCAGCGGAGCCACAGCCACCAGAGCAGCAGGGGAATTGCAGCAATGAACTACTGCAGCATACGTTGGACCAACAGCACAAGGTACTAGAGGATACAATATCAACACCTACTAGCACATTAACCCCTTCACGGAGTCGCTCCCGTAATACTTCCAACTTGAGTCTCGATACCACGTCTATACAGCTTCACACGAACGCCAGAGGCAGCGATGCAAAATCAGATGTCAGTGCATTCAGTGAGAACAGCGCCACGATAGTAGGGCGTACTTTTTCTTTAGGACCATGCGTAGAGGTTGTCATGAAGTCCGTTGAGCTGGAATCCCTGGATGCAGTGCTCCGTAACCGCAGATCCAACCGATCGACGCATTCTGCAAGCTCCTCCAGGCAACTCCGCCGACTCACAGCCTCAGAGGACAACAAAAACAACACGACACCACCAGAAGGTACTGGTGCTGGCCCATTATTGCACTCGAGCCACCGCAGGCTCTCTTTCAGTTCCGTGCGCGACCATGTCCCAGCAGGAATCATAACGGAGCCATGTGCAGTCAAAATATATGTCGACGAGTCGTCTCCAGGTCAAGAGCCATTGAAGCATGTCCCGGTAATGTCTGAGAGGCAGGCAGAGGAAGGCAGCAGCAGTAGCGGCACAGACGAAGACGACGACTTTGACTGGGAGGAGGATAAGATCTATGAGGACAAGGAGAAGGACCTGCAAGCAAACGCAGAGAGTATTGCAATGATGGAGGGCGATGTCTGCTGTCAACCGTTACATCGTCGAGTCCATCCTTGGGTTATACGATTGGTTAAGAACGCCTTTATTATCGTCTGTTTCTTGATCCCAAAGTTCATCCTCCGCCATGTGCACACGCACCACCAGAAAACTGTCGTTCTGATCGAGGATGGCAAACCGTACATGGCTGTCGTTATCGGAAACCATCTCAGTTACTTTTTGATCCAGTTCTTGATCATGGCTCTGTTCAAGATTATCCACAAGTTTGGTTCTGTCAAGGTCAAAATCATATTGGAGACGCACGACGGGTTGGTGCCGCACATCGCGCGGTCTGTATGGCTCTTCGTCTTGATTGCGTTTTGGGTCGTCTTCGTACATTACCCGACGTGTGCTAAAGCAAAGAGTGGTATTGATTTCACAAAAATGGCGGAAGGTGTGGACATGGAATGTCGGCGATGGATCTTTTGGTGGGTTCACCGATGTCTATGGGGACTTCAGGCCATGAATCTCCTTTATATCCTCAAGCGGTACACGATGCAGATACTCTCAGACAGATTCGAGCAAGACAATTCCAAATTCGTGGAGCTGAACTTTCAAGGACATGTCCTAGATGGGCTGCAAAAGATAAAACCGCATCGGCAGCAACGCATACCAGGCCTGCAGGGCCATCACTATCGCTGGGCAGAGAAATCGACTTCCTGGTTAGCATCGTCAACACACCAAGGAGGAAAATCGCCGAATCAGAGTCGACCTAGTTCTTCCAAGGCTGAGAAGCCACCTACCGCAAGCCTCGTCGACGGTATAACACAAAAGCGTTCAACTTGGGAACTGTTGAAGAACTCGTTTCAGAGGCGCACCGAGGCCAAGGGAACCAGTGTCGAAAAGGCGACCTCGCCTGCCGGATCCATTGGAGAGGTATGCCGGGATCACGAGTTGGAGCCGCAGGAATTTGTGAAGATGAGCAAGAAGCGAAAGTCAAAGCTGATCCACAGTCTGCGCAACAAACCTATTGAGGTAAGATTTTTCCCATTGCCACGAACATACTGGTATAATAATTGTTGTTAACATGCTAACGGTAATGTGGTTTGTGTATCTCCATAGAACCCTTACAAAAAAGCAAAAGACCTGTGGATCCGCATATGCCCGCCTCACCGAAACCACCTTGAACGGGTAGATCTGGAGCAACCGTTTAAGAAGGAGATTATGGATCGTGTTTGGAAACTGTTTGATCCCAACGGAGGCGACATTGTCACTCGAGCTATGTTCAAGAAAAGTGAGTATTCTATATTTGATGCCCAGGTTCATTGTTTAGGATGTCCCGACTCACGCTGAATTTCGCACTAGCAATCGTGGATATGGTAAATCTCCGCAAGAGCTTCACTTCGACACACAAGACATTCGAAAACGCCATGGCCAGGCTCAACATGCTGTTCAATATCATCGTTCTCCTATTTGTTATCGTGGCCTTCTTGATTGCCTACGATGTTGGAGTGCAGCAATATGCTGTTAGCGTGTCGTCCGTAAGATCTATTCGTCCTTTTCTATTTATCATAATGCTTACTTGATGGGAGCATGCTTTTCTTAATGATTCATTATTATGTACTCGCTAGCTGGTTGTTGGAGGCGCATTTGTTACAGGAACATCTGCAAAAAACGCGTTTGAGTCCATGGTCTTTATTTTCGTCATGGTAAGCATACCATAACTGGCAAAAGATATAACAAACGCGTCGCAAACACTTGAATCTAACTAGATCCCTATGGCCTTCTCTTTACAATAGCGCCGTAAGTAAGCCCAAGCAACCTCCGAGAATAGAAACGGCGGCATGAAATGACAATTGATAGTTGTATCTAACATCGTAATGTTCCTCCGATTCTAGCATTTGATGTGGGTGATAGGATTGAGCTCGAGGTGAGCGTTGAAGATGTCTGATGCTTGATGATAAAAAAAAGGCGCTTACTAACTATTTCCACGACGACTAACATCGCATTTTTTTTGTTTAGGGCTCGCACTATACGATCATGACAATACATATTCTTACTACAGAGATGAAGCGAGGAGATGGAATGGTAAGCAATCGATGTCTTTGATCAAATTTATAGTACTTCCTCGTTCATTACTTAACCGTATGTGGCCATCCATAGCGTGTCCTGTCGCCAAATTATATCCTTGCAACGCGTCACATAAATAACCTAAGTCGATCAGGTACCGTTCCGCTTCTAACCAGGCTCTCTCGACGGCAAAAAAAAAAAAAACGTTACTTACAAACGGGGCATCCTTTCTGGCCCTAATACCCCTCTTATAGACGATCACATCGACAGTTTCTGGATGGATATCCCTCTTTTCAGTTCCGGTCGCACCATCCAGAGACTAAAGCAAAAGATCCAAGCCTTTTGTGAGGGCGAAGCTGTCAATGACTTCCATAAAATCGATGTGGTCCTCAATACGACCAACAACCACACAAAGGACGGAACCAGCAAAGCATGTCTCCAGGTCCTCTTCCGAGCTCATCATCGCTGTCGTTGGGTCGATCGGGACTATGGCCCGCGAAAGCTTAAGGCGATTCTCTTTCTGCGGGCAACCTTGAACGAGCTGGAACAGGAAGATCTGAACGATTTGATCACTTTGCGCAGGGCGATTGGGTATGGTAATCACGCGAACAATGAAAACAGCTCACGGCATCCGCCTCAGTCGCCATCAGCAAATCCTGTCCTGAATGAGGCTGGCGAATCAGTTGGCTTCGTGGGAACTTCAGGAAATATATATGAGTCACCGCATGGATATAGGGGCATGGGTGCCGGGCCAAAGCCAGACATGAATGAAGAGGATCGCCAAAAAGCACAGCTTCAGAGAGAAAAAGGTGCTCTCTACTTCACGCATGAGGTAGCGGAGGCTGCAAATCAGAGATCATCTTCTAATCAAGGCTCTCACGTTGATGGCGTTCAAGCAAGTTATCAAGGAAGCAATGGTCCATTCACGCACAGCGAAAGCGATCGTCAGACCAACCATTTTGAAGCACGGCAGATCCTTGTGCCAGAAACGATCCAGCTCTCGACCAACGCTGCTAATTTCCAGCCTTTTCCCAACGGATTTCAATTTCAGCGATAAAGACCTGGCCTCGCAAATGTTAGATAGAAGGAAAATGTATGTATCACCACCGCCTTTAAAGAATTCGTTACTGTAAAATCATCAATGATATCCGCAAGGCTTTATATGTCAAAGGACAGTGTGCTTATAGTTCCACAATCTGACATCGACAGCTACGGTCAAGCTGCTACGGAGCCATTGAGTGCGCCTACTCATGTGTTTGATGTTACTGTTCCTAGCACTGCCGCGCCTTGTGCTTGTTGAGCTGTCACGGATCCATTTGTCGGTCCTACCGCCACATCTCCATGTGTCTGTCCTTGTGCTGTAGAAGGCTGGGAAGATGATGCTATTTCGTTCTTAATCTCGACCAACGATCCGTCGGGCATGATTTCGATTCTAACAACCCTATCCTGATTCCTGAGATATTGCCAATGATAATATTGTCTTTCATGGACAAATGTTGCTGTATCCTGTTTGGCGAGGTGGTCCCTGAACGACTTGTGTTGTAAAAGTGTTAGGAAATGTAGGCAGTGCGGATAGCTAGAAATGTTATGTAAACAGAGAAGGAAATTAGCAAGCGTCTTATGCTGGCCAGTAGTCCATTACAGTAATGGCGACCCTGACGAAGAATCGAAGGCAACTAGTTGACTTACATGATATATTTGGCGTACTCTGGCTTCCGGAAGTATTGCAGGTAGTCGAGGTACCGGACGAACGTGTCCTGATTGAAATATTGTTGTTGTGCCAGGTCTATTCAGGGATGGTCCGAGCAAGAAGACATGGATTGAACATGAGCGTAAGGATAGAAGTTCATATTGAGCGCAGTTGATTCCAGTCCGACGGCATGTATTTGAAGGATGCAACGCGCATACGGTGGAGATACCACGGGTTGGCTAGACATTGAACGAACTCGAGCTCGATCTGGAACCGCTTAAGCTGCTCGTATTCATCTTCGGTCTGAAATGAGTCTAATCTCTGGATTGACGCTGATGTTGGCGTTGAAGTTGATTCTGTTTGGCTCATGTTTCGTACTGATGCTTGCTCTGTTGACCTTATCGGAGTGCCTTCAATCGAACCGTTCTCCTTGGTATTATGTACGACAGTCACCTTCAAGCACTGCAGCACTGCCCATCGAGCGCATTTGGTGGCGATGGTGGCAATCCAATAGGAAAAGAGCCGCTGAAAAAGGCGCCTGATGGTGGCCAGTTGTCCTGATTGCTTTCCTTTTCATCTACTTCCATCACTTTCCTCCCCCTTCCTTCAATTCCTTCAGATACGCTATCTCTGCCTTGCCATCCTCACTTGTTTTTCACCTCCAATATGCCCCACGACGTGTTTTTTGAGACAGGAACTCACCACATTTTGTGCAAAGTAAAGCGCCCACCAATCTTTATTGTATCCATGCGCGTGGTCCGTTCGCGCACAGCTTTTATTGACCAAATGACTCGTCAATCAACTATCTAACTCAGATCCCAGGACTCGATCCACCTGAATTTCCCTATCCCCGAGACTTTGAGGACTGCTGGGACAACGACCATGTCCGTTTGCCGTGCTCGTCTGCTTCATCTTCATCCTCCAATAAGTGGTTAGAGATCGTCCAAGGGTTGACAGCACCCATCAAGAACTCACGGCAACTGTCTGAGACAATATCTCGATGGATTGGAGGGGACGATTACGATTGGAACACAAAAGGCCTGGAAGCCTTTCTCAACCAAAAAGCGGATAAGCCTGTCTCCTCGTCAACACCTCACGCCCGCGAACGGGGTTATAATAGCCCATTGGCAGTATTGGGCGATGCTAAGGTGAACCCTGAAGAACAAGATATGAATATCGACGGGGAAATTCCCACGGAAGATGTTCTCGGCTACAGCAACAGATCGGAGCGGGACAACGCTGATGCAGGGGATACCATGATAGCTGAGGAAGATTTCTTCAACAAAGAGGAGCGGGATCGATTCTTCACCATAATCTTGCCAAAAATTCAGGCACTCGCGTTACGGTTGCCCGAACTCGTCAAGAAGCCCATTCCATTACTGAAGCAACAGGAGGACTCTGCTGTTACTCTCAGTCAGGAGCAGGTAGGGTGCAGATAGCGCTGCATTGCGGCCGATGGACGGTGACTTCTTTCCCTGATTATCAACGCAAGCAGCGTCAACTGATATCCATCAATCGCTATCCAAACGGTAGATCGCATGTCTATTGGCGCACGCGTTCTTCAACACGTTTCCCTGCCGAAATATGCCTCCTCGGCGCCATAGCAATGCGGACACCAAACGGCGACGCGCTTTTGAGCCGTCGGAACCGCAAAAGCGAAAAGGAGGCGACGATTCTATGAAAAAGCGCAAGGACGGTGAAGGACGAACTTTGAACGATGCACCCAAGGATCCTCATGGCACACTTTCGAAAACAAAAGGCCAACCCTCAGGAAATTCATTACGTAACGCTGATAGACAGATGTCGCTCTTTGCTTACTTTGGCAAGAAGGATCCTGTCCTGGCATCATCATCAGCATCAGCAGTAGCATGCTTTAGAGGAGAGATACCAAAAGCGCGTACCACCACAACTACTGATGCGGACAAAATTCGGGATACCAAGAAGGACCGATCCAAGGACGAGCAGCCTCGATACCCATCGATCAACTTTTGGACATTATTCCGGGCTGATGGCCGATATGCAACGTGCACGCCAACGAATGCTGCCAAGCTCCGTTGCATTCTCCACTATTTTGATCGCGTCACTACGAGGAGTAAGTCAGTAAGGCAGTGCTATGTTGAGTTCGACATTTTGACATGCAGAGATAAAGATAAACGGCTAAACCTCGTTTGAAAACTGTAGTGCCACAAGGAGTCGTTACCTATCACCGACAAGTTTTACAATCGCCCATCACACTGGAGCAGAATGAGCGGGTCAGCTCGGGTCAGTTTTGTTATGTCCACATCCGTGTCGAAAACGATAGTCCGCTCGAGGATGATGCGCCGCAGGGAGCGCTGCAGCTGGATTTCGCCAACAAAGTCATTGGTGGAGGAATCCTTGGTCACGTACGTCTGCTTAATTCTTTCATATTACCGATTCTCTTTTTCGCATCCTACCAGAATAACTTTGACTAAGCGATGTTCGCTGGATATCGTTGTTCGTGATAGGGTGCCGTTCAGGAAGAGATTCGATTTGCCATTTGTCCAGAGCTGATCCTCTCGCGGCTGTTCATACAGAGTCTGGAGGATAATGAGGCGGTCTTGATTAAGGGAGCAGAGCGATACTCAAACTATAATGGATATGCCAGCACGTTCACATGGCACTCCGATTTTGTTGACGATACTCCCAGGTACTAGCCGCTCATGATGTCTAATGAAGCTGCTGAACATACAAGTCCGATGACTCTGATCAGGTGCTTTTTATCTCTTATTTTTACCGATCCTAAAGAGACGGCCTAGGCCGTCGAAAAACGGAGATATGCGCCATCGATGCCCTGCCATTCGGCTCAAAGGATCAGCGTCTGCGTCAGTTCTCAGAATGCCATATCTTGCGGGAACTGAACAAAGCTATTGCTGGATTCAGGAGGTCACCTATCATCGCCTCAGAATGGGGCCTCTGTCGTGCAGAAGGCCCTCCAGACGGTATTCCGCCGATCGCCACTGGTAAGTGTATCTATTCGATTCAAATTTGATTGGTTCTATCTATTAGCAAAAGCATACGCCTAATAACACATTTCCGCATGGATCATAGGCAACTGGGGCTGTGGAGCGTTCGGTGGACATGTGCAGCTCAAATTCTTGATCCAGCTGCTGGCTGCCTCGGTGTGCGGAGGGTACTCCAAGGATGACGAAAACGATAATATGCCATTGGGGAGGGGCATTATTTACTATACTTACGGTCTCGAGGAACTCGGCAAGGAGATCGAAACCTTCATGGGGCATCTCCTCAGCAGCCGCACGGTTTATGAACCCTGTAAGCCTTATGGGCACGCTTGTCCCCCCTGCAAATACTACTTGGCTCAAAAGCATTGCAAAACGACCGCTGACATTGTTCTGCTCTCTCTATTATAGCCTGGATCTTGGATTGCATACTGCAGTACCCAATTCGGTCGACTCGCAGCGCGATTGCAGACTTGCCTCAGAAGAGTTTATTGGATTATGTGGGCACCGCACTGGGTTTCCCTCCTTTTCCTTCGCGTAATCACTCTGATATGACTGAAATGCTAAGTTTCTAATCAACCTGTTCGACAGAGTGAGAAAATGTGTCGCCAAGGTATGGCAATCAAGGGTTCGAATAAACGGAATAAACACAGCATGCTATTCTGCTCCTCTGTCTAAATTGAGTCCATTGAGACTGCTCAATATTTTTACCACATATCATGTTTATTATATTCTTTCGGCCGTGCTTTCGCAAGGTGCTGCTTAAGACGATTATACGCTGTGTTGCCTGCAATTGGAACACAATAGTGTCCAGAACCTCATCATCCACCTCTTCCTATAAAATAAGCATTCGAATCAGGTTTTCCCGTTCCCGGTGCTGAAACACCATATTTGGTATACGTGAATGCTAATGACTGTATTGCTGTCCGAAGAGTATTTGAGGAACTCATAGAGGGACAAAAATACAAAAGCATGTATCATTTCTCATGCTCACATTGGATCTTGTACCTGCAATGGGGTACACGATTTTAGACAGGCAGGAAGGGGTCAAGCCCGAAATGCGCGGCCGACATCAATCCGAGCATACTTGAATTTTTTTGATTTATAGTGCGATTGATGATTGACGATTGACGATTAAACGGCTATTTCTGTATTTAGACGCGAAATCATACGTACTATACAGCGCACACGTCAAATTGGCACACCCGAGTTCACACCGCCAGATTTTCATAGAGGTAGAATACTGCTATGGGTGTAAGATGCTGGCGATGCGGCAACAAGGCCTGCCGTTGTGGCGAGTACACCTCTCGTACTTTCTGGGGACACGTTTTGTGGATATGGTCCGCATAGCTATTCCTACATTCTCCTCCTTGAGCCGGCTGTGCAATGTGGAAAACACGCATGCCTTTCCCAGCGTTCCTGTACAAAGCGACCTTCATTGCACGTCCTGTTACGTGAGATACAGTGATACAATGGTTAGGCCGTAGACAATAAATGTACCTCCAAAAAAAAAAAAGTAGAAAGATATATCGATGCGCTGAGAAAAGAACACGAATGATATCAGCGCTTGGCCCAATGATGACAGCCAAACCCACAGCCTCTTTGAGAGTGCAGTGCTTGGGCCACAAATTTAGGCTGTAAACAAAGAGAACTCCAATTACATCGAGTATTAAATACATGGGCCATATACGCGCGGAGCGCACAGGCAGTCCAGGCTTAGACCACCCTGGCCAGGCAATAGTGGCCAGAAGGGCCAAAGGACACCTCGGTCCTTGGTAGCATGGAGAGTAGCAGGGTTGCTGTTGCCCATTGCCACCTGCCGCAATCCTCATTGCTGATGACCCTGATCCTGGGATCGGTGGTTTTGTGGTTACACAAGGCTGCACTGCAGAAGAGGCAGCAGAGTGTCAACGGGTACGGATTTATTAGGTTCCCAGGGTGCTGTTCCCTGTATTACTCTCTTTTGGTGCATTTGCTGATGTGCGTTATAGGGCTTGTGCCAGTTGTCACCCGCTAGTGGCAGCAGTGGGTGATATTCCTTTATTGGATCCAGGCACAGGAGCATTAAACTATGAATCGTAAATCAGCTATTGAAGGGGTCCATTCTGCAAGGAGTACTCCGAACTGGATAGTTTGGTCCGAGAAGATCAGGGTCGCTTCAGTGCATCTTTAATGACCACTGCCTACAAGCATACTACTGCGAAATGGTACCATTGTCTCCACTATGCATGTCTGCGTCCATTCCCTTCGCTCTTCTTCCCTGCTGTTACTATTACTTATCCTTGTCTCGTTTTAGGAGTAGCATCGTCCACTAGCGCTGTTGCGATCGATGCTGGGTTGTCTCTGCATGCACCTTTGGATGTGTCTTCGCAGGAGTATCTGCACGAGTGCCTGTTCTGGTGGGTGGATTTCATTATGTGGATGGACTGGCCGCAATGTATTCGTCCGTAAATGGCTCTAACTGATGGTGGCGCTGACTGCATATAAACCGGGCGTTGTACCTCACTCTTTTCTTTTCTTTTCTTTTCTCCAGGCCACTGCTTCACATCAAGGTAAGTACTAACATCCAGCTCCACTCTCTCCACTCCTCTCTTCACACCTCCACCCTATATACTCCCACTCTTTGCACCTGCATTTTTCGAGCCTCCGCTCTTTGCACCTGCACTCTGATATCGCCTCTCACTTCTCCATTGCCCTCTCTCTCTTTGTGTGCTGTTCGGTCTCGCTCCTCTCTCTCATATCCTCTCTCTCTTTCTCTCTCTTTCTCTCTATCTCTCTCTATCTCTGTGTCGCTTTCTCTTCCTTTCTTCCCATCTTTGTAGAGCTTTCTTGGACTTTGTACACCGCAGAGTCAGCCGTACAAGCACACTTGCGGGGTTCCCTGTTTTTTTTGTTTTGTTCGTTTTTTTTTTTTCCCCGTATTTTTTTTTCCGTATTCTTTTCTAGTTTTTTTTGTTCATCACCGGGACGAAGAACACGAAAAAGCTACGAAAATGAAATCGAAAAACAAAAATTCAAGGATGAACAGCCCCATTTCTGAGGCCTAAGGTTAGTAGTGGTTGGCAAAGAGCGGGCCCCCCTCTTTTGCGATTTCTTTGTGCAGCAGTTCCCCTCTGAATAACACTGAGTCTTGCACATTCTGCTCTGCGCTTGACGAGGTGGTTTCTTGCTGCCAAAGACACCCTGTTATCTCTAGCGCCAGTGATGATCAGGGCCTTGTTCTGCGTGATTGGGGGTTACACATGGGTTCGAGGGCTAATAAAAAAGATTGGTCAACGGGGGTGTATGGGTTGCTGCGTGAGATCCACTCTTTTTTCCCACATTCGTGGTTTTTTGGGGCACCATGGCTTGCAACCTGCTCGAGGTGTGCCCTGCACGGTCTTGCTCTTCTGAGCAAGACTGACCGATGGCAAGCCAGCTTTCTTTTCCTCTTTCCTTTTCTCTTTTTCCTTTTCTTTCATTCCTTTTTCCCTTTCTTCTTTTCCTTCTGCCAAAAAGACTAGAGTAGAAGTAAAATAAAGAGTGAAATGAAATAAACTGGATGAAATAAAATAAAGCAAAATAAAATATAATAAAATAAAATACAATAGAATAAAGTGAAGCAAAATAAATAAAGTAAAATGAAGCAGAATTAAACGAACTAATATAAAAGAAGTAATATGAAATGGATTTCAGGAACAGCCATTGTCTGCTCTGACGACTGCCTTGTACGATCGATAACATACTCGCTTTGTACTATATGTGTTGCCAGCGATGTAACTGGGGAATAGGATGCAGCTCTTTTTGAAGATGCTTGATGCACTTGCACGAGTAGCAACAGCAGTATCGGCAGCAGCAGCAGCAGACATCGAAGTGTCTGCACTGGTCCCGTCCAAGCTGGATCTGAATTTGTTCTCCTTCTTGGCGGCAAGTGAGACACTCTGATGACCGGCTGCAGACGTCTTGCGGTGTCACGCGAGTTCATGCAAGGGATACGCATAACAGTACGTCAATACATGGACGTTGCACAGAAGTGCCGCAGTTCACTGGTACGATGTATGTCTAGCTGGCGGTGGTGTCTATAGCAGACTAGTGAGCTGGATATCGGTCTGGAAGAGGATGCACGCAGCGATGATTGTATAGGAATTGATAGTTTGGTCCAGGCATAACCCTGGCGCGATGAATTGCCGTTAGGGATCACTACGCGCGTGCATAATGGAGCGAAAGGCAGTCTTGCTAGTTTATGTCTCGTATGGTCATCGACAGCACTGGTCGCTCCGTCCTTTTTTCTGACCAGTTGGTTCATTTAGTGCTAGTCTCATGCTTGCTTCCTTGCTTGCTTGATTGTCATGGCCAATTAACAGCATGCCGTCATCTTTCTTGGGGGATGTCGTAATAAAGACAATAAAACAACAGAAGCCGCTCCGGGGCCGATCTTTTTTCCCGCGCAACCTGCCCGCGGTGTACTCTACACAGTCTTTACTCTTCCGAGTAAGTCTGGCCAGTGGCAAGCCGACCTTTTCTCTATTCTCTTTTTTTTTTGTTTTTGTTTCTCCATTTTCGATACATAACGCTAATAAATCGAATGTTCACTATGAAGCTTGTCCTTGGATGTAAAAGATGATGTGGCAACCACAAGCAATACTTTTGGCACTTGGACTTGACACTTGGACTCGCCATGGGAACGGACGTAAGTGTGGCTGTCAACCTATGGGACCTGTCTATGCGGTCAACATGTCTATCAAGGACATGCTGCTGAATGCGGGCTAGCAATGACTGCGATGGTGGCACAAAGACGCAGCGCGTAAACAACATGCAACCGTCCACGTAGCATGTTGTGAGCGCTAATCCAGTCCAGCTGTGCTTGGTTAGAAGAAACAGCAAAAACATCGTCACTGAAGGCATGCGTGCTTTGGGCGCCATTTTATCGCAATACCACATTCGTCGTTTGCAGTGGTGTTCCCGAACTGTTGTACCATGTCCTACGAGCGGATGGCAAACACAAGCTCTTTACTTAAACGTGTAAAGCAGAAGAGCTCAAGCTCTTTTTCGCAACGGCTTTGATTATACAGCCGAGTCACGAATGCGTACCATTTTCATTTTATTGTTTGTTGCATAGCAATTGTGGCATAAGATATTTACATGTATAGGCTGTCTTTGGCAACGGTCTCCACAATCCTAACCTCCGATTCCTTAAACCCAGCATACATGCGCCGCTGGAGCGGTCTTGCATACCAGAGAGACAACACGGACGGGGACGCAGCCTGCGAAGTATTAACAGGATCATAGGCCTCGAGGACGAACTCGCGCGAGGTTGGCTGAGGAAACGACGATTGCAGTGATCCTATTTCGAAGACTTGTTAGCATGCTTTGAATGTCTCAAGGTCTTAGCGAATAAAATGAGTATGCCATCCATTACCTCCAATGGAAAACAGATCGTTAACGCACTCGCGCTCTACACCATCCTCTACGACGGCCTCTTGTACCTCCAGGATCCTTTCCACAAGGCCGTACTGCTCCGGGAACTTTCTCACAAGCGCGATTGCTCGGCCCATCAAAAGCTCAGTCTCTCGGAACTTCTCAGTGATCACTTCCAAGTTCAAGTTTTGGTCTCCTGTAAGCTCATTCCACGCGAACCTCTTTAATTCACGACTCAATTCGTCAAGACTCTGAGCAACCTGGCGGATATGCAAGGTGATAGGATGGGAAACGAGGGTATCATAGGCAATCAGGCACATTGTAGGAAGCAACCTGCGATGATAACCCGAGTTAAGATTGGCATATTAAAATCTGCAAGCATTCAACGTCATAATGTAAAAACTCAGGTTTGGTTTGCTAAACAACTTACTGGAGGAAGAGCTGGTCGGGGGAAATGCCCTCCAAGTAAAAAAGGACTTTGGCAGCCTCCCGGTTATAATTAAAAAGTGGTGTTTGTCGGCTGACTGGAACTCTCTTGGCATGCTATATATTATGAAGACAAGTTATGCATCAGCATTGCAGACGATACTGGAACATAGCATATCGAAAGTCCGTTTTCGACACCGCACTCACAGCCCATAGTTCTTGCCAGTAATTGCCGGCGTCGGCCATGCGTGCACTCATCTCGCCCTTATCTTCAGCCCAGTCCTTGGGCGAATGCCATCGAATAAAGTCGCCTAGTACACATCCTGGGTTTGCTGCTTTGAATGCCTCCATATCTAATAGTAGAACAGACGACAGTGCAGTCAGCACGTGTTCGTATCCAGGCCGCTCCAATGTGCTGTTAGCAAACAAAAGTGGAATGCTTACCAGAGATAAGTTGCGTCGACTGCATCTTAGCCCGCATTTTCGCACCGTCCGAGGATGACCCAAGCGTCTCAAAGAGTTCCTCCTGTACCTGGATCATGTCTTCTGTCATATATCCTGGTTCCTATTGATCCAAAAAACGCTGGTCAGCAAACAAATAGAACATCACGTCTCGCAACCTCACGCCAGTACCCTGTAAGCTTACCTGGAGTTTGGGGATCAATAGAGGCGCCCCAGTCTTGAGAAGTTTCAGGTTCTTTAATGGCATGACGCCTCCCTCGCTCTTGGATTCGTCTGCGACCTCTCGAGGATCCGGTCCGCTTAAATCCACAGAGGATTGGTCCAGATCGTTGACAAGCACTTCAGACTGAGAATCAGCACTTGATGAGTATTTAAGTGCCACAAACGACTCTGTCAAAGAGTGTCCTCGCCGCAGCATATCATATGGACTAGCAACCGATCCGTTTGTCTCCATGGAGTCATAAAACACTTCGTCCTCGTCATCGTCGCTACCACCGATAAGTTGTTCCGTAGTGTGGCGACTACTGCTCCGTCTCCTCCGGAACGTCTCCATCTTGGGTATAGGCATCGCTGCTGTGGGTGACGATGGTTCCGTCCTGGACACAGCGTGAGAAGTAGGATCCCCTGCGGATGGTGATGTCGTCGATGCTGTCGATAACGATGCTGTAGCTCCTTGCTGAGGCGTAATACCTCGATTCTTAACTGTTTCCAAGAATCGCTTCGCCATCGGTACGACATCTGCAGATCGCGGTCGGGAGATGTCCGAGAGTCCGTGCAGCAAACTCTGCAACTGGGCAGTACGCCCGCCATAAACTGGTTCAGGTCCCGTCGAGGCGTTCTGCGGCAATGTACTATCTCGTGCCAGCTCCTTGGACATCTCCCTGCGACGCTTCGGTAATGGGTAGACATCTTCGGGTGCCTCCTTGTTGCGAGAGATTTGTCGCGCGATGCAGCAGTTTAGCATCGACAGCTTTTGATGGAGTAAACTGAACCGCAGGTCGATCGCCACGGGTTTTTTGTTCCTATCGTAACTCGAATCTCTAGCCGAATTCGGCACACCGGCGTAGCCTTCCCCGTATATGTCGACCATAGGAATCAACTCGCTGTTCTCCCATCGCGTATAGAACTGCTTTAGTAGTTCCGACCAAAGTACCTTCATGAACCCCATGATCGATGTCGCATATGATATTTCAGAGTTGGGCGAAATAACGTCAAGCAGGTACTGGGTCATCCTCCACAGGAACGAGTTATATGGGACAGTGGTGGCATGTTTGAAGTGTAAGCCTAACTCCGATGCTGGGGTAAGACGAATGCATCTCTCCGATCTCTCCTCTGGCGCGAGTGCTGAGGGGTTCGGGGTCTGTGTCGTAAACGATCCCAGAAGCGCGTCCAAAATATTTTCCACGTCGACAGTATCAACCATGGTGACCGTTCCTTGTATCAGTCTGGCGCCCTTGTTCAGCAACGACTCATATGTTTGATCCTTACCAGACCTGCGAATCTTCCTCTTGTTGGCTGTTTCTGAGCTCCATGATGCGATTGCGTCTTCCAAAATGTCACTGAGGATGCCATAGTCGTCCTCCTTGAAGGCCGCCTGAAGAATCCAGGTATTTGCGTGGGTCGCATCCATGTCTGCAGTGCCCTTGCTGTCGAGATAGATGTTGCTTGGCGCGGTATCTATTAATATGAATACAAGTCGATCGTAAATGTCATTTCTCTTCAAACAAAATCGCGCAGGTGTCCTCCATGATTGACTTACCGAACCTCGCAAAGAGCCGCAGTGATTGCAATGGGTCCTGCACAGGTCCAAACGGCAATATGGGGAATGGCAGTGTGGAAAACACACCGCCCTCGGCCTTGATATCATCCATGTTCATGCTTGCATCGGGCGTGTTCATGGTCGGCTCATTGTTCATTTGAAAGGTCGTATCTGCATCGCCGTCGGTTCGTCTTGCCCCACCTGTTCCGCCGTCGCCTGCCTGTTTCCACCGCCGCCAGTCCTCGTCATACCAGTTCACCAGATCGTAAGAGAACAAAGCTGTCGCAAAGATCTGCTCCTTTGAGCTTTGACTAAGGTTCTCTGATGAGTTTAAATCCTGCCCCTCAAGGCCCATTCGCTCGATGAAGAAATTCATGATCCCGGAAAGATCGGTATATTGCACAGGTGGATACGGGACAAGGGTCGTATTAAACCTCACTTCGTGTCCTTGGCTTTCATCGTCTTCGAAATCATGGTCGGATCCGCTTGCTCCTGACGCTGGAGATGGCACCGGTGTCCGTGGCTGAATCATGAGGCCCATAAACGTCAGATTCCAGGGCTGTCCAGTCGGGACAAACACAGGAATATTGCAGCCCGTATTCTGAAACGCGATTGCAAACGATGATAGCAGAAGTTTGGCGCTACTCAGATCGATGATCGCAGATGTTGCAGAGGAGGACGAAATCGTGGAGGCGAAGATGTCTGAGATCGTAACAGGGGAAATGATGAGGATGTGCGTCAAAGACGTCCAACGGTGAAGACTGTGGTGTTGCACGCCCTCCAACAATGTCGGCAAGAAGTCCATATCGATCCTCTCGACTCCTGCAGCAGCCCTGGCCTTGGCTGGATGGTAATGGTACGTGAGTGCATAGGTCGCGTCGTCGAGGCTCAACATTTCGCGAAGCTGATAGGCCTTGGTCGCACTGCTACCGTCGTCCGGTGAATTGCTGTCGACACGGATATGGTTCTCCTGACCACGATCTGTTGGTTCGTTGCCGTTGGCTCCATGAGCTGGTTCACCCGACTGTGCTGCTGCTTTTGCTGCCTCGGTAGCTGTTATGGTGGCGGGGTCGAATACGCCCAGGTTCCTGTCTACAAGGCCCCATGAGCGAAGACTGTCCTCAATCTGGGTGATGAACCGTTCCCAGGGACCCGAGGTGGTATAGTCAATAAACTCAAAGTTTTCAAAGTCATCCATGGAGTGTCCACCTTCAGTCCGGGGTTCGAATGTGTAATGGGCGAAGACGGAGTTCAAGCAAGTGAGTGTACTGGAACTTGAAAGCGCTGTGACTTGATAAAATCGCCATGAATTCAGAAGCAGGCAAACGAAGCATAGCAACAAGGGTTCCTGGCCTTCCTCTCATTCAGCTCATGGTACCACACTTTTGCAATCAACTCATCAACACAGCCACTACTCGCCGTTCGTTCGTATCCATCATCACATGCATCATCACGAAAGTCATGGCACCTCAGTCAAGATCCTTGTGCTCGGTGATTCGGGTGTGGTAAGAATGCATACGTTGACATGAAGATACCGGCTATTGTCATCCCGCTCCAATCCTTACGTCAACTAATGCCTTGTTCTTAAAATAATCCCTAGGGCAAGTCCAGCCTTGTTCATATGCTATGCCACAATGAGCCTCTGAGAGCATTGATGCCAACTGTTGGGTGCAATATAGACGTCCGCCTCCATTCATCCACAGTCCCAACGGCTGCAGCTTCAGTTTCTCGCTCCAATATACCCTCACTTGTCACCAGAAACAACCAATCAGCCGATCTGTTATCCTCTTCAAGTGCAGCAGAACCTGTATTCATCGAGTTTTACGACATTTCAGGTTCACCAACTGTGCGACATCCAAAGTCGAGGAGCATGTTCTATACCGGTTCCACATACCAAGGATTAATCCTCGTGCACGATCTCTGCAACAAGAGAAGCTATGAGAACCTATGGAAGTGGATCAGCGATTACATGGAAAGCTCTCAGTCCAGATCAACCTTGGTAACAGGAGGGTATGGCGGAGGACAATATGCTCAACCAAATATCCCTCTCCTCGTGATAGGGACTAAAAATGATATGGCTGCTGACTACAGCCAGCAGAAGAACGGAGTTACCGTCTGTGGCGCCGATCTGGTACAAAAGTACGGCGGCGAAGCCATCTCCATTTGCGCCATCTCACCCGCAGATTTTGCCCCCAACTCTTCGACGATGATCGCATTCAACATGTTTTTCAGTCGCATCATCCATCCCTCAAGTGATACTCCATACTCAAGTAGCCCTTTGAATCAGAGTGGTACATATCCATTAGCCACTTCAACAGCAAGTCCGACGCCTATGTCTTTTCGACCTCCTCCCACACCAACGCCAGGATTGGAGCACCCTCGCTACCAAGAACGCACAATTTCGACGGATTCGGATTCTGGCGCACGGTCTATACCGATCCTGGACTTTGCCACGTTCACGGGAGGAGCGAGTACAAGCGCGAATCCGTCTAGAGAGTCAGTTTATGATCGCCATCACCATGTACCATCGCGCGTGGGTTCCCCATCGCCGTCGTCATTGGGACCAGGTCAAGTCCCGTCAAGACCGATTACGCCCACAGGGATGAGTTCTGGTGCAGCATTGTCGACCAAAAGTGCACTCAGAGCTCAGTACGAGAGGAACCGCAGTGTTCTCAATCAGTACAGCAATACCGGCGTCCCCATCTATATCAACAGCAGAAGCAATACGCCTTCTGTTTCACGGTGACATGAGTGCCTGCCAATAGAAGAAAGAGAAGCGTGAAAATGGGCTAAATATAAACGCGTTGGAGGAGCTGCACGATGCAGCCATCTACCATCTATTCTCTCGCTTGGCCTCCTCGAGGCTGCACCTACACTCTTGCTTTTACATTGTTACGGCGTGTGGAACAAGAAATGCGTCCGAAACCATTAAGCATGTCCGTGTCCTACGTCCAATTGCAGCGGTTCTGCGAGCACAATGCCGTGTCCTGAATAATACAACATGCTTGTTGTCTGCTTATGCAGACACGCGTGAGGGTTCGGATTGTTTCTGCTGCGTGTTTGTCCGAAGCTGAAACTAAACCGCGCATTTGTGCTCTGTGCACCAACCATGTTCCAACCAAATCTGAATAGTGAACCTTAAAACGCACCTGAATTCCCCACTTGACATTTCTAGCCAGTCTTGAGACACACGATAGACAGGCTCACCACTAGAGTATCAGCAGCAACAAGAAGATGGTGCTGCTTTGAAGGTTGCCAGCCTCCAGTCTCCCTCTCCCCTCTCCCCCTCCCTCCCCCTCCACCCATGGACGCTCCCGGCCACTTGTAAGCAGGGGATGAAGGCAGTTGGCTGTAGACTACCTGAAGCTGTCCACGCGGCAATTTCGTGTAACAAAAACCTATTTCTTCCTATAAAGGGGGCTGTGCGCTGAAATGTCTCGCCGAGAAGGAGCGAATTGGAGCGAAGGGCGGATTCACATCCTGCAGTACCGTATTGCCACCGACTTCTTGGGGTTCACTGCATACCACACCTTCGGCCAAGATGGGCCTGTTCCTGGATGGATCCAGATATAAAAGGGAACCGCCATCATCATGGCCCAATCCCATCCTCACTTCACAACCACTCTACTCCAATCCAGCTCTCCTTCACTCACCTCCTCGCGAATATAAAAAGGCTCTCTCCCATGCACCAGACATACCTCTACCTCCAGCAACAACAGATTGCACAGTCTGCACAGTCCAAGAGGAAAATGGCCCTCGCTGCACTCCACCAGCCCCACTGTTACCAGGGTAGCTTCCAGCTCGAGCTTGTCTCTGACTGGATCGACACCCTGAGCCATCAACAGCAGCTCGAGAGGCAACAGCGCCGTGTCCAGAAGAGGTTGTTACGTCCCAGTCCCATCGACACTTCTTCTTTGGTGTCCCCACCCAAGATGCCAGACCTCTCTCCTGTTTCGCCCACACTCATGCCAACCATGCCCGCCCGTGCTTCTCTCGGCAAGTCAAGGAGGACAGGCGAATTAGTCCGCGATCATTCTCTAGATCTAATCATCGAGCGTCGGTGAGTGCTTAAATCCACTGATCCTGATATGCTTGTTTGATACTTGTAGGAACTCGTATACTCATCCTATTATTTCTTATTTTCTATTGGCTTCTAGCGCAAGTGCTGCCTGCAATGCCTTGTAAATAATCTGTCATTCGCCTTCAAGGCAATCATCACGTATATAATAGTTCCCTCTTTCCCACCCTCTGGTAGGGCTGTAGCAAATACTCCACTAATAAATAGATGCCGTGCAGGCAACGCGTCAAACTTTTTCACTGAATTTATCCAGCTGGATTGAAGGGAAAAAAAAAAAAAAAAGCATACAATTGCTCACAGGAAGACATCATGTCAGCAACTATGGGCTGCGGCCTCTGGCCTGCTAAAACCGCATGCCCTTTCGATTCTCCGAGCTTTGAGTTGTTCAAGATGGTCTCTTTTTTTTTTTATTTTGTGCAAGAATGCATTTGGGAAGTGGATTTAGTTGACGCTATGGCCATGGTAAAAGTAAGTGCGATATCAAATGCAATGCAGCATCGCGTTTTTTTTTGGTAGTCCCTCAAGCGATAGCCTCGTAACTGCTGTTGTGCTCCTCGCGACCACCAAACAAGCTGAAAATGGAATTGACAGAAGAGAGGAAGATAATATTACCGTTAGTGCGACGATAACTGCCAAAAAAAGATACATCTCCCTTATGTACTGTATACACATCCGTTTTTTTTTCCCATGACCAAAAATAAAACTATGAGTTGTTCCGCGGCGGCAGCGTTTCCAGCAGATGTTGATGAAAACTCGACAAGGACACGATGACTTACAAGTAGAGGATGAGACCCAGAATGGGGAACAGGAAGATAAGCAAGGACCCTGTTAGCGAACATAGAAACAAAGGAGTTAGTAATGGGTATTCTCTGAGGCTGCTAATGACGCGGCAGCACTGCATTGCTTCGTCTTCGCGCCCGTGTCTTCAGCAACACTGGATAACGAAGAGACGGCGACTTACAAAGCAGCTTGGAGGTGACACTGCGGTTTGAGTTGATGACCTCGAAGATGGCAATGAGGTCGAGAATGAAGACGACCTAAACAACAACGAGAAAGGGCGTCTTTTTCAGTTGAGAATCCAAGGGCGACTAGAACCTGCAATAGAAATGAGTCAGCAGCCAGGAGCGACCATTGTGTTCAATCTCCTTCTTACCAAGCCAAGAAAACCGCCAGAGTACGTTGCAGGGTGCATGGTGAATGGACAATGAAAAATTGGAGGAATGAAGAAAGAAGGAATGGGATAACAAGGAGGCAGTGCCACTGCGCTTAAGTGCTCTCACACCAAGGGGATGTTTATTTCCAAATAGAGTCGGCATGCATGTCAAGCAGGTCATTGCGGGCGCGGCGTAGGAGAGAAAACTGTACATGAGGCCCTCTACTCGTCCCTACTTGGTGGCTCTGAAGGTGCCCGGACGATGATCTGGCCCTCCTCGTTCTCCTCGTCTGTCTGATCATCCTCTACTGCCTCGACCACTCGCTCTTCAACACGCTCTTCGATCCGCACCCGTCTTGGTGGCCTGGATGTTGGGTTGGGCTGCGATAGCGACAGCAATCCCTTGTAATCACTCTCATCTCCCAACTCTTCATCAAATGAACCCTCAGAGTCATCGGCATATCGACCATTGCCTGTCGCATCTTTATACTCGCCCTCCAGGTCTTCAAAGATCACCTCATTATGAGGACTCTTTGCTTTCCCTGAACGCCTGCTGCCATCGTCGGCGGTATACTTCTTTTTCAAGATGGATGGCAATTGCTGAGCAGTCTTTCTCCGTGGCTCACCTAGTTCAAAATCCTCTGCCACCTTAGTGTAGTTTCTCTGGTTCCACTTCCTGAGGAGATGTGTCGACAGTGCCAGCACGAGGAGAACCAATCCAAACGTGATTGTACCAATAATGATGGCCGCCCGAGTTATGTTGGTAATGAAGCTAGTCTCATCGTCGAGCGTCGCGCGAATGGTATCTGTCCATGCTGTCGTGTTGATGTTGTACGCCATAATCGGCAGCACAGACACGACGGGTACATTGCGACCAACATCAAAACCTGTAGCGGAATAGAAAAAAAAATCGAATAGCATAGCATCAATAAACATTGCTTGTTTTTCAGATGACAATTCGCCTTTGTCTGTCTCGAAAATAGCCACATACCCGATACTGCGAGGAGGTACTCGTGGTACTGAAACAACGTGTGATCAGCACGAGGCCCTGGTCCGTCAGGCGCCTGCGTCCATGTCCAGGTATCCGTGTCTAGAACCCAAAGATCGCCAAGAACCGTCTGATATGGCTTGACGCCTCCGTGCAAGTAAATCTTACTACCGACTATATAAACAGTGGAGCGTTTCTTAGAAACCGATCTCAGAAGGTATCCATCAGTCGCCATCTAATCGATTTCTTTCCTACCTGCTAGGATCGCTGCCTTTTCCCTGGTATCTGGCAATGCACCGTTATTCGCAGCCACCTAATGGACATAAAGGCCAAGGTCATTTAACTGTCAGCAAATTGTTGAGAAGAGCCAGCTATTTAGGCGAGGCGTTGATGAAAACAATAGGCTCTACCAGATCCTGCCGAGTCCATGCGTTCGTGGTTGTCGAAAACACATAGGCATGGTCACATCCGCGTAGCTCCGCCGTATCACTGTCGCCAGGCGTGAATGAGTTGGCCGTTCCAGAAATGATGATGATCTTGTCTCTTACGACCGTAGCGACGCCTTTGCCGACAAACGGAGCGTTTTCGTTCAAGACGCTGGTTAGATTCCATCCTTCATACAGCAATTGGGTTGGGAAGAGCGTCGAGTGACTCTTAGTAAGGTCGATCTCGCCCATAAATATTGTTAGACCGGCAAGGTCCTTTCGCAGGATGACCTGTCGCAGGGGCGCAGTGCTCTGCAAAATGATGTACCAGGCGAAATTGACATAATCGACCGCCACAGTTGGTGATAGCCAGTTGCCGATCGCCAACACTGCCGTAGCATTGAATCCGAGGTCTGCTGTAGCGTTGATAAGATCAGTTGATTCCCATGTATTCATCATGGGGTTATAGATGTTAAAGCCGATCCAAGGCCGTGTATCTGTTACAGTCTCCTTTCCGTCCTGTTGCTCACTGTCCTTGTCGTCATCATCTGCACACCCAGCTCTTCCGAACTCGATCATGTAAGGCGAGATACTCTGGACTGTTGTGGGCGTGCCATTGACGAGCGAAAGTGTATTATTGCCGGGTATAATAAGTGTTTTGAGACCCATACCCGAGACGGGTGGGAGTGCTATTGAGTCCTCACGCAGTGGAACAGACTCCCATGTGGCGCTCGACAAATTCCATGAGACAGAGTGTCCAAGCCTAAGCCGCCAGAGTTCAGAAGTGCAGTTTGTTTCTAGAAATGTGTCTGATCTTGACCCTACAAAGCGGAGAAAGATGCAAGGCAGGCAATTGGCATCATTGGATTTGGTCTTATAGCTGCTGGTTTTTTTTTTTTTCTTTTTTTTTTTTTGGAAGGGGGTATGCTTCAACTTCATTGGGCATACCTCCATGTAGATAAAGCTCGTCTCCTAGGATAGATATCGTCTGACTGGACTGAACGGGGCCTGGCCCCATCTGGGCCTCGAGTCCCTCAAGCAGAACAATAAAGACGGCCAACAACGACAAGCTCCTCCAGCAGCGGTGTTTCATACTGAGGTACTTCTTATTTCTGTTCCTTGCTGCTGCTGTTCCTGGCGTGAGGAAAGTGATGAACGGGAAGGTGATGAGGACAGCTTTGGTGGACAAGAGTGTCTTTTGAATCGGAAGGAGAGGATGAATGAAGCAAAAGAGACGGACGAAGTCGATGGCTAGGTTGGTCGCCAATAAACAGAGTCGAATGTTCCGTAAGACAAGGTCTGTGTGTACGCTCGTGGTACACCTGTGAGCCAACATAACAAAAGCAACACTGGTCAACAAACAAAGTAAAACTCACTCTATTGCACATGCATAGAGGAGGAACAGCCCCCCGTATGCATTATCATCATCGCCGCTATGCCATAATTCTCGAATACAGCTAACATTATGCTTATAATATACATTAGGAGTGGAATGCTAGTCTCCTAAGGCGACAGATGGATAGCAAGCCTGCGTTACTGCCCCTGGGCTGCTTCTTTGCCCTTGATTCGTGCCGCCTTCAGAATGCTGGCTTCCAGATTAAGAGGTGCTTCCCGGCCAAAGACCTATTAACAATATAGATCAGCTATTTAATCCTTATCCCCTAATTTCGCGCACTCATCTCATGACAATTGAAGATGGGATCGAAATGCAGACATACCTCCTGGATAAAATTCACAACGTTCTCTTCTGGGACTTCAATCCTTGCGCGCGGGCCCCACCGATATTCCATTTCTGCCTTCTCGCCAGATTCATCCATGTGCTCAAGTTTGTACTTCTCTAGATAGCGCTTCCTGATCAGGACATCCATCTTCTTTTGGATATCACCGAAAGGCGAGTTGTCTTCCGTGAGTGCCAACCGTCGAAGGTGAGACATGAGTGCACCTGAAAATAACGGAAAAAAACACCTACATTAGCAATATGCCAATTTTTTTTTTGCTATGCACAGACTGTGGATACCGTGAAGAAAAACAGAGGTACTTACTCTCATAGATGGCCCCCTCTCGGACCATGATCAAACTGAGGATGACCATCAGAAGACCCAGATCTTCCAGTTCTGCGCTCCAATCTACGATGCCGCTTGCAATCAGATTCATTGGCAGGACATTCCTCAGCATATATGACTTAGATCCTGTGAAAACAATCAAAGAAAACGAGTTAGGTGCTGCGACATGTTCTGGTATATCACATCCTAAGCGTTGTAAAAGACTCACCTTTCTCAGATGCCTGACCAGATCGACCCTTAGTCGTAAGCTCGATCAGTTCCATGCCAAAGATATCCCGAAGTCGTTCCTGTGCCTTTTGGAGAACAGTGTCGAACAACTTGTTGTGATCATTCAACACTATATGTTTTTTCTTGAAAAGAGTTATTGAAAGCGTCGAGCCCTTATTGCAGCAGCGCCTTGAATCAATCACCTCGAAAACACCACGTATTGCAATGTATAGCATACCGCTTTTGATATCATCTCTCTTCAACGCCTGCTCTGAATGAGATGTAAAAATTGCCAGGCGCACCACATCTTTGACCAGTCTCTCAAAATCCTCGGCCGGAATATCAGCCCTACTCCCTAACGATTCTCCGCGTATTACTTTAGTAGCATGCACGTCGCCATCTTGATCGCTATCATCGCCTCTCTGAATTCGCTTCCGAGATCCTGAGCTGTTGGGTGCTCCACGCTTGCCATAAGTCTTTTGTGAAGATGATCCAACTCTCCATTCATTGTCTTCGTCGTTCTATATGAGTGGTCGCATTGAAGATACAGTCAAAGAAGTTGTCAGCCTCTGGAGGGTGTAGAGTATCGCCCTGCAAACATAAATGGTGGCAATATGGGATCCGTGCTTACATCGACCAAGACTCGCCTCCGTCTGTCAGTCTATGTAATCAGGGAATGCCGATGAACAAAAAGTACGTCAGCTCCTGGTCCACAATCTTCCGCATGCCTGATTCCTTCTGATTCCTTTGTTCGTCCTGGAGCATCGTTGGCCTCATTACCATTGTTCTGTGTGGCGTGCTGTGGTGTTGTTGCAAGTTGGTGGAGTTGAACCTTGAAGCCCACTGGCGAGCCCATTTCATAAACCTGCGGTCCAGGCTGCTCCGGTGACGAAACGCCCATCACTTACTCCCCGTTTCCCTCGATCTTCATCCTACAAGAACACCATGCCCGCCACACAGAAGGAAATGCAAGATGCCCGTCTCCCACTCGGGTACCGTGATTTCTGTGCCGACCTCTTGATCCCCTTGAACAAGTGCCGTTCCGAGACTTACTACCTTCCATGGAAATGCCAGGATGAGCGCCATGTCTATGAGAAGTGCCAATACGATGAGTAAGGACCTGACGTTCACCGCAGTCGCAATGGATACATCAGCATGCAAACGGGCTGATAGACGGTGCTCGTTATTCGGCAGTTTGTGTATACATGACGGATACAGTACTCCAAGTGGGATATTCGGGCCAGTAATTGTATATCAGGAACACTTGTCAGGACCTAGAGAACAAGCGGACAAACCTCTGAAGGGATAGCAATGGAGTACAGCCAGCAATTGATGAACGAGATATAGATTCAGAGGTGTTCTCAGTAAGCCTTATCTTCGCCGCCTATATCGACATCTTAATCAACTGAGATAGAAACCGATGGATACGGATTATAAAGGCGAAGCACGAAGTGGATGCCACTGCGACCAGGAGGAGCAGCTTTAAAGATTTGAAGCTAGAACATGATCTAGTTACGATTTCTAACATTAATTGCATGCTCTTATTATGTTGCTTATGCTTCTAGCTATATCCGCCGAATGAAGGCAGCGGAGACAAAGAAGCGCGAGGCCTCGGACGAATAGATGGGGTTAGGTCAGATTATAAAGACAATAGCCGCAAATATATAGAACATTCCCCTTCAGGAATTAGCACTCAAAAGACATGAATATGATGGATAAGGCCAGGCGATACTGGGATGTCACGATCATATGTGTAAAGTAGCCTTGGTCCCATTCAGAGGAAACGCGCCCATGTCTTTAAGTGTTGCAGCCACTTTGTGACGGACTTCCTCGATCGTTTTGTCCCTGAACTTGTTTCTTATTCCTGTCCCTCCCTGTTTGACTGATTTTATCCTCTCACACCTCCATGCCACTGTACTTCCCATTCCTATCCCGATCAACACAGCTCCTCTGTCCAAAGCTCCCTTTCATTCCCTCCAATCACCTTGCTCGCTTCCGACATTCCTCTTCTCGCGCAAGATCACGCTCCCTTGTTGAATGGACCCCCGAGCTCGACTCGCACATTACCCAACTCCGTCTCCATGGCCACACCTGGAAACATATTGGTGAATCCCTCCACCTGCCTGCCATCACCTGCTACCGTCGCTATCGTGCCTGTATCGAACCCGAGCTCTTCCAGTTCTGGTCCCCAGAACTAAACCGCCGTCTAAGCCAACTTGCTCTTCAATCCAAACCCTGGAACGAGATCGCTCATACCCTTGCATCTGAACAGAAATATCCCATTTCGGCAATGGCTTGTCAGCAACAATGGTACAAAATCACACAGGAACCCGTCCGCCAGCATAGGAAAACACTAGCAGTAGCAATGACAAACTTCAGAAGGAAGGATAAAGATCTATTGGAGCGGCATGTACCCAAATGCGGAGGAAAAATAGGAGGTGAAGGCAGCACCCTTCGGTCGGACGGGGAGCCATTAGATTGGAAGGAGCTTGCACGCGAAGTCTTTGGGTATCGATTTACACCCGAGCAACTACAGTTCAAACATATACAGCTCCTGACAGAGCGTCGTAGGTGGACTCGGAAGCAGGAGATGACGTTGATCGATCTGATCATGCAACAACGGGTCAGTCGCGACGGTCTTGACGAGCAAGTCTGGCACGAGGCTGCACAGCACCTCAAGTTCCATTCACCAGAAGATTGTAAAAACCGATGGCAACAGCTACAGGGCTACTTAATAAGGAAATACCAGATTAGCAAGGCTGGACATCATTGGGCCGAGGGCGAGATTTTGGCATATTGGGCCTCATGGCGACGATACGGGAATGATTGGGATCGCATCGCGGAGGCGGTGAGGCTAACGAGACAGGGAAATATTAGCACTGGCACCAACAGCGTGCCATATCAGGATCACTCTTCTTCGTCTTTGAAGACGCCCAAGGATTGTAGAGACGATTTTCAGTTTTTGGTGGCACTTTCTGTCTCCAGGGGAGATCACCTCGAAAAAGTGCTAGGAAAGCTGGCTCACAACATCTCAGGACGGCCACGGAGTCACCATTGGACCAAGGAGCAACTGGATCGACTCAAAGGGGCGGCCTCGCTTGAATACAAGCCATGTCAGACTAGCCCATCAGATGCGGATATCGACTGGATGGCCGTCGCAAAACGCGTTGGCGGCGGCGTTACGGAATCTCAATGCCAGTACCGATGGGCGACCTATCAAAGTCCCTCAACAGCGCCCGGTATGACTCGCGTGGGACGCTGGGATCAAACGGAAGTTTTGGCGCTGCAAAGGGCGTTACATGACCTACATCTTCTTGGATCCACATACCAACTCCCACCGCGGTTTCCAAAGTTCGTCCAACAAGAGTATAGCCTGCAACGGAAGGCTTCTGCGATCAGGACCAAGGCCAAAAAATTGCTGGAGAGGCATGTGCTCAGATATCAGGAGGATGATATCCGGCGCGGAATGAAGGCCTTGATAAGTTTACAGGATATCGCGCGTGCGGAGGGAAACAGTACACCCAATAAACACTCTGGACACCTAAATACAAGCCTACGCACGGAGTCGGATCTCGTAGGACCTCGTAGCTTTCAAGAGGATGGCGATGTCGGTGCGCTGAGCGAGTCTCTATCAACAGACAAAATAATGTACTCAGATGACGACCCGGACGATGATAGTGATCTGGGGACCGTACATCCTACAATGTTTGTGGCCCCAGGGATTCTCAAGACAGAAGTACCTAGGAATGTATCTACTTCTGGATCAAAGAGGCAGAGACGCGTTGTTTTTACCTGGCAGACTGGAGATGTGGAGAAGCTAGAGCGACTCGTGAAGAAGTACGGACAGTCATCGCTCGGCTGGAGGCAGATTGCGCAGGAAATGTCGATACCCGTACTCAAATGCAAGGATAAGTGGCGGCGCTCCTTTGGCGACACGCTTTATGAATAATAAAAGCAAGCAGTTCAAAGCTCAGTCATCTGAGTTTCTCACTTGATGGTCCTTTTACATGGGCTTCTCATTAATAAGGCAGGAACGATTAAGATGGTTAAAATGTGTCATAGTCATTATAGTGTTTGCTTTATTTATAGCAGCTTCATCTTCACTACGCGTTCGAGTTCGTCCACCATGGCGTTCAGTCTCTTGATTTCCTCATGTGCGTCTCCAATGACAAGATCATCCTTGGGTTGCGGCTGTGCTGACTGCTTCGAGCGAGACGAGCGTCGGACCAAATCCTGCCGCTGGTGAACTGGACTCTTTGAGTGCTGAGATGCGCTACTTGTTGTAATATCCGGTGTGAGGGCTGCCGAAGAGCTGGATGAGGAAGAAATGGTTTGAAGATCCAGCTCCAAAAGGCTCTCGTTCAAAATTACGTTGAGGTCCGAGTTATTATGGTGCTGAGTTGGGAGCGTTGATTCGTTCAAGGAAGTCTTGGACCGATTGAAGGGACTTCGGAGGCGTGAAGGCTGCGATTGTTGCTGCTGCTGCTGGTGATCATGCTGTCTAGAGCGCGATCGAGGAATATCTGATCCTTGGCTCGAATTGAACGAGGAGCGGGCCAGACCCATTTGTCCAGCCACCATGCTACTGTTGGTGAGCGTCGTAGCCGCAAACTCGAGAGCCTTACTCTTGGCGATCTCAGCCTCCTGCGTTTTCACCTTGAGCTCGTGAGCATTGGCCTCCATTATTCTGAAGCCCTCCTCGATTCTCAACTGCAGCTGCGCCAGTTGCTTTTGCAATTTAGACGAGCACACATTATCTTGACCCACGGATTCCTCGACCGAGTTGTCGAAGCCAAGTTTGGCCCTGAGAGATCCTGCAAAGTCATCAGCCCAGACAATGACCATACGGACTTGGCTCTCGAGCTGACTGACGCGCTCGTCCTTCTTGCTGATCTCCTCATTGAGATCCTTCATGTAGTTCTCAAGCGCTGCGAGACGGGCATCGTGCTGCTGCTGCTGGATGGGTGGTACGGGTTCGTTCGATGGCGTGGCGGACTGCGCTGTCGAAGGCGACTTACGTCCGGAAGAAGACTTACGTCTCCGAATCGTGGATTCTGCGCTGCTCGAAGAGGTTCCATTAGCCATCGCGCCGTGGTATTCCTCCAATCCAGGCGGGTTAGGGAAGACCATACTCTGGATCCTCAGCTGCGAATGCTCTTTCTTCCATTTGAGCTTCTCCTCCTTCTCCCGGTCCCTCGCTGTTTCAAGCTCTTGGACAGCTCTCGTCAACTCGCGATTATTTCCATCGAGGCGCCGCATGCCAGCGTTGAGAACCGCGCCTTCGTGCTGAAGCAGCAAACGCTGGATCTCTAGAAGCCGCTCCATCGCTTGCTGCGTCTTCTGGACAATCTGGTCCATCTTGCGAGTCGTGGCATTCAGTTGACTGGTTGCTGCCTTGACAGCATCGAAGTTCGTGTTGCTTTCGTGCAAGCGGATCAGAGAATGCGACGCGTCGCGCATGCGTGTCTCGATCATGAGGGAGGCACTGAGCTGCTCGACGTATTTTCGGAGATCCTCTTGCTCCTATGGCCATCAGTAAGCATCAAATGGAGTATTTATCAGCATCGAAAGAAGATTGACAATGTGGGCTTAGTCGCCAGCAGCGCATTACGTCCTTACCTTCTTCAGGCTCTCAACTTCCTCGAGTGTGAGGGCTTTGTACAGACGGCTAGCAATGACAGCCTGTGTGATGACTTTTTGAATTGTCTGGGAGTCTAGTGTCCTCAAGACATCTTGTGGCAGGATCCCCAGGTTGGAGTTTTTCTTGAGAAACTCTTCTGGAGACGGGATCACTGGCAATGGTAGAATATCGGGGCCATACTTTAGCCTCTCCTTTTGTCCACTGCTGGGGTTGCTGTATGTCAAAGCATGCTGGCCATGGCTACCACCACGCGTGAGCTGTCCCGCACTTCCCGATCTCTCGTGTGAAATGCGTTTGTTGCGCGGCGGCGACATAGATCGCACAAGAGCGCCTTCTCCAGAAGCTGTGTTCGATGCCATTGCCTGCTGGTGATGCTGGTTATGGCATCTGGACGACTCGGGCTGACTTTCGCTTCGCAAACGCTGTCTCTGGGTTTGAGATTGAGATTCGCTCTGCTGAAGTTGTCCGGTTTGTATCTGACCAGGTGTGTGACGACTATCCTGTCCTTGAAGAGCTGTTTGGGGTGTACGACCGGGCGTGGGCGGCAAGTCCTTGTTTGTATCGGCTAAGGAGTCGTTCGACATGGCTCGCGATCTCGATAGTGACTGATTTCTCTGATGTTGATGATGCTGCTGCTGCTGCCATTGGCTTTGGTGATGTTCGTAAGGCTGGTCATGGTAGGCTTGGTGAGATTGATGATGGACCTGGTAACTAGGCTGCTGGTGGGGCAGGTGGTCCAGTTCATTGTGATTTGGATGATTTTGAGAAACACTCGGTTGCGCTTGACGCTGCTGCTGGTGCTGCTGTCGATCTGATGGTTGATTTGGCTGCGATTGGTGCTGATGCTGTTGTTGTTGCTGCGCTCGCTTCTGCTGCCTGTTGTTTCGCGAGGCAGCGGCATAGCCCTCGCTCTTGCTGTACTCTAGCGGCCCATGTGTCTTTGAGCCGCAGCCAGACATAGAGTCCGCCTCATCCTCTTCAGTAATGGCTCTGTTTTCACGATAAGGATATGGCGCAGTGTTGGATCGCTGAATATAAAGGCCCTCCTTCTGCGAACAAATCCCCATGGCCGGGTCAATGATCTGCCCAGCCTCAGTAGCAGCCTGTAACTGAGATAAAATACCTCCCGGCTGCACAGTAGCCTTAGCTAGAGAAGTGTTTCCTTCTGTTGGCTCAGGCCCGACATTGTCCCGTCCATTACAAGAGGATGGGTCTCCGAGCGATGCCGAGTTTGTGGGTCGACCCCTGTCAGGCAGTAGCATCCTACTAGTGGATCTATTTAGTGCTGATGTCGTTGGTAGTGCTGTAGTGGGCGGCAGATTCAATGTGCTTACGGAGTTAATGGAGGAGTGGCCAGACCGTGCTTTGGGACTAGAATCTCTGAGATTTTGCCGCTCTTTCGCTTCCTTCTCAGCCTGTTGCGCCTGTCGCCAGTCATCTGTGGTGCCTCCGTAGGCATCCTGGATGACGTCAGATCCCATGGATGGGGGTGTTGCGGCAGTGATTGGTTCATTTGACATTGCAGTGGCGGCCTGATATGGGTGCTGGAGATGGTGCTGCGATCTCTGCCGGTTGTGAAACGGACCGGGATTTGCCTTTGGATGGGTGAGGGAACTTCCTCTAACGGGTGTTCGACTGTCGGCAGAAGAAGGTGATTTGATGTCAGGCAAGGATCTGTTCCGTCCTAGCTCGGCTTCATATGTCCTGGAAAAGGCATAGTCCTGGGTTTGCTGATTGCTGGAGGAGTTGCCTGGGTAAGGTCTTCGCTGTAAATTTGTCTGCGATCGACTGTTTTGCTGCGCCCAGACCTGCGAGTTCTGCTCGTAAGTGGAAAGTTGAGCGGTGGCAGCAGCTTCCTCGCCTTTTGCGTGTATAGACTTTTGACTCGAGCTTTGGTTCTTCTCAGAAGCCTTTCTGCTCAAGCCCATGCCTTTGAGCGCCGTACCAGATGCCTGACGCGCCATTCGCAGCAAATTGCTGCCAGATGCCTTTCGCGTCGGTTGTGCTGTGCCAAGTGAATCTTGCCGTCGGAGTTGGTCTATGTCGTAGCCTTGCCCACCATTCTGTGAGCGCTGCTGCCGGGTCTGAAGAGGCCCCTTTCCGTTACTGTGACTCCGAGTCGGATGATTCTATTCCAAGACATAAGAACTAGAACTTAACACCCACATGAAGATGACGCCAGTAACGATAACCAAAGTGGAACTTACTTCTTCCCAAAGCTGACCACTGCTAGCCTCTGCTGCTGTTGGTGGTACCTGAGAGATTGTTTTTTCTGGCCAGGGTGAGGTAGCTAGCGGATGATGCCTATTAGAGTTTGATTTTTCCCGCGTGGCATGAGTGGCGCCTGTCGATTGGGTGGTCAATAACAACTCTGTCTTCGCGGCGACGGGGTCTTCCTGATCGGGATGCTCCTTCCTTGACCCATCACTCCGTGTCGTTGACTGGTACTGTTGGTAGAACTGAGCAGGCTGGTACTGCGCTGGAGGCACAAATGGATTTGCTTGAGACGGGTGGGTATGATAGGTCGAAGAACCGCTGCTCCCACTATTGTTGCGCGGCCTCTCTTGAAAAGATGGCATTACTGGAGTAACTTCAGGAGGGCCGAAGGGAGAATCGATCTTTGTCACTCTCTGGGGCTCCTTTGGTGAAACTTTGTAGTAGCTGTAGGGTCGATCGATGACGATCCCTTTCTTGCTCGCAGGCGGTATATATGGAGTCGACTCCATCTGACCTGGGTCCATGAACACGCTGTGCTGAAGATCGGCCATACTACGGGAGGGAAGGTGGTAAGATGTTGCTGAAGTCACTTCAGATTGCGAGTCGGATCGCAGACGTCTTTCTGGTTCGTCAGACGGTTGCTGGTGGCTATAAGCAGAGGGAAGCGTGAATGTCGGTGCTGGTGGAAGTGGAAGGTCCTTGTTGACAGCGGCTTCACTGTCGGCTTCGAGCTTATTCTAAGAATGCAACAAAAAACTTTGGGCGTCAATCCAATGTACGATCTGATACACATTGGTTATTTGACGATGCCGCATCTTCCGAAGGTGCGATTAAGGGACTGCAGGGGTGGGGATGCATTTGCGCCTAGAGTACACTGTTGAGAATACAAACTGTCTGCCATTGGCAGTAAATAACCGACGCCGCTGTCAAGGGAAGCAGACGACTTCATAATTTAGTCTACCAGGATATGTGTTTCCGACATCTTTGCATCCAATTTCTGCTCTTCCCAAAATTTTCACTATAGTCCTGCATCATCCAAGCTCCATGGATACTTGCTCTCAAGTTAGACGCGTGCTTTATAAATTAAAGACATGCGTGCGGTTTCCCCTCTTTAGGAATGCAAACAAGACCTGGCTTTGTGAACAAGGCAGTTCAGAATCGCAAAGGGTCTGTTGTAAAAATAAATTGTAATTGACCCAATGATATTTCCCCCTGTGATGCCGCAATCCAGGAACTGTGCCCATCACTGCCAACCCATTATGTCAGGTCCTATGGCGTTTCACGGCCAAGTTGCCCATGTATTGCCCTCATGCGCTGCCGGAAGGCACATATGCGCTCTCATACTACAGTCCTCATTGTATCTCGCCAACGGTAAAGAAGCGTTTCAACCATGCAATAAGAAAAGGGTCGTGCCAAGGTTCCGTAATTAGTCTTGCATAGATTGCTTACCGATGATCCGCTCTTAAAAGATCGCTGTCTTTGCTTCATAAGTGGATCCGGCGGTAGAGCTTTGCTGACCCGTTTTGCGGTCTTTGACCGTAAAGAAGTATCTCTGCCTGTTCGCCCATCGGAGGTTCGATGGGATTTATGGTACAGGTGGGGATAGTCCTGATCGTACTCTTGATTGATGAGTTGCAGCGGACGATGATTGTGTTCATTAGGGTGGGATGGTTGCTGTTGCTGGTATGTCAGAGGGGCTGGAAGATGGTAACGATAATCCTGGCCTAGGGGCTCATCTGTTTGGTATAATTGATGCTGCGTTGATATTGCCTGCTGGAGTGTGTTCTGTCCTTGCCCCCGAAGTGGGCATGATGCTGTGTCGGCGACACCAGAACCTGGCCATGGTTGAGGAATGACAGAGGTCATGGTTGTTTTTTTGAAAATAATTGGCGGGAAAAAAAGGGCCGTTGCTACAAAAGGGTCATTAAAAGCAAGGCAATGCAATTGTGGCCACAGCTTGAGCAAGGATATTATTGTTTCTCTGTCTTTGACGAAGAAGAGGTTAAAGAGGAGGTAGAGGAGGAAGGTTGCGATGCGAGGATGTGCGAGCAGGTGAACGTGTTTTCTAGTGCTGCCAGGACCACATTCTCTTTTTGCTAGTGATTAAAATGCCAGTGGTCTGGTTTCAGGAACAAGAGGAGGAGGCGGAGTGGAATGAAATAAAAGAAAAGGAGCAGAATGAGAAAGGTCGACTGCAGAGAAAGATGAGAATGAGAATGAGATGAGGCAAGATGAGAAGAAGAAGAAGACAGCAATGCTAGTTGCAGTAGTAAGTGAGCATTGGCAAACAAGGAGAAGGGGGTATATACTTCTTTTCTCACATCGGCACTCAGGTACGCTTTCTTCATACACACATACACACACATAGACAAGGCTGATTGTTGTATATAGCATAAATTGCAGCGAAATTAGAGAACTCTAAACCACGACAGCTTCCATAGATTTCACTGCTTACAGTCGACTCGTACTCTATGGACATGGAGTTATGAACATAGACATGTGTCTCTCCAAATGCAATGGGTCAACATGCCGTTCTTTCTCGGGCATGCTGAGGCTGCCATGCTTTCATCCGCATGAGATAAGGACCAGAGTGAGATCTATCCATCCTTCCATTTACTGGGACAGGTTATGCGATCCGTTTCCTTTCACTTCTTCTCTTGATTCACAGGTCGTGTTAGTTGATTTTTTTTATCCGTAGTGAGCAAACACAACACAAACACAGTTCTCTTCACCGGACAAATCTTTATTCATGAACAAAATGTATATACGCAGTTGACAAGCCCGGAGGACACGTTGGCAACTCCTCCATTGCCCAAGACAAACGTGCTGCTATTTATTAAAATTGAAGTGCTCAGGCAGGCGCTCTTCGCTTTGCATATTAAAATAGCCTAATGCTGAGCTTTGTCACCTCACTCTTGGGCGGGAAAACATACGACATGGGTCTACAGGGAACATAGGTTGATACAGCATTCAACCTAGCGCACATTCGAACCCGCGGACATTGCGCCTGATTTAAGGAAGCAACTCATCAGTCCAATTGTCTACGGTAGGTAGTAACCCATCACCTAGCGTTTACATGCAATATGGCGCTGTTAGTACCGCAAGGCCCATGAGGACCAAGGATAATGCCTCGCCATGTGTTTTGTACGTGCAAATGAACTACGCCCAAAAAAATTTTCACAAAAACAAATGTTTCTTCGTCCCCGTCTTCAAGCTCACCACTTCCTTTTCCTTGCTTTTGTATCTTTGTATCCCACTTTTCCTCATTGAAACGATCCCTCCCTCTGCACGGCATCATCCCCATTCAAACGCTTTTTATTGCTTATAACGAGTCTATTCCTTCTCCCTATATCGAGTCTCTTCCTTTCGCTTCCGCACCTGCTTTACTCACTTCCTTCCGCACTTTTCCTTGACTTCTCTATATCCATTTCCCGCTCACCTCGTCATACTCTACTTCCCTTACCCTCTGCTTCTGGAGATAAAAGAAAGGTATGCCAGCAGGCACACTTACAACACTTACACTTCACTGACTGTGTAGTAGCACTGCAAAAGCGCATTCATGACAACAGCCGCTGTGTTCTTTTATCACTTCCAAAGCGAATTCCTTGGCCCTCGATAAAAAAAAAGATCTACTGTCTACTGTCCATTCATCTTTTTGCTCACTTGGTCTTACTCACTTGTCCTGTCCCCCTTCCTTTTGAGTCCTTGCCGTGTCTCCTCACTTTCATGTTTTTCATGCCAAAAAGTCCTTCCGTGGACTCGCACTATCCAGCGATATAAACTGAAAAGAAGCCTTCACTGTACCTTCGACTAGCTTTCTTTTCATTCCATTGTGTCATGTGTGCCCTTTAGCCCATTTGGACACTAGTAAGCAGCAACTGCTATAAGCTCGTCGTCCTCTTTGCATCCTTTCACACCATAGCCATCTGCCTTCCTCTTCTTCTTCGTCTTACCCTTATTGAGCTCCGCTCCTCTTCTCCTTCCTCTTATCCTCCCTCTTGTGTTCCAGTTGTTTTGATTATTAACAGCATACATTTTTCCATCTAGGACCTCACATTCTTCCCTACTTTCAACGGACTCTCCCACTTCACACTTTGCACAAACAACCCTTCTCCCTTTTGAACGGTTGCACTGTCGACAAGCATGAAGTTGATCGACATCAAGCCCGACCATTACTACGACAATGTCGGAACTGGCATTCCTGTCTTTCGTCCCACCATGGACCAGTTCAAGGATTTTTCTGCATTCGTCCAGTCGATTGTCAATTATGGCCGTGAGGCTGGCCTTGTCAAAATCATACCTCCAAAAGAATGGTAATTCCTTACTCATACAAAAACTTACATATTGGACATGTCTCCAACTGTTTATACTCAATATTGCTGATATATGCTCCCTTCTAGGACCGCTACCCTTCCTGACCTCTCTGAGCGCCTAGCTTCAGTAAAGATCAAGACACCCATCATCCAACACATTAGAGGCACCAAGGGCATCTATACTCAAACCAATATTGAATCCAGGAAATCTTACACAGTTTCTGAATTCAAAGCCCTATCACTCGACTCCGATCATCGTCCACCCAGCCGAAAGGGTGCTCCCCATGGCCCAGCGGACCCTCTTCCTAGGCGCAAGCGAAACCGCAAACCGGCTGCTCCTCTCCAAACCCACACTGTTCCCATGGAGACTGACTCTCTTCCTGCTACGCCAACCCGCACTCAGGATATGGCCAACTCCATTCCTATGCATGACGACCTCGGTGACGCCCTAGTCCCTTCCAGCTCGGCGACTTCATCCGCCAACAACAGCCCAGACCAGCCATCTCTAGTAACTCTTGGACCTAATTTGCTCCGCAGGCATTTTCTTCGCCAGGCTACAAGCCCTTCGCCGCCATCGAGAAGACCCAATGCCCAGGACCTTCTCTCCTCACTTGTCCCAGAAGTAAAGGACGAGTCTGAAACCGAAACCGCAGCAAGCAGCAGCAACCAGAGCAAACAAAAGGATGTTAAGGCGCAAGAACAGGAAAAAGTCGAACCACCCATGACGGACTACAAAGTTGAGCACGGCGAGGACTATACGGTGGAGTACTGCAAGGAATTGGAGCGCAACTACTGGCGCAATCTCACTTTTGTTCAGCCTATGTATGGAGCCGATATGTCAGGTGAGTGCTGCCTTATCATCGTGACAGTTATGAAAGCAGGATACATTTGGACATCGCTACAGGAACAGGGACAGGGACAGGGACAGGGACAGGGACAGGAATAGAAATGGCATATGAACAAGAGCAGGAGTAGAAGCAGGAAAAAGCATACGCTACTTCAAAATTCGTGCTACGATACTCAATCAGAGGTTGCCCACGACGAATGACGACATAGAGTCCATATTGATGGACAATTAGAAGTGTATCCAGTGTACCCGTTGAGCTTACTCATGCCAAGACATGGATACTGACAACTGCTTTTTGTCACATGTGCAATAGGATCCCTGTTTGACGAAAGGACAAAATCATGGAACACACAATGTCTGGGAGACCTATTGTCGAGAATCGATCAGAATCTACCAGGAGTCAACACACCATATCTGTATTTTGGAATGTGGAAGGCTACGTTCGCCTGGCACGTCGAGGACATGGATCTGTATTCGATCAATTATCTTCATTTTGGGGCGCCCAAGCAGTGGTATTGCATTCGGCCGGAACATAGTGCACGATTTGAATGCATTGCGCAGGGAATCTTTTCGTCCGATTACAAGACATGCCCGCAATTCTTACGTCACAAAACATATCTTCTTTCGCCATCAAAATTGGCTACCGATGGAGTCCCTGTTAACAGGCTAGTGCAGCATGAAGGAGAATTTGTCTTGACGTTCCCGTTCGCTTACCACTCTGGATATAATCTTGGATTCAATTGCGCAGAATCAATCAATTTTGCACTGGATGACTGGATCCCAATTGGTCGCAGGGCAGAGTCATGCAAATGCATCAACGATAGTGTCCAGATTGACGTTGAGGCTATTTTCCAGTCTTCAAAGAGCAGTTCTTCAGCTGCAGAGACAGGTCGTTTCAGGAGTCGGTCAGACAAAAAGACATCGGATGTCGAAATGAAGGAAGAGGATATAGCGGACGAAACTACTGAGAGCACGCAGAAGAAGAGAAAGAGAGGCGTAACCAAGGATAAAGATGCGGACGAAATTAGATTAACCGAGATCAGCTCCAGTCGAGCAAGAAATGCCTCCGACGATTTGAAACCTGTCTGCAGATCAACACGTACCGAGCCTGGCTCCTTATCAAAGGCTTCATCCACCAAGAAGGCTAAGACGGAATCTGTAGTTAAGCCCAATGTATGTGTGTTTGAGGATTGATCGTGCTCAAATATGTTATCAGTAATCGCTCCTAAATGCCATATTGATGAGTCCCTTTTCTTTATCTTATTCAATATCAACTAGTGCCTTCTGTGTCCTCTGCAGGACTATGATGGTGAAATTCTTCCCACCAACAATGGCAAGCATTGTCATATGATTTGCGCTCAATATATTCCAGAGGCGTACATGTCAGGAGAAGATGACGACGACGTAACCGTGCACGTAGAAGCCGTACCTGCGGCGCGACGCAAGCTTGTAAGTTAATGTGCAAAGCTGTACTCAGTTTTGGCCACAGAGGCATCAGTTCTACGCGTGGATTGTTAACACGAATATCACATTTTGATTGTCATAGCGCTGCTTTATTTGTGAAAAGAAGGCGGGCGCCTGTCTACAGTGCTGCAAAGGAAAGTGCATCAGAGCTTTACATGCCAGTTGTGCGGATAAGGCGGGCATGTATGTGGAGGAAGTCACGCAGCCTGATACGGACAGCATCGAATATCAAGTTTATTGTCCTACCCACGACCCAGTAAGTTACATTTAACCTTTCATTAGTGCCGCATAATGGCTTAATGAAGACTTTTGCTGACATAGTTTTGAAACGTTTCTAGCGACAAACAAAAGAAAAAGAAGCCGAGTTTAAGGCATGGAAGGACATGATGACCAAAAGATTGAAACAGAGTCTGGCAGTATGGGCGCGTTGGAACGACAATGTGTACTATGCAGGCGTGATTGAAAGCGTGCTTCACGACAAGATGAATTGCAAGATCCAGTTTGACGACGGATATGTCAAGACAGTTACTTGGAAGGACATTTCGCTGGACAAGAAGCAGCCCGCCACGGGAAGTCGTACAGCGGGATACTCTTTGCGAGGATAAGAAGACAAACCCTTAATGCGGCACACCCAGATTACTGTCAATGCCGCCTGCCTGTACCATCCCCGCTCCTATCAGTTCGACGTCGTTATTCCTTCTCTTTGCGTGCGCGCATGTAGTTTTGAAAAAAGTCTTTTCTCTTCTGTTTCAATAGTGCCATCGTATCTCCTTTTCTTTTTCATTTCTTTTTTGTACTATACAACTCCAATTGTTATTGTAAAGCAATGCATTAAATAAGAATAAAATCTCTTGTATGTTTTCCGTCAAACCAAGTTTGCAGGTTAGTCAATAGGATCCAACGTTGTGCAGGCAGGATCAAGAGCAAGATGAGGCCTCGGTTATTTTTGAGGGAATGGGCTCCTAAGACAAACGCGCACGATCTGGCTCGATCTCTGAGGGAGTTCACAGTTCGGTTACAGACCATTAAATATCTAGTCTTGACTTGCTAAAATGACTTTGTGCACGTCAATACCAGGTGCATAGTAGCGTCCTCCATGAAAGGGCCAAGTCGGAGTTCGGCATGATTGTCACAGCCCGGTATCAAGGTTAGTAAGAGGCCGTTGTTACTTTTGTTGTTGTTATAAATCTGTATTAACCTGGATCGTTCACTTTTTAAATCGCACTTTCGCTCGGGGGAGCTGGTGCAATTTGACGCACTAGAAGTAGACTCCATGCAACACTCGATCTTGTAGTTTACTTGTTCGAACGAAGGATTCCACAATCCTGGAAGGAGCAAAGCGCCCTATTTTTTTTCCTGTTCGTGGCCCTCTGGCGTTGGAAATATAGCCAATGATCGCACGAGCTTCGAGGGCCAGAGCGGAATGCTGTGCATTCCTGAATCTGTTCACTGTCCTCGCACGTCCCTTTGACGCGAACTCCGTGAAACTCCCAAGGAAATGAAGGCGGTTTTGTCGATACCAGCGGCAATCACTACCGCAGCCGTTTATATGGAATACATGGCCAGATGTCACTACCTTACTTCTGATCGTTTAGTATTCATGAACTCCTTGCTCACGCACATGCTTCAATGTCGAGTAACTGTTATGGTTCTTGGTGTGATCAATTAAACTGTGCACGCCGTAGTCTTCCAGTGCTCAATATCCTAACTCAACAACCACTTCGTTTCTTTTTGGTTTTGTTTTCACGTCTATATTAAAATGAAGAACCCACTGTATAGAACTGGATAGCAGAGCGATTATCATCAAGGAAGCGGTTGGCTGCTCCAATCTGCTGTTGTGGCTCTGGGTTCTTAAGCCCACCGCCTTTCTCTGCGCTTTTCTATCCTTGTCGTAAGGGTAGCAAACGTGAAAGGACACAAAATAAATAAGCTCTGTATCTGACCGATTTATTGAACGGATAAAGTCTGACAATATCTTGTACGGGCCAGACTTTGTCTGAGAGCACCAACCAGCGTTAAAACAACGACGGAGAAGTCTTCAAAGCTGCGGGCAAGGGTAACTGTTATTTATCTGACTTGTATGCGTTCCAAGAGGTGATTCTTTTTACCTTCAACGGGTTACGATGTTCTGCTGGGCAACTGTGGTGATGACAATAACAATGAACAACAGCACGCGACATGCACGCAAATAGTTTGTCGCGCTGGATCTGCCAGAGGGACAGAAACCTGGTCTTTTCCCGCTCGTTTTGTTCCAGGTACGGAGAGATCGCACAATTCTTTTCGGATCCCCTACAGTTCCTCATTGTCTGGCCGAGTTGATCACACAGGACGCCCTAGCCGCCATTACCTTTCAAAGATCCTTCGGCAAACCATACTATATACCGGTTCATGAAAACCCTTTAACTTGCACTATTTGCTGCTCACTTCAACCCCCCCCCCCCCGATCTTACCGGCAACAATGGTTACAATATCAAACGGGTGACCATCACATCTTCCATCTGCATTTTTGGTTCTTTCTGGTCACATCAAGGACAACGTAAAGAGATTAGTGTTCAAACCTTGCTCACCTCCTAGTGAGTAAAGCATGCCGACCTAAAAAAAATTACAAGATCCTCCTGAAAGACAGCCCCTTCCCTTCTTTTTTCATGATAGTGGTAGTAATGATAGGTTAGCCCTAGGCAAAAGAGGGGTGATCTCAGGATCATTGCCAATGGCGCATTGGTATGGAGTAAAGAAAAATATGGTTACAGATGAAGTAGAACTAAAAAACTTATGACTAATTGAGGGTTCACAAAGAAGGCATGGTTGCGACCTAGGAGGAGTGCTGGATCCACTCCAAGCAGTACGTTGTAACAAGTCGATAACACTAAATCAGGGCCTTTGTGCGTATGTGCGTGTGCATATGTGTGTGTGTATGTTTGTCAGGTTTGGACGTCTTCCGAGAGTGAGTCGTACTTTAACCCACTCGGCACCATTCGACGGTTAGTGTTCTTTTTAATCTTTCTCTACCCTCTCACTCTCACTCATTCTTATTATTTGTATCTCTTCCGCTCGCCTCATTCCTCTCCAACCATCTCCGCTCACGATTCTCATTTCAACATCGTACTCATTCTCATTCAGCACTTCAGGAACGCCCCGCAAAGCTAAACCATTGTTTCGCCTCAATTTCGCTTTGTTCCTTGCGCCCCTCCCTCTTAGCATCACACTATCCTGCCCAGGTACGACCTCCACCTAATTTTGAATGAGGCAACGGAATTCACTGCTGCTCATGCGAATCAGATCGACCTCCTGATCGGGTCCGCAGTCCACTCTTACGCTGCTCTTTTTTTCAGTCGATTGTATTTCCTCTCCTGCGAGTCCTAACCAAGTCTGTGCAGACACTGCAGGAAGAGAGTTGTTCAATTGACTTTGCTTTCATTGCTTAGGATAGTACTTCTTTCAAGACATCTCTATCAATCAGTCGTACTATAGCGTATACTCGTTGCTCTCAGTTCTTCATACAACCCATTGCATCTCTATTCTACTCCACGTTTTTCCGTTTCCTTTTTTTTTTTTTTTTTTTGACGGGCAAGCGCATTGTACAGACGAAGAGTTGCTGAAGGACACACATTTCAAATCAGTACACAGATGCAGATAATCGACAGTGGCACATTAATGCCACCCTGGTGGTATGCACTATTTTTTTTAACTTGGGATCAGGGAGCGAGGCCCTTTGAGTTGGAGTCCAGGCTATTGAATTATTTTCTTATTTGGTTTACTCAGAGATTGACAAGATTGGTGCCAGCACAGTGGAACTGTGAAACAGCGGAATAATAGATACAATCACAACGAAGGAAAGGGGGCACAAAAGAATCCGCGCCAAAATCATTATGCACACACGCACAAGCGCATATATACAAATCTGCACATTGCAGTCTTCTCTCTCTGTAGAAGCCCTTAGTCCGCGTCCAGCACGACCTTTCCGAAACATCAGTACTACTTCGCGGTCAATTCAGTTCACGACATTTCTGTTTGAACGCGCCTTAACGTGCTCGCGAGATCTTTAAAAGGATGCTCCTACATACATTTCAGGAACAGGAGACAAGGGAGCGTTTAATTGCTTCGTCACGAAACATGGAACCAATCTTTAACCGCCCGCCAACATCGCATGCCTTGTGGATGTCACTGTGTTGGCAGAATAAGGCTGTTGCACAGTATTTGACTATCGCTTTACTATCCCTGAACCTTTGCGCTCGCACATTCTAGATTGACACCTATTTGCGTTGTCTCAGAAAGGACATATATATTAAGGCGCCTAGCTGGCTCTGCAGCCGATACCGGAAAGCGTGCATCCGGAGCTCGCATGGAGACTTGTAAGCAAACATAAAACAAGAAAGACCATGGACCACGGACAAGGACGAGGACACGGACAGGGATGTAGGCAAGTGCTCCTTCTCCCCTATTTATAGTGGCATTGGTTTAGACTTTTGCATTGTATCCTTCAGTGTGCTCGCGATATGCAATCGACACAGCCACCATGCGAATACGTCCTACCTTTCCTTTACAAGAAATAGCATTGAATCGTCTGGGCAGCAATTGAGTGTGAAACATTGCTCAATCCAAAGTGAGAGAGATACCGGACTTTTGGATAGGTGCTCTATGTTGTCATTGCAGAAGACGCTTACAAAAATCCAGGAATCGATCGTTGCACTAAAGCAGTATTTGAAACAGTCGACGGTTTGACATCTTGTTCTTAACCGCCAGATACAGAGCGCCAGGAGTCGAGAAGTTGTTCAAGGAGAAGATCTTATAGTTCATAGGTCCAAGGAAACAAGTGGACTGGTCGAGTCCACATTCGCGAATCGGGTTTGATGGACTATATCATCCAACCGGCTATTCTGTACTGATGCATGGGGTACCGAGACGGAGATCTCGTATTCATTCAACATCTATTCCTCTATTTCATACTTTGCTCCCCATCCCTCCCTCAATTACCACCAGCGCCTGTATACCCTGGAAAAAGCAGGAAGAATATAACAATATAAACGTGTGCTGTTCAGCAATTTCCGCCAGTTCACACTTCACTTCTACTCTTTTGTTTCCAGACCATTCCACCCGCAAAAAAACGCTGTTATTGATTGATCAATATATTCTGACCTTAGGATGACCCAAACATTCATTACTAGAAGCTACGAGCTACAGATGGCACAAAACCCCGTCCGAGCAAGAATGTGCGGGTTCGGTGAGAAGGTATTGTTGCCACATTTATTATCTCCTGGTTGCTTTCATTGCTGACGAGACTGTCCATCACGCAGCCCTTATGGCGGCGGAGGTAAATTGTTCAGGAATTTGTAGGAAACCCCGCCCTTTTTGTTGGTCCTTAGAGAAAAAGCTCAGCGTAGTATCGAGTTGGAGGGTCCGGTCGACAGCCAGCAATCTACACGAAAAATGAGGATTCGAGGCTCATGATTTCTTGTCCCTTTACTAATATCGCTGCCTCTTGTCCGCTTTCGATTGAAAATTCCGGATTTTTTCTACGTGCGCTTGCTTTCGTTCCACGACAAAACAGGACAGAAGACCCATGGATCCGCCTCCAATAGTAAGGCTGATTGTCAGAAACGAGGACGGAACAGTTGCAGACGTCAGGTAATGGACTGTCGAATCAATTGATGACTTTGGCTTTAGGATTGGATGTAATGGCATCCAAGTGCCATGATCGAAGGACTAGGTCTTATGGCGGCAAATAAATGGACTAAAAGAAGCTGGCGCAGGATCATGCGATGTCGACGTGAAATAGATACAGGGGACTTACTAGTAATATTTCCGTATCTCTTCTTCATCTCCGCATCGTAGCCAAATGGATGTCAATTTTTACATGGTCATCGCGGATATCTACTCTGCCGATCAAACAACACCATGCACATTGGTCACCAATCCTGTTTCGACTGTGCAAACAGCCCAGTTGCCAGCAACTGGGCAGTCTTCAGGTGAATCCATCCTGAGCTTAGTCCCATCTCAGCCCGTGGCAAGCCGCAACTTGACAGGATCGACGGTAGCGTCTGGCAACCTGCTTACAAACCTGGAGGATGAACCTGGCGTCTACTTTATTTTTCAGGACATCAGCGTGCGGAGCGAAGGCACCTATACACTGAAGTTTTCTTTTACATTACCGCCAACGTAAGAGCGTGATCCCGAACATCCGATCTTTGAAAAATGTCATGGACTCTGTCTTACATTGACGCAATCCAATATGGAATTTGTCTAGACCGGATGGCCCACCCTCAGTAGTAATGGCCGCCGTTTTTTCAGAACCATTTACCATTTACTCTGCCAAGCGTTTCCCGGGTATGACTGGTAAGTTTCCTCTACATTGTTTATGCACGACGGATGCAGCTTTTTTACGCCTCTTGGTAGCGACGGTCTGTAACGAAGTATGTCACCTTGATAAATAGAATCTACTGCCCTCTCTAAATGCTTTGCAAGGCAGGGTATCAAAATACCCATTCGCAAGGAACCACGGGTCAGCAGAGTCAAGAAGCAATCAGGACATTCGGGCAGCAGTACATCGAAGGCGTCATCGCCCTCGTTTGGAGCCTCAGGCGATCGTGAGCTGGTCTCAGAAAGCGAGGACGAAGAGGAAGACCAAGGATAGAGCCTCACAAGACAGGTTATCAATCAGCGACAAGGGCATTAGCTCAACAATAATAGACCAATTCTTTCAATTATTCGAACGTGCTCGCACGCACGCTGGGACTTGCCGACATGTATTGGCGAGGATTCAGGATGTCACATACTACCTGTTCTTGATCTAGACTACCTATCTTCCCACATAGACGTGTTCACGATAATAATACTTCATTGCTATGCTATTTTCCGAGAGACAATGAATGAATAGGCTGGCTGGGAAATGTATTGCTTTTGTTGCCAATAGAAGATGGTGACGACGGAAAGGGCGACAGTGATCTGTTAAAAAAGAATGGATGAGAGCAGCACAAGTGCTCTCGTTGTAAAATAATAGAGGTATATTCATGGTAATGAATAGGGGATGGTTCCTTTTGAGAGCCACGCGATGTAGAGCCCCCCTGGTACGCGGACCACGTCCATTAATTGCGACGATTACTGCGGGTGGTATTGCTCTGCCACATAAGTGCAGCTGTGGAGCTTACTATGCCTATAACAGCCTTCTACCATACCCGTTTGCTCTGATAGTTAGATTCGCAAAATGAAGACGACACTGTTCATGGTATAGGAAGGCAAGAAGGATGAAGAGAATGAAGGGGAGATTGAATATGTCGTTTATATTGAAGTGATGCGGGATGTGTGTGCCTGGAATCCAAAGAAATTAACTTGGATCAAGTTGAAGAAACAGGGCGAATAATGGCACTCTGCCCTTTATTTTTACTCGCACTTCTACTTTGTTTCCACTTCGCTCTTTCTTCCTCCCATCTGCATTCCTATACTCCTCAACTTTACATTTCGCTAGTCGATTCAACAACTCGATCCTATTCCAGATCCATTGGCTAATCACTCTCATCATCGAGACCACATCATCCTCTGTCCCCCTTGCTTCCTCGGGCGACAGTAGACCCCAGCGAACAGCAGACGAGTGACCCCATCATGAACAGAGATCACTCGGATATCCGCAAGCAAAACGGCCAGTGGCAACCTCAGCAGCACTCTCCCTATCTTCAGAACTCACAATACCAGAGGCCGCCCCATCCCTCGGCCTCCTCATCCTCTAACTCTCCCTCGCTCTCCGGCCCCAATCGCTCCATCTCACCTCAGCCCTCCTCACCTGTCAGTCCCAGCAGCATGCACATCAATACCAAACCAGGCGGAGGATCTTCCTCGACTTCATCCCTTCAGCGGTCAAACCCATCCTCTCCCTCGGCAGGTTCAGCTGCAAATGCCATGGAAATCGCAGCAAGACACTATGAAGCCCTTCAGAAATATCTCCTCGCCCACATCTTGAAAGGTAGGGGTTTGTCCGTTGAGTGTGCGACCTGATATGACCAGAGAGCCCCCTGCGGTTCAATTGATTGAACGGACGGGCAACGGAGTTAAGGACTAAAGGGCGGCATTTCATCGTGCCTGATCCACCTCAATTGTAATAACCAACATGCTCCTCTCTCAACCCCCTATTTGCACTATAGAGAAACATGGGGTGAGTGAACAGCGCATTGCGGCAAGAGAAAAGCTATCCAGACTACTGCAGAATCAGCTTCAGGATCTTTCGACCGATGTCTATGATGAGCTGAAGCGTAGAACAGATGGAAATCAAAGTATGTGAATGACGGATGTATTGCAAGGTTGTTAAACAAAGCGATGGTGACAAGTTCATTAACCTAGACCTTGTATTCTGCACTATTTTGCCACCATTGCAGCTCCTTTCTTGGCTGTCCGGGACGAATTTCATCCAAAGCGCAACCAAGCCCGCCAGAAACTAGCGACTCTCCCTCAAAATCGATTCAAGGACCTCGCAAGTGATGTTTATGTTCAACTGGAGCGCCAGTTTCCCAGTCTGCTCGAGATGTACCCTGTAAGACATTTTTTCATTTTGCGGCCCTTTATGGGGAAACCATTATCACTCACAAATGTAAAATTGAGAATACTGACGCATTGATACTTTTCGCCGCTGTTTGCTTGCCCATCCCACGCCTGTGTACGATTTAGCTACAAGCATTGGAGGAAAAAGAATATCTCTCACAGCCTTCACAAGCTTCACAATCTCAGCAGCAGGATCGTCAGGATCGCGAACCAGCAACGCCTGCCGTCCATCAATCCAGCGTCGTGCCCAATGTTGCAACTTTTACTATCCAGGACGGATCCAGTAACGAGGAGGAGGAAGCATATTATCGCTCGCCAGGTCAACAGCCCCCCACCCCCTCGGCATTGGATGGAAACGTCAACTTTGCGAGCCTAGACAGCCTTATGGCAGATCTCGGAAACATCGTGAAGAAGGATGACTCCAACCCGACAAAGGTTTCCAACAGTAATGCTTCTAACAACAAAGGATCAAGCTCGAATGACGTGCTCCGACTACCTGCAAAGACGCCAGAACCGCAAGGTCCCTTGAGTGGCCTTGGTATCAATACTGGCTCAGTAAGCTCTCAGTACATGTTCTTGGTGTTCCGCTGACTCTTCAATGGAACGAAGCTGTGTATCAATACAATTATTTCTTTGTATTCTATAGCAACCAAACGATCAGGTACAGCAAGAGTACGAGATTCGTATTCAGGCTCTATGCAAACGACTCCAGCACTTGGAGAGTGATGTCGGAGATGCGGTGAATCGCCCTGAGGGTTCCCGTCTTGCTCAGGTTGAGCGTCAGTTGGCTAAGCAGGTAGAGCTCTTCAACGAGCAGGTGTCTAAGGTCAGCAAGTTGCAAATAGACTACAACAAGGTCTTAAACGACTATCATGCCCAGCTCGAGGTGAGAATCAGGCTGTCTTCTGTTCATCAGATGTGGCACTGCAATTCAGGACTTGTATATTAATAATTAACTATGTTTGTTTGTCGACTCGATAATAGACCGTTGATATGGTGAATCAGGAGGTCAAGGCGCTTATAACAGAAAATAAGGACTTGAGGCAGCGACAGTTGGATGCTGAAGAGGAGCTCCAGCTTGCTTACAACAGAATCAAGCAACTCGAGGACGAAAACAGCGATTTGAAGGCGGATCTTGAGGAAGCCGATCGCAATCAAAAGAGGACGCACGATGAACCAGCATCGAGGGCCATCACAAAGGAAAGCGCACCGAGCACTACTGCACCTATCACTCCGACGTCTGCCAACAACGTCCATGTTAACGATCAGTTGGGTAACCATACGGACCAGCGGCTCTCGATGGATGAGCGGCACAATGAGTCCTCGAAAAATGACTGGAACAACGATCGTCAGCAGGCTCGCGACAGCATCATGGTCAACCCCAGCTCGGCCGTTCACAAGGACAGTCTGGATTCGTTCCGCAATGCTGTAGATGACCTATTGTCAGCTGGAAGGTAAATATCGACCTAGGAACGCCCCTCCCCTCCCCCTGCGGGTTGTACAGTGATGCAGCTAGGGGTTTATCACTTTTATGGTTTCTAACGTCTTTTTTCTTTATATATTTAGATCTGAAACTTCGGCTTCGCTATTGCTGGGCATGAAGTCCGTTGTGATCGCTTGCAAGGCTGTGACGGAGGATGTTGAGGACTATGAGCACGAGGAACCCAATGATGATGGTTTTGTAGAGTTGAAGCAGGAGCTCTCATCAGGACTGACGCAATTGATGACCGCCGCAAAGGTTCACTCGAATGCCTTCAACGAGGATGAGGAGGAGTTCGAAAGAACACTGATAGATCTGGAGACTGCGGCGGATCAATTGGAGGCCATCGTCCTAGACATTGTCAACGTTCCTAAGCGCGATGGCAGTAGTAGGAACGCTGGACATGATGCCAAGGGGAATAGCCATCACCTTGCAGATCGCGACCATCGCGATACCAAACAGGACCACGATAGCAAGCACAGCGGACCCAATGGTGACGGTGGTCATGGCCATAACAATGACGATGAGCCCATGGCTGCGGTAGAGCTGAAGGTAAACAGTTTCACCACGCTAGGGAAAAGGATGCTTTTTATCGATGACTATCGCGGAACATTGCATGATGCTGTCTATAACGTATCTAATACGTGTATTTCTCCTCATGTTTTCGACAGATCTACTTGGAGACGCAGACCGTATTGATTGTTAACTCAATTCAAACTTTGCTGACATCGCTACGATCTGCCTCAAATTCCGGTGACATAAGCGACGTCTCAGATAATATCACTATGCTAGTTGACCAGGTGATTCGTCAGACGCGTATGACATTGGCAACACCTGCAGCTATCGAGGGACCACATGCGCTCGAGCTCGAATCCCAGGGCGAATTTGTGCTCGAGGACCTGGAGAGCTCGTTAGATCAGTTGATTGCGATAAAGGTGCAACTGGAGAACGATTCTGAGCTGGCCTGGTCGTCGTCTCCCGATGCCAAGTCTGTGAAGCAAAAGATGGCCAGCGCCAGCTTTGATATCGCAAAGTATACAAAGGAGCTGGTCAGTTTGATCAAGGGTTAGAGCCTTCGACAATCGAGTACTATGACACCTACGACCGCTTCTGGCATCTCCACAAACCATCATCTACAGTACAGCTACAAGCAATAACATAACGACAAAGGCGCCAGACGAGGCGCATTAAGCACTCAGGCACTCCATTTAACGACAACACAACCATCAGGACCTTATCATCCGAACACGTATAGAGATGCTGAAAACATCTCATTATTTTTTATGCTTTTACGATTCCTGATAGTCTTTTTTATCTCAATTTCATTCGTTCTCTTTGACATACAGCATTCGCATAATAAAAATCAAAGATGGATTAAACCAAGTTTGCTTACATGGGTCATGGATAGCTCGATTTTCTGGAGAGGACCCACGATATGCCTAGCATGTATGTTTACATGCTTGTTTGCATGCATACATGCAGTATGTCTGATAATAATTATTCATTACGGCAAGGTTCTCTCTTATGCCTCCATGGTCCTTGCTTTTGCAAAGAACACGATGGATACATGCTTTTGTGTCTTGTGTAAATCTGTAAACCAAATCCTAGTGTCGCTTTTTATGCTCGAGCACGAGCACAGACGTCGATAGCCTAGCTTGTCCACCAAAGGACGAACGGAGGTTGGTTGTATTGTGTACGTTGCACGAATGATGCACAAGAGTCGAAAGCCGATCATTTCACTCCAAAGGAGCAATCGCGCAGCAGCAAGTTATATTTGCTCCAAATGGCCAGTCAAGCAAGCAGCTCCAGTACTAAACGCCTCTTGGCCTTTCGCCACATCTCTATCTGTTTCCTGCTCTCATGTCGTTCGCGAGACATTACAAACACTGTTTGGACTTCTTTGCCCTAGGCCGTTGCCTTGATACATATTACCGTGCCACATTCCTAAAGACATTCAATAATAAACGTCATAACAATATATTCTTTTTAATAAATTCGAAACGCATAAGTGCAAATGGTATATTTACAATGAGAGGAAAGTAAGCAGTTGAACAAAATGAATGGGGTTCTACAAGGTATCTACAGACATATATAAAAACTAGTGGCGAGTTGCATGGGTTTTTACATATGGTTCTCTAAACGACGATGGCGTTGAAGTGCATCGCTCCTTCCAAATCGCGAGGTGCACTGGCTGCACGCGTATGGCTTGTTAGCCATATGCTTCGACTTGACATGGCGATCCAGATCGTGTCGCCGGACAAAATCCCAATCACATCCGGACTCGGGGCACTTGTGTGGTCGCTCGCCATTGTGGGTGTTCAGATGCGACCTCAGGTTGAATGCTCGAGTGAACGACTTGGTGCAGCCATCAAATGTACATGGGTGCATGCGCTTCTCGATCGTGTCTGCCAATGGCCTCGGAGCTTTCTGGCTCAGTGATGACGACGACCCTGGGGATAAAGCGGAGGCGGTTGAAGACGATGAGGGTGGCGATGAAGACATCGAGAAATCGAATCCTGATGAGTGGCTGTGGATCGAGGAGATGGAGCTGTTGCGCGAATGGCTGTTCAGCCCTCCTGAAGCCCGACGCTGGGCAGCTACTGCCGCCGCTGCTGCTGCCGCTGCTGATGTTGTTGAATGCATGTCCGATTTTGATCGCTTTGAAGACGAGCTCTGCTGGCGGTCGTCCTCGCGCTCGTGCTTCTGACCGTGCGATGATCGGCTCCTTGACTGGCTGGGCATCGAAAGAGGTGGCACATGCGAGTCATCACCAGGGTATCCTTCCTGGAGACCGCTGCCGTACTGCTGATTCGCGGGCAAACCTGGAGTCCCATCATCCGCCTCCCCAAACTCCTCTGCATCATCATCATCATCGTCATCAGAGTCATCCTCTTCTGCGGGTTCCATATGAGGCTGGACTCGGGTAACAGGGGCAAAGACGGGGCCGTTGGGCCCCTGAAGCAGACCATGTCCGGGTATACCAGCACCTTCGCGCTTGCGCTCCAACAAATAATCCCCTTGGGGGTAGAGAAGACCGGCGTGTGCTGCGGACCACGCAGACAAATTGAATCCATAACCGGGAGCAGAGGATGAAGAGCCAGCTGAAGATGATGAAGACGAAGAGCTCGTGGAAGAGGAACCGGAGGAGGACATGGGTATAGCTGAAGGGTCAAAGTAACTTTGTGGATATGACTGCTGCTGGGGCTGCTGGGGCAACTGCTGGATGTTAATCGGCTGCGAATATGCGTCGGCAAAGTAGTTACCGCCGCCAAGGCCAAATGCCTGAGGAGATTCGCACCATCCGGATGGATCCATACCCTGACCATCCCCACATCCACCCTGGATGATCGAATATGGGAGGGCATCAAGATAGTGGCCGTCGAGAAGGAGGGAGTTGTACTGCATAACCTCGAGCGGTTGCATGTCGCCCATTAGGCTGTAGGGACTATTGGGGTTCTGCAGGGCTGAGTCGTTACCGTCGCCTTGCATGGAATGACCTTGTGGATATGGAGTGTTGGATGGCGATGACACATTGCTGTATCCATGTTGAGAAATAAGCAGATTGTGCTCCTGAACTACAAAATCGAGTAGATAGTTGTCACTCTGGAAGGTATGCTGGGGTTGTTGCTGTTGTTGTTGTTGTTGCTGTTGCTGTTGCTGTTGTTGAATGTGTTGCATGTGCTGGTGGTGCTCCTGTTGCTGTCGCTGCTGTTCCTGGTTGTGTTGGTATGCGGAGGAAGAGGAATACTGTTGGTGCTCAATCGAGGATTGGACTGTGACCTGCTCCAGCTGGCGCTGGTCCTCTGTGAACGCGAGCATGGACGCAAATCCTGGGAAACCCTCGCGTACAAGCGCTTCGGCCAAGAGTGGATAGACCAAGGGCATGGACGGAGTTGGGCCGTAGGAGCCATTAAAATCAACTGCAGTCGAGGAGGAGCTCGCTACAGACTCGGTCTCCGTTTGTTGTTGTGGATGTTGCTGTGGGTGCTGCTGTGAGTGTTCCATGCTGTATGGAGGCTTATGGAGATTGTGTTGTTGTTGGTGTTGATGTGGATGGTTGACGAGGATATCGGAAGCAGAGATGGAAGAAGAAGAGGATGGGAGCTGTTGTGAAGAAAGAGGCATAGACTCGAAAGTGTCAAGACAGGACTCGAAGAAGACCTTTGCCGAGGATTGGTCTTGGTAGCGATGTTGATGGGGCAGGTCCATAGAGCTTATGAGGGAAGAGGCGACCGCGAGTGGGGAGGCTTTTGAAGAAGGGGCAGCGAGTGTGAGGGTCTTGGAGGTGGCAGAAGCAGTTGCAGAGGAAGGAGAAAAAGAGGAAAGAGAAGGCGACATTCGCAGAGGATATTTTGAAGAAATCAAGGGGCAGACCAGGACCAGACAAGATAATGAGTGGCAGGCAGGGGAGAGGGGCGAAACAAAAGGTGAGAGAGAAAGACAAATAATAAACACGCTTATAGTGTATATAATGTATACGCAGCTGACAGCAGAAAAGGAGATGAGGAAGATGATGGTGCTCTTCTTTTTACTCTGTGCTTCTTAGTGCGTTTACAAGATTTGGTTTATGTTCTCCAAAGAAAAAAGAAGCGTTGAAGCAGGAGGACGGTATGATATATACAAATGAACGCGAAAAGTGGACGAATGCCGAATGATAACGATAGCGGAAATGAAAGTGAAAAATGATAGAAATGCAATAGCAAAAGTACTAAGTGCTGATGATGGAGATGAAGGAGTGAGAAAAAAAAAGAAAAGAAGAGAAAAATTCTTGCTTATATACATAAGCGCCTCCGGTACCCACGTTGCAGGAGAAAAGGAACAACTCAATACTCTTGTTTATTCCTGCTGCTATTTGCTACTCCACTCTGCTCTGGCCTGCTCTGATTATTTTTGTCAATTGCGTGGTTGTACACACGCCCATTCGTGCATCCATCTGTCCACCTGAATACAAAAGAAAGGATGGAACACTGACCACACGCACACACACTTAGACTACACCCAGCAATCAGACAACACCGCAGGTGGAGCAAGAGCTTCGAGTCAAGGTTGAATGCATGAGCACTCACTTCTTCGCCCAACATTCGCCCCGCTTTCTCTTCTTAGCTCGGCCACGTTCGTGCAAAATGATCATCTCCGGTCCCACGACGGGAGTTTTTTTTTTTTTTTTTTTTTTTTTTTTTTTTTTTGAAAAGAGTTACCAGCTCCCTTTCATCTTGCTCGTCTGTTTGTCGCCCTTGGAATTAGATACAGTATCGCGTGCTAATAGGAAAAGGGAAAAAAGTCGCGGTATCCATCGATGGATACGGATGGATTTTGTCAGAACGACAATCAGGGATATCACAATATTGAATGCGGATTATGATACTGAATACGGTGGCAAAACATACATATTGGAGCAAATTTGCGAGGGCCTAGTCCATCTGCGCTCCTCGTTGATACAATGATGTGACGAATATTGTTTGTGTGCATGTACTTTTATTTGTCATAGGAGAAACTAATTTAGTAGTCTACCCAGAACTGTGCAACCCGCGGGAAAGAAGGAAGACTCTCATTGTTAGTTGTTCACATAGCTGATGTTTTCATCCCTGTAAAGTCAGCGATTGCACAGGGCCACAAGAAGAGCATATAATGGTACACAAAAAACAAATGATCGAGAACGAGGGAACAGAAATGAAGGATTGAGGCCTATGATCTAGTAAGAGTACAGAGAGAATACTGCTGTCTTCAAGAGGTGCATCTATTACTGGCATGGGTTACTAGGATGGCCATCGCTCCACTATGTAAGTAGTAAAGTCGCCGCCTTGCTTACTTGCTTATTCACAGGGTCCTCTACTTCCTCTGTTTCCTCTCTCCCCCCCCATCTCTCGCGCTGTTTGCACGTACTAACAGTCGAACAGCAACATTGGTTCATTTTTAGAAATCTAGATTTTCTCCGGCAGAGTCGCACACTACAAGCAACAGTGTACGCATAATAACTGTGTCTTGCTCACGGGTGCTCCTACTGCAGCTGCAGCAAGCCATTATCGATTGACCTGCCAGGGCTGAGGCATAATCCTCCCTGGAGAAAGACACCTACAGTAGACTTACGATGTTGTGATTGCCACGCTCCGGCTCAGCCCATCACAGCGTTTCTCTGTCCGTAACCTTTTTTTTTTTTTTTAATCTGTCGTCTTCCGATAAAACAAACAAATAGCACGCGGGTACTGTTAGAACGCTCCTCGACTTCCAACAAACAAATAGGTGTCGAAGGGCGAAAATCCAAAAATACAAATTGACATCGAGGTTGTCCATCTTGCTGCCTGTACACACCGACATAGCCACGGAGCCTCATAAGCGCTCGCTCAACAAGATGATGGAGGAAGGAAGTGAGCTGCTATTCATGCTAGCGAAACGTGCTTTTTGCCTATTTTTAGTCCGCATGCATATCCCGCATCCTTGTCCTACCTCAGCGTTCTTTTTGATCTCGCATGGCCAAAACGGAGGGGGAGGGTTCGCGCGATGCGACCTTCTACGCCCAACTAACACGGCATAAAAATAGACGCAAAAAGATTATTTTGGCGACGACCAAACATGTCCATTGGCGGCGCCATATATAATGAATGGCCTTCACTGGCTAATCCTGGAACTGCTTCGAGAGACGAGGCGTTGGTATGTTTTACTAAGAAATGTTCGTGCGCAAGTGCCGCTAGCCATCGATGTTCTATTCCTCCTCTCTTTGTTTCCCTCCAATTCTATTTCTGGATGTTCCCTGCATCCTCCCCGGATAGTCTAATGAGATGATTCAGCGAGTTCGAGCTCGGAAGAGGTGCCGTTTCTCATAAATGCAGGCAGGGCCAACCTTGTTATATGGGCACCAAGTTTGGAAACGGTTCATTCTCAATATTTACACTGCTCATCGTGTGTAGACTGCACCATGTGTGCGAGAGGTCGTCTTGCTATCGATTGGAGAAAAACATGTAGGTGGGGGAGAAGTCCAATGCTCCGCCCTGACTTACGCCTGTTTCGGCAACCACATCGAGGGTATGCATCATGCACATAGAAGACGGGTGCAGAAATGGTAGGGAGTCCGCTGGGCTAGTCAGGAATGGGAGACTGAGAGCAATGACAACATACCGAAAGCGCAGAAAACTGAAGGACAAACCTTCTTCGTGTGCTGCGGTGAGCTACATATCGGGTCTATATCTTGTTTGCTTTGTGTGCTACACACACAGAGCGGCATATATTCATCTACCGGGTAGATGACCCTCGCGCATCTCATTGCCAAGCGGAGGTTTGCTTCCGACATCAACAGTGACATCCAAGTTCTTCTCCGCGGAGAAATAGAAGATTAGAGTTTTTGCACGGACAACGTGAGTCGGGGAAAGGAGAGGTGATCACAGTCTCCCAGGAACATTGTCCGATCGCGACAAAGGGTCGCCCTTTTACTATGACACAAGCCTAGTTACAAGATACACCGCCTCATTTTATAAAACGCAGTTTTGGGAGCTCGAAAGGGGTTGCACCTAGGTCTTCATATCTATAGCTCGTCTGCGTTCTATTGATATTGACACAGATCGCGAACTGTTGAGTAACAGAAGCCGTACTGGGCTGCCGTTTGCACCATCAGCATGCGCTCCTGTCGGAAGAAGGTCAATGTCTCATAGATGATATCTCGATCGCTTTGCCAATCGTAGACCTCGCCTTGCTGTCCTTGTCCCTGGCCTTGTTCCTGCTCCTGTCTCTGTGCCTGTTCCTGCACTTGGCTGCTTGTTTGTGATTCAATGGCGTTTGGGATGTAGCCACCCGGAGGCGACGCCAAGTATGGATACTGTATATGCTCGAGCACGGACAAGATGGTGTCGATCACACAAAACGTGCCGGTTCTGCCGCAGCCCGCACTGCAATGAACCACTATCGGGCCAAAGTCCATCAAATTAGTCTTGTGTCCACTCTGGCGCTGCTCCGCTTTCCATCCCCGAATCTTGTACAAGATATCGCGAAGATCGTTCGTCTTGCTAGGCACGCCGTGGTCGGGCCAACCTTGATAATGGACCAACAGCACCTGTCGTTTCTCATCCGTCGTCGTATCATTAGGGTTCCAGATTTCAAAGTGACGGTATGCGACCTGCTCATGACTATCGATGGGGTCCACATTCCTGACCCAAAGATCACTGTCAAACTTATCCGTCTCACCTGCAGCAGGCCAATATCGCTCTGCCTTTTGACTGCGTCGTGATCTGTCATGGCTAACGGCTGTCAGGCTGACAATAACGTGGACATTCTGCTCAGAGACCATTCTCCAAAATCGGGACTGAGTGTGCGGAAGCGGTGCCTGAGTCGCAATGTATCCTCGCCAGCCAGGTGGTAGGCTGGTGCGTAGGCCAGGCGGAGCTGTGATGCGATTGGCATTTATGAAGGATGACTGGGATTGAGTTTGAAGCGCAACGGATGTGCCCACATGGATTTGCGAGTGCTTGTATGGGAGAATGTCAGTATCTGGAAGCAGGGGAACGATATATCAAGAAAGCTGGTTAGAGAGCAAAACTAGGAGGCTCGTATTCCCTGTAGTTGCAGTGTTATTCTGCATGCAGAATCCCCCCTCTCTGTCCAGTTGGCTCTAAGCATGCATACACAGGCGACAGGCGATTCCCCTTTGCTGTGGCTGCTCAATTGATGACTGGATGGAACAACATATAAGGTGTCGCAAACCGATATAGAGACCAAGGTGGACACGTACATCGATTCAGGTCTCGGGTGGACTCTTGAAGTGCGTGGGCGACATAGAAGGGTGAATCTGAGCTGTTGGCAGCTTGGAGGCGTTGGCGCTCGAGTTGGTTAAGCTTGCTGAAGAGCTGGTTCTGTACCCCGATTCGAGTAGAGGCACTCTCGGGCCTGAGGAATCCAGGCAACCTTGCAAGCGATGCAGCCGAGGATGAAGAGGAGAAGAGCGCCATTCAGAGACAGTGGAGAGGGCTCAAAGTGGAATGGAACTGTGATTCAATGCAGCGAGCGACGTTGCGGGATGTATGAGGCAGAAGACGAGTGCTTGGTTCAGTGTACCTTCCATAAACTGCACAGGGGAGTATAATAATAATAAACTAATGTATGAGCTGAGAATGAAAGAGGATTAAAGATGCATGCTGCTGGATGCTCATGGAACGCACATCGGATCCCTTTTCCTTCTTTTCTTTCTTCATCATCCTCATCGTCGGCGTCGTTATCGCCGTTGTCGTCATCTTCATTGTCGTTATTGCATTCTTCTAGGGCTGTGGGACAATAACACCTATCACACATGCACCCAACCTCGTATCCACCTACAGGAACTGCACCAACACCAGCGCCAGCACCAAAGCCGAGTATAGATCGAGACCCAGGAACAGCACCGGAACCAATTGCCCTACCTTGCCAGGATTCTATTGTATCCACTGATCCAGGGCAGTGTCCTGCAGTGGCCACAACCGAACCAGAAGATCCAGACGCACAACCAGGTATGGCTTTCTTGTTCAGTAAAAAAAAATATGCAAACACAGCCCATCTACTGCCAAGAGGGCCCTGTCTGGACGCTTTCTCCCTTCGCCACCTCCCTCCTCCTTCGACCAGCGCTTTTCGTTTATTTGCCCTCCTTCTTGCACACGTTGCCTTCCTTGCTGACTTCTTCTTCTCTCCCCACTCAGTCTCATCAACAAACCCTTCTACCATTCCATTCCATTTTGAAACAGCCCTTGATTCCGTCACATCCTTTCTCACTCTTCACACTTCACTTGCACCTGCTCACTTACCCACTCACTCACATCCCATATGGTTCTAGGCGGACAGAGGTACGAGTACCTTCCCAGCAACTCCCAGGACAGTAGTAACGATCCCTCGTCCCTTTCGCCCAATGCTGCAGCCAGGGGCTCGTCTTGGGCTTGTCTGGCCAGGAGGGGCTCTGATCAGTCTACAATTGGTGATTTTGAGCTAAACCCTGTCAACGACCGCACTGGACTCACAAGCAGCACCAGGCCCTTGCCACCAGTCGCTCAGGATTCACAGGAGGATCTTCTTATATGTTCAGAAGCTACCTCCAATACCCATCTCGAGCCACCAGAGACCTCTCCTCGGCGTCGCAGAGGATTCCACCATAACCCCTCACAAGTCAATGGCAGCACATCAGGGCGTGGAATATCGTCTCGATCCTCAGCGACCAACTCGCGGCTCGCCTCAATGAAGCAGGTCCTCGACAGAGCCTCAACGAGGGTCATCAACCTCACAGGATCTTCTTCAAGGAGCCAGTCTTCTATGCCTGAGGTCCCAAATATTTTCTTGAATCAGCCCACAGAAGAGGAGGAACAGGAGGTCCAAAGTGCACACAATGGCACAGCCACAGTCAGAGCTGCAGCCACGATCACCGACACCAGCACAGACATAGGAGCAGGCACAACTACAGAAGAGGCAATGCGGATATCCAGGACAACCTCACCACACGTGGCAGGCATCAACTATTTTCAGCAATTACCACTTGACCCTCAATCAATTGATCCTCCACTTGTGGGCAAATCGCTCTTCATCTTCGGCCCCGACAGTCTGTTCCGCAAGAAGATCAACCGATTTCTCAACCGCACGTAAGCAACGGGGGATATTGGGACAGCTAGGTGATTGAAGGACGCCAAGGAGGCTCTGTCCGAGAAGACTACGATTTGATGCTGATATATTCGATACTGTTTCTGATAATAGAGGGGTAGAGCTTTTGATGCTCTTCTTGCTGATGTTAAACCTGGCGTTCCTGGTAGTCATGATCTCCAGCCCGCCAGGAAATGACACTGTCTGGGGCGCGCATTGGACCGACTACGGGTTACTTGTGATTTTTGTTTTATACACGTAAGACATGGCCACTCTCATGCCTTGGATGAAATATATCGATGCAGGGTAACCATCGCTCACAATCCTTAACGCCTGTCGCTCCCATGCACTAGCTTGGAGATCGCTGCAAGAATTGTCGTATCTGGACTGGTCCTCAAAACAGAGGAAGGAAGCACAATTCGCAAGCACTTTGGACCGAAGCAGAGGACCGATAATTTGCACGATACCAACCCCACCATCCTCCGAAAGCAGCAGACCATGACTCCGGCAGTGACATTTCGACCGCCGCAACCATCACTTCCTCTGCAACACACGGCGGCAACTCGGGCAACCACGCTCCTTGATTTTGCAGTTGGACGACAGACGACCGTGATGCAGTATATTCCTACCACACTGGACCCATTGATTGAGTATAGGCCCCAGTTCATGGCAGAGAAGGCGCAACTACCGTTCCTCAGACATACCTTCAACCGAATCGACATGGTCGCGGTCATATGCTACTGGATCGATTTTGCCCTCATGATGGCTGGCGTGCACAACATTTATTTTTTCAAAACCATCGCCGCGATGCGGACGCTTCGCCTGCTGAACATTACATCTGGATCATCTACTATCCTGCAATCTTTAAAGAAGAGCGCGCCACTGCTGGTCAACATTGCCCTCTTTATTGCATTTTTCTTTGTTATTTTCAGGTACGTAGCGGGCAAGTTTTGAACGAAATCATGTACTGTTAGAGAAAAATTGGCTAAGAAATCGAATTTTTTATTGTGTTAGCATCATTGGAGTTCAGACATTCAAGGGTTCCCTCTCAAGGCGTTGTGTACTTGCATCGAACAATAGCATGGTTGTGGAAGATCAGTTCTGCGGAGGACACTACAATGTATCAGCTCCCAACGGCATATCATCATATCTTACAGTTGATGGCGGTAACAGCCCAACCAGTCCTAAAGGATATATCTGTGCTAGCAACTATGTTTGCAAGGTACGTCCTCTTGGATCAGCGAACACGTTCGGTATTCGGTATCTGTAGACTGATTTTTTTTTTTTTTTATTCTCTAGGACACTGGAGAGAACTTTAAAGGCGTCATATCCTTTGATGTAATTTCCTCCGCAATGGTTCCTGTTTACGTGTTGATGACTGGACAGACATGGACGGATATGATGTACAGTATCATGGATGCAGAGTACGCCTGGTCTGCTATCTACTTTGTTCTAGTAGTCCTTGTCATGAACTTTTGGATCTTAAACCTGTTTGTCGCAGTCATCAATGAGATGTTTGCCAAGATCCGAGACGACTCTGCCAACAACTCTGCGTTCAAGTCGGATGGATCAGAAAAGTAAGCTATGAATAGCTGACAACGAGGATACTTAGAATATGGAGATTCGTTACAGGCACTTACCTCGTCTCTTTTTTTTTTTTTTTTTTTTTTTTTTTGACTTTTATCCATAGTAAAATTGATATCCTGAGTGACAGTATCAACAACTTTTCATATCGAACTCAAACGGACTCGGAGATCCTCAGAATGAAATGGCTCGAAGGCTTGGAGTGTTTATGGGTGCTTGCAGTCGTGGTAGATCTTGTCTTCCAATGCCTGCCACAATACCGCACACCCCCAAGCACAATTCAAATCTATGGTAAGATTTTCTCTAGGCCTCCTTGCGAGCTTCATACATATGCATAGTTACATTTCCTGTCGCTGAATATCGGCATGACCTTCTTATGACCCTGCTTTCAGATCGCGTCGAACTCTGGTTTACCGTCGCGTTCGCTGTTGAGATTGTGATTCGCTTCTTGTCTTGGCCTCCAACGCCCAAGGCTTTCTTTCAAAGCAAGAAGAATTTGGTTGATTTGTTCCTGGCTGTCATAACGTTGATCATCCAGACCCCACTCATCCATAGGAGCCAAGCTTATGTCTATCTCACGATTTTTCAGGTTCTTCGCGTATACAGGCCCATAATTTATGTTGGACGTCTCAGATCCCTTATCGTAAGTACAAATGCGGTGCTGCTAAGTCAGCAAATGAGAGTCTCGGGCTTTCAATGCTTAACGGAAAATCGTCTCGCACCATGGCCCTATTCATTTTGATACATAGCAAAGAGTTGTTGGTAGCTGGATCGGTCTTCTGAACTTGGTCTTGTTTATTGCCATGTTTCTGGGAGTCGTGTCAGTTATGGCAGGGATCCTGTTCAGGGAGATTATAGATCCGGATTCGTCCAGCATGAACTTTTCGGACTTTTACGTCAGTTATCTCGGCATGTACCAGGTATGTCGACGCGATTACGGGAAACGAATACATGAATGCATTCGGTATTTACAGTCGGACACAGGTGTACTGATTTTTATACCATTATTTTCATCCTTATTCCCAAAGCTCTTCTCTGGAGAGAACTGGACCGATATCCTATACAGCGTCATGGCTGCAGAACTTCCTTATAAGCAAGTCATCATTGCCACGGTGTTTATTATTGCATTCTACAGCTTTGCAAACTGTAAGTCTTCCCATCCTGCTATGGGAAATACTGCCTGTGAATCCACTTCGGCGCACTAACCTTGATCATATATATCTACCTCCTCAGTCGTGCTGGTGAACATGCTTATCGCCATCATCATGGAGAACTTCGAAGGCGAGGCCGAGATAGGCAAACATGCCCAGCAGATCGTGGATTATGCGTCAAAGGCAGGCTATCCCAAAGAGGAGCAGCGAAAGTTTGTAGACTACTTGACGAAGTACCTTAAACCGCACCCCAGCTCGATCGGAGTTGACACCAAGTCGTCTTCATGGAGCCGCAAGATGCGCAAAGGGTTGGCACGGGAGTATCTCTTGGGCGACAAGGAACTTTTTCATGCCACTATTGAGAAGGAAAAGGATCCACTACAGGAGTCGTCGAACCACAAAAAGAACCACCACCGTCGCAGATCCAGCCAATACGAACTACACTACGGTCCCTTGAACGAAGATGAAATTGACGACACAGAGCATTTTAGGAAGCTCTATGATGCTCATCGCCCAAGATACGAGGATGTGGATGGCGCATATGATGCAATCGCAAAGCCCGAGCCCTTCTTTTCAGCAGCAGCCTTCCGTCATCGCTCATTGTTCATTTTTGGACCCCAAAATAAGATTAGACGGTTCCTACAACAGTTTGTCACGCCAGGCCGCGGATACCGCATTGAAGGAAAACGCGAGAATGTCCTCCTTAGCCGGCCTTTTAACATCTTTATCACCCTCGCCATTCTACTCTGCGTTGGCGTCGCGGTCTACACAACACCTGTCTGGCGCCTTGAACAGTCGAAACTACCATCCAAGGATCAGAACGCCATCGTTGGCATCTCAGACTATGTATTCCCGCTCTTTTTCGCCATAGAGTTCCTTATTCGGGTCATCGCCGATGGCTTTATCTTTACACCGGATGCCTACTTGAAGACGCTTTGGAACCAGATCGATTTCTTTGTCCTCCTTTCGCTCTATGCTCCTCTGATTGCCACTATTACCAATTCACAAGGGACATCCAGGTTCTTCCGAGCTCTTAAGGCTTTAAGAGCCCTCCGTCTCATCAACCAGTCCGCCTACATCAAGAATACCTTCCATGCTGTTTTGGTCGCAGGGTTCCCACAGCTTCTTGACGCTACCCTATTGTGCATGTCGATTCTGGTGCCTTTCGCGATTTATGGTATGCGTCTGTTCGCGGGCCTGTTCTTTTCCTGTAACGATTCCAGTGAAGGTATCCTTTCCGTCGACGATTGTGTGGGTACGTTTGTTACGGAGGACAACGTCACGATGCCTCGGGTGTGGTCCAACCCTCATGTATACAGCTTTGACAACTTTTGGGCGTCTTTCTTGATCCTATTCGAGATTGTCTCGCAGGAAGGATGGACGGGAGTCATGGAAACTGCACGCAATGTTGCGGGATTGGGACAGCAGCCACACCAGGACGTCTCCCGCTACAATGGCATCTTCTTTGTCCTGTTTAACTTGGCAGGAGGATACTTTGTCACTTCGTTGTTTGTTGCGATCGTTATCGAGAACTACACAAAGCGAACAGGGACAGCGTTCATGACAGCGAACCAGCGACGATGGATGGATCTGAAGAAGCTACTCGGAGGAATTAAGATGAGCAAGGCCAAGACAACTCCTCCTAGCAACCCAATCCGGGCGCTTTGTTTCCGCATAGCCTCGTCCAAGAGGGGACGGTTTTCTTTGCTGCTGACGACTGTTACGATCGCAAATGGTGTGGTACTTGCGACTGAACATATTGATTCTAGAGACTGGGAAGGCGTAAAGAACTGGATTTTTTTGGCTTTGCTCTTGGTCTTCATGTTCGAGATCTTTGTCAAAATCTGTGGATTGGGCTGGACCGCGTATAGGAAGAACCGATGGAACGTCTATAACAGCACGGTGTCAATTTGCGCCTTGATTATCACGATTGCACGACTCTTGGGTTCTGAATGGCAGCCCCTGATCCAGACACAAAAGCTGTTCTTGACGGCGATTCTATTTCGCCTGGTGCCCCATAGCAACAGCCTGAACCAGCTGTTCATGACTATGGCGTAAGTTTGTACAATTTTCACGCGTCTCTTAATAGTGATCTATTTTCAGTCGAATCTACAGGATGATAACACTCTTTTTTTTTCTTCTTTTCGACCCCCGCAGTGCTAGTATCAGGTCTATCGCTAGTCTGTTTGGCGTCTGGCTCGTGGTGTTTGCGGTATACGGCATCATGTTTGTAGAGATTTTTGGTTTGACCTCGTATGGTCCCAATGGCTCGACGCACGTCAACTTTAGAAACTTCGGGACATCGCTACTGATGATGGCAAGAATGTCTACTGGGTAAGCTACCCATGCCTACAGCGGTTATTTGAGAGGATGCGATGACATTTAAATGCTAATTTTACATCCTATTACATCTTACTATCCCCGCACCTTCAGTGAGGGATGGAATGACTTGATGCACGATTTCGCGGTCGAGATGCCCAACTGTGTGAACGAGCCAAACAACTACCTACTTTCGGATTGTGGATCGACCGCCTGGGCCTACACGCTCTTTATCACATTCAACATCATCTCGATGTACATCTTCACCAACATGTTTATCGTTGTGGTGATGCACAATTTTTCATACGTCTATCAAATCGCCCCGGGGTTTTCACTAATCACTCGAGAGGAGATCCGAGGCTTCAAGCGAGTCTGGGCTGAGGTTGATACGGATCATATCGGCTACATTCAAGAGAAGGATCTTACTCGATTCTTGATGGTAAGCGTCTTTATTTCGGTCAAATGCAAAGAATGACATTGGCATAAACGCTCTAATTCGTTTTGATTTTTCTTTTATTCTGCCTGTTTAGAAATTGAGGGGTGTGTTCGATATGCGTGTTTTCAACGAAGAACACTCGCTTGCCAAACTCCAGTCAAGATTAGAAACCGCCAAGCCCAACGCGGTCAAAATGTCTGCGAGGGATTTGGAAAAGAGCTCTGCTGGTACCAATACGCAGCGTAGAGTTCTGATGTTAAACCAAACCAACCGCCGGTCGACATATAACTTAGACGAGTCTCAAGTGGAGAAGGGACAGGACTCGTCCTCGCGGCCTAACCTATACGACAAGGTTCACCAGGATTATAATCTGGCCGCCTTCAACTCTGCGATCGCCAGCGTGAACAAGACAGAGGTCCGCAAAAGACGGAAAGTCTATAACTTTTTGTACGCAGAAGCGGTGATGTCAATGGAGCCCATCCCAGGAACAGAGCTGAAGACGAGAAGGAGGTGGCCCCATTGGTTTTCTTCGTTTTTTGGAGGTAGTAGAATAGGTTCTGACGTGGGATCTCCTGGAGCGGGGGACTACGAGATGGGCGAGATCGGAGAGGAGTTTATGGAAGCCCAATGGGGTGTATCGTTTCCAAAGATGCTGACGATCTTGGCGCACTACAAGTTGATCGAGGACGACCAGTGCCTGTCCATTGGTGATATGCTTCGTCACCGTCAGAAAATGGACCGGATCCATGCCCATATCAATGTGGTTTACGTTCGGAGTATCCTTCTCAGGATGGTTCTGCGACAGAGATTCTTGAAGCACTATGCAAAGGTTCAAAAGATCCGTGCCTTGACGGATGATACCTCCTCATCCACCCAAGTACAATCGCAGCAACACAGCGCACCCGAAAGTGATCGATCTTACAGCGTGGGCGGCGGTACTGGTGCAGGCGTCGGTTCCCTTGCTCAACAAGCCCCCACGATCGTGCATTCAACCTTCTCTACGGATTCAAACAGCAAAATCTCCTCCAGTGAACAGAAGCGCGTCAGAATTAATATCGGAGATTCGAAAATCGCTCCTGCAGAAGCTGCGAGTCTGGGTCCCTCGTTCATGAGCGAAATCGACAAGGCGGCCCTCGAAAAGGGAGAGCAGCTTCATCGTGAACAGGCTGATGCCATGATCGACGGCTTGCGGTCTGAGTGGCGTTGTAAGTCTTGTTGACTCTGTGCATGTTGCATGTTTTCTTTTTTATAGTGATTGAATGCGGATGTATTAACGGCGGAACCTTCTTTCTTGTTATATTATTTAAAAAAAAAAAAAAAAAAAAAAAAAAAACAGCATTCATTCGGAGTTACGATCTTTCTGTAGCAGGGACTGTGCAGGGAACTGCATTGGATATGGGCTCGGCTCAAGACCCGACATTACAGGATTTTGAGGATATGGACAGGAGTGCGTCCCATGGTCAAGAAAAAAACTTGGGCCGAGACTACCTCTAGATGGTCATTAATTTTCAGCATGTAAAACTAAACACTCTTTGACCGAAATATCAATTATCTGTAGTTTCCATCGCGATGCCGGTCTATAGAGCCTATTATAAATCCACTACATTAACTTGATGTAGCTCATGTGTAATAAAGTCTAAAGCACGCACGTCTTTAATGACGATGACGTTGCTGTTTCTTGTAGCAATCCACTCCTTGTGACACAATGCTAAGCACACAACACTTAGCGGACGGGTTGCATGTTGTTTACGCGCTGCGTCTGCCCGCATTCAGCAGCATGTCCTTGATGGGTACGTTGGCCGCATGGACAGGTTCCATAGGTTGACAGCCACACTCGCGTCCGTTCCTATCGCGAATCCAAGTCCAAGTGCCAAATGCCAAAGGTTTTGCTTGTGGCTGACACATCATCTTTTACATTCAAGAACAAGCTTCATGGTGAACATTTGATTTATTGGTATTATGTATCGAGAACTATGAAAGAGGCGAAGATAGAGAAACAACAAAAAAAAGAAAAAAGAAGAGAGAAAGGTCGGCTTGCCATCGGTCAGTCTTACTCAGAAAAGTAAAGGCCGTGCAGGGCACACCTCGAGTAGGCTGCAAGTCATGGTGCCCTAAAAAACCACGAATGTGAAAAAAAAGAGTGGATTTCACGCAGCAACTCATGCACCCCCGCTGACCCATCTTTTTTATTAGCCCTCGAACCCATGTGCAACCCCCAATCACGCAGAACAGGGCCCTGATCATCATTGGCACTGGAGCTGCCAGGGTGCCTTTGACAACAAGAAGCCGCCTCGTCAAGCGCAGAGCAGAAAGTGTTAGGCTCAGTGCTATTCAGAGAGGAGCTGCTGCGCAAAGAAATCGCAAAATAGGGGGACCCGCTCTTCGCCAACCACTGCTAGTCTTAGGCCTCAGAAATGTGGCTGTTCATCCTTTGATTTTTTTGTTTTTCGATAGCTTTTTCGTGTTCTCCGTCCCGGTGATGAACAAAAAAAGCTAGAAACGAATACGGAAAAAAATACGGGGGAAAAAAACGAACAGAACAAGAAAAACAGGGAACCCTGCGGGTGTGCTTGTACGGTTGACTCTGCGGTGTACAAAGTCCAAGAAAGTTCTACGAAGGGTGGGGAGAAGGGGTAGGGAGAGCGACAGAGAGAGAGAGAGAGAGAGAGGAACGAGACCGAACGGCACGCAAAGAGAGAGAAGTCAGTGGAGAGGTGAACGGCGATATCAGAGTTCAGGTGAAAAGAATGAAGACGCGGAGAGTGCAGGTGCAAAGAGTGGAAGCATATAGGGTGGAGGCGTGAAGATAGAGGAGTGGAGAGGGTGCAGCTGGATGTTAATACTTATCTTGACGTGTAATGAAATCCACCCACCAGAACAGGCACTCGTGCAGATACTCCTGCGGAGACACATCCAAAGATGCATGCAGAGGCACACTCAGCATCGATCGCAACAACGCTAGTGGACGATGCTGCTCCTAAAACGAGACAAGAATAAGTAATAGTAACAGCAGGGAAGAAGAGCGAAGGGAATGGACGCAGACACGCATAGTGGAGATAATGGTACTATTTCGCAGTGGTATGCTTGTAGGCAGTGGTCGTTCAAGACGCACTAGAGCGACCCTGATTTGCCCGGACCAAACTATCCAGTTCGGAGTACTCCTTGCTGAATGGACCCCTTCAATAGCTGATTTACGATTCATAGTTTAATGCCCCTGTGCCTGGATCCAATAAAGGAATATCACCCACTGCAGCCACTAGCGAGTGACAGATTGGCACAAGCCCTGTAATGCACATCAACAGTGCCAAAAGAGGATGGTACAAGTAACAGCACCCGTGGGGACCTAATAGAGCCGCACCGTTGACACCCTGTAGCCTCTTCTGCAGTGCAGCCTTGTGTAACCACAAAACCACCGATCCCAGGATCAGGGTCATCAGCAATGAGGATTGCGGCAGGTGGCAATGGGCAACAGCAACCCTGCTACTCTCCATGCTACCAAGGACCGAGGTGTCCTTTGGCCCTTCTGGCCACTATTGCCTGGCCAGGGTGGTCTAAGCCTGGACTGCCTGTGCGCTCCGCGCGTATATGGCCCATGTATTTAATACTCGATGTAATTGGAGTTCTCTTTGTTTACAGCCTAAATTCGTGGCCCAAGCACTCCACCTCCAAAGAGACTGTGGAAGCGACCATCATTGGGCCAAGCGCTGGTACCTTGTTTTTTTTTGGAGCACAGATCCCTGTGTACGCTACTAGTGCATAAAACGTATCACCAACCCGACTCTTTATATTCTTTTTTTTTTTTCAATTTGCGGACGCTGCGACGATGGTGAAGCAGAGAGTTTTCGTGGATCTATTACAGACTTCTCTGAAAACTGGTCTACTCCCTCCATCTCCTATTCAAGCTGCCATAACTTATAATGGTGTTCGGAGGAAATTTGATGGCCTTTCTCAGCGGCACTCCTAAATACAGGAGAAGCAACGACAAGTGCGTCAAGGAGAGAAAGTAAATATGAATATTTTCATTCCTCGAAGTCATCATTTGATTGCATGTGTTCATGCTGCGATCAACTCTGTCTACTCTATCTTGTTGTAGTCCTTATGAACCTGCAATAGCGAGTCTAGCGGTGTAAAAGTCCAACAGCATAGAACTTGCCAGAACTTCAACCGATACCGTACAATTGATCGCCCCTTTATATATGAGGCAGACAGTCCTATTGAGGCACATCCGGCTTTGCCTCGCACTAGGACCCCGCGATACCAACCGAGGTATTCTATCAAACAGCGCACTGGACTCAAGCAACATGAACCGCCTGAAGTAATGAAACAGTACATATGGAAGGCATGGACGAAGGTGCCCGAGAAACCTTTGGGTCCCGGCGCGGATGCTCTCAAGGAGGTGGTGAAGAAGAAAGAGAAGGAGAAAACGCCAAAACCGGTGACCGACTCGACAGGAAAGGGCGATTTAGTTTGAGCTATGGGCTGGGAACATCCCACGATCATCCTTGATGTCGGAACCGTTTCAGCCAATCTGAATCGAACTCTGAGGAAGTCGAAATTGGTGCCCGAAATCGAAAGACGTCTCCAGACTGCCGTAACAGCTTCCATCTGGCACCAAGCGGTTGAGTCAGCAACTCATCGGGCGATTCATCGGGCGATTCATCGAGAGCGTCTTTAGTCTAGGCGAGCCTAGTTCAACAAACAGAGATATACTGCGGAACATTTGCCCATGCATCTCGTCCAAGAACAAAGTCGAGAGAGGAACTGATGCGAGTGATCATGATGAACAGGAGGAGGCTGAGAAAGAACAGGAAAAGGACGTTGATGACCTAGGACGCAAGGACTCAGACCACCTATACTGTACTACTCCGCCACCTCTACACATGCGACCTTATCATTACTATGAATGCAGTTGGAAGTGGTCCAGCGGTTTGTCGATCGACCAGCGGATTTCAGGCTGCTGCAGAGAAGGAATAATAGAGCAGCCATCGCGACCAGGAAGCCATACCCTGCTACGGATTTGCCCCGCTCTGTTGCCTCTCAGTTGCTCACAGAGATAAAAAAAAAGAAATATAGAAACAAACATCAGCATTGAGCTAAAGAAAAGGTAGAGTACAAATACGTCTCCATCGCTTCATGCATGCCAGTAGAGGGCAGTTGGAAGGACGACAATAACGATATTAATGACCTGTCTATAATAGCTAAAAACTTTAAACGCGAAGGATCTCGTATCAGATGGGTTACGTACCAAGGCATTCCGGCGACCGAAAATTTCGTGCTTCTGAACCAGTCCAGCAAGAGTTATCGCAAGACGGCCCCATTAACGAGCGCGGAGCAGCCTTTCATGTCGTTCTCTGAGCGTGAGCTCGGTATCTTGTTTTGGCAAAATGCTGCGCTTAAGGAAAAACTTCAGGAACTGGTGCTGGTGGACTTCGAGGACAAGAGTATCATTCCCTCTAAGAACGATCTAAGCATGTGGCTTCAGGGAAAGATTCCTGGATTCCTTATAATAGAGATGCTTTCGAACATCGGCAGAAATGAGCCATGCAAAGGACCGAGAGATTTCAAGGATTCGACGCCCGTGATGGACCTGAGCATGATACGAGAATATGTTCAATCCACTCGGCAGGCCAACTCCGATCCTATGACTTACGAGGGATGTGGCTACATTCATCGAGGCTCCATTCGGGCAGGCGAGTTTCGTCTTCAGCTGTTAGCTTTCAAGTTAAAAGAACTGTAGTCGGTCAGATACAGGCGACTCCCGCAGGATGTCTTGCCTCTTCGAATCACGGCCACAGTTGGGGGAGTGGATTATTACCTGATGAATATTCGAAACATTGTGAATTCTCAGTAGGATGTCGCCGACCTTTGGAGATATGTGCCCGATCAAATCAAGACCTTGGGTATAGATATCGGCCAAGCCTGTGTACTCGGAACGAGCGCGTTGCTACCAAAGAACGATGATCCCGGCAGTATGACAACGGCGTCTGGAAGCAAGGATGCTGATCGACATGAGCAGCTCTTACGAGGGTATAACTCCAACTTCCGTTCCTGCAACTTATTACAACTTCGTAGTGAAGCAGAAGACTGTATACCAGCCCACATTCAAGCACACAAGATGGATGAAGAGCAAAAAAGCATCGTCCCAGGCGATGGAGTAAAATCCATCAGCGACATCGAGACCAAACTGCCACCACTGCGCAGCGAGGGCGCCAGCTTTGCGAGCCATGTTACGGAGCTCGGGATAATAAAGGGTCAACTCAATGAGTTTTACAACGGCGACAACCGTTTCATGAAGCACAAGTGGGATGCAAAAGGGCCAGAGATGCGGAGTACAAACTCATAACGGATCGCCTTCTCAAGTTGGTTGGCGGGTCGATCGGCAGAAAGAGGGATGAGGCTAACAAGGTGGCTATTAGAGTCAGTTTGGGCAAGGTTTCAACTAAGACGAGGCTTTCATTGTTGCATGAGTCCCTCCAGCCGTACTTTATTCAAAAGGTAAAGGTATGTAAAATCGGTTTATACATTTTACTGACTTCGTCTTGGTGTTCCATAGGCCAGGTCCCTAGGCTAGGTCCCTAGGCTACTTCGTGGTTGGTGTAAAGAATACTATACGTCCAAGAAGTGCTCGACGTGCGAGAAATTTGTCGGGCAGGTCGAGATCCGCAGGCTGTACTGCTTGGCCTGCAGGCCTTACATGCACCGCGATATCATGGCGTGGCACAACATTGCCAATGCGATTCGTGGCCATTTGGTCAATCAACAACGGCCTCTTTATCTTTAACCGGTGTATAAAAATGGGCACTACCCTCGGATGCAGAATGCAAGATCGCACACAGAAGCCGGCAGCAGCGGCGGCAATAGTTGCGCGGTGGAACCAGGGCAAGGGCGAGTTTAGAAGTGGCACGTCCTCGCTGGAATAACGTCTTCGGCAACGTATTTCGGCGAGAAACGAGCTACTTCCCACATATCGTAGCTCGAAGATGACGATGAAAATGGCGACTCTGCTTTCCAGTCCTCCATGTGAGCGTTCTAAAGACAGAGAGGGAAGATCGGAAATAAATTAGCATCCTTATATTCTACACCTGACTTAGGGTTCAGAGTAACCGAAATGGATTGCACAGTGTCCCTGAGCCATTTGCATCCTTTTACGGGGCTCAACTCTAAATAACTCACTCATGCGCTGCCTCGCCTCTTGACCTCGCCCTCATCCTCGCCTTCACTGTTGCTATCCTACCCTCATACCATCATAGCATTCATGAAAATTGAGCTCCTTGACTACTTTATCATGAAGGAATACCTGGCACCTCTAAGTCGTACGCTGAAACGCATTTTTATCCCTTGTCCTCATTTGTAAACTCTAAAAAGCTAATCCTACATGTAAGATGAATTAAGGTTGGGCATTAATAGGAATTATGCCAGATCGGTTACACAACTTTGATTTATTTTGTTTTCGCATCCATGGGTCTGTTTGGTCAATGCTACAATGATGGATGTATCTCAAGGCGCTCATTCTTTTGAGCCTTTGCACTCTACTTCCTCTACTTCCTCTCTTTCCCCATTTTCCCACTTTCCCAGCTATACCCTCGCTCAATTCACTGTTTTTTGTCTTTCTCTCTTTCTCTCACCTCTCTCTGTCCCTCGCACGTCTTTGCTTGATCTCAGTAAGCACAGTCCAGTGGCGATTCATAGGTAACAAAAAACGCAGATTATCTGCGGAGACGACTTTCCTGCCTGTGCATGAACCGCTATAGTTAAGCCAAGAGCTGTTACTAAAATGACTGGGATCAGGGTGTAGGAAGGTTGAAAGAACAACCGTGCATGTGCAATGAATAATAACCCTTCTTCCATGACAGGCATCTCTATTAGAAATAACGAGGGGAAGCGAATATCACCCCACTCGACCACCCTATGCGTGCGCGGACAGTCTTGAACAAAGAGTTGGAGTAGAGAGCATTGCACAAGGACGGACCATCTCCTCAGCCAGTGAAAGGAATCGAGAAACAGATTCGAGTTGAGGTGAGGCACTGTTTCTTGTCACTTGAGGGTAGGCTATAGGCGTGTTCTATAATTATTAATCCATCATGCTTCATTGGTATTGTTGCTAGAAGACACAAAGTGAACAAACCTTTTGGACTCACCCGGCATCCAGTCAAAGGACACAGGAGTCGAATAAACACTTCCGAGGTGAGGCGTCAGCACTTGTGCAGGGTAGCTACATATGATAAATTTCAGGCAGCAACTATGGATAGTAATCTTTGTGTTTGACAATAGGCCTTTCTGCCACCACTACGTCTGCAGTCTCCCAGCCTGCTGCATCTCATTGAGTCCATATTGGGTTGCTACAGTGTCTCCCAAGTGTAAGCATGTACGCAAACTACCCGCACAAGTATATTAATTGGCGACAAGGTCACTAATATCGCCACCATCTCCTCTACGAAAACAGAAACAAAACTCGCAAAGAAGCTACATGTTGCGTAATACTTTTTCGTCCTCGCGAAGCGCTCTCTCGCCACAAAAGGAACTGGAGCTCGCCAACTTTCATTTGGAGAATGCGCGCACAGTCAAGGATCGAGAAATTGCTTTAGCGTTGTGCGACGACGCAGAAGCTGCGTTATCGCGGATGAAAAGGGCTGCGAAAAAAACACTTGCGTCTCCCCTGTCCGTCGAGGATCAAGCCCTGCGCAATGGAATCGCTACCGCCTATTTCGAGCACAGTGAACAGCTGGTCAGCTTGGGGAATAGAGAAATGGCACACACTAGCTACAAGAAGGCTGAAAAATGGGGCTATGTCCAGCAGGTCAACCAACAATCGCCTGGCTCTTCTCAGCTCGGCAACAACGAGATCAGCACTATTCACCGCGCACTCGTTCCTGCTGCTTCCTTTTCAGCAACGCCCCGCCTGCTTCCTCCTTCGGACCTGAGTGGCCCCAATGGTCGCGACAATGCACATATTCCTCCAAAGATTTTTGATCGGGACGTGACTCCGACTAGGACCAAGTGTGCCTTGCCGAATGCGGGTGCGCGCCTCGCTAGTACCTCTCAGCTCGTGTACTGCCTCAGCTTGTTGCCCTCTGCATCACTGTCTCTGGAACTTCTCGATGAAGCCGAACGGGCCTGGTCTCAAGCCAAAGCGAGCGATGAAGACGAGCAAGAACGACTACGCACGTTGGCGGCGGACTTGACGAAGGCATTCATCAATGACACATTCAAATCGCCCCCCATTGTGGCTGAAGTGGCCTGTTTGGCGCCTGTACTCGATCAAGAACTATTCAGGAAACTACTCATGAACTTTATCGACGGCATCAATCAAGCCACTTTGCTGGAGCTTTATCTACTAGAAGGGCTGGCGCAGTTGATGCAGCGCGCTTCACTGGAATACCTTGATGCCGATGATTTGGTCAAGATATTGGAGGTCCTCAGCACGCGCTTGAAGGATACCCATCAGCAATCGACGCACCATGTTTATAAATTGACACTGGCGGTGTCACACGTTTTGGATGCGATGGCCGATTGCCATGTCAAGGACCTGAACCGCGAACAGCTGCATGAGCCCCTCTCTGACTATTTGAATGGACTGAAGGGCAGCCCTGACCCATATCTGGTGTATCAAGCCGCCTATGCCTTCCAAGCACTGCAGTACGTCCCGGACGACGAGTCACCCTTGCAAGCTACGCTAAGACGTGGACGAGCAGTGGTCAAGGGCATTTCAGGAGTCGTGAGCGCGGTCAAGGGCCTAGATGTGGATGGTTTTATCGAGGGACTAGGGCATCTTCAAGACGGCTTGGTCGAGGTCTACCAGGTCGCTAAAATCGGGTACGACGGCGCAAAGGCTCTAGTGGAGAGCGGGCAGGACTTTCTTGACTGTCTCAAGGAAGGCCTCAGCTTTGCTAAGAAACGTGCGTGGTATCCGGCATTACGTGGTATCGATAAATTGATTCGAGACGGTCAACTCGCCAAAGTCAAGAAGCTGATCTGTGAAGCACCTTACCGTCGTGATCTTGCTTTTCAATGGGGAGTGTGCCAACGGCTTGGGGAAATAGCCGCGAATCCGAACTGGGGCCCCGACACCCGCTGGAACGCTGTAGGCTTCCTAGGTGAGCTGTACAAGAACGATGCGGAATGGGGCCAGCAAGCCATCGTCAAACAGTGGATTCTCAATATTCTTGAGCAGCTAGCTTCTACGTCAGGGGGCGCATTGCAGTGTATGTTAGGACGAAGGGCAGCTGAGGTGCGATCTCTTGTGATTGATTGTTGAGATCTCTACCTCCATAGCTAATTCTATCTACCGCACTCCAATATAACCAATGTGTTACGTACCATAGCTGCCAAAGACCTGCTGCAAGAGTTGAGTACGGATGGGGATGCCAAGAAGCAAGATCTTTATCAAGCTTACCGAGAGAATCCTCAGCGCCAGTACCCATTAGTAGTCTCTGTACCCATGCTGGCATCTCCATCCCTGCTCGATCGCGTCCAGAATAAACCCGACATTGAAGTTGACTTGCGCCGGCTAAAAGAACAACGTCTCAAGGAGCGAGGCGACGCTGTGTATATTCCCCCTCAGGCCAAGGCTAGTCTACAAGCTCCCGATGATGCGCTGTTTTCATTGATGGACAAGGTCAAGGAGTTCCTGAGCAGTAATCAAAAAGTGATGTTGCTGCTAGGTGATTCTGGCGCAGGCAAGTCGACTTTTAACCGGGCGCTCGAGTGCGACTTATGGGACGCTTACAAGAAAAAGGAAGGCAGAATTCCTCTCTTCATCAACTTGCCCGCAATCGACAAACCAGAGCAGGATCTGATCGCCAAACAACTACGGAGGGCAGGGTTCACCGAGCCCCAGATCAGAGAGTTGAAAGGCTACCGCAGATTCATCTTGATTTGCGACGGATATGATGAGAGCCAGCAGACCCACAACTTGTACATGAGTAACCGACTGAATCAGCTGGGAGAATGGAGTGCTCAGATGGTAATTAGCTGCCGCAGCGAGTACCTTGGCCTCGATTATCGGGATCGGTTCCAGCCAGCAGATCGCAACCGCCAAGCAGAGCCAGCATTGTTTCAAGAAGCGGTCATTGCACCGTTCTCTATGGATCAAGTCCAAGATTACATCAAGAAATATGTGTCTGCGATGGAGCCGCTCTGGCAGGTGACGGACTACCTGCAGGCTCTTGATCAGATCCCCAGCCTGCAAGACCTGGTCAAGAACCCCTTTATGTTGACGCTGTCCTTGGAGGTACTGCCGCGCATGGTGGATTCAGGACAAGATCTCTCGGCCGTCCGGGTCACTAGGGTCGCATTGTATGACCAGTTCATGGAACAGTGGCTGGAGCGGGGCAAGAAGCGGCTTGGGGACAAAGACTTGGGCCCTCAAGCAAGGGCGGACTTTGAGAGGCTGAACGACGAAGGCTTTACTCAGAACGGTATGGATTTTCTAAAGGGTCTGGCTAATGCAATTTACATGCATCAGGCAGGTAATCCGGTGGTGGCCTATTCGCACAAACGAGACAAAGAGACGTGGAAAGAGAAGTTTTTCTCCCGGGAAGACGAGAACCAGCTCCTGCTGGAAGCCTGTCCTCTAACTCGCAGCGGCAATCAGTACCGGTTTATCCATAGATCGCTGCTGGAATACTGCATAGCTCGCGCAGTGTTTGAACCGCAAGAGGGCAGGAAGAACTTGGGTGGAGCACTCACCCCGGCCCGTCGAGGGAGCACCAGCTCCGTTTGGAGCTTTGAGATCCAAGGTGGCCTAGAGAACGTGACCGCCGCTGCCGAAGAGCAACAGCCTGTTGAGCCCACCTCGCCATTGGTCTGGAGGAATTTTGTGAGCGAGCCTTCTGTTCTGCAATTTCTGGAAGAGCGCATTCAACAGGAGCCCATATTCAAAAAACAACTGTATGCCTTGATCGAACACTCGAAAACCGACAAGGAGTGGCGCGTTGCAGCCACCAATGCGATCACGATATTGGTCAGAGCCGGGATACAGTTTATTGGGGCAGATCTAAAAGGCATCCAAATTCCAGGGGCGGACCTGAGCTTTGGCCAATTCGACTCTGCTCAGCTGCAAGGAGCCGATTTGAGAAAGGTCAATCTTCGCAATATTTGGTTGCGTCAGGCCGATTTGAGCAGTGCGCAGATGGCGGGCGTCAAGTTTGGCGAATGGCCGTATCTTAAAGAGGATAGTGCGGTACAATCCTGCGCATATTCGCCAGATGGGAATACCTGTGCCGTAGGCGTTCGCGATGGGACGATCAGCGTGTATGATACCTCGACTTGGGCAAAAACCCACACCTTGCGTGGCCATACCGGCTCTATCGGTAGCGCGGTGTATTCGCCCAGCGGCCAGCAGATCGCCTCGGGAAGTCGGGACAACACGGTGCGGCTGTGGGACGCACAAACCGGTGCACCTGGTCCCGTCTTAAGCGGTCATACTGAACCTGTCACTAGCGTTATGTACTCGCCCAGCGGCCGGCAGATTGCCTCGAGCAGTGACGACAAGACGGTGCGACTGTGGGACACGCAAACTGGTGCACCTGGTCCCATCTTAAGCGGCCATACCGACATTGTTATGAGCGTGGTATATTCACCCAGTGGCCAGCAGATAGCCTCAGGCAGTCACGACTACACGGTACGGCTGTGGGACGCGGAAACCGGTGCGCCTGGCCCCATCTTAAGCGGCCATACCGAATCTGTCAAAAGCGTGGTGTATTCACCCAGCGGCCAGCAGATCGCCTCAGGCAGTAGCGACAACACGGTGCGGCTGTGGGATGTGCAAACCGGTGTATCTGGTCCTATTTTAAGCGGTCATACCGGAGTGATCAATGGCGTGGTATATTCACCCAGCGGCCAGCAGATTGCCTCATGCAGTGACGATAAGACGGTGCGGCTGTGGGATGCGCAAACCGGTACACCTGGCCCCATCTTAAGCGGCCATACCAAATATGTCACTAGTGTGGTGTATTCGCCCAGCGGCCGGCAGATCGCTTCAGGCAGTTACGATAATACGGTGCGACTATGGGATGCGCAAACTACAGCACCTGATCCCATCTTAGGCGGTCATACCAAATCTGTCAAAAGCATGGTGTATTCGCCCAGCGGCCAGCAGATCGCCTCAGGCAGTTACGACAACACGGTGCGACTGTGGAACGCGGAAACCGGTGCACCTGGCCCCATCTTAAGCGGCCATACCGAATCTGTCACTAGCGTGGTGTATTCACCCAGCGGCCAGCAGATCGCCTCAGGCAGTTACGACAACACGGTGCGGCTGTGGGACGCGGAAACCGGTGAGCCTGGCCTCATCTTAAGCGGACTTACTTTTTCGGCTGCCAGCACGATGTATTCGCCCAGCGGCCGGCAGATCGTCTCGAGCAGTTACGACGACATGGTGCGGTTGTGGGACGCACAATTCGGTGCGCTTGGTTCCATCTTACCACTTACCATCTATATTACGAGCGTGGTGTATTCGCCCAACGGCCAGCAGATCGCCTCAGGCAGTAGCGACAACACGGTGCGGTTGTGGGACGCGCAAACCGGCGCGCCTGGTCCCATCTTAAGCGCTCATACCGGATGGGTCAATGGCGTGGTATATTCACCCAGCGGCCAGCAGATCGCCTCGTGCAGTGACGACAAGACGGTGCGACTGTGGGATGCGCAAACCGGTGCACCTGGTCCCATCTTAAGCGGTCATACCAAATTTGTCAAATGCGTGGTGTATTCGCCCAGCGGCCAGCAGATCGCCTCGGGAAGTCGGGACAACACGGTGCGGCTGTGGGATGCGCAAACCGGTACACCTGGTCCCATCTTAAGCGGTCATACCAAACCTGTCACTAGCGTGGTATATTCGCCCAGCGGCCAGCAGATCGCCTCAGGCAGTTACGATAAGACGGTGCGGCTGTGGGATGCGCAAACCGGTGCACCTGGTCCCGTCTTAAGCGGTCATACCGAATGGGTCACTAGCGTGATGTATTCACCCAGAGGCCAGCAGATCGTCTCAAGCAGTAACGACTACACGGTGCGGCTCTGGGATGTGAATTCGGGTCGGTGTTTGGCAGTTGTCAAAGGCTTCAACGGATATATCACAAGCATCGCCTGGAAAGCGACTCTCAACGGCACCTATTTCGCAACCAGCTGTGACGATAAGTCTGTACGCGTGTGGGAGGTCATAGAAGAGGACAGTCGCTGCCAGGTGCTCTTACATTGGAGTACGATGCATGAATCGCTTTGTGTCTCGAATACCGTTATACAAAATACCCAAGGCTTGAGCAGGATAAATATGCGACTATTGGAGCAGCGCGGCGCTGTCGGCGTGCCGATTCCACCTTTGAGTTTCCGCGAGACAGGCAAGAAGCTGATCAGCATGGCGTCCGCGGCATCCAAACTGAAGATGCCATCAAACCACAGTATGTTGGATACCTCCCCCACGGCCAGTCTCCTGCTGCACAGTCAGTGAGACCAACCGATAATAGGATGCGGTTAGGAGTACACTGCATTACTCTATAAAGCATGCATTAATAGTCAACATCCCATACATCTGTAATAACCTGATAGTTACGGCGGTACAACAAGGGATGGAGGCTTCATCATTGATATAAAACTAGCTGGTGAAGATCCCAAGGGAAATGTTGTTGACATCAAAGTGGGAAATGAACTGGAGGGGTGGTCCCTCTTCACCGATGAGGGATCGAAAATGGGCAAAGATGAAGGTTCTGGTGAGTACACCCTGGTTAACGAGTAACCATTTTGACAGCAGTCGAGAATGGATCAAGGCGATTTCTAACATGTGTACTTCTTAAGTAGCTATTTTCATTAAGTTTAATAATAACGGCTCTTCCTATCATACTGAAGCTTAGGCCGTCGTGAGACAGGTTAGTTTTACCCTACTGATGAGATATTGTTGCAATAGTAATTGAGGTTAGTACGAGAGGAGCCGTTCATTCAGATAATTAGTATTTGGGCATGCCTGAGCAGGCAAAGGCCCGAAGCTATCATCCATTGGATTATGGCTGAACGCCTCTAAGTCAGAATCCGTGCTAGAACACGACGATTACCGCCTTTTCTGATTTTTAGCTGAATACGAATAGACCTTCGGGTCCTGAATCATACTATGCGGAGTCGTCTTGTGGAGCGGAAAGGTTTCTAGGATCACGAGAAGATTGGCGCTTAGCCCTGTCACTCTTTCGTACCATCGTAGCCGTCGTCTTTGGGATTGTGCGATGTCTGATCTCGGCTCTCGATTGTCCCTCAGGACCCAGTCTTGTTTGCTGGCACCATTCGGTCAATTCAGATCCCTTGAGCGCAAGGCCAGACTTGAAGCTGTGGCAGGCACTCGAGGACTCGTATCTCAAGGACTATGCTTCGGCCATAGAAATAGGACTTGATGCGATTGTGTCAGTGGGAGATGATAATTTCTCGGTGAGACAAAGGCAACTAATTTGACTTGCACAAGCGCTTCTCCGAAAAAGCAGCCTGTTAATCCTGGTGTTCTGGTCGAGGCAACGGCAACGATTGATCTGGGCACGGATGCGTTGGTGCAGGCGACCATTTAGCAAAATTCCCGCGAGTGCGCGAGTCGATCGAATTGGGTGTTGAAGTATGCAGTTCAGAATCCAGGCTATAATAGAGAGAGCAGGTCAGCGGTCGTTTTGTAATGCTTAAGAGCCAAGTAGTATCTGTAGGGGGATAACAAGCAAGCCCGTAAGACTTACAGGGTTCATAAATCGCGTGGCTGCTGAGGAAATGCGCCATGGAGGTTTCGACCTCCTTGCCGAGTTCCTCGAGACCGCAGGTATACTAAACAATGTCCCTCCCTAGTGGCACGTTATCATCTTCGTCGTCCTTGGAGTACCCTCCGCACATCGAGGCAGCCAGCAGCTGGATCAAGAATTTGAGCTGCACATGTCCACCGAACGCTCCACAGCCCTAGTTGCTTATGATCCATGCGGAAATGTGTTATTAGGCGTATGCTTTTGCTAATAGATAAAACCAATCAAAATTGACTTGAAGATCTACTTACCAGTGGTGATTGGCGGAACACCGTCTGGAAGGCCTTCTGCACGACAGAGACCCCATTCTGAGGCGATGATAGGTGACCATCTGAACCCAGCAATGGCTTTGTTCAGCTCCCGCAAGACATGGCGTTCTGAGAACTGATGCAGACGCTGGTTCTTTGAGCCGAATGGCAGGGTATCAATGGCGCATATCTCCGTTTTTCGACGGCCTAAACCATCTCTTTAGGATCAGTAAAAAAATAAGAGACAAAATGCAGCTGGTCAGGGTCATCGAACTTGTACGTTTGACAGCTTCATTAGACACCATGAGAGAGTACCTGTGGCTAGTACCTGGAAGCGTCGTCAACAAAATCGGAGTGCCATGTGAACGCGCTGGCATATCCATTGTAGTTTGAGTATCGCTCTGCTCCCTTAATCAAGACCGCTTCATTATCCTCCAGATTATGTATGAACAGCCGCGAGAGGACCAGCTCTGGACAAATGACAAACCGAATCTCTTCCTGAACGGCACCCTATACGTTGTTTAGTCAAAGTTACTCTAGTACAATGTGATAAAGAGAAATGCTAACAGGGAAGGATCGCGTCGACTACTTTTGCTTGATTTTGTTTTTCATCTCTTCTACCTTGAAAACTTCATTCTTTTTAGTGTAGTTGATAGGTTTGCGCGTCAACGTCAAGAAGGTATAATAGGCTTCCATAGCGACATCTCGCAATCCACGGTAATTTAGAGGTTTTATTATGTTCTATTGTCGGCAGTACGCGTTTTAAGTACACGCATTGGAAATGTAATATTGCCATGGATGCTTGTAGAATATAAAAAAGCGGATTTTAGAAATCAATGGCCTGTTAAGACATATGCTTGATGCGCATGTATTTGTTTCTTTTTATCATCAAAGAGAGCATCAGCTTGCCTTCGACTGCCATCATGTTTCACGTATGCCAGTGCACATTACTTACAGGGCGCGAAACACAGCCCTCAAAGGCGTCAAAGACGATGTATGCACTGACTTTGATGTATGAAACGCGCTCTCTCACTCGATATCTCTCTCCCTATTCTTTGATATTGCTGCTGCTGGGGCCTATGGATCTGTATTTACTATGATTAAGTGATAGACCGGAAAAATATGCTCTATTTCGGCTATCCTGTCCATTGCGACGCGGTCCATCTCAGTATGGAGGCTGTACAAGTACGCGCTTTAAGCTACCTAAATAGGGTAGAATAAGAGTAATCCTTTGACTTGTATCGCAGACCGCATGCGATAGACCAAATGTCGACTCCAACAGCACCTGCCTACGCTTATGGATGAAGCGGCTAAGAAAGGAAAGGAAAGGAAAGGAAGGGAAAGGAAAGAGACGACAAAAACGGTAAGGAAACAGCAATGTTTGCTCATACAGACGGGCTCGTGTTGGCCAATCAGAAAGCAGAGCTCGTGGGAAACTGAGCCTGTAATCAACTGGTCGGACCCCAGCTCCATGTACCATCCGCGATTGTACTCTACAAAGGCTGGACTGAGCCTTGATTGGCAATGCGAGTGTATGGGCTACATCCGATGCCATGGACACAGGCCTCCTGCTGTGTCAAAAAGGGGGCTGATCTGAACAAGACCAGGCGCTGGCTTGCTCATGATAAAGCTCGTTGGAAAAAGAAGACGCGGAACTGCTCGCGTTGGACATGGCTGCCCGTTGGAGGAGGAGTCTAGTCTATATACTGTGGATGCATGCAAGATGCCGGGGGCGTGAGCAGGTGTTGATGGTGGGGCGTTGCTTCCGTTTTTGGTGGCCATTTCCAGGAATCGAATAATCAAAGGCGGCAGCGCTGCCAAATATAAGGGACGCGGACGTGGCCCTTTCTTCCTTCTCTTTTCCCCAACCAGCCCCGCCATCCATCCCCTCCCCCGCAGTCCCCCTCCTCGCGCTTTTATACTCTTCTTAGTCTTCCACACTCGAACAGTCCCATTCCTTCTCCCCTTTCTCTTCTTTGTATAGTCTCGCCATCCAACCCATTTCATTCGCCATGACCGCCCTCAAGACCATCCGTCCCATTCCAGAGTTCCCCCTCCAGGGCATTCTCCCCAAGGAGGTACTGTACACTTGGCAGTGGACCTTGCGGCAATGGCTGGCGATGGGTAGCTATGGGTAAACGTTATCCTATCTGTGAGACTAACTGTATTACGTGTTCTGAACAACAGGAAACCGAGGCGGCCTCTTTCTTGAAGAAATACCCCAATTACGACGGACGCAACACCATCATTGCTATTCTCGATACAGGTGTCGATCCAGGCGCAGCAGGCCTCCAGGTCACATCAGACGGCAAGCCCAAAATCATTGACATTGTCGACTGCTCGGGTTCAGGCGACATCCCCACCACCACCGTTGTCAAGGCCACAGAGAACGAGGACGGAGTTCCCGTCATCACAGGTCTGACTGGTCGCAAACTGCATCTGAGCAAGGACTGGAAGAATCCCTCGGGCGAGTACCGGCTTGGTGTCAAGCGTGCCTACGATCTCTTTCCCGGTGACCTTGCAGACCGCATCAAGAAGGTAACAGTTGGACTAGGACATTCGCGGACAGTCGGGAAGATGGGAAAATGTGCCCCTCCTGTTTGAGTGAATCCATAAACCGCGGTCACTCTGTGGGAAACAGTGGGCTGGACAGGGAACACGCTCTACACGGAAATGAGAGCAGTTGGTGTCGTCTGTATTTGTACTTCACACTAAAGCTCGACCATTTGTTTGTTTTCGCCGTGATGATCATAGGAACGCGCAGCTGAATTTCAAAAGAAGCACTTCCTACTCGTGGCCAAGGTTCAGGAGGAGCTCGCCGCCTTCCTCAAGGCCCGCTCCACGTTGACCGAGCAGGATCAGCGTACAAAGGCCGATTACAACGCGCGCTTGGACGTCCTGAAGGACCAGCTCAAGAACTTCTCTGATCCCGGCCCAGTCTACGACTGCGTCGTCTTCAACGACGGCAACGTCTGGCGTGCTGTTGTCGATGCCAAAGAGGATGGTGATCTCACAGGTAGGGGACACTACGCCTCGTTTTACGTCCCCAAGGTTTTGCTGGAATGGTCAACTGACTAATCTATCCCCTTCCCAAAAAATATAAACATTCTCGCCCTATAGATGCCCCAGCATTAACAGACTACAAGGTAGAGCTCCAGTACGGCACTTTCAGCAACCAGGACAAGTGCAACTACAGCATCAACATCTACGATGACGGTAAAATGCTCTCCATCGTCGTTATTGCCGGTTCCCATGGTACCCATGTCGCCGCCATCACGGCCGCCAACCACCCCGAAGAGCCCGCCTTGAACGGTGTTGCACCTGGTGCTCAGATTGTCTCTATCAAGATTGGCGATAGTCGCTTGGGAAGCATTGAAACCCATCACGCCCTCACCCGCGCCGTCAAGGTTATCATCGACGACAAGTGCGATCTCGCCAACATGTCTTACGGTGAGGCAGCCAGCTACTCCAACATTGGACGCTTTGTCGAGTTGATCCGCGAGGAGGCTGTCGGTCGTCATGGATGTATCTTTGTTTCGTCCGCTGGCAATGCTGGTCCTGCCCTGAGCACTGTCGGTGCTCCCGGCGGCACTTCCGCTGGTATGGTCGGCGTAGGTGCTTACCAGAGCCAGGCCATGCAGCAATCCGAGTATGCCCTGTTTGAGTCCGTTCCCGATAGACCCTACACATGGTCCTCCCGCGGTCCTACTCTGGATGGAGATGTTGGCGTCAGCTTCTATGCTCCCGGCGCTGCCATCACCTCAATCCCCGAGTACGAGCTTTCAAAATTCCAGCGCATGAACGGAACCTCGATGAGCTCTCCTAATGCATGCGGATGCATCTCGCTTATTCTCTCGGGTCTGAAGGGCGAAAAGAAGGCATATACTCCTTACCGTGTCCACCGTGCTCTCGTTAACGCTTCCAAGGATATCCAGGACGAGTTCCGCATCGGCTTCCTGCAGGTCGAGAAGACTTTTGATCATATTTTGACTTACCACGCCTACGACGAGCAGGATGTTGATTATGTCATTCAGATTGCCGAGCGTGAAAACGCCCGCGGGATCTACTTGAGAGAGTGGGAAGAGTGTAACAAGGCCCACACGTTGACGGTCAAGGTCGAGCCCAAGTTCATGAAGGACATTGACTACAACAAGCCTGACATCAACGAGAAGAAGCTGTCCTTCGAGTGCCGTATGGCTCTCATTGCTACCGAGAGCTGGATCCGTGTCCCCGACTTTCTGTTCATGAACGGCGCCCAGCGTCAATTTGAAATCAAGGTCGACCCCACTCAGCTCACCGCTGGCTCGCTCCACATTGCTGAGATCCAGGCCTTTGATTCCTCCTGCCCAGCCCGCGGCCCAGTCTTCAGCATCTATGTCACTGTCGCCAAGCCCGCTGAGTTGTCCACACAGTCCTTTATCAAGTTTGAGAACATCCAGTTCGGTCCCGGTCACATCGAGCGGCGTCTAATCCACGTCCCTGCTGGCGCGACCCATGCTGAGGCCGTTATCCGCAGCTCGAGCGGCGTCAACGTTGCTCAACTGGCTGCCAAGTTTGTTGTCTATGCTGCTCAGCTCCTCCCTCAGCTCCGTAATGACCATACCAAGCAGGGCTACATGATCCGCCTTGGCAAGGGCAGCTATGCCGAGGCCGGCGCTGAGGAACAATCTGAAGCCAAACGCTTCTCTGTCTACAGCAGCCACACCTTGGAACTCTGCATGGCTCAATACTGGGACAGCCCTGGTGCTCACACTGTCACTGTCGAGTTGACCTTCCATGGTCTCCAATTGAGCGGGTCCACCAGCGGACCCCGCACGGTCTTTATCAATGGAGCCGATCAAATCACTCGCTTCCATGTTGCGGCGCCAATCCGCCGTGAGGAGGGCCTCTCGCCCAGCGTCTCCTTGGATACTCTCCGCAAGGTGATCCGTCCCTCTGAAAGCAGCATAAAGCCTTTGATCCGTGACCGCGACAGCTTGCCCAACTCGCGCCTCATGTACAACCTGATCGCAACCTACCCCTTCAAGGTCGAAACCTCAGGCAAGGAATCAGTGTCTGTTACGCCCCGTTTCCCCAGCCTGAACGATCTCCTGTACGACTCTCCAGTAGAGGTGCTCCTCATTGTCTCGGACGTCAACAACAAGGTGGTCGGCTATGGTGATGTCTATATTCATAAGTTCAAGTTGCCTAAGGGTGATTATAGCCTGCGTCTCCAGATCCGTCATGAGAATGAAGAGACCCTGGAAAAGTTCCGCCACTTGCCTGGTGTCTTTGATTTCGGTCTCGCCAAGGCACAGACACTTGAGGTGTCGGGCTACTGGCCTGATGCCCTCATTGGCAAGAAGAATGCCTTCCCCAGCGCCCTTGAGCGTGGAGATATCAAGCCCGCATTTGTAGTGTCGTCCTCTGAGCACCCTAAGGGCGCCAAGCCCGGCGACTTTTTAGTGGGTGAGTGGAAGTGGGGTCTTGCCAAGATGGATGGCACTCCTCTCTCGCGTGTTGTGTATGCGATCCCGCCTGAGCAGATCCCTATCAAGGAAGAGACTGTTGAGCTCGAGGAGGAGGTGGATGTTGCTCGTCAGTTGGCTGAGCAGGTCAGGGATGCACAGGTGGCCTGGTTGAAAAAGAGTGGAAGTGCTTACAGAACCGAAAAGGACAAGGAGGCGGCAGCGGCGGCCAGAAAGGAACTGGTGGCCCAGTTGGAGGCTGCGGGTCATGGCAAGCACTTGCCCTTCTTGCTGGCACAGTTAGATGTTGCTCTGGTATTGGCTGAGGGCGCTGACGAGGCTCACAAGGAGGAGCGGTGGAAAGAGGTCCTTGGCGCAACGGATAAGATCACGAAGATCATTGACGAGGCTGCATTGGCACAATACTTTGGTTTGAAGCAGGTGACCTTGCACGGCAAGGCCGAGGCGGAGCAAAAGAAGATCAAGAAGGAAAAAGAGGAGGCCAAGAGTGCGCTGATTGCAGCATTAAAGGCTCGCTGCTTGGCACTGGTTGCGTTGAAGGAGGACTCGGACGAGGCCTATAACCATCTGAGTCAATGGAGCGAAGGCACAGGAGTGACTGACTGGAAGTCTGTGGGTGTCTACTTGGAGCGTGAGCGCAAGCATGGCCGTCTAGGCTTGGCATTGCAGCGCGTCAACGCCTGGTTGAGTGAGCAGGGCGGTGGGTCGCGCGATGGAGCAGCCAACATCAAGAGCGCTCTCTCGACACGACGCGATCTCCTGCACGAGCTGAAGTGGTCTGTCTGGGAAGAATACGAGCTCAGCTGGGACAGTATTCGCTTGCCCAAGGCCGCCGCGACGTTTTAAATATGTACTGAGGATAGGAAAAAGACTTAGAAGCAGCTTTTTGTGCTAATATTCATCATCATCATTAAGCCCGTTCATTTTCATGCACCATCATCTCATGGCCACGTTGTCTACGGCAGTCTTGGGTAGGAAGATGTAAGGCTTTTGAACATCTATTGCTGTCCAATGTTTGGAAGAACTTCAGCTGTTCGCATTTCCGTACCCCCGTGCAGACGGTACAAGGGAAGTAGACGTCGGTGTGGAGTTCGGTGTGGAGTCCCATCGGCGCTCAGGCTCTAGGAGCTCATGCTCACTTATTAACAGTGTTCCCAGTAACGCCGGTGTTGATGTTGCTTTCGATATACCTATCGGTCAGAGCAACCATCAATTCCCGGGGTTTCGGTGGAAAAGATGGGGTGGGGGCACCTGGTAGCGATGGTCCAGTTACTGGAGGTCGAGCCGAAAAAGCGGAAGAGGTGGCCGAGGTCATAGAGACGGAAGAGGAGGAAGGGAGGTCGAAGAGGCAGCGTTGGCGGTCATTCAGGTACTAGATGGGAGAGGAACCCAACCGGCTACGCAGTCTCCTATTGCCCCGACCTACAATCCAACCAACCAGAATCCCCAGCAACATCATACTTCTGAGAACAACAGACCTTATCGTAGAGTATCTGTTCAACAACTGCCAGGAGAAATTCCGTCGCCATCATTCTTCATTTATCGTGGCCTGTTTTCCAACGCGCGTTAGAGTGACTATTGAAACAACGAGGAGAGGATATCCAAGCGCAACTCTTTTCGCCTTTTCTTGGCCCAGTTGCCGCTGTGCACAGTGAGGAGCACAGATATGGTTTAAGGAACAAGCAGAATCGAAGCATGCAGTTAACTTTGCATGCACCTTGAACTCTGAATCTGCGATTCCTTATCCCTTTTGATCACCGTACAGCGCACTAAAACAACTTCCGCTACGGCGAAAAGTGTTTTGAAGCATCTCCTCTTACTAGAAAAAAAAAGATCGGAACGCCCCCTTCTGCAACAGACAATGACTGAAATGCAGCCTCTGTCTCACGGCGGTTTAAATCCAGCTCGCGTTTCCTATTTCCCTATAAGTGGATGAATAATCCAATGCTTATTGAATTCTGCTTCAGTATGATAGGAGGATCCGACATCGAAGGATCATTAAGCAACGTCGCTTTGAATACTTGGCTGCCGCAAGTCAGTTTTATATTTCTCAGGGCAACCTTAACGGTTCCACCACATTATCGCCCTGTTCCAAAAAAAAAATAAACTCACGCGTCTGAATCTGTCCAGCATAACTTTTACTTCCGCAGAGATCAATAAGAAACTGCAGAAATGAACCAGATAATAGCGCTATGTTGGGATGCGCCATCATTATAATTCATCCTGTTTTCTTCTTCCAGTATGCGCTATTGCTTTTCTGGCAGACGAAAACAAGCGGCAGCAGCAGTGGTGACAGTTTTTGCTCCTGCTTCTACGATAAGATTGAGGCACCAACGTGTAAATGAAAAATGTCCATCATGGCCACCCTACCCTTTGACATAGAGGATGATCCTCGGCTTGCAATGGCGCGCCCTAGATGCCGCTGTTGTGGGTAGATAAACTACACATGGACATGCAGAAAAATGAACAAAATGAGCGCAGTTGCTTTTAGCCGTTTGCTCAATATTGAAAAAAAAATACCTCACACTGAAAGTCGAGCTGGGTACACAAGGTTTGAGTGCTCAGGAACAGGATCAACTCGCCCGGCAATATTTTTCCCCCGCAATGTTGTTTTCTCACTGGCATTTTTTATCGCCTAATCTCAGTGGTTGGCAGCAGAAGCGACCCTGGGTACAGCAACCTAGCCCCCTGGTAAGGTGAGCTGAGTGCGATTTGTATGAGTTTATACGGCTTAAGATAGGCTAGAGCTGGGTGGGTAGCGAGTCTGATTGAACAGGTTTCGGGGTAAAGTAGGAGTCGGGGCTAGCCCAAATGAGCAGACTGGTACCGTATCGCCTGGTGTTCTGCCCTCCTTTTCTTCCCATCCCCTCTCTTTCTTCTTCTCTCTTCTTCATCACCCCGCACATCTCATCTCTCTTCTCTCATCCCACCAACCAAACAAACAAGCACCATGTCTCTCTCTCAAGGCCAGGAAATCGAGTACAAGGAGGCCTTCGCCCTCTTCGACCCCACCAACTCTGGTGTCATCCAGCCCAAGGCCTTCTCGGACTTCCTTGCTGTGAGTACACCTCATCCTCATCCTCCACTTTCTCATCATCTGCATCTGTACCTCTTGTTCTTCATCTTCCTTCTGTCCTGCCAGACGCAGACTCGACTTTCTTCCTGGGGCTCAGCTGCCTCTCTCGTCCCCACGTTATCTACACATATCTCGTCTCGATTGAATTTCGCCAGACAAAATATCACACCTCGCTCAAAGGAGTACATAAAATGCAACCCCATCGATAGCCAACTACTCTGCACCGAAGATGCTGGGAAAACAGGATCGTTTGTTTTCTTTTCCTCTTCTGATCCGCTGCTACTGTTGTTGCTGTTGATGCTGGTTGTTGTTGTTGTTATTTTTGTGGATGTTCTGCGGCTGTTTGTGTTCTCCCTTCTCCCCTAATTATCCTTGCTCGTTAATACTTTTCCCCCGTTCCGCTTTTGTTTACATCCAGCAGTAATCAGTTGTCTATCTATCTCCGTCTAAATCTGTCCGTGCTGAGCAGACCAGATGGCTAATATCTCTTTTATGCTTCCTTGTGTAATGAACATAGCTCCTCAACGACCCCGAGTTGAGCAGCAAGGTCAAGCTCCCCACCCAGCCTTTGGACTACAAGGCCTTCGCTGCCTTGATGGCCAACAACCACAAGGGCGCCGAGACCTCTGATGATGCTTACGGTGCTCTCTTCAAGTCCATCAACAAGGACGGCTCCGGCAATGTCTCTGCTGCTGAGATCCGTGCTGCCCTTCAGCACTTTGGCAACAGCTCCCTCTCTGAGGTACGTAACAAATGCAGTAGACCTTCCGTTTAATGTATCCATCCGTTTAGATAATTGGAATCAGGGGTGGAACAAAGGAAAGCAGTATTTGCTCAAGGCAGGATTGCTGACGTTTTTTTTTTCTTCTTTACTATTGAACCCATTATTAGGCTGATGTTGACGAGATTGTCCATGAGGCTGATGTCTCTGGCGATGGTCGCGTCACTCTCGAGGAGTTCTTGAAGATCATGCAGAAGTCCGAGAAGAAGCTCCGTGGTGAGCACGTTCTGTAAAAAGGGACCTTCATGTGTACCAATAGTATTCCCGGGGTTCATTCTCTCTCTCTCTCTCTCACCTCCTCTTTATCAGCACTACAATAATAAACATAAACAGACTTTAATATAAGGCGTGCAGCAGAGACAGTAGAAAGATAGATGGGCGTTGCAGTTAGAGCGGAGTCATCAGAGCACATAACGAGCTGGACAGTAATCCACATCGTTGAGTTCAGAACCTTGTCCAGCTAGCTCTACTAGCTTTTTTTTTTTTTTTTTCTCGCCCAATCTAAAACCCCACAACCTTCATACTCCAGTGTGTGGGAAGAAGATGCTCAACTGTCTTGAACCCGCATTTTTCATCCTTGCCCTTCCGCCCACAAGGGCGTGTACCTATTGCAAAAATAAAAACGGCGAAATGCGCTATTGCAAAGCGCAAAAGCATCCACGAAAAACATAAAAAAGATATCCGTGCAGACGAACACACACAGCCGGATGCCTGTTGTCGACTATGCCATCATCTCCTCCCCCCCCCCCCCCCCTTTGAAACCACGTTGTTTAATAGAATTCTCGGAATCGTGCGTAAAAGGGGAAAAAAGTGCGGGAGAGGTTGGACGTTTTAAGGATAGTTGTCAGATATCGGAGTATCTTTCGTTGAGATAAATAATCATTAGAACCTCGGGTTTTGATCGAAAATGCTCCGTCGCATGGCAAGGAATCTAACGGATTCAGGGCACAGATGCAGAACCGTGTGCTATGGATGGCGACAGAATTGGCCACATATCTGCCAATCAGTCAGCTTGAGCTTGCTGCAGCCGCGAACTGGGAAAAAAACCCCCCTTTATGGTCAGCTCTTCAGCTATTCAGGATCTTAAGATCTTTAGACCAATGAGAGAGCCAGCTACTTATTCACGGTCTAATAGGAACACAGGGACCTGGAACGTGCCATGATTCTATCCACCCGTAGGATCATTTTATTGCTTTTTGTTGCGTTCGCTAGTCTACGTGTTCTGGACTGCAAGACTATCGATATATGATGGACAATACTCGCGACGCACATGCGCCATGCACACATATAAAATATATGACTTCTACCATCTCCTCCCTTCTCTTTCACCTACAGGCTACCCCTCTCCCCTCCAAGACCACAAGTTTTTTTTTTTTTGTGTGTATATATGCGCGTGTGTGTTGCCTGACACTTAATCCAACAAAAGTCTTCGCTTGTTAGCGCGCTTGGCGGGCTTTGGAGCCTTGACATCGACCTCAAAGCAAGTCGAGTACTCCTCACCGACAGGGTTTTGATCAAATCGCCAGTACCAGACCATCTGGTACTTGCCCGGCTGGGTTCCCTTCGGGATGGTCACGTACCCGTGACAAACCGTGTTCGGGTTCGCGGGGTTGTCGCAGTTCTGTGGGGTCGCGAAATCCATGGTCTTGAGCAGCAGTGAGGGCTTCGACAGCTCCGAACGCGTCTTGATGACTTTGTTGGGTACACCCTTCCAGTAGACAGATACCTTGGTCCTGAACTGAGAGGGTGAGGCTACGTTGTTCAGATGGCCGTTGGCCTCCCAGGTCAAGTGAAGCTTTTGACCAGGTACGGCGGATGCGGGAGGTAGGGTCTTGGGGTTTTTGCCAGGGAAGATGCTCTGACGGCCGGGTTGGCAGACAGGGGCCGTGGGTGGGCGGCCGGAGATGAGATAGGTGTAGAGGGTGTTGATGTCGGGGTTGGCGCGGGTGGGATATCCGATAGGGTAGCCGGCGCATTTTCCGGAGGGGAGCATGTTGGAGCAGTCAAGCCAGGAGTGTGCGTCGACGCTGGTGTCCTGCAGGAGAGAAAGACCGAGGAGGAGGAAGAGGCCGATGAGGAAGCTTGGACCCTGCATAGTGGCGATGATTGTAAGGCGCTGGGGGAAAGAGGAGCGGAATAGGTTGATGCTGAAAGAGCTGGAGGGGATAGAGAGAGGAGAAGGCGTGCTTGTTGAAGTCTGGTTGGAGGAAATCGTTGAGGAGGATGCGGTATTTATACATGGTCATGATCGGGTGAGGGAGTCTGGGATCGAGGAAGCATTGTGGAGGATGATAATGAAGGTGCTGGCCCAAGATGCGACGCGGTACCGAGAAGGAGTACACAACATGGATGGCATGAGGACGACAGCGACGAGAATGGGAGGCAAGGAGAGCAATTTGGATATGGGGAACAAAGGTTGATCGGTGTGAACTGCAGGAGGAAACAGCGATTGTCCTTCCCTTGGATCGGATATTGGTTTATGATAAAGGGATACACCGGTAAATTATATATAAATGAGATAAAGAGACGGGGACGACGCAGGAAAGGGTTCCCATATCGTCCAAAGGGATGGTTGTTTTATTGCGTGTGGATGTGGGCTCGAAAATCCTGTAGGGCTTCACAGAGTTTATTCGTTTAATTGCATTAAAAGAGATGTGGACGTTCTATTCCGCTGGACGCGAGAGTTCCTTCATTACCATGCGGGGAGATTATTCTGTAGAGCGTTGCATGAAAAGGCTGCCTAGATCTCGGGAACTGGTTGGTAGAACGTGCGTGTTTTTTTTTTTTTTTTTTGCCCGATCGTATCTCGGAGAACTACATGAGCACGCGCCCATTCGACGACGAAGGCAGATAACGAACGATAAACACAAGTAAGAAAAACGCGCTTGTTGATTAGAAGATATTAAAGGCGGGCGTAATAATCTCAACGGAAATTGGATGTGCATTCTGTACTGTGTAGCATGTTCTTTGCAGAATGACGATCCACTTGCATGGGGAGGGTGTGTCTAGGCATATGAAGATATCCATTGCGATATGGACGCGAAGTACCGTGACAACGCAACGCGTTGATTAGGATTATATGCTCGGTATGCATCTACGCCCCTCAGCGTACTTGGCATACAGGAGGTGCACTGCGAATCCGTTGCTACCAATTATTTACAAGGCGGCGCTTGATACCGTGTCATATAGGCGATAGTGCCGATGGAGATGGTCATCGTTTCCTTGGCGCCTTGGCATGTTGGGGGCGTATTTGTTCACCCCCTGCGAACGAGGACCAGTGGGCTGTTGGCTGCTCAAGTTCAAAACGCCAGGAGGATGAAGCGGAGGCACAGCAATGGCCCCAGACATGGGGAGGCGAACGTGTGTGCAGTTACAGAGGGAGACAGCGCTGATTTGCATTTAATTGAACACGGCTGTTCTGAGACCGAAAAGAACGCATCGTGCCGTTTCAGAGGAACGAAGCGACACGAGATTCGATTCCACAGCGCCTGTCGTCATATTTCTTCTGCCCTCCGCCCTCCATCCCTCCACATTCAACTCTTTCCTTCCCCCCCCTCCTCATCCATCACCTCACAACCACACGCCACTCATGGTCGTCATCAACTCGGCCCTCCTGGCCAAAAAGTTTCCGCAGTTGCCTGTCAACGACGTCGACAACCTTGTCAACCAGTTCCGGTGAGTTGCAACCAGTTCGCTCAACCTCCTACTCTCTCCTCAGCCAGGGTCAGGACGGATACGATGCGCTGTTCCATGGACTCAGCAATGGCCGTGGATAGGCAGATGACATCATAGAGTTTTTCTGCGTCCAACCAGACGTGTTCTTCACACGTCTTAGCCTTGGCCCAGAACGCGCCAAATACTCATCATTCCGCTCTTCACTTGACACTTAGTCGCTTCGATATCGACGGACGTGGCCAAATTGACCAAAAGGACCTTGTTAAGGTCATCCAAGAGATTGGTGAGGGTCAGTCCTACGATCAGATTCGCGCTACCATCAAAACGGTTGACATCAATGCCACCGGAAAGGTCGAAGTCGACGAGTTCCTTGAGGTAAGGAAGAAGGAGATTGTTGCTTTTATTTTCACACGCGCAGACTCCCGCGCAAAAAAGCTTTTTTCACGAGAAAAGGAGGGGTTTGCCGCGTGGTCGACTTCACCGACCAGCGACGATACAACAAACATGACATCTTTTATCTCTCATTATCTCTGCCACTGCTGTTAGTTTGTGTTCTCTCTCATCTAACCATTTTCTTCTCTCTTCTTTCCTATCCAATCCTTGCGACGCTCCGGAACATGCTCCATAACAACCACAGATTGTGTCCAAGTTGCGCGAGGGTGGTGCCAATGCCCCAACGTCGGGCAAGAAGGTCATCCAGGTCAAGGGCGCCAACCAGAACATCACCCACTCTATGAACGATGACGAACGCTCCGAGTTCACGGCACATATTAACTCTGTCCTGGCCGGCGATATGCATATCGGAGACAGGATTCCTATCCCTACACATACGATGCAGGTCTTTGACGAGTGTCGAGGTAAGAATTTGGAAAAGAACACGGGAGAAGCAATTGAGAGACGAGGATAAACCTTTTTTGCGACCGTAGAGATTTTCACGGAGAGTCGACGAACAGAAACGACGACGCTGTTTGTTGGAGAGCGACAAACCTATCTAGCGAGACCTGGGCAGTAAATTAATACGATCCATTTCACACAAATAGATGGTCTTTTGCTGTGCAAACTCATCAACGACTCTGTGCCTGACACGATCGATGAACGTGTCCTGAACGTTAAGAACAAGCTGTCCAACTTCCAGATCATCGAAAACAACAACGTCGCTATCAATTCGGCCAAGGCTATTGGATGCAGTATCGTCAACATTGGACCTCAGGATATCATGGACGGACGTGAGCACTTGATTCTGGGTCTCATCTGGCAAATTATCAAGGCCGGTTTGCTTTCCAAGATCGATATTCGTCTTCATCCCGAGCTGTACCGTCTCTTGGAGGAGGACGAGTCTCTGGAGGCATTCCTCCGTCTTCCACCAGAGCAGATTTTGTTGAGATGGTTCAACTACCACTTGAAGGCAGCAGGATGGCACCGCACGTAAGTTTCGCGCTCTTCACCAAGAGGCGCTCAACGGTTAAGCTCTTTCTATGGCTCTTGCGAATTGAGTACAGTGATGTTCTATTTTTTCTCACCTTCATCTATTATCTATTGTGCTCTCTCACAGTGTCAACAATTTTAGTACAGATGTCAAAGACGGTGAAAACTACACAATCCTGCTTAATCAGCTGGCGCCGGATCTTTGCTCCAGGAACCCACTTCGGGAGAACGACCTCTACACGCGTGCAGAACAGATTCTTCAAAACGCAGAAAAGCTCAACTGCCGCAAGTATTTGTCACCGCAGTCGCTCGTTGCTGGAAACCCCAAGCTGAACTTGGCTTTTGTTGCCAACCTGTTCAACAACCACCCTGGTCTCGACCCACTGGAGGAGGTTGAGCGTCCAGAGCTGCCTGATACGGAGGGTGATCGTGAGGCCAGAGGTAAGGCGACATTTTACTGGCTACGTATCAGTGTCCACTAGAGAGCCGGATACTAAACGATTTCCCTTTGTCGTTTGTAATCTCTAGTCTTTGCTCTTTGGCTGAACAGTTTGGATGTCGACCCTTTCGTGAATAACCTGTACACCGATCTCCAGGATGGAGTGGTTCTCTTGCAGGCATTTGACAAGATGCACCCAGGCATTGTGGACTGGAAGCGCGTCAGCCGTAGACAGCCCCTGAACCGCTTCAAGCAGGTCGAAAACACCAACTACGCTATCATGATCGGACAGCATCTTCGCTACACACTCGTCAACATGCAGGGCGCCGATATTGTGGATGGAAGCCCTACGCTGACGCTGGGCATTGTCTGGCAGATGATGCGCGAGAACGTGACCCAGACGATGAAGAAGCTGTCAAAGTCTGGAAGGGATATCACGGATATGGAGATGATTCGTTGGGCCAACGAAACTGTCCAGCGCGGTGGCAAGACAAGCAAGGTCGGTAGCTTCAAGGATCCGTCATTCAAGACTGGAGTCTTTGTATGCGATGTCCTGAATGGAGTGCGCCCTGGATCGGTTGACTACGCTATGGTCAACCGTGGAACGTCGTTGGAGGACGCTAAGCTGAATGCCAAGTACGCCATTTCGGTTGCAAGAAAGATTGGCGCAGTTATCTTTGTCCTTCCCGAGGATATTATTGAGTGCCGTGCTAAACTTGTAAGTTGGATGATGCCATTGCTGCTGCTGTTGCCTTCAAATGTTGGGCGACATGTTTTTTTCTAGTACAAAGACACTAATGCTCGCCATTCCCTTGGTTTCCTTTTTGTACCTCTAGATTCTTACCTTCATCGGTTCTCTGATGGCTATTGACACAGCTGGCAAGGCGTAAAAGAAAAACAACGAAGACATCTGCTCATCAACCATTGTAATAAAATAATTTTGCGTCTATGCTGTTGTGCTGGACTTGATGGATGTTACATTGTATTGTGTGATCAGAATACCACCAACGACTTTATTAGGATATTAGAACCATGAGTTGGGTTGAGTATTAGTTGTCGGCGCACTGCCTTCTAGGTGTGATAGAGAGTTGTCCCTTGATGCTTTACGAGACCGCGCACTTGTCCTTGTCCTTCTTCCCTGTTGATGGTGCCGGACGGCGACCAGTGTTCGATGCCGTTGCTCTAGATTCAGCTGCTGCGGCTGCTCTTGCATTCCTGGCAGCATTGGCAGCATTGGCAGCATTGGCAGCCTTGAGCGACAAGTTGCCGTTGTTGTTGTTGTTGGCTCCGTTGACAATGGGGCGTGATGGGGTTGCTGCTCCGGCTCCGGTTTTTTTTCCATTTGTCTGTTGCTGGCTTGCACAGGCATGGTCGCCCTCCAGTCGATGCTTCAGACAGTAATTGAGTTGACATTTTTGACAGACAATTGGGATGGCGGAGCGGTTCTTGCATCCTTTGGCATTACAGGCATTGGTATAGATGGGTTTTGAGACGGTAGTGGCAGGTTCAGGACATCCGGCTGCGATGTGCTGCTCCATTCTGAGGTTTGGATCCTCGCCCTTTTTGATGGGGACGGGTTTGTCGCATAGAGGGCATATTGGTACACGCTGGTCCTGTTGGGTTGCATCGCCCTTGTTAGGGCAGGTGTGGTCCTCTAGTTTCCAATGGTCCTGGCTGCAAATGGATTCAGGAAACAAAAACAAAAAATAAAAATGAGGAATAGCGAGGTTAGGTGATTGACTATTGGTTTGGGCATGTTGTCTGCGGCAGATAAGAAGCAGCCTGTTGATGGAAAGTACCAAAAGATTTGCTTGCAGTACGGACAGGTGTAGGGCAAGAAGTCGAGTTGGGAGCAGGTTGCATGGGAGCAATGCTTGCCGATTGAAGGGAGCTCCATGGAAGAGGAGGAGGGGGTCGGTTGGTTGGTTGGTTGGTTGGTTAGTGATGAGGCGAGAGCAGGGAAGAGAGCGTGAATGTGAGATGGGATGGTGAATTGAGAATACAGGAATGTGCGGAAGAAGATGAGCACGCCGCTGTTTATTCACAAGTATTTATAGGTCCCATTCGGTGCCTGAGGATTGCGTGGCGAGTGAGTCGTAAGTCGTTCCATGGAACGCTGTGTCATCATCAGTGCCCAGAGAGAGAGAGGGGGAGAGGGGGGCGGCTGTGTTGGCGGGAAGCATAATGTTTGCCCCTGTGTGATTGGCCAGGCCAATGACGCAGTACGAGTCTTTAAGAACTACATACAAAAAAAGAGACAGAAACGAGGGTATCAAACCATTCTATCCCAGCTTGGACAAGTAAAAAAAAAAGAGATCGGCGTGTCTATTCTATGTACAAAGCGGATGGTGCAGACTCTTTATATCTTTTATGCTTGGCATGTCCATCCAAAAAAAAAAAAAAAAAAAAAAAAAAAAAAAGACGGACGAATACAATCCTGGACCAACTTCAAGGGCGAAGAAAGTAGCCATGCTGAGATAATGGAAGCACCTGAAAACGCAATCGTTTCATTTCTTCTAAAACCGAAAAGGCGGTTTAGCATGCCAATTGGTTGCAGTCTATCTCTCACTCCCGTTTCTCGAACAAAATCCATGTAGCGCAAACTGGCTGAAAACCATTATTTCCTTCCGCTACTTATATCCAGTCTGGTCCTCCACCTTCCTTGTAGGTGGGCCAGGTCCGACCCTCGTTGGCATCTTTTTCTCTCTTCTTGCCTTGTCCTCCCTCCTCGACATTCCTTTATTGGACCCGAGCATCCCTCGCTTTAATTACAGTCTCCTCCACTCCCCTCTCCTTCAATCATTTACTCATCTTCTTCATCATTATCATATCATCATCCTCACCACCATCATCATCATCATCATCCCCAGGATAACGTCTCATCCAACGGCTGTCTCTTCACCCTCATCTCACACCTCCTTATTCGCCCCCTCATACAACCATTGCACACTAGGTAACCATAAACAGCATCCCTCCTGCAACGCCTCCTCGACTCCACTCGATCGAATCCACCTCCGGTTACTCCTTAGTCGATCATCCACTTCTCTATCCATCGCACGCTCTCAAATATTTTATCCTTTTCTAACGCCCGCTTCTTCTCTTTCCTTGCTCGCTATTTGACAGTGGTATCTAAAAAAACATATACATATATTTATATTATTTTTTCTCTGTCTGCGCGAGTGTGATTCCTACAGCCAGCAGCACACTCCTTCCTGCTTCAAATCCACACATCCAACAAAGCGAGTTATCATGCTACGCATGCGCAGGATCGCCCTGGTGTGCTGCTTCCTCTCCATCTGCCTGGTTCTTATCGTGCGTCTGCCCTCAAGAAACCTGCTCTCTGGGATTCTCGAGGCAGACCCACAGGATGCAGAGCGTATTATGATGGAGAGGTATGCCCACAGTCTTCAATTCAAGGGTAAAGTCAGGATAAAGTCACTGGCGACAGCCCTGGAAGACGACCGCAGCGAAGACATCGATATGTTGCCCAGGCGTCTGACCAAGAAGGAGAGGAGTACAACCGTATATTACCCTCCTGCCTGTAAGAATGGAAGACATTGGCAGATATGCAAAAAGATCGTGCCGAGCTTCATGATTGCTGGTGCAGAGCATAGCGGAGCCAATGTTCTTTACGAGGCCTTCCGGACCCATCCCCAGGTCTGGGATCTTGTCAAGTCGAACGAGATGTATGAGAGGTATGTTCCCCGGTACCGAGTCTGTACACTTGAGGCTAGAGGCGGGTGTATCCGAAATGTAGACTAAAAAATCGATTTTTTTTTGCTTTGTCCCACATTCGCGGATACCATTTCAATTTGCGGCGTCTAGGACCGGAAACGCCTCATTGCTGGATGTTCCCGATAGCGACGAGACACCCTTCTTTGGATCCCAGAGCTATAACGACCTCGACCCAGCGACGAAGAACCTCGAGTGGTATCTACAGTATTTCCCCTCGATCAAGGACATCCCAGTCAGTTCACATAATCCCGTTCTTTCTGGAGAGTCGCTTCCCCATATCCAACATTATGGGCTCAGCCACGTCAACATGGAGCATCAAGATTCGCCCAACTACAATGACCAAAAGATTCTTGTTGGAGAGTGTGCGCCCAGTTATCTTCATATGAATGGTGCCAGCAAGAGGATTGCGAGCACTATGCCCGAGATCAAGGTCGTCTTCATCTTCCGCGATCCCATCGACCGCGCCTACCTCAATTACCTGGAGCAGAGTATGTGGAACAATGTCTTGGTCTTTGTGTTTCTGCGCTGACGTGACACATTGATTATGCACATGTACCATGTTTACTAACCTATTGTTGTTATGTAATGAACCGAATAGAACAATATGCTGCGGGATATAGCTTTGAGGAGATCGTTGCGGAGGAGCTGTTGATTCTCAAGGAGTGTATTGCGCGCCCAGGAAGCAAAAAGTGGACAGAGTTCTTGCGGTGCCATTCAGAGGAAGCTACCAAAAGTAAGTTTGGGGACGATGGCCTAATCGTTTTGATATTGCTAACGGGTGACTTTCTTCATACTAATTTTGATCTCTCTTGAATCATTCGCGGCCATAGCTGCCAAGCGGATGGGTCTTCCTAATCGACCAAGGTCCAACAATGCCAGAGGTAAGCCTGGGTGGTATGCTGCTTATCGATTGTTATTTGTCGACTGCCAGGAAGCTGATAGAGATCCTTGATGCTACTGTATTAGATCCCTCTGCTCCATTGCTCAACCTGATCGTCAAGGGTCTTTACTACTCTCAATTGCACGAGTTCGTGAAGCACGTTCCGTTCACCAAGATCTTGGTATTAAGAACCGAGGATCTTTACGACAGGAAATCGACTGTCTCGACCATGGTTCGGCTGTCGCACTTTTTGAACCTAGACCCATCCCCCTTCATGAACTTTCCAATCGAGATCGGGACCGACCCCATGGCACCCTTGAGACACGGTGGCGCAGGATTGAAGATGTTTGGTGCTAATGGAATTATTGTTCAGGATGAGGACGATCTTCTGGACTCGAACGAGGATCCTGAATTCGAGTATGAGCACAAGGTATCGAGCGGTTCAACGGGATCTTCGTCATCACACCCAGTCTTTTCGGAGCCACCACTGGAGCTGTCGACCCGGTTCCGCCTTCAGCGTGTCTTTGAGCCATTCAATCAGAAGCTGGTCGACATGTTTGAGCATCGACAGGATTTCCCGGGATGGGAATACGATGTCGATCGCGGATAAAGCGAGTCGGCAGATCGGCAACGAACAGAGAGCTACAACCGGCAATGCAGCGATGCTCTCACTTTCACCCGCATAGACAAATTAACACGAGATACCATAGCGACAGCCAATCCATCTATTCTTACATATTATTTAATAAAAAATATAAATAAAAAAAACAAGCGCATATTATATTGATATCTCCTATAGAAAGACTGATCTTGAAGCACCATGTGGTATCGAACCTTCATTCGGCAACAAAGGGCCGTGCCCTGGGAGGATGATTCAATCCCCCTTGAAATGATTTAGATATAAAGGATCTAACGTCGCCGTAACAATGCAACGGGTTCCCTTATCTAAACGTCTACGGCGAACGAACCAGCTCAACCTGTCCCCCTCCTACTATGATCCGCCTTTACAACCCGGTTGGGCCACAAAAGGCTTCCTCCAATTGACCGCGTTGCATCTTGTGCCCTTTCTTTTTTCTTTTTTTTTTGCTAGTGCAGGGCAAGTTCACACGTGACTCGGCGCCTTTTACTACAGCGTTTATCAACCCCATTCAAAAAAAAAAAAACACACACACACATATCTCTCTCTCTCTCTCTCACAACTAACCAGCTCCTCACAACTACACTCAACTCCAGCAACGACGACGATCTCTCGATGCATAAAGATCCTATCCAGTTTACAAATCCCCTGCTCGGAACCGGCACCAGGCCCGTGGCCGTGAACATTCCCACCTCTGTCACACGTCTGACCAACGCCAGTACGGTTGTTGGGAATGGCGTGTCCCTCGCCTCGAGTGCAGGGTCTGTCTCGGCACTGAGACGGCGAAGCCTTTGCTCGATTGATCAGCCAGGCATGGTCATGAGCAAATTACCACAAGGTAATGATGACAGAAGTTGGCATGCTAAGCGCAAACCACGTCAAGGAATGAGTCCGTTCAGTGTGTGCACGGTCAAATTAATTGATACAACTCCTCTTTTGCGCAAAAAAAAAAAAAAAAAAAAATAGAGCTCGAAGACACCCAGCATGAGTTTGGCTCCAAGCTGGTCGTTATAATGGGTAAGCCGGTGCTGCATGGTTTCATTGCTTTTATATTGTGGTTCCTCTCTCTCTTCTTCTGCTCAAACGCTTTTCGCGGAGACTGACTTTGTATGGCCAAGATAAAGCTGACATCAAGCCTTTTTTTTTCTTATCGCTTTCTCTTAAATTTTTTTTTTTTATTTCGTTGACCGTGCGTTAGTTGGATTGCCCGCGCGAGGCAAGAGCTATCTGGTCAAGAAGCTGCAGCGTTATCTGACCTGGCTTCAATATGACACCAAGGTATAAGAAAAAAAGGAGCAGTGCGCATGAAGGGAGATGCGAGATAAGCAGCGATCTGGGGGTAGGGGGAGGGGGAGGGGGAGATACATGGAAAGACAAGGAAATGAGGATAACGCCCGCATTTTTTTTGTCTCGATAAGAGAGAGAGAGAGCCATGAGTCCATGGGAAAACCAGATTAAGAGGTGGTCAAATGTTCATACGGATTATCGTCAGCATCAACGCGGAGAACTCTAAAACACCTCAAGTAAACGCGCGCACAACAACTGGAGTGGATTCATTGGATGCTGCACCGCTGGATCGGCTCTTTTGTGCGACTCGCGCTGTTCCTTTTCCGAACGCCCTCATACCTTTCATTTCTACTGCTCACTCACTCCTTGCGCACCGTTATTGATCCCATTTATATCCTCTTCTGAGACCGGATGGAATTATTGTATTATGGAGTGTTGCTGCATGTGAATATCGCCTTTTTTTTTAAAAAAAAAAAAAAAGACTCTGCTTTATCACGCTATTGACATGCTGTCACTGTATCCTTCAACCATACGCCTCAACTGTAGGTGTTCAACGTCGGAAACCGAAGAAGAATCGCATCCAAAGGCGACAACAAGGACGGAACGAGCCATTCGCATGCGTTCTTCGACCCCCAAAACAGCACAGCCAAGACGATGCGTGACGAATTGGCGCTAGATAGCCTGGAGGAACTTATTGCCTGGCTAAAACAAGGGGGCCGTGTCGGCATTCATGGTGCGAATTGAAGTTTTTTTTTTTGCGCACTTGGTTTCTCTTACATCAAGCGCTAATGATGCATTGGTTTGGGTGAATGGGCCTAACCCATTTTTATTCTCTATTAATCTGTCTTGTATACAAACAGATGCGACAAATTCTTCTCGGGAAAGAAGGTAACAAGCAAAGGAGAGAGAAAGAGAGAGAGAGAGAGAAATTAGGACGGGATGATAGTTGTCCAATGGATCTAGGATTTTCCAGCCTATGACATAACGTTGTGTTCAGCACAGATATTGACGCTCTTCCGGTCTATCAATCGTACTCTGCAAACGTATAGAAAAATGCTGTTGAACCGATTGGATCTGGAACCAAACTGCAGGGTCCTCTTTATAGAATCAATATGTACGGACCCCGTGGTCCTTGCACACAATATCACCATGAAGCTGAGCTCGCCCGATTATAAGGGCATGGACGAGGCACAGGCGCGGGCCGACTTTAAAAAAAGATTGGAGAACTATGAGAAAGCATATCAAACGCTGGACGAGGAGGATGAGGAGGAAGGGATCCAGTATTGTAAGCTGATCAACGTTGGAAAGAAGGTATGGGTTCGAGGGAGGACTTTTATTTCTCTTTTTTGGTGGCCTCCTGTCAGTGGTACTAATAAGGAGGAGATTTTTTTTTTTTTGTATCACAACAGGTCATTGCGTACAATATTCAGGGATATCTTGCAGGACAGTGCATATTCTACTTGATGAACTTCAATCTGTCCCCGAGATGCATATGGCTCACACGGCATGGAGAAAGCGTTGATAATATCGTTGGAAAAATCGGTACGGGAACTGAGATTACTTATCGACAACAAATGCAATTGTTTAGAGTCGGCAGAGCTTCACTCATATTCCTAACCTTTTGCTCTACTTTAATGCTCTGACGCTGTGTTACAATATACAGGAGGGGACGCGCCATTGTCGGCCAAAGGAAAGCGATATGGCGCGTGCTTGTCACGGTTCATTAATCACCAACGCCAGGAGAATGAACGGGCAAGGCAAATGGAAGCCGAGGCAGGGACGGCGATCACGCCTCAACGGGAGAAAACTGTTGCTGTATGGACCAGCATGCTGACGAGGACCAAGGAGACCGTAGAGGAATTTGATCCAAAGGAGTACGACATCAAGCATATGAGGTTCCTGAATGAGATTTACGCTGGTGAGTTATTCAAGTCTCTGATCGGAGGGCGAGACCTAGGCAGATGATTGTCAAGCAAGCGAGGCAGGAACTGATGCTTTTATCCCTGTCTGTTTTTGTCACAGGCATATGCGAGGGTCTATCCTACAACCAGATTGAACAGCTGTATCCTGAGGAGTTTGAGGCACGGAGGATCAACAAGTTGTTTTATCGTTACCCAGGTACCGTCCTCGTTCGAGTTCTGATTTGTAACAGAATATATATGCCCAGAGGATATGATTCTGTGAAAATTGAGCAAGACAAGTGTTCTAATTTTTTTTTTTTTTTTTTTTTTTTGCTTGTAGGAATGGGTGGAGAGTCCTATCTGGATGTGATTCAGCGAGTGAACCCGTTGATTGTTGAACTGGAACGGATGACCTCGGATCTTGTGATTGTCACCCATCGGGTGGTTCTCCGTATCCTGCTGGGATACCTGATGGACATTGACCGGTCAGCGATGCCGGAGATGGAGGTGCAGCTGCACACGTTGTATTGTGTGGAGCCCAGGCCCCACGGGACGGTTGTGCGCAAGTTCAGATGGGCAGAGGAATTGGATTGGTTTGTGGAGGAGCCTGTTGTTGTATAAGAAGCAAGCAAAGCGGGCGGTCGTCTCTCTTTTTTTTTCGCTTTCGGGTCTTTTCTCTTTTTTTTTCCTTGTGGGGAAGGGAGGAAGAAGGGAAGAAGAGACAGAGTCGAATAAATCCCTTTTTTTTTTCTGTTCGAGCGAGTATTATTAAAAGCATGCGATTATGTCGAAGAATGCTGTGCTGGATGCAAAGATCTGTGGATCGCGTGTTGCGCAGTGTCGCTTTGGATGGGCTATCCTCCTTTTTTTTCTTTTTTAGGCAGCACCAAGGTCCACAACGGTAATCGCGACCTGGTTCTCCATGGAACAAAAAGTTGTGAGATGCTTACGCGTCTTTTTGAGAAGCTCAAGAGACTTCATGCAGATGGATATACCTGGATGGAATCACGCCTTTTTCCTGGAGGGGAGGCTGCTGTTGTTGTTGTTGCAAGTGTTGTTGTTCCTGTTGTTGATTGTTATGCTGTTCTTACTCTACTTGTTGCATGATCATGAAAGCCTTCTTTTTTTCCTCGCTTAGAAATTGAGCAAGCTGACAAAACAAGGGCGATGGTTTTAGATTGAGGGCAATTGAGAGCATGTGACAACTTGATTGAACGTTTCAGGAACCAGATGAAATATAGAAAAAGAACTACTTGGATCGCGGCGGCGATGGGCAAAGAAAGAAAAGGAAAAAAAAAATGCGGGAATTGATTAGAAATCGATGACCGTTTGAGCTTACTGGCCTTTGAGCACAAAGGGAAAGAAAGGATGGGCAGGGCACTGCGCAGCTTTTTGCCAGGAAAACCTCCCCCCTTGAGGGATGGCATGCACATGGGAGGGAGGGAAGGAGGGGAGGGAATAATATCACACCTGTGGATTGTCGGCCCGTTTGGGGAGTAGGGGGGGGGGGAAGTCATTTAGAGCGGCGCTGTTGTTTGACGGAGAAGACGTCAATTGAGCACTTGTTCAAAAGAGGTAACCCGCCAATGGATGAAGGGGTCCCGATATCCCGATGACTCTTTTTGTACACTGACTGGCCGCATGGCGTAAAAAGACACACATTGGCACATTGCTCGTGGAGAACCCACGTTTTATTCTATCTATATTTTTTCTGATGAGGTTGGATTCCCGCTCGCCCACTATGTGAAAAAAAGTATATTTTCTTCTCACGACTCTTGGCGTGTGTGGGTGTGTGTGTGTACAGGGCGCCCGAAGAGGCAAAGTATGCGACAGTGGTGCATTGTGGAGCATTTGAAGTTTTGAACCTCAGCTCCTGTGTTCTGTTTCTCACTCTATTGACAGAGATCGACAGAGCGTGTTTCCCTTTTTTGTTTCTCGACAATTCATGGAATAACACCGTTAGGTTAGGTGTAGGAATTCGACAGCGATTGCATCACCAAAGTGTATGTGGCCTCCCCATGTAGCGCGCCATCCTGCACTGCAGTGTCTCATGTTGTTGCTGAGTGAAGTTTTTTTTTTGGTGTGCATATGTCCATCTGCCCACTGCGAACCAATGGAGAAGAAAAATTAAAGATGGGATAGTGGGTGAACTTTCATCCAGACAAAGTATTTGGCAGGGGGAGCGTTATTGGACAAAGACAGGGAGCCACTGGCATATTTTTCAGGAACCTGACGGCATAGATGGCCCATGGGTAAACGGTAACTGCGTATGCGGAGGATTTTTTTTTTATAATGCCAGACCCCTTTTCAAGGACATCTGTACCTCATTTCGCATACGAGATTAAAAGAATAAAGTGAGCAAACAGATGAATGTGTCCTTCTTCTCTTTTTCTATTTTTTAATAGGAAAAATGGATGGTAGACAACGCGTCTGCTTTCTACGCTGCAGATGACGAGAGATGAGTGCGCGCTCAAATCTCATTATTTGTTGACACTAAAGCGTCATGCAACGCCAGCGCCAACGCGGTTCGTCGGGATCAAGAGCGATAGGTTCGCATCCTCTTGGCATGGACTCCTCTCGTCTTGTCAATGCAATCGACCTAGGAAGAAAGAAGTGCCCAAAATAGGGAAACAAAATGGGCCCATGAAACTCGGTTCGAGATGATCGACAAGTGAGCGCATCTCAGCGTCTTTGGCCCCCCCCATTTTACCCAGTATGTTTTTTTTTTTCATAAGCGCCAATCGCGAAATCGACATAATAATGTCGACGACAGGTAAGACATATATTGATCCCAAGCGTATTACCGCCAGTCCACGCCAAGACGGCTCACAAGGAGACAGAGGGGCAGATAATGTACCCCTACTCAGCTGGCTGTAGTTCTGAGCGAAACAAAGGATTATTCTCGACTCAACCCAACCCAACAACACAGCCTGGGGGTTTCCTGCAACGACCAAGAAACATGCGTGTACGTGTCTTATTTTAGTCGGCTCGATCGCTGTTGTGTTCCCCCATCTAACGCAACGCCCTTTTCGTTTTCGTTTTCGTTTGTTTTTTTTTTTTTTTACTTCTACACGGCTGTGGTACAGTCGTACAAAAAAGGAGATTTTCTTCGCAATGATTGGGATACGGCGCGCATCGTATTACGTTGTTTGACAGGCCACGCAATTAGCCAAGAGAAACCTTAATGGTTTTTGAGTGAGGACAAGGCGCCGCAACGCTCAGCTCCTCCTCTTTGCATAGAACCAATCTTGCAAGATAGAAGGGAAAAGGAGAAGCCTTGATCGATCGCTACTGGGCGCATGTTTGCAGCCCAAGTCACTTGACAGTTGGGCAATGGAGGTCGACATTTATTTTTATTTTCCCCCACCCTTCTAGTCTACCCACGGTACGATAGTGCCTGCATCTTCCCCTGACAAGTTAAAAGGGGAGTCTACGTGTTCCTCCTTTGGTAAAAAAGAAATGGGAGAATCAAAAAACCCAAGGGCGCCTGTGTGGAATGAGGGGAAGAGGCAGGGGGATGCGCGTCATGTTACTATCGACCAACATGAATATTCTTTTAATAGTACGAGTATTTTTTTATTTATCAGATTGTATTTGGTTTCTTCGCATATTTTATTTTTCCATTCCATCGACAGTGGAGATGTCGGGCGGAACGTCCTCTTTTGTCGTACCAGGGATTCGTGTCCTCAGTGGACAGGGAAAGAGAGGAAAATATAATAATTTTCGAGCCCTATACTTGCGTACATGTGCAGTCTAATACAGGGGTAATATGGATGAGGGATTATGGCGCCTGGTCGGATTATCATGGGCCCTCTCTCTTCCTCTCTTTTTCTTTCTCTCCCACTCTCTCTCTCTCTGTCTAGAAAAGGGCGGAACGTGTGTGGATAAAACGACGACTAAGTTAAACGAAAATAAACTGCGTGGCAAATGAAAGTTAACGAGGTAGCCTTGTCCCGCCTTGCGTGGTCGATAGAACATCAGAGAAAGAACGACCAGTTGCTGACTGACCGAAGAGCCGGTATCGCACATCACACGCGGAAGGGAAAGAAAACCTTAAACGAAGAGAGCACTTCTGTATATAAAAATAAAAGATTGGATAAAAACGACATCCACATTCAACCGGCATAGTGGACCGCAATTGAATGCTCAGTTGATCTAACGCAGTGGGTGCATCTAGAGGAGGATGGGCAAGGATGAACATCATAGTAAAATTGCGTCAGAGATGATGGTGCCAGGCCATTACTGGATAGGATTGGCTCAGGATTAGCGCTGGCAGCAGACATAGCATTAAAGCATTAATCGCGATAAGGGCCGAGCGAGCGAGCGATAAAGAGAGCGAGAGGAAGGAAGAGACCAGGTCGTATTCTTATGAATGTTGATAGAGTGTGTGCGTAGGCTGGATGCATTAATAATCGCGGACACATCCCGCTGACAAATTGACCAATTCCCAGTCCTTGCATATTGTAAAGAATAGAATAGGAGACTGAATAGAGAGGTGTACGCCAGTGAGTACAAAAAGTACAATTGCTCCAATTGCATCTAGCGGATATTCAATTGCGATTGAATGAATGGGGGAGGCAATGAGACACCTGAGTCAAGGGAGGTGTGTCTCTGAGAGAGAGGCCGTCACCTCGTTTGACGTGCGAATCTTTCCCCAACCACAGAAAAATATATAACGGTCTGCCCCTCCCCCACTCCCTCCATCCTCTTCTCTCTTCTACTTCTTGCTCCTTTAGAACAAAACCTGCTCTTCTATCTCCTCTCTTCTTTCTTCTTTTCATTCTTGTCTTTCTTCCATTCGCTCTTCGCTCTTGCTTTGCTCGACCAACCACTTGTCGCGTCATATACCCCTCTCTCCTGCAGCAACATCCATCCACCCACTATCCATAGCATTCATCCATTCATCCAGTCATTCACTAGTCTAGCATTCCCACTTAGCTCAAGCACAGAAGTCATATCATAATGTAAGTATCAAATGAAATGGTCCCTCCCCCCTCTCTTTCTCGCTCTCTCTCCAACATTCAGGACCCAGAAACCCAATTGATCCCAGGGCTGCGGTGATGGTGCGAGATGGAGACAGGGGTTTGTCTGCGCAGTCGTTCGCTTAAGAACTTTATTTCGATCAACCTTCTGGCCTGGGGGATGGTATCCTCCTTCCCCTTTCCTTCAGTCAGTCAGTCATCCTTGGCCTGGTGACTGTACCATAGTGGTGTTTCTGTATTAATAATCTCTTCTCTTCTCTTCCTCCTCTCTCTTTGTCTCTGACCAAAAGAAAAAAAAAGTTGAAAAAGAGTGAATTCACATGGATCATATCCAAACGCCACCAATCTCGCAGCCCTACCCTAGCCTAGCCTAGCTTAGTCTACCCTTGAGCTGCTCTGCTCTGTCCTGCCTTGCCCTGCCCTGCCCTGCCCTGCTCTGCGTTGCCTTGCCTTGTTTATTATCCTTTCCATTGCTGGGTTCTTTATTGTATTTCCTCTCTCTGGTTGGCTTTTTAATCTGGGATCGATATGAGATTTGAGAGCGGGTTGCGTGTGTGGTATGATCGAGATGACGAGCGTTACGCAAAATGGACTCATCCTCCCTGCCTGCCTTGGTTGTATCTGTGGGAGTACAAACACGCCAATCGGGCGTTTGTTCCGCCTGAGGACTGTCTTTTTGTATTTGTAATCGTGGGCGGCGCGACTCTTTTGTGATTCGTTGGGCGTTTTATTTCGCGAGGCAGCGTGGCTGCCAAAAGAGGGCATGTGCAAGCCATGCAAAATTGATTTGCGCCTGCAGACCCTAGATCGAAATACACAATTGCGCAGACCTATCTTGGCACTCCCTTTCTCCTTACGAACCTGTCTGCCCGCCCGCCTGCCTACCAGCACGCGCTAACCAACAGATCCCACATCTCCTGTCCCCCTCTCCTCCCCCCCCCCCTACCCGTACGCTCTCAATAGGCAAGCCAACATCAACACCCTCTACAACAAGCTCCCCAACAACCCCATCTTCAACTCGCCCATGTCGAGCTCCTCCTCCTGCGCTTCCTCGCCCTTCTCCTCGCCCGAGACCGGTGCTGAAATCGATCTCCTGGACATGCCCATGTTCTTCCCCAGCGAGCAGTCTCTCCAGCCCATCCTCGATCTCGGCGCACCCAATGACTTGCTGATGCAGCAGCACCCCTACCAGTCCTGTGCCTCCGTACAGCAGCCCAAGCACCCGCAGCAGTTCCAGTTCAGTGGACTAGCTCATATCGGTCTGGGAACACCTCCTACCTCGCCCCCTACTTTGACCTTCCTCAAGTATACGGGCACTAACAATGAGATCGGCACCATGTATTATGGCTCGCAGCCCCAAGCCATCCAGAACGCGTATGTGATCCCTGCACAGCTCTCACCACCAGAACAGCAAACACCAGAACAGATACAGCAACAGCTGCAAGAACAACTGGCGTATCATGAGTTGATGCAGCAGTTTGATAACCTCGAGAGTTCTCTCTTTAGTCCCAGTCCAACCATTAGTAGCTGTAGCAGCAGCCTCAGCAATAGCCCCTACGCCGAGTCTCCACTGATGGCCCTCAGCTCGGACTTTGATCTCTTTCCCATGAGCAACCCTGTCCAGCAACATACCAGTGGCTTCCCCTCGGCCCCGGTCATGGCTCCTTCATCTGCTGTGCAGTCGATCTACAGCCAGACCAATGTCTATCATCAGATGACGCCGCCCATGAATCAGATGGATAATATTGAACGTGAGGTATCTTCGTTGTTCAAGCACGATACAGTCAATGCCGCTCCTCTCGCTCAAGAAACCCTCACCACGGAATTGTCACTCCTCTGCAAATGCCCAGGAAAGTTCCCCTGTGGCGAACAGCTCCCTGGTGCCCCCATCGAGAACAGCCCCTACTCTGACTTGTCCTTGCAGGACATCCGGGAGAACGAATACTCGGAATCAGAATCAGGGTCGGAGGAGGAAGAAGAAGAGCAGGAATTCGATCACAGTTATGTGCCATCGCGCGCCAGATCTGCTGCAGGACCATCTTCGTCAACGGGCAGCAAGCCCAGGCCAAAGTCCATGGTGATCTCGACATCCAGCACTGCTCCTTACGATTCACCCTACTCCAAGGAGTCGATTGATTCGCCCAAGACGCCTGTCCGACACGATCGCCGTCGATCGTCCTCTGGATCGTATTCATCATTCGGCGGCCATTCTCACAATCAGCTCCTTGATCCAGAGTTGGTCCCCGAGATCAAGGATATTCACGTCTGCCCGGTCTGTCAGCGTCGCTTCACGAGGCCGTTCAACCTGCGATCACACTTGATGACCCATACGACCGCCAGGCCCTTCCCTTGCGACGAGTGCCACTGGAAATTCACTCGTCAGCACGATCTCTTGCGACATAAGCGCGCCAAGCATCCTAATTCGGTCACCAACACTTCGTCGAATGCAGAACAGAACAAGGACAGCAATTCGCGATCTGCCTCCGCCGCCTGAACCAACAAAGCCATTAGATGTGGGTTTTAGTCGGAGCTCGTATTCCTCTCTTTTCCCACCAACAACCATATCTCTCAACTCTCTGCTCCCCACCCTGCAATCTCGAAACGTTCAACTGGCGACTCATCACTTACAACCTTAATGACGAAAATCGTAAAAAAAAATTGGTGGCGATCCAGTCCGATCGAGTAGCAGCAGCAGCAGCATCAGCAGAGTCCGTGCACCCGCGGCCACAGGATCAACATGCGTCAGCGACGCGTGTCCTTTTCCTTCAGCAAAACATTGTCCCTCAATTCTCCGCTCACAGCCCTGTTTGATGCGTTTGAGTTGTACTCAGTTCTTATCTAATAGTGTTTAGTTCATCCAACCTGTTGTTTATTCCTCATGAAATTTTTGGGAAGCACTTCGCCCATGGCATTGTATATATATTACAATAATAATAATAATAAACTTCAAAAGTCCTTTCACAGCGACAGTAGTTTTTTTTGTTTCGTTTTTTAACTAGTGCATCTACACCGAAACCATGACGTTTCTCTTTTAACGACTGAACAATCTGCAAAAAATAAAAACGAAGTTCGAGTCTACTTCTAGATGAGCTCCTGTAGTACAAACAGTCGACAACAAATAACTTGTACTAGATCCATTGGACACTTGGGTATCCCCTGGCATATCATGATTTGACGAGGACGGCAAAGGAACCCGGTTTTGGACTTGTGCTTGAGTCATGCCACAGATCTTTTTTTTCGGCGCCCGCTAAAGAAAATGGATGTGCTGCAAAAGAATGGATATCGACTTGCGATTACAGTAAGTACATGCACATACACATACACATATACATGTAGATACATGCATGCATACACTTGCTTCGCCTTTGTAGGCATTCTCAATCACGCTTTTTTTCTGGTAATACCGCTTCGAGAAGGGCCTAAAATATGTCTTCCAGTGCAGACTATTTAAATACTCGTATTTTTCGCTTTTCGCGTTTTTCGGCTGGCAGAAGTCCTTTCTTATTTCTCCATTACCATCACCATCCGTTCTTCTTCATTCTTCATTCTTTACCAATCGACTTGTTTTTGCACTTATCGGTCCCTTCCGCGCGTCGACATACAAAAATACCACCACACACTCCATAATAAATACCTCTATGACAACCATTCTGCGACAGCGCTCCACGCGTTTTTGCTCGCACCTTTCTAAGGTTTAACAAATATAACACTACAAAATACAGTTCAATTGTGTAGCCTGACGTGGTCCAAACTCCACGCTCACCAGTTCCCAACAATGTCTTCACAGGTGCTCGAGGAGGAGAGAGAGGAAGAGGAGGAATAACTTGTACGACATCGTGCTGCTGCTGACGAGCAACATCAGCAATCAACTGCAATAGCAATTGCAATGGCGACACCACAACACACCGCCGGACGAAGACGTAGAAGTCGTCCAAAGAAAATTCATATTTCCAAAGGCCCAACGCTAACGGCACAATGCAATTTGACCGCAGTAGCCGATTATATAAATGATAAGATCAGGATCCAGCTTCTAAGAAGCCTTGAGGAGCAAATCGTGGCCGACATGACGGATATCACATGCATTCGAAATCTCGACCCTCCGTTCTTACATGGCACCCATGCGTAGGTGGAAGGCTATGAAAGTGTGCTTACAGCAAGTGAGAGGGTAGCCACCATCCTTATCGCAGCCCTACTGTGATCTCAATGGACGTAACTAAGATACGGGGGGTTTTTTTCTGACAGTCTTGGCTGCACTATCACCCATGCTACTACTGCGATCAGATTCGAAGGCGCGCGCAACCTCGGTGCACAGGAAAATGCAAACTCACCGCATGGATCCTTTAAAGTAATGAGCTCAAAAATACTATGGTCTTCCTGAATTAAAACGGATGTGAAGGAAGAAAGATGCGAACGCGTGTAAGGTGCATGAAGGACGGATGCAAAAAAAATGAGAGGGTGTACGTAGAAAATAGAACATAGGATAACTCTAGCATTAGGAAGAATTAAAACGATTGAAAAAGGACACTGCATTTCCTTTTTGGGATGATCCTGCGCAGCCGATCTGAAAAAGGTTGCCGTATTCTTTGGTTTCCTCTTCCATCTTTGCCTCTGCTCCACCTACTTTCCCGCATACGACATACTCAACTCGGAAAACTCTTAGCCCAACCCAAGCTCGTCGTCATCGTCATCAAGTCATCGGCCAGCAGCAAGTGTGCAACAGCAGCAGAGTTAAGGGGTCGTGGGCAGTGGTCAAATAGGGATGCGTAGAAATGAAGACTGTTTAATGGCCATAAGCGAGGGCTATACATACATATCTGTGGCCTATTGAACAATGTAGTAACAGTGCAGCTTGGTAACCGAATGATAATCCTGTTGCAAAGTGACCAGAACCAAGATCTAGAGGGTCTCCTGAACAACAGCGCATTCTATTTCTCCCTTGTGACACTGCTCCTCACCGGCAAGTTGGGTCGAAACTCGCCGTATATGCATGCCCTTAACGCACTACCAAGAACCATTACCACGCGCGCATCGATAGGGCGACCCACCAGAGACTCGGCCACTACCCCAAGGACCACATGCTCCCCGCGTATATAACGGCTACGTTAAGGTCATCAACTTCACTCCATTCCAGAACCAAGGATCTTGTACGTTCCCAAGCACCGTGGGTAGATTGGCTGTGATGGGTGTCATAAGTGCGGTGCGGACATATTTCATGAATGCCACATTCTCCGACGATAAAAAGAGACCACCGGAGCAAAACGCAATTCGATTTTTTTTTCGAAGAGAACGACCAACATCACAAATACAAGGATTTCGCTTCAATAAAACTGTCACTAGGCTTTGTGTATTTTTCTGAAGCCGACCTCTACCACCTTCTTTACAGCGACGCCCGCTCCGCGCCTATCATCAAGGAGGTCATGAACCAGAACGAAACGATTAAGGCGGAGGAGTCGGTTATCGCGCAGAATGGCCTTGTGACGAACAAAATGCTCTACAAGAAGACCAATGGATTTGCATGAAGGAACGGTTGCACGAAAAAACGTAACGTTGCAGAGTGATAAAAGAACAAGCAAGCACAAGCTCCGCGGCGCAGTTGCAATAAACGAACTCCGTCCCCATCTGCTAGCCTACGATACGATGACTGAGCAATTTTGGAAAAAGGACAAAAAGGGCAAAAAGGGCAAAAAGGATAAGGTCGTGAGGGATGTTGGTGACGGCGGCGAGGATTTGCTTGAGATACCACATTGTATCAAGGATGGGGCTTGAGCTGGACGAGACATTCTTGGAGGATGACGACTTGACAGGTACTTATAGACACAGACGCACTTGAGGATGTTGAAGCGACTGGCACGACCAACGACGCTTCCAAAATCCACTGGACAAGAGGTTCGGAGCTATTGCTAAAAACCACGATACATTTTCACGGAAGAACATCCTTATCCCTCGGCGGCAAACAGTGATCACAGGTATTAGCCCAGGAAAGGTTTATACAGTGGCTACAACTCGTTTCAACCCTATCGACATCAAAGATCTTAAAGGCGCCCGCATTCGGCGCAGTTTTCTGTATCAACCATACATCAAGCGCCATATGTATCTGTAAGGAAAGAATGCTTAGCATGGGATTGGTGACATTGAGAACCAAATTCCTTCAATGGCCATCACCAACATACACCCATATCTGCAGTACATATGCGACGAACAAAGAAGAGCAAAGCTCTTCGACTTTTATCACAGCAAGGCCAACCTCAAGAACCAATGAGGGGTTCCACAAGGCCCAACAACCAACGTACGATTACGGCGTTAAAGGCATCTTGCGATTGGCTGAAAGGAGCGAGGGCAAGGATGGCTCAAAAGAAGTCATATTTGCGATTGGATTTAGGTCATTCAACGTTAAGACAGGTCTCCCAGGAGCTAGCTTGGGACAAGAGCAATAAAAAAAAAAATATGGACAGCAAACTGGGTGCTCAAAGTGGGCTTACTAGAGCAATGGGTACGGGTTGACTGGAATGAAAGTGGAATTCCATGTGTACATTCTTGGGGGCAAAAAGTGATTTGCTAATGGGCCGTAGAGAAAACGGCTCTTGCGAGAGAGGGGAGGGTGAGCATTCAGAGATCACAAGAATGCGCATACTTATAAATTATTTACAGACATATACTTCAGAGATTAACAGAAGAATATGGATGAGGGCTATAATATTAGCATCGTGCTTGCTATTTACATTCGTGTCGACTGCAACAACCGATGTAAGCACAAAATGTATTTTTGAAAAAAAAAAATCTTGGATCGCCATTGTTTAAACGTCAAGCATGTTGAGAGCGTTGTCCTTCGCGATCCCCCCAAGGCTGCACTTTTGTAGCTGCGGGATACATTCCTCTGGACGAGTTGGACTATCCCGCTTGGCCATTTTTTTTTTTTAGTTTTTGCTACAATGGCTATAACCTAGTGACCAACTGTCTCTCCAGTAGGGATTGCGACCCAGCATGCTCTGCACGCACCCCGTTTGTTGGTGGAAGCAATTTCCAAATTCACACCTTTATCCCAAATAAGGTTGATGTTTGTGTAACATTGGTTTCATCCCCACAGCACGCTCCGTCAGGGGAATGATGAGTGTCCTCAACAAAATGCCATACCATTGCTGGGAGGGGGTGTAAAAGAGTATTCGACAGCTTGATGTCTTTTCAGCCCATATACAGCATTTTAATTTAATACACCAGAGCCCTTGGCACTGAGAATCCTCATAGCCGCCCACTTCTGGAGCCCTAGTAGCCTAGCTCTGGCATTGCGTTCGTGCCTCGTTTTTTGGCTATTGTTTTTTTTTTTTTCTCATAGCGCATTTGCTCGGTCGCTCACTTCATTCAAAGCTGCTAAGTTGATTCGCGTCAGGATCTGCTCTCTTCTGCGTGGCGCTGCTGATGTCTAGAGTAATCTTGCACAACAGATCAGAGTTTTTTTGTTGTATTCTCATTCTTCTGACCGGCAAAAAAAAAAAAAAAAAAAAAAAAATGATGATAGATCTTTTAGCTCCGATCCTCTTTCACATTTACCTTGAAAATCATCCGTGTTATCATTTTTCTTTATCGCGACAATGTTCCCACTCCTAACGTGTCTCAACAATACGTCCTTGTCCTACATATAAGTCGTCAAGGGGGTAGACAAACAAAACAAACATGCACACCCGCCTCTTTGAGAGGACTTTTCAGCCAAACTAGACTACAGTACACTCGACTTTGTCCATGGCTGCAAGCAATCTGTTTGAACCGGCTGCTTTAGCTGTTGAAATGTAGTCTATATTTCTTAATCCATAGGCTGAGATAGTCGAAAGGTGGACAAAGATTCGTATTTTTTTTTTTTTTGGCGCCACCTCTAAGCACGTAATGCGCACAGTATCTAATGCAGACCTGCAGTGCGGCGTCGTAATTGTCGCACACTTTTTTAATTGTCCATGAATCTCGTTTGGAGTGCATCACTTTCTATCTCTTTTTTTTTATTTTTTTATTTGTTACCTAGTCTACGTGTGTAGTAATTTGGTCTACAAGTACATGCCCCTCCTAAACGGTCCTATAGAATTAAAATCTCAAAGTCCATGGATCAACGTGTCTATTACCGGAGACTTTTATTATTTTTATTTTTCGCGCAAGCTTCATATCTTGCGTCTTTATTTTTGTGTTTGTATCATTTGGGGGGAGGGGGAGCGTTATGTATCACGTTGAGCAGAACGGTGTGCGAAAAATGTTCTAGGCGCAAAAAGATAGAGGGGAGAGGAAAGATAGAGGGGAGAGGATAGAGAGACATTTTTCTGCGGAGCATAAAGGTAACACCAGTCTAATGTTAGAGAACGATGGACCACCGACCAGGCTGAGAGCATCTGCGGGGAAGGGAGGGGACCCACAGAAAAAAGAAATCCCATCGTTCCGTTCGTTCGTCCGTTCGTCCGTTCGTCCGTTGGATGTCGTGCAAGATGACGTGGCTGTTAGAGGTTAGGATGGATATGCATCGCGCATTCTTTTTATTTTGTTTATTTTTCTTCGTATCGTGCATGGCCAACACGTTTATGCACTTTGCAGATGGAAGGAGGGAGTTTCTGTTTTCTGTAGTACACTTGTAAAAAAAAAAGAAAACCGTTAGTAGTCTACTCTCATTGTCGACATTGTTATTTGATGGGTACGTGCGATTCCTTAAATTTTATATCAGGACACATAAAAGAATCGAGAAAAAGATCGATGGATCGCGATCCGGTTGGTTTCATTCATCTCTGCAGGATAAGTAACCCGAGTAAATAGATCGCGTTAGTCAGTCAGCTTTCGATCTATCGCCTCCCCCCCCCCTCCCTTCTCTCTATCTGCAGTAATAGCATTTGCATGCAGCCAGGGCCTATCACACCACCATGGCTATCAGAGTGGAATGCATTTTTACCCTTGGGATGGTCTTCAATATTGACAACAATAAAAAAGTCCAAACCACGTTGGAGAGACGCCGCACTTTTTTCTTCTTTATTCTTTCATGAGTCCATATTAATTGGCAAGATATGCCTATAACTGGTTAATTTGCATGTATGTACAATATCGGCAATCGCAACAGAGAAAAAGGGGACGCTAGACTCGATAATTCGAACCGCAGCTCATTCTCAATAGCCAGCTCAGCATAGTCTAGCCCAGATGAAAAAAAAATCCACTTACTGCTTTGTTTTCTCATGAGGTAGGCAAAGTCGATAGAGAATGAGAGCAAAACCATACAATGGTGGCAAAACTATGGTTTAGATGCTGTGCTTAAACACGCGGTGCGGCGTGAGGGTAGCAATAATAAACTCAAAGAAAAAGACAAAAAAAAAGAAAAAGAAAAAGGAAATGGTGGTATGACCCTCGTTATGCTTATTCGAATGCTGGATCCATTACATCTCATTGACACAAATCGGCTATCCTCCGACAGTTTATACTACAAGATGCATTAGTAAGGCAGCTTCTGGAATATAAACATGGCATTGCTTCAGGAAGGGTCGATGTTGAAAGATAACGCAAACGTGCGCAAATGACTCAGCTTACCCTGCAGGCACTTCTCCTGTGTTCATTTCTCCAAGACTCCTTGAGAAACATTGGGGCGGTACCGACTATCGCTTCTAACTGTATACATGCACCTTGCTTGTTTGGGTCGAAATGGCAAGGTCAGTGAACCACATTGAATTTGCGTGTAACGTCCGTGTCGAGGGCTTACAATTACAGAGGGCTCAGAGCTCGGGATGAAGTACCGATGGATCAAAAAGAAAACCTTGATGAGCAGGAAATGTGTGGCAGTGCAAGGCTCTCACAAGGTAACCTAAACCTACTTTCAACATGACAAAGGGGCAGCATTGGCGCCCGTGCTTGTGTTTTGTTAGTGCTTCAATCTCCCTCCTGTCTCCTTCTTCTGCGCTCTTTTCTCTTTCGTGTCTGTGTCTGTGTCTGTCTACGCAGTCTGGCTATCCAAATGTTTAGTCTGCCGAGAAATCTGTTGGCCGCGTCTGTATCCAATCCTGTCATCAACAGTCATATTGCGCTGCGCTGACCCATCCAATGGATAAAAAGACAGGTCTTATATTTTGATCCGTTCTTTTATTCCATGATTTGGGAAGAGCGCTCACGATGGACTACAAAGACACATTGGATCGTCTCTAAAACAACAACACTGGTTTGAGAAAGGAGGGGGGGGAGGGTTCAAGTGCCATACCAGTATTCTGACAACGCCTGAAGGACGCGCACTATAGCAGCGATCCAGGACTTATTGCTCGACCTATTCCACGTTGGGCGTTAGACTAAAATTCGATAAGAACCATGCAAATCTAGAATTCGAATTGCCAAGGTTTATGGCCTAAAAGTTCTACAGCTTTAGTGCTCTAGAATATGGCGGGCGCGCTGACCTCTCAGAGAGGATCCATTGCTTTAGGACGATCAATGTTTGGTCGTTTGCACTGCCACTTTGTGAGCACTTGATTACTCCTAGTTGCTTTTACAGTGGTATAAGTGGTATAACATATAAAGTGCAGCCCATGGAAATATTTGACGCCCTTTTGTCAACATTTCAAGCCTGAAGATGGTCGTCAATCGAACAGGCTCCTCCTTTTTTTATAGGTGTAGTATAAAATAGTATAATGGGGTCCTCCATAAACAATGGACACAGTATATATTGCGCCAAGAATGACGCTGTAATGCTGTTTACAACATAGAAACATAGAAGATGGCATACACGACCTTTGACTAAGGAGTTTTTTTTTTTTTTTTTTTTTTTTTTTTTTTTTGGCGGGTGTGTGTTTAAACCACTACGGAGCAAGGACATGAACCTATCACGCTACCCGAATGTTCCCACAGTGAAAAAAAAGGAGAAAGGTGTTCAAGCACGCTCGCATTGACTTAAAAATAGCGATGCTTGTTAACAGCAACCACCCACCTTGAATAATTATTGCTTCGGGAGAGAACCTATGGCTGTTGTATACAAAGGGTAATTATAGATGCCATCCGCAGTGTCACCAAAGGCTGTAGCCGGCAGTATCTATAGAAAACATACGCGTCGTTACGCCAAGGTTGCAACGCGATAGCTTGTTTGAGCGTGTCTTGTCCCGGTAGCCTTATGTCACAAAGGCCATGTGTCATCGTGCCAAAAATAAAAATAAAAACAATGGACGCGTTGAATTACAGGAGTTTCGGGCAAAGTTTAAAAAAATGCTGTATTATTCTCCATTGCAAATGTTTCTTGATTTGAGAAGAGAAGATGGCGGCTGCGTGGGCTACAGCGCACTCAGTGTGAGTGTTGGACGTCCATTGCAGATTTGTTTTCAGAATAGAGGTAAGATGACTAATGATACCTCATGTGCTAGGCGGTGAACGACTGTTGGACTGTGTTCATGGTATCGCACAACCGATCTCGCTACGTCTGAGATGGTATTCTGGTGAGGGTTTTAGTTCAACTTTGATCGATTTGCCAGGAAACTTCTGAAAGTCGACAAACCCTATGAACAGAGGAAAGGTTCCCTGTAATATCCTTGTTTCCCTGTTTCGTTTTCCGAAACATGATCCTCGACCTTCAAATTTGCGTTCATTGCACTGTTGCATCCTACCCCGGATTTTAACCTACTCATGCAGCCACGACACATGCAACGTACAGCCCAAAAAGCAGATTTAGAGTCGATCGCCCGTTACTTGATGGTTTGACCAAAAATTTTCCATTCTAGCTATGCTTGACCGTTATGCCTCCGTCAACTCCTCTTTGTCCGTGTTCAACTTGTCAACAACAGCCCGGTTTGCGATCGTAGGATTTTGACCGAACACAACACCCTTTAGAAAAAAAACAGCCGTTTTCTAGGAACCCTGTTCTCTAATACACCCTTGCATCTTCCCTTTACATCTCCCGTTCAAAACCGCAGTTACTCGTCAATTAGGATACTATAACGAGCCCTGTCTTGCATCTGCCGCCTCATTACTCTTTGACCAAGCCATTCGCGTACTTGGTCTCAGGCCCTCAGGTATATTGCCTGATATACATACATAGCCTACATAGTCTATGCACAAATTCTTCTGCCCAAAAAAAAAAGAAAAAAGAAAATGAATGAATGAACCTTTTTCTTTCATTTGATTAAGATTTCATGGGGACGCAGCAAATTAGTCTACATCTTGATTTTCGTTTGAACGACTACGCAGTGGTGGTATTGGGCAAACGCATAGTGCAATGAGACCACGACCGTGCATGCTTTTTAAAGATGGCCCTTTTTCTTGATTACGCATACCATCATTTGCTATGTTTCTCATTGGCACCAATTGTGAGGCAGGTGCTGCAGACGTGATACCTTAATGCATCCCGCAGGTAGAAATGTCAAACTCAGCTAAAAGTCCAAGCGAAGGGAGGGGCGGATCAAGGGAAAATGAAAGATGGCGAGGCAAAGAGGCAGAGCGACAGAGAGACAGATGCAGAGATTCAAAGTAGGACAGAGGAAGAGGGGAGGTTGCTCACCCATGCGCTTGGCACACATCATGATATCCGTTATTTCTATATCAACGCGTCTTTTCTTTATTCTCGTGCTTTTGGCTGTTGTTTTGAGATGAATGAGCTAAGGGTAGAGGACTCTAATCTGTTGTTGCCGAAGGTAAGTGGGTGCACTGTAATTCTTGTTTGCGTTTAAGTTTATGGTCCTACAACCATTGAATCGTTAGTAATATGTAATCCGAGAGCACTGAAACGGCATATTCCCATATTTGACTTCATCTTACCATAATCCTCTCTTCACTTTGGGGGCCCCGTGGCATCATTCTTGGGTGTCGAGAGGAGCTCAGAAAAAAAGCGCGAGCTGGGCGTGCTGGGTAAAGACTGAAGTTCAAGTAAGGGAGGCTGCATATTCAGTCAAGTCCAGTGTAATTTTAAGTTTACATGGGCAAAATGATATTCATTTTACATTGGCAGCGGGCTCGGGAGGCATACAATTTAGAATAGGTGGACCCAACAACAACAAACTCAATTGCTCACTAATCAACTAAATGGGAATGCGTAGTCTTTCTATTTTACTCCCCTTTGCTGCGTAAAAAACCATCCTGGACCTCTTTTTATTTGCTCCGCTGTATGTTGATGCTATTTCGTAATAGTCCCTATGCTCCAATAGAGCAATCGGTCGTATGGGTCGCCAGGGTAAAGGATGGGATGGATCCAAAGAGGATCCAGAGGAGCAAATCGAAGTCCAAGTATTGGTGCGGACGATTCTATTGTTTTTCATTGTTGCACCCGTGCCTTGACTTGTCAAGTAGTAGAGAATGAGCAGGCCGTTGTGCTTAAGAAGGGCAGAGTCGAAAAGGACGCAGGACGTCCTTGATGGGTGAACTGGGTGCCTGGTCTGTCGGGTGTTTCCAGAAATGATTTTCTATTCTAAACCGATACGGTCCCATTCAATCCCTAAACATCCACCCACTCGCTAAACATCCACCCATTCAATCTTCTTCATTTCTATTACTCTTTTCACATACATCTCCGAGGAAGACTAGGAAGCCTTTTGCTTCTTCGTCGGCTTCTTCTATTTCTACTTTCTCTTGTCTTTTATTTTCTTCCCCTTCCTTCTTTTTTCCCCTTCCCTCTCTCTTTTCTTCTTCTCTCATCAATCAACGTTATAACCTTGTTAGTTTTATTTTATTTTATTTTTGAAGTTTCCATCTTCACTTGTGCACGTCCGACACCGTCGTCTCGTTCGACACTCTTCACACTCAACCAGCTCATTCCTCACTAACAACCGATTCACAAGAAAAAAAGTGTCCACCCTCTCCACTCCATTCCACTCCATTCCACTCCACTCCACTCATTCAGCATTCGCCACCGACCGCCGATCTCATTCCATCTCTGGACATCCACCTGCCATCTCTCCTCTCACGCCTTTTATTCTCATACTTTGATATGAATTTTACAGTCTGTCTTTGCTGAAGGCATCTGTTCCTGGTAATTCTGGGTTCCCGTTGTTATGAAATTGGCTTTTGCAGCGCTGCTCTGCATACACTTCTACACTTCAGATCCTCAGAGTAGGATATTTTGGCAACCTATGCTCATCCCATCCACCTTTCCTTTGTTCGATCCAGTTTTCTCAGAGCATCCTTCTCCAATTTGGTTCTGGCTGTCTAAACCGCAGCTTCTAATCTTTTACACGTCTTAGGGTTTCTGTAAGCAATATTCAGTCTTTCAACAAGCCGGTATTCAGTACAACCCAATCCTTTTTTTTTTATTCAAAAAAGAATCCAGATACCTACCTATTTATCCTACCATCATCAAAACAACAGCATCAACAAAAACAACAACCGCAGCTGCGCTGTCCAACCATGACTGTCCCTCCACAGACTCCCTTTCAGTTTCAACATGCTACACACCCTGCTACCACGAGCGCTTACCAGGATGCGATCATGAAGGCAAGCACAGCCCCAGCAGATCCGTCACTTCTTAACGGCACTTCAGGATCCAAGAAGCAAAAGACGACGCCCCCATGCGATCGGTGTAGACAAAGAAGGGTAAGCACCGGCATCAATCGTTACGACAATATAAGTGATCAATTGGATGGAAGTGGTGTCTTTCTTATTATTATTTTCTTGCAATGGCATTAAAATCAAGACCAGGATATTGGATTGGAGGCCCCGGAATATTATTTTCTACATTCCAGTCCTATGATTTATTTTTCATGGAGCCTGTGTCCCATTTCTGGGGGAAGAATGACTCCCAAGCGCGACAGGGCCAACCACAGGCTATATTTTACAGCGTGTGAGCAAGGTTGATGGACATGCATAAAAATAACGTATCGTCGGGCCTACACATACAAGGGCATCGCAGACGCCCTGCGCCCTATCCCTTCTCGCCTGCATACTCACACACTCGAAAATGTGCCCGGTGCACACGCGTCTGGTCCAGTACGCGTCGTGTCAGGGCAGTCACATTCCAATGATTTCATTCGTTGATTTCTGGGCTGTGGTCTGCAGCTGCGCCAATCCAAAAGTCTAGAGGCCATCACACTCACTTCCCGCTCCACGGCTCTGTGCTGCCCTTCATCTTTTCTCTATTCGATCGTACTACAGATCAGATGCGATCGACTGGAGCCCGTATGCTCCTCATGTATAAAGTACAAGGCCACATGTGTCCGCACTGCCTTCCCAGCCGGAGCCCCCCTCTCCACTGTCTCTGTCGAAGCCATTGGTGGAGTAGGTCATAGGGCCTTGCCCTCTGGCAAGAGAGACCGACACCTTACGGAGACCGAGATTCTCGACTCCTGCCTGCGCGATGTCAGGTCCATGCAAATGAACCGATTGCGACGTATCGAGCAGTTCTTTGATCGACTCGGTATTGACGAGACGCGTCTTGATGAGGTTGGCTGGCTGACCGAGCAGATCAAGGCACAGCAGGAGAGCGTACAAGCTCCTACAGGCATCGCTTATCATCCAGAAGAGGCAAGTGAATTGGTTTCCCGCCAAAGCTGGATCTCAAACCTGCGATAGAATTACTGAGTCCAAAAATTAACGCGCGCCCTCTATTGCTCAGGTGATGGAGAACCTTGGTGCCCACGCATCCACATCTTGGATTCGTCAATTAATGCCTTTGCTCCAGGCGACAAAGCGCGTGCAGCAGATTCCCTCGACTGCAGATCTATATCACAGGGTACTGTTGCATATTAACTGCACCCTCAACCTAGACTATGATGATGTTCTTATCTCTAAACCTTCATCCTTCTTTGACCTTCCATTGTTCTAAACGACATGTATCTAGTTGACGCCGACATTGACTTCCACTAAGGCTTTGCAGGCGACATTGTCGGAGTCTGGCCAATTTCTGTGTCCCGCACCCAAGCCGACACCTTTCCCTGCCCGCGTTCCACTGTCAATCTTGAACAAGACCATGTTTGAACTGTCAGTATACGACTGCACGCAATACTTGGGCCCGGTGGCAGGAACCAAGGCTACGTCCTGGAGCGAAGAAATGCGTTTCCCTCTTCCCTGGCTTGTCCCTGAACCGCATGTCCAAGACTCCATGCTAGTTTTGCCTTCAATCGATCAAATGCTTGAGCTGATTGAGTGGATGATCCAGAGTCCGCTCTACGTTTACTTTCCTATTCTCACCAAGGCATGCATACTGAATGCATTGTCCACCGCTCTGCCACCATCTGACGCCATCTCTGTAGACCAAGAGCTTGCAAGGGAGGACAGCGCACTGCCGCATCGCATCACAGGGCGCGTGAGCGCCGTTTTTTTGCTGAATGCCATTATGGCATTGGGAGCTGCATACCGTTCAGATGCTATCAAGCAAAATCTGCCCCACAAACTTCTCAGCGGTCCCAACGCTAGAGAGAGGACATTCCCCGACTTCCAGTTGCTTTTCGACAGGAGTCGTGGTATGTGGACACACTTGGTCATCGAAATGTCTGAGTAAACGAAATATCTTCAGTCCTCAGTCGAGATGGCAATGTATACTAATCGCTAGACATTTACCTATCATTAGCGCTTACCGTATACATTATGGACCAACCGCGAGTTTCGACTCTTCAAGGGCTTCTCCTTCTCATGAAGTGCCCAACCATCCCTGGCATCCAGAATTTATACCGCGAGCAGGCTTGTGCCATGGCACTCTCACTCGGCCTCCATCGAGATCCTGAGCCATGGACACTCTGTCGCTCGGTCATTCAGCTCCGCCGCAACATTTTCTGGTGCTGCTATGTGATCGACGCCTCGTACAGTCTTAACTCGAGTACTCCCGAACGATTCCCCGATGACTACATCACGATTGGTCTTCCAACGCTCCCCTCGATCGAAAACGGTGATGATATTGGTGAGATTGAAGCAGAGAAGGAGACGAGGCGTATCGGTTTCTTGATTGAGCAGGCTAAGTTGTGGAGGATCGTCAAGAAGATTCGCCGCTGTGGACAGACCTCTAATAAGTCCTCTGAGAGCTACTGCGAGGGAGCTAACTTGTTCCGCCACGAAAACAGCAGCGCTCCATCACCGGCGACCAGCTTTTCGCCCCCATTCTCTAATCAAGCAAATGGCACCACAACCCAGACGCCATATCAGTTTGGATCCACCAAGTCATCACAGGCGCAACTTTCTTGGGTCTGGCGTGCGGATTCTGCGCGTAGGATTTTGGACGTGGAGCTTGCCCAGTGGCAGATGGAGCTGCCCCAGGACCTTCGATTCGACGTTGCTCTGACACGCAAAGATGATCCTTGTCCCTTTGCTGTGAGAGTCAATGGCCTTGGAGGTAAGTCGCATTGCTTCGCGCGCACCTAGGTGTTTAAAAGTGAGGAGGCCTTGTCTATTAACACGTTCTTCCGCTCCCATTTGATGACGTGATCCATATAGCGATGTTGCAGATCATCTTCAACGAGGTGTTGATTCTCCTCCATCATCCGTTCTTGGTTCTTGCGGGCTCGCAGAGTCAGCTTAAATCAGAGCAAAGCATGCAAGAGCTCGGTCATCATTTAAAATCGCATTCAAGCACAGGCTCCACCAAAAGTCCTCGCTCGCGTAGGTCAAGCTCTGTCTCGAGATCTTCCACCTCTTCGAGCGCACCCGGAGGCATGACCCTTACCGAGGATGGCTTGAACAGTGCAGCTCGCTCCCTGCCTCCATTCCTTAACAGCTGCACAAAGGCTGCCGAAGCCATCACATTTCTTATCGACCATCTCTTACGCACCACTCCAGAGTGGATCGTATGCCATAACGAAGTCGAGTCCGCCCTCCACTTTGCTGAGCGCGTCCACACTCTTAATGTCACAATAGCCGGCAACAGCGACGCCTTGGACGTCGCCCAGAAAGTCCCCAGCTATGCTGCCCATGTCAATGGCCAGCATGCAAGGTCTCAGTTGAGGAAGACACGAGCCCTTCGAAGAACGGTCGGCGAACTTGATCAATTCACGATGTCCTCGGGATATAGGCCCGAGTTTATGACGAAGGAGATGCTGATTCGGGGTCATGCTCGCGAGAGACTGGCACGCAGCATAAGACAGATGTTTACTCACAAGCGTGGACCAAACTACTATCGGCTCCCCAGAAGCCCACCAGAGACAGATTCACTTGTTGACAGGAACCAACATGAAGTTACAGAGGGTGGAACGGGCCAGGATCATTTGGAGATGCGACTTTCGTTCTATGACCAAAGGATTTGGATTCGATATTATAATGTTCGCATCAAGGATGGACTTGAGTCCAAGAACGGAACCGAGAGCTGGCTGGAGATTCTCAACCCATATACCCCTCCAGCCGAGCTCGATGTCGACACTGACGGGGAGGACGAGAGTGACGCCGTCCCACATTCGATCGGCTACTCTTCGGCCGATGACCTGATGATGTCTACATACGAGAGCGTGGACTTCGGGAGAAGAATAGATTCAAAAGTGGAAAAAGTTGGTTCCCGAGATGGCAACGATGGGTCGATGGACCCACCGCAGTCGTCCTCAACGGCGTTGATGGAACTGTTCAGCAACCCCAACCCCTCGGGACTTGTGAACTTTACGGATATCGTCGGAGGATCACCTTACTATCCGAACCAGCAGCAATTTACCAGCAAGAAGGAATTTGGGAAGGACTACGGAGTGATTGAACCTGGATTCGACATGCCCATCTATTACAGGAGTCCATTTGTGCCCGAGAATGTATCTCTCGATGACTTCGACAGAATCGAACCCCCAATGTCACTCGAGGGCTCCTCTCAGGAACAGCCACAGTCTCCGGATATGTTCCAGCCTCAGCAGCATCTTCGAGGGTTCCGCGTCGGTTCTAACGGATCCCAGCAGGCGGATGAATCCTATCCTCAACCATCATATCAACTGCAGCGACCTGCTTTCGAGGCACGAACATCTTCCACCGTCGGTATGAACCCTGCCGTATCTTCGCCACCATTCTCTACACCCGCGTCGCCCAGCCTGACAACAACAGAGGGAACCATGGGCCTGGGATTATTGGCGACCCCGACATCGCTGGCTTTGCAAATCCCAATCACCCTTAGCGGAGGGACGTACATGAACCTCCTTCATCAACAGTTTCCTAACCAACACATCCCCGTTCAGTCCCTTCAACAACAGCAACCGCTCAATGCCTCCTCCTTGAATGCAATCCATCAGAATCTCCGACAGCCCTTTTACGGTATGCCCGTAGGCGGATTCATGGCCCCATCTTTGCATTCGTTGCCGGAGATCGACAGGAGCGCCAACGGTCAGCGATCTGCAACCATACAGTCAGGCAACTTCCTTGTCACGACCTCAACTTCAGGGCAGCAACAACAGCACCAGCAGTCTCCAGTATCTGCCACGTCCTGGACTTTGGATGGCCAGGCTACTCAGGGTTCATCCTCGTACATGGGCACGTCGGAGCCTCTGTCCCCAACCGTACCTTCTTCGATCAACTCTTCTGTCCCACCATCTCCCATGACACAATCGTCTCTCCGAATGATGCTCTCACCCACCACCACTGAGGCGCTGCATACCATCTCAAACAGACTGAACTCCTGGGATGGTCTCTCGGGACCCAAAACCGACACGCAGATGGACTATCCCAATACCACCAGCGTCAATTCCAGCTTGACACAACACACCGGAGGCGCTCAGTTCGCCAATGGCTGGTCCTCTGCTTCCTCGACATCCGAGCTAATGACAGGCACCAACAACAGCACACCAAGGTCCAGCGTGCCTAGCGATGGTGGTGTTGGCAATGGCAGGAGTGGTTCGACGGCGTTTTTGACAGATGTGGGCAATTCAACCTCCCACAACACCGTCAACCCGTTGGCGAGAACGGCAGAGCATCTGATGGATGGTATCGAGGCAGGTCCCTCGACGTCGCCGACTTCTGCTAGTCTTTTACACGGTGGAAACCACATCAGTCATCATCGTCACCAGGTCTCTGCAGTCCCGGAAGCGCACTTTGCGAACTTTACTACGAATTTGAATCCTGAGGACCCTGCTCGATTCTATCGACCTCAACAGGAAGTAGGGAGTGAAATCAAGGACGGAATGCCCACGGCAAGTACATGCGCTGGTGCCGGAGCTGGTGATATTGATACAGCGCTGGCTATGCACAACAGAGGCATGGCACCTGCGATTGGGGGAGCAGGCAGACGTACGTAGGAGAAGAGTTTCGTCCGACGATGTGCCCTTGCGCTTGGATATTCATCTGTGCCAAAGCAAGTTTATTATCTCATCCTACTATCCACTATAGTATTTAATAGTAATGCCGGAAGAAATAAAAGTTCATCATCTTCCTATATATCAAGCTCTCACTCAATGCCACAACTAACAATATTCTATGCTTTATTTTATTTTTTAAATAAATGAATTGGCATCCGTTATGACGAAGAAGGAGTTGGTTGGGATGATAGGTGGTTTGGTGGGTATACTTGACGAATATTAAGATTAATGCGTGCCTCAACAAGGTAATCGGCATAAATATCCCACTCGGGTTCTTCAGGCCGAGATCGAAGGTATTCTGGGATAGTGTCTTCAATGATCCTTGGCACACCTATAAAAAGAAGAAGAGAAAAACCAATTGGTTATGAGCAGCAAATTTTCAAGAGATAGTGGTGTAGTTCCGTATGCCTCAAGCTCCATACCATGGAATGCAGATCGGCAAGGTCCGGTCATAACGAGGATATCTCCGCTCTGGAGCAGAATGGGGGTAGGCGACCTCTCCCGCGTGGGTCCTCCCAATAGATAAATACAAGAATGGCCGAAACTTGATAACGTGGAGTATAATATAAACGAATACAAAGCCATGTTAGTAACTTCCATTTTTTTTTTTGCAGTTGCAGTTGCAGTTGCAGATGAGGAAAACCAAGGAGAATCTTTTTTTTTTTTTTTTTTTTTTTTTTTACCTGAACGAAACTAAGGGTGCGTCCTTGTTCAGTTCACTACGGTCGACATGTCCCATCAACCGATCCTTGAGCTGGTAATAATTTACGACGCCGGCCTCTGCTACAAAATCATCCGCAGCGTACGGATAAGGCCCCACACCATCGACGGCATCCACCACTGCCTTGGACAGGACCGACAGCTCCTGTGGAAAGGGTGCATTTTGATCAAAGTGATAGGTCTTGGAGGGCCAGTGGTACTGGTACCCCAGTGTGATCCAACGCATCTTCCGCAGGAGTTGTCCAGGCGGAAGGATCGGCACCTGCGCAGACGGTTCTGGATCCACCTTCGGCACATTGTCCGGTACCGTAGGAGTTTCGTCCGTGATAGGGACCAAGCTCCTGACAGAGGGTCGAGACGGCTTAGGTTTCTTATTGGGCTGCTCATGTGTCGTCTTGTGCTCAGAGTGGTGGTCAGTATCATCGTTGTTGCCGTCGTTGTCATCATCGTCGTCTGAGCCGTATCCGCCAGCGTGTTGGTCTGCAGTGGCCTTTCGAGGAACATAGACCTTGGGGTCGTCCAGGGGTTGTTTTCCTGTGAACACGTTTTCATGCAGATCCCAGATCCCGCTGTTAGGGACAATGTAATGTGTATCGAGATTGCTCTTGTTCGGGTGCCGTGAGTACTCCTTGAGACAGGCTTTGATTAGCGTCCGTTGCGCCGAGGGTGTGAATGCCGCAGGGATGTAAATCAGGCCGGGATGGTCCTCATGGAGATATGCATACTCTGTTAGGTGATCCTGCCCCTGCTCCTGTTCCTGTGCTCGTGAATCACCTTTGACGCCAAACAGTCCTGAGAACTCGCACATCCGCCTCCGTAGTGGGACTTGCTTGATCTTTGTATCTCTCAGCAATGTCTCCACGGGTTGTCGAAAGTCCAAGGCCTCGGAGTAGTCCGGTGCGGGGTGGCGAGAAAGATATTGAAGTTCGGCCTCCCGGAACGGTGTCCTAGAGTTGGATCGCTTGGCGGCGGCCAATTCTCGGTTGAGCTCAGCTTGGCGCTCCCGGATCTTGCGCTGGCGATTCGACAATGGTTGTGGATCTGGCATGGCTCAGACTGGTGGGATGAACGATGAGTGATGAGTGTGAAGCTGGAAAGTTCAAGGCTCGACAAAGCATGTTTATTAGTGGGCAAGGTGACTGCGCCCTAATGATGCTCAGAATCCTATGGGCCCTCAATGCAAGAAGGAGGCTGTGCATGGGTTCGTGCCATGATTATTCTAAGTTTATTTGGGTTTCTTCATGGCCTCGTAGCGCCTAGTTGGCCTTGCGTGTCATCACAAAGAGCTGCATGGTATCTTGCTGGTGCACATTCTCAATGTTGAAGTAGTCCTTAGCCCGCTCAAAGAACTGCTGTTCGGCCTCGTGGCGGAACTTGTATCCCAGCAGGACTTTGGTCTTCTCGTCGCTATAATCCAGAATCGTCTGTAACAAGAACTCATGCGACAGATCATTATAGACCACATCCGCCAACAGCAAGATCTCAACGGGCTTGACCTTGCGATCCTTCTCGGCCCAGTCCAAGAAGCCGACTTTCATGTTATTGTTGGGTAGGAGCGCTGCGTTCGCATCCACATTCTGCTGCATCAGAGCCAAGGCCTCATCCAGGTCAGTTGAGAGTACGCTGAGTTCTGGGAATGCTACTGCGACGGCAATGCCAACGAGTCCTGTTCCAGCTCCAAGTTCGAGACATACTCTCTCACGGCACTGACTGGGTATTGGAGTAGGGGATGGATCCGATGGTGATGATGATCCTGGTGCTGGTACTGATGTATCCAAAACAGAGAGCGTCGATAAAGATGATTCTAATGATTTTTCCTGGTTAACATCTACTTTTTCATCCTTGTCCTGCTCCCGTGTCTCCTTCATGTACTTGCTGAGCCATGAGTCCGAAAGCATAAGATGTTTGGTCATAAATACTCCTGAATCCCAAATATGCCGAGCCATGAATCCTTCCGTTGCATCCTCCCGAACCAGTAGTGATCGGCCGGGTCCATGCAGTCCTGTGAGATGCGCTGGCAATTTGAAATAGCGCTCCACCAGATCCTGTCGGGTGTCGATCAAATACTTCTTGTTAACCTTCCGATGCTTTGTCTTTTTCGAAAAGTTCAATGGTGCTGGCTTCAGGTGGATAGGCAGGGACCATGCAGGCAAGATCTCGTATTCTGGTGGCTCAAGCAATGTCTTGGAGCCTGGTTGGTTGGTGGTGTACGGCGTTGGATCGAGACTAAGGACGAGCTGGCATTCATCGTAAGGGGTCATACAGGGAGCCAGGCGAACATCGACGGAACAGTATCCGATCTTGGGATCATAATCGAGTGAATATCCCTGAGTGAGTCCCTGAGGCATGATCGTCATGACAGTGTCTTCGGCGGTCGCCCCTGGGATGGTGGATGGGGTCCGGACAACGGTCTGGCACCTGAGTTTGCAGGGCTGGTCATAGAACTTTTCGGTCAGGTCTGTGGTAATCGTGAAGACGAGCTTGAATGGCTCCTGAATCACGGCCTCAATGGGCGTGTTCTTGAGCAGGCGGATATAATAGTACATGCAGGGCCCTTGAGTATATCGATGAAGCAAGGAGGAATGTTAGAGGACAAGGAAAAAAAAAAAAAAAAAAAGTTGTTTGTTTGATTGGCAGAGTGTTAAGGGTCAAGACAGCTGTTTGAGTAGGATCGCATTTTGGTGGCGTACAGCCGCGCAACTCTTCAAGTGAGCATCTGCTTTGCGCTCAAGCATCAAGGAAAGGACATCAGGAAAGATAGGACCATGGACAACGAGACATTGAAGAAGTTATTTAAGGCTGGGGCGATTCTCCTGGTTTTGGATGCACCTCAAAATCAACTCGAGTTTGGCATCGATGTTAATTGCTGGAACACGGGGCCGCGCTTCAAGGGCATCAAGATCATTCCTCCTGGTGCACACTTTGTATACTATTCTCTTCACAACACCAAAAGCACGCAAGCGAATCCCGATGACGAGGCAAAAGCGGATGGAACACTAGAGGTCATAGAAGGTGGCACAACTGGAGGAGATGTCAGGATCGGATTCTGGCACCAGTTTGAGAGCGGCGAGGTTGTAGTCATGAAGTGGAATGCATACAACGAGAATATGGAGCTCGAGAAGGACGTAGATCAGATCGCACGGTACAAAGCAGGTATGACAGGGCCATTGAGCTGTTCTGAAATGATGTAGGCTTGAAACCGATGCCATGGAGGTAATAGCTAATCGAACGCTTGGAACGATACTCGATAGGCATTCAAGAATTTGATCCATTTCTCGGTCCATACCCGCTCTTGCCACCGGAAGCAACTTATCCAGCATGGATAAAGCTCGCCAACCACATCACACAAAAGACTATCAGCAGGCTCTTCCCGGAAGACGGGTTCGTGGATTCCTATGACGATCAACTGGAGGCCGAGCTGTCAAGGGCAACAAAGATTATTGATCGAGAACAAAAGGAAGAGAAGGAGAAAGCAGAAAAGGAAAGACTACAGCAAAGTGCACAACAAGTCAGAAGCACTAACACAATCCAAGAAGAGGACGAAACCGCGATGGAGACGGACTCGACAGACGATCAGCATGCCGCTCCGAGCGCAAAGGATATTTCAAAACGGCCAAAATCAGCCATGGAGCACATATCCGTTAAGTTTACGCCAATCGACCTGCGGTCGTCGTTCCGAAAAGGTGCTGTGGGGGAGGAGGTCACGCGATACAGTTTGGACAAGAGCTGGCTCCTGAATAATCTGTTTTCTACTGTCTACAAGTCTGGTATGTTTTTATTTATGCATCTGTAAAATGATTTGTAGCCTCCCATGGTTACCTAACCTTCGTATTTTTTAACTCTTATCTAAATGCTAGACGTTTCCGCTTTCCTGGGCGAGTACCAATCAGCGTTCGTAACAATGCTTTTAAGCTACCATCTTGGCGCATTCCGACAGTGGAAGACCATGACCATCCTAGTGTGTCAATCCACAGAAGCGACCTCTTCGTCAAATTACACTAGCCTTTTTTCCGAGTTCATCCAGACGCTTCTCCATCAGTTGACATCGATCCCCTCTAGCTTCTTCATGGACCTCTTGTTCGCTTCACCGGATCAAGACGACATGACCGCCAACTTTTTGGAGCAGGCGCTGAGGGTCATGGGCCGCAATATTCAGTCAGGTCTTCGACGTGGACAGTGCTTGGAGTTGCGAAAGCCGATGCATGCACTTCAGAAGGCGGTTCAGGAGAGCTTTGAGTGGAAGATCCCGGGCGATTTCAAAAAGATCCAGAAGGTGGTCGAGGTGACCAATGAAATGGGGTTGGCTAGCGACGAGGATGATGACTATGAGGAGGAAGGAGAATATGCACCGGTTATTGTTCAATAAAGCAATACTACTGCAGCCATTGCTTGGGTAAATGCTGTACAGGTACTTTGCATGAAAATTAGGACGATGAAAGAGCCCGTTTGGAATCCAGGCACAGAATCGAAAAGTTAATGTTGGCGGCATAAAGTTGGCCCTGCGTCAAAACTTGTACGTCTTTCAACAGCGTCCTTGAGTATCTCATCTTCCTGAAATACACACAATCAAGGATTATACTAACCTTCTTAATCGGAGGAACAACTTTATGCATGTTCGTTAATAAGGACGGCGGTACATGTATATGTCTATATTCGTCTACGTTTCAGGGTACTTGGGTTATACAAAATGCTGCAAAGGGCCAGATCCTACGAAAAGACCCTTCATAGCATCCATTCTATGTATAAACATCAATCATTCTTGGCTGCTTCTTCATTTCGGCGTGGTACATGCACAGCTCCAACGCTGCGCGCCTTTTTTTTCGCGCCCATGTAAGATGTAAGGATCCATGGAAGATTATGATAATCCCATGAATGCAAAGGGGCCGTTGAACTTTGTACTATAGGCTGCATCCAGAGCATGAAAGGCAAATCATACTTCGGTATAGGTAATCTACTTCATCCCCTGATTGACCCCTAACCCTATGGTAGGTTACTGGATCTGCTCTTGTTGTTTGCGCCGCCCCATCCAAGATGTTGGCGTTTTTTTATTACTACTTGCAACCAGTGTATGTTCATGCTCATGCCTGTTAGACGCTTGTTGATAGCCCAAACTTCTAAGGATCAAAGGACACAGTCGTGTCTCGTCTTGTTTTGTTTGCTTTCTTTTACTCTTGATTAAAGGAGGCACCCGGCCCAAGCGTGGTTCGCTGGTTCGCTTAAACAGATAAACGGAAAGACGATTGAGTGCGGCATGTTAGGGTATGTGCCTCCATGAAAACATCTTTGATGCCATTGCATTGTAACCTATCGTGTTTACCTCCTACTCCTGTTTGTCACCATTGCCGACCATCGCGTGGTTGTTAGTAAAATAAGGAAAAAAAAATCTCGGTCGTCTTTTTTTTTATCCCCGACGCTATGCTCTCTACTTGCTGCAGTCCAACTCAGTTAACAACTTCTTCTCATGCGCATATATATTTGTCTACACATCAACTTCGTACACCCTCATCTTATGGTTGGCTGGCTATATAGTCTATTTGTCTTTGTGGTTGCTTTTGTGCATGTAGAGTTTGCACATGTGCAGCACTATTATGTACAATTATCCATAGACCATAGAACGGCGGATGGTCAACACGATCTTCAAGGCTCACCCATATCCCTTACCGATTCAAAAGCAATGCTGACATACCCATTTATTCCTTCCATCCTCCATCCCCCATAGATATATAAATAGTGTGCTTCCTTGATCGACGGAAACACTCGCTTCGACGTCTACCTTCCTCCTCTTGCTATTCGCTTTGCAATTCCATCATATACCCTTGATTCTATCCTTATACCTTGATTCAGCGAGTTGCTCACAACGCAACCCATTATCCTGCCATCCATAGTTGCGCGCCAAAGCAAAAGCAAAGCAAAAAAAAAAAAGCGTTCTAATACACATTCACTGCTATGTCCTTAACACAACTTAAAGTATTAATTGTGGGCGCTGGATTGGGTGGCCTCACACTGGGCCTCCTGCTCGACCAGGCTGGTATCCCTTACATAATCCTCGAGAAGCACGCTGGGGATCTTGTTCCATTAGGCAGCAGTATCTCGCTGAACCAGACCATCCAACCTCTGCTTGAGCAACTGGGGATGCTCCCAGAACTTGAAGCCATTTCCAAGCCCATCGGTTCCCTGACGTTCCTCAAAGAAAGCATGAGTAAGATTGGTGCGCTTGATCTGAACTCTGACTCTGTGAGGTAAATAGTCTATCTTACAAGAAATGAGCGTTTTTTTATTTTCACTCTCCCTCCCTTGATCTCAGAAAAGCTAACAACGATCTGCATTCTCTTTCTGCACATTGCCCCCTGTCCTCAATACAAGCAGATATGGATATTACAATAGGTATAGTGTGTGTGCATCATGGGATTACAAAATCCCTCAGCGGCTCTTATGCTTGTGTCCCCAGGAAGAAGTTGCACAAGAGCGCTGACATTTTTATTTCTGTCTGGTCTGATGTCGTCTTAAATAACTGCGATAGGATCATGGATCGTCCTTCGCTTTACAAATTGCTGCTCTCGAGGATACCTCCGGAGAATGTCATCACAGGAAAGCGCGTATGCGATATCGAGCAGAATGAAAAAGGCGTACTGGTCCGTTGTTCTGACACCAGCGTCTTTGAGGCCGATATTCTCGTGGGCGCAGACGGGGCTTATTCGAACGTTCGGAGATGCCTCTACAGGGACCTCAGGATGAGCAATCTTTTGCCCAAATCAGATATGGCGCCGCTGGCCTTTGACCATCATTGCCTTGTTGGTAAGGGCTCGACACATGCACGGAAAAGGCAGTTGCCCAACTCTTTTAGCTAGGCTCTGTTGGGGAAATTATGCCAAACCCTTGAATCCAAGCCCGACCTATTGGATCTCTAATTCTCATTCACTACAAATGCCCCTCCTACAGGTGTGACGGATCCAATCGACCCTATCTACTTTCCAGACCTGAGCAAAGACACATGCGACATGATGGTTGTCATCGGCAAGGACAAGCCTTACTCGGTAAAACTAACAAGAGTGAAATATGTATCGATCATCTTGCTGCGGGCAGTTTACCTCGGATGAACAGTTTCCTAATAGTTACACGTGGTTCATTCTCATGTTCTGTCTTGTAGTGGTGGTTGATCCCTCTAAAGAAAAACAGGATCGCATGGCGGGTTACCTATAACCTACCGTCGACGCAGATCCGTCAAGAACATCACATTCGATCATCAGATTGGGGTCCGATGCAGGTACAGGAGATGGCAGACACTTGTCGAGACTTTGTTTGCCCATATGGCGGTACACTTGCAGATCTCATCGATAAGACGCCTATGGACAGGATATCCAAAGTTTTGCTTGAAGAGAAGGTAAGTTCTCTATGGTTCACAGCACGTTTTGCTTGGCATCTATGGTGGCATCTATTCACATGGACTCAATATGGTTTAACATCTTGTAAACTAGTTTTTCGAGACCTGGTACCATAACCGTGTGGTTCTTATAGGCGATGGTAAGAAGGATATCATGGGAATATTCACAATTACGGCTGCAGTTTCCTTTATTTACCTGCATCTCACCTCTATCTTTTTTTTTGTGTGTCTATGTGTATGCAGCATGCCACAAGGTAACAATCCCACGTGCGAACACAGCATTCACAGACACGTCTCGTCAACGCGTCTTGACGCCCAAGGATCTTAGAGCTCCAAAACGTGTGCTGACATGAACGATCTTATTCGTGCTCGATTATTCCCATCCTTTCACAATTTATCTGACCGATGAACTTGCCAGGTTGTTCCACATGCAGGGTAAGTGTAAAATCTCACAAACAGCCATGGCCTGGGTGAAAAAAAAAGAGATCATCCTCATCTAATGATATCGTTTATTGCAACTGTATTCACTTGTTCTGGCTCATCGTATAGACAGGTAATGATTAAGAATAATTGTTAGAAGTTAACATGCCATGAACCACTCGCGATGACCAGGAGATTCACCATCATTCACATATTTTGTATTTTAATCTCTAGGGAGCAGCACAAGCCATGGTGGATGCCGTCAGTCTGGCCAATCTCCTGTACGAGACACCCACGACCTCGACACAGGACATTCAGGCAACATTTGAAGCGTATTACAAGGAGCGTGTGGCATCTGGAAAGGCCGCTGTCCAGGGTAGTCGACACATGGGTCGGTTGAGTGGGGGACATTCATGGACAGAATCGATTGCACGGAGCATGTTCTTGAACATCGTGCCACAAAAGATTCAGCAGTCGATCTCGGACAAAATGCTGTGCCATCGTCCACAGGCGATCTTCTTGCCTTTTGTAGAAGATCGGGGTGAGTTCAAGGCGGGAACTCAGGCACCTTCCAAAAAAATGAGGTCGCTCTCCGGGCTATGTCTCCGCCTATCCCAGCAGCACTAGCCATATGATCTCTCATTATGCCATAATAAAAAACTCCCCGCTCCCACTCCCTAACCACCGACGGCACCTCTTGTGTACAACGGCGCTCAAACACGGCGAATGAGGAGGAGCGTTAATCGCTCGATTTGGTAAGGCCTCATCGGGATGAATATTGAAATGTTCCTCCAAACCAAGGGGCAGACTGCGGCAGCGAATCCTGGCGCAGTTGTTGCAGTACCAAAGGCATCTGTGGGCGTACCAACAGACAGACGCTTTTTCGAGGTGACTGTGACGATAATGATGATGAGGTGGGGGAGGAGGAGGCCTAGAGTCTTGAGAGGGAGAAAAGCACCGGGGGAATAGTCTTCACTCACCGTCGGCAACTTTTTTCCCCTTCGCAAACAACCCTCTTCTTCCTTCTTCTCTTTCTTCTTCTTTGTCTTCATCGACACCTCTTCCCTCTGCCCTTCTCCGTCGGTCGCTTTTATCCGATTTATTCTTTGTATTCATCGAACATAGGTTTCATCCGATTCAGCTCATCTCACACCCCTGATTACAGCACACTCCTTCCTCATGGCGCGACATCCCATCCCCACACTTGTCGGTAACTCGATTCACGGCCAGACCCAGGCGACACTTATGAAGCTGCATCAGCAGAGCCTCGAGAAGACCATCAATTCGACCGTGACATTCGTCGACAACGACACCGCTGCGGCCAGCCAACAAAACCAGGACCAACAGCGGACTCATAACAAAAAGAAGAAAAAGTACTACCCATGGATCCAGCGAGATTCCCAGAACCAGCGCAATAAGATCGGTCAAGAGGGCAGCCGACGCCGCCAGCGACACGACAATGGCAAGTCCTTGAGTATCTTGAGGGGGAGTTGCCAATGATAAATCGACCTCTCTTTTTCATTCATTTGAATCCAAGGGATGCGATAGAGAACCAAACATGTGGAACGCAAGGTGACATGAGAATGAAGAGGCGTTGGGAGGGCATAAAGACGCAGAAGGGGCGGGGACCAATACCCTTTTGTCGTTGTTGACTGCTTCAAATGAAGACAAAAAAGATGATGATGATGATAATGGACTGGCGGCTGCTGCTGCTGGGACCTGGGGATGTTGTCTTTTCTTTTTCTATTTTGTATGTACTGTCAATGACATTGCAGCGAAAGAGAATTGGAAATGAAGACAAGAAAGATCGATACATCCACACATCTCTTCTCCACATGGTCTTCATTCTCACCTCCCCCCCCTCCTTCCTGCACGGCGTGGTGCGTCCTTCTACTCGGCGGACCATCGGTGCCCTTTTTTTCTTTCTTTCTTTCTCTTCCGGGGTAACCATCCGCAATAGACAAATTTGTGCACCACCCGTTTGCGGTTCTCTACCAAGTTGACTTGCCCTTCCCTGGTTACGATCGAGATGCTCCTTCCTTTCACTGGAAGCACGATGCCACGATCGAGTCCTTAATCAGCAATAATCCTCCGTCCTCAAGGCGATCCAAGCCCGTGTCGTTGGCAGATGATGTCCCTCCTTCCCCTACTGGTCCCGCAATCGGGCATCGTTTGCTGACTAGAGCCCAGCGAAAAGATATCAAAAAGGTACATGTCCCGCAGGGAATCGTAATGCAGTACGAAGGCGAGCTCGTCAGCTTCTTGGACCAATTGACGTTGTCTGAGGATGGTGAAGATGAGAGTGAGGACAGCCAGGAAAGCGACAGCGACTCATCTCTGTCTGACCCTGTATTGGTCGTTGCAGAAGACGGGTGTGCTGAAATTGAGGGCTCGAGCTGGGTCCTCGTACAACCGCACATGACGGACGATGTTCAGGCTAGAGAGCAGTCTCTTACTGAGCAGGAGCCGTCCGAGGAGATCGCCAAGGAGGTGGATTCGTCGGCATCTGAACAGCAGAGCGAGGAACGACCTCAGATCTACCTCCGATGGGACATCCAAGACCAGTTCCTGAGATTCGTCGCCCATGCTCTGTGCGCCTTCTACGGGCTTGTTTCCTTCAGTAAGTCTTCGCTTTACTGAGCTCGGTTGTGTGATTTACTGGCATATTCTGGAGCAATGGTCCTGACCAGGATCTGTTCTTGTCGAACTGCAACAGGCAAAACCGCAATGGATGGCAAGCGGCTATTGTACATCTGCCATCCTGCGCACTTGGACTCGATCGGCCAACTTGCCGCCGATCCCGCCACAAGTACTTCCCCCAGTGGAGAATCAGAAAAGGCAGCACCGGTGCGTCCAAAGCTTCCGAAGCGACAGAGCACGCTGGAACATGTTCAGGAGCTGCCGCTTCATGTATTGGATCAGCTCTGGAATAAGGTCGAACCCGTCAAGGTGTCTGATTGCCTGCGCCCGGACATGACCTTTTTCGAGTACCTCTATCCCTCCACACGGCCGATGTTTTACTGATGACGCCCGCCATTCTAAGGAGCATTGTTATTGTTTTTTTGCCCCAGTTTTGAATTCCTATAAGCAGCTTTTGTCCTTTTAGAATCGACTGTTCTTCTCGATATCATTGTTCTATTTAATAATAATAGAAAAAAGACATGGCGCTTTAGAGATGGTTATTATTGAAGAAGGGATTATATACATGTATAGTAAGGCGAACGGGGGGCGGGTATATGGAGCGCAGCTAGATATATTGGAGCTCGTGTGTCGAAGGCTGTTTGTGAAGCGAGTCTTCATCCGAATCCGAGTCGGATATGAAGCTGCCCGATCCACCCATGTCAGCAATCTCCAGTATCGTATCCTCGTTCAAAGCCCTCTTCCACACCTCTGCGTGCCGCAGCACCGCGTTAATAGCATCTCGAATCGTCAGATGGACGACAGAGTCGAGCGCGGACACAGACCCTATTGACCGAAGCGAGCCATGCGATGCCGATATCCTGTGGCTATGATTGAGGAGACTGCGCTGGCTACTTGTACTAAAATCGCGGCTCAACACCTGGACTTTTCGCAGTCGCGTGGATCCTGGGACGGGGCTAGGTGTCGTCAGCCCTGAGCGCTCAAGGATCGGGAGCACATTATCCTGAACGGCTACAAAATGCAATTCGAAGAACACCTCTGGATCGTCGCGTGCACCTGCATAGTCCTTCAAATTTTCATGTAGGTCCCGGAGACCCTGTAGTCCTGTGCTGTCGATGTTATTCATCGCAGAGCAGTCGAGGATGACAGCGCGCAAATAGGACAGATCCTTGTCTTCCAAAGACACCAGGCTTGAGTGTTGATTTTGTGCCCGCAGTCGTCGGATGTGGATCTCCAGATCGTCGGACCACAGTCGATCATGGGCGGTCTTGGTCAAACCTCCGAACCGAGTGTGCTTATAAACTTGGTCCTGGGCCCATGTCTTGAATGTCTCCATATTGGGAAACGTGGCCCCCTCTTCCATACGAAAGACAAGGACGCCCGGAGGTAGATTGACGGTGTCCATAATCTTGCTGGTGGAGTACGTTGAGGTCACAAAGACATCCGGGCGGGTCCTAAGTGGCTGTAGAAGATGGATCTGAGGGCGGGCGACGCGGAAGAGGAGGACGACGAGAGAGAACCCTACGCCGGCGGCGATGCCCACCTCGACAGAGACGAAGAGTGTGACCCACAGCGCAACCTGGGAAGATACAAAGTCCCAGAGATTGACGTCGAAAAATTCCATGAACACGTCGGGAAAGCTGACAAGGCTGGAGACCGCGACCATGATGACTGCCGAGAGCGCTGCGTCGGGGATGTAGTAGAACCTATTGAGGACAAAGCGTGAAGAATGTGAGAATCCCGTTCGTGGTGATGTGTATGTCCTTCTTTCATCCACAATAAACCTTACAGTGGTGTCAGCATTTGCAGTGCCAACAGAACGAGTGCGCCAGTGACAAGGCCCGCCAGCGGAGTCTTGACGCCGCACTGAAACTTGACAGCGGATCGCGAAAACGAGCCCGTGACAGTGTACGCTCCAAAGAACGACGCCGTTACATTGGCCAGACCCAGTGTCAGCAGTTCCTGGTTACTGTCGATCTGGTACCGGTTCTTGCGTGCAAAGGCCTTTCCGATCGCAATGTGTTCCAGAATGGTTGCCAGCGCGATCGCAATCAGCTTGGGTGCAATCTCGACCAAGATAGACCCGTCCAGTTTGGGTGCCTGAGATGTAGGAAGTCCGCTGGGAACTGTTTTGAGGATCGAGATCCGAGGAATGATATTCCCTTCCAGATCGTAGGGCGCGTTGATGTTGACGAGGAATGAGAAGGCCGTCGCCAGGACGGTGACGATGAAGAAGCGCGAGATCTTGATCAGTTGGATCGAGAATCGACCCTTGCCCCATCGGTCAACTACGTAGCCAATGCCTACGAGGCCCAGCATGGAGAACAGCCCAAAGGCTAGATCGAGCCATGATAGTGTTGGAAGGGCCTTGACGGTGTTGATGAGGACAAGGTATGGGGGCTCCCGAGTGTTCACACCAGAAACGCCGATCCATTTAGGAATCTGGGAGATAACAATGGTAGCGGCCGCCCCAGTAGTATATCCGATCAGGACGGTCGAAGGAAAGAAATCAAGGATGATCCCGAGCTGAAGAGCTCCCAGGACCATGGTCAGAGCCCCAACTGCGAGACAAGAGATACCAGCGACCTGTGCTGGAGAGTATCGACCGGCTAGTTGTGCGACAAGTTCGCCTGTGATCAGCGAAATAACCGCTGTGGGACCGATGGTCAAATCCTTAGATGTGCCCATGAAGCAATAGAAGATAGCGCCGATGTAGGCAGAGTAGAGGCCGTGCTGCACAGGCAGACCTGCGACTTTTGCGTATGACATTCCTTGAGGCACGACAATGAGTCCGACGGTGATGCCTGCGACGATATCTTTCATGGCCCATGATCGGCTGTATTTCGGTAGCCTATGTGCAGTAGCAAGAGATGCCGTTTGTAAGCGTTGGGTAGGTAGGGTAGATAGGCATGTGGGTGGGAGGGAGATAGCGGTAAAGACTGTGGGGTTTGTGAGTTTGTGGATGATATGGAGGTGAAGTGTTACCATCTGATGATTGGGAAGCGTTCATGGATGTAGCGAGGAACATTAGACGGGAATGCCCTAACCCATTCGACAACGTTCTGCCGATACTCTCTCAGTTCCTGATCTGCCATTTGGCGATGGTGTTTTTTGCCCTGACGATTGAGTGTGAGCTGCTTTTCTTCCCGGAGAATGTGTGTGTGATATAATAGAGGATGGTCGAGGGTTTTGGGGGGAAGACGTTGCTAGCGAGACGAGAGGAATGTGATAACAAAGCAATGGAGAGCGATGGTGGGGAATAACAAGTGCGGAGAAATAGAATACAGCCTGGAGAAGGAAACCGAGTCTTTATATCCTGTCCACCTCTTGTTCCTGAATGACCAACTGGACACGCCTTTGCTCGTGTTGCTCACGGCAAGAAAAACGTTTGTAGCTCCTATTTCGGTGGATGACCACCCTGTGTCCAAGGCATGGTCGAAATTTTCCCTGGAAACTATGGCGCGATCCCCGAGAGTTATTATGAAATCCATACTTGCTACTGTACCAAGGTTCATGCAAGGACAGGTATAAATACGACCCTCGCTCTGGCTCTGCTTTGTCTTTTCCGTCAAGATAGCCTGTACTATACCCCACAATTTTGTCTGACTGACACGCACTCGCATGCAATTTTCCCAGGAAATGTCGCTACGGATTTAATAGCTATTTTCCCGTCCGGCAGTGCCAGCGGGCGAATGTCATAACAAAGATGCAAGATTGTCAAGCATTTTTCTGATTAGAATGAGTTGCTGCAACAGCGATTGTTTGATTACCTGCCTGATAACGCGTCTCATTATCCACCAAAACGTCGTCTTTCCTGGCACGCTTCATTTGTGAGTTCAAAGAATCCAGCTGACCTTTTTCGTTTTCTTTTGACGTGATGCTTCTTCTGTGCGCCTCTGAGGTGAATGGCGCCATATCTCTACATCTCATATTTTAGTCCACTTGTTCTCGCTGAGTGTCATCCCGTTTTTGTTGCACATAAAGAATTCCACTGTGAGTGCGAGAGCAATTCAATGTGGAAGGGGTAGTAACCGGATGATGTGGCTACGACGCGTCTCGTGTTGCAGTGCCTCAACAACAACAAAGAGAAAAAAAAAAAGGAAGAAACCACTGCTTCTGTTCTAATTATTCTTGCAGATTAAGAAGAAAGAGATAGGAAGAGGCAATGAAAGAAACGAGCGGGCACGAGAACCAAGTACTGAAAAGTGGTTTGTTTTCTTATTGGACAAGACGCGTCCGTTTCGTTCATGTCACCTAGTAACGCGAACAAATTCTCAAAACTTCATTAGGACTGACCCCTTCCATATTTGTAAGATGGATAGAAAGCCGCACCTTCTCATATCAGTTTTATTAAAGCTAAAATGTACTCGCACTCACTCCAAAGTCTTCCTCGTCATCATTTCTATCAGCAAGCAACACGGCTTCCCCGTTTTTAAAAAAAGTTGCGCGAGGATTTGCATGGGTTTAGTGCAGGATGGAAATCTGATTGGAGCCTATTGGAGGTGAGAAGGCAACCCGTGCGATGATGCGTCTTCCCCTCCTGGACCACTTTGAGCAGCAATTGGTCCTGTCCCACAACACAAACTGGCATCCTCCCATCCTTTGCTTCCTTCTCCTTTCTTTCATCGTTCACCATCAGTCTTCCCTTCATCTCCACACTCTCATCATCTCTCTCTTTCTCTTTCTCTCATCCACATCTGTCCTCTCTCGCTCTTTGTCACCCACTCCCCTTCTAGTCTGAACTACTTTTCATCATGAGCCTTGACGCAGAACAATCCCAGGTAAGAGAACACTTCTTGCCACCACATCCCATTGCCGTCTCGCCCTTACTGTCTTTGTTGCCATCTCCACGTTGCCATATCCCACTCAATTGCTTCTCAATTACTGATTGATACACCTTTTGATATCGTCTCACCTCTAGCCTGTCCTCCAGAGCTATGTCGGCTTCGACTCCATCACATCCCAGATTGAAAAGAAGCTGCTTAAGCGCGGTTTCCAGTTCAATGTCATGGTCGTTGGTGAGTCCCGATTACAAATGTCGTATCTCATTTCCTGATAAGCGCGAGAATCGTACCTAACGTTCTCTATCTTGCCTTTCCTTATTAAAAGGTCAATCCGGCTTGGGCAAGAGCACGTTGATCAACACCATCTTCGCCTCTCATTTGATCGACTCCAAGGGCCGCACCCAGCCTGATGAACCCACCCGTCAGACCGTCGAGATCCACTCCTTCACCGAGAGTAAGTCTTTCTGGACAAAAACAAAAACGCAATCTAACACCTCCTGCAGACAACACTCAACAATTTCCATCTATTGTTGGCGACTGTATTCGGGTCAAAAATGGCCTTGGTTTTGTTCAGGGGACCCCAGGGCAAAGGAATACACTCTACTGAAGTGCGTCTTTCACGCTCGTTTCCTCATTCCTTCAATGGCCCTCCATATACTCCTCAACCTCCTCTCTTGGCCTGGTTCATTTCGCACTCGCTCTATTTTTCATTTACACCCGGTTTGGGTTTTCTGCGTTGTCTCTTTTTATTGAAATCTCTTCTTTATTTCCGGCTGGGCTCTCTCAGCTCGACTTAATTTTGTCTTTGGCTCTGGAAGTTGAGCGAGCTCGTTTCTGCCCTGCGAAAAGAAATGCACCGGTCCTTCTCTCTTTCTGCAGCAGAGATGTATCTTTCGATATAACTGCAGAAAGAAGGAGTTGATGGGAAGAGACCTATTGCTCTTTAAGCATTTTTTTCTTCTTTCTTTCTTCTGCTGCCGGCAACAACTCGAATCGCAGGAGAGTGGGACAAAAGGGCTTACAGAAAATAGGAGGGAATATCAAAGGAAGCAAGCACCGGCAGCAAAATCAGAGCAAGGAGCCACAGACACACATACACATAATTGGAATGGACAGATTGAGAGCCACGGGGCTCGTCCCTCTCCTTCCTTTTGGGATGGATGAACAAATCAACGCCACCTCATTCTCACTCTCACCGAGCTTACGCCACTGGTGGCAGCATGGCTGCCGGGGAGAGGAGTGGGTACTCAGCTCGAACCTAAACCCAGATCCTAGTTGTGCACGGATTAGATCGTCTTTCGCGTGTTTCTTTCAACGCGGCACTAACGCAGTGAGCGCGTACTAAGACCATTCTGACTAATGATATTCACATTCTTGTACCCTTTCGCAACTTAGCCGTGATTGAGAACGGAGTCAAGTTGAGACTCAACATCGTCGACACTCCCGGATACGGTGACCAGGTCAACAACGAGAACTGGTAAGCGTCCGACTATTGCTTGCCCTGTACCTTCCAGGATTGTTGTGCATGTCAGAGATATGTGAAATGCGATCTCTAACTTTTTTATTTTTTGACAACTTTACAGCTGGGAGCCCATCATCAAGTACATCAAGGACCAGCACTCGTCCTTCCTTCGCAAGGAGTTGACTGCCATGCGTGATCGCTTCATCCAGGACACCCGTATCCACTGCTGCCTGTTCTTCATCTCTCCCACTGGTCACTCGTAAGATTGTCTCTTGCTCTTTTTTTGTGCTTGCATGCATTTGGAAGGGCCTAAGAAAATGCGTGCTCACAAAAAAATAATAATCTCCTCTATTTATGGATGGTGCTGGATAGATTGAAGCCAATTGATATTGTTGTCCTCAAGAAGCTGACCGAGGTCGTCAACGTTGTCCCCGTTATTGCCAAGTCGGACTCCTTGACTATTGAGGAGCGCATCGCGTTCAAGCAGCGCGTATGTTTATGAGACCATTATGCACTCGGCAATCTGACGTTGAACTCAACCCATGTACCTGGTTACTAACAGCGCTTTTTTTTTTGTTCTTGTTTCGAACAAATAGATTAAGGAGGAGATGGCTTTCCACAGCATTAAGCTATACCCATATGCATCTGATGAGGATGATGACCATGACCAGGCCTTGAACGAGAGCATTCAGGATTTGATCCCCTTTGCTGTAGTTGGATCAGAAAAGACCATCATTGTCGATGGCAAGACCGTCCGTGGTCGCCAGAACCGCTGGGGAGTGATCAATGGTAAGGGAGCAAGATTCATTCGCAATGCGTGTCCTTTCCTTCCCCCTTCCCTCCCCTTTTTTAATGAAGAGTAAAGACTAATCGGAAAACATGCTTTGGTTTTGGAACAACGTCTAGTCGAGAACGAGAACCATTGCGAATTCATTCACCTCCGCAACTTCTTGACACGCACTCATCTGCAGGATCTGATTGAGACTACGGCCATGATCCACTACGAGTCATTCCGCTCGAAGCAGTTGCTTGCCTTGAAGGAGAGCGGTCAGCAGCAACAGCAGCAGCATCACCATCATTAGACATTGACGAGGATTTGACACACTTTTTTTTAAACAAAAAGCAAAAAAAAGAAAAAAAATCAGCTTTTTAACTAGAACTGTCCTGGAAGAGGAAGCACTATGATACCAAGGGATACGACGAGGAGGAGGAGGACGACGACGACAATGATGAAGAGGAGGGCGTAACAAAGGACGCGCGCGCGATATATATTTTTTTTTTCCTTCTTTTCTTTTTCCTTTTATTCGAACCCTAACTAATACAGTTTTTATTTTATTTTTTTGAAGACAACATTTGATGTTCATTTCATGGATGTTGAGGATGAGGTGGAGTTGGAATGGTCTTGGTTTCTGGCAAACAACCTTCTCAAAACCCTCATCCTTCTCCCTCTCCTTGACTTTTTTTTCTTTCATCTTTTGTCAAAGGTGTCCGAAAATAAAAAATAAATACAGCAAAACATTATAAATTACAAGGGTCGAATTAACATCGTTTGCAGTAGCAAGTCTCTATGTTGTCTTCTTTTTTACTTTATTTTTTGTCTTGTGCTATCAGCATTTAGACGGTATAGTATCCAGGGAGGATGTACTCCAACTTCTGAACAACCTCCTTATTGCGCTTCTCGGGCACCGTCATACACGCAAAGCGCATGCTTCCCTTCAGCCCTTCCGTAGCCCTTCCGCTCTCGATCAAGTTCTGCAGCCCCGGCAAGATGGCGGCGAGCAATCGCTGAGCATTGTTCGAATTGGCCTTCAAGTTCGCGACCACAGCCTCGACCGTGACGGCCTCCTCATGCTCCTTCCAGCAGTCGTAATCCGTCGACATGCAAATCATCTGGTACGCAATCTCGGCCTCGCGCGCCAGCTTAGCCTCGGGCAGGGCACTCATGTTGATCAGATCGCCGCCCCAGGCACGGTACATGTGGGACTCGGCCCGGGTCGAGAACTGAGGGCCCTCCATGCATACGAGGGTCTTTTGACGATGAAAGTCTCCGCCCTCGATCACCTCGCGCTGCTTCCAGATCTCGTCCTCGAGAACGGCCGAGAAGGGGTCCGCAAACATGGCATGGGCCACGATGCCGTCTTCAAAGAACGTCGACGGACGGATCCCCTTGGTGCGATCGATGATCTGGGAGGGGAGAACAAAGTCTCGGGGCTTGAGTTCTTCGCGCAGGGAACCGACGGCGGAGAAGGCAATGATGATCTCGACACCGAGGGATTTGAGGGCTGCGATGTTGGCACGGCCGGGGACCTCGGATGGGGTGAGGTAGTGGCCGCGGCCGTGGCGGGCTAGGAACGCCACATGCTGACCAGCGCTCGTGCGGGCAATGACGATGGCATCACTGGGCTTGCCCCAGGGCTGGTTTGGATGGAAGAGTGGCGTCGTCCGTCGGTTGTATGGGATGTATGTCCATGGTGGTTTGGGTTCATATGTTTCATGAATAACGAGGATCGATTCAGGTACAAAGAGGAGGGGGGGAAAAGAAGAGGAGGGGAAGGCGTAGAAGGATGTGAGCACATGCAAAAAAAAAAAAAAAAAATACGAATGTTCACAGGCTGGAGTTCGTTCTTTGAAACCTTGAGCTATGCAAGGTATGGATGGACGCATGGGTCCGAATGGACAAAGAACACAGGCGAGCAATGAGAAAGACTTACGGTCTCAGGGTTGACCTCGGCAACGACCTCGAGACCCTCAAGGTTGTAGAGTCCACTGCCACCGATAACGGCAATCTTAACGGGCTGTGCAAGAAAAAGAAAAAGAAAGAAAAAAAAAAAAAAGGGTGTGCAGTAGAAAACAAATGTCAGTCTTCCTCTTCTTCTTCCTGTGTCATCATGCAAGGAGAGCAATGGAAAAACAACAACAAGGCTTGTCCAAGAAGAACACTTGCCAAGTATGATTCGGCCATGCTGAAGTGGATGCAAAAAAAAAGAAAGTAATGGAGAAAAGAGGGTGAAGCGGTCAGGTACCGGCACCCAAGTCGTCCTTTGTGCTTTTATGTTTTTGTTTTATTTAAATTTTTTTTGTATGTCCGCTATAAGAAACAGTTGCATGGGACTGCGGAATGGCCTCATTCGCCTGTACAAATGAGCACAAACCACTCCACTTCCATCATAGACGAGACAACTGTGTACGTGCAGCCTAGATACGCTTAGAAGAATTCGAGCTTGCTCTCGCTAAGGGCACTGCCCAAGAAGATCTTGCCGTAGACATGCTTGGCCGCCTTATCCTCGTCCTCCTCCTCATCATCATCATCATCATCGTCGTCGTCGTCGTCGTCGTGGCGGATAAACTTTCGGCCGTGCTTCGAGTGGACCGTGAACTTCCCGTACTCGATCACACTCTTGCTGTCCTCGGCTTCAACCACTTCGGCCTTTCTCAGCAACGAACCAACCGCGAACTCACCCAAGAACTTGTCCGAGACCTTGGCAGTGGCCTTGCCGTTGGTGCTGCTCGACCTAAGACTCAACTTGCGACCGTTAACCAAGTCAATGGAGGTGTGGACATGGCCGGTTGAGGAACGGGCACGAACAGCCAGCATTCCGGGAATGGTGCTGCACTTGCCATCTTTGTCGTCGTCGTCGTCGCCGTCGTCAGAGGCCTCGGTGACATGCAGATCGATCGAGCCAGCATGCGAATGGAGGAGGATCAGATGGTGGGTTCTTGGATGCCCCACCCCACCAATATCCTTAAAGTCTTCATCGTTGTCTTCATCGTTGTCGTCGTCGTTGTCGTCGTTATCATCGTGATCACCATCATGGACAACAACAGCGGTGGTCTTCGCGTGCAAGTGGACGTTTCCGACCGCAGCACTGACCTTGGCAAACAGTGGGATACCCTCCAAAGCAGCCTGAAGCGAGCCGACCGAAGCACCACCGGTAACGACCTCAGCGACCAAAACATTGGCTCGGACAGCACCTGTCTTAACCTCACCGACGACAGAGCGGAGGATAAGCTTGTTAAAGGAGACGCCCTCAACGTCGTCGACCTTGGTGGTCAGGACAACACCATTGATCGTAAGATTGTAGTGGTCATCTTGACTGGCTGGCAGTACAAGTTCGACATCGATGAGAGCACAGAAGCGCTTGTAATGGTGCTTGCGGTGGTGGGAACGGTACATGTAGTCGCGGGCTTCCTTGTTTTCGTCTTCGTCATCGTGTTTAGGGTGCTTGCGGTGATGCTTCCGATGATGCTTGTGATGGTGCTTACCATCACGAACATAGCGGTCAGCCCAGAAGGTAACCTCAACATCGTGCTCGTGTTCGACGTACTTGAGATGGAGACCGTGCTTCTTGTGGTGGCCCTCCTCTCCTTCTTCGTTATCGTCGTTATCGTTGTTATCGTCATTGTCATCGTTGTCATCATCATCATCATCATCATCATCATCGTCGTCATCGCCGTTGTCGTCGTCGTCTTTATCTTTATGATGGTGGTGAGTCTTGGTTACTTTGGCATGGATAAAGAAGGATGGGATCTCGACTTCGCCGGAGCGGACAACAACGTTGGACATGAGATTGCCCTTTCCAAAGTTCAAATGGATGTTCTTGTGGCTGGTTTTGATCACGGAGGGTCCGTCCCATGGGACGAGTTCGCGAGTGCAGTCGCTGCCGACCATCTCCTCGGCGGGGTTGAAGACCGAGGCCATTTGGTTCTCCACTGCAGAAGAGGGCCTGAGCGGCTCGATCTGTCTCCCATCCCACGACGAGTCCCACTTGTCGCTGTCCTCGTCGCTGCCGAAGAAGGCAAGGTAGACCCAGACAAGGAGGGCGGCGGCCATGAGACGTCGGAAGCATTTGCGAGCCCTGGCCTTGCGCTGTGCACACTGCTCGCTAGTGCAGCGACCATGAGAACGGAAGCAACCGAAGGGGCCTCGTCTGCGGGCAGGGAGATCGGGAGTCTCGGGGTGGTTGCTCTTTTCGTTGGTGGGGAGCAGAGGGACCGCGGCCTCGCTGTCAGCGGTGGCGGAGAAGGGAGGGGGCGGGGCGCGGTTGTGGTCGTGGTCGTGGTCGTCGATCATGTTGACCTTGACGTCCTGGGGATAGCCATGGTCAGCCATGGTTGCGGTAAGTCGTTGCTGCTGTTGCTGCTGTTGGTGCTGTGCTGTAAAAAGAAGAAGCAGAGGGAGAGGAGGAGGGTTGGCGGCAAACGGTGTGGGAGCAGAAGAGGATAGCGGGAGAGGAGAGGAGGGGAGGGGAGGGAGGGGGCCCTTTTTATTATTACGCCCGTCTGATGCAGACCGCATACTCGACCGCACCTTTTCCAACACATACTCTCTCTCTCTCTCTCTCTCTCTCTCTCTCTCTCTCTCTCTCTCTCTCTCTGGAAGAACCTGCAATGTCTTGGCATTTCCCCCGATGGCGTAAACCCATGGCTCGATCTTTCTTCCTGCTTCCTGCGTCCCCATTGAGGGGCGTGCTCTCCTCGCTCGCTGTCTCGGTTTGGTCCTGCTGCCCCATAGGGAGTCCGACGCGATCGAGGACGTCCCTAGCGCCCTCCCCCCACGCCTCCCGATGGACTGATTGGGCATGTCTGGCTATCTCCCCCATCCATCCGCTTCAAGGTGACGTTAGCCGCCTGCGCAGCGGCATGCGCCTAACAGCGCACGATTGGTTCCCAACACACACACACATTCTCCACTAACCTCGTGCAACAGTCCCAATGGATGGGTTCACATAGACCCATCCGCAGAAACGCGTCCTAGCCGCTCGACCACGCCCACTTTTCCACCAGTGTCCTGTTAATATATTGAGAGGGACCGTTAAAAAGAATAGACCCTTATTTTATATTCCATTTTGCTGTGTTTGTGCAGGCAAGTGCGACGGTAAGTTTACCCGCTCCATCCAATCACCGTGAACCCAAAGCGGGCACGCCCGTCCCGCAGTCTATGTACCACCACATCTCTTTCAAAGACGCGCGTCCTCGATCGACACTGGACGTAAACGCTGAAATCATAGCTGTCGTCCATAGGGATTCGTGTCCCCACTGGATGACGCCGCCTCCACGTTTTGTTTGCACCGTTTGAAGGAACTCTTTGTGGTTCTTGAAAGAAAAGGCCCCCTTTCGGCGCAGACCGTCTCTCTCTCCCATTCATTCTATCCCTCGGGGGAGAGGGGAGGAGGGGAGGAGGGGAGAGTACAGGCAACAAAAGCCCACCATTCCCTTCTCTCTCTCTCTCTCTCTCTCTCTCTCTCTCTCTCTCTCTCCCCACCCCTCTCTTTGTTATTATCCTCCACAAGACATGTTCTGTGTCGCCCTCCCTCATTCGGGTCATTAACGTCTCTCGGCGAAAAAAAAAACCCCCCCCCATTCATGCACCTCAAACACGCGGCTTTGAGTTAAGGTCTGGTCGGTACAGATTACTTGAGCGATTCATGGGCGGCAACGGACGCTCCTGATTGAGAGGCATACGGTCGGTCCCTTGACAGCGTGGTCTAGATATAGCTACTGATCAGATCCATTCCCAGGGTAAGAAGCAGCAGCAACGAATCCAATGCAAGTTATCTACAAACGGAAAAGCAAAAGGTCTTCCCCCCCCCTTCAAGCGCGTCAGATGAGGACAATCCTCCCCCCAACTGTCCCCTCTACCAAAAGGATCAAACAGAAGGTTTATCTTTTTGTCTTTATTTTATTTTACTCTCGGAGCAGTTGACGTGATCAGAGCATCACCCAGGGATCACTCGCGGCTCCCGCTGATCCAGATGACCCTCCAGCCCCTCCTGATCCCGTCCCTGATCCGGCTCCTATCCCTCCTCCGTCGCCTCTCATCCCTACACTTGAACCCGCTCCTGCCGCAGATCCAGGGTTTGCTGTTGATCCTGGCCCATCTTGCCCAGATCCAGTACCCGTGCTAGAAGGATGGCTTCGAAGGATGGACTCGATTCTCTCATTCTTCATCATCCTCAGGTGATACACCTTCTTCAGGTCCCGATACTGTCGGATGAAGCTCTCCTGGTCCAACTTGCCCTCCCAAAATGATTCTGACACAGATTCCGACAGTTCGTCCGACTCTGCTGCTGCTGCCCGTAGTTTTGACTGAAGCGTCTCTGGTTTGAATCGCTACATCGAAGTGAATACAAGAAGCAGAGTCAATTAAAATCATAAAAAATAGAATAAAAAAAAATAAAAAAAGGCACTGCCTGTTCGAAAGAAGGAACTGCAGACCTACCCAAAGTGCGTCTTGTTGTTGTTGAAGCCTCTCCTCCAATGTCTTTTGAAGCTGCTTCGCTATTTCGTGGCCCTCCGCTGTGCTCTTTTGAAGTTCCGCCATTTCTGACTCCAGCATCAACGTGCGACCTACGACACCGCATTGAGATAGCAACTGTCAGTGCCAGGTTACAAGTGAGCACCGCAACTGAGAGGCCCCAGCGGCTGAAAAAAAATAATAATTCTGCTGCACTTACGAGCGACATTATCATTCCCATGCCACCACTCCCGCTTGAGTGTCCGGCTGTTAACAACGACCTCCAACTGATCGAAAAAGTGCTCGAACGCAATAGGACTTTCCAACAGTTCATCGATTTGTTCCGCCGAGAGCTCCATGACAAGGCGTGCCTCCGGTGATAGGGTCGTCCCATAAACACCTGAATTAGTGACGTTATTCGACCGGGCCTGAGCATGGTGGCCCGATGTATCTTCTCCTGAACTTGAAGAACTCATGTAACCACCAGACGACGATGCTCCTCCTTGACCCGTATGGTGATAGTGAGAGCCGTTTACATTCGAATAAGATGTTGAAGAATGATTACCAAACTGACCAAGGCTCTTGGATCGGATTCCTGGAATGGGCGGTGGTGGTTTATGTGAGTACTCTTCATAAGCTGGGTTGGCGTTGGTGTTGCCGCCATTGTGGGTATTATGGTTGTTCATAGTCGTTACGTCGTCGCTGCTTCCACCGCCTACAAGAACGCCTGTCCTCTGAATATTGGCGACAATCTCCTTGACAATCCTGCCTAGGTTCGCATGAGTGGACCAGCCGCCAGGCATCAGTCGTTCATGTCCGGTCACTGTACAGGGTGTTGTCGCCCCATTAACCCAAAGGTGTCGGACTGTTGGCTGAATAGTGAGCCTGGGCTCGTCCTCAGGAAATCCTGGCGGCAGATAGATGGTTAATGTTGCTGTTGAAGGCCTTGCGCTTGATGTTGAGTCGTTATGCCCTGGTGAATGATGGTTGCTGTTCATGGACGAAGAAGGTGAGAGTGGCGATTCTGGATTGTTGGCAAGTTGAAGTGTCAATTGAAAACGACTGTCATCGTTGGGAGTTACTCGTAGCTGTGGCAGCTCCATAAACAGAGACTCGATTTGCTTCCGTCTTCTACAATGCCAAGATCGAAATCAGGTTGGAAGAGGTCACTATCAGTCTACTTGTTGTCCTGGTTTGCTGGTTTCTTGGCAGTGGCAAGCCCGCCTGCAGTCAGCAGGCTCAAAACGGCAACCACCACGAGAACACACTAACTGCTGTGTCGAAAAACGTCCTGCTGTGCCTCTACAGGGTCATGGCCACCCATCGGTAGAGAATCGTTCATCCTGGTCCAGTCTGATAGTAACATATACGCGCCCTTTCATTGCATGCCATCCGTCATTCCTTTGTGTGCTTCCCCCGCCAAGCTTGACCTCTATTGGATAAGAAAACCTTAAAAGTAGACTCTGCCATCGTCCCTTCAAGTCATTTGAAATGAGAGCGCAGGCTTGGCGGGGGATGTGCTGGGCCACATTCCTCCTGGTTCCTGCAGGTTCGCATCCGAGTATCCCTGCGAATCCCAGGGTGTTCCAGGGTACTCCAGGACATTCCAAGGTATTCCTGAATGTTGTCCTTGACATTCGTCTCGAGGCACAATAAAACGAATAAGAGATAACCCAGGTAGTGAGGGTTGTCAGCACTTACGGAATCGAGTCATGGTCATTGTTCGTTTTCCTGCCCCAATTGGCGCCACTGAGCAGTCTGTCCATTCGTTTATTAAGAGTAGGTGAAGATAGGAAACCAAGGAGAGGAGTTTGCTGAGAAAAAGAGAGAGAGTCTGAAAAGGAAGAGTAAGGTGCGGGTCGATGGCGATTTGAAGCAAGAAAGGAGGCATTACGGCCAGAGTGACGTGTTCTGGAAGGTATTAATCATTTATCGCGTGTTGAGTCCCGCCGAAATATGTAGAAAAGCATTATTATTTTTGTTTTGTTACTTGGTCTACAACGCTCGCAGTGATATCTGAAAATCACTTGTCCTGTCCCTACTCGCGTTCCTGTCCGATCATCAGCTTCTTGATGACACGCATACCGCGCTTGCCGCTGACCTTGATATACTGCTGCTGTTCCAGTTCCGAAAGTACCCTCGAGAACTGATCCTCTGACACAACCTGCAAAGAAAAGAACATAGTATAGCAGAGCAGTTAAGGCAAAGATATGTTAAAGACAACGCGCTAGAAAGGAACACAGTGACATATACAAAAAAATAATAATAAACGTGGCACATTCCTGTTACACGTACCACTGTGCTCTGAGCATTGAAATCTGCCAAAACATCCGCCCAGCGGAGCGACACCTTGTCCGTCGCGTTCAACAGGTTTAGCAGCTCCTTGCGCATGTCCTCGAGATGGCCACGATCGTACGAGCCCTGGCCTGTCGTCAACAAGTCCATGTCAAGCAGTCCTGTACGAGGGTCCATTGCCGACTCCTTCAGACCTTCACGGATCAATCTCGACGCCTCCTCAACATCCTCTTTTTCAACCATTGGTGAAAGACGCAGCTTGGCGCGCGCCTCTGACAAACGGATCATAGACTCAAGCTGTCGTGTCGTGGCTGTAATCTGCTTACCGCCACCCAATTTTCTAAGATCCAAATAGCACTGGATAAGAGTCGAGCCAGCATCCTCACTCAAGACTGGATGGCAGTGGTTACGCGCGTAGCTGATATAGGAGGTTAACATATCGATGGGAATGATATGTGTGCCTCCAGTTTCGGGTGCATCCTCGAGGTACAGGGACAAGATATGGCGTGCCAAACGTCTGTCGCTTTGTTCGTTGACAATATCCAAAACCAAGTAGAGCAAATCGAACCTAGATTGGAAAACAGCAACGAGTTTTGTGAGCTTGCAATGCTTGCGGATGAACAATCGCCAGGCCTGCTGCGAAACAAAAAGACTCACCTGGAAATGAGAGTAGGTGGGAGATCAATGTTATCAACCATGGGCAACCTGTGGTTGTACTGGGAGTGAATGGGGTTGGCAGCGGCCAGCAGTGATGTTCTGGCGTTCAATGTCGTGATAATTCCTGCCTTGGCCACAGAGACCGTCTGCTGTTCCATGACTTCGTGCAGCACCGACCGCGTTGCATCGGACATCTTGTCAAACTCATCAATACAGCAGATGCCTCCATCACTGAGAACCAACGCACCACTCTCAAGGACTAGCTGACGAGTATCCGGATCCCTGGTGACATATGCAGTAAGACCCACGGCTGAAGACCCCTTTCCGGATGTGTACACTCCACGAGGCGCAATCTTGTGAACGTAGGTGAGGAACTGCGACTTTGACGTTCCTGGATCTCCGACTAAGAGCACGTTGATATCACCTCTGTAACGTGGTGATCCTGCCTTCTGGAATGTCTTATTCGTGCCTCCGAACATCTGCAGCAGAACTCCTTTCTTGATGTCATCGTGCTCGAAAATGCTGGGAGCGACCGACCGAGCCAAGGTTTCGTACAAATCGGGCATTTTAGAGACTTCTTGAATCTTGGCGATCATGTCCTCGCTCTGAACGTCAATTTCATCACCGCCCTGATATGTTGGCTTCTTTCCATTCTGGCTTCCAATGTCATCATCGATCGCCAATCTCCTCTTGTCCGTCTTTTTGATGTGAACAACGTCCAAGTACGTCCTGTAAAGTGCCTTAATTGTGCGCTGCCTAGGGTTGACTCTGACTGGCACTCCTCTGAATACGGCAGTAATTTCCAGGCGGTCACCGGGCTTGCACACATCCACCAAGTCGTCATGGACTACCAGAGAGATACTCTGAGGTGTCTGTCCGTCGGGAATAGACTCTGAAAAAAAAAAAAAAAAAAAAAAAAAAAGTGGGAATAGTCAGTAGTTGGTAGATCCAATGACAGCATAAATTGACGAACCAACAATTGCTTTTATTCCTTACCTGGCATCTCCTGCATGCGGCAGACTTGCTTGTCAGCATATTCTCCCCGGTTATGGATCAAGGACATCGAGTTCAGGGCTCCACACTCCTGACGAGGGCATTTGGTGGGTTCAGTAATACGACCGCGATCGGCCTCCGATGTGACAGTCTGGTCGCAAACAAGACACTGGAAGAAGGCTAGAGTATAGAAAGACAAAGCACGCTGTTTAGTAAGAGTCGAGCGCAATTAAAAATTCGGAAAAAGGTTGATAAAGTCGCTCAGGCATAATCGAGCACAAGCTACCTTTCTTCACATTCGGAATGACACTGGATGCACGCAGCATAAGACCCTTGACAGTGACGAGACGATCAATGTCCTCCGGCCCAAGATCACGAGTATTGACAGTCTTTCCGAGGCCGAATGGACGGATCTAAAACAGCAGAACAAGTTCACCATGCTTAGTCCTGCAGTCATAGCCTGTTCCTGCCGTCCATGTCCTTATCCATGATGCAGCAGAGCACATACCATCAAACTGTCGCCCCCAAGGTCAACTTCGGGATGCTTTTCGTCAAAGTACTCGTTCAGCGTGAAATCCAGGAGTGGCAGAACCTCAGCAGGATAATCAATCAGCAAACTGTGCAGCTTGATTGCGGGCCTGTACGCAAGAAGATTTTGGCAGTCGAGGTTGAGCTGGCGCGTGTTGGTGCGAGCCATCTATTAAAAAAGAAAAAAATAGGTTGTGGTTGAAGCGCTGCGTTAGGACCGCTGATTCCTGGAAATAAAAACGCATACGTCTGCTCCTTGGTTCTGTTGTAAGCACTTGCCTGGTCAAGGAGCTGAGGGTAAAATGGTCTGTTTTCGCTCTCGGTGATAGTCTGAACATCCGGATTCTCCTTGACGATCCTGTACTTCTGCTTGAAGTGCTCCAGAAATTCCTTGAAGATCCTGATGACTTCATTGATTTCGACCGCTGTGCCCCACACAACCTTCACCACCTGGCTTGGATCATAATCTTGCGATGGAGGGAACGGTGTCGAGGGGAGCTCGCTGATGGGGTCTGCTCTGCTAGCAAGATGGCGCGCAACCTGAGGGCTACTCACGACATCGTTACGACGTCTCCTGGGAGTCTCTGGCATGCCGCTATTGCATGCACAAGAGTAAAGTGTCGAGACATTAGAATGCGCGAAATGATGGATTATCGGTCACGACAACGTCTTTCTCACAGGATTCCCCCTTACCCACGTCCTTCGCGAGGAGTACCATAGGAAATATCAGATCGCAGATTGGAAGATACCAGGTGGCTGCGAGGAGGAGGTGACGAAGGTAACGCCATACCAATGGGCGACGAGGCATCTTCAGAAGCTGTAAAAACAAAAGGGGTATCTTTTAATTAGCGGTAATCCCAAACTTCACGCTAAGGGCATTTGTAGAAGCAATATATTACCCATATGGCGTCCAATTGGCGTTTGCGCATACTGTCCAGGTTGGTACACAACCTGGAAACCGGGGGCGGTAGCGAAGGGCAATGGCGAAGAGATACCAAGTCCGGGTGATGAAGGATACTGGAGACCAGGCGAAGAGGGAATGTCTGAGGAGAGGTTGTCGCTCCTCTGAGGCGTCTGTGACATCCTGCCAGCGCGAGGAGTACGAGGAGTGCGTGGAGTAGATGGTTGAGACATGGCGTGTGGTCGTTGACAGGAAGGCTGAGGTTCGCTTTAGAGGAATAGTTGGCCCGTCGCCCAGGGACTTTAACAGGTTGGAAGAGGATGTGCCTGCTGCCGATGAGGATGAAGGAAGAGCAGGGGCAGCAAGAATGATAGACAGGTCGGTCAACACACGCAGGGACTGTCGTGTTTGTTTGTTGTTCATTTCATTTATTCGTTTGGAATGAGACGCGTCTCGTTAAGGGTACCGGCATATTTGGTGGCAACGATCAGAGCTGCAACGAGCCGGCATACTCAAGATGCGTTCTCACCACCGCCATGCCGATAGGTTCTGGCTGTGGGAGATTTCCTTTAAACAACCCTCTTTGCCTTCACGTCAATTGACAAGGTCTGAGCGATATGCGGTGTAGGTTAGACACTCAGGCGCAATGATTTTTTCGATCAAATAATCATATCCTTGTGATTCAGAAACCTCGATTTACCCCTCCTCAACACCAGCAGCAATTGTGCTTTGTGGAGTACCATTTGTGCCGACCTGGGAAAAGTGAAGAAAGGAAAGGGAAGGGCCGCTTCCCGAAAGTGAAAAGTGACTGTCTGCACAGTGTCTACCCTATCTAGAGGATCCAATTTGCTCCTTCTTTCAAACCCCACCCACACACAGACTGCTTCATCCCAATTGAGCACCCAACTGTACCAGTCACTGTTGTCTCGAGCCTCAATAAATAGTCGGCTTCGACTGCAGCCAGTAATTTTTTTCTTCGTGCGGCATTTACGTCTCGGATCACCGTGTTGCTCACCTCGCGTGATTGGGCTTTGTCTCCCACTCTATCGCTTTGTTCGAGCGTCATTTCGCAGTCAAGAGCAAAGACCTTGCCAGGTTTTGCAATTTCTTAGCGCCCATTCCTGGTGCAGCGTCCAGGCACTTCTTGTGCCCAGGACTTTGCATGCCCCAGGAGGGCCGGTAATTGCTATATCTCTTTCATTATCTTTACAAAAAAAAAAAAAAAAAAAAAAAAAACGAACCAAAACACACATTTTTAGTCATAGCTAAAAGTGTAAACAGTTGGCGACAACCAAGGGTTTATTATGTCGAATGAGTGAATGTTATTAAGAGTGAATACTTGTACGTACTTGAAAAGAAGCAAAGAACAGCAAAAGCAAAAATGGATAAAAATAAAATAATAATAATAAGATAACGCTATCGGGTCTAAACCTCCATGCCCATCTCCAATGCCTGACGGTTGCTCATCTTCAGGCCAAGAATGTCACCGACCTCAGAGACAACACGCAGGACAAAGTCCAAATCCTCCTTAGTATGCGAAGCAGAGACGCAGAAGCGGGCACGAGAGGCGACAATCGACGTTGCTGGGAAACCGACAACGACGACCGCCAAATCTCTCTTGCGGCACTCGCGCGAAAACGCAGGGATCTTGGCAGGGTTGAACAGAAGCAGAGGGATCACTGGGGAGTCACGGTCGCCATAGATAATAAAGCCCATCTTGCGGAGGTTACTGCCAAGGTAGCGCGCGTTCCATGCCAATCGGCTCAGACGTTCCTGACCAGCGTTGGTGCCGTCACGGCCCATGATGGACCACATGCTAGTATAGATCTGCTGAAGGACAATGGGTGACATCGACTCGCCATAAACGGAGGAGTGGTTCACGAGACGAAGATGATCGATGATCTCCTTGGACGCACAGATGTATCCACCAGCAGCACCAAAGGACTTTGTGAAGGTACCCATGAGAATATCGACTTCCTTGGGATCAACGCCATAGTAATCGCACACACCACGTCCGCGGGGTCCAATAGCACCGACAGAGTGCGCCTCATCAACATACAGATGGAACTTGTACTTCTTCTTGAGCTCAATGATCTCGGGCAACTTGACAATAGATCCTTCCATCGAGTAAAGACCCTCAACAATTAACAGAATATTCTTCCATGGGCGGTGAGTCCTGGGCTGACCCTGGGAGATGGCATCGCGGAGGACGGCCTCCAAATCTTGCGTGTCGTTGTGCTTGAAGACACGGATGTAGGCACCAGAGAGACGGGATCCAAAGACAAGAGAGTTATGGTTGAGCTCATCAGAGATGATCAGGGAGCCCTTGGAGGCCAGACCGGCAATGGTGGTACTGTTGGTGGCATAGCCCATCGAAACTAGGAGAGCAGCCTCCTTGCCCATAAACTCGGCGACCAACTCTTCAGTCTTGGTGTGCAAATCGAGAGATCCAGACTCCAAACGGGTTCCGCAGGACGAGGTTCCGTAGGTATGAACGATCTCCTCAACGGCGTCAGCGCAGGGGCCAGTTGACTGAGCGAAACCCAAGTAATTGTAGGAGGATAAATTGACGGCCTCCTTGAGGCGGCCGGTGAATTGAAAGGTGCGGCAGTAATCGTTTGTCACACGCTCCAACATGTTGATGGTTCTGCCAGGGACCAATGTCGTTGGCACAGAAAAGCAATCCTCGATACGCATCTTCAGGTTCCTTGTCCAGAACGAATCCCAATCTGAAGTCAGGGCGGCATATCCCTACATGCAACAAGAGAAAGGCGCGCACGAGTGAAGAAGGACAGGAGTATTAGAGGTCGATACAAAACAACGCAAATACAGCCGAGCAAATAAACAGAAAAAATAAGAATCTTGGGCAACAGCCCTCTCAGGCATAGAGGGGAAGCGAACAATAGAAAGAGTGCTCTTCATCTGATTCCAAGAGAAAAAAATGATGGTGCTACAGCGCAGTTGTTGTTGCAGTTTTTGTTTGTTGCAGAGGGTCGAATCACAATACAACAAGAGCACTACACTGTACTGGTTGCTCAAGCAAGATGATCAAGCAGACTTACGTTGGAGGGCATCAGATGCGCGTACGCTTTCTTGTTCCAACGGAAGCCGTAAAAGTCGCGGACATGGCCGAAGAAAGAAAGGATGATGTAGGAGAGATAGGTAGTGATGAGGTAGAAGTATGGAGGCTCTTCCATAATGTCATCATACGAGGTCTTGAAGAGGGCCCTGTTCTTGGACGAGGACGAGAACCCCTTCCAGTAGAGCTTTTCCTTGGGCTCCTTCACGCTGAGTGCCTCCTGGAACTTTGCATGGTGCTGTGAAGAGAGCGGCGTGGCCTTGAAGCTGACGGGCGACGTGGCCACGGCAGAGCGGGATCCTTTGCCCATCTTGGATGAGATGGAAGTGTGAGTGTGAGAGTGTGAGTGAAAGAGAGGGTTGGTGTGGGTATGGAATTCAGTCAACCGTCAGGAAGGGATGAAGAGAGAGGATCGGAGAAGAAGAAGAAGGAAGGGATGGGATGGGGATGATGATGAGGGGATTGAAAAAAACAAAACAAAACAACGCAGAAGGGAAATCATTTACTCCTTGAAGTGCCGACCATCCGTAGCCATAGGAATGGTGTGCCTCTGACCATACCGGGCCTAAGCAAGACACTTCGGAGTGTTTTACATCCAATCTCTCCAACCGATGACCGACACTGACGATCCTCCTCAGCAACGCTCATCGAGCGCAAACGATGAGACACGCTGTTGACTGCCAGTACCATCCTACCGGATTCAAGCCTGGCTGGATCTTCCTGCTCCAGATCGGGTCCCGTACACGGACCCCTTCCCCCCCAGCGGCAGTATTACAGCACCATGTATTTATACCCATAGACTATATGATTGTTGACTATTTGGCTATTCCTTGTACGTGTTTTTTGGCGAAGAGAAGGTCCACATCTGATTTGCCAATTGCATTCCAGGCACCCTCCTCCACCTCTTTTTTTTTTTTTTTTGGCTTTTTGTAAAAGAGTTCGATTGAGTCCTCCCGTCGAATTGAACCAACCAGCAGGCAGCTTAAAGAAGAATATAAAAAACACGACTTTCCCCCCTTCTCCCCTCCTATTACCGCCAATACTACCTATCGACACCAACTGTGGAGATGTCTACTTGGTTCTGCTTGCATTATGGAGATAGTTCGTACGCTTCAAAGCCGTATATATATTCTGTCGAGCGTATGGTGTCATTGATGCACGACCGTCTAGATCGTTGGACTAACTGAAGAATGCTAGACCGTTGCAAACATGGGCGGCTACGATCGATCACGATAACCTATTGTATACACGCTACTCAAGCATTGCGGGCGCTCGACTTTATTCACTCCATCTGGTCCTAGCAACAAGCAGTCGCCAACCGGCTCCTTAACATAAATACGGTTATGATGCCATGCAATGATCATCATAAACACACCACGGATGAACTGCCCCAAGCGTATACCCCAGCGCCGACGTAGATTGTCAACCACCATCGACCTAAAATAGGGCTAAGATTAACCTACTGATTACGCCCCCATTCGCCTCCCTCCGTCATGCCTGCCTAGTTCTAGGTGTCATGTAGGTTTGCCTCAACCTCACTCGGATTTGGACCCTTGCCCATGTTCTCGCCAGCGCCGTCACCTGGTGCAGTGACACGCTGAGGATGGCCAGGGAAATCTACCATCTGGATACTCCTGGATGGCAGCTTGCCCCCGTCAACACCTTCGATCGATACATCAGCACAGTTTTGATAATACTGAGGTAGGATACTCGCGACCCATCTACAATTTCAGAGCACGTTTAAGTGTTTGGTGTCCAACAGGAAAGGGGGTCTTCGATGAGAGAAAGAAGTACTTACGACCAGACAAAGAGACATTGGTTCTTCTTCGTGCAGGAGGGTACGTTACTGGGAATCTTGACGGGCCATTCGTAGTACGCTGGTGGAGAAATTGCAACGAGTTAGAAAACGTGTTAATAACGCAGCCGCATGCATCCTTCCCTCTTCCTCCCCTCCTTTTTTTTTTTTTTTTTTTTACTTACCATCGGGACATGACTTTGTATATCGACCGATCAGACGAAACGTCTTCCCACCATCATACGAGAGCGAAAACTCGCACTGCATTAAGGATCATTGAGCACACAACAAGAGTATCAGTCAGTGAACAAACCCTTTTCTTCAGAGCCCTTCGTCTCCGTATCACAAAAAACAGAGCTTCATTCGTTGCTACCATCAGCCGAGTATGAGCAAGAACAGTAATTCATTTCCTTTTGGTCCTTACAGTGCCTCCGCCATGTCGGGCTTGCGGAAACTCCCGGTGACGGTCTTTGACGGGTTCGGGTTGCGTCCGCATGGCCTTGGCACTCATAGACGACGCAGCAAAGCGGACAGGGATGACCTGGCCGGCTTTCATCTCCGTAACTGGACCAGGCCCAAACCCTCCACAGGGAAAGCTAGCGCTCCAGACCCTGTCTTTGTATCCTATAAAAGTCTGCATTTAAATGAGAAAGAGGAATGTGAGTAGGTAACACAAGAGCGCAACGCTCAGCGTGTAAGCTTTGTGCTACTGTGAGGTGAGCATGAAGTCTTACGTGAACATGACCGTTGTATTGTCTGGTGCCATAGCCGCCTCGGGGTGTGGGGTACAGCATGGCCATATGTGCCATAGTCGAGCTCACCAGCAAGGCGAGAACCAGAACTGCAGCTGCACACTTCATAATGAAAATGAGAGCGAGGAACTTTGATGCAGGTATATGTGGTATGTAAATGGCGCTCCAACAGAATGGAAGAGACTGGATGGTGCTTTATTTGATAGGGAGTGCTTTTAGCGTGTATCGTTATTAATATTAGAAAGAGAACATGGAGCTATGGAGCCGACTTGCGGCACCATTTATATGTCCACGCCTGGCCCCGGCTTTTTTTTTTTTTTTTTTTTTTTCCTTCCTGGAGGCGGCCAGTCTCAAGCATTGGATAGTAAAGGCATAAGTGCCTAGTGTCTTGATCAAGGGCAACAAGGGTGCCTATCTAGTCGATATCCCTTGTAAACCCCCTAAGAAATAGGCGAGAGCCGTGCCGAGGGTTCTTTTAATAGTTTATATTTGGCCAGATGTAAACATATCTCTTTCCTTGAACTTTCTTGGTATTCCATAAAAATAACATAGGCTCGCAAACATTTGTGTCCCAAACAATTAAATTTTATTTGGATCATCTCCAGCATTGGAGTGTGTACCCATGTCTATCAAGTCTATGAGCACAAGGAAGAGCTGCGGTCCACGCGCCACATTCCTTTCTATGCTTATTTTATTTTATCGTACTTTACTTCTGGAATTTGCCGCTCATGTTGTCATTGACCTCATTCTTGATGGGTCCCTTGCCCATCTTCTCGTCATAGCCATCGCCTTGTGCTGTCACTTTCTGCTTATGGTTGGGGATATCAACAACCTGAATGCTCTTCGATGGAAGCTTTCCGCCTTTCACACCAGCAATCGTCACATCCGCGCAGTTGATGTAGAACTGTGGGACGTTCACCGCAGTCCAGGACCACACAAAGAGGCACTTTCCGGGGGTGTTGCAGCTGGGAACGTTGGCGGGGATCTTGACGGGCCACTCATAGTAGAAGTCAGGGCATGATTTCGTGTACTGACCAATCTTGTGGAAGGTCTTGCCGCCGTCGTAACTGAGAGAGAACTCGCAGAATCCACCACCGTGACGAGCCTGGTTGATCTGCTTGCTGCCAGTAGGCTTGGCAGGAAGGTGGTCCAAGTTGCTACCCTTGAGTGCTGGACCCCAGAATCGGACCTATTTTCAAAATGCAGGGAGTTGTTCAGCATTTTGTGTGTGTGAATAAAAAACCATGTTGCTTACAGTGAACTGCACGATGATTAGAGTGAAGGGAAGGAATCGATGTCCTTACGTTGAGGGTTTGTCCAGCCTTGAGTTTGGTGACAGGTCCCATCTTGTTGTAGCCGTTGCAGGGCATGGTGCGGTGCTTATTGAAATTGACGAATGCATGGACTTCGGCATCGTACTGCTTCTTGTCTCTGATGCCTCCGCGCGGCATGGGATAGAGAAGAGCCATGTGGGCGGTGGTCGACTCGATCAGCACCACGACGGCTACAAGGCATGCAGCCCAGAAACGAAAGGTGGTCATGGCTCAAAGGAAGATGCGTAGTTTGTTTGGAAGGTGTCGTAGATGAAGAGACTGATGAGAGGAGTAAGAGTAAGAGGCGCAACGGTGTCTTCGGGAGGGATGAGGTGGTGGCAGGGGTCGATTTGTGTGGGCGGGGGGGGGTAAAGAGGACAAGAAGGAAGGTGGAGGGTTTATATATTATGGATATTGCACCTTGCCGGTCTTCGGGGCCATCGACAACTGACGCCCAGACCTGAATTCTCTTTGGAAGTGGCATATTCTAGTCTTTTTTGGTCCATAGAGTTAAAAAAAGATGAGCCGTCCCCTCATGCCATAGGTTTTCCTTTTATTATTACCGGCTCAGGAGATAATTGCTAATATATGCAGGATGAGCATAGAGCAGGACTATGAACAACTGGAGCAGGCAAAAAGGGAGAGCACCCGGTACGCCCAAGCCGCTTGTCCAGCGAGCGCCAAACATCTGGACTCCATTCGTCACATAATCAGGCAATTGATGGACTATATCTCCGTGCAGCGAATTAAAAGGCGGGAAACCATACATGAAACAAATGAAAAAAAGAAAAAAGAGAAAAGCACTATCACACAAGAGATGCAGGTACAGGGTTGTCTACGCAAAAGGGACAAGGGCATCCTCTGCCTGGTGCAACCCTCGGTTCTCTTTGCCTTCATTCCGGGGAATTACTGCAAATGCGCGTAGCCTAGGGTGCATTGCTGGGAAGCTATGCAAATCCCAGGTGGTGTGTGAGTCAATGCATTGTACGTATCTGCATGGACGTGTAGATCCATTCGTGTAGCACAGATCACGTCAGTCCGCTTTTCTTTTTCTTTTTTTTTTTCTCACAGTGCGATCAGTCCATCATTCGCTTCCATTCCAAACACCTCCATTCATTCCTTCATTCATCCAACCAACCCGAACCTCAGCTATGGCCCTCAATCTCGTCTCTCAGAGCAAGCACTTCGGTGGCACCCTCTCCAAGTACTCTCACCGTGCCACCACCACCCAGTGCAACAT